ACTATCGGATCAGAGTTTGAGCGCTTGGTGCGCGCCGGCGGAGGCCTCGGCGCGTCCGCCCCCACTCCGCTATCCTGACATTGGCGAGAACAATGGGCCATCCCATTTTCCCCTCGTCGACGACCGTCAGACATCTGAGCAAGATCGCAGGCACGTGTATAGCAGCAAACGGAGCTTTAGGTAAGTGAACGGGCAGGGGAGGCGTGCCAACGGAGCGCTGTCTTGTGTGCAACTCAAAGCCTGCTAAATGGAGTTACAGCGTGATGGCAGCAAGTTCGACTTGCTCCTCCTCGACCTTGCGTCCCCCCGGGCCACGTCAGCACCGACACGTGTCACGAGCCTATTCGCATACTCTCACTGCCTTTACATCCTCTTTTACGCCAGCGCCGTGGTCACAGAGACGACGCACAGTGTGCTGGAAGTTGCGCGCCACCTAGCGGGATGGACGGAAAAGCACGCGTACTTCCCCGCCCGACGCCACGTGTACGGCATCCCCTGGCCGGACGAGTAAGTCTCGACGCAATTTGCGCGCGCTCTGGCTGACATTCGCGCAGGGCTACGGCGGAAGATTGAATGCGCGCTCTACGCACGCATCCCCCAGTCTTCCGACTTTTCGCTGGACGGGTCTCGGTCGCGGACCGCCGAGGTCTGATCCGGAAATATGCGATGCCGGTCTGGAAGTTTGGGCGGCGACTGGGCGCGGCATTGGGCCGTTCGCGAAGTATAAAGAGCAGACCTTCTACCGCTTTGAATCAGCATTCCACCGCTTCCACCCTCTTTCCTGCATTCCCTCGCATCTTTCATTGCTTCAATGTCCCTGATCAACATTCCGAGCTCTGTGGGTGTTCTCTTCCCTCGCTTGATTTGACTCTTCTGACATTTTCGTTCAGGTTGAACCCTCCCCTCGGCATTGACTGGTAAGTTTCTCATCCTCATCATTAACCTGAAGTCCCACTAACCTGAAGTCCCACTAATTGCACGACTACTACAGATGGGTCGTGATGTACTTGACTCCCGTTCTTGCATCCCTATAAGCGCTCTACTTATTCACTGATCACTCCCATAGCTTTCCTTCGCGCACCACCAATCGACACCAAACGCACTCTTCGCTCTCACTGTCTCACAGGTTCGTCTGCTATTTCTCTATCCTTTCATTGAATATACTAAGTTGTCTTCCAGCGATAGGATCTTTCGGCGCTTTCTGGGCCTTGCTTATCAGGTGACGACGGTCCGTTTTTTCAACGCCACCCCACCCTGATTTACCTTGCTCTAGGCCATCACGTCGACCAGCACGACTCGGGACTGCGGCTCGCATCTCACCACCGCCTACGTCGGCGCCGAGCGCTCATTGCGCGCTTTGAAGCGCTCAATAGGCTTTCGACGCGCAAGTGAGTCAACCGCGACTGCACCCGACACTTCTCGCCCCCGCCCCTCCCCAAGCTCTACATGCGGCATAGCGAGGGACGCGCTCTGGTCTTGTGATATGCAGTGAGTACGGCCTCGTTCTTCATGCTTGATTTTCTTGACGGTCTTGAGGGAGACCGGTCGACTTGGCTCGGGCGAGAGCGGACCGTGGTACAGCCTCCGACGACGTCGAGATGGTCCGACTGGACTCGCCGCATCGGCTCGCACGGCCTTTGAAAACGACGAGGAGGTGCAGTCGTCCCACGCTCTTTGGTGAGTTTGCACGCCCTCTCCTCGCCAGCCGCGCCTCACTCACAGATATCACGCAGTCTGGACGTCTTTCATCGCCAGGCTTCGAACCCCCTCCTTCGCTTCCCCACCCAGCCCTGAAGCGCGAGCGCCTGCGATGACGACGAGCGCACTACTCGCGCCGCCAGGTCCCGCCCTTCCCTAATCTCCACGTTCGGCGCATGGGCATGCTCCAACGCTCCCCGACGCTTTGGTTCGCCTCCCGCTCCGCCTAGGCCCTCTGTCCAGGTCGTCTTGACAGCACGCGAGGATGCAGGGAGACCTCCACATCGCACCCGCAACCCCAGATACCTTTATTGACCTGCTTTCAGATACCTCTTCTTTGACCCCCGAGCCGTCAGAGGCTATGCGCGCGCGCTACATCGTGTGGGAGATGCGACGAGGGTGGTATACCCTTGATCGAGATGTGCCCCGGTAAGTAGCGCGTCACCCCCTTACGCATCGAAAACGGCCTGACCCCCCTTCCGAAGTCGCTTAATGTTACGCCCCCGGTCGCCAATTTAGCTTCACCCCCTCACTCGCGGGAGGAGATATCGTTGGTGAGTTTCGCTCCTGCCCTGGCTCCATGGAAGCGCACTAAACTCACTCCATCGCCGCTAGGGAAAACCACCGGAGGCACGCGTTCGTGGAGGGTGGGGGATCCTCCCAGCCCCTTTTTGCCATCGAGGGGGGTTATTTAAACGGTGTATGGTGCGGTCTCCAGCGAGTTCGAGCCGCCGGAGGTGAGCGCATGCTCCTGCGTTGAGTGTAGCGACGGGGTGGGGGCCCTCCCCTCCCTTAATCTTCTTTCCTAAGGTGCACTAGGGGGTGTTTTAGCGCCCTCTGAGGCTATTTCTCGACGAGGTTGAGCCGCCGGAGGCGCGCGCGCGGGCTTCCTCGGTGAGAAATGCGGGAGGAGGGGACTCTCCCCTTCCCCACGTTGCTTGGTGCGGGGGCGCTTTGGCGCCTTGCAAGCCCATTTTCCTCCGACCGAGAGCCGCCGAAAGCTCGCGCGAGCTTTGTTTGTGATAGTGACGACAAGGGGGAGGGAGGGGGTCGTCCCCTCCGCCCCAATCTGAGCAAAGCAGGGGACCCCTCGACCCTTTCCGAGGAGAATTTTCGACGAGGGGGAGCCGCCGGAGGCGCGCGCGGGTCCCTCGGCGAAGGATGCGACGAGGGTAGACCACCCTCCATCCGTCCCCCTTCGTGATAAGTGCACCGACCCCCCTTCCCCGTTTTTTTGCGGCCCCCACCGCCCCAGGAGGCATGCGCGGGTGAGCGTGGCAAGGGGATAGGCCCCCTTCATCTCATCTAATACCGCTGACCTCTTTTCAGGTGATTTCTTGGCGAGAGCGAACCGCCGGAGGTGCGCGCGGGGCCCCTCGGGGAAGGGAGCGAAGGGGGTGGGGGCATACTGCGAGGTGCGAGGGACCTCCGACGCCGCTCAAAACCGCCAGCAAGGGGGCGCGTGTGCGTCTTCGGTGAGATTGCGACGAGGGGAGGGGGGCCTCCGCCTCCTCTACAACCCGACAAAGGCTAAGGGGCCTTTCGCCCTTTTGTAGAACAATTCCTCAACGAGGGTGAGCCGCCGAAGGCGTGCACGGGGTCCTCAGTGGAGCACGCGACGCGAGGGTGATTTACCCTGCCTCACCCCTTCCATGCCACAAGCGTACTGACCCCCTTTCGCAGGTTTTTTTGCGCATCCCCCAACCGCCGGAGGTGTGCGCGGATTCGCTAGGTGAGCGATGTGAGGAGGGGGGAATGCCCCCTTCTCACTTCACTCTCATGGGAAGAATGCTGAGCCCTTTTCATAGACGACTTTCTGGGAACCGCTGACCGACGGCGATGCGCGTGCGGGGTCCCGCGGTGAAGGGAGCGAAGAGGATGGGGACACCTCTACCCTCGAGCCAGCATGGGTCTCCCTCCCCTTCTTCTCGACGACGCGCTGATCTTCTTATCAGGCTTTATTGTTTGTGCCTGCACGTGTGGAGGCGCGAACGAGGCAAGGGGGGAGGGGTGCGCTCTCGATATGACGGCCCCCCTCCCGTAGCCTTCTTCGGTGCGTGAGGTGGGATGAGGTGCGCGCTGATCCGTCTTTACAGACCGTCTCAAGCCCCTGAGAGAGAGGGAGCGCGCGCGCAATCGCTCTCTTAAGGGAAATGCGAGACGAGGGGGAGCATCCCACCCCTCGGGTGGGGGTGGTGGGAGAAGGGGATGGGGTGGGAGGAGCGCTTTCAAGCGGACCTTGCTTTGGTGAGTCTGCTTCGTTTCCCCCTCGAATCACATGAGAACTGACCTATTCCCAGCTGTTCTGCTTCGCGTTGATGGAGGGGGCGAGGGGGGGAGGTCTTCGTAGGCCTACTCAAGGCGCTTGGCGCGAAGGTCCGTGAAGGAGGGCGATCCTTCCGCATCGCCGCACTCCACGCCACTCGAGACCACCAAGCCCAGGTTCGTATTGCACCTCATCCCCTTTTCACGTCGCAGAGGCCTCCCTCCCTCGCGCAGGAGGGGCTATCTCGCGAGGTAAGGATGAGGGGGCACGACTGAACTGGCTTGTCCGTCTGTTTCCGACACGGCAGCGCCATAATCGAGTGGTATCTCGACGTATGTACTCCCTTTGAGCGCTTGAATGTCGCATTCTGACCTTCCCAGTGCATCTAGTATTCCTGAGCATCCTCGCCGTCGCACGTCGAGGCGAGTGCAGTGAGTCGGAGTAGGTGGGACCCCCTCCCCCAGTTTCGTACGTATTCACCCCCACCTCGTCGCGCGCAGAGTCGTAGAAATCGCGATGTAGACTCGTAGATACTGTGAATAAAGACGTTACTGCCACCATCGTGCGCGCTGAAAAGAAAAGGGAAAAATGTGAGTTCGTGGCAAAGGCCTTGCCACCCCCTTCTCCCCTCGCGCGCGAACGAACGGTGGGCGAGGCAGGTCCTTCGCGCACTGCAGACTGTGCTTGCAGCTCGTCGGCGTGCGCGCGAAGCTCGTCGGTGTCTTCGAGCACTCTTGAGCTGAATTTCTCGAGGGCTATCCCCCCACCCTCGTGCCCCTTCCCCTTGGTTCTGGCCTCCCTCGCTCCCTCTCGCATCGCACACGCCGTCGTGGTAAGTTCAAACATGTTCTATTCAGCCTATCTACTACACGATGGGATACCTACCATTCTCCCCTTCGCCGCTCCTCCCCCCAGCGCTCCCCTCCCCCTGCCCTAGCGCTCCCCTCCCCCTCCCTCAGCGCTCCCCACTCCTTGCCGCGCCCTCCCAGCCCCCTCCCGCCTCTCCCCCGTACCGAACGCGCGCGCTCGGCCGCTCCTACCCTCCCCCTCGCTCCGTACCCTTCTTCTTCTTCTCCTTCCTCTTCTGCCGTTTCTCCAGCGCCTCCCTCGCCTCGTCCATAGCGAGCAGGTCCTTGATAGACGGGACGGCGGACGACTCGAGCGGCGCGAGGCGTGCAGGTGTTTCCTCATCGGATTGCACTTCGCCGTCCTCGTCGGACTGGACTTCACCGTCCTCGACCCCGGCCGCAGGCACGGCGGCCTTCTGCTTGCCCTTGAGCACCTTGAGGGCCGGTGGGGTGGCTGGACGGGGTGGTAGGACGGGCTCGCGGGGCTCGTCGTCGTCGAACCAGCGCGCACGGGATGTCTGCTCGGCACCTTGCATGGCGTTGGGATCGGCAGGTGCTGGTCCTTGCACTTCTCCGGGTTCCGCGCTGCCAGACCGAGGCGGCGCGTGTTCATGATCGCTCGCTTCTTCCTCGTCAGGTATGCCCTCGTAGTCGCCCGCGCCCGCGAAGATGTCGAAGTCTTCGGGTATAGGCTCGGGTGAGGGCTCTTTCGGCTTGGAAGGCTGGGGCGCGGGCGCAGGGGTCGCTGAAGTCGAAGCTGGTGGCACCGCAGAGTCGGTGGCAGCAGGCGGTGACGCTTCTCCTGGTGCTGTCGCCTTCTCCTCGTCACCCTCGACCTTGCGCTTCTTCTTTCTGCGCTCCCCGTCGCCCTCCGTCTTCGCCTTCTTCTTCTTGGGCTTGTCCCCCGCCGGCTTGAACCCTATCGACTTGAACTTGCTCTTGTCGATCGTCTTGTCCTCTTTCGGCGGCAGCGCAGGCGCGTCTGCAGAGGACTGCCCCTTCCGCTTCTCCTTCATCTGCTTGATGATGTCGGCGCGCGAGCGCTTCTTGGGTTCGTCGGTGGGTGCGGGGGAGGCAGAGAGTTCAGCGGGGGGCAAGACGTCTTCGCCACGGTAGGCGGCCTCGAGAAGGTCGTCGTCGTCTGTGTTGCGGGACTCTTTCGCGCGATTGGCTTCGAGGAGGGACAGATCGAGGCCTTTGACCAGGACGGTGTGCGTGCTGTCGCCACCGAGATAGCGGCGTTGCTGTTCGACCTACAAGAGCAAAATGGGTCGAAGCAGACAGGAAAGGGGAGATGTACGCACCACATCCTTGTCCTCGTTCGCCGTGCGCTTCTCAAAGTCCTGCAACAAGGCTTCCGCCTGCGCATAGTCGCTCGCCTTCCCCTCTCGCCGTTCAAACGCGCGATCGCGGTACTTTCCCTCGGTCTGCTTCTTGACCTTGCGCGGCTGGAATGCGGGCTTGGAGGCGTCTACCGCCTTGCTTCGCGTGCTGTCAGGACAGGATGTGGGGGAGGGGGAAGCGTGTGCACGTACGGTTTAGACTTGTCCGGCTTGTCCCTCGGAGGAGCGGGGGTGCTGAGTAGTTTCCTGAATGAATCCTGCTGCCGTGAGTACGTCTTCCTTTCGGCACGAAGACTGCGCACCTGGTCCATGGCGGCGGGAGGAGAGCGAGGCCCGAGGTCAAAGCGCGGGCCATTCTGCCAAGTCCGGGCGCGGTGGCGGCCCGACGTCATCACCTTTCTACGCGCCGACGCGTCTTGCCGCTCCTTAGCTTTCTACGGTGCTGTGTGAGAGACGCCGGATACTGGCACTGCGCCTCGCTCGACTCGCACCTCCGATCGCGCTCTCTCCCCCAAGCATGGACGGCGGCAGGTCGCCCCGCTGTCAGATGTCGCTCGCACTCGGTCGCGTCGACGTCATGGCAGGATCCGCGTTCGCGTTCGATTCCCGGGCGGTGGCGCGTACTTGTACTCGCGCCGTCTGGTCGCGCCGCCGCCCAGCCGTCCGTTCGAGCTCTGGTCGCGCCACCGCCCGTCCGGCGCGCCCCGCGTGACGTGACGCGAGTTGAACCAGAATGCTTCCTAATTGGGTGGGATTGAAAAGTTTCGCATGTACGACCTCCTCACAGTCCTATCTCGCCATCCGCTGCACCCACCGCCTTCGGACAAGCTGCGCTGGGAGCGCATCCCCCAAACTAAGAGGTTTCTCAAGTCTCAGCCCCCTGCTGGCACCCCTTCCCTTCTTATCCCCTCCGAAGCAGGCTGGGGAGCGTGACATTGGGCTCTGAATTATTGTGCAGAGACGACTTCGTGCCTGTTCCTTCTCGTTCAAAGGACAAGTGGGAGCATGTGGTCAGGCCTACCTCCCTGCAAAATAGCTAGCCTATCCCCTCCCTCCCTCCCCTCCCACCGATTTTACTCCCCCGGTCACTCTCCTCTGCCACCAGCGCCCGTCATCCCACGCCCAGCACAGACCCTGCTCCAGCCATCACAAATCGTCCGACAGGCACAGGAATTGTTCCGTGATCCTGCCCGACGGCCTCTCGAGGCTCTGCTCCGTCGTACGACCTATGATTTACCTTCTGCGGGCTGATCCGTGGTTGCTCGAGGCCCGTTGGTGGTGGGGGGATATAAAGGCGGGATGTGAGATGGATTCTCCTGTGCTCCACACAAGGAGTGAGCACAAGACAATGAGCTATGAATCCAGTAATGAGCTACGAGTGACGAGCTATGGGTGTCAAAAGGTACGTGGACCAGTGGGAGATGCGAGGGGAGGCCTTGAGGGATAAGTCGACAGGCGAGACGGACACTGGCGAGATGGTTGGGACGTTGCGACAGTTGGGAAGATGCTGGGGAGGTGACGGTATTCGAGAGCGACGGAAGGCAGTCGAGACTCGGAACACAGTCGAGACTCGGAACACAGTCGAGACTCGGAACACAGTCGAGACTCGGAACTCAGTCGAGACTCGAAGCTCAGTCAAGCATCGAGGCCTGTAGGCTTGCTGAAGAGTTGTGCAGGCTCACTGAAGAGTCTCGTCTGAGCTATCAGTGGGGTCAGACGAGTTGCAGATGGGTTCAGATGAATTGCAGATGGGTTCGAGCAAGTTGCAGACAAGTTCGAGCGAGGTGCAGACGATTTTGAGCAAGTATCAGGCAAGTCAAACAAGTCGAAAGCATAGATACGAGCAGCAATACATAGTCGAGATCCTACTGTGTATGTAAGGCCTCACACGGCAGCCATGATGGGTCGGGGATTTGCTCGAAGGGCGTCGGGGATCGGTATGTTGACAGAATGGGCTGAGAAGCTCAGGGCAAGCGTCAAAGAGCTCGAGGCGAGTGCCAGACAGCTTGAGGCAAGTGTTGGGGAGTTCGAGACGACGTGAGATGGAAGGAAAGGCCAGACAGTGATGCAGGGAGTAGAAGATCATGGCTGGAGCGAAGGACGATTCATTGAGGCGATAGACAACAGTTGGGAGCGAGTGCGAGGGCCTGGACAAAGGGTTCGCACTCAACTCACGGACAGCACGTACATACTGCATCAGCTTGCTCGCCGGACGCATTTCTGTTGCTTCAGCGCTCGAGTCGATGACCGAGGGTCACCCCCGAGTTGTGGGGGAGTGCTTGAGGTTGAGAGCGAGTGCTCTGCTTGCATACGATTAGTCGAAAAGGATAAAGGCAAGCGAGACGCGGGAGCATTGCAGGTGTGAGCGCGAGCGGCTTGTGGAAGGAGTCGGGAGGACAGCGAAGGCGTGGGTGAGATGTTGACGGCTTCGGAAAGGGTGATAGCACCTGCGAGAGCCTCGGTCGGTGGGCGGCGATACGTCGCCTCGCCTCTTCCCGCGGGATTCTATAGTGCCCTTAGTTGCAGCCTATGCACAGGAATCGCATAGCGCACCGCATCATCCCACTCGACGAACGGACTTTCGTCGCTTCAGGGCTGAGCTCGACCGGCAGGCGATGCGTGAGGCTTAGCAAGCGCAGACTCTTGAAGATGACGCGCGCGACGTGTGTTGACTAGGGCTACGACGTCGAGATGTGCTGCAGGAGGGGACGAGGAGGTGGGTGACAGCACGAGGCCCGCTCGGCTGACAGGAACTCCGACCTCGTCCCGTCGAGGGAATCCACCGCGTCCGCGAGATTCTGGGCCGCTCATAAGCAATAGGCGCCGGGTATCAAGCATCGCATCACGCACCGCAATATGCTGCTCGATCGACGAAGACTCATTGCTTGAGCGCTGGCGTAGTGGCATGCAGCGATGAGGGCGAGTGGGCGGCAGCTTCGGAGCCTCTTGAGGGCAACACTAGCGCTTTGCAGATGGTGGAGAGCTTCGACTACAATGAGACGGTCTAGAAAGTGAGCGCGAAGAGTCTGGTGCGGAAGACGTAGCACGTACTGGACGTATCCGCTCGCCGGACGAAAGTACATGTACTCATCACTTATGCTGCTCTGCGCGCGGCTAAAGCTGGAGCTTGTGAAGAAGAACGGGTCTCGGGCGTCGTGGAATGCGGCGATGAGGCGAGAGATCTCGCCAAGAGTGCTCGTTGATATCGAGCGAAGCGATTAACCGACATGGGAGGAAAGAGAAGGCGTCGCCTCCGACGCAAATGCCAGGTGGGGCATAATCCCCACGGTCCAGGAGCACGGGAGTCGCGGGCGAGAGCGGTCGGCGAATCTCGTCCCCTCCTTCCAGGGCCCCGGGTAGCTGAGAAACCCTTCCAAAGTCGGAAGGTTTTGACGAGAACACCCTCGGAGTCAACAAATCAACAATTCGCCCCGCGCGGGGAACTTGTCTAGAGCGCCCCACCCGAGTGCCTGAATCGAGGCGGCCTTGTTCTTGCTCGTACACGTGTTTTGGGGAGCGCGCAAGCCCGCGAGCAGGGAGTCGCTCGCGAGCTCTTCCCCGGTGTGCCTGGCAAGGTCTGAGGCTTGAGTGATATGAATGTATTTTGGCCAGTGTTGTGGCAAATTGGGATAAACAAGGAGTTCTCCCACAGTTCCAAGATCGCCCGCGCGACGGCGAGGCGGTTAACGCGACGGCGCGCAGACATGGGGAACGACGGTGACGGTCGAAGTCAAGACACATGCAGTAAGCGCCGGGCGCTTATCGGGCTTCCGCCCCGCGCCGCCGGTCGTCGGCAAGTGCCGACCGCACTTCCACCGCCGCTTCGCCTGCGTTCTGCGTCCATCGCCAGCGCCCCCGGCAGCTCCCACAACGGTGCCCTCGTCCTGTGGAGTATTCCTGCCTATCCCTCGCAAAGCGAGCGCGTAGCAGGAGAGGATCACACAGCAAGTCTTCTCGACGCATTCAGCACCTCACGGCGCGATCTCAGGCTACGGGACCTATCCCCCATTACCCCCAGCACCCACGATGGGTCCAGACGTGCCGTAGAAGCCCGCGTATGAAGATGCGGGAAGTTTGCGACACGTCGATTCTTGGGAAAACGCATTCTTTCTTATCGTACTTGACGGCCGAAGCAGGATGTATGCATCCACGACTCGGATACCCTTGGTAAGTCGTCAGTCGGGCGCGACCATCTGACGCTATGGAATCGACGGGGGGTACCCGTGCGACTCTGTATCTGTACTCGCAAACTGAACTGACCACTACGCGAGGTCAGTAGGACGTCGGGAAGGTCGTTTTCAATATGTGGCGTCGTTCTTGGTACGTTCGTACACTTGCCGTCCGAGCTTGCGCTGACCGTACAAACATTAGTACATGGTCTGCAAATAGTTTACATGCAATCTAGAAAATTTGGCCAGCCTCAGCGCAGTCCCCTCCTCGTAATACCCTGCCCGCGCCTCCTCTACCCGCATGCTCCCCACCACCAACGCGTCGGGCACAGAAGACCCCAGTGCACTTACGTCATCTCATATGCATTACCCACTCTTTCCAGACCGCTGCGCCGCTCCACGGGCTCGGTCCATGCGTCCAATCCGCCGAATATCTGTTTGCCGCTATCCTCTCCCCCTTCGAGTCTCTCCGGTACGTGAATTCTCTTCAACGCGACATTCTGGACGCTGAACTATCGGATCAGAGTTTGAGCGCTTGGTGCGCGCCGGCGGAGGCCTCGGCGCGTCCGCCCCCACTCCGCTATCCTGACATTGGCGAGAACAATGGGCCATCCCATTTTCCCCTCGTCGACGACCGTCAGACATCTGAGCAAGATCGCAGGCACGTGTATAGCAGCAAACGGAGCTTTAGGTAAGTGAACGGGCAGGGGAGGCGTGCCAACGGAGCGCTGTCTTGTGTGCAACTCAAAGCCTGCTAAATGGAGTTACAGCGTGATGGCAGCAAGTTCGACTTGCTCCTCCTCGACCTTGCGTCCCCCCGGGCCACGTCAGCACCGACACGTGTCACGAGCCTATTCGCATACTCTCACTGCCTTTACATCCTCTTTTACGCCAGCGCCGTGGTCACAGAGACGACGCACAGTGTGCTGGAAGTTGCGCGCCACCTAGCGGGATGGACGGAAAAGCACGCGTACTTCCCCGCCCGACGCCACGTGTACGGCATCCCCTGGCCGGACGAGTAAGTCTCGACGCAATTTGCGCGCGCTCTGGCTGACATTCGCGCAGGGCTACGGCGGAAGATTGAATGCGCGCTCTACGCACGCATCCCCCAGTCTTCCGACTTTTCGCTGGACGGGTCTCGGTCGCGGACCGCCGAGGTCTGATCCGGAAATATGCGATGCCGGTCTGGAAGTTTGGGCGGCGACTGGGCGCGGCATTGGGCCGTTCGCGAAGTATAAAGAGCAGACCTTCTACCGCTTTGAATCAGCATTCCACCGCTTCCACCCTCTTTCCTGCATTCCCTCGCATCTTTCATTGCTTCAATGTCCCTGATCAACATTCCGAGCTCTGTGGGTGTTCTCTTCCCTCGCTTGATTTGACTCTTCTGACATTTTCGTTCAGGTTGAACCCTCCCCTCGGCATTGACTGGTAAGTTTCTCATCCTCATCATTAACCTGAAGTCCCACTAACCTGAAGTCCCACTAATTGCACGACTACTACAGATGGGTCGTGATGTACTTGACTCCCGTTCTTGCATCCCTATAAGCGCTCTACTTATTCACTGATCACTCCCATAGCTTTCCTTCGCGCACCACCAATCGACACCAAACGCACTCTTCGCTCTCACTGTCTCACAGGTTCGTCTGCTATTTCTCTATCCTTTCATTGAATATACTAAGTTGTCTTCCAGCGATAGGATCTTTCGGCGCTTTCTGGGCCTTGCTTATCAGGTGACGACGGTCCGTTTTTTCAACGCCACCCCACCCTGATTTACCTTGCTCTAGGCCATCACGTCGACCAGCACGACTCGGGACTGCGGCTCGCATCTCACCACCGCCTACGTCGGCGCCGAGCGCTCATTGCGCGCTTTGAAGCGCTCAATAGGCTTTCGACGCGCAAGTGAGTCAACCGCGACTGCACCCGACACTTCTCGCCCCCGCCCCTCCCCAAGCTCTACATGCGGCATAGCGAGGGACGCGCTCTGGTCTTGTGATATGCAGTGAGTACGGCCTCGTTCTTCATGCTTGATTTTCTTGACGGTCTTGAGGGAGACCGGTCGACTTGGCTCGGGCGAGAGCGGACCGTGGTACAGCCTCCGACGACGTCGAGATGGTCCGACTGGACTCGCCGCATCGGCTCGCACGGCCTTTGAAAACGACGAGGAGGTGCAGTCGTCCCACGCTCTTTGGTGAGTTTGCACGCCCTCTCCTCGCCAGCCGCGCCTCACTCACAGATATCACGCAGTCTGGACGTCTTTCATCGCCAGGCTTCGAACCCCCTCCTTCGCTTCCCCACCCAGCCCTGAAGCGCGAGCGCCTGCGATGACGACGAGCGCACTACTCGCGCCGCCAGGTCCCGCCCTTCCCTAATCTCCACGTTCGGCGCATGGGCATGCTCCAACGCTCCCCGACGCTTTGGTTCGCCTCCCGCTCCGCCTAGGCCCTCTGTCCAGGTCGTCTTGACAGCACGCGAGGATGCAGGGAGACCTCCACATCGCACCCGCAACCCCAGATACCTTTATTGACCTGCTTTCAGATACCTCTTCTTTGACCCCCGAGCCGTCAGAGGCTATGCGCGCGCGCTACATCGTGTGGGAGATGCGACGAGGGTGGTATACCCTTGATCGAGATGTGCCCCGGTAAGTAGCGCGTCACCCCCTTACGCATCGAAAACGGCCTGACCCCCCTTCCGAAGTCGCTTAATGTTACGCCCCCGGTCGCCAATTTAGCTTCACCCCCTCACTCGCGGGAGGAGATATCGTTGGTGAGTTTCGCTCCTGCCCTGGCTCCATGGAAGCGCACTAAACTCACTCCATCGCCGCTAGGGAAAACCACCGGAGGCACGCGTTCGTGGAGGGTGGGGGATCCTCCCAGCCCCTTTTTGCCATCGAGGGGGGTTATTTAAACGGTGTATGGTGCGGTCTCCAGCGAGTTCGAGCCGCCGGAGGTGAGCGCATGCTCCTGCGTTGAGTGTAGCGACGGGGTGGGGGCCCTCCCCTCCCTTAATCTTCTTTCCTAAGGTGCACTAGGGGGTGTTTTAGCGCCCTCTGAGGCTATTTCTCGACGAGGTTGAGCCGCCGGAGGCGCGCGCGCGGGCTTCCTCGGTGAGAAATGCGGGAGGAGGGGACTCTCCCCTTCCCCACGTTGCTTGGTGCGGGGGCGCTTTGGCGCCTTGCAAGCCCATTTTCCTCCGACCGAGAGCCGCCGAAAGCTCGCGCGAGCTTTGTTTGTGATAGTGACGACAAGGGGGAGGGAGGGGGTCGTCCCCTCCGCCCCAATCTGAGCAAAGCAGGGGACCCCTCGACCCTTTCCGAGGAGAATTTTCGACGAGGGGGAGCCGCCGGAGGCGCGCGCGGGTCCCTCGGCGAAGGATGCGACGAGGGTAGACCACCCTCCATCCGTCCCCCTTCGTGATAAGTGCACCGACCCCCCTTCCCCGTTTTTTTGCGGCCCCCACCGCCCCAGGAGGCATGCGCGGGTGAGCGTGGCAAGGGGATAGGCCCCCTTCATCTCATCTAATACCGCTGACCTCTTTTCAGGTGATTTCTTGGCGAGAGCGAACCGCCGGAGGTGCGCGCGGGGCCCCTCGGGGAAGGGAGCGAAGGGGGTGGGGGCATACTGCGAGGTGCGAGGGACCTCCGACGCCGCTCAAAACCGCCAGCAAGGGGGCGCGTGTGCGTCTTCGGTGAGATTGCGACGAGGGGAGGGGGGCCTCCGCCTCCTCTACAACCCGACAAAGGCTAAGGGGCCTTTCGCCCTTTTGTAGAACAATTCCTCAACGAGGGTGAGCCGCCGAAGGCGTGCACGGGGTCCTCAGTGGAGCACGCGACGCGAGGGTGATTTACCCTGCCTCACCCCTTCCATGCCACAAGCGTACTGACCCCCTTTCGCAGGTTTTTTTGCGCATCCCCCAACCGCCGGAGGTGTGCGCGGATTCGCTAGGTGAGCGATGTGAGGAGGGGGGAATGCCCCCTTCTCACTTCACTCTCATGGGAAGAATGCTGAGCCCTTTTCATAGACGACTTTCTGGGAACCGCTGACCGACGGCGATGCGCGTGCGGGGTCCCGCGGTGAAGGGAGCGAAGAGGATGGGGACACCTCTACCCTCGAGCCAGCATGGGTCTCCCTCCCCTTCTTCTCGACGACGCGCTGATCTTCTTATCAGGCTTTATTGTTTGTGCCTGCACGTGTGGAGGCGCGAACGAGGCAAGGGGGGAGGGGTGCGCTCTCGATATGACGGCCCCCCTCCCGTAGCCTTCTTCGGTGCGTGAGGTGGGATGAGGTGCGCGCTGATCCGTCTTTACAGACCGTCTCAAGCCCCTGAGAGAGAGGGAGCGCGCGCGCAATCGCTCTCTTAAGGGAAATGCGAGACGAGGGGGAGCATCCCACCCCTCGGGTGGGGGTGGTGGGAGAAGGGGATGGGGTGGGAGGAGCGCTTTCAAGCGGACCTTGCTTTGGTGAGTCTGCTTCGTTTCCCCCTCGAATCACATGAGAACTGACCTATTCCCAGCTGTTCTGCTTCGCGTTGATGGAGGGGGCGAGGGGGGGAGGTCTTCGTAGGCCTACTCAAGGCGCTTGGCGCGAAGGTCCGTGAAGGAGGGCGATCCTTCCGCATCGCCGCACTCCACGCCACTCGAGACCACCAAGCCCAGGTTCGTATTGCACCTCATCCCCTTTTCACGTCGCAGAGGCCTCCCTCCCTCGCGCAGGAGGGGCTATCTCGCGAGGTAAGGATGAGGGGGCACGACTGAACTGGCTTGTCCGTCTGTTTCCGACACGGCAGCGCCATAATCGAGTGGTATCTCGACGTATGTACTCCCTTTGAGCGCTTGAATGTCGCATTCTGACCTTCCCAGTGCATCTAGTATTCCTGAGCATCCTCGCCGTCGCACGTCGAGGCGAGTGCAGTGAGTCGGAGTAGGTGGGACCCCCTCCCCCAGTTTCGTACGTATTCACCCCCACCTCGTCGCGCGCAGAGTCGTAGAAATCGCGATGTAGACTCGTAGATACTGTGAATAAAGACGTTACTGCCACCATCGTGCGCGCTGAAAAGAAAAGGGAAAAATGTGAGTTCGTGGCAAAGGCCTTGCCACCCCCTTCTCCCCTCGCGCGCGAACGAACGGTGGGCGAGGCAGGTCCTTCGCGCACTGCAGACTGTGCTTGCAGCTCGTCGGCGTGCGCGCGAAGCTCGTCGGTGTCTTCGAGCACTCTTGAGCTGAATTTCTCGAGGGCTATCCCCCCACCCTCGTGCCCCTTCCCCTTGGTTCTGGCCTCCCTCGCTCCCTCTCGCATCGCACACGCCGTCGTGGTAAGTTCAAACATGTTCTATTCAGCCTATCTACTACACGATGGGATACCTACCATTCTCCCCTTCGCCGCTCCTCCCCCCAGCGCTCCCCTCCCCCTGCCCTAGCGCTCCCCTCCCCCTCCCTCAGCGCTCCCCACTCCTTGCCGCGCCCTCCCAGCCCCCTCCCGCCTCTCCCCCGTACCGAACGCGCGCGCTCGGCCGCTCCTACCCTCCCCCTCGCTCCGTACCCTTCTTCTTCTTCTCCTTCCTCTTCTGCCGTTTCTCCAGCGCCTCCCTCGCCTCGTCCATAGCGAGCAGGTCCTTGATAGACGGGACGGCGGACGACTCGAGCGGCGCGAGGCGTGCAGGTGTTTCCTCATCGGATTGCACTTCGCCGTCCTCGTCGGACTGGACTTCACCGTCCTCGACCCCGGCCGCAGGCACGGCGGCCTTCTGCTTGCCCTTGAGCACCTTGAGGGCCGGTGGGGTGGCTGGACGGGGTGGTAGGACGGGCTCGCGGGGCTCGTCGTCGTCGAACCAGCGCGCACGGGATGTCTGCTCGGCACCTTGCATGGCGTTGGGATCGGCAGGTGCTGGTCCTTGCACTTCTCCGGGTTCCGCGCTGCCAGACCGAGGCGGCGCGTGTTCATGATCGCTCGCTTCTTCCTCGTCAGGTATGCCCTCGTAGTCGCCCGCGCCCGCGAAGATGTCGAAGTCTTCGGGTATAGGCTCGGGTGAGGGCTCTTTCGGCTTGGAAGGCTGGGGCGCGGGCGCAGGGGTCGCTGAAGTCGAAGCTGGTGGCACCGCAGAGTCGGTGGCAGCAGGCGGTGACGCTTCTCCTGGTGCTGTCGCCTTCTCCTCGTCACCCTCGACCTTGCGCTTCTTCTTTCTGCGCTCCCCGTCGCCCTCCGTCTTCGCCTTCTTCTTCTTGGGCTTGTCCCCCGCCGGCTTGAACCCTATCGACTTGAACTTGCTCTTGTCGATCGTCTTGTCCTCTTTCGGCGGCAGCGCAGGCGCGTCTGCAGAGGACTGCCCCTTCCGCTTCTCCTTCATCTGCTTGATGATGTCGGCGCGCGAGCGCTTCTTGGGTTCGTCGGTGGGTGCGGGGGAGGCAGAGAGTTCAGCGGGGGGCAAGACGTCTTCGCCACGGTAGGCGGCCTCGAGAAGGTCGTCGTCGTCTGTGTTGCGGGACTCTTTCGCGCGATTGGCTTCGAGGAGGGACAGATCGAGGCCTTTGACCAGGACGGTGTGCGTGCTGTCGCCACCGAGATAGCGGCGTTGCTGTTCGACCTACAAGAGCAAAATGGGTCGAAGCAGACAGGAAAGGGGAGATGTACGCACCACATCCTTGTCCTCGTTCGCCGTGCGCTTCTCAAAGTCCTGCAACAAGGCTTCCGCCTGCGCATAGTCGCTCGCCTTCCCCTCTCGCCGCTCGGACGCGCGATCGCGGTACTTTCCCTCGGTCTGCTTCTTGACTTTGCGCGGCTGGAATGCGGGCTTGGAGGCGTCTACCGCCTTGCTTCGCGCGCTGTTAGGATGTGGGGGGAGGGGGAGGGGAGAGAATGTGCACGTACGGTTTAGACTTGTCCGGCTTCCCATTGGCCTTGTCCCTCGGAGGAGCGGGGGTGCTGAGTAGTTTCCTGAATGAATCCTGCTGCCGTGAGTACGTCTTCCCCTCGGCACGAAGACTACGCACCTGGTCCATCGAAGCGGGAGGAGAGCGAGGCCCGAGGTCAAAGCGCGGGCCATTCTGCTAAGTCCGGGCGCGGTGGCGGCCCGACGTCATCACCTTTCTACGCGCCGACGCGTCTTGCCGCTCCTTAGTTTTCTACCACCACCTTCTCCGGCCTGGTTGCCGTCTTCCAACATGCCTGTAGACGCAGCAGCAACGACGACAGAGGCGCTCGCCGCGCGGACCGGCGGCGAGGGGCTCGAGACGCCCGCGGGCACCCTCTACGTCTCCAAGCCCTTCCGCTCCAAGTCCTCGAAGAAGCTGCGCGCCCTTATCACCTTCACCCCCCGCAAGTCTGCCTTTGACACCACCAACGAGCTGAGTGGGGCCAATGAGTTCCGAGTGCGTGCTGTCGTGTCCCCCTGTACTTCTCCTCCTACTGACCTCCCTCCCAGGGTTTCTTCACCCTCTTTTGGATATCCATGTTCATCTTCACCATCCGGACGTACATCTCCAGCATAGAGACTCAGGGAGCACCGCTTAATCTCGCCTTCGCCACCATGTTCTCGCAGGACGCAGTAACACTCTTCTGGAGCGACATGTTGCTTATCGCCAGCTCTGTCCTCTGCGTCCCCTTCGCCAAGGCGATTGCGACGAACACTATACAATACTACTGGACAGGCGTTATCCTTCAGCACATCTTCCAGACTTCCATCCTTTTCATTGCTGTCTCGTGGACATACCACAGGTATGCACTTCCCCTCTACCCTTGACCGCTCTTCCCCCGCTGACATGTACGCCCTCAGACAATGGCCATGGGTTCAGTCTGGCTTCCTCACCCTGCACACCCTCGTACGTGTCCCCTCTGCCCCTCCTCATCGCTCCATCAATGTCACCGCCTCGTCTCACCGCCACCTAGGTCATGATCATGAAGATGCACTCCTACATCAACGTGAACGGCTACATGCAATACATCACCGCCCAGTCGCAACAAGTACTTGACCAGATGCGCAAGGCTACCGAGACGATAGGCGGCGGTTGGGACCATGCTATCGAGGTCGCGAAAGCGCGCCGCGCAGAGCTCGACAATGCTGCGGGTATGTCGAGTGGGACGGACTCGCCACCATCAATGGACACAACGCCACCTGTAATGGCTACGCCTCCTATCGCTACGGGCGCGAGCGCGTCGTACGTGGACGCCGATACCGCAACCGCTCTCCGCAAGCGCCTCGCCTCTGTAGCTCCCGGCGTCGCCAACGACATGCGCAAGGCCGAGAAAGCGCAGGAAGCAGCGGCAGCCGACGAGAAGTCAGGTGTTCGCTCGCACGTCGTCAGCGCTCTCGAGCCACACCCACTGGTTGACCACCCGAACGAGGAGATTGCGCAGATGGCGAAGGACTACTCCGAGATGCAGGGCGAGCTGACGAGCACAGGCCCCGAGCGGATAACGTGGCCCAACAACGTCACGTACAAGAACTTTGGGCTATACTTGTTGATTCCGTCGCTGGTGTATGAGTTGGAGTATCCGAGGACGGATAAGTGCGTATCTCCCCCTCTTCCTCATTCTCACTTGCTCCTCCACGCATGTGTTCGCCATCTTGCTGATCGTCTGTCTCAGGATTCGCCCCATCTACGTCTTCGAAAAAGTCACGGCCTTTTTCGGATCCTTCGCTCTTCTTTACACCATCACCGAGACTTTCATCCTGCCCAAGATTCCCACTGCGGACCAGTCCTTCCTCCTGAGCCTCCTCGACCTCGCGATGCCCTTCATGTTTGGCTATCTTATGATCTTCTACATCATCTTCGGTGAGTACGATTGTTGACTGTCCTGTACGGCAGACTAACGTTCTCTTAGAATGCATATGCAATGCGTTCGCTGAGATCTCATAGTAAGTTACCTCCGCGCTCCCCCAATGTCGCATACTGACCTCCCCTCCCAGCTTCGCCGACCGCCAATTCTACGAAGACTGGTGGAACTCGACTTCTTGGGACGAGTTCTCGCGCAAGTGGAACAGGCCGGTGCACTCGTTCTTGTTGCGCCATGTGTACGCGTCGACCATCACGGGGTACGGGCTGTCGAGGACGCAGGCGATGTTCGCGACGTTCTTGTTGAGCGCGTGCGCGCATGAGCTGGTGATGATCGTGGTGACGCATAAGATAAGGTGAGAGCTAGTGCACGCACGTCCTAGCCGGTCACTGCACGGCTCCAAGAGTACGAACACAACCGCTAACGCCATTCGCAGGATGTACCTCTTCTCCCTCCAGCTCATCCAGATCCCGCTCATCGCCATCGGCCGCCATCCGGTCATCAAGCGCAACAAGCTCGCCGGAAACATCAACTTCTGGCTCGGCTTGTACGCGGGCTTCCCGCTACTTTGTGTGGCGTATTGCGCGTACTGAGTGGAGGTGCATGGGTGGCGGGATGGTGAGTTGTAGAGCATGAAGGCAAAAACGGCAGCAGTGAGCAGTCGATTTGCATTTATCATGGAAGGCTGGCGGAAAGCGGAGGGGCACCTTGCTCGCTTATTTATCTACGTCGATATACTGCTGTGGGATCATCCACACGCATGCTACAGTACCCAGCACAGTAATTGCATAGTTCCGGGCTGTATTATAGCACGGGGTTTCTTCTTTCCTTTACTTTCGCTATCCCTGATGCCTGCGTCGAAAGCTGCGCATACCCCTTGTGAACCTCGACCTGAACTTCAACTTCAACCTGGTGGGCGATGGGGTCACGTGAACCACACGTGCAATCCAAACTTCAACATCCCCGATCACCGAAGCCAGCCGATACTGGTCCGTGCGTTGCCCACCACTATAAAGACCCTTCCTTCTCACCCCGACTCCTCACCACTCTGGCCTTTTGGCTTAGATCAAGTGTAGTATCTGTTCTTAAAAGTTTAACCACTTTTACCGAAGCACTGCTTCGTGTTATGGTTATCCAATTTTTGTCGCCCCTGTTCCCTGGGCTCTGCTTGCAACCTGGGGGCGCGATGACCTTGCCATTGCAGTACAGGCTTGTGCCGTCGGGGGAATCCTCCTCATCTCTTTGAACTGTCGCTCTATCCGCTCGTCCGTCGACGAGTGGAGGGTGGGCTCAAATGGATTTGGAATAGGACGAGGCAGGAATCTCTAAACAGTAGTATATCTGTTTGGACACGGCCGAAATCTATCCTTGATTTTACAGCGAGCGAAAATTCCCTAGAGACAAAGTGGACGGTAGAGTATGCGTCGTTCGAGCGCTTGTGGAGCACTGCGAAAGGAGTAGGTTTATGACCGGCTTCCTTCAAAAATTGGGTTTCTAACTTTCGGCATGTGGACCTTGGAGTCTTGGACCAATCTGAGGCGCTCCCGTATGGGCGATATAGTGTCCGGAAAATACCTGCGTACCTAAATGGAAACCTCGAGGCTAAGTTCGCTCAAAAATCGGAAGCTGAGTGTCAACCGCGCGAATTTGCGAAGGTTTGGAAGGGACTTAGTCGTTCAACGTGCCATATGTGACTCATTCCCTAGCCGAGTGTGTCGGAGCCGGTACATGTGTCCCATTCGAAGTGCATCGGGACTTGCCGTGCGCCTCTGATGCGCCCTTCGTCGGTACTCACAACGACGACAGCGGCCTATGTAGCGGTGTTTAGGCCGCGGGAAAGCGCTCAACAAGGTCTTATACACTGCACTAGCTATCTGTGGGCCACTTTGTGCGGCAGCGAAGCGCCGAGGCGGTGTCGCCGTTGACTGTCGGTTGCCACGCGCAAGGCGGGAGGCGGGAGACGGGGAATGGCAACGACATCGAGCCATCCACGTGTAACGATGACGAGACCGATCCGGGTGATGGACGGTACCCACCACGACTAAGTCCCCTCGACACCTTCGCAAATCTAGGTCGTTGACACTCAGCTTCCTGTTTATGGGCGACTTTATCCTCGAGCGTCTCGTTTTGGTGACCAGGTATTTTCCGGACAGTATATCGCCCATACTCCCGAGCTTCGCAGCTGGCGGAAAGTCGCCAAAACCTGTAGATATGCAAGGAGGCAGCTCCACCAACCCTCACATCTCGCGCGCCCGACCAGCGCAGTTGTATATAACGATCTTACGCCTGCCGTACGACCGTATTGAAACCGATATATATCGACGCATTTTGCACGCAAATCCCGTTGTTCTCTATGGGCAGTCGGTACAAAATTCGCCAATATATCCTGGTGCAAATACGGTCGTCCAACGTTAATATCTTCGGCACGACGATGAAGGCCGCAAGGGCTTCTTCTGATTCACTGCAAGTTCAAATTCCACGTGAGCGTGTGACCATTAATCTCACACGGTGCCGTCCCCTGCCTCTTTCTCTCGTCTACCTACACTCTTCCGATTGCTACCTGTGCTCCCGCGGACCAGCTGTCGAAGATGCGAGCTTATTCGCGCAAACATTTATCCTGCTACGCTCCTGGTGCTCGTAATCCGGAATGAACCCGCGAAGGCACGCATTCTTACGGAAGGGCAACACTGCTGCAAGTTCGCCGAGGTACTTTCAACTAGTAGTGAAGATACTGGAGGCTACTTCATGCCTTCTCTCAGCGCCTCGGATTCGCTTTCCTTGGACCCAGATCGCATTCCGGAAGATAAGCTGACTTTCTGTATAAGTTTACCAAAGCAAGACAACCATGTCTACACGTCCCGAAACGGACAATAAAGCCCATGACGTGGGTAAAAGTCTCTCAAACGCGTAGCTTAGTACTCGTCTCCGTCTCTGACCATTGTGCCGACGCTATGCCGACCTGCGGGGAGCGCCCTGAGGCGCTCAGCGCTCAGGAGGCGGCCAAATCGTACCATCTTTTCCTGCCTTAATTGCCAAGGTGCGATTGGACCTGCACAGCGACCACCATGGCGGACTCTGGCCCCCAATCGTACGGCGCGGTGAACAGGCCCAAGCTAATCGTGACCGCGGAAGGAAAGAAGCTCGATGAGCGCCTCGACCAACACGAGAAGTGCGTACCTGAAGTGCCTATTGTTCTTCTTTTGGTGCTGATTGAAGCTTCGCAGCTATGAGTTCGGCGGGCCATCCGGCGTGCTGGCTATCATGACGGGCTTCCCGCTCTTGATGTACTATTTGTGGATCTGTCTCTGGTTCTACGATGGCAAGCTCGTTCACCCGACGTCGGTCGACGACATTGTTCCCTTCCTTCATCAGATGTGGACGCATGTACGCGTCGTAAGTCATTCATATACAACTATCCCGGTCTGTTGTTTACCAAGCATGCTCAGGACGCGTACCCGACCGCGTATGCTTGGAAGGTATACTCTGGCAACATCTTCCTCCAGCTCTTCCTCGGCTACGTCCTCCCCGGCTTCAAGCAGGAAGGCCTCCCCGTCCCGTCCCTAGGCTACAGGACCCTCACCTACTACTGCAACGCGCTCTCCGCTGTCTACGCGACGATGGCCATCGCTGCCGGCCTCCACCTCTCCGGCCTCTTCCGCCTCACCGAAATCATCGACAATTACGGCCACATCATGACCGTCGCGATGATCTGGGGCTTCGGCGTCTCGTTCGGCATGTACTTCATCGCGATTGCGACTGGGACGCAGATGCGCATGTCGGGCAATTTCTTGTACGATGTCTTCATGGGCGCGTCGTTGAACCCGCGCATTGCACACATCGATCTGAAGATGTGGGCGGAGGTTCGCATTCCGTGGGTGATTGTGTTTTTCCTGGCCGTCTCTGGCGCTTGCAAGCAGTACGAGCAGTACGGCTATGTGACACCGGTGCGTATCTGATTCTGCGTTGGTAGACCGTCAGACGCTCATGCACGCACAGAACATGGCCTTCATGTGCCTCGCGACTTGGCTCTACCTGAATGCTTGGTAGGAATGCGCTTTCGATTCCCGTGCTTCCCTAACGCTATCCCAGCTGCAAGGCCGAGGAATGCATCCCGCAGACTTGGGACATGTACCACGAGAAGTGGGGCTTCATGGTCATCTTCTGGAACTTTGCTGGCGTGCCCTTCGTGCGTACCCTTGGCTTTACTCCCACTTCTAGGCTCTGATCTCCTCCGTCAGTCTTACGTATACTCGGTCGTCTACATGGCCTCGCATGACCCGTCGAAGTACCAATTCTCGACACCGGTCTACGTCCTGCTATACACGACCCTTCTCTTGGCGTATTACTGGTGCGCATCGGTTCGATTCCCCGCGCCCGGCCCCTTTCTCAAAGTTCATTATAGCTTCGACACCGCCATGGCTCAGAAAAGTCACTTCAAGATGCAGCAGCAGGGCATCACCCCCGACAAGTTCCGCCGCGCTTTCCCGCAGCTCCCCTGGAACACCGTCGAGAATCCGACGTACATTCAGACCGCGCATGGGTGAGTACGGCTTGATCTCCCCTGCACGCGCTATTTGCTGATTGATCCCTGCTCTCAGCAACAAGCTCCTCACCAGCGGCTTCTGGGCGTACAGCCGCAAGCCCAACTACGTCGCCGACTGGATCCAGAGCTTCACCTGGGGCGCGATCGTCGGCACGGCGTCCATTATCCCGTACTTCTACTCGGTGTTCTTCATCGTCGTGCTCATCCATCGTTGTGGGCGCGATTTCGAGCGGTGAGTTTTTTCTTTTCGCGTGTGCAAGGAAGGCATTGAATGACGGTCGATGCAGCTGCTCTCGTAAGTACGGCGAGGACTGGGAGAGGTACTGCAAGGCGGTACCCTACAAGTTTATACCCTACGTCTACTAGCGGTAGGTTGTTAGAGCTGAGCAGGCGGTTGTGTATACAGTGGCTGCATGTCTTCTCTCTGAGCCCCAATGGAAGACAATTAGTTCTTCTTGAGCTCTCTGCGAATCGGCCAGAAGTTCCATCGACGGGTTGCGTCAACCGAGCATTTGTCTCCAAAACCAGTCTCAGTACAACACATAGGATCGCGACGCCTGAAGGATGCGACGTCTTGCACAGCAGGTGTTCGGTCTGACAAAACAAGTATATAATGCGAGCGCCCTTGCCGTATTTTCCTCAATTTCCCTTCCCGGCGTCCCGACGGAATCTGGTCCACAGAGGGCCTACAAGTGTGCGTCAATCTCTTGTCGTCCGCCTACATATGTATGGCTGTTCGTGCTCAGCGATCACTCGCGTCGGTTTAGAATCCCAGCCTCAGCCAAGGCATGCCGGTTTTGTTTTCTTATTCATCGCGCAGCGCTAACGAGAAATAGGCATTGACTTGCAGGTACCACTGCAGACGGGCGGGGACGATAGCAAGCATGCCATGCTGAGCCTGTGGCTAGCCATGCTCTCCGTCTGCATTCGGTGACGGCGCCGGACCGCTGAGAAACCAGGAGTGTGCTGGTGAAAGTCAGCATGGAAGGATCAAACCGGCAGGCAAGTTACTGACTGCTATGCTCGAGGTGCAAATCAAGCCCTTGGTCGACAAGTGTGTCCAGCCGTGCGACGACTTCCCGCGACACATTCCGCTCGGAGCCTGAGAGCTCGAGCGTCAACGAGCGCAGCCGACACTGCTCGTGCGGCATCGCGTCCTCTGCGTCCGACCACCAACGAGAGCGTATCATGCGCTCCATGGCCAGGTCGTCCTCTTCGTATGGCCATCGCCCACCCGCCTGCACGTAGATTGCCAGGTCTCTCAATTTGGGCACGCGTCGCCGCTCTGCGTCCCACTTGAGGACATCCCAAACTACGCCGGCGTAGTCGAGGACCATGACCCACATGAGGGTGAGCGAGCGCAAAGAGGGTGTGCGGGCGAGGATGCTGTCAAGCTCGCGCGTTTCAAGAGGCGTGTTCATGAGCTCGATGCTCTCGATAGTGGCACCATTGCGCGCGAGGAAGGAGAGAGTGGGCGGAATGAGCGTTGCGCGGGCAAGATTCCAGCCCAGGATCAGATGCCGCAGAGCTGGAAGATGCAGTCGCGAAAGCAGCGGCGCAGGAGATGCATCCCCGCCCGCTTGTAGCTCATCATCGAAGATGAGCGACAGATACGAAAGGTGGTTCAAGTGGATCGCCGGCGCGCCCGCGGAGACCTCGGACTCAAGAAACGGACGCAGAACGAGCTCGGCGCGCTCGAGCGCGGCGCATTGCGCGAGGACGCCGGTCACTACGTACGGGTCGTCGTACTCCGTATGATCGACGTCGCCGCGGAGGACGAGGGAGGTGAGCTGCGCCCAGGGGAAGCGGAAGTGCGCGAGGTGCACGGGCGCGGCGAGCTCAAGTGTGCGGAGGCGGGGGAGCAGGGGGGAGAGCTCAGCGGGCGGACCGGACCACGAGTCCTCGTTGACGATGAAGACGAGGAGATGCGTGAGGCGGAGGAAGGCGACGCGCATGCGCGCGAGGGCGGCGTAAAGGGCGGCGCTCGTGCCGATGGTGAGCTGCCCGAGGCGGGGGGCGACGAGCTGGAGGCAGTGGTGCACAGCGGCGGCGTTCCACCCTTCGAGTTCGGCGACATCGAAGACGAAGTGGAGGAGGTGGGGGGAGGAGCGGGCGATCCAGTCGGCGGTCACTGGCAGGTGGTTGGCGTAGCGCGCGAAGGAGGTGACTGTGAGGGAGGTGAATAGCCTGGGTGTGTGCCGCGCGATGTGTCTCCAGGACCGGCAGACTTGCAGGAGTTTGAGTGTTGCCAGAAGCCGTTCGTGGGGGTCTACCTCTCCCGCGCATACGAGCATGAAGGTTTCCCCCAGAAGCTCTGCAGGGAGCCGTTCCACTGCCTGTCCGAGGCTTTAGCAATGTCCCCTCTACACTTGGCAGGCTACGTACCGCATGCTGGTCTCCGAAAGCTATGTCAAGCATCGTGTCCCCCTCAGCGCGACGACTGCCTGAAGAGGGAAGTACGGCCTAGGCGCAGCCGTCATGATCCCAAGCTGTGATGCGCCACGTGAGGCATTGAGCAATCCGACATCTGTGCGATGCGAGAAGAAGGGGGCAGAGAAGGGTTTGACACAGAGCACAATGGGCCTAGCGACTTGAGGACTTGCAGGACGATGAGGGGAATTTGTAGGTGGCGCTCGATCGCATACGCCCGCCTCGTGTGCGTCACGCGTCTTGACTCCTGAATTTCGCTTTGGAGGACTGTACCAGTAGGCAGCAACGGATGCGACAGAGAAATGTTGAGGACAATGAGCTGACAATGAGCCCATGTCGTCCATCTTTCACAAGTGCCGTAACACGATGCTTCCCCATTCACCGGCTTTAGAGCGGGGGGCTCGGCTGGAAGAAGTGAGCAAGTCCTGCGCCGCAAGACACTCGAACGCTATCGGCCATCCTCAGAGCGTTCGGGCGACATGGTTCTACGGAACATGGTGGTAGTATATAGTATGTATGTGGAGACGGACAACAGACGGATGAGCAGGACGCCGCTCCTGCATAGCGCGTGCACGTGAATGCCATGTGCAAGTTGAACTTCCTCGCCCTCGATCATCGATCACTTGGTCCGTGCGCCTCCCACCCACTATAAGAGCCCTTCCTTCTCACCCGGAATCCTCACCACTCTGGCCTTTTGGCTTAGATCAAGTGTAGTATCTGTTCTTAAAAGTTTAACCACTTTTACCGAAGCACTGCTTCGTGTTATGGTTATCTAATTTTTGTCGCCCCTGATCCCTGGGCTCTGCTTGCAACCTGGGGACGCGATGACCTTGCCATTGCAGTATAGGCTTGCGTCGTCGGGGGAATCCTCCTGCTCCGCTCCCTTTGAGCTTCACTTTGTTCACTTGTCTGTTGACGAGCGGATGGTGAGCGCAAAAGGTGCTGGATCGTAGTACATTACTTGTAGGGGCAAGGAAAATTGGAGTGAGTCACACAGAACTCGACGAGCAACCGGGTCAGACCCGTCGTAGAGTCAAGCTCGAGTGGCGACGAGCGAAGCCGTCGGTGGCGCGGAGTCAAAGTCGAGTGCCGTGCGGCCTGCGCTGAAGACTGACATAGATAGGGAGGACCGCAAAGACGATCAGCAGAGGCGGAGGGCGATAAAGTCGTCGATGGAGGATTAGTGTTGCCACGGCTCGGTTTGGCGCAGCTCGGCTCGGCTTTCCACGGCTTGGGCAAAAAACGGCTTAGTAAGCGGCTTCGAGCTCCCATCACTGTAGCGGCTTGGGCTCCGAGCGGCGCTGAGCCCGGCTAGCCGGCTCGAGCCGATGCCTTGTTCCCAAAAGGGTAGCAACCCTTATCCTGACCTTACTAGAGGCCATAGTGACATTGAGGCACATTTGACAGCACAACAATGTTTTATGCAGTCTGAAACAATGTATTCTTCACTTAAATGGGCGCTCGGATCTGCCAATGGCCCAACGCCGTTGTGAGTCTGCGTGACCACGTGACCAGACATCCACCATCAGAGTCCGATTCAGAGCCTGCTCCTTACAGCGCGTTTCGTACGCCAAAGGTTCTCTGAACAGTGTCTTATCCTTCCTAGTCAGTGTAGGTGGTCAGGGACTTTAGCGGCTCGGTCTGCAGAGCTCTCAATGTGCCGCTTGGATAACTACTGACAAGCTGGGTCTGAGTAGGGCTCGGTTTTGGTAGAAGTCACCACATTTCCGGTCGTTTTTGTGAGATGAGCGCGTCCCGAATGTTCAGGCTTGCATTAGATACATGTAAGCAGATCTTCCTACATATTGGGGACAGGAACAGAGGCCACAGGAGGGCGCAAGCATGATGGAGGTTGGAGCCGCGGCTCAAGCCAGCTTCGAGCGGCTCGAAGCCATGAGCCGAATTGATGGAGCCGGTAGAAGCCGGTGCTCAACGGCGCGGCTAGGCTCGGCTAAAATTCGGCTTGGCTCGTCGGCTAGCGGCTTGGGAGCCGAACCGTGGCAACACTATGGAGGATGCTCAAAAAGAGAGAACTGGAGCTTAACACTGAACAGTTAGTCTTCCAACGTCGTCGGGGTACATGTCGTTTTTTTATGCGAACAGATATGTCATCCATATGTCCAAAAGCAAGGAAAGCAGTGAGGTACAAAGGGATAGCTAGAGAACGGCCATTGACTATGGCTATAGCTCCGGGACAGCGGCCGATGGGTGCCCCTCCTGGATTTTGTGGATCGTCGTCGCCCGCAACGCCGTATCGGCAAATAGGGCCTGCACCAGCCGTACGAGCTCGTCGACGCTGAAGTCCACCAGGGCACCGGTCTCGAAAAGGTAGGTAATGTCCGCCATCGAGGCTTCCTGTACAAGGCATCAATACGAGTCCGACGAAGCATGCTCGTGAACGCACCAGCAACTCCGATAGATACGAGAACTTGAGCCACGAAGGCACATACGCGACAATGAACGAAGGCTGTAACAATCTCGCATCAGCATGTTACCCTACCACCAAGGACTGCCACCGACCTGCGCCGCGTCCTCCACAAACAACCCCTCCAACGAGTTCAAAATTCGACACAGCTCGCTCAGCCGGTGACTCTCCACCTCCGGGATATCCGGCAACGCCAGCACGTCCGCCAGCACCCTCGACAGCGCCGCGTCGATGACCAGCCCCAGAGCGGTGTAGTACTTGCTCTTTGCGAGCACGTTTTGCCAGCGCGCGGCGAGGCGGCGGATGTCGGAGAGGACCTCGCTCATGGCGGCCTCACACTCGTCGTAGCGGTCCTGGTCGCCGGTGAAGGTGAAGCCCTGCGCGCCGGTGGTGAGGACGGTGTCGACGGCGCGGCGTTGGGATTCCTGCCGTGGCGAATTAGGTTACAGAACTGGTATGAGCGGGAGAAGTATATACGCACGATAACGTCGTAGAACCAGCTCTCGTTGAGCACCTTCAGGCGCTGGATGCACTCTGCCCAGCGGTCGCGCACTGCCTCTGGCGGCGGGATCCGCGCGAGCTCGCGGCTCAGATACAAACACCCATTCGCGAATCGCATCCCCGCATCTGGCGCGGCGAGCACTTCACTGAACTTGACCGGGTACAGCGCGCGGAAGAGGTCCAACACGGAGGCCGAAGATTGCAGCAAGATGGTGCCCGGTGTCGACGAAGATGTCGTACTCGAAGTAGAGGAAGGCGCAGTGGAAGTTACGACCTCGCTCGCGGCGAACTCGCGCCACTCCTCGAGCACGACACGAACAAGGTCCAGCACCTGCCTCGCCCGAGTCGACACTAAGCACGTCTCCCGCGGCGGCTCCGGCACGCGCAGCTGCGACGGGCGCGTCTTCAGCTTCGTGGGCGGCGAGATCGAGATGGACGGAGTTGCTGTTGACGTCGAGGGTGGTGCCGTGGACGTTGATGGTGTGACGTTTGAGCTAGCGCCTGGAGGCGGCGAAGGCGACGAAGACAACAACGACGAAGAGAATGACGACGGAGGGGAGGAAAACGACGAGCCCGACGAAGGCTCCTTTTCCTTCTTCTTCCCCTTTGCCGCGAGCCTTTCGAGCCTGGTGGCGGGCTTGGCGGGTGAGGGGATAGGTGCAGGTTGTGGGTCGGGATCAGGCGCGGGCTCTGCCCAGGGGTCATCCCAAGCGGTGTCGTCGGCGCCGGCGCTGCCGCTGTCATCGTTGAGACCCCATGCATCCTCGGCGTCGGGAGGCGGCTCGTCGGGGCCAGGGGCGTCATCGTCGAGGCCCCAGCCATCCCCGCTGTCGGAGGGTACTTCTGGCTCGGCAGAGTGCGATTTGCCGTTCACTGGTGGTACAGGCGGTTCGTCCTGCGTTGGCTCTGCGTCGTCCTCGAGACCCCAGCCGTCCGCATCGGCCTCCTTCGCCTCTTCGTCCAGCCCCCACGCGTCTTCTGCATTGTCGAAGCCCCAAGCCTCGTCCTGCTGCGGCTCGTCGTCTGGGTGTTGCACTGGGACCACCTCTGCCGGCGCCGCATCCGTCGTCTCCCACGGGAACGTCTCGAACGTCGACTCATCCGCGACGAGCAGCACGCGGCAGCGCTCGAGTATATCCAACCGCCTCTGCCTTTCGTAGTGCCCTACCACGCCGTCCGCCCACGATTGAATCTTCCTGTCATGCGCATCGCTGCCCAACTTCCCGATGACCCATTCCCCCTCGAAGTGCGCTGCCTGCTTGGCAAGGTCGAGGAACGGCGGCAGCTGATCGAACGAGTTTGGCAACGAGGGAATGAGTAGATTGTTCAGTACACTGTCCGTGAGCGGCTTGCATAGCGTGCGCTCGAATGACGGGCCCGATGAAGGCGGGAGCGCGGTGAATATGTGTGTGTTGCAGAAGTCGAGGACGGTGGCGATGTTGTGCAGGCGAGCGGGCAGGCTGGCGCCGTCTGGAGGTGCGGGTGTGGCACGTAGAGTGACTTCGCCGGGTGTAGAGGTGATGTCGATTTCGACGTCTTGGGAAAGGACGCGCTCGATGTAGTGCGCGGTCAAATCTCGTCGAAGGAGCGAGAAGTGTTCGGCCCGAGCCGTGAAGGAGAGTGACGATACAACTTCCTGTAAGGAAAGAATTTGGTCCGACCGACGCACTGCAGTAAATTAGCTTAAGCCACAATATAATCACCACGACGCATACCTTGTACGGATGGCCGAACAGTAATGTGAGTGGGGGATACAACAATGGAGCGTGAGTATGCGTCGTTCAACTGGTCGTCCAGTCGTGTCTTCGCTTGCGAGAGAGCGCGTCGAAGGGTCTTGATGATGTCAGTGTCGTTTAGATATGTCGGCCCTTTCGTGAGCAGCTCGTCGAGTACGCCGGTAGCTGTCACTGCTGCAGGCAGCTTCCCTGCGTTTAGCAGTGCTTCGAGAACGCGCAAATGATCTCTGGATTTGGTAAGGTGAGATATTGCTTCCCAGTTGACGGCTGCGTCGGAGGCTTCTTGTGCGAGAGCGGAATGCGCGGTGAGCTTGTTGACAAGCGTCGGCAGCAAGCCAGTCTATAAAGGATTTAGTGAAGGTCGTTGCGTTGGGGGAATGGATGTACACACCTCTGGGTTGCTGATCCCGTCGTCTAGAGCGTCCACGTTCTCGCCCAGTGTCTTCAGCCGCTGCTGGACCGCGCGCGAGGTCTCGAGCTGTCGCTGGAACTCGGGCAAGTCCTTATGTATCCTGTCGTGTATGCGGCGCTACGCCAGCGTCAGTCATCTTCGTGCAGACGCAGTACACCACTCACCCGTGTCGCACCGATCGTCTCGTCGAGGTCACCGAGCCAGACGCGAGCCTGCGCGGCATCAAGCGTCTTCGCCGTCGCCTCGTCCATCTTCGTCAGTATAGCGGACGTCACATCCTGCGGCGCAGCCCTGCGCGGGAGGTGGGAGGGGACCTGAAAGGCCATGATTGTGCAGGAGAAGGTGCTGTCGTCGGCACGACGTGGGCGGGGAAGGAAAGGCGCGTCACGGACACGTGCGTGCATTGTTCTTGCCTCCCCCCTCCATTGGCGCCATGCTCGGCCGCCTCATGCTCTTTGCGGCGTTGCTGCTGGTGCTGCACAGTGGGTGAAGTTGCTGGAAGTGCTGTAGAGCGAATGCTGATGCTTCTGTAGCCGCCTACTCGACCTATGAGCGTACGTCTGCATAGTCCTTGTGCTCTCCTCCAGTCAATTGACGCGCTGCCAGACCTCTCACATCTGAAGGCTATGGGACGGCCGGAAGGCTCTCTGCCCTGGGATGTGCGTGACCCGCCCTCCTTCTTTTACACCATCTCAACTTCCTTGCAGATCCAAGCGGAGGCCTTCATCGCGCTGATCCTCGGCACACTCGGCGCATGCCTGCGCATACCACCGTTGAAGGAGATCTCATGGGCGAGCGAGATGAGGACGCGGTGCGTGCCACGTTGACTTACTCGCATATTATAGTGACAAACTCGAGCAGAACTATCGACGACTTCGACTCCCGGTTAGGCTTCGCGAGCTACGTGAACCGGGGGAAGCACATCTTCACCAAGCGATAGCAAGCCATGTACATTATATCCTTCCTAGACTGGTATACAATGGGTTCGAACATACTGCAACTCTGCCAGTGTTCCTCCAAGCCACTCAAGCTCCACACCAGCTATACAGCTCACAAAACTACTCTTAAGCCTCAATGCCCCTTCAGCAGATCTGTATACAATGGCCACGGCTTCCCCATCCACGTTGGCAGCTCCGTGTGGTCCCTGTACGCATCGTCCGTGTTTGGGTGGATGAGTACGCTCAGTGGGCCGCGGTGCACCGCGAGCCAGGAGAAAAGCGCGCCGGTTTGGTGCGGCGTGAAGGTGTTCACTTCGAACATTGCTACGGGGTGGGGACCTGCGGCGTGTGAGCTTGCATATTGAGAAGGGGCTGATGATTGAGGAATGGGTGCGACAACTCACCGACAGGCTTCTCCCAGAACGTATAGATGCGCAACTCAGGAAACTCGCGACGAATACGTTCGTGGAGCTCGCGCGCGAACTGCAGTTGAGCGGGTACGGATTGCATGTAGTAGACTGGAAGGTGCGTTAGTCACCGTTTGATCCTATCCTTCTACCTCCCCACTCACTATGAAAGTCGAAGCCATTGTTATTCTTCGTGATCGGCTCCACAAACTCCTCGTACGCTCTTGACCGTACCCTTGGCTCGAGGTTCGTCAAGGACTTCCCGTCTGCATTCCTCGTCGTGGGTAGGGGGATGCTCGTGTCGATGCCCTCCAAGGGGGAGGGGTAAGTGGTAGGCGCGGGGTTTGCGGGGAGGCGGGAGGACATGTTTGTGGTGAGTGGGGTGGTGGTGGCGGCGATGGGTAAAAGGGGCGCGGCTGTTGATAGTACTTGATGGAACGGCTCTAGGACGGTCCTCTGTGAGTACCCGCCTCCGCTTCGATACCCCCCTCTTATACGCTTCCGCATGACATGCCCTTGGTCATGGCGCGATCTCTGACGCGCTCGTGCTTACGATGTCTTTACATCGTCGAGGAATCCTTACTGAAGCGGTCAATGTGAACAAGGATGGCTTTCTACCGTGCTCAACATTCAGCAGGCGACTTTACCATAGTCTCGCTTAGGAATCGGCGGCTAGCGGCACGGCTGGCTCGCAATCAAGGGAATGTTGAACTTCCGGCACCTGCCGCGTAACCACGTGCGCAGAAAATTTCCAAATCTCCCTGCCGCAACCTCTGACTCCTGTCTGTTGCCCCTCCCCCTCCCAAAGCCCTCACCTCAACAACTCTACCGCCAACGGCCACGGCTTCCCCATCCATATCGGCAACTCCGTATGGTCCCGGTAGTCGTCCCCCGTGTTGGGGTGGATGAGCACGCTGAGCGGCCCGCGGTGGACGGCGAGCCAGGAAAATAGGACGCCGGTGGTGTGCGGGGTGAAGGTGTCGACTTCGAACATGGCGACGGGGTGGGGACCTGGGAGGGGTTGGACAGTTGAGAAGGAGCAGGATAACTGGAGGGAAGGCCATGAAGAAGGAGGGGGAGGCGCACCTATCGGCTATTCCCAGAAGGTCTTGATGTGAAGCTATGATGGGTTGGTGAGGGAAGTGGTTCTGGTAGGTGATCTAGGGAGCGCACCTCAGGGAACTCGCGCCGTATGCGCTCGTGCAGTTCGCGCGCAAACTGCTTCTGTGCGGGGATGTTCTCCATGTAGTATACTGCGCGGTGCGTGAGCATGCGCAGCTCGCTCTTCCTGCCGCGTTCTCGTGCGAGCCCCTGCTCGTGCAACAACTCACTTTGGAAGTCAAAGCCTGCCTTCGTTATCGGCTCGACGAACTCCTCGTACGCCCGAGACCGCTCAGTCGGCGGTAGGTTCGTCAATGACTTGCCATCCGCGTTCTTCGTAGTAGGAAGAGGAGTGGAAGTATCGATACCCTCAAGGGGAGACGAGTATGCGGTAGGAGACATGGTGGGAGTAATGCGATAGTGGACGAAGGTGGCTGTAGCACGGCTCTCCTGGTCCACATGAACCTACTAGCAGGGGAGGGAAAAGGTCGAGGCTCAAATGCCTCTCGGTCTCCCCTTATATACAGCTCTGATCTCCTGTCTAATGCCATTCCTCCGCTCATGGCGCAATGCGGGTGACCCGGTGATGTGTGTAGATGGTCTGTACTTGTTAAGCACCTTCGGGAACTGGACCATCTCCGAAGATGGCATCAGAGACATTCTCACTATCTACTGTCCCGAGATCTATCAACATAAACATTCATCGGCGGCCAATGCGATGGTCGATCAACAGCGATCCGCTCGTACCATCAGGAGACGCCGGTGACTTGATCAGCACAGCCACACACTTCGGCTTCTGCCGATGCATAATGAACGTGCGGAAGCAGATTGAGCGGCTCTTCCTCCCACATCCATGTCGAAGTTGGGAGATCCCTGGCTTCGGCTTCATATCCCTGTGTAATCTGAGCACTGGAAGGTCGTCTACTTCCAAATGCGCCGGTCAACTCTGCGCGGGATCTCTTATCTGATTGGTCGACGCGTATATTAGCCCTATTGTTCGTTTTGATCCCCGGATGGAAGGGCCCTTGTTAGTCACGGAGATGGCCCACGAGGCGGCGCCTGTGTATGATCAGCGCGGACCGCGTCCCGGATGGCCATGGCACCCTGCACATAAGGGCAAGCAGCGTGCTTAAACCACCACCAATCTCTTGCCTCTCACCACCACCGACCCAGCACTCAGCCAGCACCCCAGCAAGCCATCTGCAGAACCGCAAGCGCCTTGCCACACCAGCGATCGTCTTTCGAGCACCCAACAACAACAACAACAACCTACTCTACCGCCTCGTCGTCAAGCGCCCCCGAACACAGCCCACCATGTTGGCCGTCGAGAACATGAACCACTTCCCCTACCCAAGCATGGAGACGTATGCGCCCATGCACTACGCCGGCTACATGCCTGCTATCGTGCGTCTACATGTCCTCTATTCGACGATCGCCCTCACTGACGCGTCGAATCACAGACCACGCTCCCCAAGCCCGCTCCCCGGAGCCGCCCCCCGCCCAAGGCCAGCCGCGTCCGCCTCACCCTCCCCAAGCACCCCGACCCCGAAGACCCCAAGCCGACGCGCCAGAGCAAGCGCGCTGGGTACGTTCCCCACTGCTTGTTGTCGTCATCATCACCGTGACTCACCCTTGCCACACCAGACCTGACTACCAAACCGCCCGCGCGAAGCGCGCCGAGAAGAAGGCCAGAGCCTACATTGAGTGAGTGTATGATTTATGGCGCGCGGACTATGGGTAGCTGACGCCCATTCTAGCACCCTCGAAGGAGCTAGCACCGCGGGTCTGCGCACCCGCAGGCAGGCCGAGAATGAGATAGGCCGCATCATGCGCTCTGTGAACAAGACGATTGAGGAAGCCGCGGCTGGCGGCTGCCCTCCTCCCCCACCCCCTCATGGACGCCTCAACACTGACGATGAAGAGTATGTCTTCCTCCCTTGCCACTGCTCATTCTCGATGGCTCACCCACATACAGAACCCCCGAATCCGTCGAGCGCAAGCCGCTGAAGATCAAGATCCCCAAGTCCGCCATCGTCAACTACAACAACAGAGTGCGGGAGATGGACGAGCTCACCTCGCTGCTCGGCGGCGCCTGCGCCGTGCAGGAGAACTACGACATCGACTCGCTCACGCGCGTCACCGAGCGCAGTCTGAATGTCGGCAGTGGCGAGAGGCTTGTCAAGCGCGTCTGCTTTGAGGAGGAGCTGCAGCCGCAGCCCTCGCCGATGCGCCAGATGGAGATCGAGGTGGAGACGAGGATGTTCTTGGCCGAGATGGAGGAGCAGCTGGGGATGAAGAAGACGAAGCCCTCGGTGGCGGCGGTCCCGCTCGCGCAGCCGGTCGAGGTTCACTCGCAACGGGTTGATGCGCCGTCCATGACTGTCGACGCGCAGTCCATGGCTGTCGACGCGTACGCCATGGTCGACGCGGACGCCATGGCCATCGACGTCGACTCCAAGACCGCCCGCAAAGCCGCCTACCGCGAAGCCAAGAAGCAGGCGCGCCGCGAGAAGCAGGCCAGCAAGAAGCGTGAGGTACAGAACCGCCGGACGCTGCGGGCCCTCGAGGGGCAGCAGCAGGCTCTCGAGGATATCCTCCTCGACGTGCCGTCGGATAGGGTGCTTCCGGTCGATGAGAGGCTGGTGGTCGACGATGGCAGGGCGGACAACAAGTACTTGGTGGAGGACACGGCGGACTACAACGTTGTCGGCCCTCGGCGCCACCGTCTCGCGGGTAGGATGAACGCGAGCCCGTACGGTGCTGCGCTGGCGGAGAAGCGCTCGAGGCGCAACTACTAGGTGTCTTCGCCGACGTCGACCTCCACCCTCGCGACACCCACGACCCTCAACCTCATCGCATTCTCGCCTCCCAGGACTCCTCGCATCATTCCCAAAGCCCATTGTACTACCACCGCTCGGCATTTACTCATCGTCTGCATCCTGGTCCGCTCATAGTCCTCATCTCATTCTGGTCTCGTCTTCATCGGCTCACTCTTCATTATCCCCATCCCATCCCAATCTCCCTCATCTCTATCTTATTGGTTTTCGTGCTCTTGTTTCTTTCTGGTATCGTGTACCCACGTGTACACTAGGTGTCTATACTCACACAGATACATATACTTGGTGATTTGGTTACAAGACTGACTGTATCGTTACTGAACGGACTGTATCGATATACTTAGGATCCACATAGTTACCCGGATCGTCTGAATAGTCTCATCCTGGATCGTCTGGATAGTCTCAAACTACGATTTTCTCGTCACGGAATGCCACTCTGCCTGCCGCACTCGAATCCGTCTTGTGTGACTTACCCTGAGCTGGGCTCCGACGCCTCTCAAGACCAAGTAACCAGTACGCGCCGGCGCATTATTCCAGAGAAGATGATACAACATGTTCATAGCGCGACTAAGTATACGAGCAAAGCAAGAAAACAGCGAGACGAGGGCATACAGTCCATGTCCACAGGGCAACACGATGTTACCAGGACAGATCTAATTTACCTTCAGCGACGCCGACGACGAAGAGACGATCGAAAGACTCACCCTCCGCAGTCTTCCTCCCTCGTCGTGTTTGGTTGATGATGCTCGTGTTATGCTTGTCGAGCATGTCAACATACGGCTTAAGTGAAGTCTTCTCGTAGTCTTCCACACGCACGATTAGCATCGCGCCCATCGCAGAAGACTCGCCATACTCACCATGCTCCTTCTCCTCCCCCGCCTTATCCCCCGCCCCCACGCCTTCCTGCCCGCTCGCCCTATCAAGTTCCCGCAACAGCTGCTGCACCGTCGGCACCGCCATCGGGTCGAACGAGTCGATCTCCGCCGGATTTACCGGCACGCAGACGCGCCCCGTCTTCGGGTGGATGCAGAAGGGTGCCTTGAGCAGATGGTTGCGGTGCTTGGAGACCTCGGTATCGAGGCGGGGGTAGGTGTATTGGAGGACGATGTCCTCGAGGGCGTTGGTCATGATTGTCTGGGGGGTGGAAGGTCAACAAGAGTAATGAGATAGACCGCACAGCACCACAGATCACGCAGCGCCGATACGTACCCGTTCCCTGGAATTCCTCTCATATTTCTTCATCTCCTTCCGGATGTCCTCCCACTTGTCGACCGAGGACCGATGCGGGTCGTCTTGCCACCGCTCAGTGAGGGTGGCGACAATGCTGCTGTCAGGGATGAGTTTGAGTAGGATCTCGTAGCCCTCCTCAGAGGCGAAGCAGTCCTGGTCTTCCAGGATGAGGTCGGAGAAGATGGTCTTCAGCTCGTCGATGGCGTCCCTGCGCGTCGCGTTAGACGCCAAGTGTGAGTTACGATCGCAGCCATGTCACCTTATGCACGCAGGCACTGGTCGGTTGCCGATACGAACATTAATCTTCTTCCCCTCCCCTTTACTACTCGGCGGCACGACCGACAACCAGTTCACAATCGCCCTCCGCTGATCGTCCGTAAGTTCCATCGCCTCCTGGTCCGAGATCCACAGATGGATACCGCGACGACCGGAGTACACCCACAGCAGGTGCTCATAGCCATATTGATCCCGGATAGCCGCGTCAATAACCTTGACAGCGGCGGTGATGAAGCCCCAGCACCGCCTACAGATGTCGGCGCCAGAACAGCAGGTGCGGACGGGGTCGTAGTCCGTCATGTCGATATCAAAGACGAGCTCGCGTTTCTGGGGGGTGAAGTTGCCGGGGCGGAGGAGTTTGCGGTCGCGGGGCTGGGGGAGGGGGTGAAGGTGAGCAAGGATAGCAGAGTGATCTGGGTAAAGACGTACCTTCGCCGAATACATTGGCCCGATCTCAAAACGCGTCGGATTCATGGCTAGCACTTGCTTCTTCATGTCATCGGCGTTGTTGAAGGACTGGTAGCGAAGGTACGCGTCATTCGAGAGCGTAAAAGCGAACTCGCGCTGCGTGAAGAGGGGCGTCGGGACGTGATCCTGGTTCAGCCAGTTGAAGATGGCTTTGAAGGGGTATAACCGTTTGTAGAACGTGCGCATAATCTCCTGCGAGAGCTCCTCGACATCTGGGACGGCCATGGTGGGCAGCGAGTGCAGGACAAGATGGAAGCTGAGAGCAAGACGCGTCGTGATCGTGATTTGCGGACGCGAGGCGCGCTTGTCACGATCACGGGACCCAGTTACGCGGCAGACACGGACCAGTGACATGTTGAACTTTCTTGCTCCCTCCCATCATGTCGCATCATCGGAGCTGTAGTGTCTCAATCAGAGTGGGTCTGGTGCTCTCTGCTCAGGGATCAGAGGCTCCTCCATAATCAGAATTACTGTCCATGCCGAGCACCATGGTCCTCTCTGCAGGTCGGTACCCCGACTCACACCGCTGCGATCAGCAGCAAGTCAAACGTTTCCAAACTCCCGCCTGCACGGCCATACTTGCCGAAGGTCTTGTGGCCTTCAGCCACCTCCCTCTGTGCCTCAAATCGGAGCGACGTCCAAATTGCTTCTGCCCCAATGTTTCGACTATTCTCGGAAGTCCATATCCGTCACAAGGGCAGTAGTACACTGCTCGCAAACAGCGCGAGAAACAATGATTCTCTGGTAAAGATTGCTCACAATGTCGCTCAAGCAATCATCCTTCCTTTGCTTGCGCTGGCTCCCACTCATATCTGCTCGACGAAGACATCATCTTTGAGATAAACGCAGCAGGCAATGGCCCACGAAGGAATCGCGGGAATATCACTCAAAATGACCGTCTCTCGAGCGCTCCTTTCGCGCGTTTCGCTACTGCTCGGTACGCAGAGCTACGCGACGTCATGGACGCTGGCCCCTCCGCGGAACATTTCCTTTGCAGTCACGGACCCCACATCTTTGAACTCCCTGAAGCAAGAGCCCATTATGATTGTGGTGCTGCTGTTGTCCGATGGGTACTCCCCCACCGCCTCGTTGAGGACGCTCAGTCATAGCAGTTAGAAAATCGGGCCTTCAGAGCAGGTATAAAGGGTGACCTGGGTCTGCGTCTGTCCTCATCCTCTTAGGTATCTTTCCTCTGAGGTAAATACGACTTCTCCAATTTTTCCTTCACTCGCTCACCGTCGTATAGCTCGACATTCGCACTTCTGCATCCTCTGCTACCTACTCGCCTCACGAACTGCCAGGTGAGCTCCCTTTCTCGTTGCTACGAAGGTCCAGCGCTCATACCCTCCCCAGCCATGTTCGCCACCAAGCTCTTCCTCGCCATCGCACTGGCCGCCACCACCGCCCTCGCCGACGACTACGTCAAGTGCGAGACCACCGACGGCAGCCCCAACCTCAAGGGCTGCCAGGACCTCTCCACCGGCTTCCAGCAGGGCGCCGACCCCGACTGCGCGCAGCCCTACGGCTCCGGCTGCCGCACGACCGCGTCGAACAACGAGGGCTGCGCGTTCGTGCTCTGCATGCAGGACGGCACGGAGCCGCAGTGCTCGGACCCGGCGAGCGCGGGCAAGTTCACGCAGCAGCTGATAGACCAGTGCGGGAAGGACGGGAAGGTCGGCGGATACTATCACCAGGATTTGGGCGATGGGCATTACTTGAACTACGAGTTCACGAACCCCTAAGAAGGGAGGATACGATATGATAACAGTGCATGGGGACGTATTTATGACAAATGATTCGTACCACAATGAACTACGCATATTCCACTTTGGTGCGCTCCATCTCGCGACGTGTTTGAACTACGAGTTGGGGTGTAGGTATCAATAGCCTCTCGAGTCCACCAGCGCTCTGATAAGCTGGTTTGAACAGTAGAAAACACACTCGTCTGCTTCTCAGAGAATCGTACGAAGGCTGACAGTGCGCTGTGGCAGCAGAATCTGGAAGACAATATTTGGTCACGTGCTAAGTTCAGGTTCGGCTCCGAACGAGACGGCCTTTGCCGAAGTCGCTCACAGACGTTCGACATTCACGACGAGCTCAGTCCCTCGTCAATCATTTTCAGCAAAGCAGCTGTCGGATACATGCGGCCGTCCCGTGGAAGACAACCTCTTCTTTCCAGTCATCATAAGTACGTAGAGTTCTAAAGCGTAGCAATGCAGATAACATGTGTGCAGTTGGATGCAGGGGGGTATGCAGTTGGATGCAGATGAGCGTATACAAGATGCGATGCGAGCAGTTGATGCTAAGAATACAGTGGGTTGCGGTGGCGTGGCAGCAGACGAGAGTCGAGAGCGATGAGGGTGAGCAGTGTATGGGAAGGAAGGTAGGGTAAGGGAGGGTAAGTGGGAGGCGAAAAAGGGGTAGGGTGGTTGGGGTGCAGGAGGTCGAGGATCGAGTAGATGAGTAGATGAGGTACTAGATTAGGTAGATGGGAGGAGGGGAAGCAACGGGAGAGTTAACGGGGGTTGAACCCGAACTGCCACGCAATAAGTATAATACAAGAGCCGGGTTTGAGGTCAGAGTACTAGGAGATGAGTAGGGTGAGGATGGGGGTTCTGTGACCGCTCATGGCGGGTCGTGGCCGTTCATACGGTCTGAAGTTGGTCATGGCGGTATGGCGACCCCTCTGGCGCGCGTTTCGGAAACGCTCTAGTGCGCGCTACCGTTAACGCCGTTGGCCTTCGCCTTGGCCGCGTACTCCTCGCCGGCCTTGAAGAACGGCTGGAAGATAGCGTCGCGGTCCTTGAAGTCGTTGTGCACGACGTTGACGAGGTACCAGGTGTCCATGATCTCGGAGATGAGCTTATAGGAGGGCGAGTCGGGGCCGTAGACCTTCGCCCATTGCGAACCGAGCTCGTAGGCTTCGTCCTATGGCCGATGAGTTACACTAAGTAGTCGACAAGGATAACCATGACGCTCACCTTCCACGCCATGAAGCTCACAGCCTCAACGATGGTCGGCTGGACGATCTCCTTTCCAGGGAACACTCCCCAGGTGACAGCATTCGGCCCATCCGAGCGCGTGTTCGTGCGCAGGTCGCCGTTCTTGTTGATCACGTAGTACGTGATGTTGCTGTCTTGCTCGATGTACGTGAGAAGTAGGGACAGGAGCGTCGGGCTGACGAAGAACTCGAGGTAGGCCTGTGGGTCGATGCGTCAGCGCTGGCTTCCAACACCCGATTCACATCGGATTGGGCACGCAGTGGGTTGAGATGCAACGACGAACCTTCTGATAGACATAGCCATTGCTGGGGCCCCAGCCAAAGACGCGGTCGTCGCTGCGCGCACCGTTGACGGCGGGCTGTGAGTTGATGGTGAGGAAGCCGAGCTCGTTCATACGCGCGAGCTGCTCGGAAATGGTCGTCGTCTCCGCGCTGAGCTCCTGTTCAGACCACGGCAAGGCCTTGACCTCGCCCCGACACCGCTTCGCGAAGAGCTTGCAGATGTCCTCGACCGTCTGGGGCTCGCCCCACAGTCGGTGCGCGTCTTCCATCTATCGGGGTCGCGTGAGCAGGATAGAGGCGCATGATGAGTGGGTTTACTCACGCTCTGGTGCAATGACACTCCGTAGCCGTCGAGTTCACCGTAAGCAGGACTACGCGAGTCACCGAATCGACCGTTGGGGTACTCGTCCCAGTTCTCGGTACGGGAGATGTAGGACTTCGTGCGGTTGGCCCAGAAGATAGGGCGGATGCTCTCTTGACGGCGGCTTGGGGTAAGACACTGAAAGAACGATGAGCAATGATTAGAGGAGAGCGCTATCCCAACGTACTTGTCTCCACGGCAAGGGCTTGATTGTCTCTACCCTCGGGACGAGCTGCAGCTCCTCAAGGAGCATGCGCGTCGCCTTCTCGAGGTTCATGGTGTAGAAGTGAAGGCCACGAATACCGATATCCTCTGAAAGAATCCGCCTGCACATCTCGGCGACAAGCTTTGTGCCAGTGGCGCGGACCTTCTCATCGTCATTCTTCACAGGCTCTAGTGCGTCCATGAAGTGCTGGGGAATGATCGTCTTCGCGAGGCTGGTGGCGCGCAGGAAGCCGTTCCATGTCTGGATGGGAGCGATGCCAGGAACGATAGGGATAGTGATGCCGGCTGCGCGAACCTCGCGAACCCAGTCGATGAAGATCTGCACGTCGTAGAACATCTGAGTGAAGATGAAGTTGACGCCGGCATCAATCTTCTCCTTGAGCCACTTCATCTCCTGGTCGCGCTCCTCCTTCGGCAGCGTCATGTGCTGGGGGAAGCCAGGGACAGCGATGTCGAAGTAGTCGCCGTACTCGCGGCGGATGTGGCGCACGAGGTCAATGCCGTGGACGAAGCCGCCTTCGGTGGCCTCCCACTCGTCCTTGCCAGCTGGTGGGTCGCCCCGCAGAGCCAAGATGTTACGGCAGCCGTGCGCTTTAGCGTCCTGTTGTCTGCTTAGCCGCATTCGGCAGGAACAATACGAGGCGACTCACCTTAAGCGCGATGTCCACCTTCTCCTTCGGCATGTTCGTGCACGTCAGATGCATGCATGTCTCGATGCCGATGAGGCCCTGGCAGGTCTTGACCATCTCCGACGTAAGATCGGACGTCCTTCCCCCCGCATTCCTTCGTGCCGCAGTCAGCACGCGCTCACCTGCGCATGAGTTTTGCAACGCACCATGTTATATCTATGAATTCTGGACCCAGCCCGCGCATGCGCTCTATCCGATCCAGCAAGTTCTGCAGTCCCTGTGAAGACATGAGGTTCAATCGCGGTAAGCATGCGGAGGCGTGCTGCGCTGACCTGAGCAGTCCGGGGAGGGAAGTACTCAAAGGACCACCAGACTTTGTCGTCCTTGGCCGACTGCTGGATCTTTTGGCTGATTTTCATAATGAACCCAAGGGAAACAGGGAAGGAAGTGGTGGGGGAGGAGAACAAGGTGCGCGCAGCCCAGAATAGCACGATCTCATACCCCGGCAGTCACCGTGCCGATCTCGGACTTCCCCGTCCGAAGTCGAACAATGCGCACGTGGCATGCTTGAGTGCAAAATGTGAGGGGTATGGCTCTTATTATCGGGTGGAAGTATATATGAGTGCAACAGCAAAATATAATTTGCGGAGCGCGGGTCTCTTCAAGAGTTCAGGAAAACATTGTGCGACATCGCGTGGCCAACGCTCACCCTTGCACTCCTTCGTGTCTTCGAGCTTCAGCGCATCGGCACGATTAAGTAACTACTTGAATTCAAGTCCGAAGTCTGTGTTCATGAACGAAAGAAGTATCGCATAGTCTACAAGAAAGGCTCAAGCAGTGGAATCCCCTTGCGCATCGCGATCAACCTTCACGAAGTACGCCAGGTAACCGTACGTGTGCCTCATGTCAGACTGATTGCCATAAGCCACTGAGGAGCGTTCGTCAGCATTCTCAGGCAGCGATATATGTCCCGAGTGGCACACATACTATAGGTCTGCTTGACGCTGTTGAGCGAGGCGAGCTGGGTAACCCAGAAGGCTTCCGTCGAAGGAATGACTGGCGCCGGCCTTCCCACCCGGGACCAGTACTCCCGTGTCAGGGGCTTCGACCCCATTGAACGTATACGCTCACCACCCTCGTTGTCGACGAGTTCTCGAGAAAAAGTGGTGTCCTCCACCGCATCGATCTTGGTGAAATGGTTCACCGCGACACACACATGGGCCTCACGAGGCCTATAATAGTCCATCCAATAGGTCTCGGACTCGCCGTCGGTGTCGTCATCTCGATCGTCCTCAGATGAGTGATCAGTGTTGTAGTAGTGCGCCAGCATATCCTCGTAAATCTGGTCATCCTTGTATACGAGCATCAACTTGCCTACGATGCCGAGCGACTGGCAGACGCGCACGACCATGGCGTCCCCGCCCTTCAAATGCGGCAGCAAGTCCTGAAGATTTGCCTTCTTGTCCCGCTGAAGTGGATACATAAAGCGCAGGCCAAAAGCCAAGTAGCCGCCCTCCGGCAGCAACTTCGGGTCCTGCAAAAATGTCTGCAATGCCCCACGTAGCCGCGCGTCCTGATCCTCGACGCTACGCGGGATAGCGGGCAATGCATCTGGTCGCGCGCCACCACTCGGAAGGCCCTCGAAGTACAGGTTATAGGTTAAGGTGATGCGGTGCCCGGAGGTGACGGGGAGGACCTCGTGCTCGATGTCGCCGAAAAATGCGATATAGGCAATCTTGCTGGAGGACTTTGCGAGCTCGGCCGCGTAGTCAAAGGTCCACTCCCTCCCATCTTCGCGAAGGATCAGCGCGCCGCCCTCGTGGGGCGTGGGGAAAATGATGACAAGCGAGCCAAACATGCGCTCGCTGCGTGGTGTGTCCTTGTGCGGCTTGAAGAACGAGCCTTGCTCTTCATAGGAGAGATGAGCATCGGTACACGAGAAGGGTGAAGACAGCGCACCGTATACGTTGAGCCTATACACTTCATGCACGATTTGCTTCGTGCTCTCCGCGCCCTCTTGCAGAAGCTGATCGCGGATCGTGTTGATCAAGCCATAGCCCGCGGGCTTAAGCAGAGAGGCAAACATGGTGTTGTCAAGCGTGACGGCCTTGCGATAAGTCTCGTCAAGGACGTCCTGCTGATTGAGGCCAAACGTGGCGGGCTTGCATGTGGCGACCAACGAAGCCAGCTTCTCCTCGGTCGATTGACCGAGGTATATGCAGCTGAGGGAACAGAAACGAGGTCAATTATGGGGTTGTGAAAGAGATGAGAAAGCGCGCACTCAGAAACATGCTGATCTCCAAAGTAGAGCTTGAGGTCGACGTCAGGTACATCGAGCGTGCCGCTGATGAAGGGAGGTCGCTTGGATATGGCGTCGCGCACGGCGAGCAACTTCGCGTCGAAGTCTTGAGACATATTTCTGTGAGTTTAGTGACGGAAGTCGATGAAGGAGGTCGCTTGTGGAAGATCGCCCTCGCTGCGCCCTTATAACGAACCCTACCCAAGCGAGTCACCACTTGGCATGAGGCTACGGTACCGAGCCCTGCGCTTGTGGACGTAAACATCCCTCAAGCTAATCGGCTTAAAGGTGTGAGATTTTCGGTGCCGAACGGCTACGTCGATAACGATGCGGATCGATTGTCCCGACAAAAGGTGCACCAGTCAAATGGAACGGTTGTTGCCTACGGACACAAAGTAAATACACGCATAATAAAGAATATCTTACAGTACATCTCAAGCAAAGTCCGCGAAGAAGAAATCCTGATCTCGCGGCGGCTGCCCTGCTGACAGTCCGCTGGGTATATCCACCATCTCGCCGGACAGGTCTGCAAGGGCATGCATCAGCAGCGAATTCCAATAGAGCCCAACGGCCAACGTGCCACTCACTCAACAACTGAATCTTGAGCCCAATGTCCGTCAACGCATCCACGAAACCCGCTGTCTCCTGCGACGCCACATGCCCCGCATCCGGGCGCACCATGTTCAGCCCATCCGTCCAGTCTGCCCACCGGCTAGCATCGGGCGCGATCTGGTCTGCTAGCGAGCCCGCGTGCGCATTGAGCAAGGAGAACGAGAGCGGGGACGCTTCGCCTGGCGCTGGCCCGTCGTGGAGGTGTGCTGGTGGCGCACAGGTGCCGGTCGCGACCTCGCTGATGGCGGAGATGTCGATGCGCTCAGGTAGGTCCTCGAGCCCGGCACGAACGGGGAACTTCACGGCGCTATCGACGTAATGGAGGTATCGGAGGCCGTTGTCCTTGTACAAGAGTCAACAAGCTATCGTGAGTTGCATTGAAGAGTACTTACGATCCGCATGAAGCGCCATGGCCTTGCTGGTCTTCGCGACGACTCTTTCGAGCCTGACGAGCCGACAGGTACGCCGTTCATGAACCAGGCGCCCTGCAACAGACACTGTATCCGCTGCTGCCGGACGAACTCGAAGGACTCCTTGTAGAGTTTCTTCTTCAGATTCCTATGCATCAGAGTGTCAGCGATCTGGATCTTGCCCACGGACCGACGTATAGCATACCTGACCGGAACCTTGCTCAACAGGTCATCCTCAAGCTCGAGCTCCTTCATTTGCCGATCCCGCACGGCACGGTATTCTGAGTCGAGGAAGTCCCGCTCGACCTCGTTCCACGAGCGCGTGTTCTCGTCTCGCAACGCGACCTTGATCCTGAGGCAGATTGTTAGCCCCAAGCCAGGGTCTCCACCGGCGACGACGACAGGGCCCAGGGCGATGAGGCACGGACCCTTGCAGCGGAGATGAATGCCTCACGGCGGCGACAAGGGTCCCGCAGCGTCGATGAGCACGTTCACAACGACCAGGACCGCGACCAAGCCACAGCGGCGACGAAGGCCTCGACGCCAGTATAACGAAGGGAAATGTCACTTACTGGCTGCGCACCAAGGCAACAATACGGTTGAAGTCGTCCCGGGAGGCGTTGCTATCGGTCGCCGCGCCACTCTCCGTCCACATGCGAATGAAGAAGTGCGTCGCGAGCGCGTGCACGCGTGCAAAGTCGAGGAAGAAGGGCTGGAAAGCGGTTGAGGTGGAGTCTGTAGGGATTATAGGTTGTGAGCTGAGAGTTATAAAGAGCGTAAAGATCAAGCAGAGACGAGGAAGGTCGAAAGACGAAGGAAAGAGCGGGCGCCGCCCCGAAGTGCGCCAACCTCTCCAAGCGCAACAGTATCGGAACACAGCGCGCGCCACTTCGGCGTCGGCTGAAACGGCAAAAGGAGGTTCTCACTGACATCCGGGTGCGAAGATGGCCCAGTGTTCCGATAACAACTCCACGACTTCGTTAGACGCCCGCGCGATAGGGCAACGGCGCTCTTGTGGGCGGCTAAGTTGTTCATAGACAAGCTTGGGGGCAAGTAAGTACAGTGTTGTCGACGTTAAAAGAGTGTTCCAAGTCGCACCTTGGAGAACTCTGGATTGCTCTGGACAAAGTTGCGCTGCGAGACGTAGCGTCGGTGCCTTCGTTTACCAGTGTCGTAACTCAGACATCACTCACCAAGCACTCCAATCCCAAAACGCCCACATCATGGAATCCCGCCGTCACGTCCTCGCTCTCGAAGCCCAGCTTCCGCCACTTCAGTGGCTGCCCCATCTCATCCTTCTCTTCCTCAAGCTTGCTGTTTAACCAGATGAACTTCAGCGCCGCCGCGTGCCCCGGCTCAGCGCCTGGCTCAACCATGGTCATCTTCTTGCGGTTCGTGATGCGGATGATGTTCGCCTGAAAATCGAGGATGCTGGAGGACAGGTCTTCCATCGTGTGCGAGGCCATGAGGCGCTGGGGGTAGAGGTGAGTGAGGGCGAGGCGTTGGGCCAAGGGAGGTACGCACGACGACTGCCTTTCGGATGTTCAGCTTCTCGAGCTCGGTGACGAACTCTTCCCAGCGATCCTCCTTGGCATGCGCGAGCAGGGAGTTGATCAGCATCATGCTATTGTCATGTGAGTTAGACGGGCGAAAGGGAACATCGCACTATGCTCACCTATGCAGCGCCATCGCCGTATCCGCACTCCCCAATCTGCTGATCACGGTCTCCAACAGTCCTCTCTGCTTCCGCATCTGCTCGAACACGATCGTGAATCCATACCGGTCGACTGATCCAGGCGGTATTACGACAGGACTACTGGTCGAGCCCGCCGACAGGGTGTTCGCCGGATCAGCCTCGACGAACTTCTTCAGGATCGCCGTGGCAGGGCGGCAGACGTTGATAAGGGATTGTGGGGAGGAGAGGATCTGGACAACTTTGTAGATGAAGTGCTCATCGAGGGTGTCCCAGCCGTAGTCGAGTTCCATGAGGTTCTGCATGGCGGTGAGGGCGTACTGTGCTCGAGGTGAGTGAAAGGAACACGGAGGAAAGGCACAGATGCGCACTGCGAGTGTGTTGCCATGCGTAGCGTATATGGTCTCAACGAGATACATGACGCCTCCGGAATTAATGAACTCGTGCGCGAACTCTTCCTCCTGAATAAGATTGCGTTGAGATTGACTCGCATATGAAGCACGCCACGCACCTTGATATGCTTCTGAAGCGAGAAGAGGGAGAACTTGAGGTTCTTGTCATCGCGCTCGCTTAGCTTGTGAGCTATGTCCCTCGCCTCGCGCTTGGGCGACTTCACGAGTCTGGTGATGATCGGTTCCGTCAGCTCTGAGTCCCGGTCGAGAAATAAGAACACGCACTTGAGATTTGCCTTCCCTTTGATCATCTTCCGCATGTTATCGTTCGTCACCAGCTCGTCCATGTCGCTCCTCAGCGCGAAGTTGGTGGGGGGCTCATCGAGCTTGAGGTTTAGGACCAGCTGCTTCACGACGTCCGCCACGGTCAGCGTTGGGTCAATGCGCGCGCGCACTTGGTGTCCCTCTGGAGTGAGGACGGTGTTGGTAGGAACGAGTGCTTTCTGAGGCGCCTTGGCGTGCGCGGAGGAGCCCATCGCGGAAGTCTCGCCGGTGGACATTGTAGCAGGTATGGTGCCTGTGTTCAGCTATGAGTTGATAGATCTTCAGCCGCATGGATACGTGTGGCGAGACGAAGATAAGTCCCCCTTGTCGCGTTTGTCGTGCAGGGGATGCGTAGAGGCACATCGTCCGCAGATGGAGGGGAACGATGAGAGAAGTACAGGACTGCCTGATTGCGGGTTTCTCAGGAAGCAGTACTGTGAGCAGCCTGACTGGCAGAAAGTGCTCGAGGATGGCATTCGAAGTCAAGAGGGGACTGAAGATGAAGGGGACCACGCACAGCCGGAATCGCGGTAGGAGGCGTTACGTTGCTGTCCTAGGTTTCCGAAGGCTATGATCGTGCTGAATGTCAAGGGGAGGACACGAGTGCTGTTCTCGACGACGGTGGTGGGAGTAAAGGAAGGGCTATATCAGACGGGTATATGATAAGTATTCTGACTGCTGGCGAGATGATGGCAAGGCGCAAGAGGAATAAGCGTGGGAATAAATCGCGTCCTGCCTCCCTCCATCATCCTTGTCTAATCTAATCATTCGGTTGTCCAAACGAGCTGACGCTATTGAATCTGCCTTAAGTTTAATTAGCGGGTATAGGACGCGCTGTTGCTATGCACTGACCGGCCGGGATAACGTCTTTACGCACTGGACGAAAACCGCCTTGAAATTGCTAGACTGGAGAGTCCTGCTCCCCGTCCGGGGGATGCTTTGCATAATCTCACCGTGGTATCCTTCTCGAACCAGTGCCGTCTCCAGCGCATACTAGGTATGGTCCTCTCTCTATCTCCGCTAGCCGTCATTAAATTTTACAGAAAACATGCGCAGACCTAGTTGCCGCGGGACCGCGTCGAAAGCGCCCGATACGCGAGGATGAAGTGTCATTCAGTACCCCCTTCTACGAGCAGACAACCATAGAATGAAAGTCCCCCACCCCGATGGCCCGCCAATCGCCCGGCGCTCGCATACGGTCCTGAGGTTGTCTGTCGTCCTCCCAGGCCGTACTGCTTCGTGGCAAGCTTCATCCGCCCGCGAAGCGCGCGCATCCAACTGTCGCCGCCGCAGTCGCAATTGGTCATTGCAGGCAAACCGGCTGGGGCAAGGGGTTTTGGCTGAATACATGTCTGCAAATTGGTGCTTCCATCGTCCGTTGACGGTTGGCCACTGCCCCTCACACTTTCGCCGACGCAGAGCAAAGCATCGTTTCCTGTCATCCTCCACGGCGATCGTCAAGTCATGGTCCGTCCCGCCTATAGGCCTATGCACCCCGCTGCCCGTCGCACATTTTATCGCCACAACGATGTCGTCGCTCTCGCGCTCCGACCGTCAACCATGCATATCTTCTCGGTCGCTCGTGTCTGTTGACCGCAATTCGTGCAGACAAACCGGCAACCCAATACGTTTCGGTCCCTATATCGTTGGTGCTGGCTGCTCAGGCAGACAACACTCTACGTCTTTATAAAAGGCGTGGCCCACCGTATGCACTTCACCATCCTATCTAGCCACGTCGACTCTAATCCACCGCTTCAAGGGGCCCATATTCATTAGCAAAGATGATCAGCGACCAGACATGGAACCGTAAGTCGCATCCGACCTCGTTTCTTGGCCCCCTGCTCAGACCCAAACCGTAGCTGAGTACCTGGACTGCGAAAGGCAACTGCGAGATTTCGATCGGTTGTATGGCGATGCCTCGTTCTCCCAGGAGCCTTCCACCGCGCAACAGAAGCCTCCCAAATCCGACGAGCGCGAGGGTTATAGTCTTGAAGCTTCGACAGAGGCCACGTTCACCGAAAACCTCAGTATGTCCCTCCAAGAACTGTTTCCGGAAGGTTTCGGCCCTGCGTACTTGCCTCCTGCTGAACGTGAGTCGCGCGTCCTCGGTGTTGGCTACTGCTGACATTCTCGCGAGTACCCATCTCACTTCCAGGTGAAGGTGTGGCGACAAGGGCGAGTACTGGTGATGGCGGTGGAAGTCTCGGTGCCGGAGTTGTTACGATGCATGCCAGTACTTCTGCCAATCCTCCGCTTGTCGGCGTTGTAGGCGAGCAGGCCGGCTTTGTAGGCGAGCGGACCGGTGATTTCCAGGCCGGCGATGTCACGAGCTACGTAGCCCCGCGCAACGACCAGCACGAATTCGACTTCGGTGAGCCTCTGTCGGCCAAGGCCGGCAGTCAAGCCGTCGAGCAACCCAGGTTCCCGTACGACCCGAACTTTGCTCTGGCGGTCCCACAAGACTCTCAGGGGACTACATACGCGGGACCGGTGCCGGCCTGGCCCAGCTCGCGCAGCAATGTCGATGGGATCGCGAATGAGCGTCCGAAGCCGCGCGACGACGTATCATCGAAGAGTAGACAGGAGGCCAACAAGGGGCGGCGCAGCGACAAGGAAAGCCCTGGCATGCCCTGCAAGTGGTCTGGATGCACGTCCACATTCACAAAAAAATACAACCTTGATGGTAAGCACCCCTTTACGCGAGTACCAGCACCTATGCTCATGCTATACTCGCAGAGCATATGAAGCTGCATTACAACTTGGGAGAGTTTGTCTGCTGTGTGTCAAGTTGCGAAAAGCGGTCCAACACGAGGCACTTGCAGCGGAGTCACCACATACGCAAGCATCACATTGCCAGGGAATATGCCTAGAAGCGTAAGTGCATTTTAACAACGTATACCGCTGTATCTCACGCGACCTCGCCAGCATCATCGGTGCGCATCACCTACGCCCGTCCCTTCTCGCCTTTGAGGACCAGTGTCCCGTTGCGTATCTTATCACGTCTGTTGAGTAGATACCCTCTCTTCTTCGAATCGTCGTTAGTGTCCCGTTGATCTGTATCTTTTCACGGGTTATCTTATGTAGTGTTCATGTATCGAAATGTCTGTATGCGTGTACTCAATGCAATATAACTCTGGACTCCTTGACACGATGCTGGACGCATGCGTTCGAATTGGTGAAGGAGAAGGAGCCGCCGCGCACGTGGGAATACTTACATGTGATCGCATCCTGCCTCCTTCCATGATCAGCCATCCACTGACGTTGGCCCGCAAGAGGCAGATGAATCCATTGATGATACCACTTCATTCCCATTCGCCGGGCGCTGATACGCTGCATCCATCGAATTCTCTGCCTCGAAATTCCTTTCGTGCGCTGGAAGTAAATTATCATGATATTCAGCTCGGGCTGGAGACTACTACATTCACCTCCTCTGCAGCATGAGAGGGAGAAAATGGAAACATCTACCGTCATTTTCCTTTCTTCCTGTCTGAGGCAGGCCACATAGTGAGTGTCCTACTTTCCTCATCGCTGCGCGACGATAGAAAATTGAATAGAAATCCTGCGCAGGTACTAGGATCGCGCCGAACGCGCGCGTTGCGCGAGGATGGGCGAGTGATGCGAGGCATTCATATGAGCAGACAAGCACCCAATAGGGGCGGATGACCCCGGCACGACGGACGTTATCGGCGGCCTGGAGCACGGCCTCTGACTTGTCTGCAGACTTCTCCCCGTACTGCTTCGTGGCGCGCGCTAAACCTCCAGAAGGATCAGAACTGGGCGCAAGCAGGCAATGGGAACGGGCTGCCGCGTGCCGCCCGGGTTGAATACTTGTCTGCACCACTCTTAGGCGCCCATGTGGCTCGTGGTCTCCTCCCCCCGTCTAACTCTCTGCACGAACAGCGTCTTCGGCGCCGTTTTGCGCGGTCGGTGAGCATCGCTCCAGCCCACCGATTCGCCGCCGCACATCGACGTGTGTTCTATTTTCTTTGCTTCTGCGGCAGCAGCCTCCTCGTTCTCCCTCCCTGACCGTCGATTATTTATGTCTTCTCGGTGTTGACTGCCTTCTTCTCAGACAACGGCCACGCCTCAGCCGCGAACATTGTCGAAGAAGACTGCGCGGGCAGACAATCGCTTGCTTTCCAAGTGACCTATAAAAACGCCCAAATGCGTCCACCACAAACCATCGTCGCCGCCGCTCAGCACAGTCGACATTGACACCCAGGAAACATGGACACCAGCTCGGACCAGCACCAGGACTGTAAGACGCGCATTACTAAACTATACCTCGCGCTGACTGACGTCCGTCTCGTAGTTGGCTATGGGCCTCCCCAGATTTCCTGGCTCCCATCTGACCCTGCTGCCTTGGCCTTCGATGAGGCATACGCCAGCGAGCAACAACCCCACTTTCCTCCCTATGCATACGACACTCTGCCCTACGGACCTCCGATGGATCCCTTTTCTTTGGACTACTTCTACACGTTCCCTGCCTTCTCGACGGACTCTCTTCCAGATCCCGGCTTCCCTTCGACCAGCCGTACGTCCTTTGCGCCCAGCGACGCTGCTTGCGGCTGACCTTGTTGACAGAACCCGACGGCCCTGCTGTTAATCACACGGAACCCGAGAACAACGCTCAAGATGTCGGCTGTAACGCAGAGGGCAGTACGTTCCTTGCCTGCCATTTGCGTAAGACCGTGCTCATCGGCGAACAGAGCGGCTGGCTAATGAGGAGTTGTGCGAGCACAGCCCTGGGCTTGCCTTCGACGAGCCTCGGGATGAGGGTGACGACGTCGGCGTGCCTGATCTTGGACCTGGTCCCGACGCGACGACTGCTGTTAACGAAGCGACGGCGAGACAGGCAGACACTGGCTCAAATGATGCCATAGGGGCCTCCCTACCCGAATCGTCATCCGCTCACCGCGACACCGTGTCAACGCCCAGCAGGCGGAGCGCCAACGCGGCGCGGCGCGCGAATCCATTTGGCAACACCATCCCTTGCCAGTGGTCCGGTTGCAAGTCCACATTCACCCGAGAGCATGACCGTACCGGTCAGGATTTGCGTGCTTACTGAGCAAGTAATCGAGGCTCACGATAACGTTGCGCAGAGCACATGAAATTGCACTACAACCTACAGGAGTATTGGTGCGATGTTGGCGCTTGCAAGCAGCGCTTCAACACGGCGAGTCTCTTGAGGAGCCACAAGTTTCGAATCCACGGCATTCGCCCTGCTCCGAGGGCCAGTTCAATTTAATGTAGGTCTCGAGGTACATCACCTCGCTTCAACTGATGCCGTTCGAGTGGACTTCTCATCCAATACATGTACCTCCATTACGGCGCCATGTACCTGACCTTGTGCATTGGCTCCAGCGTACTCTTGGTGAACCGTGTGCCTGTACCTACTTTTCATATGAGTCTTCTTCTTCTTCTTCTGAAATTCAACCGGACAAGTAGCTATACACGAGTCTAGAACCTGATGTACTATCTAGTTGGCTCTGTTGTCTCTCGATGTGCTTGTATATTCTATCGTAACCTCTGGACCATATTTATGCGGATTCACTACCTCATTGGACGACGCAACTTGGAGAGACGAGAGCGACAGATGGTGGATGGAACGTGTGGGACATCCTGCTCGTGTATTCTCTATGGTATGTAGCGGTCTATGATTTGCGGATCATGTTTGGAAGATGTGCATCGTAAGGAGGTCGGTATATCCAGGTCGAGACGGCACGGCGGTGTCGGTCAGGGTGGGCGATGACAAGCCATAAGGGTATGGCCAAAAACGCACGTGGTTGACACACGTGTGAGTCATCAGCAAGCCCAGGTTTTCGCCACCATCACGAACTCCAACCGTCGACTCTAGGCTGCTTATCAGAGCGCACAGGCTCTGCTTTTGTGTTTTGTCCCACAAACCACTCACCTTCACGTCAGACTTCCCGCCTCACATGACTTTCGGTACTTAATATCGTGCGAAGGCGACAAGCCATGCCGACTCTACGTTCCCTCCATCGGACGACGCGCATACAAAACACGATGCAGATGTGTGAGTCTCAAGCTATGCCTGCAGCGAGAACGGGGCTGCGTTACTCCCGTTGCGAGCTGCCGAGGATCCAGTGGTGTCGGCAACCTCTGCACACTGGCGGATGATTGGCGACTGATGAGCCTCCTCGTGATAGCCTTTCCGCACGCGTTGCTTGCTCTTGTCGCTCACTTCTCGTGCTCCGCCAATGAGTTCTTTACTGCTCGCCGGCTTGCCGTCAACCAAAGGATGTCGCTTTGGGACATTCGCGGACGTTGGCCGCGAGCGACGCGCTCCATTCTCGATCTCGGGATTCCGTGGCTGGAGTTCGGTCAGCGCATCCGCGCTCTATCCATTTGCCGTGCTCTTGAGCCTCACCAGGACGTGGATTAGGAGCGCTGCTCATATGTCGAGTGCGTTTGCGTCTTTTTCTGCTCATTCTCTGCCCAGGTCGACCGCCCTTCCGATTGCAGATCGTTCTCAGCATCTTCGCCGTTGTCAGTTTTGTCCGCGTCCAGCAACGTACTGCAGGCAGTCGTACATGGAATGTCGGGGAGGGAGTATATATCCCTCGCCAGCCGCGTCTTGGGCCAGAAAAGCAGCCTGAAGTTGTCTATCCACCATGCAAAACACTTCCAACGACCAGGCTACGTCTGGCGAGACTGAACCGCTTCGTGCGTAATGCATCCACTTCCCTCAAACAATGGCTGACCGTTCTTATGAATTATAGAGCTCTCTGAAGAAGAGTTTGCACTACTCCTGCGAATTCTTGGGCATGATATGGTAGCCAGACTTCTTGAGGTACCCTTGAGCCCTCGCAATTCTGAGACTGTCCCTAACGCCATACCGAAGGTCCCTTCCGCGGGCCATGCTCTATCGCCCGAGGAATGGGACGCCTGCTACTCCGCTATCATACGCATGACGGCGTCTGAAGAGATCAAATCGCCTCCGCCTGCGAACTTCAAGTCTTCGTCGTCGGAGGCCGAGACTTGGTTGTTTGAGGCGCCAACGGCCGATCAGTCATGCTCACAGCCTTTGCCTCGCACCGAGGTGTCCACAGCGCTCCGGATAAAGGCCACAACCGCCCGACGAAAGGATCCCGTTGCCCCCGTAATTCCCTGCACCTGGCTGGGGTGCGAGTCTACCTTTACTACCAGACAGGGCAATCTGAATGGTACGCAATGGGCGAACCTCCAGTGTGCTATCGTCTGACGACTTTCTACAGACCACTTGATGTTGCACGAGAATAAGCAGGAATTCAAGTGCCCTGTAGCGTCCTGCATAAAGCGCTTCCCTACTGCGGGGTTTCTTAGGAACCACCTTCGGGACGCGCACAAGGAGAAGGCTTCGGGTTTTAAGTCACGTCCGTTCATCCAACGTATGCGTCGGTTTCTGTAGTACATATCTCGAGCTGTTGTGTTTTATGATCAAGGCATTCTTCTCGACTCCTTTGACAGATAGTGACTCGAATAAATGCGCTGGAGGAAAACCTCCTTCAAAGAACGGCGGCGACAGGTTTAGTAGCGCGGGCTTCATCTCCAGCTACCCCCCCCCCCCCCCCCACGACGAGCAACGGTCTTTGTTACTCAGCAGCGGTCTTTTCCAGGAGCGAGTCCCACGGATGTCAACGGTGGATATCGTCAAGGGACGGGAAACTATCTGATGGACCGCTTTCGACGTCTTCCCTCGTGTCGTCAGTGGCACTCGATCTTCCTTTCCGCTTTCATGTCTACGCCAGAGGTACATCCTGCGGAGGCCACCCCCGGAAGCGTCTCTCATACTTTCGTATCCGTATAGCCGGTCACTGCAGCCTTACTCTCTGATACCGCCGCCACTAGCCATAAGCTTTGGAACGGCTCATCACCGCGACCGAACCCAACTGCGCAGGCAAAGGTAGCTGCTCTGCGATACCCTATAGCCGGAACATGCTCTTCGTCTGCCTCGCGGCATGATACCCCTCGACCACGGGAAACGTTCCACAGCAGCGTTACTGCGTGGAGCCACCGCCTCCCGCGATGATCTGGCTTGCTGGCAGCGCGCTTCTACACACGGACACTGTATGTCTCATCCCCTTCTGCGCATGTCCAGGTCCTCTTCTACGCCGGATGACAGGAAACATGGACTTGGATTCCAAGATCGCCGCAAAAAGCACTTCAACATTGATCGGCATTCGGGCCGGCCATCCATTGTTATCTCCCCCGTTTATTGGCCATCCGTCGCAAGTCCTTTAACGAGCCCATTGGCGAGTCTCACCCCGTCGAAGGGAACGAGCTGGGAATGCATTACTTTACGTTACGTGGGAGCTTCTATGTACAGCAAACCGACCTATGGCGCCTTGGATCGAACAAATATCTTGCAGTTTGAAAACAACTGGTACGGATGGAAGGTGGTGGGCCCAACCTACTAGTATCAATAGCTCATTGGTCGAGGTGTGTGTCCCTGGCGCTTCGTTCTGCTGTCGCTCGGGCTGAACCTTGGGCGAATGACATCTGTATACCCAGCAGAAAATTGCGCAATATCTCCGGCCAGCGATGGGAAGGCCTTCCTTCCGTGTCATATCAAGCGAGCGACACATCTGCTTTGTGAGTACGGAGTCACTGTACACCTTCGAATGCGTAGTTGACTGACTCGCTCGTTCGCAATCGCAGTAATCCAGTCATTGTCATTGCGGTCAGTCACCGAAGACGCCATTGATACTAACGGCCCATTAAAAAAGAAGAATGTCAAGCTGTGGACCCATCCACAGCGCAGGACTGAGTATCATCAGTCGCATACTAGCATCCGGGTTTGATTGATGACTTGGGGTGGTCAAGGTCAGTCTTTCGCGAGCGGATTCACATCGGGCCGGAAATCCACGGACCGCGACAGCAAGCGTGATGACGGACGTTGTCTGCTAACTTACTCCTGCCTCGCACCCGTCACATTCCTATTTTCTGCTGCACTTGTCTGCTCGGAGAGCAGACAATGCTCGATGGTCGAATATTCCCGAGTGCTGTGTCAATCCGCCCTTATAAAGGAGCCGAACTAGCGATGTGGAGGCGTATACCGACCGGTAGCAGCACTGTTCAAGGATCGCTTCAGCATAATTATGGACGTCGGTGAAGAGACTTGGTGCGTGTCGAGCTCGAGAGTGGCTTCAGTCTCTGACCTGATTCTGCAGGCTCGAATGCATGCAATTGGGCCCTCCATACAGCGTCGACCGTGTGCTCAGCGACGAGGGCGCCCACCCTGAACCACGTAGGCCTGATTCTCTCCCCCTTTCAGCCGTCGACTGACGCCCTCAGCATACAACTGGCCTGCTGGCCCACTGTTTGACCAACTACAATTGGCCAACCTCTTCAAGCCGACTTGCAAGCCGACGGCGAGGTGTCGTACTGTCTCGGATACAACCTTCACGACTGATAGCTCGGGTACGGGGGAAACATCTTTGCTCCAGAATATACGACTGATCGCTCAACAGCAGACCCAGATATACTCCTCAGCGCATCAGCAGTGACCGCATCCCCTCATACATTCGACATCCTCGCTGGAGCCTGTCCCCAGCCCCCTACGTACCCTCCTGGTCACCCTGCGACGTGGGCTCCATCCCCGGACGTCGCATTGACAGGCCAGCCCCCGAGCTCGACATCTCTGCACTTTGACTTGGATACGACGTCCAAACCCTTGAACTCGCCATACGTCGCTCTTGACGACGCAAGTAGCCTTCAAGCGAACTTTCGGCGTGAGGTTGGCTCGCAGGCACAGACGGAGGCGTCCATTAAGCGCAGAAGAGCGTCGGCGCGATCCAGCTCTGCCTACGTGTGCGAATGCTGTCCGAAGACATTCACGCGGAAGAAGAACCTCCAAGGTGCGTGGATATTCAAGTTCCTCGTATACCATTACTTACGCCTGGCAAGATCACCTTCGTCGTCATGATAATCGCAGAGAATACGCGTGCCAGACGATTGATTGCTCATCGCGCTTCAACACCCTGAATGATCGTCAGAGGCACGTCAAGATCGTCCACACCCAGCGTCAAGTATCAAGGTATGGTGACCAGGTTGCCACCACTCTGAAGTCATTGCTGACGATTGCCACCAGCGCGCTGGCGACCTGTGACTTGAGTCGACGAGTGGCTTCACGCAACAACGTCGCCATGTATGGCACCATAGCCTAAGGTGCCGGTGCACCCCTTCGATAACCCATTCTCCCGATACAATGAGCCGCCGCTATTTTGTACGTAACTATCGACGGAATACCACTCAACTGTCCGATTTGCGTTTTCTATCTGAACGACCTCACACCTGTTCGAACTTCAACTTGTGAGCTGAGGCTCGGTGCCGAGTTGCTATGGTCACGTCGCGGGTCGCGTGACTTGTCCCAGCTCTGGCCTTGCGCTGCGACTTCGGGTACTGAGTGCGACATCACCCATGCTATTCTCGACGGCCGCTCAAACGTCTCTTAGAGCGCTTATCGCAAGCTTATCGGCTCTGGAGATCAGCAGCACGCTGTGTCCTGTGACTCAGCCTGCTTTTCCAGACTCGCCAATATTTCGGTGCCTTCTACAGCTTCGTTGGTCCCCCAAGCATTGTACGTTGCCTGTAGGCCTCCCTTCGCGACGAATCTGACGCCTTCGACGTGCGCTTGTCCGTCATCTATAGCAGGCAATGCGCGTGACGCGATAGACTTGGGCGCTTACGCGCCTCATGTCGTCCGCGCCGGGTTCGATATGCTGCGATGACCCTCCCTCCGTTAATTTCCGTTGTCTGTCGCTGTCTGCAACATACAATACGAGGCTTTGAAGCCGGCACTCAATGGGCATCCTGCGCAGACAATGACGGCGAACGGGATGGCTTGTCGGCCCCCTGGACTCTCGTTGGCCACGATTCTCTGCGTGATTGTTGACTAACCCCGCGCAGTCACAATATATAATAAGGTGACTTCATCCGTCTCCAGCAACTCGCCGCTCCGCAATCAAGATGAAGACAGTCGCGTCCTCTAGAGAGAGCAAAATTTGTCGGTGGCCTGCCTCCGAAGTCGAGCGATCGCTTACACCCTGCCATAGCTACGAGCGCGATTGACAAGGAACGTGCCCTGCTCAATGTCGACACATCGGTCGAACCGATCCCGGTAACTCATGCCCCTGCGCACATCGTCGCTCCTTTGTGTGTACTTCCTGAGGCTTTCCCTGTGGAGCGATTACCGCCCTTTGGTATACTGTAATCTGTCATGGTATGCCCTACTGACATTGTCTACAGTACCTTGCGCGGACTCTTGCAAAGGTACAGGTGCCATCGACGAGCCTCGTTTTCAGGGCATAAGCCCTCGTTTCGGTGAGTACCTCCCCAAGACCTGGTCACAGGCTCGCGCCTACCGGTACTACAGATGCCCTGCCGAACCAGTACACCCCGAGTTCACCTTACAAGAGCGCGCGAATCAATGCCGACTCTCACAAGCACCTTCACGAGCCAGTTCTACCTGCCAACAGCGCACCTGAGACGGTGCCAAACCCGGGCATGCTCATCGTGGCTACCGAGACGTCGCCCAGCCCAGGAGGGGCCACCAGCGCGAGTTGTCTCCCTCCACCCACCAATAACTTTCGCAAGCGTGTCTCTACGCGGAACCGACAGCAGGCATCCGAGAAGCGGCGCTCGTCGGGCAGTCGCTCAAACTTCTCTTGCAATATCGAAGGCTGCACGACCACGTTCACCAGATGGCAGAACCTTAAGGGTAAGTTTCAACCCGTCAATTGTTTTTGTTTCGGCGACGGACACTGACTATTGGCTTGAGAGCACCTGAAGCTACACTACAACAGGCTAGAGCATCCCTGCGAGCATCCTGGCTGCAGGCTACGCTTCAACACGCGCGGGCTTCTCAGAAGCCACGCTCGGCATGCGCACGGCGCTCCGTCGCTACAAAAGAGGACTCGGACTTGAACGCCTAATGTGCGTAGCAGTTCCTACTGGTTTATCCTATGCTCAAGGTTCGCCCGTAGGCAAGTGCAACATCAATCGTCTCTATCATTATTGTTTAATTATACTCGCTGTCGGCGAGAGCATCTGCTACCGGGCCTTACCGGCTGTGCTGTCGAACGACAAAGTCACTCTTTCGATTACATTGTCCAACGTCTACCATATTGTGAATGTACACGGTGCTACCATGCTACCATACAATCATTCCATGTCATACGCCCCTTACCAAATGTGCCGATGGTCCTGTTTGAATGGTCCGTATATCGCCTTTGAGCAGGATATTCAGCGCGTTTGTACTAGAGCTCTGTGACAACGTTTGTGACACGATGGGCCAGTCACGTTCCACGTTCGCTCATCTCCTCATCGTCGATTTCTCACAAAAGTCGAGACTTTTCACATCACCATTATCATTCGCCATGACTCGCTGAGCCTCTCACCGTCTCCCCGCCGCCCTTGCGCTCGGTGCTGCCCTTCGCACACCGACATCAGTAAGAGTCTCTACTCCGCTCCTTGCGATGCTGCGGCGAGGCTGAGGTACTCTCATTGAGAATTGCATGCTGCGCCTCCATCAATTTTCGACAACGGTCCGTGCATGTGGAACAACAACTGACTTCTTTTCTGGTCCTAGAACAGCCGCGCTACCGATTGGATGTCCTTCTCGCTCTCGCCGCCCAGCCGTGACGTTGTCTGCGCGTTGTCTGCGTCACCGCTTCCCGCACTGCTCGTCTGCTGGCCGACAACGCCCCCATCGACACATCGATCCTAGGACCGACAATCACGCACTGCCTGGCGACAGACAATGCAGTTGAATGCACGTGTGCATTGTCTGCCTAGCTCTCGGCGATTGTGCGGGGTAAGCGCCCGCTGCCAGGCTTCCTCCGCATGTCAGCACGGCGAGAGTAATCAAAATTGTGCCGCCGCGAGCTCGCTTTTGCGTGAGCACTTCTACGTGCTCGGTCTCATATGCAGCTTTTCTCAGCAAGGTTGTTACGGTTTGTTCACCTTCGCCTGCGCCCCGGTGTTGGGTCAACTACCCTCAACTCAGAAACAAGGACTTTCCTTATTATCTTGTGAGGTAAGCCTCCCACAGTTGGTGTATGCAACGCCGTCCTCGCCGCGATCACTGGAGCTGATCCCGTCCATTCATAGAGATATATCGGATGCAAAACTACTACCCGCTTGTGGCAGAGACCTAGAGATATGATGCATCGCGACAGACGCTCTGGAGAACGCTTCTCTCCTTGAAAAACTACTGAAGAATTATTGTCGGCGTTTTGATGCACGAGGAATGTTGAGAAAATTCGATGGCTCGCGGGGCGATGGCCGCGTCTTGGGAGACACCAAGCACATATATCCATCTTCGGAGCAAGATACCTGTTCAAGTGGTGGCTGGACTATACTGTACGTGGATCGTACCGTTGTCTGCGCTGATGATGAACCTTCGCAGACAACGAAGAAGCTAAACAATGTGCTGTACGAGTCGGGCGCTTTCGAATAGTATATAAGCGATCCGTGCGATGTCATCCTCCACCAGTGTCGAGCTGGCAAGTATGGCTCTAGTACAATCCTCGTACGTCCACTGCCATCTTACTCTCCTCTTCAAATAGAGGCTCAACCGTCTTTAGACCTAATCACCAGCGCTACGAAGACGGCGCAGATTCCTTGCTTACCTGGTGGTACGATGAGCTCCTGAATCAAGCACGTACGTAGAGTGCCCGCGCGACCCAGCTCTTTCACTAACCTGCTCCTGACGATAGCTCCCCAATTGAATGAAGCCTTCGCCCAGCCTGTACGCCCCAACCCGACAGTTCCAGACAGGCTACAGGCTTCGTTGGATACACCATCGTGGCACTGGGGTATGTCTTCAGCACGTTTGCCTCAAGGCTCATCTCGCTTATACCCCTCATAGCGCATCATGACGTGCTCCTATCCGGAAATTCGACTTCTCGCGCAGAAGCGCAAATACCTCCACTGCCGTTTCTATTTGTCGAAGACCTTCCCGACTCCTTTAAGACGACGGACGTCCAGCCGCAGACGTGGCCGACGGACGCAGCTCCCTTACCTCGTCTTTCTGTTCCGACAACTTCGTCCGAGCCTTGGGAAGCCGCTGCATCATGGCCTCACGCGCTCTATCATTGGAATACCAAGGGATATGACGACTCTCGGCGCGAGATTGGCTCCCAAGCGCAGACCGAAGCTTCATTGAGGCGTAGAGCGGTACAGCCCTGCCTCACTTCCTCCTTCACGTGCGAACAATGCGGTAAGACGTTCACGCGCAAGAAGAACCTTACCGGTATATCGACCACTTACCTCTGGAGCTATCACAAACAAGCTTACTCCTCTTCTAGACCATATACTGCGCCACCAGAATCGCAAGGATTTCGCATGCAGTTTCTCTGATTGTCTGTCACGCTTCAACACAAGTAGCGACCTTGAAAGACATATTCGGATCGTGCACAAGAGAAACCTGCGGCGGTACTTTTGCTTGCGACGCGTTCAAAGCCCTTACTGACTATTCGCAGAAGCACATCTGCGCGGCCGACGACAGCGTTAGCGATGCAAGGCATGTCCTTCGCCAAGCCAGGCGGCAACCAACTTCAACACGTCCATTCGCAATGACTTAGCGGTATGATTACGCACTGGCGACGTATCTATGGCTTCCGTATGTGCACCTCAGGCGTCTCCCGACACCGATGATCGTGGTCATGATTCGTGTTTGAGTGGATACTTTACAGCACAATTAATACAGTGATGAGATCAAATTTCCTGTAACGGTCGACGATGACAGGAAGGAAAGTTACCGTCCGCGTCGTGGATACACTGCGATGAACGCACACGCACACGCACCTCCAACGTTCGACTCCCTGATGCCGACGAGCTCGGTGTGGCCGTCGCATCTGCTCAAACGGTCAAGATGGGGGAGACTGCTGAAAGTGTCTGAGCGCGCGGGGTCCCTGGTAAAAGCGTAAGCGAGCGGAATTGACGATCGAGGAAGGTGATCAGAAAAGCGTGGATATCTTCTTGTGCGACGAGAACCAAAGGTAGTCGTCGCTCTGACTGACGTGCAAATATTCGGGTGTTTCATCCAGAAGGGAAGAAAGGAAGAGACACTCACAAGTCAAGCTCACAGCCTCGCTCGGAGGAAACTGATCTGCGTCAAGGACGGATTGCTTGAGGTGTGCAGTGATCGGTATACGGATAGCGCTAGCACCAGACATGCACACCGAAAGCAGCTGGTCAGAGGCTTCTTCTGTTGAACGGGTCTCCAGCTGATTCGTGGGGCATTTGGTCGCAGGCGGCGTCGAGGAACATGATCGTCGCGAGCAAGAGGAAAATGATTGCGTTGCCGCGTGGGAGCCATGTTGATCACGTTTTCTGTGACGGCCGTGACGACGCTGAACGTTGCCTCTGACCACCATGCTCAAATCATGCTCGACGTTCATACCGGCCAATACCCCGGCTCATTGACAATCAACATCGCCTTGCGCAGTGGCTTAGCTCGACTCGTGGCTTGTTTTACATCGACCTCGCTATCGTATCTGACCACTTGACTCGCTAGCGCTAGCTCGGGATCGCCAACACGCCGCCGGACCTTCTAACAGCGCAACTTTCGCTGACATAGACGCCTTTGAACTCCCGCAGATCCGCTATATGCGCTCACCGTGCCTATCGGAATCCTATGCAAAGTCCTGCAATGAACTTTCGACGCGGGGAATGTTCGCCTTTCGGGGAGATAACGGTGGCTTTCTATTCGGTACTTCCTCTCGCACGACGACGTCAGCTGAGGGACACGAGCCACGGCGTTTTCCGGCGACTTTGTCTGCTCAAAACGTACTACGGCTTGCGTTTCTCGTCCCCGCAGGGTCTCCTGGCCAGTATCTTATCCATCTTGTGATCTCTGGACGAATACAGGAACACCCCTTCACACCGGCCACCATCTTTTCGCACTGGCTGTGGAGCACGCTCTGTCTTGTGTACACGAGCAGGACGAATTGACAGTACGGGCAATTCAATATCGCGGACGCGAGTTAGCGCCTATCATGCCTACTTCTCGTTCCTTTGTGCCATAACCCAGTCGTCGTCCTTCCCCGCATCGAACATGCTGCTTGCCTTCGCTTTTATACGTACTACCCTGTTCGTGCCGCCTCCCCGGCATGGCGCAAGAGTGTACCGCCTGCTCGCGTACAGCCGATTTTCAACCTACCCGTACGGTTTCGCTTCAAAGAACGCATCGATAGTGGCCACGCTGATCAAGCACAGGCGTCCTTTCTGCCTCGAGGGCACGCAGGATAACAGGACCGTACGTCACTTGTGCGATCCCTCTCGGATAGTTTCGTCGTGATAGGCACGCGCCACAGAGACAACACCTTCCGCAATCGTGCTGCTCGGTGGATCCCGAGTTCCCTGGATGCGCGCGCGCCTGCCTCGAGCTCGCCTAATCGCGTCGGGCCTTCTAATCGCGCTGATGCTGCTAGGTGGGCATCATCTGCCGCTGTGCGCGCTGCTCTGACATGTTCCTTCAGCTCAGCATTGAGATGTGCGACGCGCGTCACGGACGCGAGGCGCCTTTCGCTGCTGTAGTGGCAAAGAGAGTTCCTGATAACGCCGGGCTCGTGTACATTGCCCTGACAGGCCGCCATCAAGCTATCAATGACCTCACGCGTATGTGTGGCTTGCTGCGAGGGGAGAGTCGATTATTATTATTCGATCCGATCTGAGGGACCCAAGCTAGCGTGCCGCAGAAGGTCCGCGGCTGCCGCAGAACACGTGTGCCATTGCCCAAAGCCTCCGCGTAGGAGACTGTCATCGCCGAGCCGCCTTATTCACAGACAATGACCAGGGAACGAGCACGACGAAGAGGAGCGTACGGACTTGGGCAAGCCATTGATACGTCGACGGCATCATGTCACAAGGTGACATCGGTGTTCTTCGTGTCAGCCTTTCTCGCCCATGTCCAGGCTGAATAGAGTAACGAGGCGCCTCACGGGTAGCGCATCGATACACCAATGACAATCTTCAACTACACCATCTGGGTGAATCAGGCCTGACGGAAGGACGCAGCGTATCCTTTGCGAACCTGTGCACGTGACATGTTGAACTTCCGCCGACCTCAAAGACAGACCACCTGGCTGTGGCTCCTGAGGTGATCGCTTATGCATATGGGTATTTCTAGAGCTTTATAGATACTCAATGTGCTCGAAATGGCCCTCCATTGGTCCAGCACGAATCCACGAGTCCTGCACACCCGAGCGGTCTGCAGTGTGACATGGTGTGACGTACGAGTAAACCTCTCCCGAAACCGAGTAAGGCGGAAACAAGGGGGATTGGGAACCGAACAAAGGCCGTTCGAATCCATCAACTTCTACGGTCTAAATCGAATAATAATAATCGACTATTGACTCGGCTTGCTGCCTTCGCAACAACTGCTCAAGATGTACGATTTCGGTCTTTTCCGGTACTTCTAGTGGGAGGTGATTGAATGAGATCTGGTCTTTGAGCGCGCCCGGTAAACATAGAGAGGGGATCGTTGTATGAGCTTTGCGCGCTGTACTAGGAGGTGAAAATAAATTCATGCCGTGATCCCCGGCCTGCAGACCTCATTCATGTACGCTCACCCTGCCGACGCGACAGCCCGGGCACTGGAGATTAATTTGGTTGTCAGTCGTATCGCTCCGAAATCAGAGTCCGGATCTGGCTAGCTGCGATCGCGATGCGTGCAGCGTGCGGACGCCACGCTACACGCCGAGCCTTGGTCGCGATCAGAGGGCACGCTGCAGTTTCCTCTGGCGCCCGCGGAAATATAAACGCGCGTATATATATCGATGGGCGCGCGCCCATAGCTACTTAGCAACCTGCTTCCCCTCGTCCCCCGTCCTCGTCCCGAGCCGTTCTATCTATCTGCACGACGCCCCCTGCACATACGCATACGCCCACCATGACCAAGTTCGGCTTCAGCATCTTCCTCGAGGACAAGACGGGGCGCCTCACGGGCTCCGAGTTCGTGGACGTCTACGACCGCATGCGCTTCGTCCTCCGCAGGACGGTCCACGAGCCGGCGCACACCGCGTACATCCTCTACAACGCCGCCAACTCCAAGCCCGTCGCTGCTCTCGACTACGGCCCACACAACGCCCTCGGCTCGGTCACTTTCTCCCCCACGAACGTTATCCCGATGAAGAAGTACCTCACAAAGACCTCTGGGTGAGTGTCTAGCAAACTTTGCGGCGAAGCCTTCTTTGACACCTTTCCCCCTCGCAGTCACCAGTCGCGCAAGTTTACCGCTTCGGACGGGCAGGAGTACATCTGGAGCTACCGTCAGCAGGTCGATCAGGAGTGGACGGTGCGCCGGGGTCCCCCTTCTTCCCCCTCCTCGCATACTGACGCCATGTGCAGTGCACGAACACCAGCGGCTACCTGATCGCTTACTACAGCCTCAAGACCCCTGGGGAGCCGGACTACCCTGGATCGTCTGGGTGCACCCTGACCATCGAGGAACCCTTCGGTCACCTCGCGGCTGGTACGTGTACCTGCACTGCTCCTCGCAACCCCCTCTGACCTTCTCCACAGAAATGCTCGTCTCCCTCCTCGTCATGCGCCACATCGCCGCACACAACCTCTGAGCGCCTTGTCGCCCCCCGCGCGCACGTCCCCACCACTAGACGCGTCGCCCCCCATCATGCTTCGATCTTCTTCCACCTTCGTCTTCCTTCCTGCTCTGCTTTGCACTCCCCATCCCACGCGTCACCATCCCATCTCTCATGCAAAGCTTTCCTCGCTGTGCACCGTGTACAACTAGCCCTAATAACTGGTGCTCTCGTGTACTTGTACCCCTCCGCCTCTTGACACTCATACGCCTCTGCCATCCGTACCACATTCCCCTTGCCACTCCCATATCGTATTTATCCCTACATTATCCTAGTATCATCCGTCCCCTCATCCACCTGCTAATTACCACTACCATCCATCGTAAGCTTACTTGCTATTCCAACGTAGTTCGTACGCCTACCATCCACCGTACGCTTCCAAGTACTCTAGCTAGTCTAATTATTATCGTGCGGCCCTTCGTGGTTGCGTTCCCCCATCTGCTTGTGCTTGACGGCTGATGCAATTCCCTCCCACAAGCGTGAGTGCTTCACTGCTTCGGTGCACAGCTCGTCGTCCTTCCTTCCTTCCTGTCATGCTGCCCTTCCGCTCGACCACGGCAGCACACACGGTGGCGCCAGGGCCAGGCTCGCTGGTGGTCGGATGATGGCATGTCGCGTCGTCGCTTTCGGCGACCCGTGCGTCATGCCTCGCGATCCGTCTGCCTTGCCCAGCGACCGGAGTGACTCACCTCATCGTCAAGACAACTTCCATTGCGGAGGACTGCTCCCGGTCGCACTCCCCCGCGGTCCTCCTCGGACGCATCCACTCAGCACCGTACAGCACATGCAACCTTCGAGTTCAATCATTCAATTTTCCTTGCCGCTCCCCAAAGCCTCCAACGTTGGAAAATTCGCGGAGAACTTGGAAGAGTGGAACGCTCTGATTTCCGGGCTCCCCAACAGGAAGATCGAAACAAATATTTGGTCCCGCGGAGCTCGTGGCGCACGTGTATCGTTGATCTGGTTCCGGCGCCTCATTCCGCGCCGCGTTCCTCCTCGTTGCATGCCAATCCATTCCCTGTCGATGCCAGCCCCGCTCGCCGTCGATCTCCGTCCGCGCGCTGTCACCGGTGCCCTTGACCCTGGGCTCGAGGGCGTCGGCTGCAGGATGTTGCTGCAGGATGCCGACGACGCGGAGGTTACTGTTGCAATTGCCGCCTCGCTGCGCCGTTCATTTTTGCTCCCGCCGTGCTTCGCGTTCTGCCCATTTTTTCTATGAATTTCGTTGAAACCCGCTGGATGGATGCGACCCTGCGCAGGCGTGCGCCTGGGCTGCCTCGGAGTGGTCGCCGCGCCACAATTTGCGCTGGTGCCTCTTCGTTGCCTCCGTTGATCTCTTCGCTGCCTCCGTTGGTGTTCGCTGCCTCCGTTGTTCTTCGCCGCGTCTCCGCTGTCTTCATTTCCACTCGGAACGGTCTGGAAAATTTGCTGGCAACTCTAAAACTTTATCTGATTGCCTGTCGTTGGTACGTCCCGCACAGCCGACTCCAAGTGGCTCCAGCCTCCAGGGTCACGTCAGCCTCCAGGTCGAATTGCAGAGAGGCGGGGCAGGAAACAAAATTCATGCTAGAGCGTGACACTTGCATGAACAATGCCGGGTTGCTGGCGCCGCGTCTAGCTCATTTGAGGCGCGTCGACATCGTCGTGCCACCCTGCCACCTCGTCAATTTGTCTCGTCGGTGTGCTGGCCGACTTCATCTCCGTCGCGGGCCTGGAGTTCGTGATATTTCCAGCAGACATTCTGCTGTACAGCCCCTTCATTACCTTGTCCACGGTCCAGGCCGTCGCGACGCGCCCACCATGACTTTCGGCGCGCTCCTTGAGGCGCAGTCATATTCGTACAGCGCAGCGCATGTCTCCAAGACAAGGCCCCCAAATTTCCTGAATAGATCCATAGCACAACCATCCTTGAAGCTGGATACGCCCCCAGGCTAGAAGCGCCAGTTGACTTTGTTGGGCATGCACTTCGACCGCGCCTCGCTTGTGCCCCATCAACCCTAAATCCTTTATTGTCTTTCTACGCAGCCGTATTGCATACTCTATTCCCTACGCCGCCAACTCATACAAAAACGCCACGCCCAGCTTCGCGAACTCGAGCGAGTGGCTCCACGAGAAGCCCTCGATGTCGACGGTGTCGTCCGCACTGTGCACGTTCGGGTCATCATCGCCAGTGACGGCCTCGTAGGGGAAGGAGGCGGGGAAGCCGGCGTCATGCCAGCTGGCGTGGTCGGAGCAGGCATAGCCGCACTGGGAGGGGTGCGTGAGTGGGGTGTAGAGGTGGAAGAATCGGGAGGACGACGTACCGGCGTGTCCATGGCCCACGGGATACCTGCGTACTCGTCGATGAGCGCCTTCAGGAAGTCGTTCAGGTCCTCATCGATGTAGTCGGCCTCGAGGGCGAAGACCTCCTTGGAGCCGGGAGCGAAGCTATCGTGAGGATTGATCAGTTGCCGACCAAATCCCCACTCAACCTCGGACTCACTATCCGCTCATATCCAACTCCATAAACGCCTTAATATCCTTCCCATCCTCCGCGTACTTCGTCGCAATATCCTGCGAACCCAGCAGCCCCGCCTCCTCTCCCGAATACCAATGGAACTCCACGGGCGTCGAGGGCGCGAAGCCCGCTGCGAGGAGCGCACGGAAGTCCTCGATGAGGTTCACGGTGCCCGTGCCGTCGTCGTCAGCGCCGGGCGCGCGCCCGCTTGAGGGATTCCGTAGGTTGATCGAGTCCATGTGCGCGCCGATGATGGTGAGGGGGCCATCGCTCGTGCCGTCGATGTGCGCGACGATGCTGTACTGCGTCCAGCTGTGCGTGAACTTGGAGACGGTGACGCCGGAGTGGCCGGAGGCGATCTGTTGGTGGGGGTGGAGATTAATGAGGCGGTGTACTAGGGTACTAGGAATGGAGGAAATGAAGCGAGACGCACGTCAGAGACGGTGTTGTAGATGTAGTCGCTGGCGTCCTTGCCGGTGGAGGACTTGTAGTAGCGGTTGTTGAAGGCGGTGAGCTTGGTGAGGTAGCCCTGCATGTTTGTCGTTGAGACGGTGTCGAGGATCGGCTTCACCTCGGACTGGTGGCTAGGGGTGGGGACTGGGAAGGGATCAGAACGCGTGCTCCTTTTGCTTCGTGCGCAAAGATAACCTACAGGCCTTCTTCGCTGCCACGGCCGCGACGCGGTTAGCTGCGAGTGCCTGCTTGCGCTCGTAGGTCTCGGTAACGTCGAACTTGTAGGTGTTAGTGACTGGAGATGGAACACCAATAACCGTGTACTCACGAACTGTGTCCCGGACTTCATCAGCTCCAGCTTCTCGTCCTCCGTCTTCCACACCGGCTCGGCGCCGTCCTCCAAGCTCAGCAATCGCAGCCCATCCGCCGTGTTCTTCTCGATCTCCTCGTGCGCAAGCGGCGCCGCGAGCGCCAGAACAGAGAGCGCAGAGAGAAGGAGACCGGCCGAGAGCTTCATCACGATGGTCGACACGACGGGAGTGCAAGTCACAGGCGGTCATGCAGGCGCGCGCTTATATACCCACTCTTGAGCAGCTGTATTGGAACCACATGCGGTCGGGCCCGAAGCGCTGCCCCACGCGTATGCCAAGCCGATAGCTATGGGGTGGCCGGCGGGCACACTGTACGAGAGTGTCGTGCTCTGATAGATGGGTGGTATGGTGCATGGGAGGTGACGCTGGACGCATGGGTTCCCGTGACGATAAGGCTCCGGCCATGGTCGACCACGGCGAAGGGCTTGTGGAGGTATGGAATGCAGTACCTGGGCGCGAGTGAACGGACTGAGGGCCTCGTTGAAGGAGGCTGAATTTGGCTGAAGAAGTCCAGGAAGTACAACTGTGTATTGACATGATGGTCCAGAACAAGTTCAACCTCCCGGTGGATTTCTCCGAGTGCCAGTTCGGCATCTCCCGCACTGTTTGGCGCTGCTTGCCTCGCCGACGAGCAGTACCGCGTTCCTTGTCGCGAACCACGACGGGCAGGCGGTTCACAGCAGTATTCAGCGCCAGACTATCCTTTGACAACCCGCTATTCTCCGCGACGATGACCAACATTGACTCCTTCCCCATTCCCTCTAGCTCATCTATCATTTCCTTCGAGGTTGGCGATCTGTTGGATTCATGGAACCCGCCCGTCCTCGCCGAATCACTATCTATCGACACACTCTCGACCTCTTCGTCTGCGATCTCTATACCGTCTCTACCGCTAGGATGTATGATAACGAGACCTGCCATCGTCGATCTGAAGGGCGGACTTCAGTCAAGATTCGCGAAGGTCACTGTTCCGACGGTGCCGAGGATGCGGGCTATGCTCAAGGACGAGCCTTGTGTAGATCGGTGGCTGGTGCGTACCCACATCCGTCTGCTGAGACACCCACTGACATCCTTGCAGGACAACCTGCGTTACTCCAGCATACCTGGGCATTCGCCTTGGGGTGAAACCGAAGACGCGGCCGCACCGTCTTGGCTGCCTGAGGGATCCTCCTACACACCTGAGGCCTTCCGACAAGCACTCAGCTCGGCTCGCTCCTCTCCCGCGTATCAGACGATCTTCCGCAAGGCCCGCTCTTCCGCTCCCGGCGATGGCTCCTCTTCCCCGACCTCGCCGACGCCCATCTCGCCGACCCTCTTGCGGCGGATGTCCTATCACCCTTCCTCGTTCCGGGACGCCCTAGTCTTTGAGCGCGAGATCAGCCTGAAGTCCGAGGCTGGCGTCAAGCGCTGGTCGATGCAAGTCCCCGCGAGCACGATGAAGCCCGAACTCGTCGACATCGTCGTGGAACTACAGAAGCTCAACTCGTTCTTCAATGACGGTCTCACCGATCTCAATCAAGGCGTCAGTGCCCTCGATCAGCACAAACAACGCGTTACGACGCCCGCCTTGACAGTCTCCGACTCGCACGAGACTATCCCTCTCCCGCTCGAGCGAGTCAAGGAGAATACCACGACCCTCATTGCGAATCGCCGAGGCAAGAAAGCACCGCCGGCCCTCAATCTTAAGCGACAGACGCCCGAGGACACGTACCCTGGCATTCCGACTGCATTCTTAGGGACTCCGTCTGCCTACCATCCTGAACTTGACCCGAGGCCAAAGCGCGAAGGCCCGGCAATGAACATCAACGACATGATCTCCTCTCTGCGCTCTCAGTGTGCGGCCATCTCGCGCTCCCCGACGTCGGAGGTCGCGTCTTCCCCTCTTGAGTCGGTCTCGGAAGAACCTGAAGAGTCGAAGGTCGCGCGGAACCACGATAACGCCCAAGACTACATGAGCGCCAAGGACCAACAGGCTCTCGCCTTCTCAGTCGCTGTCCCGCAACTCTCTGACGACGAATCGCTTATGCGCCGAACCTTGCCTCTCGACCTGGTCGACATTCAGGAAACTCTGTCAGACGTTGGCTCGGACCACCTCACCGAGTCCTTCTCGGACTTTTTGCGCGAGTTCGAGTCTGAAGCGCTGCAGCCGCCTTCGATGCCCGGAACGCCTATGATGCCGCCGTCTCTGCCTCTACCGTCCCTACCGCCTTTGACTTTGCCTGCCGTACCTACGCGCGCTCTACCGGACCCGCCCGCTGGCTCGCTCGAGGAATTACCTACCGTCGACCACCGTAACTCGCTCGATGACATGGACTGGTCCCCGCCGACGCCTCCGCAGCCCTGCCGCTCGCCTTCGCCTAGCTTGAGCCCGCGACAGGGTGGGTTGCGTGGGATCCTGAAGGGCGGGAAGAACGTGCGCTTCGCGTCGCTGCCGACGAATCGGCGGGAGACGTCGCCGGGGGCGATTGAGGCGTATGCGGCGGGAAGGACTGGAGATGGAGACGGGGAGGACGTGGGCGACTGGGGCGGGGAAGGGCAGTGGGCGCTGGATGAGCAGGAGGATGTGATGGAGGACTACTTCTCGAGGGAGCGGAAGGGGTCGATCTTGAAGTCGCCGACCGAGGCTTCTTCGTCTTCGAGATCGTCGACGGAGTCTATGCGGTCGCCTACGGAGGCTATGCGATCGCCGACCGAGTCCAGTGGGTCTGTCAGGTCGCCGACCGAAGTCGCGTACAGGCAGCCGGCCAAGGCTACCCGACCTCCGCTCGTGGGTCGACACTCCACTGGGTCCGCATCGGCGAGGCAGCCCGCGGTACCAGCGAGGCAGCCACCGGTACCAGCGAGGCAGCCGTCACCGGTCCCAAGACGCCCTTCGCCGCTGCGCTCGACGTTTACAGCGTCGGCGGGGGTGGTTCCAGCGGTGCCGGCGCTTCCAGTGGGTGTGAGGGCGTCGATGGTCTCGCCGGGCAGGGCTACTATGCCCGCTGTCGCCAAACCCACCATTGCTTCCTCCGCGAGGTCGACTATGCCCGCGACTGCGCGGTCAACTATGCCAGCGACGACGAAGTCCATCCCAGCCTCTCCTGCAAGGCTCATGAGCTCGCCGGCCAAGACTGCGGTCATTTCACCCGCGAGGTCGAGGATGTCGTACGCGCCAGTGAAGGTGACGCCCGCTGCTTCGAAGATCGCGACGCCATCGGGGAGGACGACGCCGGCGGCATCCGGGAGAACAACGCCCTCTACGGCAAGCAGGATCCCCGCTTCTTCTGGCAGGGTTACGCCAACGCAGGGGAGGGCCACACCGACTCAGGGGAAGGCCACGCCGACGAGCAGGATCCCAGCCGCGTCGGGGAGGGTGACGCCGACGAACCTGGGGGAGGACGACTCCGACGGCCGCGAAGCCTACCCCATCTGCGACGAAAGCCGCTCCTGCCAAGTCGCGCGCGATCTCGATGATGCCTCCACCCAGGACAGATGCGTCGACCAGACCGACAAGCACCCCCGCTAGCCCGCCGCGGCAGCGCACGCCCCTCGCTCGAGCGTCCGTAGCCAACGGAGCTCTCTCCTCATCAAAAGACCCCTCTGTTCCTTACACCAAGCCTGCACGCCCGATGACCACTGGCGCGCCGATCAAGCAGGACGATGAGGTCAGCAAGCCGTTGGAAAGTCCACGACGCGCGCCAGCGACGCCAGCCGTAGGGAAGGAGAACATGGCCCCCAGCTCTGGCACTGTGCGCAGCAGCAAGATGGCAGCGCCAGCGTCGCTTGGGAGGAAGGGTGGTGGGTTTAAAGATGAGAATGCGGCGAGGAGTGATGGGATGGGAACGACGAGGAGCGAAGGAGGGAAGAGTCGCATGCCGGTGCCGTTGAGGAATATCTTGACGAGGTTCAACAAGTAGGGTGCTTGTTCTGTACCATTGGTAGTGATGGTTGTACACTATGTAAACATATCTAGTCCTATAACATCTGGACACGATACGATGACAGGAACTGTGGGTCCCATTGCCCGATGTGGCACAATAAGCTGCGGCGCATGCTGGCTTACCATGTGGCGTGCATAGACTATAGACCCGCGGAATAGGCTTGATCTCAACGTTCATCTCGTCGCCCGCTTTCCTTCGCTCTCCTTGCTCTCAGACTTTCTTTCCTTGCCAATATCCACATTGCGCCTCTGCCCAGCGCAGTATTCTATCCCATTGGAACGGCCAACCTACTCCCGCAACAATAGAGAGGTCCGTACTAGCCGTATCAACTCACACCTTCACGTAACTAACGCAGTAGTATCTGAAGCACGGGGTCTCTTTCACAGCAACGGTGTTGAGAGGAAAGCGCGCTATGCTGGTGACCTAACCCTGCATCTCGTATACGACTACTTGGCGATCTATGATGGATGAGGAGACTATGACAGTGGGGAAGATCCTGGGGAGGGTGCGTGGTGTGCTACACGCTCTCGTGCCGTATCTGACATTCCACAAAGCTCATCCGCCACGGACAGTACCTCTTGGTGTACCCGTACGCGTACACGGAAGGCAGAGATCGTACGTTTGACGCGTCGCGCAAGACTTCCATCCCTAACTCGGTCCCTTCCTCACAGATATCTACTCCCCAATTGAGCTCGGCCTCTTTGACCCCTTCGAGGACCTACGTCTCCCCACACCAGACGGCATAACACTCCAAGCCTACCTCTTCCGCAAGCCACTCAACTATGTTCGTCGCTCCTTGACCGCGTCATTCATGTCGGTTCTGACCGTCCAAGCTAGTCATCTAGCTCGAGACTTACTATCATAATGTGCGTGGCGCGATGTGGCCGGTAAACAAGTGCTGATGCTGCCCACAGGTTCCATGGGAATGCAATGAACCTGGGGGAGTTCACGCACATTGCGCAGTACTTCGTACGAAGACAGTACAATGTCCTGGTCATGTCGTACAGAGGGTGCGTGTGAGCGCTTCCTCGCCATAGTCGTCCGCTCAAACATTCCCCATCTACAGGTATGCGAAGTCAACAGGGAAGCCCACGCAGAAGGGTACGTCGCGCGCCACTACATCATACACCAATCTTCATTACGCACAGGTCTTCGAATAGATGCTCAAACCGCGCTCGACTTCGTCCTTAATGACGATCGCCTCAAGCACACTCGTGTCATCCTATATGGCCTCTCCCTCGGTGGTGCCGTCGCCATCGACCTCGCCAGCAGGAATTCGGACAGGGTACGCTTTCCCTCCACCCTCGTCTACTCTCTCAACCTCTACGCCGCCTTACTTTTCCCTCACCATCCTTCTCCCCCTCACCATCCGTATCCCCCTCCCAACGCGCCATACTCACGCGCCCCTATCCCAGATCGCCGGCCTCATCATCGAGAACACCTTCCTCTCCCTCCCCGCCGTCGTGCACGACTGGCCCTACCTCGGCCACCTCTCCTGGGCCGTCCACCAGCGCTGGAACTCGGCCGCGCGCATCAAGCACATCTCGCGCGACGTGCCGATATGCATGATGAGCGGGCTGGGGGACACGGTGGTGCCGCCGAAGCATCTGAAGGGCCTGTGGGAGATTGCGCAGGGGAGGGGGGTGGTGAAGTGCAAAGAGAAGGGGAAGGGCGTTGGGAAGGACAAGGGGCCGAGTGGTGGTAGGGGGAAGCCGGGGAAGGGAGGAGATGCGGGGAAGGGAGGCGACGCGGGGAAGGGAGGCGGGAGTGGGTCGAGCTTGACCAGTACCAGCAAGGGAGCGGACGAGGCGGAAGAGGAGACCCCTTTGAAGGACGAGTTCCATACGTTCCGGTTCGGGCATCATCGTGCGTTCATTCCGGGCTGTTGCTCTTCAACCACGGCTTATCCCACCACCCAGACGACACACACGAACAGCCCGGATACTGGAAGCGCATCGACGGCTTCATGGACAAGATCAAGGGGCAGAAGACGCGCCCGATGTCCGGCGTGCCGGCGACAGCGCCGACCGCAACGAAGCGGAGGTCGTGGAAGGTGATGACTTGGGGGTGAGAGGTGTCAGGATGAGCGAGGGGTGAGGGGTTGGGGGGATGGGTGCAAGGATAAGGGGGGAGGACGTCGGGATGGCAGGAGGATGGCGGGATGACAAAGGTGTCGGCTTGTCGGATTGCGGACAGTGCATGCTACTAACATAGGACTTCGCTAATGTGTATATAGGGTAATTCAGTGGTCTCGTATGCTTGACTTCGGCGTCTGACTGATGGGTTACAACTAGCAAGCGCGCCCAATGACCTTCGCTACGCACCAATAAAGAACACATCGATAAAGAACACATCGATGCAAACACGTTCATTGTACCCTAAGCCTATGAAGTACAAAAGATGATCCCCTACCCGATGCCGGATCCCAACCAAGAAGGAAAGAAAGCACGAAATGCAGCCGCCAGCGACTCGCCCTACAGCAAGACGGACACTCAAGCCGCAGTTGCGTTCACCGCTGCGGCTGCCGCGCTGAGATCATAGCGGTCCTTCAGGTTCGTCCACCAGTCGCGGAGCATCTGAAAGACGTGTCAGCCATCACGCGCTTCATGGACCGAGGGCAGCAGTCGAGAAATGGGCAGCGGTCAAGATGTGCGCAGACAAGACCGGGACTCACCCAACCGTCAAAGTCAGTAATCACCGTCGAGCTTCCGGCAAGCATGATAAAGTTGGTGATGCCGGTGGGCTGGGAAGAGAGTAGCGGGTCAGCGTTTGCGACCCAGTAGAGACAGTAAGCAGACGGCCGTGACTCACCGTCCAGTCGTAGAAGTCATCGAGCGCAAAGGTGTGGCCCTTAAAGGGGGCGTCCGTGTCAGTAACCATTCAACGCGAACACAGCAACTCAAGCTAGAACACAGCAACTCGGGCTTACCAACTCATGCAGCACAATATGCACGTTCTCCTCGTTCATCGTCTCCAGGAAGTACTCTGAGCCGACGCGCTGGCCCCAGTCGCCGCCCGCGCCGGTCTCGCCCATGCCGTCCGTGAGCCAGAGGGACATGTCTGGTGAGAGGGTTAGCGCATGCCTCGACGCTCACCCCGATGCCAGCCACGATGCTCGACCCAGATGTCATTCACAAAACACATCCCAGATGTCAGCCTCAACGCCCATCCCAGATGCCAACCGCGCTCAGATGCCATCCACGAAGCCCAGCCCAAATGCCAACGCACCATAATGCTTGTCCGCCCCCGCCGCACACCCCGAATAATCGTTATCCTGATGGAAGAACCGGCCGCACGCCTCCGCGCACTGCGGGATCCCATCCGCGTCCACGTCCGTGTACACCTCTAAGCCCGACGTGTCGCCCTCGAGGAGGTTGGGGTCGCTGACGGCCCAGCCGACGACGGAGACGGGGACGGAGGAGTACGGGAAGGAGTCGTAGCTGGATGATCATGGTGCGAGGGTTAGGAATCGTCAGAGAGGAAAGTCAGTGAACACACCCATAGAGCCACTCCATCCACTTGCCGACGAAGCGCTGGAGGGCCTCGGCGATCGTCGCGCGGTCGGCCTCGGTGGAGGTCTTGGAGGACTCCCAGCGGACACAGTAGTTGATTTTGCCGTTGTTGGCGATGACTTGCTGGAGTGGGGAAGGGATGGTGGGGAAGGGGGGAAGGAAGGATGGGCGTTAGTGAGGTGAGGACGATGGAAAAAAAGAGCGCATGCAGCGCACATCGAAGCCGTAGTTCTTGAAGCCGAGCGGGTCGGAGTAGGTCTCCATCTCGTGCTGCCAAACCTCCTCCAGCGGTTGCGTGAGGTTGGCGGGTGGGTCCCAGGTGGTGGGCTCGATGACGCGGCGGGAGAGGGAGGGAGTATTCTTGGAATGATCATGACTGAGTATACAGAACGGTGCATGAACTATGGTATGGTGCGCACCTGAGCACCCGGACCCTTGAAGGGCAGCCGGCGAGGGAACACATCCCGCGCCATACGAGCAGAGTTGGCCGCAGCGTGTGCGGCCAGCGCGCTCGCTGCGAGGGAAGCAAGTACAAAAGCTGATGACAGCATCATGGGGAAGGAGAGGTAGGCAGAACGAAAGAGAGGCACGACGAGGGTGGAGTGAAGAGTGGAGGAGGAAAGAAGTAAGCTACCGGAGCCTCGCCAGCCATGCTTATATGCAGTGCGCGCTCTTGGCACACGGGTAGTCAACGTCGGAAGGCGGCGCTGACGACGGGAAGAACGTCGGGAAAGACATGACAGATGCGCGCGGACGCGCAGGTCGCGGCCCGCGGAGGCGGGTTCCTTGGCGTCAGGCGAACCTCCGGACCGTTGATGCACTATGCACGAGGATCTTGCTCTTCATTAAGACGTTCATTGAAGAACTGGAGAAGCTCAACGTCTATATCGCGGAGAATATCGAGGGAACGATAAGCCAACGTCGAAGGAACAGTTCCGCGCGGTGGGGTTATGATATTCGGAAGATCTACACCGGGCGTGGATCACGCTTTCTCCAGCAGCGTGCTCAGGCAGCCTGGACTTGTCGGTCGCGTATGGCATGGTGCCACGCCTCTGAGGGAAGATGATGGATGGGAACAAGGGGCATGCAATATCTGGACGTGCTTGTCACCCGCGCGATTGGGCGTGGGACAGTTGCTCGGCCGGTTCCGAGCCAAGGACCCTCGGAACCGAATTGTGGTCACCTTGTTCTGAACGCCCATTGTTCTGCGTGACTCTGCCAACCGCAAGGCAAACATGCGGTACAAACACGCTCTGCTTGCTCCCTATATGTACGGGCGCTCCCCATGCTCCCTCCCCTCTCTTTCCAACTAAGTCGACACCATGCCTCGTGCCCGGCCTGCCGCACCCGCCGTTCCTGCTCCTCTTTCCGCCGTCGATGAGACGCTGGCGGCTTTCAGGAAGGTATTCCTGTCAAAGCCACCCTACGTGAGCGGTGTCTACTCGATAGACAAGACAGGCTATCTGCTCTACTATGGCGGCACAGGTAATCCTCGGTAAGAGCTACCTCAGCGCCAGCGTAGTGCAATCTCATTGACTCTCGTGCTAGGTGCATCGACCTCGCCAACGCATCCGAAAGCGATCTCCAAGCCCTTTCAGACGCCTGTCAGCCTGCCACCTTTGGCAGGAACGACGTCGACGTCTACGACGAGAGCTACCGCAAGGCGGGGAAGATGGACGCTGGCGACTTTGCCACCAAGTTTGACCCGGAAGGCTCGGGTCTGCTCGATCTCATTTGGCCTGACTTCTTGTCCGATGGTGGCGACACGAAGCAGCGGGTTGTTTGTGAGCTGTACAAGCTGAACGTTTATGGTGCGCTACATGTTCTACATTGCGCCTGCCCCTCGCTCACGGCCAACGCGCAGGTCAAGACTCTTTCTTCAAGGCGCACAAGGACACGCCGCGAAGCGACACCATGTTTGGTTCGCTCGTCATCGTTTTCCCCACCCCCCACTCGGGCGGCGCGCTCATCCTGCGCGAGAACGACAAGGAGTGGACGTTCGACTCCGCCGCCGAGGTCCTCGCCGGCGACGCACCCAAGATCGGCTACGTCGTCTTTTTCTCCGACGTCGAGCACGAGGTCGCGCAGGTGACATCGGGCTTCCGCGTCACCCTCACCTACAACCTCTACTTCGACGCCAAGTCCACCACGCCCGCGAACGCGCTTTTGCGCCAGCCCGACCTGCCCTCGCGTGTCTCGCAAGTCGGCCAGGAGCTGAGAACGACGCTCTCCTCCCTCCTCGCGCGCGAGGACTTTCTGCCCTCGGGCGGCTACCTCGGCTTCGGCCTCCGCTTCATGTACCCGCTCGACATGAAGAAGCCCGTCGCGGTCATCGGCGACAGCCTCAAGGGCTGCGACGCAATGATCAAGATCGTCTGCGACGAGCTCGGCCTGCCCAATAGCCTGAAGGCCATGTACAGGAGCACGTCCGACGTCTATGACGGCGTGCGCGTGTTCGTCGCGCGCGACACGTTCTGGAAGGGTACAGGGCCTCACCAGCAGATCGACACGGAGGTCGGATGTCCGTACGAGACGTACACGAACAAGACGAGTATCGTGCTGCGCCTGGCGGGCGCGCCGCCGCTCACGGACTACAAGCGTAGAGTGAAGCCGACGGAGGAAGTGAAGTGGATCACGGAGGTCCCGAAGGATTACAACGTCGTGAAGTCGACGTATAGTGCGTGTTGTTCTTTTCTGCCCTTCGTGTTCTTGTTCGCTGCCTTTCGTGTTCTTGTTCTTCGCTGCCCTTCGTGTTCTTCTTCGTCGCCCTTCGTTCTCTTCAGCGATTGCGCTCCATATTTTGCCTTTCCTGCACTCTGTGTCTGCGTGTCTCGTCAGACGCTGATCAGATTCGCAGTGGCGTACGGCAACGAAGCTCAGATCGAGTATGCCTACGGCAGGCCGATCATCATCGCGCGCGTTGGTTCTTTCGCAGAGCGCAATGGACTTGCTAAGGCATCGACGGCCAGTCTCACCAAAGAAAAGGATGCGCAGGAGGGATCCGGTGATGCGCGCGCGGGGGCTGACCAAGTCGAGAAACCTGAGACGTGAGGACCTTTCCAAAGCACTATATATGTTACTGACCTCTCTGGATAGAGGTCCAGAAGCGAGCGATAATCAAGGTGCGAAGGCGAAAGCAGGTACTAGCGCTGCGGGACCTGCGCCGCGTGGCCGCAAGTTGCTCAAACAGGCCACTCCCGCTGCCGAGGACGAGCGAACCACTAAGACTTCCAACGATGCAACTGCTCTTCATGCCACTGATGATACTACCGAAGCCAGTGCTCCTACCGCCGAGGTCGGTAGCTCTCCTGCTGACGCGTCGTATGTCTATCACTTTTCTCTCACAGTGATGTATGCGTGCTGACTCGTTCAACAGAGTCGGGGAGGGAGCTGCTCCCGCTGTGTCTGGCACCAAGAAGGGACCAAAGCGTAAAGCTACGGCGCCCACGGCGCCCACCCGTACCAGCACGCGCCTGAGGTCGCAAGGCCCCACGAAGAAGTAGTGAATTCTAGTAGCACGTCTACGGATATAGCTCGATGTGGAATTTCAATAGAGATATATATGTGTGTATCATGCGTTCCAGAGACACCTAGATTTGTACGATTCCGGACGATGCTTGCCAGAGGAATATTGAACATCCTGCGTTGATAAACTTCCCTCCACGTGATGAGCGCGTGGAAGTCACGGACAGGCCAAATCGGGCAATTGATGGCTTGCGTGCGCGCAAAGGCTTGATCGGCGCGAATTGGTTTCTTGACTCCGACCATCTTGATCTTGCCTTCGACCATCATCATGACTACTGCCGCCGACGCTACTGCTGACCCTAAGGCTGGCTCACTTTCTGTCAAGGATAGGATAGCTGCCTTCGGGACCATCTTCGAGTCCGAGTCGCCTTTCCTGAGCATAGTCTGCAGCATTAAGAAATCTGGGTACCTGCTTTACTACGGAGGAGAGCGGAGTCCTAGGTATGCTCTGTACCCTTCTGATACCCTGACATCTCTGACTGATTACCATGTCTTCCGCAGCTGCATCGACCTGGCCAACGCCTCGGAAGCTGGTTTGCAAGCGCTGGCCGACGCTTGTCGGCCGGTGACGACTGTTACAGGCAGAAAACACGTCAAAGACGAGAGATATCGCCTTCCAAGAGAGATGGACCCATGCGACATTGGGACCCAGCTCGACTTGGAGGATTTGAGGCTCTCAGAGCACCTCACGGCAGACCTCTTGAGCAACGGTTCCGAGGTCAAGCCCAGATTCATATGCAGGCTCGATAAGCTCAATGTGTATGGTGCGTGGTGCGCTTTGGATTCCTGGCGATCGACTAATAAGCATATAGGCAAAGGCTCATGCTACAAGGCGCGCAAGAATACATCGCGTAAAGAAACTATGGTCGGGTCCCTCCTCGTCGTCTTCCCCACACCTCACGAGGGAGGTACTATCGTTCTGCGCGACAAAGGCGAGGAATGGCCGCTCAACTCGACCCCCAAGATATCCGGCAACGGCAAACCCCACATCTGCTTTGTCGTCTTTCCCTCTTGCGTCGAACACGAGATCACCAAGGTGACCTCTGGTCACCTGGTCACCTTGACCTACGAGTTATACCTCGATACCAAGTCTACTGTGCCCTCTCTCAAGCTATCACGCCAGCTCGATCCTCCCGACGACTCCGCCCTCTCGAAAGTCGGCCAGGAGCTCAAGTCCATGCTCGTCGACTTCCTCGGGCGCCCGGAGTTCCTCCCCTCTGGCGGCTTCATCGGCTTCGGCCTCCGATTCATGTACGGCTTGGACAGCAACACGTCTATGACCAGACTCGCCGGCAACCTCAAGGGCTACGACGCAACAATCAAGCAGGCCTGCGACGAGCTGAATCTAGGCAACAAACTCTTTGTGCACTACGCCGCCTCTGCCGGCACCGGACACACCAAACAGCGGCTTTTCGTCACGCGTCGCGCGTTCCTCGAGGCTCAAGACGACAGGGAGTACAGCAAGGAAGGTGTCGATAACTACAAGTTCTTTGCTGAAAAGGGGTCCCCCATTTTGCGCCACGCCGGCACGAAGACCATACAGGATAGCAATGGGGACGAGGTGAAGACGTATGAGGTCCATTGGCTGACGCCGATCTCGACCGCCTTCAACATCGTCAGGACCACCTACAGTACGTTCGGTTATGCTTTCCCTCCGTTTAGAACGCTACATTGATGTTGCGCTCAACAGAGCTAACCGGAAAAGAAGCGCGACTAGGCTATACCCACGGGACGCCAATCCTCCTCACATATATCAGTTCGTACGATATCAGAAGGAAGAGTGCGAAAAAAGCTGGCACAAAATCGGGCACACAGCGAGCTCCCGTTGTGGAGGCGCATGACCCTCGTAAATCATCGTATCCCAGAGACGATGCGGAAGGCTCCGAACCGGAAACGTAAGGCGTCGCAGTTGCCCGCTTGTCTGCCGAGGCTGATCCAGATTAATAGTCAACAAGGAAAGCAACAAGGACGGCAGCGATCGCCGGAAGCGAGCGGCAGGAAAGCTAGCGCTCCCGCGCCCACTCAGACGACAAACCAGGCTCCCGCTGAAATTGTCCCGTCCGAAGCCAAAGTCGGTGATGACATACCCCAAATTTGCACGAGATCTACCAGAGAAGCCCCTGAGGACGCACCAGATGCCACTCCTCACAAGCCTGTTGCTGTCGCTGACAAGGCTCAGGCTTCTGCGACTGATGAAGTGCCTCAGGCGCCGACTTCCCTCACCGCTGCACCAGTCGAAGCTGCGTCCGATAGGTATGTTCGTCTTGCTTTCGGCATTGCGTCGCGCTGGCCCATGCTTATATCATTCTAGGCGTAGTAAATCCAGCAATCCGGCAAAAAATGATGCGGTCGTCTCCGAATCTCGACATACCATTGCGTCTCGATCATCCACCAAGCCCTCCCTCGCTGTCGTACCTCCATCGCAGTCCAAGGGGAGCGGCAAACGCAAGGCAGAAGCACCTGCACAAACCACTCGCTCAAGCAAGCGCCTCAAGGGCAAGCAACAATGACGGGTTCGTATACGCCAATGTTGCAGTGTGGTAGTGTACACTTAGTATGTCATTGTAAAGCTCGACTCATGTGCTCATCGTCTATGGCGCTGTCGCTTGCATGAACTATAACGCTTACGCCTGAAATGATGATTCAACGGTGACTGCAGGTCAAGTCAACGAGGGCGAGGCGGAAACAGTAGTACAAGGTTGCGAATAAAGCAGAGAAAATACGGTATAAGGCCATCACTTTTGCCGTATACATTACAAGTCTATAGAACATGCACGCATGTCCCTTCCTCTTCTGTATGTGACCGCGTGATAAGGTCGGGGAAAGGCCTAAAGGAAAACTTCGCCATGTTGCGAGAACCAACATTCACGTGACTGGCTCGTGGTCGCCACATGTCGTTTGCCAAAACAAAGACATCGTCATGCAATTCACACTTGACCCCGACCACCATCATGACTACTCCTGCCGACGCTCCTGCTAACCTTCCACCTGTTCAGGATAAGGCCCCCGTCAAGGACAGGGTAGCTGCCTTCGAAACCATCTTCTGGTCCAGGCCACCCTTCCTGAGCGGAGTCTACCCGATCGACAAGTCTGGATATCGGCTCTACTATGGCGGAGAACACAACCCCCGGTGAGCTCTCTACGGCTCGAATGCCTCTGTGTTAGCTGACTACGGCATCACTCGTAGCTGCATCAACCTAGCTAACGCCTCGGAGGCTGATTTGCAGGCTCTGTCCGATGCATGTCAACCAGCGTCCTTTGGACTGAACAACGCCGACGTGTACGACGAGAGCTATCGCCTAGCTAGGAAGATGGACTCGAGCGACTTTGCCACCAAGTTCGACCCGGAGGACTCGGGGCTTCTAGAGCTGATCACGGCCGACTTCCTGGGTTGCGGTTCCGACGTCAAGTCGAGGTTCATCTGCGAGCTTTACAAACTCAATGTCTATGGTGCGTGGTCATCTTTGGCGGCTCGACGGCTTGCTGACGCGCGCTTAGGCAAAAACTCGTTCTTCAAAGCGCACAAGGATACCCCGCGTAGCGATACCATGATTGGATCTCTCGTCGTCGTCTTTCCGACCCCTCACGAGGGCGGCGCTCTTGTTCTGCGCGAGAAAGACAGGGAATGGACGTTTGACTCCGCGACGGAAGTCCTCAAAGACGGCGACCCCAAACTCGGCTTCGTCGTCTTCTACTCCGACGTCGAACACGAAGTCACCAAAGTGACCTCTGGCCACCGAGTCACCCTGACGTATAACCTGTACTTCAATGCCAAGTCTACCGCCGCCTCGCTCAAGCTTCTCCGCCAGCCCAATCTTCCCGCTAACCTCAACATCTCCAAAGTCGGCCTCGAGCTCAGATCAATGCTCCTCGACTTCCTGATGCGCTCGGACTTCCTCCCCTCTGGCGGCTTCATCGGCTTTGGCCTCCGCTTCTCGTACCCTCTGAGCAACAAGACGCCTCTGGACGCATTAGCCAACAACCTCAAGGGCTGCGACGCAATGCTCAAGGTTGTCTGCGACGAGCTGGGTCTGGGCAACAAACTCTACGCGCATTACAAATGCTTCGCCGGTGATGAATGGGGCAAAAAGCGGCTGTTCGTCATGCGCAACACGTTCCTCGAGTCTCATGACGGCAGGGAGTACGACAAGGACATCAGTAAAATTTAACTTGTCTATGGGGTGCTGAGTAGGCGTTGTAGATGCGGTAGCCACGTTGACAAGTACCCTTTTATGCGGGCTTACATAGTTCGCTGGTGGTGCTGCGTAGGTGGGCATAGTAAGCCATAGGTCATGTAGCCTCCGGTGCGGACTACTTCGTCTTCGTAGCACGTCTGAGCAATCCTCCTACACGTAAATGGATTGCACAGACGAACGATGTGGGCTACACCCCACTCGTCAACAGATGAAGCTACGTGCATCCTGGTAGCGGTACCTAGCGTACGTCTTGCCAGAGGCAATTGCATAGTACGAAACCTCACCGTCAACCCTTGGAGGTCTGATATTATCTCTCAGTCTGATGGAGGCCACAGTTCAACGAAACGATGTCGTGTTGCTCATGGAGTATCGTAATTAAGAGGGTAATAAGATATACAAACGAGGGCATGACATTAGGCAGTGAAGTATATGAAGCGGCGAGCAGTTCTGAGAACGATGATTACCTACGCGTCGTTGTCCCCCTCGTCTTCCGTGTCCGTATCGCCGGTATGCTTGCTCAACTCCTCCCGAGCCTTCAGACGCGCTTGTTCAGACACTGCGATGACAGGTGTGTCGACGTCGTCGAATCCGGCCAGCGCCCTGACGAAACAACTGTTAGCTCTGTCGGGATCAAGGAGCACAAAAAACGTACCGAATCTTCTTGTACCAGCGGGCACGCATCTTCCTCGTGGTGCTCGGCTCATCATCGTCCCAATCCTTGACAAGGCGGAGGTGGGGCTCGTACATGGACCTCTTGGCGTGGCCCTCCGAAAACTTCTTGTGGATATAATGACCCGTCGACCACTCGCTGATTGTGTGCAAGACCTGCTGATCATGAGAAACACAACTCCAGCGATGCTTGTAGTGCTCACCATGGTATAAACGAGCGCAATGGTTGGGACAGGGAGGGGGTCGAGATATTCACGATAGACAACACCAAACGACGTGTCCTGCGAGCTGAAGAGAGTCTCCTCCAGGATGGTCAGAATTAGGCGCGAGTGACAGTAGCCCGAGCCCGTCTTCTCGTCCTGCCGCACGTGTGAGAACGAAGCAACAAAAAACACACAATACTTGAACTCGCCTGATAGAGGTAGCTGTTGTCCTTGATAAGACTGTCATGCTGCTTGCGATTCTGCGACAGTACAGCCTGACGCTTCGAGGTGCGGAAGTGAAAGCGCGCGATGACCTTGCTGCGGGTCGTCTTGATCATCTCGCCTCGGATGCGAGAGCCACGGCCGATAATCTGAAGGATTGAGTGAGTACGCGAGCCTGAGTGCATCATGAATGCTTACAAGCTTCCGAGCATTGTCGTCGCAGTCCAGATTGACCCCGAGAACCTGACAAGCATCGATCCAGGCATTCTGCACCCAGACGCGCTGCTTGACAGCGTCCGGGAACGGATCACGCGAGATGATGTACGCCTCATACTGGCGGGACGCGCGCAAGATGACTTGCTTAGAATCTCCACAGTAGTCCGCAGCCTTGAAGCGGTGACGTGGGCCTGGGGTAAGCCCGGGAATGAGCTGAAGTGCAGTCCCTGCAGCTTGGGCAACGTTCGTAGGCTGAGCGGCGGGGCTGTCGGATGATGCGTGTTGCATGGGCTGCGTAGGCGGAGGCACGTGCTGAGCAGATATGGTGTCGCGTTGGGGGGACGATGAAGGGGCTGGCGACGGCCCAATGCCATTGCCGTCCGAACCGTGCGCGCGCGGGCCCGCGGCCATACGGTCTGGCGACGACCCGATGTCATCGTCATCTGACATGTTCTTGCGTGGGCCTGCCGCATTTGTCTTCGCCAGCAACGCCTTGCGTGTCATCTCGATAGGCTTGGGCACGGCGTTGTGGGGCTTGGGCTTGAGTACGGTCTCGAAGTCGACGCGAGGGACGGTACCCTGAGTCACCGTCTCGTGGACCACCTGCAAAACATGAGACCCCGGTGATTGCTGGCGTGTATGCAGGACGTACTAGGGAGCCAAACTTGTCGAAGGCGCTTGCTTTGGTGGTCTCCTCCTCGCTCTCGACATCGCCATCAGCGTCGTTACCACCTATAGATGGTCAGGCTCAAAGACAAGCACTACTGTAGGAGAATGTACTCACCATCAACCTCGAGCTGCTTCTTCTTGTCCTTCTTCTTCTTGTCCTTCTTCTTGTCCTTCTTCTTCGTCTTATCCTTTCGGCCTGATTGACGTTGAGCACGAGATTATGTGTATCCAGGACCACCAACGCACCTTCAGAGCCCTTCTTACGACCCGAGCGACGGATGCCGGGAGACTGAGGGTCACCCTGCGCATCGTTGGTACACGGGCCATCTCCGTCGCATGACTGAGGAGGGCTGGGCTCAGGCCTCGCCCGCTTCGGAGGCGAAGGCAAACGACCGACGGACTCGTCCGAGGACGAGTCGGAGGAGTCGTCCATAACGTGCTTCGCAGCGGGCATGACAGGAAACTGAAGGTGGGAGTCAGAGACAAGAGCCGCGACGAGGTCCAAGCAGCATGCATCACCTTAAAAATGAAAAAAAAAAAATCAGACGATCAGCATGAGGCTCAGGCGCATCAACTGCTTCGTGACGCTTGCCGGTGCGCAAGGCGGTCACTACCACTCACCCGACTATGCCCGCCCTACACTGCTGTCCATACTGCACGCGCAAGGACTTCGACGGTCCACAAGGTGTTAAATCACACCTTTCCCAATATGCGCCTTGCCGCGAGCGCCTGGAACGCGATGTAGCCAACGCATCCCGCGCAAACACGACGTCAGCAGATGCTGACGCCCAGCACATGCCAGGCCTCCCTCCGCTGCAGCCACAGTCCGCGCATACACCTGACGATGACAAGGAGCAGGCTCCCCACACCGCTCCTCGGGGGCCGTATGTCACTGTTTACCCTCGCGCAGCAGGCGCTCGGTTGCGCAAGGCCCGTACACCCTTCGAGTCATTAAGAGACGCACAAATCAAGCACGGACTACCTCCGTACGCACCCTTTCGAAGCATGGACGAATGGGAGCACTTGAGGTGGCTCGTGACGAGCGGCGCGAGCCAGAGCAAGATAGATCAATATCTAAAGTTGAACTCGGTAAGTACTCGAGTATATCTCGCGCTTCCCCACTCACCTTCGTCGGCAGATCCGCGCGATAGGTCTGCCGTTCCACAACAAGGATGGCCTCTTCAAGTTCGTCGACACGCTACCGCAGGCACCCGCGTGGTCATGTCGTCGATGGATCGTGCCTGGGAATGTGTTAGGACCGGATGGGCAGCCTTTGACAGAGGAGATTGAGCTCTGGCTGCGTGACCCTGTCGAGTGTATCCAGGAGTTACTCAGCAATCCCGCATTCGAGGGAAAGCAGGCATACGCACCCTGCCAGATATTCAGCAGCTTGGACAAGGAGGGCAATGGCGTCAATCGCGAGTATGACGAGATGTGGACTGGAACGTGGTGGTGGGAGATACAGGTGAGCGGCAGGCAACACTTCCAGAGTCTGGCGTGCTTACCTCGGTGATCAGAATAAGCTGAAGGACGGTGCAACCGTTTGTCCCGTCATCCTCGCGACAGACAAGACGCAGTTGTCGACGTTCAGCGGTGACAAGCAGGCCTGGCCGGTCTATCTAACCATTGGCAACATCGCGAAGGACGTCCGTCGCCAGCCATCATCCCACGCCACCATTCTCGTCGGCTACCTGCCAGTCAGCAAGTTGACGTGCTTCCACGAGAAAGAGCGCTCACTCCAGGGCTACCGCCTCTTCCACAAATGCATGTCCATCCTCGTCGAGTCCCTCGTCAAGGCGGGAAGTGACGGAGTGGACATGGTTTGTGCGGATGGCTGGGTGCGCCGTGTACATCCTATCCTTGCGGCGTACGTCGCCGATTACCCAGAGCAGTGTCTCGTTTGCTGCATCCGCGAGAACTCGTGCCCGCGCTGTACAGTCTGCCCGAGCGAGCGTGGGTCGGCGTCTGCCCACACACGTGCACGAACACAATCGGAGGCGATGACCATTCTCCAGGCTCAGGCGGAGGGTAAAAGCCCGCCGGAGTTTGTCGAGCTCAACATGCGGGCAGTCAAGCCATTCTGGGCAGACTTGCCCCACACCGACATCTTCTCATGCATCACGCCCGACCTCTTGCATCAGGTGCACAAGGGCGTATTCAAGGAGCACCTGGCGAAGTGGGCAACATTAGCGATTCGTATCCCTTCGGGGGAAGCGGAGTCGGAGGCAGCGCAGAAGAGGGAGATGGACTCACGCTATCAGACCATGCCCCTGCACCACACCTTGCGGCACTTCGCGAAGGGTATCTCGCGCACGACTCAGTGGACCGGGAAGGAGCAGAAAAACATGGAGAAGACGTTTCTTGGGGCGCTCGATGGAGCAGTCGACGTCGAGGTCGTCCGAGCAGCACGAGGGGTTCTCGATTTCATCTACTACGCGCACTTCGAACGACATACAGACCAATCTCTGTCCGAGATCGAGGCCGCCTGCGCCGCCTTCCATGCGCACAAGGGCATCTTCATCGACCTGGGTATCCGTGAGCACTTCAACATCAACAAGCTCCATGCAATTCTGCACTACGCAGACGCCATTCGCTCGCGGGGAACCGCGGACGGATTCAACACAGAGGGGACGGAGCGCTTACATATTGACCTGGCAAAGCTGGGATACCGAGCGTCGAACCGGCGGCAGTATACCGCCCAAATGACGCGCTGGCTAGCTCGGCAGGAGGCGGTTTGGCGGTTTGGTAGTCTGAGATCGATTGCGCTTGCCTTGTTAGTACCCCCAGCGTGGGAACTTTTGAAGCAGCGGAAGGCGGGACGAGATTGCGATCCTTCTCGCTTTTGGAGTGGCGTGGCGTAACAGCCATCGGCGTGGTTGGGTGAGGCTCCAAGACGTCCGTCCTGCAATGGGCGCGACACAGCTCGGGAATAAGGGATGCTTTCTACATTTATATGCCTGAAATCTGAAGCCAGCCTTCGAACGTATACTCCATACAGATCGGCCGTATAGCCCTGGTTGAAATGCTGAGATGAGAATATGTTTGCCGTACTGATGTGATGCAGCGCCAACGTGGGCTTTGAGAGTACTTGGTCCACCATTTTCTATATCTCCCAGACCATCTCACGGGGACTTGAGCGATATGCCATGGACCATATAGCCTGAGGAACGGCGACAAGGGCAAGCCCTGTCACGTCCACCGATCGCATTTGCGCCACGCCACTCCAAAGCGAGAAGGATCGCAATCTTCCTCCGCCTTCCGCTGCTTCGAAAGTTCCCACGCTGGGGGTACTAACAAGGCAGGCGCAATCGATCTCAGACTCTCTTCACTTGTGAACGAGAGGCTGAACTGTGAGACTAGCGGTTTGGGACTTTTCTTCAGTGGGCGATGCCGGGCTATGTCGCCAACGATGCAGCAACAGCGGAGGACAATGAGGACGAGGAGGAGGAGGGGGAGGAGGGTGCAGAGAACGCAGCAGATGCAGAAGCAGACGACGAGGGTGACGAAACGGAAGACGTGTACGACGAGGAGAACTACGCCATCGCCAAAGTTCCTCCCTTCCCACGATTATCATTATCCTCGATCTTCCGCGACTATCACGTCGACGAACTGCAGTATCACCTCCTTACCTTTCTCGATCACGAAGGCGTTATTCCCCTGCACACCGACCTCGGCGTCAACTCTCCCATCACCTTCCCAGTCTACAAGGACGTCAAGCTCAAGCTCAAACCCCTTGCCGAAGCCGCATCGGACTCCGTCGACGACAAGGTCGTTGCGATCCCGGCGAAGCCGCGGAGAGTCACCAAGGCCGGGGTAACCCTACCCGCCTCCCCCGCACAGTGGAGCACGGCGCTTGTGAGAGAACGCGCAGCAAAGCAGGATGCGGGACCTCTGGATGGTGCGTTGTCGATCATGATCGTCGCTCACATACTGACCCTGTGGCGTATAGGCCTCACTCCTGTCCGCGTCCGCCTTCTCTTCCGCCTCCCCTCCGGCATAGGCTCCTATCCCCATCCCCTTGCCTACGTCGACTTCTACACGCCACTCTCGGACAACACAGCATTCAACAAGGATCTTGGCATGTTCAGTATCAAGCTCGCGACTCGACGTGGTGCACAACATTCCGCTGTCATACCTGTGACCAAGCTGCTGCGCTCCTGTCACCTCATACCCGCCTTCAATCGCACGGTCAACCCCAACTGGACCGCGGCGCGCGTCCTTGACCTTGCTCCCAAGTTCTATCTCAACCCCTACCTACGCCATCACGACTTCTATCTATTCCGTGTTCTATACGAGCGCTACAGACACGAGCGAGCTGTAGCTTCAGCCCACGCACAGACGTCAATGTCAAGCACATCCCGTCCTTCGAAGAAGCCCCGTCGACAGCGATAGCTTTAGTAGCCTAGACACCAATACCGATATTAATTAGCGCTGATGTTGCGAGACTACGCGAGATGTCTTGAGTATTGAGGCAGTAATATGGTGCGCGATAGCTCCAGCGCCGACTGTGAGGTTCTATGTATCGGATTATCCAGCCGCCCTACCTATGCTAATAATCATAGTATCAGCAACGACTACCGGGAACTACACGGCCTACGACGCTACTGCCTTCAACTATGCGGTCCTACAGCGTGTCGTGTAGCTGGATCCCCATGTGAGTGACTACCATAGGCAACGACACCCGCTGTCAGAGTCCAGTAGTTCGGGGCCCTTTCCTGATGGAGGAAGGCGATAGCTTTAAGTTCTTTGCTGATGAGAAAGCTTTGATCTTACGCCCCGCCGGCAAGAAGCCCGTAAAAGACTCGGATGGGGATGAGGTGCACACGCATGAGGTGCATTGGCTGACGCATATCCCGACCGCTTTCAATACCGTCAAGTCTTCGTACAGTGCGTTCGGTCGCGTCATCATGTCTTGGATAGCTGACCCTGATGAATTCTTTAACAGTGGCCTACGGAAACGAGGCGCAACTGAAATACTCGTACGGGATGCCGGTCCTCCTCGCATATGTCAAACCGTACGCTGCCAGAAAGCAGCAAGCAGAAGAAGCTGCTGCAAACCTCGGCGCTCAACAAGTTGACAATGCGGATGCCCCCGACGCTGAGAAGTCTTCGCAGCCTAGGGACGATGAAAGACCCTCCGAAGCGAATATGTGAGCTCATTTCCTGCTGTATCCGGAATTTTTGCAGAGTGATGCTGACTCACAAATAGACTCGAGGGGAAGCAGCGAGAACGGCAGCAATCGCAAAATGCGAGCGGCAGCCAAGCCCCAGCACCCCTTCAGGCTGCTGACAAGGCTACTGCTCTCGCTACTGACAAGGCTCCCGCTCCTTCAGAAGCCGGTACCGCTCCCTCCAAAGCCAAGCCCGGCGACACCTCGAGCAAAATTCGCATGACTCGCGCCGACACGAAAGCGTCCGCGGACGCCTCGGCTGTGGCCAACAAAGTTGCTCCTGCTGTCGCCAGTAAGGAAGTTATGTCTACTCTTGCCGAGGAAGCTGCACCTGCGTTTTCCGACGAAGCTGCTGCTGTCGTCGCCGAGCAAGCTACTGCTACTACCGTCGCTGATCAAGCTGCTGCTGCTGCTGCTGCTGCTGCTGCGGGACCAGCCGCGTCTGCAAGCAATGCACCTCAAGCACCGGCGGCGCCTACCACTGCTGCCGCTGCGCCAGCAACCGAAACTACAGCCGACAGGTGCGTTCGACTAGTTTTCCGATCGTAATCCATTGGCTAATGAGCTTTTTAGGGCCGGTGAAACCGGCAAGTCTGCAGGAAACAAAACAACCGTCGCCCAATCTCGGGCAACCGCGGAACCCCAGCCTGCTGTCGAACCTCAGCCCGCCGCCGCACCTCAGCCCACCGGCGAAACTCAACCCGCAGTCGTGCCACAGCCCACCCCTGCAGCCCCTTCCCAGCCCAAGAGGAGGGGCAAGCGCAAGGCCGACGCTCTTGTACAACCCACGCGCTCGAGCAAGCGCCTCAGGGAGAAGAAACAGTGATGATGAAGGCGTTCTCGGGATGCTAATGAACTGAATACTCGTCGTCATATTGTACATTCAGATTCTCGTAACAATAAATCCTACACATAAATCCTCCTTGTACAGCCCTTGTATCTTCTCTTCAACTCGACGACGGTCCAACTGGTACACACTTTGCTGATGGAGCAATCCCATCCCAGTTATGGCGCTCGAGGACGTCGTAATTACGGCGTTGAAGCCCATCCCATTCAAGCCCCTCCGCCGCGGCCACGACCAAGTCCCCTTCCGCGGCCTGCGTACCCAATGCGAAAGCCTCCCAGGCCGCGCAAAGGACCGAGGTGCGGGAGATCTCCCCCGTCCGCGTTCCAGTGGTGCGGCGGGTGGTGGAGAATGCGGTTCTGCGCCGGATCCTCATACTCGAGCTCGTCTTCCTCTTCCTCTTCCTGATGGTGCATCAGCAGCTAACCCCGGCAGAGGATAGACCTGGCTGTGAAAGAGGTAATCAAGAGAATATCATACGCGAAGACAGTCTCGCAGCAAAAGTGGCCTCGCACAAAAATGACTTGCGAACATACCGTGAGATCAATGACGAGCGCACCCGTATGCCACCCGGCTGCAGTCGCCTGGAAGCAAAAGCGGTCCCTCGGTTTCTTCAGCCCGTGGTCGAATCGCACCTCAGTCGGCACCTCGACCGCCGGCGGCTCGCCCCGGCCACGGTCAATAGCCACTCCGCGAGTACGATCGTCCGCAAACCCGCCTGGCGCGCCCGCGGGCAGCTTCCCCGGGTCGCCCAAGCCCAATGCGCCTTTCGAGTACGCGCCCCACGTAAGCAGCTTCCCGTCGGCGGTCAGGGCGCCCTTGTGGTAGTCGCCGAGCACGACGGAGATGACGGCGCGGTGCTGCAGCTCGGGCATGATCTGCGGCTCCAGCTCGGCGGTCGTGTCCGTGTCGCCGATAAGGACGACGGAGGAGCCGCCGGTGGAGTAGGCGATGAAGTTGAGGAAGTGGGCGGAGACCTGATATCATGATTCGTGAGTTAGAACCGAGAGGGGAGGTGGTGAGGAGACGGCTTACATGCGTGATTTTCAGCGTGTCGGGTGCCTTCACGGTGGCACTAGGGCCCGAAAAGGTAGGATGGTCGCGTATTTGGGAAAGTTCGCTGAACTTGGGTAGCTGATAGATCAGGCAGTTAGCCGACAGCAGTCAAGCGGGTACAGCGCGAGCGTACGTATTCCCATCGTCCTTGCGCGACGTGCGCCTCACCACTCAATGAACCGAACTTGAGAACGTGCCCTTTGTTCGTTACCCCGACGAGATGGCAGTCCATCCCGGCAATCTGGATCAGCTTCGTCGCCTCATCCAGGTTGTCGCCCGTGTCAGGGAGGTCCGGGAGCGCCGGAAGGGGCGGCAGCCGGATAGGGTCGAGGTCGACGTCCCAGGTTACGCAAGGGATGTAGCCATCTTCCTTAGGGTGCGCCTTCTTGTCGCCATCGCTGTCCATCTCGCGCATCTTGTCTGTGATTCGGGTCTTCATGTCGCCGTCGTTGGTGAACCACACGAACACGTCGCCCGTCTTGGTAAGTATTGAGGAGAAATGCCAGCCGCACTCCACTTGGACGGCGACTGTATGCGCGGGATCGAGCAATGGAGACGTCAGGCGAAAAGGTCGGCCCCAGCTCAGGAAGGTCCAAATGTGGCCATTTGCATCCAAGGTTGAGGAGTGAAGGCGCCCGCAACTATTCAGAGTCAGCGATATCTATGAGAGCGCCGGCTCAAGGGACGAACCTTATCGTCCGTGTTGCGGCAGGAAGACGGAGGCGCAGAGGCGTCTCAGCCCTCTTTCCTGGCTCAGAGAAACCGTCGCTACGCAGGGTGCCTGTACTTCCATCTAGGGCGCCTGCGAAGGATAGTATGAATTACCGCTCGATTGAATAGTAGGTGTGAGAGCGGCGGCGACTTACCCCAAACGTATAGCGTACCCTCTGAGTCGATGGCGTGGAATGACCTGTCAGACGAAGTTTAGTCTCACGGACGGTGGCTTCGTAACAGATGGGCGTTTCTCACATTCCACCCGCCTCAAGGTGAACGATACGCGCTCCAGGGATACGCAGCGGGGTAGGGAAAGGCACATGGCCGACGACGACCTTGGGGAACTTTGGTAATCCCAACCTGCCACAGGACTTCTCCCTGGAAAGATACAACTGTCAGGCGAAGGATCCTATCGAGGCGGTCTTCAATACAAACGTACCCCCATACGTAGACTAGTAGGAAGATAGAAACGTCAGTATGCGCGCATACATTCAACGCATTCTGCGCACCTCTCGGGTTGTATAAGCCTCTGTAAATGAACTTCCATCCACTCGTACGCGCAGTTCCTGCTCCCGTAAAGTTGAAGTCCTCCTTCACACGGATCTTCCAGAACGTGTCATCTGCGCATATAAGCGCAAAGAACTATACGAATCCTCGTCAAATCGCGATAACTTAGATAGAGATCGCGTACTGACCCTGCAAGTTTGGGCCAAGTCCAGGATATCGCTCACAGGGAGGAACGATAGGATATAGTCAGTGAAGATTTCGATAGGGAGGTCAGTAATGCCCGTCATCGCGTAGATCTCCTCGAGACTGTGGTGGTTGAGGACAAGACGCGACAGACGACTGCGCCGCTGCTGTTTGGCGGCATCGCCCCTAACAATGGTCGATGATGACGTCGCGTCACGGAGACGAAGACCTGGGTCACGCACATGGCACCCGCGTGCGCTCGGTCCCGACGCCGGAATGAAAACAGAACTTGTCCTCAACGACGACGACCTCGACTGACAACCCCCTATACCAGCTTAACATCGCCGCTCCAACATACGGAGAACACGGAGGGTGGCGCGAAGAGTGGAATAGAAGAGGCGGACCTGTAACTATCGATGGACTTCGCACAGACTGCTTCTCCCTTGAAGCTTCCTGCCGACGCATCATGACCTCGTCCTATGGCACTGTCGAATTTTCATGCGCCAACTCAACGTACCTCATCGCTCTTCCCGTCTCGTCTTCTGTCTCGGCATTGTCCAGCGCCACTATCGGGATCGGGAATGCAGACGGTGAAGCATCACCACCCGCTGATTATCGTCCCTCGACGCCCTTCGCATACCAAGTACTCAATTCATCCCATGCCCATACCGCGTCCTTGCTCCCTCAACGCGTGAGAAACTTCTCTCGTTTCCCTACCTCTGGCTGTACCGCCTTACCCTGGTCATGCTCGCCCTCCCCCGCAATTACCTCGAAAGACACGTTCCAACTGCGACCCTCATATTATTAACCTTCGCCGTGCCCGGCGCGCATGCTTCCCCCGTGGCACAAACTCTCGCGCTCGGAAATCAGCGCGCCCGACGCGAACCTCGCCGCCTCGGTGCGAACCCCGGCGCGCTGGGCGCTCAATCTTCGCGACGGGCGGGGCATCCTGCGGCGCGATGGCCATTCTGCGGCGCGATCGCCCCGCAGGGAAAGAAGCGCCATTCAGCCAGACGTAACCCCTTCAGTCAGACGCAACTCGCCGAAGAATTCTCGCCTTTGCTCGCCAGTTCGACAGCTTACACGGACAGGATGCGTCAGGCACGGGCGCGCGGCGCTGCAGCTGAGCCCTGGGGTCCTGGAAAATCGCACTTTGCGTGCTCCCGAAGGGCACGGGCTCCGTCTTGACATTCACGGTATCGCATTTGGGGCACGAGCTCCGTACGCAAGGGCACAGGCTGCGTGCTGGCATCGACAATAGGGCACGGGTTCCGTACTGGACAATACTTATCACGATTCGAGCGGCTGTCTGGACCGACAGGATGCATTGAAAGCTTATTGTGAGGAAGTAACGGCTTCGCTGAAGGGTGGTATTCTCAGACTGAAGGGCCGCTCGTGAATCATCAGCAGCTCTATTGCGCCCACCATTCAATTCTTGTATATGGCTCTTCAGTCCTGATACTTCCCCAAAGAGCTGATGCGCCGCCTCCCTCCCCAGATCTGCAACTTACCGCTCTCGTCGCGCGAAAGACCGATAGGCAGGACGTTGGGCGCTTCTTGAAATACGTCGGGCTCTTCCTGGTATGTTGCCTTGTCGTCGTGGCTCATATGACTACCAGTCGCGCAATTTTGGGTGGGGCGAAAGATATTGTACGTCCTTGTCTTGTGCAATTATGCTGTGTTCGGCGAACCGGCGCTGACGAGAGATATAACAGCAGTTCGGACACTTCCCGCTGATTGGGACTTTCTCGTCCACCAATTTAGGTATTCCTGCTCGTAGATGACGAGAGGTAGAAAGGAACGCGTAAGTAATTCACGGCACTCGCTGGATGACAATCGCGGAACGAGGTCCGAGTCGCGAGTCCTCCATCATCATTTGTGAGTAAATTCTCTGACTCAATGATTTCTGAATGGTCAAGTAACAGACCGTAGTACGCCACGCCGGACTACAAGGCATCTGACATCAGTGAGTCGAAGGATTTGACCTCCGACCTTGTCCTGCTGACCTCTGCTTTCTGGGCGATGCTCAACCGTTCTCGAGCGCGGTTGATCTGCTCTCGAGCGGGCCCTCGAGCGCCAGGTCAGATGCGCGTTGCAGCGGTATGCTCATCAATTGTTACAGAAGTTATACTGTTCGTCCTGCGTTACACGGTCCCTCCAGCGCGGCGTCTCTATCTTGTCCATTCTCCCGGTTCGCCTGTCGCGGCCGGGTCTTTGTGACATTGTCAATGCCATCGTACCTTCGCGCTCTATTGCACGTCCGCGCTCTATCGCGCGTCTGCGATCTATTGCGCGTCTGCGATCTATTGCCCGCTCGCGATGCGATACGCAGCCTTCAGAGTTCAGCGCGCATCTTCACCTTCAAATTCTACCCCTCGTATATCCTCGCGCCGTCGAGACTCTGCTGTACTCCATTGTGTCGATGCCGGTCTCCGCGGGCCGCAGAATCATCCTGCCTGGGACCGCCCGTCCCACAGATGACCGCCAGTCCCACAGATCCCGCACATCCGCATACACGCCCCCAGACGTTCACCCGCCACACCCCCAACACCCCAGGTGCCTGCCCTGCCCCTCTGATCCTCGGGGCTGTATACCCCTCTTATCGCGCCGGCGCCTTGGATCAGAACGCTCGCAACGCCGTGGATCTCGAGAGCGCTGACTTGAACTCAACAACTCGAGATCAGAAAGCGCACAACACCTTGAGATCAGAACCTCTCGCCATCGTCTTCGGCACTCTCCGCGGTCCCTACCACGCGATGCCACCGTCGCCGCCACCGCTGCACTCACGCCGAGCTCCCAAATGTGACGCCGAGCTCCCAAATGTGGCAGCCCACCTCACAAATGCGACACCGAACGCCATTCACCGGGCGACCGGTGCGGGCGCCTCCCGCGAGGCTTTCCCGTGGGATGTATGCGCGCCCTCGACGGTCCCACGCGGATTCTCTCGCCCCGTATGGCGCGAGCGCTTCTCAGGCGCGAGGATCCTCCTTATTCGTGCGTGCGCGGGCGCCCACGGTGTGGCTGGCGCTCAGGCGACGCTCAGGTCGCGGTAAGCAAGGAAATCGCAGAATAGAACGTACTGACGCGCCTGTTTGCAGTTGTATGCGACTCCAGGCGCTCGCACCGAGCTCTATCGGGGACTTTCTGAGCAGGCGAGTCTGCGCAGCCGCCGGCATTTCTCCACCGCGGTCGGTCGGGTCGGGTCGAACCTCTCGCCCTCTGAGTTTGCTTTCTTTAGGGACAGCCATATACGGGGAAGACCGATGCATGGGAATTTCCTGCATCAGAAAGCGCTTCCTTCTGACTCATCCTTCTTCCCATTGTTCTTTGCTATCGGTACTTCTCAGCATCGTCATCGCTGCCCAGGTACGTACCTTGTCTGCATATCATCCGATCCCTCAATGTCGCGGGCTTGTTTCTCCTGCTCTAGGTCCGCCTTTCCCGCGCCTCGTGCCACCCGACTCGCGAGCGCCTGCCCTCCCTCCAATGGCGGGATCGCTATCTTTGACGACGCCTCGCCCGCGCACGTTCGGTGGCCTGCGTTCTGTGGGATGCATCAGCATCAGACGGCGCGTTCTGCTGTTCCTGAGGTCCAGTGAGGTCTTGTTCAACCCATGTTCGACCCCGCACCGGTCCCGCGCCGTGCTGAAGGTTTGGAACTCTGTGCGCCTCACGAGGAGCACGCTGCACGCCGCCGCCTCCCTCGACGTGCCTCTCGCGCCGCGCCCTCCATCGCGCGCACCCACACGCGCCCGATGCGTACGCGCCAGGACAGGACAACTCACCAGGTGCGATCCCGATGCCCGGATTCTCGATAATCTATCATCAGTGCAGCATCAGCCTCCGGAATCAGTTGCGCACGGTTGCGCATCAATGCGGGATATATGTCTTCCTTTCGTCTTCTGCCACTCGCCGCTGCTCCTCGTCACCTCATCAGCGCATCAAACGACGCACCTTGCCGGTCGGGCACTCGTACGGTCACCCAGAAATGCGGATTATCCGTTCTGCTCGGCGACGAGGTCTTTCGCGTTTCTTGCTGCCTCAGCTTGGCGCGCTCGTCTTGCATGCAGGGCCATGAGTCCGGGGACTCCTCTCCGACTCCCCGTAAGGAAATCCGAAAGGCTTGGACGCATGCGGCCGCGAGCAGCACGCTCGCGAGTTGCCGAAGGTGGAGCAGCGCACGCGGCGCGCCTCTGCCTTCGACTTCGGACCACTCAGGAGAGCGTCGACCCTCCTCGACTCGGACGAGCCTCGCTGCCCTTCCTGAATATCCCGATTTTTCCCTGCCCTTCCCTGCCCATCCCGCACGCTGCACGACCTCCTGACCAGGATTCCCCTCCGCCCACGGAAGCAAACTCTCGGAGGAAAAGAGCCACGCTGACAGCCCTTCCTCCGAGCCCCGGCGGAAGAAAAAAGGAAATCAGACAAACACAGATGGCGTGCGGCAGCGGAATAGGAGACGTTTGATGGCAAGGATCCATCGATGGTGATTGACGAGTCCTCGGCGTCCGCCCGCCGGCCACGTTCGACTTCGAGGGAGCTGCTGCCGTCTGGAAATCCCCGAGAAAATTCGATTTCTGGTTCTTTTCTTCCGTGCGCGCTTCGCGGATGGCAGGGCGAGCCTCATGCTTTTGAATCGCATGCCTCGCGGGCGAGCTGGACGCGACTCCTCGACGTTCGACGCGCCTCGCTGGCCGGCCGCTCGGCGCGGACCCGACTGGGCGATGTCGAAGCCTCGCGACACGAGCTGCGGGAAGGGCGGTAGAATTCCACTCTCAATGTCTTTTGATGGCCTTTAGACAGCGACAGCGGGAGCGTGTGCGAGCTACTGGTCCTGTCAACATCGCCGCAGGAAGTGAGGTAAACAGCGAGCCATCGCGCCTCTCGCCTACGTACCGTAGACCTCATAACGAACCGGTGGTGCGTGCCATATGTGCTCGAGAATTTCGTATGTCGTGTATACTCTCAAAGTACATGTTATTCCAACCAAATGCACGGTATATAAAATCCAGGTGTACGTACTGACTATAATACTATATACACAGAAAGCAGAGCGCGCGCGGTGGGCGGCGCGGGGGAGAGATCAGAAAAAACCAAGGAAATAACGATAGAGCGTGATGTACTAGTGGGACAGGAGCGCGAGACGAGGTAATGTACAGGTGCGTGCTGGCGGGTACAGGTAGGTATGCTGGCAGACGCGCGGAGAGGCAGAGGAAACTTGGTGTGCATACAGACGAGAGACAAAGAGGCGAGGGGAGGAGGTGCATATTGGTAAGCGCGGCGTGTCGGTAGTACGCAGCAAGGTGCATGAGTGGTGCCGCTGCCCGAGTGCGATGACGAATGTATCCCGAGAGAATCCGGCGCCGTAGTAGTGTACCAAATTAGGGGATGGGGGAGGCGATTACTTACTAGGCTGTGAGCGTATACAAGAGGACAGACAACAGGCGCGGGCAGCGGCGGTGGTAAACAAAGAAAGTCGGTGACGCGGCAGAAGGCGAAGGCGCGGCGTGCCGGGGAGAATATATGCAAGAGGCAGGGTCTCAGTGGTATTCGTCACCACTGCCCTGCGCGCTAGATCGGCCGGTACTCGGACGCCTGGGGTCGTCCAGATAGCGCGAATTGTCGTTGGGTAGCGGCGGTAGGCCGTACCCGAGAAGCGAGGTGTCCGACATGCGGCCCATGGACGGTGAGAGGCCTGACGCGTGCGATAGGCCAGACGACTGCATGAGGCCAGACGACGACGCCATGTTGGACGAAAGGCCCGCTGATTGAGAAAGGCCCGACGGCGAGAGGCCTGACGGCGACATGCCAGCGGAGGAGAGCCCTCCAAGACCCATGCCCATACCCATGCCGGCGGTGGTGGACAGGTACCCGTCGCCACGGTACGATTGCTCGGCCCGCGACCACCTGTGGCGCTCGTCGCTCTCGTTCTGGAAGCGCGGGACGGCGTCGAAGCCGAAGCTGCCGCCGCTGGAGCCTGCGAAGGCGCCCATGGGCGCGTAGGCGCTGCGGGACTCGTCGTACCGGTCGTCGAAACCGCGGTGGTCGTAGCCGCGATCGTACCCACCGACGCGATGGCCTTCGTAGCCGCGGTGGTTGTCCAGCCCATAGGCGTTGGTGGCAGGGTAGTCGGGCTGTATGGCCATGCGGCGCTGCCGCGCGTTCGCAGCCGCCTCCGCCTCCTTCTTCTGCTGGCGCCATTTCTTGCGCATCTCCTTGAACTCTGTAGACGTGTTAGCAGAGAATAGAAGAGGCTATGATAAGATACGCACCCGCTGGGCTACGCTTCGGACCGTGCTTCTGCATGGTGACATGCGCGTTGAGATGGTTGAGGGTGCCGTATGCCTTGGTGCACTCCTTCCAGGAGCACTGGTAGAGGCGCTCTATTTCGTCATAGCGGCGGCGCGGGCGCTTCTTGATCGTGTTCCCTGGGAGGGCGACGAAGGAGTACTGCTTGCGACTGTCCGAGCCATCGTCGTGGCGCGCCATGGAGGGGGAGGTGGCAGACTGGGCTGAGCCTGGCGGGGAGGGCCCGTAGGTGTCTGTAGCAGAGTGGGGGTAGGGCATGGCGCCAGTGGCAAAGTCTGAGTGGAGGGGCGAGATGGGCTGGTGGTCAAGGCCAGCTGATGTGGGCGCGTAGGGGTCGTGGTCGTAAAAGGCGGAGTTGGAGTGCGAGCGGGAGATGTTGAGTGGGGGGAAGGCGGGCCGGTTATTGTAGCCGCCGGGGATGGCGGGGTCGGACATGCGGCGGTGGTCTGCATATGCGTCGTGGGGGAGATACGGGTCGCGGGGCGGGTTCATGGGGGAGTTTGCGAGGTGGTCGTAGGACGGGGAGGAATATAGGTAGCGGCTGTCGGCGGCGGCAGCGGCGGAAGCGGACGGGGGCAGATCACGGAAGACGCGCGCGTTCTGATGAGGCTCGCTATGAATCGCGCCCGCCTCGTCGACCGAACTGTGGCTCGGCTGGCGCCCGGCCGGCGAGCGAGGCGAGTGCTGCCCCGCGTCGGTCGGAGAGCCAGACGAGCCCGCGGACAAGACGGAATGCGCGGGCGAGCCGGCCGGCACGGCAGACAGCGCGGGCGTTGGGTGGTGCGGCGGCGCGGGAGGGAGCCGGATATCGAACAGCGAGTCGCCCGCTACCGAACTAGCACCTGGCGTGAACGCCGGATGGTATTTCGGGATGTCGAGCTGGAGAGGGTAGGGCATTGGCATGTGGGACAACATCGGGCGGGCTGCGTTGGCGGGCGATGCGAGTGGGCTGGGGGGCTGCTATCGGGAGGGCGCGCGCGGCGGGCGAGGCGCTTGCGATGCGATAAGTCGAGCGCCGGGAACGTGGGGAGCGGCGAGCAGCGTGTGCAGCAGCGACGGCGGGGGCTCGAGGGGGGACACGTCTCGCGCTGCCCCCGGTCGGAATATAAGGCTGTCGGACGCGCAGGCGCAAGCCAAGTCCCAGCCCATTCACGATTCGGCGATCGCATTTCGGAGGTATCTGCCCGCATTCGGCCCTGCCGCATCTGGGGACGATCGATCTCAGATCTCCCCCACCACACGCTGACATAATGCTTGAGATAAAAATTGACAGTCATGCCGAGCGCGCCTCCGGATCTTTTTTTTTTTTTTTTTTGTCTCTGCATTTTATTCGCGCAGCAGGTAACTATGCAGTACCAAGACGCGCTAGCCCATAGGCGGGCACCTCTACTATGTTGTCCGTAGTGTCCGATCTCCTCGGCGGTCTCCGCATGTGACGTAGTTTCCTGTCTGGTTGAAGCCACTGTAGGCTGGTTCGGTGTAGAGGTCGAAGTGCGGCTCGAGTCGCGTGCAGTCGGTGCGCCGAAGCGCTGTGTGTGTTTCTCCCCTCCCCTCGTTGCCCGATCCCTCACTCGTCTCGTTCCTCCTCCTCCTCGCCCGTCTCCCATCCCTCGTCCTCCATTCTCCCATTCTCCCCCACCGGATCAGGCTCATCTTCCCACCGCGGCGCGCGCGGTTCCGCCCGCGGGTGCCCTGTCTTCGTGAACGCGCCGCTCTTCTTGAGGAAGCGGGCTAGCGCGTCAATGCCCTTTGGCGTGCCCAGGATCTCCGCCAGCGCCACGTCCTCGGACACCTTGCGGAGTATGTGTCGGTGCTGTTCGTAGATAGGGCATTCTTGTAGAATGTGAGGTCGTGTCTGTAATGGTTCCCCACAGGGGCAGTCAATGTTCTCGCTGGGCACAAAGTCTTTGTAGTACTCGCCGAAGAACCCGTGGCCCAGGCGGCACTGTACGACTCGTCCATACAACTCCCGGTCCCCGCACAAGTCCCGAAAGTGTGCGAGCGGTTTCAACGACGGTGCTATGCGGTTGGCGATGGCGAAGCGTCCGGTTATCGGGCGGCGGTCCCACTCGCGCCTCCACGCAGACAGCGTCTCCTCTCGGCTTCTGCGTAGAGCGTTCGTCCTCGAGCGTGATTCCGTCGAATGCTCCTCCGCTGCGCGCTTCGCGAGCTGGTCGGCTCGTTCGTTGCCAGCGATGTCCTTGTGGCCGGGACACCACTCGATCTCGACCGTGAGGTGCTCGTGGTCGTCCAGCGCCTTGCATATCTTCTCGTGGAATACGCGCGAATAACGTTGACCTGCGTGAGGCCTCGGGTCGAAAATGGTACCTATAGCGGCAGTGTTGTCAGCGAAGAAGTGTAGGTGACGGATTTGGGGATTTTCTCTGATGTAGTTAGTGGCGAACTGGGCTGCCAGCATGAGGGCGGCGAGTTCTCCATCGTATACCTCGGCCTCCTCTCCCAGACCGTGTGCGATGGTCTGGACCTCGCGCCCCTTCCGGTACGCGACCGCTGCAGCGCCAACACGCCGTCTGCCGTTCACTTCGCGTTGGGATCCATCCGTATAGATGAGCAGATGGTCGTCCCTCCAAGCCAATCTTCCTGCCTTGTTGCAGTGTGCTTTTGCTGCTTCATCCTTCTTCTTGCTCTCTGTCCCGCATATTTGCATCCTACCACCGAAGTCGCTCGCGGTGCGCCGCCAGGGTGGTGCCGCAAACGGCGCGAGACGCTCGTGGCTCGGGTCCGTGTGTTTGGCTGCCTCGAGGATAGGGGTCGTCTCCTTCGTGGTGGGGCGTCGTCGCCTTTTCTTGGCGGGGAGGGGAGGGAGGCGCGTTGGAGTGTTCCCGCTGCGCCAGGCATTCGGTAAGCGGTCGATGATCGGGCTCTGAGTACTTAGCTTGTTTAGTCGGACGCCGTATCGGCGTACTTCTTGGTCCAGGACGTGCCTTAGGGGTGGGATAGACGCCTCCACCTCGAGGGCGTGTATGGGGGACGTCCGGAAGGCTGCGCATATGAGGCGTAGGGCACGATGTTGGATTTTGCCCAATGCCGTCTCGTGCTTTCGTTTCCCTGTCCACCAGGCCGGAGCTGCGTAAGTGATAATGGGAATAACACATGCCTTGTAGAGCGTCCGAATGTTGGCTTGGGACAGCCCGCGCACGGTATTCGACAGCATTGTGAGCCGTCCCACTGCTCCTCCTGCTTTGGCCGCCATGATCTTGACGTGGTCGTTGAACAGGAGCTTGCGGTCAAGGTGTATTCCGAGCCACCGCGCGCACGCACGGGCGGACACGGTGCGTGTGACGCCATCGCGGTCGGTGATCTTCATGGGCGGGTTCTTGTCCTTGTCTTTCTTGTGCCGGCGCGTGAAATGCATAAGTTCGCGTTTGTCCACGTCCGACGCTAGTCCGACTTCGGCCATCCAGCGTTCGACTATCTTGTAGGCCTCCTTTAGGAGTTTGACGTTGCGGTCGAGCGAGTCGGAGGAGACATATAGTTTGCCGTCGTCCACGTACATCAGCAGGGTGACCGCAGTAGCCACGTCGCCTCGGTCGAAGGCGCGCTGAATGTCGTCCTCGTTGTCGGGGTCGAGTCCTTGTGCCGTTGCTGTTTGCCGCCGATATTCTAGTTCGCGCTGGGCAAAAATCTTGATCAGCTCTGCGGAGTAAAAGGCGGCGAGGATGGGGGAGATTGGCGATCCCTGGGGGATGCCGTTTGCCACCGGTTTCATGTCCCCACGTTCGCCATCCAGACATATTGCCACCTCTCGATCAGAGAGGAAGCTCGCGACCCATTGTACATATGGGAGGGGGAGGCCTTCAGCCCGCAGTACATGTAGGAGACGAGTATGATTGACATTGTCAAAGTATCCTTTTATATCAAAGTCGAGAGAAGACGTCACCTTGCCATTGTTCCAGGCAGCGTGGACGTCGCTAACGAACGTCATGATTGCGTCTGTTGCGGACGCGTTCGGTAGTCCACCAAACTGAGTCGGCGGGATGAGACCGTGGGCACCGGCGATGAAGGCCAGTCGCTTGGCCATGACCTTTTCGACCACCTTTCCCATACACTCGAGGAGCGTGATAAGGCGGTATGCCCTGAGCGCGCCTCCGGATCCGACGCTTCTCATCTGCTTCGCAGAATCTTGCCCCATCCAACCGCCTTTTCTGCGCGTGACCGGCGTGTCACCCCTCCCGTGTCGTCCTCGCGCCGACCGCGGCGGGCTGAGCGAGGGCCCGGCGCAGGCAGGCGAAGGCGGACGGACGGGCTGGCGGCGGACGCAGGCCGGATGCTTGCTGGAGGAAGAAAAGAAGATGCCAGGCACGTCATCGCAGCGTCCCGCACGCGCACGCGCAATAAATCCATTTTCGGTAATTTATCACCCGGTCAATTCGACACGGGCGACGCCGAAGGAGGCCATCACGCGACTGACGCAGACGCCCTCACGCGACGCGAGGCGCAGAGCGCGTCGTCGCGGGCGCGTATACACGAGCGATAAGCAGGCGCTCGCCATCACAGCTGCCCTTGCCCCTCGCCGTCACGCGCAGCGCCCGTCCATGATAGCCGGCACTGCACTCCCTCCCCGCGAGCTCCCCAGACCCGACCTGCTGCCTGTCACTGTCATTGAACGCCATCTATTCCGAGCTCCAGCTGTTCACAAAATCCCTCCCCTCTGCGCCCCGACCCTGCACCCCCGACGCGCCCGCCCCACCGCGCGCTGATAGATTGCTCGCGATCCACCGCCCTGAGCGCGCCCCGCATCGTCTCGGAGGGCGCGCGTCGTCGCCTTGACTGCTCGATACGGTCCCCTTGATGCTGTCAACGCCATCTTCAAGACCCTGGAAGGCGCGCCCTCCCTCCGGTTCGCTACTGCCCCTCCAACGCCCTCAACACGAGCACGATATTTCGTCCGGGGGACGCGACATCTTGGCAATACTCGTACCTGCTGCGTTGCTGCGCCTCTTCCAGCGCTTCTTCCTGCATGACTGATGCACTCCGACCACCGACTGTCTGCCTCGCGACTTGCAAATAAAGACACTTGACCTCAATCATCTCGTGTATCTTCAATGCACGACCAAACCGGCGTCGCGGATACAACCCGCGATAGAGCTTGCTAATCTGCTGAGCGAGCCCGTCGGGAGCCGGTCCTCGTCGACAATGGCAGCTTACGACTTGTTCTTGACGGTGCGTGGCCTCGTCCTTCGTGTTTTCCCGTTATCCGTGCTTGCATGCCGCAAGGCGCTTCGCGCACGTCACCTGCCCTTCGTCGCTCTTCTTCAACTTCTCTATCGTCCTTCGTCGTCATTCGGAAGATCCTGTGGGAAAGGCTGAGAAGCTTTGGATGCTCAAAAGCCCGGGACTTGTATCTTGCGGACAGGACGCTGATCTGGGGACAACGCAGCTGATATGGCAAACACGACGCTTTTGATACGAAGAGGACGACGGAGCAGATACCACCCAGCAGGCGACCGATATGCAGACGAATGTCGTCTCTGCGCTCGCTCTTTCTTCGTACTCACGCCCCGGCTCTATTCGCAAAGAGAACAAGCGGCTTCCCAGGCCGACCGCACACCGTGGGTATAGGGACAGAGTTTGCGCAACGGCGCGCCTGATGTACGCCAGTTCTCACTGGACATGCGGAGGGCGCGCCTGCTATACTCGGCGAGTTCTCCTGACGTGCCAGTTGCGCCTGACGCGCGCAGAACTGCCTGGACGTCGAACCCGGGAGGCCTCGGAGTCCAGGAGGACCACGAACCTTGGGGGCAGTACGCTGAAGCTGCGGGGAGCCGCACGGCGTGAACGAGTCGGTCAGCAGCCACCGCGGGATGTTGAGGAGAACTGGTTCTACATGTCCGTGCGAGTGCGAACAATGGGCGATTCGACCTGCAGAATTCGAGTCACGGTTCGTTCGCTCACCTGACTCGTCCGATATCTCGGCCTCAATTTATGTCTATTCGCTGCTCCGGTACTTGAAGCACGTTCCTTGGAATTCCCACTTCCTGTCGTCGGTGTCACTCTGCCTCTCGTCTCCACAGAGACGCTTACCACTCGCCCCCGGCATTCGCGCGATCACGTCCCTTCCTTCATTGAACAGAGCTCTGTAGGAATCAGCTTTCGGAGCGGAACACGAGAACGCAGTGGCGGAACACATCGACAGGGACGCGACAGGATCTAGTCGCCCTCCCTCGATCCTATAGCCCTTCCGAGGCGCGCGCAGGCGACCATCTCCCGTGCATCCACCCGCGGGAGACCTCAGCTCACGTCCACCCGCCGACGCGCCCTGACGAGGAGAATGTACCCGAGCCGAAGAGCAGCTGCACACCTCCGCGCGCGCAGGCATCTTATCCGTCCTTTCTAGCGAGCCGGCGATCATCCAGCCTCTCGCGCTAGTCAGTGCCGGCTCGGGCTCGTCGGGCATGCAGCTCGCCTGCGCGCCGAGCCGGCACGTACTAGGTACCTGGCTACTGCCTGGCGCGTGTGCGGATTGCCCTCCGAGTCTGACGCGTGCGCTGCGTGCATGCATGGTCTGAGCCTCGTCTGCAGCCGCGCCGCGCGATTTGGGGGAGGGATCTACTCCGGGGTCGCTGCCCCGGGCGGCGAGGAGGACGGAGGAGTGGACGCCACCCGCCATTTACAGTGTCAGGCGCACATGGAGTCGCTGGTCCGCGCGCATCGCTGCTCGTCGTCGCCGGACGTCCGCGGCGCACCCCGCCTCTCTTCGCCACCGATACACGGACGGCAGACGGTAGAAGGGAGGCCAGGAAGGGTTTGACAGAGAATGAACGTGCACATACATCGCCAACAGTCATCTGCGTGTCATCGGCGGGTGCCGACTCGCGTATTGCGGGCATCCCGCAACGCGAACTCTGGTGCGCGCGACGTACGTCTCTTCCCTGATATTTTCTGCTACGCGAGATGATGGCTTATATGGCTGTTGAAGACCTGCCTTTCGCGGATGGTCGGGGTGGCGGGGCGTCGCGAGGCGATATTTATGCAGGAGTGGCAGAAGAAGCGCGCAGGTGCGATGCGATGTCAAGGGACCAGGACGCGCTTGGGTGTTCCGGAGCTCAGGCATCGCGAACTTCGAAGCTCTCGGCAGGACGCGACATGAAATCACTGAGGGAACATCGGCTCGAGCTGATGCTGCTCGTCCTGGAGACTGCAACGCGACGAGACGACGCTTTGGCTCCAAATTCGAGCGACAGGCTTATGTACTGATTACCCAGCGCGACGACGCGGGGGCTGTACCCTGTCGCTCGCGTCCTGGCGAACGTCTCATCAAAGGGCCCGAGAGTGCAGCGGCGGCATCAGTGCGCGTATGAGCAGAGCGACAAGGCGAGGTGGGTTGTATTACAATTTATGGCGGGAATTGGAGTCGCTAAATGCGCCTCAGCTTGGCAGGAGGGTGTCTGCTTGTAGGAAAAGGACCTGTGAGTCACCGCCGCGCAGTCCTTGGACCTTCCCGAAGTGGCGCGAGCGATCCCAACGAGCGGGGAGGGGGAGTGGCGGGGGGCTGGGCAGTGGGGCGGGGGTGGACCCTGGGGACAATATTTCTCCCCGCTGCCACCTGCTCCTGCGTCTGCTCCTCGTCCTGACAATTTGCAAGCGCATTTTCTCGCCAAAGAGGTGTTTCGCATTCAGTCGAGACGGGGGCGCAGCAGCGACTTCTCTCACTGTCTACTTCTCCTCTGGCGTCACTTGGGCCTACAACCCAGGCTTTTGCACCGCGAGAACGCTCGTCGCTTCTCTCTGTGCGATGCGCCCACGCCCGACGGCTTGTATACGGCTTCGCGTGCGGCTTCTGTCGGTGACGCGCCGACGGCTTCCACGACGCTTCTTCTTGCCAACTGAGCCGTGGAGAAGAAGTCGGCATGCATGTTCCTCTACCACGCACATCGCACAGCGTCCGCAATATATCTATTCGACCGCCATCTTGCCATCCTCCCAGCAGACGAACTTTATGCAGGCGTGGCATCGTCGACGAGGCCTGTGGGATTTCCGAATTCGAGGGTGTATACGCGCACCCTCGAGGTGCTGCTTGCTAATCCGGAGATGTGAGTGGCGCGTCGGGTGGGACGACGGAACGGAAGATGGGATATGCACGTTCCGGGCCGAGGACAAGCTGATGACGCTGGCTTCCCGCCGGCAACTCAAGCCACCAGAGATCGGGCCGGCGGGAGGCCACGTGCTGCGGGGCCTTCCCGCCGGCTGCCCCTGACGGAAGCTCTCTTCCCGCGCACAACACGGGCGACGCCGAAAGGACCCTTAGCTGCGTCCGACGACCCTGCATCTTCCCGTGGGGCGGAGGGCGAAGAGCGATCCGTGGTCAACGTCTTGTGCGTCTCTATCAGCGGGGTGGGATGCTATCATGCGAATCGTATGCGACGGCTTGCGCGATGGACAAGAACCGACTTCGCCTCTGGCGGAACACCATTCCAGCCGCTGCGCCCGCATCGGCGCATGACTGGCGCTCAGCCAGCTCAGAGCTTGTCTGTGTGACCAAATCTACTTTTCTCGCCGATATCCATTGACCCACTTTCCAGTTCGAAATCGGTTTAGCGGGGACGAGGTCCCTGTGACTCCGGCGTCGCGCACCTTCCCCATCTACTTCTCACACGCACAGTTGGCCATCTATGCATGCCGGAGGCAAAGGAAGCGTACCAAGTCCGATGTATCTCATTCTTCGTGCTCCCGCTCTGTTCGACATCAAGAACCACGGCGTGACAAGGACGCGTCCAAGTGTGGTAAGTGCCACGGTGTTTGCGCTCTGCGAGATACACGCTAAGCTTGCGCCCTCTGCTAGAACTGCCTCCGACATGAAGGCGCAGGCCAGAAGGCTGATCACACGGGTTTGAGGGCAAGACGGAATGCCGCTACCAGTCGTGTCAGGGCCGTCGCGAAGGAATTTCTGCTACGGGTTGCCACAAAAAACACAACTAGAAGGAATCAACCATTCTCTGGCGTGTAACGGTGCGCCTATTATGCGCGGCGTTCCACCATCTTAGGGCTTGTGAAGACCTTCTCACTCGTCAAGCCAGCGTCGAGATGCCTCTTCTCACGCGTTTTGTCTTTTCTTTCACCTCCGACCGCATCCTTGCCACCTCCTCTTTGTCGATTGAATTCTATTTATCTCCCGCGCTGCTAGCACGGCATACGAGCGGCCTTCTGGCTGCTGGCGTACGACAATTCGACAGCGGTACTGCGCCACTAACGAGAAGGATGAAGATGTCGCCGTCGCCCACGCAAATGATAGTGTCTGGCCCTCTCCGACTGGTCAAAGTGACCCTCCCTCAAGCATAGGGCTCAACACGGATCGTTCGTATACGGCACGCACACACTGAAATTTGTAGACGCTGTCAACCAGCGCTCCTTGCGCATTGACTTGTGCTGGCGCACCGAATCCCGTGAAGGACTCGTGTTGACGAGGTACCTCCTTCTCTTGATTATCTCGGACGCCCCCGCGCCCCGTAGGTCCTGGTCCCTACTCTTGTATTCTCTTCCTTCGGGTCTTACGGGCGTATGCATGTGCTCAGCTTCGCCGTTTCGGCGCTTGACGCTCTTCGCGCGCCTAACGCCTAACAATCGCTGGTAAGCCCCCTCCGAAATCCGCGTACAGAGCACCCCTTTGACAGAACCGGGACAGTTCTCGTTCAGTACGCTCGGGCGATGCGAAGGGGCGGCCAAATGACAGAAGACGAAACCTGTCTCACAAGATACGCCTTATTACGCATACTCCTGGTCGGCGCGATGGGTATGGGAAAGGGAGGCGTCCCTTTCGTTGTTCTGCTTCTTGATCAGTGGCGGCAGTGACGGCGCGCTCCCACGCAATTAACGGAGAAGGCAGATGGGGTCGGTGAGTCGACGGCGAGCTATCGCGATTTTCACGTACTAAGCGCCCTAGGACTTCGCCTGCTACACGCTTCGTACTTCTCAATGAAGGTCTGCGCTTCGCTCTGAAGGAGGTGCCCTACGCGCATGACCTGGAACCGCCTGTTGACCAATGGAGCTGCTCGACTGACGCTCGAAGAACGCTTCGCTCAATCAACAAATGCCTCGAGGCGCCTCGAGGCTGGGCTTCTCTCTCTCGCCCTCCTCGTCACCCGCTCGCGGGCTCCTCTTCCCGGGCTCGAAAGAAGGACGGCAGGGATGGACTGGGACCGTCAGCTGAGCGCTTCCGTATGCGCCCGCATCCTGGTCTGCCACAGGGCATCGGCCAGTGCCACCAATGAACGCCCCGCTGTCGATGCCACATATCGCGCCGTGACTCGCCCGCGCGCCCTGCGCGGCGTCGTAATCAACAAACCTCCGCCTTCATTGAACGCCGGGGGCGTGCTTCTGGCGCGCCTGCGTCCCGTAAGTTATCGCCTGATCGACCCCGATACTAGTCTCATCAGTGACTGGTTTAGGACGTGATCAGGACGTGATCAGCCGCTGGCGCTGGGCTGTCTGTGGTCATTGCGCTGTTATGCTGCGTCATCAGCGCCGCTAGACGTTCGTGCCCCTTCATTGTAGGATGCATCGAGCATCCTTCCGGTTGCAGCGGGGAGCGCACCTTCACCACGATTGGGGGACGCACGTACAGGAAGCCGCACGGCAGAAAGGTGCAGCCTGCGCGGGCTCGATCCGGGTACCTTGCAATGCTCATTGAACCCCCAGACACGTTTGTGATGATCATTAGCCGGTCTCACCGTGCTACTAGCGTCCTCGACGGCGATTGTCGTGAACATCTCCACGACGCCTGCAACGTGGACGCCAGCGCGCTCGTTAGCTGCCCCAGACGGCATGGTGTCCGAGGAAATGGCAACCCTGCCAGAAGGGCTGCGCTCTATGCTGGTTTCAGCCTTAGGAGTAGCCCATACCCTGCGGACAGCGTCGGACAGAAGTCGAACCGTCATTCGGAAACTGCCGAACACGTGATGATTTCCGCTCGCCTCGGAGACCATGTGATTTCGGATTTCTCCAGAAGGCACATTGTCCCTGCGCTTCATCGTGGCATTTTGCGTGATGCTGGCTCGCTATTACCCTCGCGGCTACTCGAATGAACATACCGCGCTGGGAATGCTAGTACCTTGCCACGTTTACTGCCAAACGAGAAAGCCACGTCGATTATACGCCTCAAAACCGAGATTGCCGGGCGCAAACACCCTCGGATTCTGCCATTTTGCGGATTGGACATCCAGAGCGTCGGACTGCAAGGGATTTGCAAGTATGTATGCGACGTATTATTTGCGACGCGTACGGGGCCGACAAGAAGGTCGGCTTTTGCCCTCGGGGGCCGGGAAGCATGCCATACGCGTGCTCAAAGTATCCGTCGCGATTACTCGTGCTGATGTAGAAGATATTTGCGGTCCAGCGAAGGGCCGGAGATTGAGGCGAAGGGTACCGCTTGCTGACTAGGAAATGAGTCATCTATCGCTCGAAGAATATAGGTGCTATGCCCGACAATCGTCAGATGCTGGCCCGAAGGTGAGTGCATTCAAGGAATCGTCTTTACATGCAGGTTAACTCCGTCGTATAGACCTCCAGACGGCTCAACGCAGGATGGGTGTGCCTGCTTCCTTGACCAAAGACAGAAGGAGGGTACGACGAGCGCTCACGCAACTTGTGTAGTAAAGACGGAGCCGGTGCGTAAAGCCGGCCAAATCGCACTCCTCTCTGACCGGCATGGTAGTGCTCCATAAGTATCCGTCAACGAGACGTCAACCGTGTTCCGCTGCCGCCGCCGCTCGTCCTTCGTCTGCGTCCGCCTTGAGGCAGGCCCTTCATGTCGAGGTTTGCGCGGGCATGAGTCGTTCAGCTCCACACAGGATCATCGCCTTGACTCGCGCGCTGAGCGCGTCGTTGCAAGGTCATGTATTGGTAGATTCATTGGAGACAGAGTTCTTGTTGTGAACCATTGCAACTCGACCTGTGTAATGATATACTGACTTGATTTAGATATCTTCCTGGACATATCGTGCGACCCTACTCGCTCACAGAGGGGCCGGAATCTGTAGGCGCGTTCGAATATATCTGCGCTTCATTACCGACGCTGACTAGTCGTAATAAGCCATCTAGAGGCAAGGTAAGTACGCGCATCCTCTGAAGTAAACGCTAAACATATCACAGTTGCGGCAGCGCCTTGACAGGACCCCATCCATTGTCCCTGGTCACGCGTGCGATCCCTACTGTCACTTCGACCTTCATTGGCTCAGACCTCTGCGCGCTCGGATCCTACATAACGCCTGCCCTGCCTACTGCGTACAATGCATTACCGATATGCATTCTGTTAGGTCATCCTTCGTCGACCCCTCCAGCGTCTTCAACGGGCAACTCTATGCCATACATCGGCGCTCAAATTACTGCTCAGTCCGGCATCATCCAGAGTCCCTTGCCACCCCTTCGATGCGTCGCGGGTGTTCTCACGTCAAGCGCGACTTCGCTTCTTTTGGTACCACTTATCCACTGATTGACAAAGCTCCGAACCGCACCCTACCCGCAATCATGGTTCTGCCTGGCGATCTACTTGCGGGCGTCGACCAGACCATCGATAATAAGGAGGAAGACGAGTCGAACCGGCTGCTTTATGGCATACTCGCCCATTCCTAGTCAGGCTGTTTGACGACATCGTTCTACCGCCACCCGCGACGGACTTTCGGATGCAGAGAGTACTCGCGACGCAGGTGCGTCGACATATCTTCGGCGATATATGATGTGCCGTACAACCTCCCCAATCTATAGAGCAGGTCTCGTCTGCGACATTACAGACGACAAACAAGCTTCTTCTCGGTGAAATGGAGCACTTCCCTTCTCCCATGACAGAAAGCTTCACAGATGCGTACCCTTACCAAATTCAGTGAAATACAGGGATTGTCGTCGCGCGTACTATCTTTCAGAGCAGCTCTATGCCTGGTATGCGGTATCTTAGGATTCGCGGTGCGTACTAAAGGGGAACGAGGACGAGATAATCCTCTTCTCTTATCCGGGAAAGTACTCTACAATCAAGTGCCTTTAAGCCAAACCGGTACCCGGCGGCTTATCAGTTCGCGAAGGTCAGAGTTCTGGCATGCCGTTCAACCGATACCCGGAGCTGAAGCCACCAGACAGCTCCGCCAATACGGGCCTCAATGGTATCATGGGCAATGCAAATACTCGAACAAGACCTCGAACTCCAACACGGCGCACCTGCCATCAGGCTGATAGCAGCGTGAGATTGAGGAGGGAATCGAGGGATCACCTGGTATGATGCTCGAACAGCTCTTTTCGAGCAGTCGCATCATCATCCTGCAGGAAGCGGCGTCTGGGGACAATGCGGAGACGTCGTGGTCATTCGAAGGAGCTCTCTGATTCCCGCGACGAATGCAGGCACCAGGCGTACGCGGGGCTCGCCTGTCGAAGGCTTCGGGACCTCGACTGGTCGACCTGTGCAATAGAAAGGTGACGCGGACCCGTTCGAAGGACCCAATCCTGCTCTTCCTTTACTCCATTCCCTCCCTCCGACGCACCCTGGCCGGCGCGCATACCCCAGGCGCATGCCCCCTCAATAGCGCTGACATCCTTGGCCGCAGGAACGTGTCGGGGTGGCAGCGCGCGTTATGAACGTGGGGGATTTGCGGGAACATTCAATACCGTGAGTCACCGCCACCGAGGCTGGCAGATGATCAGGAGGGACGCAGGCGCGAGGGAGTCGCAGCTGGATGCTTACGCCTCCATCACCTCGAGGCGGTGCGTGGAAAGAGTACGCATCGACCGGGGGAGGGCGCAAGCGGTCAGGCGGCGTGCGCGCGTATCGCGATCGCGCCGCCGTCTGCGTACCCAGGGACGCGGCGCTGGCAGCCATGAGAAATTGAAGTTCCTTGGGAGTCGGACCGCGGCGACTGCCATTAATGAAAGCGGCGTCGGTCAGTAGACATGCTTGGACATGCATGGTCGAACGTGGCCGACGGATCACATACGCACGAGGGCCGGAGCCGTCAGTCATTGCGTGAGGTGCCAGGGCAACAACAAAACCGCGCTAGCGTTGGGGTAGAGACAACCGACGCTAGTGGTGACACTGTTCGTAAAAACAAACATGTTGAAGTGATCGCGAGAGGGTCCTCTTGATGGGGGACACGATGCTGCGATTTCGATGACATTTCCTGCCAGAGGGCCAGTGAGAAAATCCCTGGAAGCGACTATCCAGAGGCAGGAAGATCAGTAGGCGAGATCATCCAGGAGTACTAGTACAAGAGCACTTGTTTAGGGGCAATGAACTCTGAATATGTATAGACAGGTTTCGAATGAGGAAGGTCAACTTACGTGCGATCAGTGAAGGTTGAGACACCCAGTCCGCCTTTTCTGCGCGCCCAGCGTTCTCCGTGTCCGTGGGGACGTCCGAGCGCTCGCGGCGGCATCAGGGCAGTTCTCATGAGCCAGGAAAGTCACCTCGGCAGAGCGGCGCGCGCGTCGAAGACACCTCGCGCTGCGGTACTTTACTACATTGTTAGTGAACAAGCTTTACGCTGTACCGGCCGTCCATTGAATTCATTGGGTACACACCTTTTCGTGGTCTCACGAGGATATCGCGATCGCAAAGTGCCGGGCCACCGTCCTGGACGTCAAAGGGCCAAGGGACAATGCCGCTGGTCAATCACTGGGTCGGTAAACACCGTAGAACCCTGAGCATTCATGCGCACACTCTCTCTGCACGCCCTTTGCCACGAATTGGTCAGATGTACGACGGCGCGTGCAGTGGGCGCGTACGAGGCGTACCTCAGGGGGGACCTGGCCGCGCTACTGAATTTACAGGGCGGTACGCTCGGAAATTGCGGCGTTGCGACAATAAAAATCGAAGACAGCGCACTGAACATAGCTGTCAGGTGGTCCTGGGGAAGCCGGTGCGAGACCGCACGCCTCGCGGCTGACGCGTCCAGTCCTATGAAAAGCGACTGAGCAAGCAAGCAGGCGCGAAGTCGGATCTCGCACGCCGCCATAAATACGCGGGCCGAACGCCGTATTGCCGTTTGTCGGCGTTCTACCGAGGGTGGTGGGAAAGGCGCGCGAGCTGAGGAGATAGAGTTAGCGATGGCGCGGTCATGAGCCTCGTTTCTTACCACGGTCGCCCTTCAAAGCTTCTCCCGCGATGCTTTGAGGGTGGGTCCATCGCTTCGAAGGCTTCAGGAAGCCTCGCGTTGTGAATGGTGGCTGGAGTATCGCACGTAAGGCGCTGGAGAATGGCCTGGAACCGGTCGCGTGGCTGAGCTTACCGGCGGCGCGTGCGTATGACCTCCCCAAAGCTCGTACGACTCGGTAGAGTTCAGAGAAATGAGGGAGCCATGCAGCAGGTCACTGCGAGCGCCTTGTGACGATGCCTGCGCGATTGTGGTGCACGTCAAATGGAGCGGTGCATTCAGGAAGAACCTGCGAGCCTTCCTTCACGAAGGCGGCGTGGATGAAGCGTTTTCCCTTCTACATCAGAGCGTGTGGATTACTGAAAAGGTAGCGGATGAAGGGAGGACATGAAAAGCTCCCCGAAAGAGCAAGTGATTCATGAAGTCTGGCGCTTCCCCCGCGTCGCTTGAAGCTTGGGAGCCGGCCCGGGTTCGATGGCTTCTAGGGCATCTCAAGTACCGCATTTAGATATGGGCTTCATAGAGATCGCACGGGTCTGCACTCACCATCTATAGACCTGCTACGCTGGGCTCGATAAGAATGACACCAACAAAGAGTCGCGGAGCCCGTGAAAAATTCAGGCGATGACAGGGAAGTACACTGCATGCTTCTATGACGCGAGACTACAGACTGTCAGAAGCAAGGGATAGACGGAGATGAGTTTGCGCAGCGTTCTGCCTGCACTGAATACAGTCAAGGTTAGAATTACTGCGGCACGTTCCTCTCGAGGACCATGAACCTCAAGCAAGCAAGTGAGACAGCAGCGGGTAGGTTAGCAGGTGTTTTACAGAAAACTTACGCGGAACCAAAGATAGAGGTGCGCCCACAAGAGGGTCCGCTTTGACCCCGCGATGGAAGTTGAAGTTCAAGAAGCGCCACGTGCAAAATGCACGTGAGTGGCCGAATGAGGAAGGCATTGCAATCCATGTGGCGTTACTTCCGCGGTGCTTGTACCTGAACCATCACCGTCTCATTCGGTCTCTGCATCTGCTGGCTGCCTTATCGATAACTCAGGCGATATGGTGACCAAGAAAGCAGCAGTATCTCCCAGGACCGGCTTGAGGCGGTCATCTCGTCTCAGTCAAGGCGAGTAGACGCCAGATCACAAGTGTCTTCGTCATTCATCGTCACGATCGCGCACAGGCAAGCCTGCAAGTGCCACTACAGATGCTCAGGATCCTCCAGTAAAGCGACGCAGACTCTCACATGCCGATTCCTTGGAGTCATGCAGCGCACGAGCGACGTCCGGACGTCGCGGGAAGCTTACCCATGCCGAGGTCCTGAAGCGAGAGAAGCGGGTGGCCAAACTCGAATTGGACTACCAGGAGCGCTCCGAAGAGCTGAAGCGTCGTTACGCTTCCTTGACTGAACGCGAGAAGGAGGTCGCTACCGCCCTGGACCGCGTCGCCGAACGCGACGCTCAATCTACGCTCTCTCAACTCCAGGAACTCTTCACCTGCCCACTGTAAGTCCTACTTCCTCCTTCGCCTCCCACCCGTCCTTTATTCCGATCCACCACTGATCAACTCCGCGCAGTTGCTACGAGGTTCTCACGGTGCCGTTCTCCCTGAACCCCAGTCTCTGCGGCCACACCTTCTGCGGCATCTGCATCCTCAAGTGGTTCTTCTCGCGCCTGCACGAGCCCTGCGGGGGCTGGCACGAATCGGTGGACTGCCCCATCTGCCGGCAGCTGCTCGTCATTACCCCCGATCGGACGCCGCGTCTCGAGTTCACCTGCCCGTTCGTGCCCAACCGGGTGGCCGCAACCGCTTGCGAGACGCTCGTTGAACGACTGACTCAGAACGCATGCGCGGCTTCCTCTGCGCGCATAAAGCGCGAACTCAGCGAGGGCCCCCTCAAGTCCCGGCTCAAGAGAGACTGCGAGGAGCGAAGTCACGACAAATTGGTCGACGATGGTGGTTCTGAGGATTCAATCGAAGGCCTGGAGGCGTGGGTAGAGGGAGGATCGATGCGCACCGAGTGGCTTAGAAAGCAGGCGTAAGTCATTCAATCAGATATCTGGCGAACAACTGACAACTTCGGAATACAGAGAGGGAAAGCAGGAGATGAGCGAGCTCATCTCCAAGTGGACGACGCTGAAGTCGCCCGACTTCATAAGCATCAAGCGACGCCTTGGTGTCTGACCGTACACGATATGCCGTTTCTTTTGCTATGTGTATTACCACAGAGGACCTTCTCATGGAATGGAGTCAAGCATACCGAACCTGTATCGCTTCTACTAGGATATGGGTTATGTACATTATGCTTAGCAATCGCACATACATGTCCGTTTTATGCGCCCTAGCACTGTATATGCTTCCCGTGAGGATATCCTGACTGTGTTATAGGCGCCGTTCAGTTGTAGAAGTACAGCTGTAGGGCATAGCTCATGTTGAGGCCTCGAGGTTTGGCCTCCGGATAAAACCCACGTGACGATCACTCGCCCACGCGTCTAGTGCATTGTTCTGTCCTGCATCTTGTTCCCGACCATCATCATCACTATCTCGGTCCACGTTGCGCCCGAAGGCCAGAAGAGAACTGTGCGTCTAACCACTCGCATTCATGCGTGGGAAATACTCAACGAAAGCAGCCATGTTCACGATCGCAGCGAGTCTTCTGCAAGACGCCGCCACCCGTAGCAATCTCAGGCTTCTTCGTGCCGGCGTCGTGCCCGAAGACGCCTGCACCGCTTGCATTCAAGAGGATCTTTGGGCCTTGGAAGCCGCTCTCGCGCGCATGCAGACCACCAGCGATGAGGCTAGCCCTAATTTATCTTGCACTCTGAGATTGCGCGCCGACGTTGAGCGCCAGCAGGCTCTTAGCCGCGCCATGATTTCCCCCATCCGGCGACTCCCTCCCGAAATACTGTCAATCATATTCGTGCTGGTCGTTCCCGGCGACTGGGGACACTGCGTCTCGGAATTGCTGAGGCGAACGTCCTTGAGCTCTTCCCAGGTCTGCCATGTCTGGCGCACGGTCGCGCTCAACACGCCATGGCTACGGAATACCATCGAAATAGATCCTTACTGGACTGGGTATACCCGCCGGCGAGATACATTCGACGTGCGTTTGGCCCGCGCTGGACAGGTGCCACTGCGATTACGCATCGATAACTCTGGATGTTTCAGCAAGCGCGACGCTGAAATATGGACCTTGCTGAAGACCCAATCGCACCGATGGTCTGCGCTGAAGGTGGTGGGTCCTTCATACCTGTGCATCGGCAGGCCCTTCCCTCTGCTGACTCAGCTCGAGCTAGTGGGGGAATTCTGCGAGTCGGTGGATCTCGAATGCTTTGCGTACGCGCCCATCATTTCTTTGACTCTGTGCTGTGATCAGGAGCCCCTGCGCGTGCCAGCGCAGCTCCCTTCGGCGTGGAATGTCACAAAACTCATTGTGGACTGCGATGAGCACCTCGGCCAGGACTTCCTTCGAATCATCACTAACTGCAGCGCGCAGTTGCGGTATCTGACCGTCTCGACTTGCGATATCAGAAAATCCTCCGTCGGCGTCATGCAAGGCGTAGTCTTCCTCGTGCTCGAGACCCTTACGCTCCGTAAGGCGGCCCTCAAGCTGCTCAGGTACTTTCGCGTGCCCCAGCTCAGGCTATTGGAACTTTGTGGCGGCGACGATGTTGCGAAGCAACAGCGCCTCCCTATGAAGAATTGGCTACGAACACTGCGCACCGCTCAGGAGGACACCACAAGCTCCTGGGACTCTCTCCGATGGCTTACGCTTGCCAACTTCTCCCCACAAAATACAAAATACATGATTGAATGCCTGGACCTCCTCCCGAACATACAGAGCCTCAACATCGAGTGCCGCGACGACGACCCTGTCTGTCCTTGTCTCCCTTCGCGGGAACTGATACACGCGCTCATACGCGATCCTGCGGACGCGACCTCTATGGGACGACTTCCGCGGCTTAGGCGTCTAGGCCTATTACTCTCTTTGCCGGATCGATTTGGAGATATAAAGGCGGCCCTATTGAGAACGGTACTTTTGACGAGGTTGACGGAAGGCGTGTATGATGGGCAGGTGCTGGCGAGGCTAGAACGGTTTGACTCGGACCTCCCCGGGGACTGGACGGTCGGTGGTCTGTTGGATAGGTACTTCATCGACTCGGAGACATATGCACCTTCACTGGAGACGCAAATGTTGTTCGTCTGATGGCGGCATCCGTCCTCCATCTGCTATTCACTCACGTACATCGTATACTACACTCTGACTATAACTGCCATGTTGAATGCTATACATCCATCCCCATCCATCCATTCACCTGCCCAATGAAGGTCGCCCTTTGAAAGGAGCGACCTTCATAGGTTTAATAGTTCACGTGGTAAGGGCATTCCGCGCGCGTTTATGTAACGCCTCTTTTCCGCCTTGGATCTCTTTCCGAACCATCGCCACGCATCTTCAATCCTCATTACCATCTCATCTCGCCACGCACAAAGGGAACTCAGTCGGTGGTCAAGTTGAACTGCGCTCTGCGAAAAGCTTTCAAGTGAAATAGCACGTACTCCAGGCGTGTACAGGGCTGTGCGCGCATCCCTTTCAAATTTCCTCCCGAAATATTCTAATGTCAAGCAGCGATGTACGAGGCGGACGATATGCAAGATATCCGCCGCCGCCAGGAGTAATCTGGCGTTTCTTCGCGCAGGCATGACACCCGACATTCCCTGCAGTATCAGCATACTAGCGGACCTACGTGCAATGGAACGAGGTCGCGCTTGCATAGAGGCCGAGCTTGATGATCTCGTCGTACAACTCGCCCGCGTTATGGAACGACGGTCAGACGTTGAGCGTCAGCAAGCTATCAGCACCGCGATGCTCTCTCCCGTCCGCCGACTTCCGGTCGAGATACTGTCGAAGATATTCGAGCTCTCTATACCTCATGATTGGGAACAGAAGTTCCTGGGATTGAGGGGGCCCGCGTCTGCCGAGGTCTGCAAAGTATGGCGTACAGTCGCGATTGGGATGCCGCAGCTGTGGAACAATATAGGCATCGACTACAGGACCGATTCGAAGCATCTGCGAAGCGCGTTCGACTTGCGTATGGCTCGTTGCGGACAGGGGCCCCTACGACTCCATCTTGCTTTCCATCGTCACTGGGGTCGATCCCACTCGGTACCAGAAGTGTGGGCCACGCTATGCTCGCAGTCCCATCGATGGTCGGCCCTTACAGTCGAGAACTTCTCCCCGAGGACGGCCAAGGGACTGCACTGGACATGGCCCTCCCATTTCCCCATCCTGTCCAGCCTCGAGTTGGTAGGTGAAGACCCTGACTCGCCGTCCCTCCATGTATTCTCGGATGCGCCCATAACATCCTTGAAAATGTGCTTCTCTTACTCTCCGCGCAGACCTCCGGCTCTGCATTCGACATGGAAAATCACCAATGTAGACCTCCATTGCGAGGACATTCGATCCTTCCTGCCACTGCTGCTGGATTGCTACCTGACGTTGCAGCATCTTGATGTTGAGACCTTGTCGGAGATCGATGGTATCCCAGCCTTTTTCGGCATGGAGTTCCCCGTTCTCGAAACCCTCAAGCTGCATTATCATGCTTGCCGATTCCTGACGTACTTGGAAACCCCTCGGCTCAGGCGTCTAGATCTATATGGTCATGAGGGAGGCATCGGAGACATGAAGAAGCCACTCAGCGAGGTCGCGGAGAAAATACGCACGTCGGGGGTGGCAGAAAGCCTGGGCTGGCTTACGCTCACCGATATCGAGGATGCGACCCAAAACATCATCCAATGTCTGGACCTTCTTCCCGTCCTGCAGAGCTTAGATATCGAGAACCGCGCGTCTCCTGACTACGGCGAGCATGAAGTTATCTCGGAGGAATTACTGCGTGCCCTCGTACGAGTCCCGACAGACGCAGCGTCGATGAACCGACTTCCTCGGCTGAGGCGTCTGGGTTTGCTGTGGAGGATGTCGGAGGGCATAGTATGCGACAGGATTGACCTGGTGGAGGCGCTGCTCCGGTCGAGATCGACGGAGGACACGTATGAAGGAAAGAATTTGGCAAGGATCGAGTGGTTGGAGACGGATCTTCCAGGAGACTGGTCGCTCTCGGACCTATCGAGACATATTGCTACGACGTTCATGCACTTCGGCATTCTCGAGATACGCAGATGTTGTTCGTATAGTAACCCTCCTCTGAAATCGACTGGTCGATTGCTCAGTGTGGGGATCTCTAGATGCACAATCAGCCGTAACACCCAGCAGCATAACCCATAGCGATCATAGGTTACAGGTACACATAGACGAGGGTATATGGCCTTCGAACATCATCCTTGGATCGACTCGATGGGTCGCCACATCACAGATAGAAGCAGCGCTCCTTCAAGCCCCGCATGCCCAATAAGTCCTGGAAGAACATCTGAGTCACTACGACAAGTCCCAACGTCCGCCCACTTACCCAATCCGCAGGCGTAACCCACAGCTCCGACACCCCCTCCATCTTCCCCAGGACCGCGGCGCCCTTCCAAACGAGCGCAGTCCTGTCCACGTCGTTTGCCATCGGGACCGTGGACGCACGGAGGGTGTCGTCCCCCATGACGGTACGCGCGGCGGATTGCAGTCTGAGGAGATATCATCAATATGACGTGTGCAAAATGGACTGGGGATGGGATGGGATGGTGAGGGGTCCGGGAGCGGCGAGCCAGCGCTTGGACGGAAATGAGATAGTGAGGTGAACCAACGAACAACCCCCGCGCAAATAAACTAGACGGCGCGATACACGATTCCCCAAGCATCTGACTCACCTACTCATCAACGCCTCTGCCATGTACCTGGTCCTTGTCGGGCCGCCAGTAATGATGATAGAGGTCAGATACTTTGAAATCCTGTCCTCGCCCGCGATGCGGATGCTATTGAAGAGCGCAGCGTCTAGTGGGGTCTTGCTCGCCTCATAGAAGATGTCGAGGGGTTTCCGAGCTTCGATGGTTTGCTGTGTTTCGGTGGTCTGCTGCGTCGGTGGAGCTGCAGGTGCTGCTGCTTGCGCGTCCTGCCCATCGACGTCCATAGGAGAATCATCTACGGGCGACGCCGATGTGGTGGTAGCTTTCGACCCGGGATCGACTTGAGAGGGTGTCGAGGGACCTGTGTGAAGCTAAGATCACCGTCGAATGATCGTTGAGCGAGCGGAAACGAGCCTTTGCTGCCCGCGGCACTCCCGGGCATGGTCAGCGGCACCGTGAGTGGAAGTTGCGTAGATGCCTCCGGCATGAGGTGTGCAGTCACCTTCTTCATCGTCTCCGTCTATGCACCGATGACGTTAGCACACTCGGTACAACGGCGCAAGGATGGCGACCACATACCACCTGCTCAATCGGCGGCTCGATGATTTCCTCGGTCGTGTCAGGCCGATAGTACGCCGGCGCATACGGTTCGCATCTGAGAATACGTGCGAACTCGTAGAAGTACAACTGGGCAGGAAAGTCAGCGCCGCGCATCGCAGTAGTTGGGCTCAATACAGACCATGGGCGCAAGGATCTGCGCATCGTATGCCGTCACATAGTACTTCACGGCTGGCTGCCCAGGCCTGCGCACTGGCAGCACGGTTGACCTGATGCCAACAGATTGCTGGGGTATGCTGTAAGCACCGATCGCGACCTATGCGCGAACGCGACACACCTCCTTCAGGGTCGTCAGGTGCTCTGAAGCGTACACCACAGCCCGCCAATCGTATAAGCGCGCCAGGTCGCATTCAGGGTCAGGGAAAAGCTTCTGTCGGTGGAGGATGAAGTACAGCCACTCTGTGATGTCGTCTCCGCCGATGTCCAGGACTATTCTGCGTGGTTAGTCAGTAGCGTGCTGAGTGCACTCGACGTGCTCAATGTACCTGGTGTCTGGGATGATGATGCCCTCGTCCACGCAGGCGATGCTCGTCTTAGCAGCGCCAAAGTTGACGACGCAAGCAGTAGACGCTCCTGCGCCGTATGTTGCAGCCAACGATTCCTGTGGCAAAGATCAGATGCAAGTGAATGCGACTCTCAAGCTACTCACCTGCTGCACACAAATTTGCTTGAAGCCCATCTGAACAAGCAGAAGGTGCACGAAATCGCGCACGTAGGACGGCTCATAGAAGTCGGGGATGACGAGCACGACGCTATGGTTCTAGGGGAAAGAGTCAGACACTGAGGGGGCGAGGACGATTGCCCTCTCACCTACATAGTAGTCGCGCGGAAGGATCTCGAATGACGATCGCAGCGTTTCTCGTATGATGACCTCGATGTCGTTCAGTACGGCTTGGAGGGAGGTGTAGTCCGCGGCCTCAAAGTTCTGGCCGTGTATTGGGCACCTAACAATGTAGCCCATGGCAGGAGGGTCTACTAGCCGGTAGACCTGGAGACACGTTTGCATTGGACGCAAAAGTCGAGAATGCAGGACACACCTCATCCCCTATCAGGTATGGCCGATCACACTCGGATATCCATACGTCCTCTGCGGGTGGGAGCAGTGTTGGTATGTGCTTCGCGGCATACTCTCTGGCTGTCTGTACGCCGTCGGGGTCTCGACGCAGTCCGAGGTAGTTCAAGTACTTATCGAGGGTGGACCGGATGGCGGCCAGTTCGCGCAACGTCTGCATTGCAAAAATCAGCACGCATTAACCAGCGCTGAGGAGGTGCACGCACAGGGTCGGAGCTGTCAGGAGATGGGGGCTCATCTGGGTCCGCCGGCTGGCGTACGCGATTGCGCGCGCGCAGAGGGGGAGCGGGGGCGCTGGTCTTGCGCGCGACGATGGCCGGCACGACGACTGGGGCGGGGTCCGACGCGCGGCCGATGCGAAAGTTTGCGCTTCCGGGATGGATGACGAGCGTCTGCTGCCCGCGCCTGAAGCCATTGAGCGAAATGAGAACGATGGGCGCGCCACCACGCACCGCTGCTCCGGGGTATGCCCGTTCACCGCAGGCTTCGCATTCCGTGCGTTCCTATACCATAGTGTGTTCGCGTCCGACTTGAGGTATGTCGAGCTGGAGTACTTGGGATTTGGCCTGGGGAGCCTTCAGCGCATATCTCGACAAGAGAACAGGCGTGACGGACGCAAGAGGGACATGAAATGTGGTGTATTTCATGCCAGTCTCATCGCGCTTTGCATTTGGGATTCCTCGCGGCATGGTCGGTGATGATTGTACGAAGCAAGCCGTCCATGGCGGATAATATGCATATTCGCATCGCAGCGTGGGAGACCTCACTCAAACACTGGTCACGAACGCGGGACAAGCAACGGCAAACAAGGCTATATGTCCTCGCAAGTTGCCCGGGATATATGCTTTCGATGTCATACTGTTGGTAATGTTGCTTGGAAAATATACGGTACTTGAGAGTTGCGAATATGATAGCGTTAAATAGGCCTGGTCTACAGTCCTGCCACAACTTCTTCACGCACCCCTCCGAGTCTCACATTCTCAGTCTCCCATTCGTCTAAGTGAAGCGTTTCTGCGACCATGTGTGAGCTTGAAGTCTTTGGCTGTATCTATTTAACGCATCGCACACCTTGGCCTTCATCGCGACCTCCTTCTGAAGGAACTTGACCCCGAAGACGGCCAGCGCCTTCGTAATCCGCATAGCTGCAGCATGCGCCGCGGGCGTCGCTGCGGCCTCAGCAAACTCGGGAGTATGGTTGCCTCTTTCAGCGGGAATAGCTGTGCGTTATGTCAATGACACGCATAGAGGCTGCAGAAGGGTATACACGCACCATAGGTGGGATGCAAGCCGGGAAGAGCTGCAGGAAAGAAGCCCGTCGTCAGTATCAGAACACAGGCGTTCATCGTCGCGCATACCTTGACTGATGTTTCCCTGGGCGTACGCATGGTCAGGATTGAGGCGCAACTAAAGAAGAATGCCGACTTACGAAGTCGGTAGACGCAGACGTGCTCTGAGTTCCGACCGCAAGACCGTAGTACTGCTGCGCGATCTCGGTGAAGGCGTCGCCTGTCCACAAATATAAGCTTTCGCAGCTCAGCAATAAACCCACTGAAGCTTACCGAGGCCCTCGTCGTTTTGTAGATCGTAATATCTAGCACGAAAGATGAACATTATGCGCGTGCCACAAATTCGCATTCGACTTACGGAATGTCCTCCTTGATGGTGATCTTGCATCCTGTAGCTAGGGCAGCACCGCTAAGCACACCCGTCAACGAGATTCGGTCTACTGTCTGCATTCGACTCACTGGAAGCAGTTCTTCACCCTCTCGGCGAGGTCAGAGGCTTCCTCCTTGGTAGGCGCGCGGACGTTCCAGCGCATGGTAGCGTGGTCGGGGATTACTGTGGCGATGTTCGTCAGGAATTTACCTGCGTAAAGTAGGATGAGCACGTACCATTCGGCGTCCACTCCTCTCTACCAACAATGATCCCGTGCACTCGGTACGTAGGCTTCATTTGCTGTCGTAAAGCAGAGACTCCTGCGTAAGCCATGAAAGCAGCGTCCAGAGCATTTGTGCCTTCCCTGTAAACATGTGGTCAGGACACGCATTCGCAAGGGTCGAGCTGCGCGGCTTACCAAGGGGACGCCGCCGCATGCGCGCTGGGTTCCAAAGCTTAGAAAACAGACACGAGCCCAGACATGGCCAGTACGCACCTATGTCCCTCATAGTCGACCTGGAACCCAAATCGTGCATTCGTGCTCCCTACATTCGCCGTATGCGGCGGCCCGACGGTCGGGTGGGACCTAAATGTCAAATGGTCAACATGAGGTCCTGACTGGAGAAAATGAGCGCTAACATGATACAAGCATCCATTCCCTCATACGCCCCGCGCTCCAGAAGGAGAACCTTGCCACCGCCACCTGCACGCACGTGTCGGCGGCGTCCTGCGACGTAAAGAGAGAAATCTGCTTACCTTCCTCCGCTGCGTCCGGGTTTAGGTTGTGATTTCTTCACGCGTCAAAGAGTACCAACATACCTGGAGTGCCAAGTATAACGATCTTGCCCGGCAGATTATGCGTCTCCAATGCGCTCTTGACTGCAACCGCGACGCCTGCGCCGCTCATCGCGATGAGGTTGTGGCCGCAGGCGTGTCCGAGGGGCAGGGCGTCCATTTCGGCGTTGATGCCCAGGACGCGACCACCGCCGATGTGCGTGTACTCGGCGCGCCAGGCGGTGTCGAGGCCGAGGTAGTGCTTGGTGACGGTGAACCCGTGCTTGGCCATGAAAGTCGTGAGGGTGTCGTGTGCGAATCTGACAAAATTATCGAACAGGCTTGTGTTGCAAATATCGAGCATACGAACCTTTCCTTGTAGCCTAATTCTGGGTGTGCTGACGACACTGGTTCAGTCGACTTGTACCCAGAAAGAGGTGAGAAACTCTTACAGTGGATCTGAAGACTGAGTTCTCGGAGTTCGCTGTCCAGACCGTCCAGCACGTCATTGACGGTCTGAACGAATGAAGGGGCCGGTGCATCCAGCCCTCCAATGTACGGTGGCAACTTGTCGTCGCGCCACCAAGTTTCTTCAGGTGCATATGCGAAGTCAGCGGGCCCGTCAAGTGCGCAAGCACAGCCGGACTGAAAGCGTAAATCCCCGGTTCTCCGTAGAACGAACCTCGTCCCACTTACCTGCTCCTTGCTCGCGATGACCTGGGTGGAGCTGTAAGGTGGCGGCGACGCCGCACCCTTGCGCTTATTACGACGAAGCGTCGGCAGGAGCGCGCTGAAGCATCCTTTCGAAAGGTCCGCCATGGTGGCAGCTGACGAGGGGTAGTGGGGCAGGGCGGAATCGACCCGCATACGTGGGCCGCCGCCTCCTTATATACGCGATGCCCAGGCTGCCAACCCCATGCACGCACTCGATGTAATGCGGGCTCGCGGGGATGCTGCGTGCAATCTGCGTCCGATGAGCGCGGGCTTTTGATAAGTGCCGTGTATCGCCCAAGGTGGGATCCCGTCGGGTTCTCAGGGCGAGCCGTAGGCGGTATACAGCGTAGCTCCAGGATGAGGACCACCCCAAGAGCACATGGGGGCCGTTCAACGAGCAGATCTAGGATCCGCTCGACTTCGCTAGATGAAGAAGCTGAGGATGGGGAGCCACGGTGACGCACGTACGACGACCATCCGTTGGAACTTCGGCAGAGAACATCGTCCAGAAGAACAGTGAAAGACAAAGCCTAAAGGTCTGCACTATCATGGTCGCGGATATTGGTTCTCGAGCCAGAGATAGGAAAGCCGCGGCGCTCAGCTGAACAGGAGTACAAGGAGATACGGCCTCTCATTTCATTTGCTGCAGAGTAGCACTTGTCAATGACCAGAGTGTTTTCCAGAAAGATATGATGGCAAAGTCGAAGTGGAATGCCAGCGCCACAAATTTTGCATCCGCTTCATGTTTTTGTTTGTGCGTGTTTGTGAGGCGACCACACTCGTCCAAGCACCGAAAACAAAACCCAATGAGTGACATTAGACCGATGCAGACGTCTAGACTAGTGATAATGTACGTAGATCCGCGAGAATATATACTCATCAAAGCATAAACATGGATGGAAGTCGTCAGCGATACGATGGAAAGCGAGCGGTGCAGGAATTTCTCCTGCCCGGGGTGCGACGTGTTGACTGGAGCGTAAAGGTGTTTGAGATGGGAAGGAAGGGGAGTACTGAGGGGCAAAGGGAAGGGATGTCCGCAATGGTGAGAAAGATACGTACACTGATTGTAAAGTAGTGAGGCGAGTTGGGGTGAGGGGGTGGGCTCAAGGAGACGCGTCCTCAACAACAGGGATATATGCCCAGCACGCTTCAAGCCTTGACAACAGGAACCTCCTCATCCTTCTTCTCCTCGACCTTGGGCGCTTCCTTGGTCTCCGGCGTGGCAGCCGCTCCCTCGACTGGCGTCTTATGCGCCTCCGCGGCTAGCTTCTTGCGAATGGCCTCCTCGCGGCGTGCGCGCTGAGCCTTAATTTGCTGGCGCGTTTTGGGCGTGGCGGCATCGGCGACCATCCTGTGAGAGGGTAAAATGTCAGTGTCGAGATGTACTTCATTCGAATCTCGATACAAACCTTTCGAGCTCACGGCGCTCCTCGTCAGACTCGTCCGGCTTCGTGCTCTTGAAGACGGCGCCCAAGATGAGCAGGCCCTTGGCACGGGCGTAGATGACGTCGTCCTTAACCTCCGGGTCCTTCAGCGTGAGGTCGATGGCCTAAGAGATGTGTAAGTCAAGTACGTGAAAAGTATCGCGAAGCAACTGACCTCTCGCAAGACCTGATTGACCTCCATGCGAGCGCCTCGCCAGCTTGCCAGCAGGAGCTTGCCCGTAAAGTCCTTCTCCATGGCCGCCAACTCCTCTTCAGGCAAAGCACCTATTGCCTGCCACTTCTCCATCTCCGCAATCGCGTCCCTAACACTCAACGCGCTCCCAATCACGCCCCACACATCCTTCGCCATCGCGCCCTTCTCCTTCAACCTGGAGAAGAATCCCGGAATCCCAAGGAATTTGCGCGACTTGAGCGTGCTGCTCCCCTTCATCATGTACATGTTCCCGATCGTGTGAAGCAGCTCGACGCCGAAGCTCTCCATCTTGAGGTCCTCGGCTTCCCGACGCATGCGCTCTTCCCACGCCTTGCGCTCGTCGTCAGATGTCGCCTCTACATACGGCCGGAGGCGGTCTTTGAGCTTGTCGGCGAGGGTGTGGATGCGCTTCTCCATGGCTTCGCGGCGCTCCTTCTCCTGCTGGCGAAGTTGCTCCCGTTGCTCGGGAGTAAGCTTCGGTTTAGGTGAGGGAGGCTTCGAGGAGCGCTTCGAGTTGACGGAAGCGGAAGATGAAGGCTCTTCTTCTGGCGAATGCGGTACAAGGCTGGAACCGTGGCGCTCCGGAGTCGGGTGAGTGGGAGTAGGAGAAGCGGGACTGGCGGCAGGCTTCTCTGGCGTGGTCGGGGCGGTACCCGCGGCTGCACCGTTCACAGAGGCAGGGGTTGGGGTGGAGGCACCGTTGGTAGCACCGCCACTCATCTCCTTCTCGAACTCGGCCTTCTCTTCATCGGTCATCATCGTGGTTGCGGCAGTCGTCATGTCTTTCATGATGGAAATCTCGCCGATCTGAGGAGCGTGTGTCAGTGAGATATACAGAATGGGTGCATGCGCCACGCACATAGTCAACGAATCTCTCGCCGCCGAACACATTCGCGAAGAAGCCGGCCGCATCCTCCATGCTGAAGGAGCCCTGGGCCTCCGTCTACCGCACGAGTCAGCTTCGCAACCCGGATTTCTACAATGAAGGACATACCATGGACTTGCCATGCTTGTCATAGACGACTCGCAGGTTCTAGGGGATGCTTTGTGAGCAAATACGCGCATCCTTCCTATTGAACACCGTAAGCTCACCGGATCCGAGAGGACCTGGTACGCCTTGCTGCAGGGAAACTTTCAGTACCTCATCGCACCCTTTTGCTAACCACGTACCTGATATCCTTGAACTTCTCCTCAGCATCCGGCGACGGGTTCTTATCTGGATGGTACTGATCGTTCTCCGTCAATTTCGTGCAAATTTGCAAGAGCTTCTTGACGCACCTTGATGGCCTGCTTCCTGTACGCCTTCTTCAAGTCCAGTTCGTTCACATCCGGCGCGACGCCAAGCTGGGTTGAGGGGAAAGGGGGGAGAGTCAGTTCATGCTGTGGTGGCGTCCCGTTTGTTCCCCGCGCACCAGGTCATAGTATTCGGTGTCAACAGGTGCCATGCGTCGTGCAAGTTCGTGGAGAGGCGCGGGGAGATTAGGCGAGTCGTAGGCTGGGCGGGAGTGGTGAGCGGAGGATGAGAATTGTCAGAATATTGTGGATATTCGTCGGGAGTCGGCGTGACTGACGCGGCACTTGCCGAGTCACGGTTTTAGACGCCTAACCGACTTTCTACATTCTTATGTGTTGACCACCGTTAAACCATACGTCCAGCATGTAAGCACTATCGGATCTACCTATCTTTATCTGCTTACCGAGCAGTCCGTCATAAGAACAGGAAAAGGGGTAACCGCAGTCTGAACCAGAGTGAGTCTGTCTTGGCTGCCCCCGCGCGCCACATACGAGCACTTTAGCGTGAAGGTTTATTGGATAGTAACAACAGGGTAGTATGTAGCTAGCAATACACGAACATAGTACATAGTAAGTTGAATGAGTGTGGGTAGGCGCATGTCTACTCGAACACTATGTGAACGGGTGAGAGCGGGGTACTACTATGTACACAAGGCGCGCGATTCCTGGCGTATACCGATAGTAAAATCATGAAGCAGGTGAAAGCTGAAATTCATGAACATGATAGAAGTGCGATTAAGAGGGGATAGCTAAAAAGAAGGCGAACTGAGATGCACAGGTGTAATGGAGAAGAGAAGACTAGAATGCTGCTGCAAAGTACGACCACTATCCCGACGAAACTGCTGAAAGACACAAACCCTCTATAGATAGATTCGATATGAACATGACGAGTTCATGCGTCGGGGTCATCAGCCCCCTCGAAGCGCACGACCCGACGCCGTGGGCTGTCGATGCTGGCCCTCGGCGAGGTTTTGTGCGCGGGCGGGGACGCAGGCGGCACGCGAGAGTGCGTAAGGAAGGCGGACATGCGTCGGAAGGGGAGACCGCCCGCCCCCCGAGCCTTCCCCGGTTTTGCGGCCGGCTGCGCCACGCTTGTCGGTGTCTCCAGCGTGCTCGTGTCCGCAGTTGAACCTGAGGCAGACATGCCGGGTGTAATAGTCGTCCCTGCGGAGCTCGGCGGCCTAGGTGTCGCTTGCTTGAGTGCAGAGCGGGACGGTGGGGGCAAAGGGCTTGCTCGACGCTGCGGAGAAGGAGAAGCGGCGGTAGGTGGTCCACGCGGTGTGCCGCCGCGCAGATGAGGTGTCCGGGAGACATGCAGACCCATTGCTATCTGCTCGATGGTCGGACGAGAGGAGAACGAGGGATGGAGGGCAATTGCAGCAGTTGGTCTAGGGGTTACTTGGGCATGCGGCAATCGGTCTGCCGGTGTTGCGTGCGATGACGTTCCCTACGTCTCGTTCAGTATCTCCAAGAAACTTCGTCAGCAAGCGACGCACCCATTCCTGCTCATTTTCGTCCGTACGTCGTCTCTTGTATGAGTGACTGAACGATCGCCGCACTCGAGTGACGATCCGGGACAACCCCGTCCCTGTTCCCTCGCTCCTCCCCTCGTCTGCAGCCTTCAGTACGTGCGGTGTAGACACCGACGCTGCCCGCCGATGTGCGCGGCGGTCGCCCCTCGTGTCCAAGATCATGCTCGGTGTTCTGGGCGATTACGTCGGTCGTGGCAAGGGTGTGGGGACGACGCTGGGTGTGTGCGGCGATGGAGCCGTAATCTGAGAACTCTTGAAGGTGAAAGATAGAGAGAAAAGATTCGTGGAATGCAAGACGCGTCGAGTCAGCTGCATAAAAGGGAGGGGGCGCGTCCAGAGATGGGGGTCGTGAGGCAAGGGACGCATTCATGTCTCGGATTTGCAATGCGGATCCCGCCGGCAAATGCCGGGATGTCGTGTTCGTGACATCCACGTGCGCGCAACTTGAACATGATTTTCTCCGCAAGTCTCCGAAGAGGCTTGCGTTTGGCCCACTACTTTTGCGAGCGGATGCGCGGGCGCCTATCACACTCGTGTTATGCCACACATGATGGGCATGGGAAGCATATATAAGGCTGAAGGTATGTGGGATTGTCACCGGCCCCCAGATGTCGAAGCTTGCCATGGCGGAGCGCTTGCTGGACCCTTGGTGGGTCATCGTGGCTTCCATCTTCATCATGCTCCTGCCAATTCCTCTGGTCATTGCGACGCGGCCGCCTGCCGCAGTCAGGCTGACCGTTTTTACCGCGCAACTGCTGTTTGCGAACTGGGGCAACACGACTATCACCTTGGGAGATGTCTTCCTCACATACTCTCTTGGATGCTTGCTCTATGGCTGGCCAATCTTCACTGCCATTCACTTCTACTTCCTAACCGATCCGTTGACGGATGGAACGCGGCACTTGTACGATAGGAGGCCAGCGAAGGACATGCCTCTTCTCGAGCGCATCTGGTGGGCATCATGTCTTGTTGCATCATTTCGCGGCGTGGGATGGAGCAAGCCGGTATGTCTCTCGTGCTTACCTGACCAGGTTCTTTTGTCCGCTCCGTCGGTCTTCATTCACCCCTCGTTCACAGGTCCCCCATCTTCGGCAGATTCCTAGAGTACAATCCCGAAGCTCGTACATCGTCGAGCACTCGCTGTGGCTGGTCTTCTACGTCCTCTTCGCCGACTTAGTCAACCTGTACCTCATCAGCAACCCCATCACATCGTCTCGCGCTGATGAGGCGTTCCCCGCGTCCTCGCAGGGACCAGTGTTCCAGGCACTGAATTCCTGCGCATTCTGGGCAAACGCGTGGGCGGGGTTCAACATCCAATACGAGTTGATCGCGATCCTGGCGGTCAGCCTAGGGCTTTGGGAGCCGCGACTGTGGCCGCCGATGTTCGGCAGTTTCTGGGATGCGTATACGGTCAGACGGACGTGGGGGCGCGTATGGCACTGTATCCTGCGGAGGGTGAGTCTTCCATGATATTACCTCTCTCGTATATGGCATGTTTACCACTCGCAGTTCCTCATCTCCCATGGCAAGTGGCTGGCAAACAAGGTCGGCGCCTCGCCAGGCACGCAAGCTTCTTCCTACATCCAGCTTTACACGGCCTTCCTCGTTTCTGGCCTCATCCACGAAGTCGGCGGCCGCCAGCTGGATAGTACCTTTGGACAATCATTGCGGTTCTTTATCATCCAAGCACTCTATATCACCCTCGAAGACGCTGTCATCGGGCTGGGTAGGAGACTGGGAATCAGAGAGAGCAGGGCGACCCGGGCGTTGGGTGGTCTATCGGTGCTCTTCTGGTTCTCTGCTACGACGCCGGCATTGACGAGTGTCATGTCGGATATCAATGGAAGGCCATATCCTCCGACTGCCGGGTCGTTTATCGGGGCGGCTTGGAATGCGCTGGGCATGGAGGGGAAGCTGGAAATTCCATGGCCTGAGCCTCATTACTAGGTATTGCTATCCAAAATCAGTGCATAGTGATGTCGATGCAAAGATCAGAGCGATAGAGCATGCATAATAAGAGCCAGGCCTGTTGACAAGTCACACAAGTCGAAGACAAAGGAGACTGAGGACAAGCCGGCGGTCCCTTCGGAAACTGCCGATGCAAGGGCAGTGACTTACACGTGTGCGCAGGAACTTGAACCCAACACTCATCTTCTGACGAGCTCGCTATTTCAGCTGGATGATGATATCTTCCTCAAGTCGAGCTGTTATAGCCTCCTTTGCGCTCCTATCCAGACGTCTGATCTAGCGCTGTCTTGTGTCGGTGCTGGCGCTACAGTCTGAAAGGTTTAGAACTCCCGAACCACCTCGCCCTTTGAAGTCGGCTCCTCCGTGGTTCAGGCCGGAGGAAGAAGCTCGACTAGCTAGCTGTCTGGGAGCATCTACTTCTTCGACGCGACATGGGACAGGCGCGCGTATATAAGGCCAGTTATCGGGCACCACAGGACTCCATCTTCGCCATGACGGAGCGCCTTTACAACCCTCAAGGGCTGGTCGCGCTATGCGAAGCCCTCATGCTCCTGCCAATCTTCCTCGTTATTGCGACACGACCACCAGCTATGATTCGACTTCTCATTCTCGCCGCGCAACTGCTTTTAGCGAACTGGGTGAACAGGAACGTGGCTATGGAGGACATCTTCAGCACGTACTCGATGGGCACCTTGCTGTGCGCGTGGATGCCGCTGACCGCCATTCACTTCTACTTCATCACTGACCCACTGACGGATGGGACTCGGCATCTGAGCGATAAGCAGAAGGCGAAGAATATGCCTCTGCTACAGCGCGTATGGTGGGCAGCATGCCTCGTTGCGTCCTTCCGTGGTGTAGGGTGGAACAAGCAGGTGAGTTTCTTCTTCTACCTCGCTCTCAACGACGAGCATAGGCTCAAACATATCAAGTTGCCCCATCTCCGACAGGTCACCAGAGGCCAATCGCGAGGCTCCTATGTCGTCGAACACTCCCTCTGGCTTATCGTCTACTGCCTCATCTCGGATCTTGTCACCTTGTATGAGAGAAACTACCCTTATGGCACAACCCCGGAGAGCGTCTTATTCCAGGCGCTCAACTGCTACGCGTGCTGGACCAAGCTGTGGGTCAACTTCGCCATCCAGTACGAGGCGCTCGCCGTCCTTTGTGTAGCTTCTGGGTTCTGGGCGCCGCAGCTCTGGCCACCGATGTTCGGCAGTTTCTGGGACGCATACACAGTGAGGCGTACATGGGGTCGCGTGTGGCATGGGATTTTGCGGAGGGTAAGGCCTTGACCTTCATCCCAAATTTCATGTCCGCGTTCTGACCATGACCTCTTAGTTTGTCCGCTCGTATGGCAAGTGGCTCGCTCGAGCTGTCGGCGCCACCCCGGGTACGAAGGCTTCATCGTACATCCAGCTCTACGCAGGCTTCATCGTTTCGGGCCTACTGCACGAAATCGGCGACCGCCAGCTCGATCGCAGTCCGGGGAGGTCCATGAGATTCTTCGTTCTTCAGGCTCTGTGGATCACTTTCGAGGACGGGATCATTGGGCTGGGAGAGCGGCTGGGAATCCAAGAGAGTAGAGCGACGCGAGCGCATGGAAGACTGTCTACATTCATCTGGTTCGCGGCGACGACTCCGCCCGAGTTGATAGAGGTGATGCTCAATGGTGGAAAGCCTGCGCCATCGACTTATTTGGGAGTGGTATGGAGAGTATTGGGGTTGCAGGGGAAGTTGCAGGTTCCCTGGTCACATTAGTATACAAAGAGCCATGTTGTATCACTTTGTACATGTATACGGTAAATGTGCATGGTGACTACTTGGCGAATTTCTTCATGCGCTGCGTACTATGGAAGATCCCAGTGTCCAACGATGCAGACTTATCCCCAATGCGCTGAACGCGACCCGTCTGCTCGTCGATCTCCTCACCCATTGCCGATCCCAAGGCCCTCAGCCGCTCTGCAACACTCCCAATCTCGTCCAGATTGTCGTCCAGCTCATCCTCAATCTCCTCATCGCTCTCCGTCGCCTCGAACTGGTACCTCTGACGCTGCTCTTTGCGGTTGGCCAGCTCCGCCAAACTCCTCTCCTTCCCGTTGCCAAACCTCGGTCCAGCACCCCCGGCCTCTTCTAGTCTGTTCCTCGTCCCACGCACCTCCATCATGGCCTGCGCGCGCCCCTCCCTCTCCTCTTCATACCGTTGCTGCACCTTTGCCTCCTGCGCTGCGCGCTTCGCGTCCTTATGAAACGTGATCACGGGCCGGAAGATCGAGCGGTTGAGCTTCTTCAGCTCGTCGACCTTGTCGTCCGCCGCGCCTGCCTTCGTCCGCGACATGTCGAGATAGCGCTCGCTGTTCGCAAGGCGCTCGGACTGGTCGCCGATCTTGCCGAGCGTGTCGCGCGCGACTTGCTCTGCCTCGAGCGCGGTGCGCAGGGCGTTGCGCGTGGAGCCAACGTCCTCTTGCTTGAGCTGGCGCGTCTGCTGCTTGATGGACTCGATGTCCTCCTCCGTCCCCATGTCACCGCCGTCTTCGAACTGATGCGAGGGCGACTTGGATGGGTTGTAGCCAGCAAAGAGCTCTGCGCGATCGCGATCGAGGGCTGCATGCTCTGAGCTTCGAGCATATGTATCGCCAATGCGCGCGTTCCGGTGGTACTTGTCCTGTCCCATGGTAGCCTCATCGACGGGCGGTATAGCAGGTTTGGACTTTCTGATCAGAGGCATAGTGGTGGTGGTGGGACGCAAGTGGCCTGTGTGGGGTACAGCCGTCGGCAACAAACTGAGAGCTCACCTGCAGCACCCCATGACATCACTGCTACACCAACACCAAGCCCGCAGCTCAGCACCTCCCAAGCGCCTGGGGTGGAGGCTGGGCATTCGCCTTCTGTAGTTCATGAGTGGAACCAGCACCACAACGCGGTGCCGAGAGAGATATCGTGCAGCCGAAGTGCGACCAACACCGGAGAGCGCATCTTGTAATCACGATAGCACTCGGAAGGCGTATAACGGAGAACCTCAGTCATCGCGTCGTATGCGAGCTTCGCCGAAAGACATCGCTCGAGTTGGCATAGCATGGCGTTGGGATAGGTGGCAGGGTAGAGACAGTCAGAAGTAGGCCGGAAACGCAAAGCTCTCACTTCTTTCCCTTGCCCTTCCCTCCCTTTCCGACCTTCACACTCCGGCTCGATCCCTCGAAGCCCGCGCGCTGCTTTCCCTTCCCCGGCTTCGCACCATCGTTCTTCCTCCGCTCGTTTCTCTGCGCGATGTTGTCCGACCGCTTCGCCTGACGCGCCGCCATCGACTGCGTGACCTGCTTTTTGCGCTCGTCCCTACACAGCGCGTTAGCCATCCGCTGTCCGAGACCATCGTAAAGCTCAGTACGCACCATGCCTTCTTGCTCTTCTCCTTCTCTTTCTCCTTCCGCTTCACCGCCTTCTTCAGCTTCTTCTCCTCCGCGTCCTCCCCACCGTCCTCCGCTACCGCAATACCCGGGTTCTTCGCGCCGCTCAGCCGCGCCTCCGCCCGCGCCCAGCGATTCTTCTCTGAGATCGCGGCACGCTTGTCCGCGGGCAGCGCTTCGAGCTTGGATTTTTGTGCCTGCAAGTGGGAGAGGAGATTGGTGGGGTTGTTCGAGACGGCCTTCTTCCCCTTTTTGGTAGACCCTTCAATGGCGTTGAAGGCGACGGTGGTTTCGGCGCGTTTGGAAGTGGAGGCTTGCGCTTGTGGTGGAGGGGAGTGTTCAACGAGGAGTTGGGTCTAGACGAAGGGAAGTATGCATTAGACACAATCGACACAGCGAGCAAGATGCGACAAACCTTCGCAGTCTTAGCAGACTTCTCCTGTCTTCGCCTCTCCTTCGTCTCCTTTCTGCGCCGTTCCCGCATCGCTCGCCTGCGCTCCTCGATCAACGCGTCCTTCCCATTTGCGTTCGCTCCCCGTCCATTCCTAAACGCGGCCATTCGGGCGTGCAGCTTCTCGCGCAGCGTGTTCGCACCACCGGCGTGCATTGGCACGATTTCGGGCTCCTCAGCCTGATCGTCCTCCGCATCGTGGTCGACGTCCATCGCATCGTCCTCCCCAGCGGCTTCATTTTGTATATCGACTATTGTCTTGTTTCTTGAGGGATCGAGCTGCATATATAATCAGCGTCGAGAGCCACAACCACGGAACATAGTGACGCACCCTCTCCCGCTTGGCAGCCTTGATATCCTTCGCCTTCTTGCCTGTATGCTTTTGGTACTTCGAGGGCACAAAATCGTTGGGATCGTCATTGACAAGGTAGAATTTGGCGGGTATAAGCTTGAGAAGTGACTCGAAGGTGTCATTGTGTTTCTGGAGAGACTCCAGAAGCTGGGTAGATGAGGAGGCAGCAGGCATTATGACGGCCCGGTCAGAGAACAAAAAATGCCCAACTTGGAAAGATAAACTTTGTTATCTTATCGCGCACACGTGGCATGTCACCAGCAGTCACAGTTCAACTAACACATCGCTGAATGGTCAAAAGAAAAAGCCGCCTCCTATTGCATACCTACTCCGTAGAAGCTGAATAGAATATGAATTCAGTGTCTAAGGATTGGTGAGATGCTACAGCGTCACCACAGGTGGTCAGATATAAAACATACAGGTAACGAGAGACGAGGGTGGGGGACCGCTGGCCTGCGGCTATCATGTACGACTGAACGGAACAGATCAGTGCATACATAAAGATTACGGCTGGAGGTGACAGTATCACAGGAGTATAGTGATCAACGAGTACGATGTCTGATACTGAATAACGAACAACGGGACGAACAAGTCGCAAAGATGGAGATCCACAAGTCAGAGCGCGTGCAGACAGGGCGAAGAATGTGAACAAAGGGAACGAACGGGCGTGGGCGTCAAGCCGGTTATCGTGGTAATGGTATATGTAACAAGAAACGAACCAACCAGGTTGTACACGAGAAGAACCAATAAGATAGGACAGAAATATGAACGCGAGGAGATGGGTGCAACGCAGAGCGCGAACAGGATATACACACGAGTCAGCACGAGACGTGAAGGAGGCATGAACGGAGGGGCGTGAACGAGATGCCTAGTCTTTCGCGACCCAGTCGGCGCTCCGGGACACGAGCTCTATCGAGTTATCCGTCGTCCAAAAGAGACGTTCCGTCGCGCTGCGTCCGCTCCAGCTCTTCTGGTCGCGCAGGATCATGGCCTAGCACAAGATAATCAGTTCATGGTCTTAAAGTCGGATACCCAACCCGACTCACCTGCTGAGCCCCGAAGTTTCGCTGGTCGTGGGCAAACAACTCCACATTATCCTCCAGCGCCTCCGTCAGGATCTGCAAGTCCTGCAAGATCGCCTGCATCGCGCGCACCGCCCCAAGCGTTAAGATCTCCTTCCGGTTCCGCACCGTGTTCGCATTCGGCGGCGGCAGCGCACGCGAGATCGTCTGCAGCACAGTGTGCAGGATGCGCTTAGTCTCGCCGAGGATCTTCTGCGCCTGCGGGAAGTTGCGGCGCGAGACGAGGACGAGCGCGCGGGTGATCATGTCCGACGCGAGCAGCTCCATTCGCCGGCGCACGATAACGGGGTCGGACACCCCGCTCGGCTGGTGTGGGGCGGAGCCGTCTGAGGGTGCCGGTAGGAGGGTGATGGTCAACAGGACCGGATGCGCAAGGCGGGTGACGTGCTTGACAGCGGCAGGGTCGAAGAAGCTGCCGTCGACCTCGACGACCGGCACCTCGTCAATCATCCGGTCCATCATGCCGTCCGCAAAGTCAGGCGCATCGTCGATGCTCAATGCATCTAAGCCCATGCTCGCCACGAACTGGTCTGTCGCATTGAGCGCCCGCCGGTTCGCCCCGCGGGCCATCGCTGCGCGCTTCGCCTGCATGTCCGCGTTGTCAAGCTCGAGCTCGATGAGCATCTCCTTGCGCTCGCCGTATCGCAGCTCGCCGACATCGACGTCGACGTGCATGCCGTCGCTCGCGAGGATGCTGCTGGGTCCGCCGGATACCTTGCGTATGCGGAAGCGCTGCTGGTCAACAATGCGCATATGGAGCTTCATGTTGAGAAGACCGATGCTCATCATGCCGCCGACGCAGCCTGCAATGCAGTCCCGGAGGTCGTACCAATCCTTAACGAAGGTATAGGTTCCAGAGGTATGGTTCGACATGAGCCAGAGCGATGCTGGATCATGCGAGCGGCCGTAGCCAAAGGAGTGGATGGGGACGTTGGCTGCTTCCGCGCGAGCCAAGACAAGGTCCATCTGGGCCCTCCTTGTGCTATCCGCGGCGTCGGAGATGAGCAGCATGCCGGACACAGGGTTCTTCGACTTGCGCTGAAGCACAACATCAAGACCTAGGAAGCGCAAGTCAGCCTCAGATCCCCTTTGCTTAACTACAACGAGCTCACCATGGTTAACTGCCGTCACCACATCCGTCTTCTCGTCCTTCGCACCCCGGACCAGGAACTCGTCGTTGATCGTGCCCGAGTCATCACCAGGAATCCTCCCAAACACGATACCTTCCACAAAGTTTTCCAGCCGCTTCTTGCTGGTCGCCCGCACGACGCTGAGGAACGGCGTCTTACGCACCCGGCCACCCACGCCAACTTCGAAGGTGACGAAGCTAATCCGGTCCTTTTGCCCGAGGTTGCCCATGATGAATTCGAGGGTGTTGCGTATCACGCGGCACTTGAGCTGCGCGGTGCTTGCTGGGCTTCCGGGTGGTGGCAAGCTAATCACGAGGATGAGGTCGAGCGGAGGGTGGGGAAGGGGGGTGAGGGAGTTGGACGGCCCGTTCGAGGTATAGGGCGTTACAAGCCCTGTTGGGGAATTCGCGGCTGTCGAGGAGTTCGAGTCGTAGTACTCCTCGTCCTCCCCTAGGGTAGACAACTTGCTGCCATGGATAGAGCCTGCGTGGTATCCTGAGCCATGTGAGGTTGATGATGAGCGTGAGGTCGCGCCGCCGAGTAACGAATCCATAGTGCTTGTGCTTGTAGTCGATCCGTTGGTATGCGAAGAACCGCCGCTAAGCATGCGCATGGCCTTGGAAGAGCCGCCGAACTCCTCCATGTCCAACTGCTCGGATTCGTTCGACCGATACGTGCCATTGAGACGCTGGAAGTGCTGCACCAGACTCTCGATGCGTGCTCGCCACGCTTCCAAGGAGCCGCGGTCCTTGAAAATGAGAATGAAGGACGCTAGCTCGTCTTCCATGTCGATAGTCAAGCTCATCTCGCCAGCGGCACTAGTCGCCGTAACTTGCTTGATGTGCCGTACATAGATACGGCCCTTGAGACGAAGGACGCCCTTCGAAGATACGGAGCCGGTGTTAGCGGAGGATGAGGATATGAGGGATGGGTCAGAGAGCAGGCGGCCGAGGGAGCGCTTCTTTTCTTCGACGACGCAGATGAGGGCTTCCTTGAAGAGGTACACATAGAACTCCCGCACGACATTATCGCGTCGCACAGTGAGCAGGTCGTACATTTGCAGAGGTCCGAGGTCGGATAGAGGGTGTCCTTTCCAGTCGGTAATGCGATTACGCAGGTCTTCCGTTATAGCACTAAACGGATTGTCTTCGGGTGGTGGCGGTGGAGGAGGCGCTGGCGACATTTCGCGACGCACTGGTGGCTGAGGGGCTTGCCGGGGCTGGCGTGGGTGTTGTTGGGGTTGATGGCGCGGCGCAGAGTATGAGTCCGGGAGGATAGGGCCTGGAACGGCGGCGCCGGACGTTGCCCGCTTTCCGGGGAGCTCGATGAGGACGATGCATGTGAGGGGTTGGCTGGGATCGTTGGTACGCGTGAGGCTTGAGAATTCAGGGCGAACTTGAATAGATGGCGCGACAATGTATGGGGAGGAATCGCCACCACCGCCGGACTTCACGGAGCCCGCATGTTCCAGCGGATCGTCTTCGGTAGGGTCGAAGGGCTTGTTGGCATTGGTCCCCCTTCGTCCGGCGGTGGGTGTGTCGCGACCGGGGAAGACGGTGGGAGCATTGCGGTCGCCCATGCCAGTCAGCAGGGCCAACTCTGCGAAGCGGACGGTTAGCCGTCTTGCATAGGTTCAGATATCCGACACGCACTGTTCGACTTTCCGCCGTCGCCATCGCCGACCTTCATCGGACGTCGGCAGACACCACAGACACCGAGATTGGATTTGCGCGGGAGACCGCGCGCCTGGTTTGGAGGCGGACCATATACGGCGGTGAAGCATGCCTGCGTTGAGTCGCATTAGCGCGTAGCTAGAATAGTGTCTGCGATGGTATACGCGCCTCATGCAGAGCGTGACCGCACTCGGGGACGATATGTGGCTTCTCGCCCGGTAGCCTGAAGGAGAACGACAGGGGCTCGAGGCAGACGGGACACTCGTCCTCATCGTCGTTGGCGTCCTGGGAGGAGACGACGGGCAACGGGGCGTTGTGCATGATAGGCGGAGGGGCGTTGTCGCCGTCGTCGACGGTGGTGGGAGTAAAGGAGCGGACAGATGCTTGGAATGATCGGACGGAGGGGGCTCGCGGGGCGCGGAGGCTGCGAAAAAGGGAAGTTCCTGGTTCGAGACCGCCACCGAGTCGGCTCGGGGTTGGCGACGCTGGAGGAGGAAGCGGGGCCTGGCGGGGCGATTGGTATGTCGGCGAGCCTGGGGGATCGCGAGCCCTGCGACCGGTATGGGAGCGCATCAGGGTCTTCCTCACGCTCACGTCCTTCGCTCAGACAGAACTACTCAAATTTCCGTTGCTCCCCTGGCACGAGGTTTGATGCGGTAACTACGAGCCCTCCTCTGCGCATTGCGGCCGTGGGCGCGCTCTCTTTCCACCAGAAAACGAGGCATCGCTGTGGTCCCACCCGAGGACACCCGTCTAGGCCCCGGAAGACGCGCTCCCGGCTTAGAGGAGGCACAGGAGCGAAGAGCTTCCGTGCTGAATATGCCTCCGTCTGAAATCGAATCTCCCCCTCGCCACAATTCCCCTCGTTCTCCCCGAACTCACCCCGAAAGTCAGTTCTGTCGAGATTTCCATTCACACGCCGCTGAACTCGTCTATCTCTCGTTCGCAAAGACCTGCAGTTTGTGGCACGAAGTCAAGCAAACTCTAATCACAATGGCTTGTCCTGATACAGATTTCTCGCAGTGCTTTATCGACTGACTAGCGTCAACCCGTGCTCCGCACGGGAAGGCGGGGCGTGCCAGAGATCTCAGAGTTACTGAAAAAGTGCAATCGAACTGTGGCTAAATGTCAGATCGTCGCATCCCTATCATTATCAAGTCGCAGGAGAACATGCACTGAGTCTGCGCCGCATGCTGACCTCAAGCTAAACATGTTTGTGGAAGCAAACCTCGCGAGGACAGGATGTACTGCACGCCCAGGTATAACCAACGTTGTAGGCAGTGTCGCGGATGTAGAGCATCCGTCGGGCATTACTACCATGAACGGTCACAGAAATGTAGCCACAACTGCGTCAGCGGACGAAGGTTCGCATACCACGTCTTCAATGTTGAAGCCATTTGCATTTGGTCTTGGGTTAACACGAAGGTTGTCTCTTTATGCCCATTTTGCGCAATTTTGTCGCGGTGACGCAGGTCGTCTCGCAGTTCTCAAGAAGATACAGTCAGAATCGCAGAGCCATCAGTAAGAGAGTGATCAGTGTTGATCCAGAAGAGAAAATAGAGGACGGGGAACGCGACGCGTAGGTGCAAAGCACGAAGACGTTGACGTGGTCGCGGTCGAGGAAGAAGAGGAAGTCAAGATGGAGCATCGCGTCATCGACGCGTGAGGAATGTAACGGCACATGATCGCAGTCGGTCGTCGACCAATGAGAAGGCCCACTTAGCCGTGACTGTTACGGCCACTTCCCCTTTGTGAAGAGATTGCACAGCTCAATCCTTCAATCCTTCATGGTGAGGGTACTGGATTCATTCGCAACTCTACTACTACAGAGGAAAATGTACAAGATGTAGGGTATGCACCGAGCACAAACGCACGTCCCACAGTAATCAAGGACACCCGTCATAGACTCGTCTACACGCCCACCCAGCCGTTGATTAGACGGCTAGGATACGTTGCTTTTGGCCCTCACCAGAACCGGTGTACAGCATGGAATTATTGTTTCGCTGTCCGGGCAGAGATGGGCCAGCTCGAGGATGTCGTCGAGCAGTGGTAGGGAAGGGGAAGGAATGCGCACTTGAGAAGATAGCGCTGAAGGTGCTGATCATACTATTGCTGCATTGCAGCCGTTAAAGCCGGCTACTGCTTGCTAGGCATTGCTGCGAAGTCTTGAAGGCTTTCGGGCACGGGGGAAAAGGTAACGAAGGTGCTATTGTGACGGTGGGAGAGGACGAGGAGGAAGAAAAGAAAACCTCGGTTTTATCTGTTGCGATCGATCAGGCTAACATGAGCACACAAATTATGCACGTGATCGACGGACTTCAACTTCCTTGTACTGCACCTGAGATAGCTCGGCTTGAGGGCTCTCCAAAGCATCGGTCAGAAGAAAGTTTTACGGTTTTTGGAAGGTCTCATTTTCTGCATATCATCTAGTAATGAGGCTCTGGCCACGGAATCACCTGCTTCTCCTCCAACCCCAGCGCCTTCCACGCCGCCCCTATGGGCGACACCGGAAAACTCGGCGCAATGGGCTTCCCATTGTCCGACATCACCTTCATCAGCACCGGCGATGTCGCCGCGAACCAGACGAATGTCGTCAGCCCACCCAGCGCCCGCGTCGCCCTGCTCTCCTTGATGCCCAAACGCTTGCCCAGTCCGATTATTCCATCCTCGAACGTTATCCACAGCGCCTGCAGGATGAAGAAGCTCATGGACTGCCCGAAGCTGCGGTTGAGCTGGCGGTCGCCGACCTCGTGCATGAGGCCGGAAACGATGAACGCCGTGTAGAGCTGCGCGTACGACGACGCCTTCGTACCCGGCACCGCACCGATCGCGTTCGCCACCCACTTGCCATGGGAGATGATGAACTGGAAGCGGTCGTCAGGATGCAGCTCAGGATGACAACGATCAGACCTACCCTCCGTAGGATGCAGTGCCACACGCGCCCCCATGTCCTCCGCACGGTGTACGCATCCCAGAAGCTGCCGAACATCGGGGGCCAGAGCTGGGGCTCCCAAAGCCCGAGGGCGACGCCTGCCATCGCGAGCAGCTCGTACTGGATGTTGAAACCCGACCAGATGTTCCCCCAGTACGCGTATGAGTTGAGCGCCTGGAAGATCGGGCCTTGCGACCAAGCGGGGAAGCGCTCGGCTGCGCGAGACGAGGTAATGGGGTTATGGGTTATGTACAAGTTGACGAGGTCGTTGACAACGAAGTAGAACACTAGCCAAAGGAAGTGTTCGACGAGGTACGAGGTTCGGGATTGCCCTTTGGGGATCTGCCGAAGGTGGGGGACCTGCAGAGGTTCGGGTTGGTCATCGTTAGAATCGCGAGCGAGGTGAAAGCACGCAAGAGACCCACCGGCTTGTTCCAGCCTACACCGCGGAACGATGCAACTAGACATGTCGCCCACCAGATGCGCTGCGGCAGCGACATGTCTTTGGCCGGCTTCGTATCGTATATATGCCGCGTCCCATCCGTCAATGGGTCGGTGAGGAAGTAGAAATGAATGGCGGTGAAGAGGGGCCAGCCGTAGTACAGGCAGCCCAAAGAGTAGGTGATGAAAGTGTCTTCGAGAGTAAACGTTTTGTTTCCCCAGTTCGCAAGTTGCAACTGCAGGGCGAAGATGAGAACACGGAGCGCCGTCGGAGGGCGCGTCGCGATGACGAGGGGGATAGGGAGGAGCATGAGCACGGCCGACGCCGTGAACCCCAGAATGTCAAGCAAGCGCTCCGCCATGTTGGACTTGAAGATCTGGGAAGATGCGGAAAGGTGAGATACACACGCACGCACCCATCTTATACTCGCGGGGCGCCTACCCCGTATCGCGTAAAAGCAGTGGGTAGTGCCGGGCTAAGAGCGCTTCGCCAGCCACGACCGCGGTGGCGAATACAAATTCCACGCGTGGCCAACAAATCACGCGCAGCGCGTCACCCACCGCGATCAACGCATGGGTGGCACCCTTGCGGATAGCGCCCTGTACTCCGAGCCACTAGAGCAGTGCGCAGGCGTCTGTTCCCACAGGCGGGTGCCAAAAAGACGTGTTCGCGTTGTAGATCAGGCCCTGGGAGGCGAATTCAAGAAGTCCGACGATCCAGAAGCTTGATGAAGCCCCTACACCTAGTGAAAGTCACTAATCTGAGGCTGACCATACCATCGATTTTCCCACCGGACCGGCCACAAACGTTGCCAAGTTCGAGAGCGGTAGGTTGAGCGGTAGACGGCGAGGGGGAAGAGCGGTAAACGGTACCGAGAAGACCTCATTTCGGGGAGGGGGAGGAGTCGGACAGCGATAGAGGACACGGTGCCCAACGGTACTGAATTAATCGAAGAGCAGTTGAAGGTTGCGGAGTTGGCGAGACCACTTCGATTGACACGGTGGATGCGACGTGAGCATGGGATTCATATATCAATCTGTGAAGAAGCGGTAGAGGCATACGATATCGGCGGGACCCTGCACGGCAGTCGATCCTCCGACCGCACGGCACCATGCTTCAATCGTCGTTTGTACGTGTCTTGCGCCCATAGACAACTGGCACGTACCTTGAGCCGATGTCTATACCTTGACCAAACCTTGACCCTAAGTCTATTCCAGTCCTAACCGCCGCCTTTCTGCGTGTTCTCTCTCGAATAGGGAAGTCTTGTGTTCAGCATTGGATAAGGCATCATCCCATATGACGAAGAGTTCCGACAGTGCATCGACCTACATGGGTGATCAGTTCAAGAACATGAAGGGGGGGAGGACAGATTATAAGGGAGTGTAAAGCAGATGATCAGGGGAAAGGCAGCTGACATTGGTAGCATGACGTTCCATGAGATTAGCGACGCGTCGCTCAAGGCTGGACGCGCGCGCCGCGTCCTCTTCGTGTGCCTTCAAGAGGGCTTGTAGCCTGGGCTTGAGGGCTTCGTAGTCTGGCGATGACAAATGAGTTAAGGACCCTTGTAGTTCGACACAAACCACGCACCTGCCAGCTTCCCAGCCCCAGTGACGCCCTTGCCCTCCAGCATCTCAATCTCGCGCATATCGCGGTCCGCCGCGCGGACGTCGGGCTCCATCTCGGCAAGCAGCGCCTCGAGCTCCGCGCCGCTCATGCTCTCGTACGCCGGCGGCTGGTCGCTGAGCACGCCCGAGAGCGCGAACGCGGGCGTGAGCAGGTGCGCGTGCTGGTCATCTGGCTGCAGCCCTCAGTACCGATGCGTCTGAAAGGTAGGCGAGTACGCGACGTACAGTTCTGCACAAATTTCTTCAGGCCCTCGTTGCCCTCGACAATCGTGTTGAGGCGCCGCTGGATGTCGTCGGCCGCGCGCACGAGCGTCTCGTTGTGCTTGAGGTCGTTTCGCCGTGGGTTCTGCTTAACGCCGAGCAGGATCGCCTCCAACCAGCGCAGGCGAAGCTCGAGTGATAAGACAGGGTCAATGACTGCTGCATGCGCTTTCTCTGGCGGTGGTGGTTGCGGTGGTTGCGGCTGCGGCTGGTACGTTGCTCGAAGCGGCGATGTCGGTGGTGGTGTATGTCCGGGAGGTGGTGGCGACGCGGGCGAGGACAACCCGGCGGAGAAAGTGCTCGCCATCGAGGGCGGTGATGATGGCGGAGTAGACGACAGGACTCGAAGACGATTAGAGTCACCGAGGAAGACGCTGCCGATGGGATTCATGCAAGTTGGAGAGGACCAAGGTCGCGGCGCGAGGCGCGTGCAATCACCCCACGCCATCAATCGGTCTTCGCCACCATGGACCCACAAGTCGGCCAGAATTCCTTCGCGATGCCCAGTACTCGTGGAGAGACTGAGAAATACTGCTGTGATGAGGGGGTAGACTGCGACGGAAGCCTGAGTGTCTCTCGGATGTTCGGTCAAGACGAGCACAGGGCACTAGAACCATGAGCTGTACTGTAATGCACTTGTCTATCACCCCAGTACTGCTGCGCCGGGTGCTTGCGCTCAGCAAGTCCCTCTGGGCCTCAGGCGTACTGATGAGTTTCTCTAGTCCAGCGAAGCTCCAGGGCATTTAGCGAGCCGCAAGTGCTGAACAAAGGATCGAGTTCCATCGCGATGGAGGACTTGCCTCAAGCTCATCTTCTGTCCGTCTGAGTGTATGGCCCAAAGCCACTTGGCCTCCCTGGCTCACATAATACATCATAGCCTGCCAGTCTGAGTCGAGAAGAGCACCCATGTCTTCAGAACTGGGAGGCTGAACACGTTTGGTTTCTTCAAGCTCGAACTGTGACTGTCACGTCGCACGCACAGATCAGCAACCACAAAGCGCGGGCTACAATGTCCTGCTTTGCGAGGCAAGTCTCGATGCAGTATAATAAGTCTAGTACATCCAATAATTACCGAGTGTCCGTGTTCAATGCTCGAAGTCTCTCTTGCCTCCAAAGCCAATCTCCACCGTCCAACCATTAGCCCATCACTGTTCTCACTCTAAAGCTCAAACGAATCCGCCCAATGCCTAATGACCCCCTCCCCCCGCCTATGCCACTCAAAATTCTTCACATCCCTCGAAATAATCACCGCATGCGAGTTCCGCACATTCTCAATGAACGCGCGCTCCTTCTGTATCGGCAGCGCGTTCAAGTTGGCCGCCATCTTCCTTTGGAGGGGCGCAATCCGCGCCACCGACTTCGACTGCGACCCATGTACGCTCTGCCTGCGCTGCTTCTTCGCGCACCACTTGCGTTTCTGGATCTGGCCGCTTTCCTTGTCGAGGAGGACGCCGTTGGCTTGGGCGAGGGTGTCGTCGCTGGCTTGAGCGTTGCCTTCGTGTTCCAGATGGTCCGAGTCGCTCTGCTCCGGATTCTCCATCATATCCGCCACCGCGTCCTCCACATCTTTCTCCAGCCGCGCCACCACCTGCATCAAGGTCTCGCCGCTCGAAATCTTAGACGGATCGGCTTCGAGGAGCTTTATGCGCCTCCGCGACTTGTGCGCAGACATGGTGAGGCGCATGAGGACGAGGGAGAAGAAGAGAGGGACGATGACGGGGAAGGAGACGTAGAAGATCTGGAGGAGGGCGTCAGTGAGGCGACATTTGTGTACTCGGCGAGGAAACGTGCACTTACAACGTTGTAAGGGAACTGGCTCAGTCTGGGCGGCAGAGGGATTCTAGGGAGTCTAAATTGCTTGATCCAAGCGACAGTGAAGGGCTTCGGCTTCGGCTCGCGCACGGGCGGCTCGGCGGGAAGGTCCCAGGACCTAATTAATGGGCTGTATTGGTCGTCGTATCCTCTAGAGAGACAGTGAGTTAGAGAGGTGTCGAAAAAGAGAGCGATAGGTTTCTAAAGAGTAGCAGCAGGTATCGAACAGGGAGGGCAGGGAGGTGACGGAAGGGCGAATAGTAGGGTTTTGGTACTTACACTGTGAGACCCGTATTCTCGTAGTCCGCGAACGGGTCCTCTAGTTCGATGCAGGCGGTCAGGTAAGGAACGGTCAAGTCGTTGATTCTGTGCTGTGTCAGAAAAAGGGCCGGGGTGAGGCGAAATAGTGGCACATACGCATTGCCATATATTCGAATGTGTTTGAAGGTTTGCAGGGCTTGGTAGAACACTCGCTCTGACGGGCTGGTAAGTGATGGAAGTCAGACTGCAAGCAAGGATTGCACGTACCGGGATCGGCCATGACTTCGAGCAGCGGTCTGCCTTTCGCAGACCATTTGTCGACGAAGTAGAATTGCTCGCCGGTGCGCGAAAGTAGTCGAGGACCAAGGGAGTGGGATAGCGAGGACCAGAAGGAATCATATCTTAGGCGCAGTCAGCCGAGGTGAAGGGTATACCTCTCACGAGGGTACCCACCTCAAGAGACCAAGGTGAGGAGTTGCAACCGTATTGAAGTTCACTGGGGTGATCTTCTCGAAGAAGCCTTGCTGGTGCAGGATTCTGTGATTTGTCTAAGCATGAAAGCTCAAGGGGGATGTATAGCAAGCGTACCCGATCACATAGCGCGAGATGAGCCCCCCGAGACTATACCCAGTTATCGAGAACTTCGTGACATGGTCGCCCTTCGCCTCCAGATCCTCAACACGCTTCGCGATCTGTGGCGCGCCATTGTGAGTGAATGTCTTATTGTAGAGTAGCATAACGCACCTCCTGCGCAACGCGTTCCCCTCCCCAGTCGATCCCATCGTACGTATGTTCCTCGCTATTCGTGTTCGCGAGCAGTACCTCGAGCCGCGTGCCATCCTCGCTGGGCTCGCTCTTCACTTCCTGGATGATACGGTGCAACTCGCTCAAGTGGACTGCACGAGGGGCCGTGTGAGCCCTCGATACTACACACAGGAGCTAGAGCGTGCTTACTGGGGTTCCCCCACATGCCATGGACGAGGACGAGGAGATGGGTAACGGCCATGATGCTATTATCCGAGTGAATGAAAGGAGGGAAAGAAGGACTTCAGGCTACGAGATATCAGTCAGGTAGAGAGAAAACCAAGAAGATACAAGTCAGGAGCAAGCCGCGTACTCTGTGGCGGAAGGAGGAGATGAATAGACATAGATCGTAAGCGCGGCGACGCAATGCAGCGGCAATGACGGAAGGCATCCGGCAGCAAATGCCCCCGAGGATCACCGCGGAGATCGGCTGGACGGATCGGGAGCGCGGACCTGAGATCACGAAGTTCAACTGTGACTGACCGAGAATGAGACTCGCTTCCATGGTTCCATCGAGCTTTGAAGGAGATGACTGGCGATGGATGCGACTCAGTCGCTCCTGCTGTCAGCAACAAGATAGACCATTTGCTTTGTTCATCAACTGACTTCGTCGTTCCGGACAAGAGAAGAACGAGAAGACTGACGCAAAAAGAGACAGCAAGAATACATCATTGATTGTAGTCGGACGGAAGATACATTGAGGATACATGCGCGCACTGGATAGAATCATGCTCAAACATCGTACTGAATCATCATCGAGGATGGCCACGGCGACACCATCATCTTCGCGTCGAGGTAAGCGTAGTTCAGGGCCTTGCGCTCGACGGTCTTGAACCTCTGCAACATGCCAGACTGCCCGACCGTGCGGCGGACGTTGGGGTGGCTGAAGATCACGGTGAGGACCTCAGCGTAGATCTAAATCACAGTCAACTCGATGTCCACCATTATCAATGGGATAAAACATACCTTGTGCACCATATCCTGCCCGAGGATCCTGTCGAAACCACGTTAGTATCACACTCCAACACATATCATCTGGCACATACGTGATAGACCCTTCGCCAAACAAGTGCTTCTCCTTGGGTCTCCCGATCCTGTGCTCATCCGGCGACGAGAACACGGCCTCGTCCTTGTTCGCCTGCTCGAGGTCGAGGAACAGGCGCGCGCCGGCCTCGACGCGGATGTTCTCGACGACGTGGCCCGATACAGCGGTGCCTGTGGAGGAGGTCAGCCGTCAGTCGAGGCGATCGGTACGGGCAAGCAGCGATTATGCAAATGAAAAACACGCACGCTGCATGCACCGCGTCGGCGGGTCGTGTCGCAGGGCCTCCAAGATGAAGCCCTCGAGCTGCTCGGGCTTCGCCGCCTTAATGAACGCATCGACGTGCGGCGGGACGGGCTCGGTGACTTTGTGCGGGCCGAGGTACGCGTTGACGACGTTCGTCAGGCCCAGCGAGATGTCGACGACGGAGATGATGATGGCGAGGATCGTATCTGCCAGCGCGGACGACGACGGCGCGAGCAGCTGCAGGCGGCGCACCAGCTCGTCGTGCTCGGACTTCTTCGACCCCTTCGCCCACGGCATCTTCGACATGATAGTGCTGATGACCTTTTTGATCTGGGTTAGCTGTGAGGCAACATGCAACAAGCGTTGCCGTTGAGTTGAGAGCCGCATACCTTCTGCGGGAACGTGTTGTTCAGGTGGCTCGTGATGTGCCCAATGAGCTCCTCGACGTGCTTGCGGACGCGGCACTCGACGGTCTTGTAGCGGGAAGCCTCGATGTCGAGGAAGATGAACCTGTCATGCGTTAGCTTTGCAATCACCACGAACGAGAGAGAAGTCGTACTCGTAAGTCTCGGACAGCATACTGTAAAACTCTTCGACCGTGTAGACGCCTTCGCCATCCTTGGTCTCCTTCAGCTGGATGCCCGCCTTGAATCGAAGTGTCAGCGAACGGTTCATACAGTGATAAGATTGACTCCCTCACCAGTTCGTTCGCAGCCCAAAGCGCCGGGAGGGGCTTAAGCACGTCGCGGACGACGTCGATGACATAGTGGCGCGTGCCAGGAAGCGGGCAGCCGTGCAGGTCCAGCAGATGCCTCGTCGTGGTCTTGAAGTAGTCGGCGACGCCGGCAGCGATCTCAGGTGCTTGGAAGACCTTGCAGATCTGCGCCTGCTGCTCTCTGCCGGTAAGGACGAGCGGGAACCTATCCCAACATCGTCAGCAAACATTTCTAGCCAAAGCAGCAAGCAGCACACTCACGTCATGCCATCCTTGCCCCGCACTTTGCGAGCACGCGTCCCCGTCGGGCTCACATACGCATCGCTCGTCAGCACCGCGCGCACCCCATCATGCGTCGTTACCACCTTTTCAGTCGCCGCCGGCTCCGGGCGCGCCAGACTATAATCCGCCTCCTTCCCCAGCCGCTTCAGCACCACGCCCATCGCCTGCGGCGTCATCAGCGGGAAGAACCCGTACACGCTGTCTTCCGTGAACTGCCCCGGCAGCGTGCGCAGGAAGAGCCTAGCGAGCACCGAACCGAACCCGTGCGCCATGTCGTCGCGCTGGCAGTCCGCGAAGCCCCAGGCGGTGAGGTTGAAGGGCGTGAAGTCGTGCGTGAAGAAGCGGTCGCCGCGCGTGAGCGCGACGGCGTCGCTGAGGATCGCGCGCGAGATGGTGTAGCCGGGGCAGAGGCCGGCGCCCTCGACGACGGGCTTGGCGTCTTCGGCTTGGAGACCGACGTAGAGCTCGAGGCGCTCGATGTCGCCGTAGAGGGCTCTGGCGGCATTGGCGATCTCAGGGTCGGGGTTCCAGTCCTCGAACGTGTCAAACGCTATGGAAGAGGTTAGTACATGGGTTTTCGGACATGACGCCACTCCGTACCCTTCAGGCCCAAGAACTTAAGATTGGTCAGTCATAGCCTCACTTCCGGAGAGCAAGGACGTACCCGACGGAAGTCGTTCAAAGAGCAGACGCCCCACTTCCTGTTCTGCTCGATGCCCATGATCTCATGCAGACGCATAACGCCCGGCGTGCCCCGCGCCCTGAAAGCACCAGCAGGCTGCTCCGTCCTATCTCGTTCGTTAGCACTATTCGCTCGGTTTTGCAACCCACTCACGCGTTGTGCAAGATGTCAGCGAGCTGCTCATCGTCGAAGGATCCATCCTCGCCGCGCTGCATGTTGCCGAAGGTCCAGTGCGTAAGGTCAGGGCCGGCGTGTTGCATCAGCTTGACGGCGCATTCCTTGAAGTCCCGTGGCGTGATGTCCTCTATCTTCTTGTCCGGGAACTGGCTCGTCATAACCTTCTCGACCCAGGCCTCATCGTGGACGCTAGTCGTCGCGTGCCAGCGGTAGAGGCAGTTGAACTGTGATTGCATTGAGTGGGAAAGACATTGTGAGTGGAGATTAGGCATACCTCGACGGAGCAGACATTGCCCTTGCCGCGCTCGAAGAGCGAGTGGTCCTCCTTGCGCAGTTCCTATATGATTGTTTTGAGCATCATGGTCGTCAGCCAAAGTATTGAACTTACGCTAAAGGGGTCAAGCGTCCAGCTACTCCCCTGACGAACCAGGCCGAGAATGCAGTGAACGTAGTCCGCGAAAACAGCTGCGAAGAATATCAAATACTGTCAACACAAAGTGACAAGGCAGTGCTTACCAGAGCCAAACCAACCACAGTTGACGAGTCTTGCGATCTGGAAGATCTCCTCATCCTGCTTAGCCTTGCCCTCCTCGTCCAGCTTGTCAAGGTCTTGCTGCCAGGATCCCCTCTCGTTGATCTCGAGAAGTCTCTCGGCGATGAACTATGCGGAAGGTGAGCACGCGAAGTATGCGCAGTCGAGAGAACTCGACGCACGTTGTGGTTCCTGCTAAAGCACACCAGGATCGCGCACGTCGCAGGTGGGAGGAGCAGCAACCGATCCTCCGCAAACGCATCCTTGTGCAGCAAGCCGCGCCCCTGGCTCTTATCGCGCACCCTGTCCTGCGTCTCCTGGTTGTTGCCGTAGAGCGGCGCCAGGTCGACGTACGACGACGTCTCGTTGATGTTCACGTCGTCGTGGTTAGTGCGGAAAACCCTATCGCGCATCGCGGTCAGCTGCTGTCCGCGCCCATCGTCACCTGCCGCGAAGACTTACGTGTGGATAACCAGCGCCGCGAAGCCGAACATGAGGGACGAGAGGCCGGCGGGGTGCTCGACGAACTTGGGGCATGGTCAGTGGCGGCAGGGCTAATGACAGACGGATTGACGGCACCTTCTCGCGCTTGAGCAGGCTAAGGGAGGGTCAGCTGGGGCCGGGATGAGTCTAGGGGCGCAACTTACGTGTCGAAGATGAGGCCGGGGTCAGGCAGCTGGTGCGAAGGAAGGGGATGCGACTGCTGGACACTGCGCGCGTACGGCTTGCCCGCCTGACCGAGGTGGGGCAGGTCCATATTGTTATTTGAGCCATCCGGTTGGCGCCACGCGTACTCGCAACCAAGAGCAGTCGCAGGCGGGTGCGGAAGGTCGTCGTACACTGTCGCAGAATGAGCAGACACCCTCGCGGTGACAGGCAAACCACTCACGCTTCTTGATGACCGTGTTCTGAGCTTTCATCTGCATATCTCCCTCGAGCGTGCCCGAGATGAACTTGAGCCCATGCTCGAGGAACAACTTCCGGTCATCGAGGCTCTCCTTGTGCAGCATCATGTCCGCGACAGCCGTCTAGATTAAAGGCATCCATGAGACGCAAATGAAGTGAGTTGTCGAACTGGACGCACAACGCTGCTGGGCGGCTGATACCCGCCGAAGAGCCGTTGCTCGTTGAAGAGCGACGGCTGCTGCTCAGTGGCACGGACATACTTGGTGTACTTGTTGCCACCAGTATCGGCGACAGACCCGTTGGGCTGAGCGCTTCCGCTAGCAGCGCTACCGTTCGCCGAGCCATTGCTGCTAGTTTTCTGCCGACATGTCATTAGGCTTCCCAACAGGATCAAGGACTCCGACTCACCAGGTCGTTCGTCGACAACCTCCTGATAAAGGACTCCATTGGGACTTTTGGGTTGTAATCGAGGGGAAATCCTCAAAGGGGGGCAGTCTAGATGATGAAGGGAGAGCGCGCTCAACCTGCTTCTTATAAGGAGCCATCTAAGCCGAGCAACCCCCACCGAGGTTCGATTACTCTAAACCCTCGCTGACGTCGCGATTCGAGCACTGGATGAAGCGAACGGACGTCCCTTGGGAAGCGAGGCGGAGGATCGGGAGCACCTATCGGCGTTCTAGTGTTCTAATAGGGGAAGCGCTAGATGATCCTCTATCGTCACGAACCTTGGCCAGCCTGCTCAGCCCTGTCATGCCGAGGTGGAGGTGCACTTGTGGTGGGGCAGGTGCGCCTGAGATACTAGGAAATAGCTGGTCGTGATCGTGGTGGGAGTGAATTGCAGACCGACCACCGCATGAGTAAAATGAAGAGGACGGATTGCTGACCTTCATCAAGGCAATGATCCGTTGAACGAATGACAACTCTCCGAGGAGGTTCATATGACGGATGATATGGTCGGTGTTTGATGAAAGCGGTTCTTCCTCATACAAGAACATCCAGTGCTGTAGTCGGACCGACGACTGCACGCTCAGCCGCCCCCGAGAAAGGCGGGCATATAGGTCGGTGGAAGACCACGGCGAATCGGATATGATACATAACCAGGCTCGTAGGTTGTACACAGGGATTACTTGCATCAATAACATAGAAAGCTGTGAGAGAACACAGTCAGCATTCACACAGGCATCCGCCTTAGAAGGATCACTCACTCCCAAGAAAGCAGTCAGTAGGTACTCGTCGAATTTATCTGATCAGTAAGGCGGCAGATACCCCGCATACAGGTCGTCCTCATAGTCCGAGTCGCCCGGGTAGCCGAAGTACCCATACTCATAGTCACTGTACCCCTCGTCCTCGTCCTCATCGTCGCTATACCCCTGCACCAGCCCATCCCAGTCGACCTCCACGACGACCTCCTCGAGCCGCGCGATGGCGTCGTCGTCGATGTACCGGCACTCCTGCAGCCGCAGCTCCGTAACCGGCGCGCGGCACTCCTGGCGCCACATGAGGCAGTCGAGCAGCTGTTCGAGCATCGCGTCCTCGTCCTCCGGCTCGTGGTACTCCTCGTCTATGATGTCACAGTCGCCGCGGAAGGAGAACTCTTCGATGGAGAGCGAACGGAGGGAGGGAATCCAGACTTTGCGCGGCTCGCTGGCGCGCACCTGGCCAAGGGCGGTGATGAGCTCGCGTGTGCTGTGGTTGTCGCCGACGACCTTGATGCTTCGTAGTTTGGGCGAGTTCGAGAGCGCGCCGACCCATCGATCCGAGTCTACCAGCTCGACCCGGCGGACCTGCACCGATCGAAGATCACGTAGAGGCAGGGCGCGCAGCACATCGTGCATGACGATCGCACCCGTGCTTGGCGTGAACTGCTGCCACGAGAGCTCGAGCTTGAATAAAGGGTGCCCCGCAGTGTTATTCGCGTTCTGGTGCGCGCGCAGCATGACGGAGTGCACCGAGCACCGCTCGACGATGAGGCTCCGGATCGTGCGCTTGCTATCTGCACCAAGACGCTTGAAGAGGGGGAAGATTGGGGAAAAGTCGCGCCCGGTCTTCGTCCCGCCACGAACGACGAGATCGAACGCGACCGAGACCGGCATCTTGAGCGCGCTGAGGAAAGCGGCACATTGCAAAGTACTCGCATGCAGATGCAACGCACGCAACTTCGGGAGGGCGATGGCTCCTGGCATGGCGGTGTCTGTTTGCGACTCCGAGCTGTTGAAGAAGGACGAGTCGGGATCAAGATCGACATTGTGCAAGAAGTCTTCCAGCCAGAGCATGCGCAGGTTGGGCATCTTGGCAAGGATGTCCAGCATCTGTGTGATAGTCGGGCGGCTCGCGTGTGGGATCTTGATAATCTTGAGCGACGTGAGGTCGCACAAGATGCCCGACTTCCAGTTGATGCGCGTCCGGATGAGCTCAAGCCGCCTCAGCCGCGGTGTCTCGCCTGCGAGGAAGTCGTCCGCCAGCGGAAAGCCTTCATCCGTCACGTAGTAGCTGGAGCGCGGGTTCGCGTGGATGAGGAGGGACTCGAGCAGCGGCGCCGCCCGGTTGAGGGGCGCGCACAGGCGCTGCAGGGTGGACGGCACGGCCGTTATGTGCAGCTCACTGATGCGGTGGATCTGCTGGAGTGCTGTGTGTACGGCATCGACGGCTTTGGGCGTCATGTAGGAAGTGTCCGTCCGTATTGACAACGGGGCCATCTTGGATCGCTGGAGCATCTCCAGACCCCACTTCTGGCTGGGCTGAAAGCTGGGCGCGCTCCAGAGGCGCGGGCAGTCCAGTGCGCATTCGCGCCAATATCGACAGACATGAGAGACTGGAAAGTGTGCGTCAGCATATCACAGACTCTCAGGATCAGTTCACGTACCCTTCGTCCAGTCCAGGCTCATTCCATTGTTATAATCGGTTTGACCCTGGCGGGAGATGAAGATGAAGATGCTGCAGAGGACTTCTGGCGGCAGTTGTGCGATGGGTGCTAGAGTGTTTCGTCGGGACTTTAGGGTGCGGATCGCGCGTTCATGGACTGCGATCTCGTCGTCCAGGGCCCTCCGCGCATCGTTGGCATCGGTCTCGGTGACTTCGAGCCCTGCGCATGCTGGTGAGCGCATATATGCGATCTTTGTGGCTCGTGCGCACCACTCATGGTCAGTAATGTTGCTCAGCAACAGCTCGAGGGGTTATCGTGGCCTCCTGCGGTCGGAATTCGAATTCTGAGGCGCTCAGTCGGCGCTTGAGTGATGATGGGGAAGAGGGAAGTAGGAACGAGCACGTGCAGAGCCAGGTCAGCCATTGTTCTCCGCCCCCATTATACTTCCCATCATCAGCCATGGAGTCCAGCGAGTTGTACCATGTTAAACAGCAGTTTTTCTTGGGTGAGAGTGATTGACTATCTAACGCCTATCCCTCTCACGATGCTTCAGGCGCATACAAAACGCTCATCGACTTGACCTTGCCGGACCCAAATTCCCCGGACTATGTCCTCACCCTCCTCTACCAAGCTCGCGCGCACATCGCGTCTGATGATCCCAACTCCGCATTGGCGCTTATCCCTGAAGACAACGAGAATGTCGCGGTGAAGGCAGTCGGCGCGCTCGCGAAGTACGTGGCAGCTACCACGGACGAAGACAAGGACGCCGCGCTCGAGTCGCTACGCGACTTGCTGGTTGAGATCGAGGGGGATGACGCAGAGGGGAGCGAGAAGGACAAGGCGCTTGTACGCGTGCTCGCCGGTACCGCCTTCGCGCGCGCAGGCGAGATCGAGGAGGCACTCGACGCGCTGGGTTCGCAAACGGAGGATCTCGAAGCGTACGTGGCCATCTCCGTCCAATTACCCTCTCTCTAATCCACCCTTCCAGCGTCGCCGTCCTCGTCCACATCTACCTCTCCATCAACCGCCCCGACCTCGCCAAACGCGAATTCGAGCGCGCCAAGCACTGGGCCGAGGACGATCTCCTCCTGCAGCTTATTGAGTGCAACATCGGGCTCGTCACCGGCAAGGACGCGTACGCGAACCCGCAGTCCTTCTACACTGAGCAGCTCGGGAACCCCTCACTCTCCTCCCCGCACATCCTCACCGCGCGCGGCGTCGCGCGCATCCTGCGCAACGAGTTCCAGGCGGCGCGCTCGGATATTGAAGAGGCGATGCAGCAGAATGCTGGGGATGCAGAGGCGTTGGCGGCGTATACCGTGGCAGCGAGCCTGGCGCCGCAGCAGAAGGGCGAGGCTGACGAGCTGTTCGCGTGCGTGCTCTACCTCCTCTTTTGTCTTGAGGGAACAACCTATTGACCTCACATCTAGACGACTACAAGCCGAGCACCCCAACCACCCTCTTGTTGCCGACCTCGCTGCCAAGTCGTCCATCTTCGACGAATTTGCGGCAAAGTTCGATGTCCCTCCTGTCGCAGCAGCTGCGTAGTCTCTCCGACCTCACACTGCAGCTTTTGTATCTCCGATGTCTTCGCCTTTGTTCTGGAAAATGACACTTGTGCTGTTCTGGGGAATGTGACTTGTGCTTTGAGGAAGCAAGCTTGCATTTCTGCGGCGTGGGGACGCATACTATTGAGGGAAGTAATTGATTGATCTCAAGATGACTGCATGCGTATCGCCCTCTTGCCGTCATAAGCAACGCCGCAAGCCCGTAAGGTAACACTCATCGCAGACGGCGAGGGGCTGTGGCGGCGGCAGGTGGCAGGTGGCGGTCCGTCAGTGACAACAGGCGACCGTGTGCTTTGGCGCGTTGTACGACGCAGAGCTGACCCCGTGTCCTACCCAGCCTCATCCCTCCGAGGTCCCCGGCGCGCGAACCCAATCACAGTGAGCTCAAGATGGCGTCTGAATCGCCAGGGAAGGATTCAGAATAACCCCATCGGACACAGAATAGCCCCAGTCTCAGGTCTGATCGACGTCGCCCGTTGTAGCACACAGGGCGTTGCTGGCACCATGTCTCGGTCTTCAGCCTTATTTCGCGTCTCGGAGTATACGAAAGCGGACCCCCTGGTTGTCTATTTCTCTCCGAGTCTCTCGTACCGCTTGTGACGAGTCTCTTACCGCTTGTGATCCCCCCTCCAGAATCTCAGTTGACCCCCCCACGTCTCTCCGGCCTCCCTCCGAGTCTCTCCTTCGGCCTCCCGCGTCATACTTACATCGCCTCCCACCCAGGGCCGCCCATCGTGCACACTGTCAACGTCCCTCGCGTAGCACAAGGGAGAGCGCTGGCATAAGGAGGGCGCGCACAGCCATCGGGATCCAGAATGTCGCTCTCGCTCGGCCGGAAAATTGTCTTCAAATCCGGCTGGCTCGCTCTCAAATCCGGTGGAGCGACAGTCCGGATTTCAGAGCGGCGCGCGCGCATTTCTAGCCCGTATTGCCGCTCTCCATATTTGCTCCCGCGGGGGGCTGGGCGCGCGTATATAAAGCGCGCCCTCCGCCGTGCCTCATTCCTTTTTCCACCCGCCTCGCGATCCATCAAGTCGAAGCTCCCGCTTGTTCAGTGCTATTGTTTTCCGGATTTGGAAGTCGTTCATACCACGGATAGGCGTGTGCATCTCTTCTCCTCACCCTTACGACCTCTATTTACGCTCATCCTTGGTTTAGCCATCCTCGCGCAGTGCATCCGACCATCCCCAGTCCAGACCAGCCCGCGCCCAGTCCGAGCGCGCACACGACCAGCCTAAGCGCCATGACGAACACCATGTCCACCCCCGCCACGCCCATGAAGCCTGCGCCCATCAACACCTCGAACCTCTCATCATCCGGCCCAGGCAGCGGCGCGTCTGGATCTCCCACCTCGACCTCGTCCCCGCGATTGCACCGAAAATCAAGCTCGCGGAACTTGCGCAGCGAGTATTTGAGATCCGCGGGTAGACCCTAGTTGTCATCTGCCCCCCAATTTGTACTATAGGCTCATGGTATGTCCCCCTCTCCCTTGGCATCGGTTCGCGAGTCTGTTAATCACTTGACTACAGGACCTTCTTCTCTCCCCCTTCATCTTCGTCCTTGCATAGCAAGCTCCGGTATACCATCGGATTGGGTTTCGTGCTGGGGAGACTATGCGTCAAGTCAATGTTGTATCTTCATGCCCTTTTATGATCAGGACCACGGACGATCACCATTGCCTGGGCCATGTATATGTTGTATGTGTACGTTGTTATCTTACGAGCCGTTCGTCATGTCGCTATCGGACTCTGGGTTGTGCCCGCTGTGTCGTTTGTACTGAACAAAATACAAATCCTTCCGATAGCCTGTACAGTCGTCGTGCAATAGTCGGGTGACGATTCTTCAAGGTGATATGATTACTGCACAGTTAGGTGCAATAGGGTATGTCAGTAAGGTAAGGAAGATAGGCAATAGGTTAGTGACGAGAAGTACAAAATTGATACAATAATGTCAAAGTAATTCGCAAGGTGCACAGACAAGCTCTGAACGAATGCGGAAAATCTTGTGGCCCAAACAAGTCAGAGGGTCAACATACGCCTGCAGCTTCTGGCTGCCTCGAGGGCCAGAAACCCGCATGACTACCAGAAGGTCCGTCGGTACCGCATCCTCCCCAACTGGCATCGACATATCCATGGCCTGAGGCAATATCAGCTCGTGATCATACGTTGCGTTGCATTAGCACACTTACCGCCGCCACCTCCCGCTCACTCAACGTGAACGGCGTCTCGTGCGCCCCCGTCGTCGTCTTCACGAGTATATGGTACGTCGGGTACGCATTCGCCCACGTCGGTACATCCTGTCCACCGCGCAGGTAGCGGGTGAGCTCGCCCTGGACGTCCTTGTACGTGATGTTCCCAACGGCGTCCCCCTCGTACGGCTCGAAATCGGGTATGTGCCCACGTCTTGCGGATGTCCAGTTTTCCGCGCCAAACTGAGGCAGGATGGTAAGTAAGAGGGAGAAGACCTGGGCAGTGAGCGTCAACGGTAGTCCAGAGTAGTAGAGCGCAGAACCACATACATAATGCTCTCCCATAACGTCAATGACTCGTTGTGGTGCGTCGTCCGGTATGTCGTCAATCGGGTCGACCTGCATGCTGTCCTCCTCCTCATCCAGCTCATCCTCCTCAACCTCGATCTCAACGTCCGGCTCTTCCTCCTCATCCTTCGCATCCGCCCCGGCTGCCGACCCCGAAGCACCGCCCTGCCCATTTCCATCGCCTTCCTCTCGCGCCCGCTTCGCCGCGGACCCCGACAAGTCTTGCGCAGCTTTCCGCTTCACACCCCGTCGCCGGCCGCTGCGATCACGCATATGTTGACGAACGAGGTGCGCGTTCGCCTTTGCTCCTCGCGCAAGCATCTCGATGTCGTCCTCGCCAAACTGGTCTTCTTGCACCTCCTCCTCCTCCTCTTCCAGCTCGTCCTCAACCGCGCCCGGCGTCGTTGGCTGTGTGGACGGGCGCGGCGTCGGGAGCGGATGCACGGGCTGGGTCTGCCCTGAGCGACGTCGTGCGGATTGCGTCGGCGCTGGTGCCTCTGGCGAAGCGGACCTGCTGGAGGAGGGAACACGCTGCGTGCGCTGGGACTGCTTCGGGCGTCCACGCTGCGTTGTAGTGCGCGACCCACCAGCCTGCGTGGCGGCAGGTGCATCCTCCTCGTCCTCGAGCTCGTCCGAATCGTCGCCCGACTGCTCGTCGTTGGCTTCCCTCAGCCACTCAAAGCTATCGAACGCGTCATCGTCGAGGGATGGTATCTTCTGATTGCGACAGCGCTGGTCCAAAGCGCCTGAAGCGTTTTGGATAACGAACATGACGTCCATTTCGTTCATCTCGAAGAGAGAAGCAAGCTTGCCCGCGATGTGCAGTTGGTGATTATACGCCGGCACGACCTGGCGCTTGTCCAGGTAGACAAAGAACTGCTTCTCGTTGAAGTACATCTCCGCCTCTACTGTTCGCTTGACGTCGCCGAGAGAATACGTGAGCCCAACGTGTTCAGCGACAAAGATCTTGAAGCTCTTAAGGCGACAGAGGAAGTCCTTGACTTGCTTTGGGGGCTTATAGCCATGGTGCGCGAAACAGAATCTGTGTGGCGTTAGCTGCAGTATTATGCCGAAAAAAGATCTAAGCACCTAACAAAGTATTCGCGCTTGGCGTGATAGCTCTTCGTCAGCTTGTCGTCTCTGCGTTTCTTCAAAAGAACGGGATTCTCCGTTTGAACAGCATCTTCAAGCCTGACAAGGCCGTCAAAGATCTTGCACTCTAATAGGGCGCGCATCTTGGTGTGCTGGACGGAGCTGATAGCAAGCATAGGCACAAACTGATCGAAGAGATGCATGAACTGTTCGCTAGCGTCCGGCACGTAGAAAGGCTGATCAGTGACTCGTCGAAGAGCCACGTCCCCAGAGTCGGGTAGGCGGACGGGAAAAATAGGCTCGCTGCGCAGCGCGTGCAAAGGACTCGTCGCCGTCGACACTTCCTCCGGATTCTTGTGGATGAAGCGCGATAATTCGGTGAGGAGGTCGATCATCTCCTTCAGCTTGCCTTCCGCAAGGTTTTCGTCGCGGAGCTGACTGACGAGCTGCTTGACCTCGTTGACGATCAAGTCCGCATGCGAGGGTTTGGCGAGTTGAAGGCAACGGCAGTAGAAGGCCTCTTGGTGCGGATACAGCGTCTGCACCGCGGTCTTGAAACGCATGTTCGCCGGTCCTGTCCAAACGGCATCGGCGAACGCGCACCATTCCTTCTTCTTGTAGTTGTAGATGAGCGGTAAGGTGTGGAATGCCTCCCTGAAGGTGACGTCAGCAACTCTGTTATGCGACAGTACAAGACAACCGACCGAATGGCGACGGCATCGTCATTGAACCTCGTCTCCAGCTGCCTATACAGCGCGTTCATATCCTCCTCACTCAACGCCTCCCCTTGACTCTGCAGCCCCTTCAACTGCCTCAGATAGAACGACCCGTTAATCTCGCTCGACACTCCGAATCGCCTCAGAAAATCCCACTCCGGGTTCTCCGGCTCGTCCAGCGGCAGAAACGGCAACCCACTCGTATCGTCCGCTAGCGAGTTGCGCTTGATATACGTCTGGCGCAACTGCACCTGCACGCCGCCGCACTCCACGAGCGTGTTTGATATCTGCGTCTGCGCGTCGCGGGAGAGCCTCGTCGAGCCGCGGTCGCCTGACCAGTGGCGCTTGAGGATGGCGAGCAGCTGGCGGGTGTTGACTTTCTCGAGCATGAGGGCCGCCTCCTCGGAAAGCTTGCCGTCCGCGGTGACGCGCGGCGAGGTGTGAAGGCCCAAGCCGTTGCTCACATCGGAGAGCCATTTGAGCCACTTTTTCTGCAGGGCCGGGTCGTTGGAATACTGCTCGATGTATGCGGTGTGGAGGAAGCGCGCGGGCGGTGAGGGCAAGACGTTTTCCAATCGGCCGGAGGACTCTCCTGGCAGGTACATGTCTTTCCCGTGTCCGAGGTCACCCCGCGAGTCCATGACCCGAAGATGACCGAGGCTCACAGCCCCAAGCACAGTCTCGCGATGAGTGAAGAGGAACCGCGCGTGCTTGATCAAGGCAGCCAGCTCAGTGGGAGGGTTATGGCGATGCCTCTCTATCAGTTGCTTTGCAATGTCGGCCGGTTTCGCGGCTTGCACCCCCATCCGATGGTAGAAAGCGCGCGGGACAAAGGACAGATCGGTACTGGGCCGCAGGCGATAAAGTCCAAGGTCGTCCGGGATATCGCCAAGGTTAAAGTCGAAATAGATCTTCAGGCCGTCCACTTTGCTGGCCCAGGTGCCGTCGCTGAGGGGGATAAGCTTGAGGGCCTCGATTGGTGTTTGGTAGGGATACGACTTCCTCCCTCTCTTCTGGTTGGGGTTCGAAGGCTCATCGTAGATACGATACAGGTTGTCGTACACGGCATTGAACCACGCGGGTGATCGCCCTTCGTGCGCGCGCTTGTTGACCATGGCCTGAAGCGCATTGATGAACTGCGCCGAGTTCATGCGCTTCAAGCGCAGCCCTTCCAGTAGGGGTCCGTCGCCATTGATGCTGGTATCATACGACGAGTGAAGGTACCAGACGAATGGGAGATATTGCTCCGGGATGAGGGGCTTGGTGACATGCTTGTCGTCCTCCTTCTCCTGATACGCGGCCCAATCAGGGAGAATGAGCAGCTGTCCTGCTGTATGGTACTCTCCATCCTGAGACAGAAATAGTGACTTAGCAGCCAACGTATGTCGAATATTGGCCACGAGAGGTTTGAAGTAGCCGTTGCTGACATCAGTCTCCAGAGGGAGGAAGCGGAACCAGGTGAACTTCATCGCCTCCCGGATCTTCAAGCGCTCGATGGCAGCAAGGACGGCAGCGAGGAGGCCGTTACGGAGCGTGATATTCCAGGGTTTTTCCTCCAGGATATCCTCTCGACTCGCTGGCGTCAGGAAGTCCGCCTGAATGATGAACTAAGGAGGACACGTCAGTCAAGGACCTTAGCTTGGAACAACAAGCAGCATATAAGCGGCTAACCTTGAAGCCATACTTCCTCAAGGGAAGGAAAGCATGCGCGTATTCTGCGCGCGCCTGTGGCGCTCCCTCCTTGTCGATGGGGAACGCCAGCGTAACCTCCGTGCTGTTGATGCCCCTACGTTTCTCCTCCTCCGGCATCCCCTGCACAGTATGGTGCACGATGAAGTACGTATCTCGCGTCGTCCTGTGATCCTCCCACCGCGTGAGGGTGATCACGTCCGGGTCGTTCGTGGTCCTGTACTTGAAGTGTATGATCTGCGGGTTTTGGCCGGACAAAGCCGTCTCGACTTTGAGGGTGTTCAGTTGCCGGAGGAACAAAAGGAGGCTGGGTTCGAGCTTCGAGGCGTGTTCGGCGAGCGCGGCGCCAGATTCGCCAGGGGAGAGCTCGAGGCGGAAGGTGGTTTGGCCCTTTGTGACGGGATGATCGGTGCACCAGATGGGTGTGATCATGCCCAGTTTTTCGCGCTTGTCGAACTTGAATTGGAAGTCGCGCGACGCGATGTGCACGACGTCGGCGACCTTGAAGCAGCTCTTGAAGCCTGGATGTGCGGCATGTCAGAAAGACAAGATGTTGCAAGAAGTAAAGGAGGGTTATCTACCGATTCCCTTCTCGCCTATAGGGGACACCAAGGTGAATTCAAGCACGTGCGCATTCGAGATCGGCCTGCGCACCAACGTAGCATCGTCCGGACATCCCTTTCTTCGTGCTCTTGCCCACGCTGCAGATAGCGCGCACATTCGCGGGCTCAAAGCCCAGCTCGTTGGAGGAGAACGTGACCGCATCGTCCTCAATGCGGATCGTGAGCGTCGGCTTCGTGCCCTCCGCGTACTTGTTGTCGTCCGCATTCTGCACCATCTCGAGGATGAAGTGGGGGGACTTGGCGTACAGGTCCTCAGATACGCTGGGTTCAGCATAAAGGTCAGCATCGTCTCTAGCACACTTCACCCATCACGTACTTCCTGCACGCATTCTCCAGCGTCGTCGTCAGGTTCCCGATGACCGCCTGCAGGGAGGGGTCCTGCTGCATCTTGGCCTGCGCGCTGCGTCCCGAGCCATAGCCGTCGCGTATCTCTTCGATGAGCTTCTGCGCTTCGGCACTCATGAGGGATTCTGGGTGCGTACGCGCGCGGCGTTCATTCGAGATGGGATATGTGCGCGCACCGGGGAACAAAGACGCGTTTGATGTGATCAGGGCGAGCAGCACATTGTCCAATCACATTCTCACGCTCATTGACGGGACTTGTCAACAAACGATAGGTTCGTGCGTACACACCATTGCGCTTTATGGCAGAACGTCTTCAAGGCGGTGACAATGCCACTGTAGGACGCATTCGAGTGAGAAGGACCAGTGGCAGTAGCCAGAAACAGGCATGTATATGGAGCAACTTTTCGTAAATTATATATGGTACAGCGTCAAAAAATATGCTTGACATGGCATGGTGGCCTGTAGATACAAGATCAGTGTCGAAAATGAGCGAGTGAACACGCAAACGTACATGATGAGGTGGGTATGACAGGTTTGATTGTACTTGGGGTATAGACATGAAGGACGATGGAACACCAGGATATCTAGCCGCAAATGTCAGGACGAAGCCTCGACGAAGCATGGACAATCCTCACCATGCGAAGGCTTAAATGTCAACAGCGAGATAGACAATACACGTCGTGAAGATTACAGTGACGACGCCGGTCATGATTGCGGTGTGCACTCTTCCACCATCATATTAGCGCCTCATTTTGATCACTCACGGCCAATCATACCTGCTACTTTCCATGAACGGTCGTGCTCTTCGCATATCTTCGCTCGCGTCGAAGTATTGCCAGACAGCAGCGCCAATAGTGAATAAAGCGGCCGCAAACTCAAAGCTGGCCAAGGCCAGCCATCCAGACCTCCTCCCGCCTTCCGAGGAACCATTGCCCTCCGAGGGAACTATCTTCGCCTTCAGAAGCACGGAGGATGCGACTACAGAGAGCAGCAAAGCAAGCTTCAGGTGCGTAAGCAGATTCCGCTCGAGCATGAGATAGTCGCGGGCCGTGCTCCCCGTGTTCTCGTACAGCGGCGGGCGAGCGTGGCGAAAAGGCGAGGACGCAGACATAGTGGGCATGGTCGTCTGCAGCTGCAGACGATGACGGAGAGAGAAAAGCCCTCAGCGGCGCCGCTCACAACTGGCGTGCTGCGTGCGACATCGAGCCCTCGGATGTCGACATCGCCATGTGGTGCCAGCGAAGCGTCAGAGCGATATTGAACTTCGGCTGCGGTCTAGCTCAGCAGTGGTCAGCGTCGAGTCCTATTCACGGCCGGAATCGTCTGCGGGAAGTTCCTGCGGAGAATAGGTTTCGGGACGTACGTGAGAAAGGCGCCAGGGAGAACCTCATGGGCCGCGGAACAATAAGAAATCCACCTTTGTCCGTGTTTGTCTGTGCCCTCCGTTCCATTGTTCCCTTTTCGGTGATCAATGGAAGGTCTATTGTCTTTCCGCTTCCATCTCGGGACAATTGCACACGCGGTTCTGTGACCCGATGAAAGTTTACATCAAAGAAGCGGCGGGTCGGATATAAAAGCGGACGGTCCGTGCACTCTTTCGTATTCCCCACCACCACCTCTTGGATCCGGGATCCTTGGGCCACTCCACCACCGTCGTCTCGTCTCTGTACACCATATAACGCCTGTCTTTACTACCCGAGCCCCTCACTTACTCACGCCATCCTAATCAATCACAATCTTTCTTCACGAGACGAAATGGCCAACTACCACTATGTTCGCGCTAGCTCGACCGCGGGCAGGTGCGTCGACGTTTACTTCTTCTTGACTTGCCACTAATCATGGTGGACAGGTCACCCTCCCCCTCGTCCTCCACCGCATCCATGTCGAAGCAACCCATCTCCCGTCCGCTTGTGCAGGCCTGGAAGGCGCTGACGAGCTCGTCGCGCAAGAACCGCCAGCCAGTCCCCGCGGGCTTCGTGCTCGTCACCCGCCGCCGCAGCGCTCTTCTCAAGTGAGCTACTTCCCATCTGCGGCCACGCCGAAACACGAATGTCCTACCTCCCTCGCGTCGCTGTCGCCGCCGCGATCAGTGACCAAAATAATGCTGCGGCATGCATGCATGCTCGCGATCGGACTCTCTCCCTCCCACGTTTCTTGACGATGAAGGACTGTTTGGATATGTATCGCACGTACTCTACCTTCCCTCCCGCTAATTGCGTCCCGTCGCTCGGTTGACCTGAACTTGGGACTCCCTGTATCCGGTTCGTATACCACCTCTGCACTGTATCAATGTCTTTTTCTTGGGATGTCTGCGGAGTTCTGAACCCTGAGTGCGAGTGCTTCACTGGTGACTCTCGAAAAGATGCCTCGACTTTAGGAAGTAGGCGAGTGCGCGCGCGCCGAGTGTGTATACGTGACGACATCCTGCGCTCACTCAACCTCACACCTCCATATCCGAACCCAGGTTTACCCACCGGATCCGACAATTCAGAAGAGCCCGTCCTAAATTATCTCTGCTGACCCACACTCCTCTCCTCAGCTGCATCGATCTCGCCTATGCCACCGACGCTGACCTCTAAGCCCTTTCTGATGCAACACCTTCAAAGACAATATATTGTACGCATCGCTCCCTCTTGAGTCTGAACTTACAAGCTTTCGTCACGGTCGTACGTGAATCTTTCGCTAACGTTCTTTCGTTGCGTGCCCTATGGCAATAAGGCTGAGACGAGATTTGCGTATGGAAGGCCCATCTTGCTTGCAGAGGTCGAACCTTTCGAGGACAGGATACAATCGGCTACATCAAAGGCCCCCAGAGCAGCCGGCAAATGCCGAAGAACCTAAGGATGCTGCGCCAGAGATGGCCAATGCCTCGGCACTTTCGTAGAGTCAATACAAGCATGCCCGCATTCTCACGTTACGGTTTGCTACGATAGTTAGCTTTGCCTGATTTCGCTTAGAGAGCTACTGTATCCTTGCAGTGACACTCGCTTGACCTCCTTTGGTGTTGCCTTGACGAACACAAGAGTGGAAATTGAGAAAGGGGAAACAAAGCTATTGGTACATTGTACATACATCGGTAAATAGAAGGATAGCCAGAGTGTTCCGCAGTATATACACACTTTACAACAACATTTACAACATTCGTGTCATCGCCGTCACCGTCGTGAGTGTTCGTTCATCTCAAAAGATCCCCGGAATGAGGCAGTACCTAACGCGCTCCGCCCAGGCGCGCCATTGCTCGCCGAACGCCTTCTCAAGCGCGCGGTCCTCTTCCTTGCAGCGTATCATGAATGCGATAGCTGTATCATGGGGGTCAGATGGCTCCAAAGAAGGAACGGCAGAAGGCAGAACTTACTGAAGAATACGTTAAAGGCCACGACCAGGCCGCCGATGGCGATCCCGGGCGCCGTATGCAGGAAGCCGCTTTCCCTCATCCAGGACCCGGGTGCCGTCTGCCACACGACCTTCCCCCAGAAGACCATGAGCACGCCGGTGTAGCTTGGGTGCCTAGACGGACGCGGGTCAAAGTCAGTGTGGTCCGCGGGTGTGAGCGCGAGTGTGCGAACGCACCGCACGACGCTGTATGGGCCGGTAGTCATGAGCTGATGGTCCTTCTTGATGGTGTGGGTGAAGGTGAACATGCGGCGCAGGAGGCGAAAGCAGACGAGGCGGATGGCGGCGCCCGCGATGACGAGGAGGACGCCGAAGGGGAGGGCCCACTGGCCCGATCTCGTGAAGTGCCAGACGAGCTCGGGGTGGCCGGATGAGCGGAAGAAGGGGCGGAGGATGAGATGGGAGATCCTGTAATCAGGGAGGAGTCGTCCGAAGACGAGCGCGAGGATGTCAGGGAGGGTGGCGATCCAGATGAAGCTCTGGGGAAGGATCGGTGAGATAGGAGCGACGATCTCGCCGTGGCGCAGTGTACCTTCTCCATGAAGTTCGTTACTGCAACATTCCTGTACGCGGTCTTCTCGAGCAAGGTCTGACGCTCTGGAGCCTGCTCAGCATCGGGCGGCTGCTGTAGCGCCGCCTTGGGGGGCGTAAGGGCCACAGTGCCCAGGACGCCCGCAGCGAGGACGAAGGGAAGGGCAAGAGCTACCTCGATGACTGTTGCCGTCATCGTGAGGACCGTCCGCCGAAGAGGGGAAGGGAAGAAGTGGAGGGGAAAGGGATAGGGGGAAGGAGATCGTGGAAGAGGGAATGCGTATGTACACGGGGAATTTTGGAGCGAGGGAAAGGCTTACTTATATCATTTATCAAGAACAAGGGGAAACATCGTGTATGATGCACCCTTTTGATGCAAGAGGGCGCTAAAGCGCCTTGAGGACGCTCAGGACGTCCACGTTAGGAAAGTTGGGAACATCGAGGCAGCATCGATTATCATACTCGAACAAAGCGTGCGAGTTTCCCCGGTAGCTTGAATTGCCGTGGCGGTCGGGAGCGCCCCGCCGTTCGTATGCCCTATGATGACGGCGTGCATGGCGCCGAGGTCATACACGTGTGGGGGTCCTGAGCGTGCACAAGGAGGTCAATTAGGCCGGCGGTAAGATATAGTAGGACTAGTTCAGGTCAAAGATGCAAGCGCAGTCTTCCGAGTGGGAGGAATTTCAAGTCAATTTTGAGGCAGGGGCGCATCTCGAGTCGGAACACATCGAGCGCCTCGGACTGCATCCAGCGCCTTCGGCCTACTTTGACTTTATCTTCAAGTGGGCGGCATGTCAGGTGCGAAGGATTTGCATCGTGGCCGGGAGCTTTCGGGTCGAGAATCTGGCGTTGGGAAAGCTTGGAAAGCATTCGCGTCATTGGCGAGTGCGTGTTCGGAAGATGTGACCGACGAGGCGAGGTCGGCTCCTCCAGACGCGGCCGCTGGCGACCACAGCAGATCTGGGCAGCTTCCCGGGACTGTGAGAGACGGTGAGCACGAAGATGGAAGGGCGGTAGAGGTGCGCGCCTCTGTTTGTTGCGCTTTGCATGCGCCATGCGGCAACTGCCGTTAGATGGTGAAGGAAATACACAGAAAAATCCCTAGCGGTCAGGTTGCACCGTACACCATTTGAGACGCTTGCGACATGAAGGCGAGCGCTGTCTACAAGAGCGTTGCATGTAGCAAAATGCTGCGGGAGCCCCATTCTGCTATCAGCTCGGGGTGCGGCCAGGCGGCGGCCAATCAAATGGGCTCATGGGACTGATGACAGCCCGATACCCAGGGTGCGGCCCTCAAGAAGTGCATGATGCACGACGGAGCCCCTCATGGCATCGAGGTCGGACGTTAGCGGCAAGAAGTCCCCATCACCTTCTTTTCAACCTCCACCTTCCCCACCCCCCTCCCATGTCTGTCCCCCTACCCGATTCCGTCTCCCCCATAAGATGCCTAGTAATCGGTGCAAGTTTTGAGGGGCTTATAGTCGCCTACCTGCTGCAACAGGCGGGTCACCAGGTCGTGGTAGTGGACAAGGGGGACGCGGATCGCCAGGTGAGAGTCTCTCCGCGTGCGCACCCACTTCTTCGCCGCCTGTTCGGTGATTGGCGTGCCATCAACGCCCACAACTCACAAGGTGTAGGTCTTTGAGCGTGGGATACGCAGTCCGCCCAACGTTGCACGCCTCTTCAGCCAGCTGCCCAAGGTTACGTCGGTTCGCCAGCGGACCGGATCTGGGCTAGAGTTCATCGATGGTCGGTAGCGTGACAGGACATGCACGTTCAGCTCACCTATCTTATTTCACGCAGGCCGCACCGCGCGCACCGTCGGCACGTCTGAATTCTTCGACAACATCATGCGCGACCTGGGCTCGAATTTCTACATGGGCTCGGTCAGTATTTTTGTACCTTTGACGTACACCGTTGCTGACGACCGACCACTAGCATTCGCACATCATGCAGTTCTTGCGAGGTCTCTGTCGCGACGTGCAGATGGACATCAGGTACAACCAGGAAGTCGTCAGCCTGTCCTCAACGGAGTCGGGAAACCCCGTGCTGCACCTGAAGTCAGGGGACACCATTGAAGGCGACTTGGTAGGCGTGGCAGCAGAAGTTATAGTTCAGTCGATAACCGGTCCAGGTCATTGGTGCAGATGGGCTCAATGGCATCTCACGGTCGTTCATCCCGCCGCTTCCGCGGCGAGAGGATACGCCAGACTCGGACGAATCAGATCAAGACCCGTTGAGCAAGATGTACGATATAGGCGTTCGTACTGTTCTTGGGTATGTCCCATATTCATCGCTTCTCTCCGACATTTCGCTCACTGTAATGGCCTTGTCTTCAGCGTCACCTTCTCCATCCTTCCAGAAGACATGGAGAAGAACCCTCGACTCGCACCACTACTGAAAAAGGACACCGTATGTGCCCCGCTAGAGCGGCAGTACTGTCGACATCACTAAACCGGCACAGATCAAAGTTTGGATGGAGTCAGACTCCATGGGCATGAGCTCCTTGGTAGTAAGGGATCTCTCACATCGTCCTACCTCGCTAACCGCTTTTCAGCACGATCCCGATGTATATATTTTCGTCCTCGGGAAGGTGATGACGGAAGAATACGTCGACACCGGGCTCGATATCCGCGAAGAGCTCAAGGATATCGTCGACCTGTATGACCCGACGTACGTTTCTTGTCCGTTGCAGTGGCTCTTGAGCTAATTTCCTGCTCAGGGTGAAGGAGCTACTTGACTTGGCACATTCGTATCGCAAGGAGATACAAAGATTGCCAGAGACGCTCACAATCGTCGACAAGGAGCGTAAGATTGCGCTCATCGGTAACTCTGCGTTCGTCTCACCAGTAAGCTGTCGCTTCTCATATCGTCTATCCTCTTTGCTGACCCAAAACCCAGTATTACGGCGTCTACAATGAGTAAGCGTTTGCGCACTGTTTCTCTCGAGCATCCAGACTAATAAAGCTCACCATCGCCAACTCAGTACCATCGCCGTAAGCTTGACTCCGTCTCGCCCCTCTCTCTCTCATCCATACTTCTCTAGTTCGAAGCCGCCTTCACCCTCGCCCGCCTCCTCGCCCGCCTCTCCAAGCGCGCCTACCTTCCCATCCTCCTCGACGGCTTCCAAAAGATCCGCACCTTCCGCAACGTCCAGACCCTCGCCTCCGAGCTGCAGGCCATCCGCCTCATGGGCCTCCCGCCGGGCCCCAGCCGCACGGAGCGCGACGCGGCCCTCGCGTTGCCGCTCACGCAGGAGGACGACGAGTCGGCGGAAGTGTGGTCGAAAACGCTGGTGCAGTTCGATTACGACGCGCACGATGCGGCGGATGAGTGGTGGCTGCAGTGGGGGAAGTTTTTGGTGGACAGGATGGACACCGACCATGGGGCGGCATGAGTAGGGAGAGGGAGAGACGAGCGTTGACGTTGAGAGAGTATATTGTTTCTGTATGCTTCTTGTACATGCTTTGGGATACGGGTTCGTGTTGGTTGTGATACGGATTTCTTGGATAGACTAGACGAGTTCGTGCCACGAACTGAATGTCTAACACCTCTTGCGAGTGGCACTAGTCGCCCTGCATCGGAGCTTTAGCAAGTCCTCGTCAAGTCCCTCCGATAGTCAAGTGCATTGCAAACGGGTCAGCGCGTAAGCAAGATCTAGTACGACGACAATAAGATACACTACAATACATTCATTTTGCAGATTTACCCCACACAACACCCGGCGCTCAGTTGAAGATCGCCTCCAACACCGTCTTCACACCCCACGCGCCCGGGTCGGGGATCTTCTCCTCTTTCAACCGGTCGCCCTCTACGTACGCCGCACGCCCAGCCTTCGCCGCCAGGTCCTTCGTCTTGTCCGCTGCCTCAGCCGCCGCCTTCACCGCCGCCGGGAAGTCCGTGCTCTTCGACAGCGGTGTGACAAACGCGTCAAGCGGGTCCACGAGCGTGCGCGACGGCGGGCGAGCGCGCGTGTACGTGTACAGGTTCTGCAGCGCGAACGTCAGCGCCCGCGCCCAGTCCTCCGGCGTCGCCGTCCCGGACGAGCTCTGGATGCCGCGCGCGAGGCCGGAGAAGAAGATCGAGTAGAGTGCGCCGCTCGTCCCGCCCATCGCCTCCTCCGCGACCTGCGCGATCGCAATCACGCTCTGGACGATGTTGTCGCCCGTGATCGCGCCGGAAGAGATCTTCGCGAGCACACCCTCCGCGCCGGCCTTGAGGGTGAGACCGCAGTCGCCGTCGCCTGCGATGTTGTCCATCTCGGTGATCTTGGGCTCGGCGGCGATGAGAGCCTCGCAGGCGCGCTTGATACCCGCGACGAAGCCAGAGGGGTCGCTGGCCTTGATGGGGGAGCCAGTGGGCTTCTGCGTCTGCGCGGCAGCTGCAGGAGTGAAGGCGACCTGCTCAGGAGCAGGGGAGGCGGATGACCACTTCCAGCCGGGGACATCAGCCTTGGCATCGAGGGCGGAGAGGATGGTCTCCTTTGAGGGTGCGTCCTTCTCGCCAGCGGTGGGAAGAAGGAGGAGGGTGAGGGAGAATCCAGGCATGTTGAGAGAGGTCTGTTCATGTGTCAGTACAAGAGGCGATCTATGATTGGACTGAGCTCACCATGTAGGTGCCAGCGAGGACGCGGAGGGCCTTGAGGCCACGCTTGTCTAGTTGACGACGTGCCTCTGCGACGACTGCACCAAGCTCGAGCTCGGAAACACCACCAAGGTTGTTCACGAGAAGGACGACCTCATCGTTGCCCTTGAAGGGCACGAACGACCGCTCGGGGTCTGAGGTCGAGGTGAGGAGGTCAAGCAATTGAGGAAGGAGTTCCGACAACGCAGGTGCGGGCTTGAGGCGCTTGACGCCGCTCTCGTTGTGAATGCCCATGCCGATTTCAATCTCGTCCGCTGACAAGTGCGAAGTGGTCGCTGCCGTTCCCGGGACGTGACAGTGCTCAAGACCAACACCGATCGAGGCGACGCGGTTGGCAGCATATTGCGAGACGTTGTAGATCTCGTCGAGGCTCAAGCCCTTCTGAGCGAGCGCACCGGCGATCTTGTAGACGAGCACGGTTCCCGCGAGACCGCGGCGACCGACAATCTTGCCCTGCGAGCGAGTGACGGCGACATCATCGCCGACGGTGATGAACTTGACTTTGTCTGCCTTGTCGGGGCGGAGCGCGGCATACTGCTCCTTCGCGAGACCGAAGTTGAGAACGTCACCAGTGTAGTTCCTTGGGTTTCGATTAGCCAACGGTTCTAGCGGGCATTCATGTGTGCTGCTCACTTGACAATGATGAGGGTTCTATACGATGCATGTCAGCGCTAGAAGCAGGACTGCGGCAAGTCACGCACCCCTTGTCGTTGTCCACGATATCGATGCCGCGACGGACTTGGGAGGAGTTTGGTGAGGCGAACACAGTTCCAGCAACCGCAGCTAATGAGGTAACGGATCATCAGATAGGCGCGCAGGGTGAATATCGCGTCGACTAACCAGTCAGCATGCCATCACCTGCGAGGAAGTATCAGTATAGGATCCTTTTCATCGACAAGTCGCGCGACGCACCAACGAAGCCTGCGTGCGCGGGTTCATGTCCACTTCCACCACCACAGATGATCGCGACCTTAGATCTGTCCGGCTTCGCGATGTGGAGGACTGGCGGAGGTTAGTACGCGCCGATGTATCATACGATGGACGCACTCTTGTTCTGCTTGTCAAGGGAAAGCTTCGGGTTGATATTCGCGAGGCCCTCAAGCGAGTCGACGACGAGCGTCTCAGGGGTATTCAAGAAGTGCTTGCCTGGGCGTGCGGTAAGCGTCGGCGTCGCGGTCGCGAACGATGACCATCGCGCTCACTGTTGATGGACATGGCGGTCAGGAGGAGAAGAATGAAAATCGCATCGAGTATCAGGTCTTTTATGTGGGCCCCGTATTTACTATTTCGAATCCGACAACCCGAGTTGGAGAAGCGGGGGACGGTGCTCGGTCCGACGTATTTGACGTCAGACCTCCGCGGTCGGCACAACAAAACATGCGAGCTGATCAGCTCGATTTGGTGCTTTTCATGCCATTTCAGGCGCCCATTGTTCCTCTTATCGACCGAGCTCCGGACGAGGAAGGGGGACGCAGTTGTACGCAGTCCTCGTGCAGAGATTCAGGCAAGTTCGTGTCCTCTGAAGCGATCGATCTTTCCGTCACCGCGCCACAACAAACTTTCGGATGAGGTTGAGGATGAGGCGCTATTCTACTCAGTGACGTCCGCTGGAGCATTCCGTGGGTCCGCTCCTCGAGTACAGACAGCCACACGCGGAATCGCTACAATGTTGGCCTCGACGTCCCCGCCTATGTCATAGAACATCCTTGCTCATTATGTTACCGCTGACGCTACATTGGGCGGCGATCTTGCATCTTCGAGAAGGAATGCAGGTCAAAGGCCGTACCGAGTGATGGGAATTCCCCTAGGGCGTATGTCTGCGTGCTCAGAGGCTGATCTCCGAACTGTGCTTGAGGACTTGAACTGGGCATAGAAGTAAGCGTGAAAGTCAGATAGGATTACAATCAAGCGGAGAGGCTGCGGTGACGAGCAACCTAGCTATCGCAACACACCAAAAGGTTCGCAGGATCGGACAGAACGACAGCGAAAGTGCGCAGAGTCTGCCCCGAACCGCTTCGCGAAAAGGTCATTAACGAGCAGGCTATACACCGACGTGAACCAGCTGGAAGCTGAATGGATAAGATGAAGCCATCTTAGGGCAGATACAATCGTCAGGAAACCATCTGCATATTTTGTTGCATTAGTATAGAAAGGAGGGCAACTGTATGGGCGATATAGTGTCCGGAAAATACCCGCGTAACAAAATGGAAGCCTCGAGGCTAAGTCCGCTCAAAAATCGGGAGCTGAGTGTTGACCGCGCGAATTTGCGAAGCTTTGGAAGGGACTTAGTCATTTAACGTGCCATATGTGACTCACTCCCTAGTCGAGTGTGTCCGAGCCGGTACATGTGTCCCATTCGAGGTGCACCGGGACTTGCCGTGCGCCTCTGATGCGCCCTTCGTCGGCACTCACGACGACGACAGCGGCCTATGTAGCGGTGTTGAGGCCGCGGGAAGGCACTCAACAGGGTCTTATAAAATGCACTAGCTATCTGTGGGCTACTTTGTGAGGCAGCGAAGCGCCGAGGCGGTGTCGCCGTTGACTGTCGGTCGCCACGTGCGAGGCGGGAGGCGGGAGACGGGGAACGGCAACGACATAGAGCCAACCACGTGCGGCGACGACTAGCCCTAAGCAGGTCACGGCGAGGGCTCCCCACGACTAAGTCCCTTCCAGACCTTCGCAAATTCGCGCCCTCGACACTCAGCTTCCGATTTTTGAGCGATCTTAGCCTCGAGCTTTCCATTTTGGTACGCAGGTATTTTCCGGACAATATATCGCCCATACAACTGTCGACTCTGGTTGTCGAAAAGTTCAACCAGTCAGGTGATCAATGATCAATATACCGAGAAAGGCAACTGCCAAGCGAGCAAACAAAGTCAAAGGCCCCGACCAAACAAGGCGGAACAATCTGGGTTGCCATAAATCCCGCCTGCATCCGGGGATCGGTATTTTCTGTATCCGTCAGGGGGAACAGCGGGCCTGTCCTTGACTTTGTGACGAGAGATGGGCGATGTCTTATTGAAAGGAGGGAGAGGCGAGGAAAAGGAATGCCGCAAGGTTGCATCCTCGAATCTCCAAAATATACCGCTTTCAGCCTTCGGTACATCGTGTCAAAGCAAGATAGCACACCAAAACTCGAGGCTACATGTTACATTTCGTTTGATTCGTGTCCTTCGTGACCGTAGCTAGAGGGTATCAAGCAGCACGCTCGCGGAAACCCTTTTCAACGCCTACACAGGGTTCGCCCTAGCTGAGGCACCCAACGATGCGCCTGCACGACCACACGTTATCCACTGCACCCACGGCACGCACCATGGAACCCTCCTACGAATTTCTGGGGACCAGGATCCTCCTCGAGTACCCCGCCCGGCCATCCATACGTAACGAACGTCTAGTCATGTCATCGCTCCGGAAAATAAAGAAGTAGAAGATGGAAGAAGGGAACGAGGGCATGTATGTTGTATATGTACGGGGAAACGTAAGAAGATGACGCGAAAATCCGTGGAGGGAGCCTGGCATAGGCAGGTGCAATCGCAATGTGTCAGGCGCAAGGCATCGAGCCAATCGCAGAGTAGACGCTGCGTGTAGAGGGTGTGTATTGTAAGAGCATGGGCGAGGCGAAGCGCGGGCGACGGATATGTAAGTATAGATACGACAGCGTATGGCACCTCGGGGCAGCAGCACGGCCGAAAGCGTGGCTCCCAGAGGGCAGTCTCGGTGCTGGCCTTAGTGCTGCCCCCCGCCACCGCCACCACCGCCACTCTTGCTCTTTGCAATCTCCCTCGCCGCCTTGATGAGCGGCGTCAGCGTCCGCAGCGGCTCCGAGAGCTTGAAGAAGGGGTGCTGTAGAAAGTGTCAGCATTTCGTATGCGAGCGCAGGATGTATGACGAAATTATCTCTCGCGAGACCGAAACGGAATAGAACCGGGAAGCGCATGGGTTCGAAAAGGATGATCCGAGTCCGAAAGCCAGATACTCGACGCACCTGCAGTGTCTGCGTCGCATCCGGCCGCTTCTCCGCGTCCACCTCGAGCGTCTGCTTCAGGTAGTCCGTGAACACCGCCGACAGGTTCTCCGGGTTCGCAATCTGCGGCGTGCCGTTCGTGGCAATCAAGTAGAGCGCCTTCAGCGGATTCTGGTTCAAGTACGGCGGCTCGCCCTCAATCATCTCTGAAGGGAGGGGTCAGTGCGTGTCGTGTGCGCCAATGTTGTGTTTGATGCGAAAAATCTAGTTGAGTGTGCGGAATACGCACCGATGGCCATGATACCCAGACTCCAGATGTCAACCTTCGGTCCGTACTCTTTGCGCGTCACGACTTCGGGCGCCATCCAGTATGGCGTGCCAACCATCGTCGTTCGCTTCGCATTACCCTCCGATATTTGAGCACAGAACCCGAAGTCAGCTGCAAGATCTTGTCAGCATACGGCCTTGAGAGCGGCCCGCGCACTCACTGAGCTTGACATCCCCATTCAAGCTGAGCAGTACGTTGTCGCTCTTGATATCACGGTGAATGACTCCATGACGGTGCAGATGCTCAAGACCCTGGCACGTCTCGCGGGACACGGCCGCAATCTGGCCCTCAGTCATCAGGTTCGCGGTGACCACGTCCGTCAAGCTGCCACCCTCCATGTACTCCATGACGACCCATAGATCGTTCTTATAGAGGAAAGAATCAATGTAGTTGACGATATTTGGGTGCCGCGACGAGCGCATGACGAGGATCTCGTTGATGATGAGGTCCTTCTTCGGCTGCTTGTCGAGGTCCATCTGCTTGATCGCGACAGACACATTCGTGCCCATCTGGTAAGCGGTGTACACGCCACCGGAAGCACCTTGACCGATCTTGACGAGGTTACGGTACAGCCGGGTTGGATCAGCGTCAGTACAGATCTGCTTGAGGCGCGTGATGATAGCTTCATGTTCCTCCTTGTCGCCAGGCTTCTTCTCTCGCCTCCTCGGAGTGGCCTGGCCGACCTTGGCAAGGCTGGCAGCGGCGGCAGAGGGTTGCTGGGTTTGCTTAGCCTTGTGTTCTCTGCGCTCGCCACCGGGAGCTGGAGGTGCCGCTCGACTCGCGCTGGCAGCGGCGGGGTGACGAGAGGAATCGCGACCAGCTGTGGTATTCGCGCGTCCGATCGACGGCTGCGATGGCGGTTTGTGGGCCGTTCGTTGTGATACGGACCGATCTAGCGCAGTGGAGGCAGAAGGCGCGGAAGGAGCAGGGCGATATGCTGAGGGCGCTGTTGCTGCCTTGGGTTTCGGTGGTGGAGGCGGTGATCGTTGTTGCTGAAGACGATGAGCAAATGATTTAGATTGCGGCACCAAAACTACTCACCGCCTGTGACTGTTGATGGCCCATGGCCATCTTGTCCCAGATCTCGCCCGTGCCCTGCCCCTCCTGGTAGAACTTGACGATCTCCATGACCGCCTGCGGGTTCTTCTCCTGCTCGCTGCGCGAGATGCCGCTCTCCTGGAGCAGCTGTTGCCACTCCTTGGGCAGGCCGGTGAACTCGCCCGTGGACGAGTTGAAGCCGACATGGGTGAGGTGCACAGGGTCGTACGGGGTGCTGATCTCCGGTCGCTTGTTATTGTTGAGAAAATCGGACATGAAGCCAAGCACGCCGCCCGACTTTTTGATCGTCTTTGTGTTCGAGCGCGAGCGGGTGGGCGGGACGTCGGTGTAGATGGGGTCGGAGAGGCGGCGTTCGGGATAGGGCACCGGAGGCGGCTGGGGCGACGACTCCTGCTGGGCGGCTGCAGCGGCGGCGTTGGCGCCATCGCCGAAGATGTCGTTGAGCGTCGCGGTGTTCGCGCGGGATGGGCGTGGCGGGGGCGCGACAGTGGATGAGGCGACCATGGCAGATGCGGGCGGCGGAGAGGGCGATCCTGCGGGCGAAAAAGAAGGGAGGGTGACCGGCGGGGGTGCGCTGTGCTTCCGAGGGCGTTTGTGCAGGACGGAGGGTGATGGAGGCGGGGGCGCGGGGCGATTTGGACGATTCTTTGCGGCCAAGTTGGCGTCCGACAGCAGCGCGTTGTACTCCTGTATGGACTCGCGGGATGGCCGGTGGTATTCGACAGTGATTTTCGAATGCCGCGAGCTCATCGACGGCGGCGACGAACAACCTTGGCAACACGATGTCACACTTCTGGTGTTACTTTTGTCACTGATCACATGCCACATTGTTCGAATAGATTAAATTGGCTGGCCTCTACGAAGAAGAAAGTCATTGCTCTGAGCCCTTTGATCTCTCACTTTCTCTAGATACACAGAGGTATATGTAGCGCAGGAACTTGACGCTTACAAGCGTGGCACAGAGCAGTTACTGTGAGCAAGCACCGCTCTCGAGCGCTTCAACGCCAGGGCGGACTGTCAGATGGGCACGATGTTCGTTACCAAGTGACTACGGCTGTCGTCCGGCACGAAACCACCCGACTACGGTCACTACGTGGCCCTGTCAGCGAACATAGAGCGCCCATCACCTGTAGCACCCTCACCAGAGCCAACACCTCTGCAGCATCACTCTGATGCTCCAACTCAATCGAAAGCATCACTCCAGCCCACTCTTTCGTATACTCGCCACCACCGCATTGTCCACATCAGCCAAGCTCGCCTCTTTCCGGAACACTTCCATGAATATGTCGCCCGCAATGTCCTCCTTCCTGTCGTTCCCGAGCCCTCTGCGCCCGACGTGCCAGTATTGGGGGTTCTGCCCCCGAGAGAAGACCTCCCGAATCTCGGGATCGCTTGGGAGGAGGGTGAGTACATATGTTCGGGAAGAGAAGGTGTAGGAAACAAAGGTCGGTATCAGAGCTACGAAGGAGAGGAAGAGGGTGGGGAAGAGACGAAGGATCACGACGTACCCATCCAAAAGCTGCTGAATGTTGTACAAATGCTCTGACCGGGAAGAAAACCCAGAGCTCGCAATGGAAAAATTCTCCGTGGAGATGATGTGCTGATCCTTGGGTTGCAAAATCCTTGAGGTGGAAGGTAGCGACTCCAGGGACCTATTCAACAAGAGTGAGTTGTGCATGTCTTCACGTAGATTCCGCAGCGAGCGCACTCACCCTCCCAGCTCCTCCGCCGTCGTCGCTGTCTCGAGCGCATCAAACAGAGCAGGCATCTTGTCCGTTACACCCGAAGACGGGGAGTCGTCTCGAGCGCGGGCGATGTCGTCGTCAAATCCATCGGGGATGTACGCGAGCGTGAGTCCGCTCCTCTACAAGTGGGTCAGTACGGGTATCGTTGTCTACATCATCACTGCTAGGCAAACGCACCATATACAGCGCGACCTTCCTTCGCCTCGTCTGCCCATCCGCGCCCTCGAGGTGTACGGTCGTGACGGTATGCTCAGGCGGTTCCTTATGCACTTCAAGGGTTGGCGAGGGTGGGCTGTCCTCCGGCGATGGGAAGTCGTCTTCTGGCGGAGGTAGACTATCCTGCGCTTTGATGTTTCTCGCATCGTGCTCTTGGAGATCACGCTCGACAGCCAGGAGCTCGCCCTCCGCACGCGAAGTCGGTCGGGTAATCTCGCCTTCCACCGCTAAGCCGCCTTCTGTTGTTGCTAGACCGGCCTCCGGCGTCGAAATGGGCGGCGGGGCGTCTGACGCTATGGCCGACGGCGCATCTGACGCTGCGACCGATGGCGGCGGCACGCTGATTGAGGACATCGCGTCGTCGAGGGCGGAGAGGTCGACCTTGGCTTCTGCGAGGCTGAGCTGCGGAACGCTGTCTGCCCGGATGAGTTGCGATACTCCGACATCGGTACCGGGCTGCGGTACGTTGGCGTCGGTATAAGGTTGCGCTACGCTGTCCTCGCTCTCGATGGTAACGGAGATCGCGTCTGGTGCCGTTGAGCCTGCGTCCGGTGCAGTCGAGTCTGCCTCGGATGACTCTGCCTCGGATTCTCGTTCTTGTCTTTCGTCGGCCGTTTGCGCGTTGTCGCCTTTCTGGCTATCTTCTTGCGCGGATTCACTTGCGCCCTTCACCTTCGCGATCTCCTCTTCCGTGGCCGTGTCTTTCGTCACCTCAGCGCTCGTCTTCCGTCGTTCGCCATCCCCCTTCTTCTTCCCAAAGGTCAGGTATCCTCCCCAATTCAGCTTCGGCATGCTGAACTGCGGTAGCCCCATGAAACCGTGCTCCCCACCAGCAGCTGGCCCGCGGTCCTGCTTATCCTTCTCCAAATTGATAGTACCATCGTCCGGAGGCTTTTCCCGGATGGTGGTTTCCGACAACGTAGATGGGGTGTTAGCTGGTCGAGAGACCGGCGCAAGTGTAAGAAGGTGGCGGGAGAGACTGGCGGGGTATCTGTAGCTACTCGATGGCACGACATAAGGCGGAGAGATGAGGAGGACGGATGCGGGCTCTTGAATGTCTTGCAGAAATTCGTCGAGAATCGGGAGGAGAGATCGATGGAGGGGGTGTAATGCGGGGGCTATAAACAACCGTAGTTAGTAAAAACCTGCTGTGATGAGAGCACACACACACCTAGCGTATCTGCCAGTTCTATTCCATCGCCAAACTCCCAGGACCACGCCCATACAGTGAAGAAGCGCTCAAGCTGCAGCTCCAGGGCCTCCTGGCCCAAATTTGCCAGTATAGACGCGAAAGATCCGTGCGTGAGCTGCACTCCAATCACCCACCATTAGCCCTCCCTTCCTCGTCGCTCATTCAACCACGCACCTTGAACCGTTCGTACGCAGCCAGCATCGCCGCCCGCACCGCGACATCGTTCACTGACGACTCATCGTATTCGTATGTCGGCGCCGCCTTCGCTTTGTCTTTGCTGTCCTTCCCTCTGGCGGGCTTGGGCACGCGCGCCAGCTCGATCGCCTTGAACGCACTGCTCAATCAACGACCTCACGTTCCGCGGCCGCGCACGGGCACTCACAGCGTGGATCCAAAAGTCCGGTTCCGGGGACAGCATTAGCATGCGCTTCGTTTGCGAATGGACGTTGTCGCAGGGCTCGCTGGCGTTGAACGCGCTGTAGGCAGCAAGCAAGACGGAGAAGATAGTGTCAAAAGAGTAAGCTATAGCCACAAAATCACTAGCGACGCACGCAGAGAAGTTTACGAGCGCCTTTGCAAGGCCGACCTGGCGGAGCATCTTATCCCGGGAGGTGGCGCGGTCCTTCGAGGTATAGAAGATGATATGAGCTTGCTCTTCGGCATCTTCGTCATCCTTGGGTACGGGTCGAGCTGGCTTCAAGGTCGGATTGTAGATAGTTAGGTACAGGAGATTCGGAGGGATCCTGCTCATGAGGGGAGAATACAGCAGGCGCTATAGGCGCGCTAATGAAGGCGTATAGCAAGGCTACATCTGGAACAATCCCCTTTCGGCAATCACACAATTGGACCTACACCTATGCAGCGCGACTTACCGTATTGCGCGGCAGACGAGACTCTTTCTGAGCAGCTCTCTATATCCACTATATGTGGCATCTTTCAAGGCTTGTCAATGACATATTGTGACTGATGTTCATTCAAGCCGGACTGCCTCAGTTTCCGTCCCGCAGGGAAATGTAAGTCTACCGCTATGCAGCACCATTCACGTCCATTGTTTAATTGATCACAGACGAAAGAGAAACCGTATCAGAGTCACTCCCCACGGCAAATCTTACCTGCAGCCTGCTACCTCATCGTGAAAAGAGCAAATCGGCAAATGCCGTAGGAGGCGTGCAATATCACGTGTGGGCGCTTTTCAGGTTAGACTCAGACTGAGACTTACATTGTGCCACAATCTTCTTGACCCTACGATCAGGCTGCGCCGCCGCCTTGAGTTCAGCCATACATAGCATATATGCACCCCGTCTTTCTCAGTTCAGGTAGGTGATAGCATGTGGCCATCGAATAATGGCTAACCTTTCGGTCATCACAGCGTTTGGCTGAAATTACTCTGATAACGGCTCTCTGGCCAGCCCGTGTCACTTTTTAGATCTATCTTTGTCTTCGCCCTTCCGTACCTCTCTTCATTCCGAAAGCCGCATCAAGTCAGCCGCCAAACGAACGAATAGAGACAACGCCGAAATGGACGACGAGGACGACGGCCTCTCTGCAGCCCGTCTTGAGCTCTGCGAACACATCCAAAGCCTCCCCGAAATTCCCATCAGCGAGTTCATGGGCTACTACATGCCTCCTTCGCCCGTCGACGTCGACTCACTCGTGGACAAGCTCGCGCAGCGCTCTCAGGTTCTCATTCGGAAAAAGGGTTTCACACAACACCCCTCACCCCTTTCGTCGTCTGGCATGCCTAACTGGGCCGCATTTATCGAATCTCCGGAGGCGCGCGCAACCAGCGGCGAGTACGAGAAAGATGTCTTCGCCGACATGGAAAGTATCGCCGCGCAAATTGTCGAGTGCTGTCGGGATATTGCTCCGCACTTGCAGCCGACGTATCAGCTTCGAAGCAACGATACAAGGAATTTATATGGTCACGTCTACACCTACGCCCACCCTGACGGTCCCCGAGTCCTGGTTGGAATGAAGCCGTCGGGTGGGTTCGTAGCCCCGTCGGAGGAATATGAGCCAAGGCTCTGCAACGCGGTGGATGTGAGTCAATTAGTACCACTTGATGACTCTGGACATATCGGCTCTCTAGAACTATCAGGAAATTGTCTGGAACATGCACCAAACTATGCGCAGCGACTATACTCGCCGCTTCGTCTTTGGCGTAACAATTCACAACACGAGCGTTCGCCTGTGGCACATGAACCGCGAGTTGTTTATCGTCAGCAACAGCTTCGACATGTACAAGGTACGCGGTATATCATATGTGTATCGGCGTCGCTAAGCGATGCCATTGCAGGATTATCGTACCTTTGCTGACATGCACGCGCGTTTCGCCTTCGCCTCAAGGGACGAACTCGGCTACGATCACACCATGACGAAGCTTCATCCCAATTTACCAAAGGATGAGCGGTACCGTGTCAGAGTGGGCGGCGAGTACTACATCACCACACAAGTCCTGGAGAACTACGCTGCGCAGGATAACTTCGGGCGCTGCACCCGTATCTTCCGCGCGTACAAGGAGGACGACGATTCTCGCGACGCTAAGTTCGCTATCAAAGACGGCTGGCTGGGGCGCGAAAGCCAGCTCGAAGTCGATGTCTACAATGCCATCATGGCTGGCGTCGAGGCACACGACTGGTCGCAGTATAGCGCGCCACCGAAGGATGTCTCCGACTTCGTGAAGAACGTGAAGAAATGGGAAGAAGTGCCTCCCGTCGATTTTAAACATGGCACCAACGTCGATCGCAAGCAGTTCTTCATGCCCATCATAGCGGGAGAACGTGTCAAGGCACGAAATGGGCGCGACGACGACACGCGCGCCGTCATCGCCAGGGGATACAGCGACTCATCTCATCGTCGCCAATTTTTGAGTCTTACTAAAGCCTCTACGACGGTCGACTTTCCAGCCGCCAGCAAGGCCGCCAGCGCTCGTACGAGCCGGAAGGAAGGGGTCGAAGGCGATAAGAAGAAGGCCGCCGAGCCTTCTACGACTCCCGGCATTTTCGCGCAACCAACTGCCCCTCGCGTCCATCATCGATCCGTCATGCTGCTCGCGACACCGCTAGACAAGATCCAGTCCGTGAAGCAGGCATTCAGTACATTGTCCGATGCCACGTACGGTCAGTTCCATATCGAAGTTCACTGAAGTGGCACGCTTGCTTACACTGTATAGGCCTCTTCATCCTTCATTGTCTAAAGTACTGCCATCGCGATATAAGCCCTTACAACATATTTTCCGTCGACAGGCACGGCGTGCTGGGCGACTTCGAGTATACCACGCACGCGGCCGCGACGGCGCAACCCTCACGGATGACGGTGCGCCTTGTCACGCTTTTTCGTGTTCATCAAGTATTCAACCTCGTCTAGGGTACCCCCAACTTCATGGCTGTTGAAGTGATGACGGGGACTTTTATGGTCGATCGGCACACGGCGAACGACAGTGACTTCATCGAGGCTATCTTTGCCAGACGGCACCTGAACTCAATGCCCGAGGATGTATGGGAGTATAGCAGTGTTCACGACCTTGAATCCGTCTGGTGGATCGCTCTCTGGCTACTATTTTGCCACACGCTGCAACTCCCGTTCCTAGCGCCGCCCTACGACGTCGAAGTCCACGAAAGCAAGTATCGCGAACTCTTCCCGGGACGCGTCGTCATTGCCCAACCACGTTTCGACCATTTGAAGGATGCCAGGACGTTGATCAAGACACTCTCGGTCCTGCCGCCTGTGTGCACGGATACCGTCCAAGCGCCACTCTACCTCATACGCAACTACCTCATGCGCTACTACCAGCGTCTGGACGTGAACAGCCCGCCGCACCCCTTGATGTGGTGGATGATCGGCCATCTCCTCTGCCAGTCCCGGGGACAGCAGATAGGTGGCGATTTTGTATCCTTCACATCCCCGCAGCGTGCCGGGTCCCTCCCACCCGAGAATGAGGTCGACCAACGCGATGAAGATGATGACTCGGTCGCGAAGGTTCCTCCACCGTGTTCCAGTCATCGCTCGGGAATGGTACTGTTCCCACAACACGAGACTGCCCATTCGGACGAGGAGGGCGACAAGCGATTGCATATCGGTGCCCCTGTCATCGCCAAGCGCAGCTTTTCGTGGGTGGACGACGAGACGCTCAAAGAGGACGGGGACAGTGACTCGAAGGAGGCTCATCGTGCCGAGAAGAAACGGAGGCAGGCGGAACTGTAACATGGATAGGCCCTTCAGCTTAGCTATCTGGATATGTAGGCTGTGTGCACGATGACAGCTACGATAGGTTCGTAAATTGAACCTTACGACTGTATAGTAGGGAACGCTAAGGGTTGCTATCGAACTTTGTGATTGGGATACCAACAAAGTTCGATGAATCCATGATGTATGTCCGTTTATGCCATAGCTCAGTGTCCTTTCCAGCCATCCAAGTTGGTATTCTCAGGGCCCTGGCATCCTCAGTGCCTTTGTTAGCTTTGTCGCTCGCTGGCAAGGGAACGTTCTGGAATGGGTGGCTTTGTCAAGGCCAGGGTCCGAACTTGAATACGCGTGATCGTGACACGGTTGCTCGAATTTCGGCAAGTTCGCGCTCTCTTCTCACTCTTTCACTCCCATGAACACGCTCCCCTCATCCTCAGGCTCCTTGGAAATCCACCAGAATACCAGGAAAAGACAACGCTCGCGATCCATGGAGTCCGATTCCTCCGAGACGTCCGCCAAACGCGCACAGTCCGAAGGCCCATCTCAGCCCTGCATGACCGCCACGGACGATGCCACATTCACCCCACCTGCGGGGAACGGCAGCACCGCCGATCCTGAGATCGATGGCGCGCCCCCACAAAATGGGCTACTCGGCGCAACCGCCGAGTCCAGCGAGCGCGCTGCAGGCACCTCACCGCAGGAGAAGCTCACTACAATAGAAGCGGAGATGCAGAAGCCCATGGCGGCAGGCGATGAGTACTATCTCATAGACGCGAGCTGGTATCAGCGGTGGCGCCGGGCAGTCACCGGAGAGGTGGACAAGGCAGGCCCAGTAGAGGAGAAAGACCTTGCACCAGTCTCCGCGCAATCGCTGGTCGACTCTGCAACTGGCAAGCTTCGCCCAGGACTGGTGGAGCATGAGGATGTTGAATACCTCACACCAGCGGCGTACGCGCAGTTTGTACAGTGGTGCGTCGTCATGTTCCTTGACGCCACCCATGCACTTACGCGTCTTTGACAGGTACGGGCAGCCCGATGCGACGCCGCCGACGCGTCGCGTAATTTTACGAGGGGAACGCGGAGAAACCTCCCTCGAGCTCTATCCACCCAGCATTACGGTGTCTTCCATGTCCAAGTTGCGCTCGGTCAACGCCCGCCCGCCTCATGAACTTTCCGTGTCCTCCACAACCACGCTACGCGACCTACGCGAAGCCGCCCTTCGACGCGTCTCTCAAGCTGATCCAACCACCACCACATACCGAGTATGGCGATTAGACTCAGTCCCTGCGGGCAAAAAAGTCTGCGTCGAATTCTCCGCACACGACGTCTCTTCCTACGATGGCAAACTCGTCGAGGCCAGCGATCGCACCGTAGAAGAGGAGGGACTCGAGGACGCGAAGCTCGTGGTAGAGCTGCAGGAATACGATAGCTGGCTCGTCCCAGAGGAGAAGAATGAGTCGGAAGGGATGTTCTCGCAGGGCGGATTCTTCGATAGATACTCTGCCCAATCCTCATCCTCATCTTCATTGATGAAGCCGAAGACGACGCTGGGGCCTTTCACAAGAGCAAGCACATCATCAAAGCCCGCGCGCGAGCCTGGGACGACAGGTTTGACCAATCTGTGAGTGCGCTGTATCGAAGTCCGCTCAGTTTGTTGACCTGTCTCTACAGCGGAAACACCTGCTTCATGAACTCCGCTCTGCAGTGTCTAGCACATCAGGAAGAGCTCACAGAATACTTTTTGTGTGCGTCCCTGTCAAGTATGATATCCCGTTGCTGATGTACGCCACAGCCGGGGTATTCAAGCAAGAGCTGAACCCAGATAACCCTCTGGGCATGCACGGCGCTATCGCCGAGGCCTTCGGTGACTTGCTGCAACACATCTGGGCGCGCTCGTCGGCCTCTTCCTACAGCCCGCGGGACTTCAAGATGCAGCTTCAGCGCTTCGCCCCGCAGTTCAGCGGGTACCAGCAACACGACTCGCAGGAGCTCGTCGCCTTCCTCCTCGACGGGCTGCATGAGGACCTGAACCGTGTACTCAAGAAGCCGTACGTGGAGAAGCCCGACTGGGAGGGCGGCGGCGACCTCGAACTCGCCCAGCTGGCGAAGAAATCGTGGGATGGGTACATGCTGCGTAACGACAGTGTCATTGTAGATCTGTTCCAGGGGCAGTATCAGAGCACGCTGGTGTGTCCGGAGTGCCAGAAGGTGAGTTGAGAGGTTATCAAATGAGGTTGTGGTGCTGAATGGCTTGTGCAGGTGTCGATCACCTTTGACCCGTTCATGTACCTCACTCTTCCTCTTCCGATACAGAGCAAGTGGAAGCATACGATCATCTACGTGCCTTACGATTCGGACAAGCCTCATTTGCGTGTATGTGTTCCAACATGCTCGTTCGGCTCGTACTTACCCAGCACAGGTCCCCATGGAGATTTCGTCGAACTCCAGCTTCCGCGACGTTCGCACAATCATCGGTCGGTGGATGGATGTCCCGCCAGATAATGTACGTGCTATCATATTGAGGCTGTACATTGGCTCATCCTTCGTAGCTATTGACGATGGAACTGTTCAACCACAAGTTTTACAAGAGCCTCGACGACCACACGCCTGTCACAGACATGAGCACGGGCGACATCGTCGTCTGCTTCGAGCTGCCCTGCAAGGGGCCGCAAGCCCGCGGATACAAGTATGAGGAAGGAGACCCCTTCATCTTGCCGCTCATTCTCAACTGCCCCGACGGCCGCTCGCGGACGGAGTTTGGGTATCCCATGCCTATCGCCATTAAGCCGGAGGACGCGCGAAGTATGGAGACCATCTACGCTGCGATTGTGGACCGTTTGGCGCGGTGGACGAAGAACCGACGCGATCTGTACTCATGGGAGCTCGGCATGTCTGGCGAGGGCGGCTTCGAGGAGGTCCCGCTCAAGCTCAAGGGCGGGCCCGACAAGGTCACCGAGATCACCGCCACGGAGGGCGAGGTCGTAGTGCACGAGGAGCAGATCGACGACGAGGAGACGGATATCGCGGACGAGAAGAAGATGATCGTGGACGACCAGTACCACCCGCTGGCCACGCCTGTGAAGACCGGGGTCAAGAAGGACATTTTCAGCATCACGTACGCGCCGAAGCAGAAGAGCTTTGGCACGGCTTGGATCTCCGCCTCGTCCTTCCTCCCCCTCCAGTCACGCGCGGACGACGGGGAGGAGGTTCTGCTGCACCCCGAAGACACACTTCACGTCGACTTCGACATGAACATGAAGGAGTACTACTTCGGCGAGGGCTGCGTGACGTGGGAGGAGATGCAGGACTTTTCGCATCCCGAGATCGACGCGGCGCGCGAAGAGTCTCGCAAGCCGCGCGGGCCAATCACCTTGCAGGACTGCCTCGACGAGTTCACGAAGGAGGAGCAGCTCGGCGAGGACGACTTGTGGTACTGCCCGCAATGCAAGAAGCACCAGCAGGCAACGAAGCGGTTCGATCTGTGGAAGACGCCGGATATCCTAGTCGTCCACCTGAAGCGGTTCAGCAATAGTCGGGCGCTGAGGGACAAGATCGATGCGTTCGTGGACTTCCCGATCGAGGGGCTGGATCTGGCGGGGATGGCGGGGGAGAGGAAGGTAGCGAATAGGTTGAAGGAGGAGGGGGTGGATGCGAGCGAACTGAACTTGGGCAACGCGGAGGAACCGTTGCTGTATGATCTTTTCGCCGTCGATGAGCACATGGGTGGTCTGGGCGGTGGGCACTATCGTGCATACGCGCTCAACCACGAGACGAAGAAGTGGTACCACTTCGATGATTCGTTCGTGACGGAGGCGGAGGCTAAGGATTCTGTCGTAAGTTGTCTTCCTTCCTTTCCCGTCTGTGTTTCTCAATGTCTTCTCAGAACTCCAACGCATACCTGCTATTCTACCGACGACGCTCCGACCAACCCCTCGGCGGCAAGACGCACACGAAGATAGAAGAAGCACGACTACAATCCCAGAGCAGCGAGCAGCTGGACGATGATACCATGAACGTGGATACCCAACTACCAACCCCACCTGAGGAGGACTCCCCCTTCTTCGAGCAGGACTCCAACGTTACACTTTCCCAAGTGAACCACTCGAAATGGCGCGCCATTCCGTCTCCAGCCTACAGCGACCCGCCGCCTCTCCTCGACGATCCACCGGAGTTCGGCTCGCATACGCTGGACCCCGTCCTTACCGGCCCTCACTTCCAGTTCCCTAACCCCGAGAACGTTGGCGGGCCGATCTCGCCATCTTCCTCCACGGGCGTCGAGCACGACTCGGACGGGGCAAACGCGGGGGACCTTGAGGACGACTCGGATCTGTGGCGACAGGAGAAGTGGTCGGATACGTCGCAACTGAACCGCGCCAACTCGCCGGAGGCTTCGATATCCATGGCGGACTCGCCCGCGTCGAGCTCGAACTCGGACAACCCGTTCGCGGATGCGAATCGCCAGGGTGGCGGGCTTGAGCTGTAGAGTTGGAGTTGTTGTAACCCGTCGAACCTTCACTTGCATTGTCACGCATTTGCTATCTGAGTACAAGAGGTATCTGTATCAATAAGTAATCATGCTGTATTACTGGTCTATATCATCCACATATGTCGTCTGTAGCGAATCATTGAAGGGCGGAAAGTGCTGCACTGGAGCCTGGAAGTGCGACCCTACTGTGTGTCCATGTCGGAGTCAGCACGTCACTACCGATCTTGCCTTCCATCCGCGTTACGCGTGTGCTGTTTATTAGAAGAGGGAACTCGCCCCGAAAGGGAACGGAACGACAGAGATAATGTTTCGCAGAAGACAATGATAAATGCTACTGCGTGGCCAAAAGGGCGACGACGATTGCCGCTGTACAAAGGCATGGAACAGGAAATACAGTCGTATAGTATACAGTGTGTTCTTGGGACAAATGATATGATACAGCAGTCTAAGCAATACGCGGAATCCACAAATCGCCACCTTAGCCAAGTATAACGAGCTTGCTCAACAGTGCGGAGACCAACCTTGCAATGTCATCGGTCATGAAGGCTTTAACCCCGTAAGATTTGAGGCTCACCAGTGAAGATTGTCGCCAAATTCTGCATATCTGTCGCCTCCGCAATGAGTTCGTTCACGGTGAACTCGACGCTCAGCGAGCCGTCCAACTTGCGCGCCACCGACATTAACGCGCGATCCGCGGACTCGATGGACGTGCCATTGTCGAGGTCGAGGTCGAGGTCGAGGTCGTGGCCGGTTGCACGTAAGTAAGCATCGGCGGCAGACGCATTGGCCTTCTTCTCTTGCTCTTTCTTTCGGCGGCGTGCCTTCTCCGCCGCGACCCCGGCGTCACGCTGGATCTTCTCAAGTTTGTGCTCATTCGCGGTCCTAGTCAAAGGCTGATGTCAAATCTTGCAATAGTGCAAGGCGAGAGATGAACAGACCATGAGTGCAGAGGATCGTGTTTGAAGACTTCAAGCACTGCGAGGATGATTTCAGATCCGCCACGAAGAACACGCAGCGTCTCCTCTGCGCATCGCTGGAACACGCCCTGTGTACCGGACGCGCCCATGCCATCAACCATGTCGCGTGTCAACCTGAACGGTACTTTCTCCGGAACGGGTAAAACGCGACCCTACAAGCCATCGTCAGCCGCTTTCCCAACCGCTCAGTCATAGCATACCTGATCGAATGCAATGCCCAAGTCAATGTGAACAACTTCACCGTTATGCTGGTCCAGCAGGATGTTTGAGAGATGCCGGTCGCCTAAACCCAAGACATGCCCAACGATCGACGTAACTGCAACGCTGCGGGTATAGTTCAGGCGTGTCGCGAACCACGCCGTCGGCTCCTTGTGTTTCTCGCGAAAGAAGTAGCGCATGACGGGCCTGTGCCGCTTCGTGACGATCTCGGCGAACCAACTGGTGAGATACTCTATCGGGTGCTGAGGCGATTTTCCGGTACACATTTCCTGCGTGTCTTTGAGTTGCTTTTGGACGATCCTCGTGGGTATGTCATCGGGATGGTATCTGAAGATGAGTTCAGAGATGTGAGTGCAGGAACAGGCTCCGGACCGCACCTTGCGTGTGCGCTCGGTATCCAAGCGTTCAATGGAGCTGTATTCGTGACGAACTGTAGCACGCCGGCCTGCGCTGCTAGAGGAACAACCTTATAGCAGCGCATCGTCAGCCGGCGTCGCCTTGTTTCCTGATCGCGCTGGAGAATGGAATTGCATAGCTCGAACACCTGCTCCATCACGGCGTCTTGACGCAAGTCGTCGTTCCCTTCACCCTTGAACTGTCCAAGTTTGAGTTTACGAATGTGGCTGAAGACGATGTTCATACTCACCAGCTCCTTGTGACTCTGCCCATAAACATCACGGCATTTGGAGACCTTGGGCAGTGCTAGACCACCCATGGTGGAGAATGTACTCTCGTAACCGACCAGCCAGGCGCAGTTCTCATATCGCGACGTCGCATCGAGTGGTGTCTGCACAGTCATGACCGGTACCCGCCAGTCCCGCAATTTGAACAACTTCGGCTTGGAGGGAACCTTGTACTGGACGCCTGACCGTGAATACTTTTTCTTCTCCGACTCGGGCTTGGCGATTGGAAAGGTCGCCCATTCCAGCGCGGCGCAACACAGACGATCAACCGCCTGGGCTCTGGTATCTTCATCCTTGAGTTTGTCGTACAGCTCGCCCGCTGTTTCCGACCGGTCCATTTGGGTTGCTGTCGGGGGTTCGGAAGATGATGTAGACCCTGGTGTCTGGCGAGCGGACTGTCGCCGATTGCTGTCCGAGATATCGGCTTGGGAGGTCCTGCGACTCACTTGCAGGCAGAAGACCTGATACAAGCAATGGAACGGGTGCTCCTTGCACATGCGAACCACAAGCTTTCTCAGAGTGGTCTGATTGGCTTGTGTCTGCTCGTCGCCTTTCGACAGACGCGCCGATAGTTGGTGCTATGCCGCGTGAGACGGGATATAGAACGGTGGGACAAGATAACTTACAGAAAGGAAGACGAGCTTGCGAGACGGTATGCGCCGAAAGCAATTGTCGACCATGGCCTGAACCTTCTCGATGCGCCAGTTTGCGAACCATAGAGAGCACAGACGAATAGGAGCATCATCGTCGTACGCATCACCAACCGCCAAGCAGCGTGAGTGCATGTCCAACGATTGCGCCAAAAACGCTTCCAGCCCATCCATATGCTCCTTCATAATCGCGCGGTCATTGTCGAGCTCCATCTGGATGACTTGGCGCAGCCTTTTGTGAATAGTCTGTTGTTCTTTCGGAGTGCGATCGATAGCTTCCAGTTCCTTTTGCTTGCGCTCGCTCTTCAGTTTCCATCGGCGTCCTTCGGGGGAGCGGAAAAGCGTGTAGTACTGACGCTCGGCGAAAGAGGCGCATTGGCGATACACTTCCGTGCGTTTCTTAGGGGATCCGCCCGACACTTGCGAGAGGAGGTCTACCGCTGGACCAAACCAGTTCCTGAGGATGTTGTCGGGCTTTTCGAGACACGCCTCCGCGGTCCATGTACCCTGGGCGGCGGTTGGTAGCATGCACACGTCACGATCATGAGACACTCACCATCCTTGCTTTCAAAACGGCCATGTCGATCTCATTGGTCTGAGCTGAGAGGGGGTTCCCTGGTTCAAGCAAGCGTCGAAGTGACTCGATTGCGAGCCTCTTCTCCTGAAGTACCCAGAGCACATTTGCGTATTCTTGCTCGATCTCGAGAGTGGCAGCGTGTCCCAAGCGTTGAGCGCGAGTGATAGCGTTGAGCGCCACTTGCACCTCCCGAGCTTGCCTCGCTGCCGTGGATAGATGGACCAAGCAGTGACGTTCAGTGGCCACGAGCATCTGCATCCAGGGTGATAACATATCGCCGATCTGTTCCCGTTCCTCCTTCTGCCGTACGGTTTGTAGGAGACATATTCTCGTGGCGACTATATTCTCCAGGTCCTGAAAGCTGCGTCATGAATCAGTGTCAATCCCATGATGACCAAAGAACCACATACTGCAAACCGTCGTTCGTCTGCACAAACTCACGCCACTGCGGGGCTGCAGCATCCCTTGTCGTAAGCACGGCCTGAAAGTCCGGGTGATTCCATAGCGCGACTTGACTCAAGCACATCATACTGCGCGCAACTTCCCGAATTTCTGACAAACTCTCCTCCCCAAGTGCGCGGAGCTGAGCCATATCGCGAAGAAGCGCATGCTGAACAGCTTTGTCCACACCGGTACTATCACGTTCTCGGTGCACAGCGCGTAGCGCGAAATACAGAGAGGCGCCCCTGCTATCCTCTGCCGTCTTGTTGTCGGGGAGGTCCCACGTACCCGTCCGCCAGCCTAACTCGTACGCGATGTCTGCATCAGATTGACCAGCAAGTGCGGGCATCGCGTTGAGAGCTAAGCCGTGAAAGCCGAACGCATGGAAAGATCGTAGAAGCCCAAGTTGATCGCCAGTAGTCGAGCGCGCGGTTTCCATTCCTGCGCCGTGTAAACGGAAGGCCTTATCCCACTGGCGTTCGTGATGAACTCGCCGGAGTAAGAATTGCTGCAGGTCGTTGGTTTTGATGGCGTAGAAACCATCTGGCTCGTCAATATGTCTATAGATCTCGTAGAGGACGTTCTCGGAGCCCTCTTCGACAGAAGAGGGGTTATACTCCGTCGCCAAGTCCAGAAAGAGCAACGACGTTGTGTACATGCGGCAGGTAAGCGCGCTCTGAGCTAAGAGCAGGTAGTCGATATCGAGCCACATGTCATAGGCGCAGGCATCTTCGACCTCCTTCCCGGAGTGCGAAGGCTGATAATGGCGTAGATGCAATACAGATCGAACGATGACCTCTTTGCAAGGTGCCGGCGCTGTATCCGAGCGCAAAATGGAGGTGAAGTAGACCGAGAAAGCCTGTCGATAGCGGAGCTCTTCGCTACGCGCATTCTCTTGTTCCCAGTGCAGTAGCGTGTGCAGGAGTATGGGGAAGATAGTCGTCGCGAACTCAACGTCGGTCTTGAGCATATCATGTAGTTGCGCGTAAAAGACGTCGGATTGCCCCAGGTGCTTGCTAAGCAGGTAAGCAATATCAGAGATCCAGGGGTCGAAGGTGCGGGTCAGGCGCATGTAGTTGTCAGACCGCAGAGTCTCGTACAGCTCGGATTTATCTTGTTTCCGAAGGACACACGAGTACGCCATGATGTGCCTCAGATCAGCTTTCTGCTCTGTCGTCAGGTGTCGGGACGAGCGAAATTCGTCCGGAAGTGCCGCGTTATCGTTGCTCGGTCGCACAACAGTCATGAGCAGCTTCAGAGTAGAATATGCGGCATAGACTCGCGCACCATCCTCGCTACGCAGCATATCTGCAAGGATGACGATAATGTCGACACGTGGTTGCGGTTTGCGAAGACTACTAGCCTTGACCGACTCGAGAGCAGCATCACTGAAGCTGTCGATACGGCCTTGATTCGAGACTAAGAGGATTGCGAAGGCCTCGACGTCTTCAGGGTCGAGCCGCTCCACATCCGGGATGTGACTCTTGAGGTGCCAGAAATCGCGTTTCGCGAAGTCAGCGGGATCGTATGCGCCTGCCAATGCGTATTCACGCAGTCGACGGGCAAGAGCGAACTTGTTCGTTGTGACACGCTTATTGGCCAGGACGCTGGACAAGTCGTTGGGCCCAAGGCCGTCGTGAAGGGCGAGCAAGTACTGATCTACAGGGCGATAAGGCCAGGCGGGAAGGACGCGCAGAATCTGCTGCGTCATGCCATGCGCGTCGCATATCTGGGCGGTCTTCCGATCGATCCAAAGTGCTAGGCGTTCGCCCAATGCCTGCAATTCAGCGCATCCGGCCTCGAACTTGTACGCATTGGCGCAGCTGGATATGCGGATGAAGATATCGAGGAACCGAGGGTCCTCTGTTCGTTCGCTCACTTGGCCGTTTGCATGCTCCCGCGAGAAGTTCTCGCCGTAGCGCCCCAAGGCCCAGTCAAGGATGGACTGAGCTTCCGAAACCAGGTCGCTATGACCTAGCATGACCGTCGCACCATGTAGGAGGGCGTACAATACGGCGTTGTCGTCGAAGTGCTGGCTACACGCAGATATCCATATGCAGAGAGCGTTGACCGTCCGGCGCTGATCAACGACCATATAGTGATGCTGGACATCGGCAAAGAGTTCGTGCAGAATATGGAACGTGCGCGACAGATCATCTGCTGCATTCCCACCCTCCTTGTTGCACCACTGGAGGCAACGAATGATGGTGGTGCAACTATAAGACGGCACCATCTCGTCGTGGTCACTGATCGTTTCGTCCTCACGATACCTGGTTAGGCAACGAAAGGTATCTGCCATCTCTTGGATACACTGTTCTGCCAGAGTATCCTTGATGACCTGGAGTTTGAGCTCTCCCATAGCGCGGAGAATCGCCACGGTCACAGCGTCCATACTTTGCGCCAAATAGGCGTCGAATGTCGCTTGATCCAGGGCAGCTGCAGCAGCAATCTGGTCCGCTGACCCTCCAACATCCAGGTCCCGAGCCACCAGATCACCGACAACGTCGCCAAAGCATTCGCGGACGCCATCATGATCCTGCTTGCCGAGCAGAGTGCAATACGACTTGAAGGTTGCATATTCCTTCTCGCCAATCAGATATGGAGCGAATGCCCGGAAGGCGGCAGCGATACACTGCAGGCGATCGCGGTAGCCAAGTACAGTCGGTGGAAGGCGATTGAGGTCCTTGCCAGACTTGATCATGCTGTAAGCGATTTGAGAGGCGTAGGCGTCAAATAGCTCGGTAGGCTGCGTCATGCCAATCCGCTGCGCGACTTGGGTGAGGATACAACGCAAAACGGACTCCATGAAGCGCTGATTCCCGCTTGGCGCTTCGAAGTAGCTGTCGAGCAGATTCCAATACGTGCGGCGACGAACGACGGTTGTGATCATCATGTTGGCCATGGCGAGAATGGTCGCAAGCAACGACTCAAGTCTACGAAGATGTTAGCTCATGTTTGCAGCTCAAAAGATAATGTGCTCACGAGCGCCCCCGACATTCACCCAAACAATCATAAACGTAGTGGACGACCTCGTCCAGGATGTGCCGTTCCGTGCCAAGGTGAAGGACTCGTGGCAGCAGGGAGGACACATAGAAGCTGACCCGGCTGTCTACATCCCCTACAAGCCACGGGAGGAGTGCTCGCGGGTAGTACCAGGATAGGCTCTTGCCCGATTCCACGCGAAAGCACTGCCGTTCGGATCTCGAGTCCGTCCATCTTGCCTCTTCTCGGTCCGCCTCAACGTGGGCAGCAAGGTAAGATGCGAGTCGACTCCGTACTTTCCAGTCGAAGTCGCGCCGTCGAAGCTTCTCAGATAGCCATTCGTTGACGATGCCGACGACCTCGAAGTCCTCGGCATCTACCACGTCCGATGTCCATGTGGGCATGGTGGCGTGTAGGATACGCACGACAAGCAACTGAAGGCATTCGTTGTCGCGAGACTTGGGAAGTATTTCATTGAAGTCCATGAGAATATCCGCGAGAGCTGGACTGCTCATGTGAAGCATACGCGTCTCGAGACCATCAACAAGCGCGTGGAGGACATGCAACCGTCGCTGCCAATGATCCTTCAGGCTTTCGAAGAAGCGATCAAATTCGTTGGCGCGTGTTTGCTGGCCGCTCTGCAAGTATTGTATCGCATACAGCCCACAAACGCAAGTCTCGATGACTTGCTGACGAGCAGCGTCTGCTGTTGTGTTCGGTGCAGCGATGACTTCGCGCACTGCGGCGAAGTCTGCATCATCCTGGACGGCTTCCGGAGTGGCTTGTGCCACCTGCGTCGTGCGGTCAAGGATGGCAGACAAGTGCCGTCGAATGTCGCCGATTTCCATTTCGATCTGCATGATCTAGCTCAGTCCTTTCCTTCGTGAAAGCAAGGAGGGCCAAACCTCGTTGTCACCCCAGACCACCCGCTGGAATGTTATACGTGAATCCCGCTTCAGGCGCCTTTCCGCGGAAGAATCGAAAGCCAAACGACGAATCAGCTGCGACCGGATGCCAGCACCGGGAGCTACAGAGGCGAACAACTCCGTCGTGAACTCCTGAGACGGGTCGGACGAGCGCAAGAGCGGGTCAAAGGCGTGTAATATGACCGCGAGTTCCTTGTCCATGAACGTACGTCCCAATAGTTTCTTCGTCAGAAGACACATGAGCTTCATCGCACGCTTCACCACAATCTTGTCTCGTTTGATACCGTTGTCCTTGCGCATAGCCTCGAACGCCAACGCAATGACGGCCACGCACATCTCACTACGCATTGCCTCCGCAGTAGGGACCTTGCTATCATCTGGCCGCGCGTCGACCAGGCGCTCCAAACATCGGCCAAGGAACTTCGAAATCTTCGTCTCGCGAGCTGACGGTTCGGCTTCCTCCGTTTCGTCGGGGTCTTGGCCATCTCGCGCACTCTGCGACAAGCTATGGTCTAGCTGCGCAGGTGGATGGTACGACGGGACCTTGGCTTCGAGGAGGAAGTCGCGCATGACTCGAGTGTGCGCCTGCTGCTCCAGCGTCTCCGTTATGGGGCATGCAGGAAGCTGTACGCGGTCTAGCAGGTCTGGGACCTTCTGGTACGAGCAGATACTCCCGAGGAGTCGAAGCATGTCGGGAACGCTGTAGAGCGGCAGGGTACCCTTTGAGGTAGGATCCACGCGCCAGCACTCGACGAGCCATGCGAGCGCAATGTCCTCCATTCGCATCCGGTAGAGCCTCGCATCCTGGCTTGCAATGTGCAGGCAGCGGCTGAGCAGGAGGCAAACGGAATCGCAAGGAAAAGCCGGTCCTTGGCTTTCTAAGCCCTTCATGAGCGTCTCTATCTCCGCGAGAATCGCAGTCGATGAGACAGGCAGTGGAGACGGTAGATGTTGCGCCTGGTACGCGTGGGCGAGAATGGCGACTGCGGCGTGACAGGCCGCGCGACACACGCTCGGAACGTTAGAGCGTCGCATGCACGACGACCAGAGGGCCTCCCACGAGACGAGGTTATCGGGAGTAATAGCTGTCGAATCTGCTTCCTTGGCAGGCGAACGGCTCTCCGCGTACGCAATGGCAGCGAACGCGATGAAGACCCACGACTGGATCGTGCTGTTCTGATTCTGCGCGGCCATAACGTCGGATAATGTTCTCTTCACATCTTGCTGTAGGTCGTAGTGGAGTGTAGGCCAGTGGCGTTCGATGACGAAGACGAGCGTCTGTAGGCGATAGGTGTGCGTATCCGCCGAACTGTGCATCAGCAAGCTGGCGAGTATTGACTTCAGCGGGTTCTCCAATCTCGTCCGCTTGTTGTCGCGCTGCGTGGGCGTGGCCGTAACGTAGGAATGGATGGACTCCGAACGTTCGTAGAGCTGGGGTCCTGTCAGTTACTTGATTCCCATAAAGCGCGTACGCCTACCTTGACTATACAATCCGCTTCCAGCTCCAGCGTAGCCCAGATCAAAGCCTGCGCTTGGTCGAATGACGCCGTAACCCGAAGAGTCGGAGTCGAGAAAGCAGGAAAGACTTCGTCTCGCGGGTACCGCATGTCCACTTCGAGCCGCAGCGCGTCGAGTGACAGACCCTTGCTGGCCCCAACCTCCTTCTCCATCACCTTGTACAGCCGCTCCAGACCTTCGCCCCAATCATGCTTCTTTCCCGCATGGACATGATATGGCAGCAGGATGGTCAACGCCGCTATGAGGTGCTCCCGGAATGGCTTCGCTTTCGGACCCCATAGGCTAACGAGGCTGTCCCAGCTGTCCATCGAGAACTTCTTGACAGCCGCGCTCTGCGACAAGCAGAGTCGCCCCAGTACGCAGGACAGCGCGGGCAGCAGCTCGTGGTGGATCGATGAGTCCGCGGTGTAGCTCTGCAGGATACGGCTGATGCGTCCGAGAACTCGGGGTGTGAGGGGGAGGCTGTGGAACATGGGATTGCGATGCGTCGAGACCAATACGGAGAGCAGGCCGATCCACTCTCGCTTCTCGCGCGTGTCGTTGGAGAGGCGCGCCATCCCCCTGACCGCTGGCGAGGCCCTTGAGGCGGGATAGTGACTTGAAGTTGGGCGCGATCGCTTGCGCGGAGACGCGCGCCCGTCGTCGTCCTCGTCTTCCTCGTCGTCTTCTTCGTCCTGCGCATCGCTGCTTGCGTCCACATCCATCGCGTCATCTTCGTCCTCCGCTGTGATGCGTCGATTGAGAGGTTGGTCGAGAACGACATTGAATGCCATTGAGGTCAACTCCACCCAATCCCTCTCGCGTGGCTGAATCTCGTCGAGGGCGTCTACATCTTCATCGCTGTCCTCGTCCTCGTCGTCCGACCTGGACGCTTTCCTCCGCTTCTTGGAGGTAAAGGAGTACATGTGTGGGGGGTAGCTGAGCAGGATCTTCGAAGCCTTGACGAAGTCGAGCACGACGGGTTCGAGGAGGGTCATGGTGTTCCTTCGCATCCTGTCCTTCAGGTTCCGGATGAGCTTGCGCACGACGCGGTCGGAAAGGTTGTGGCCGACGTTCTCGCAGATATGTCGGATGAGCATGGCCGTGTCGGTGAGGCGCTTCTCGACGCTTGCGGTGCTGGCGTTGACCTTCCCCCTCGCCTTGTCGTAGGCATCCCGCTCGATGGTAAGATTCGTGTACAGCGCATCCAATATGTCCTCCCAGGTAGTTGATTTGCTCTTCGTTATACGCGTCAATTCACCAGGGATTTCCAACCATTGCCGCAGGTGTTTAATGCCTTCATTTCGTTCCTTGATGGATTTAGCCTCTACCTCGCGCAAGATGTCCCCTCGCCTCGTTGCCACTGTTGGTGGTAAGTTAATCGCTCGTCTACTAGACGACGGCCACGCACTTGGTCCTGAGGGCAAAGTGTAGAGACGCTGGCGCGCGCGTCTCACGAACAAGGTGCAGGAAGAGATGTGCACGCATAGCGCTTTGACCGTCTCTTTCGTCGGCCCGCCATCGGGCCCTTGTTCAACTCCTTGAAACTCTCACTCTATTGTACAAGAACTTCAGCTGCATGTATATCCATAATGAAGAAGTGGTATATAGATCGAACAAAAGATACAAGACGGAAGACTAAGCTACATATCTACGTCGGAATGCGTTGGGGCGGTGCCCTCATGGTCGTTATTCGAGTTACCACCCTCCTCATCCTCCTCATCGCTCTCCTCGTCGCCGCTCCCGTCACTTTCGCTCTCGTTAAAGGTCAGGGAAATATACTCATCCCCAAGCTCGCCGCCGCCAGCAGCGGAGGCAGACGCATCAACAGTTGGAGGGTCGGCGGCGGTGTCCATAGGCTTAGATGGTGCTGCATCGACGGCCGCGCCAGCAATCACGGAAGGAGAGACCTCGGCCTTGGGCTTGCGATTCCGGTTGGCGCGAATGACGTGCGGAAGCTTGCAACCCTTATTGGTACAAGTCCCGTGCTCCGCAAAGTCGGGGCATTCCCGTACGTGTTGCTGGTCGCAGTCGAGGCCTTTTTCGCAGTAACCGAAGACGGCGAAGTCGCGACAAACACCCTGGCGAGCGCCGATGTTGACGTGAGGAAAGTGGCAATTGGGCCGAGAGCAGCCACCGTGGATGAAGTGAGTACACAGAGGAGTCCGCTCCGGAGTCGGATCGTGAGAGAGCGGGCACGTCTCGTCAGAGTTTGGACACTTGTTGTACAAAAAGTTCCAACAAATGGCAATCTTCGACGGGTCGTGCTGATAGATACAAGTGAGGCCACGGTTACACGAACCTGCAAAGCAAGGGTGACTGGTGAGTAACAGATCGGAGAGCGCGTACTCTCAATCGTCTTTGAGGGATGGGAACGGATGGCGCACCAGTCATGTTGAACCGCGGGCACGGTTTGTCGGAATATTTCTTGGATTGACGTCGGCTATACGAAAGCGTTATCAAATGAGGCCGGGCTTGACCGAGGACGGCGACGGACCCTGCTTTGTTGTTCAACGTCATGTTACGGGCGCGGGGTACACGGCGCCCCGGGCCCCGGGCGACCTTCAGCTTGTAGGCCCGAGTGGCAGGAGGACCATGGACAGTACGAGGGTAAGCACGATGAGATGACGGTGGCTTGAGACCAGCTGGGTTGCCAGAGGAAGGAGGCTTCGGAGTCGGCACTACAATCAGATTAGTCAACAATGGGGGTGGTAACAGTGGCATGAACTCACAATCGGAGCGCACCAGGGCCCGTCCAGAAGACTTGAAAGAGACGCCGTTGATAACTACCTCCTTGACTTCGTGTGTACCTAGAGACGTGGATGCTTGAGGTGGTGGCCGGGGCTTCACTGCGGGTGCGGGGCGGACATAGGTCGTCGAAGGGGGCTTGTAGTTCGGATTGACGTAGGTGTTGCCTCTTGCATATGTATTCGTTTGGCGGTACCCCGAGAAATACGGTTTCTGCGTTGCGGTTTTATGCTGGTTGATGGACGCTGATGTGCGATTAGGCGATTTTCGATGCAAGGCGGAAGGCTTTCTTACCTGTAAGTTTTGCGATTTCGTCGCGGAGTTGCGCTTCAGCGGATGTCGAAGCCATAGTGGCGAAACTAGGGGGAGATGGAGGTTCAGGACAAGAGTCGTGGGACAGTCGTTACTAAAGATGTAGTTGTTGACGTATGTTGATCGGCAGCCTCTTCGCGGTCAACAAGAGACGCCTCGGTTCAACAAGCATCGGACCTCGACTTCAAAGTTCGTTCAACAATCGTTGTCTCTGTGCTCTCCGGCCGTGTGATTCCTCTGGGCCTCATTCCATGGACAATGACTTGATCTTGATCTAGGCAAATCACCCCTCAGATCAATTTAGTGGAAGCAGAACCTCGCTCAGAGGCTTCACAACAGCCTAATCGTGTCGCGCTTGTAGCACAGGCCCAATGTGGCTACATACCTATACTGGATCCTCGACCCCTACGTCCATCTTTTGCGGGCAGGGCTCTACTTCCTTGGGACAGCCAAAGGTAATCCGTCGCGCCACTCACACTGTTAAGGTTCTTTAAAGCAGACGGCTATGACTCGATCCCACTCAGGCTCCGGAGACCAACGTGCTTATCTGGCCTCAACGCACTCCCATTGTATTCTCGCGAAATGAACTCACCATCTCGGCGGCTTGGACGATCTTCGCCGCCTGAAGCTGTCTCATCATGGACGAACGTGCGCACTCGCTGTCCAATCGCAGACTTGGCTGCGGTCGTGTGCGTGCCCAAAATGGAAGACAAGCATAGCACGTTGCTGGGCATAGGAGGGGCACACGAGCAATCCTGGGCGTTCGCTGACGAGCTATCTCTATAAACACGTTGACCCTCTTCCTTACCCTCCCAATCTCTGCCGTCTACCGCCATGTCTACCAGAAGCTCGTACGCGGCCAGCGCGAACCCTGCTCGCAAGGCAAAGCGAGCTCGCCTTGTAAACTCAACCGACGCTCTCCAAGGCTCTGCAGATCTTCGCTCTGCCTCGCCCCATCAGCCCTTCATCCTCCCCAAACCTGCGTCCAAGCCCATCGTCGATACGCCGCCCGTGATGACTCTATCACCTGTCAAGCGCGGTCGCAAGCCCAGCGGCGTCTCGCGCGCGTCGCGTGAAGCGCAGCGCAAGCTCAATCACTCCATCATCGAGAAGGCTCGTCGCACCAAGATCAACGAGGCACTCTCGACCCTCAGCTCGTTGATCCCGGCCGACTACGACAATCGCCCGGCTGACGTCGACGACACAGGGAAGGAGGATGCAGACGACAGCGGTGACGATGACGAAGACTACGTCGACCGCAAGCAGACAGCGGGGCGGCGTGGAGGGCCGAAGAAGGAGAAGGAGTTCAAGCTCGAGATCCTCGTGAAGACGGTGGCGTACATGCAGGATCTCATCCAGCGCGTCACGGACCTCGAGGCTGAAGCGAAGGTGCCGGCATCTGCGTCATTGCCTTCCCCGTCGTGTGCCAACTGCGGCACTCGCACGGCGACGAAGCGGAAGCGGGGCGCGAGTGACTCCTTCGACGGCACGCGCGAGCCTGCTAGCGACGAGAGTGCTACTCCCAGACTACCCTCCATCTCCGAGATGCTCTCCGAGCGTACTCGCGATGTCGATGCGGGGTCCTATCTCCCTTCGCCCCCATCTTCTACCAAATTCCCCGCTCGCGGCCGGTCGGACAGCCTCGATATTCCGCCTCCGCTGTCTCTGGGTCCGACTCTGCAAGCCGCTGCTGCCAAATCTTCGTCGCCCGCTACGCAGTCTTGCGCCGCCATACCGCTCATCTCGCCCACGACATCTCCTCTCCTATCGCCGGAGGACGAGTCCGCTGCGTCGCTTCTACTGAACATGAGGTCGTCAACGATAGGAGGACATGGCATGAGAGATCTTGAAATGGGGAATGGAGGCTTTGCGTCACACGCACTCTCTCGCGAGTATGTCGGGAAGGAGAAGCAGACCCCCAGTTCGTTGTTGGGCATTGTTCTATGAATCTTGGAAGGCTCTACTACTCTATTATATCCAACTCTGCTCCGTACTGTATATCAATGTGTACCTTGTATGTATGTTTGTCCGTTCCCGCATAGATTTGAACATGATTTCCTAGAGACGCAAGTGCCACAAGTGGAACACGAGAGCAAGGACATCTGGCACGTGCTACGGGCAAGCCGCACGTGGCATCCATTGTTCTTCCCCCGGCCCGGCAGACCAGCGCTTGTCTCTCGCCACCATGACCACCCGCCTCCGTCCCCGCACGCAGCTCGAGGAAGAGGATGCGACGACGTTGAAGCTGGGCCCAGGTGCATAGCCATGCAGAAAATGACACAGATAATGAAATACTCATTGCTTCGATCGTCAGAGTTCGCCCAGGCGGGTTGTTTGCTCATCTCAGAGGTCAAGTATCTGCTGGAAAACCGAGAGAAGACTGCGCCGGACAATGCGTGCGTCCCAAGTGTATATTTTAGCTTCCTGCGACTGAGGGGACGCTCTGTAGTGTGTACGCAAAGACGTTGGACTATGTCAAGACCTTCGCGAAATGGCATACGACGGACTCGGCGAGCGCGGTTCGAGAGTGCGTGGCGTCTGTCCCCCTTTTTCTACCCGGCTGACACTGGTCTCCCATTGTAGGATCCTGCGACGCGAGCCCCAGTTGACACAGTTCGAGACGGCACAGCTCGCGAACCTTTGCCCCGCGGAGGCGGAGGAGGCGAAGAGTATCATTCCTAGGTGAGTTACATATCATCCCCTTTGGCATGCACCGATATAGATACCATGCCCTCTAGTCTGGAAGACAAGGTTGACGATGATCGGCTGCAAGCCCTCCTGAACGAGATCCAGACGATGCGCAAGTTCCAGACATGATAGCCTCGCGCTCTTCCTCTCTCTTCGTTGACTCACCCTGCAGTGCATTCTCGCAGGATGATATGTATCATACATGTACGAGTGGTGTGGCTAATAGAGTGGTTTGCGAAATCCCCCAGGTAGCAATCAAGAAGACGGCCCTCGAAGACCATGACCTATCCCTCCAACTCTGCAAGCTTCGCACCCTTCGCGCTCTTTGCTACAGGCTCCTCGACCTCCTCGTCCGATTCCTCGTCCTTGATCGGCTCGTCGAAGGAGGTCATGTTGAACTTCCGCTTTTCCTTGAAGGGGTTCTCGCGCGTCGCTCCTGGCTTGAGAGCCGCCACCGCTGGCACTGTACCCTTCGGGTTGAGATACAGCAACTCCTGCCCCGTATACGCATCCACATGTCGGATCCACGCGTCGAACCTGCAATCATCATCAGCCCCCTCTCCATCCCTATTCATCACAAGTAAATTCACTCACAGCCCATCCCTATCCTCCACCGCGCGCATGTTCATATATATGAACTCCTCCTTAAACGCCCGGATCGCCTCCGCATACTGGTCGAAGTCAATCGGCGCGCGGTACTCCGCATCCCCGGGCGCGCCCTTGCTCTCCGCCTTCGCCTTGCGGTTGTACGAGTCGAAGATGGGGTGCTCGAGCAGGAGGCCGAGCGAGGGCATCTTGGGGATGAAGGTGGTGCGCGCGCCGTAGAGCTCGTCCATGACGCTCGCGGGCGTGTCGTTGCGCACGGAGAGGACGAGAGCGGACATCATTTTGCGCTGGATGGGGTGTTAGTTTGGGCCACTGTTGGACGAGCGGGGGGAATAGCGTACGATTTGGTGTAGCATGAAGCTCTGGCCGTGCAGCGTAACGGCGATCCATTCCGTGTCACCGTATACAACAGGATCTGCGATCTACAAACAGACAATGGTCAGCTCCAGACAAGTGCGCACCAAGAAAAACCGGGCATCGCGACCACCCGCGCCTCACGCACCTCAATCTTCTTCATATATCGCATACAGCTCCGGTCCTGGAACGTCCTTCCAACCGTGAAATTGTGAAAGTTATGCGTCCCCTCGAACTTCTCCGCCGTCCTCCTCAACGCCTCCAGCTTGTCCGACGGTAGCCGCCAAAGGCGCTTGCGCTGCATCTCCGTCTCCGGATCGTCCTCGGTGTGCCCCTGCCAGAAGGGGTGGTCGAGCGCGGGCACGGGCGCGTCCTCGCAAAATTGTTGGAGGTTGGTGTGGTTGCCCGTGCCAGGTTTCGGCGGGATGAGCATGTAGGAGGGGAAGAAGTAGGTGTATTTGCGGCTGTCGCACATCCTGTAGAGGGTTAGAGGGGACGCGAAAGGGTATGAAGCTTGCTCTACTCACTGCCGTGCCTCGAAGGAGTTGGTGACGCGGGTCTAGGGAAGAAGTGAGTGACGAAGGTCCTGGAGGCGAGGGGAACTGCACGCACGAATCCCCACATCCGTATCTGCGGCGGGAGCTCTTCATTGACGCGCGCGACGAGGTCTGGTACGCCCGGGATCGCTGTGATGAGCTTTAGGGAGACGAGGTTGCCCGCTGCATGCACTCCCGCATCGGTACGCGCTGCGCGCTTCAGGCCGACCTGCAACCCATGTTGGCTCCTGCGTGCATTGTTCCCTCCCCGCACGCACCTTCACCGGATCGTCCGAGTTATCCCTCGACACTGCACCTACGCGCACGAACGCGTCGAACAGCTCGTTCTCGATAGTCTTCGCCGGGGGCTTCTGGCTATGTAGCACAGCGTAAGCGATCTTTCCTCGACGCAGGAGCAAGGGGGACAGCACGCACATCTGCATCCCATTGTACCCCGAGCCGCAGAACCCAATAAGCACCGCGCACATACGCTTCGGCAGGCGCGGCGCCTTCTCGCGCGGCTCGCCGTCCTCGGTAGCGTCCTCTGCGCGCGTCCCCCTGCGCCGGTCAGTCCACGGCTGTCTACCGTCCTTGTCCTTGTCCTTCCCCTTGTCCTTGCGCTTGTCTGCCTTGCGTTGGGAGCGCTTCGAGTTGGGATCGGGCGCGCGCTTGATCGGGCCCTGCGCGCCACTGGACGAGGCGACAGGTTCCTCCGTCGTTGGTGTTGCTGTCTGGGCCACTGGTGTTGTATCTGCACCCGCCGCCGGTTTTGGCGCGTCCTCCGCCGACGCAGGCCCGGGGGACACCTCCCCCTCTATTTTCGGGCGTTTTGCGAGGGGGGCTTCCTCGTCAGCGGCGCGCTTGATTGCTGTGGACATCAGGATGCGGTGTAGAGGTGGTGGTCTTCGTGGTGTATATACAGGGCCCGTCCGAGCCAGCAGCGACCGTCTCAAGAGCAGACCGCGAAGCATGAGAAATGGTCTGGAGATCGCAGGCGCGACAGGCGGCCCGGTCGATCACTTGGGCTGCTTTCCGCCCTCACGAAGTCGACATCGAGCTCGGGCTCATCTGTGCTGGATCGCGGACGCGCATCGACTGCCTCATACCTTCGTGCTCGAGCATCGCTGTACCCCACCAAGGTCGCTTGTCGATCCCTCTCCGAAGTGGCATGGGATTTCACGGGGCTCAACGTCGATCACTGCCTCCTCATTGCATGAACCTGTGCTCCCTCAGGACCACGATCTTCGCCAACCAGCCAATCCTTGACTCTGCGGCCCAGCTCTAGGTTTTTCAAGTCCTCAGCTGACTTCGCATCTTGAGTCCCACGCCTTGGATTATCTCTATCAATCGTCGCCGAAGGTACACCGCCCGGGGGCCGTCATGACGCTCGTGCTTGCCCTCAGACCTCTGGGCTCCTCAAGCCTCAGCTGCGTCGCCCTCGTGCTGCTTGATGTCGATAGCCTCTGACGACATCTCTCATCCTGCCCTGCGTGCACCTCACTGCGCTTTATCCTCTGCGAAACATGCGAAGGTCATCGGTCCTACTCCCTGTGTGCACACGCTTCCTCAAGCATCAGTCATCTGCACACGATTTGTTGCGAGAGAAGCGGCTCTTACCGACGTCCAGCCCCATGTCCTCGCATTCTAAGCCTTCCACGCCAGCTGACTACGTCGTAGAAGGGCCGCAGCGCAGCAAGTCCATCCTAGTTCAAAGATCCTTTAGCGGCTTCAAGGCGGTGAAGGCTTCCTTTCATATCGCCACCATTCAATCCAGCCTATCGTTAGTGTCAATCAAGTCGTAAGACTGCTTGGATTGGCTGCCTTCATAGTTGATCAGATTCAGAGGCCTTGCCCACACATTCGCTGGCCCTCACTCAATCACGAAGTGTACGACATCTGAAAAAGCGTAGACCTCGATTATGGGTACATTTTCCATGGTCATTCAAGAAGAAGGCGTGCGTGCCACAGCCTGAGGTAGCCGTTGTAGAACCACATCCCAAAATTGCCAAATAAGGATCGAAAACGGTTCGACTTTTGACCCCGCGGTGGGTCTGGGGAAGAGGATCCGATGCCGACAGATCTTCTCCCCGCGCCCAGACTGAGGCGGCCGGCACCGCCAAGTGCTCGACACCGGCCACCCCAGACACTGGCGGGACCTCGACCCCGGCGCCGCCCCCCACAGGGGCCGCCTCCGCACACCCTCGCGGGTGTGGAGGGACGATGACGAGCGACACGAAAGCGCGCCGCCCACGCCTTTGACGACCCCGCCTCGGGGCAAAATTTACGGGGCGCTGGCTGGTGCGCGGCACCACCGGCGGCAGCGTTCGTTGGAGCGAGCCAGGAGCGAGCGGTGCGGCGGATGATGTAGAAATGCAATTCGGGGTGGCGGCCCGCGCTAACATAACCGGAGATGTCGCGGGGATATATAAGCGCGTTCCTCGCGCGCCGGCTGCTCACCCGCCTCCCCCTCCCCCTCCCTCCCCCAACGCTTCACATCACTCTATAGACTTATCATGGCCGGATACCCCGAAAACCCGCTGTTCTTCGGGCTGGACCTGTCGACGCAGCAGCTCAAGGGCGTCCTGATCTCCCAGGATGCCTGCGTCGTGCACGAATCATGCGTCCACTTTGAATCCGACCTTGCCCACTACGGCACCGTAAAGGGTGCCATACCGGGGCCAAACGGCGAGGCTACTTCCCCCGTCGCGATGTGGCTCGAGGCGTACGATCTCCTCTTGACCCGCATGCGCGCCGCCGGCGTCGACTTTGGCTCCATCGTCGCCATCTCTGGGTCTGGTCAGGTGTGTACTTGTTTTACACACTTCTCTTACCTTTTTGCTGACGAATTGGTAGCAACACGGCTCCGTGTACTGGTCTGCCGACGGCGAAAAGCTGCTCAGCACGCTCGACGCCGCCAAGCCGCTGACCCAGCTCGCTCCCGGCGCTTTCGCATGGCAGCGGGCTCCCATCTGGCAGGACTCCTCGACGACTCGCGAATGCCGCGAGCTCGAGGAAGCCGCCGGTGGTGCTCAACAGCTCGCTGACTTGACGGGTAGCCGCGGATACGAGCGCTTTACTGGCCCTCAGATCAAGAAGGTTCGTATCTAACTAGATCGTGTTTTTCCTCCAGCTAATTCATCCCCTCAGCTTCGCCGCGTAGACCCCGCTACCTACGCCGCCAGTGCCCGCATCTCTCTTGTCTCCTCGTTCATGCACTCGGTGTTCTTGGGCCACATCGGCCCCATCGAGATCTCGGACGCGAGCGGCATGAACCTCATGAACGTCCTCACCTGCAAGTGGGAGGACAAGCTGCTCGAAGCTGCCGGCGGTCCCGAGCTCCGCGCGAAGCTCGGCCCCGAGCCCGTCCCAGGCGGTACGACCCTCGGCAAGATTGACCGCTACTGGGTCGAGCGCTGGGGATTCAACCCCGAGTGCATCATCGCGCCCACCACGGGCGACAACCCCGCGACCGTCATCGGCCTCTCCGCCCCCGGTGACGCCATCCTCTCCCTCGGCACCTCGACGACGTTCCTGCTCTCCATCCCGCCGTCGGATACGCCGCCCAAGCGCTTCACGACCTCGCACATCCTCACGCACCCCACCACGCTCGACTCGCACATCGCGATGTTATGCTACAAGAACGGCGGGCTCGCGCGCGAGCAGGTGCGCGATCGCGCGGCGGAGGCGGACTGGGCGAAGTACAACCAGCTTGTCGAGGCGCGGCCCGCGGGCAATAACGGCGATTTCGGCTTCTACTTCCCCCTCCCCGAGATCATCCCGCCCAACGTGCTCGGCGAGTTCTTCTACCACCTTGCGCCGGGCGCGTCGCACCCGGAGCCCGTAGAGTCGATCGCACGCGAGGCCGCACCCCGCGCCGTCGTCGAGTCCCAGTTCCTCTCCATCCTTTCCCGCATCGCCGCCATCCTTCCCGCGAACGCGCCACCCCTCCAGCGCCTCGTCATCTCCGGCGGCTCGTCCGCGAACCCGGTCATCCGGCAGCTCGCTGCCGACGTGTTCGGGATGAAGGTGTACGTGTCGTCGACGAAGGAGGCTGCAGCCCTCGGCGCGTCTCTGCTCGCCAAGTACGCGTGGTGGAAGGGCCTCAACGAGGGCGAGGGCACGTTCGAGGAGATGAGCGGTGGTGAGGTGCCGGGCATGAAGTGCGTCGCGGAGCCGAACCAGGAGACGCACAAGGTGTACACGAACCTTGTGGATGCCTACCGCTGGTGCGAGGCCGACGTCGTGCGCAAGGGCACGATCCCGGCATGAACGATACGGTCTACGCTGTTTGCTTTGCTTCATCCATCTCACCTTCTTCCTTCCTTTCACACATAGATGCGCATCTGCTATTACTACTTATCATCTGGGTTCGCTAATGGACGACTAACACATCACCACACTACCACCACATTGTATCCCTGCTGCTATCCTTTGTACTCCTCGCATCCCCCTTCGCATCCTTGCTTCACTACCCTCCGCATCTACGCTTTACATCCTAGTACTTACCCCGGGCCTATTGGCTATGGTGAACCCCTGTACTAATCCTTGCTACTCGGTACTGACAGTACCTACTGACCCCGGGCCTCACGGCTTTGGTGACAATGAAATGTTTATAACTGCAGCTTCGTCTGATCCTTCGAACTCAAGTCACAAACCATCAGGCATCGTTCTGGACTTGTTTGCTGGCTTGCAGCGCGATCTCGATGGCCCCCTTGACTTCACCGTCGCCCGTCCGTATACCTTTCCTTCCTGCTCACACTCATCTTTCGACGATAAATATGCCATTGAAATAACAGAACTTTAGACACCATATATGCGAGACAAGATACCAGTAATGTCTACACAAAGCCAGACAGCGTCGACCGACTTGGAACATAAACAAGAGAGATGAAGGAGAAAATTGTGCATAGGAGGGCATGGAGAGAGCATCGAGGTGCTAGGGAAGCTTGTACTTGCAGTTGTTAGAAAACAGTGTACGATGAAGGCACGACGCAAACACGAAGTAAGGCGTACGGTACCAGTGCAGGTGCACGGGACGGATGCGTTATACGGCGCGAGAAGCGTATGTATGCAGGGAGTTCGGAATTGAGGGAAGGTCCATTGGGTTGCGCAAAACGTGTGTGGTTGGAAGTCCAGAGGGTGCAGAGCATTGATAACAAGGTGACGCAAAGGCAGGGTCCAGGAGATCGAGAACGCGGTAGTACAGGGGAAAGGGTATAGGCAACACCTGATCGTCTAAAGATCGTACATGCAAATTGTCGATTTGGAGGAGTAAGGAAAAGACGCGGTAATATGGGTTGGCAGGATTGGAAGGCAGGGGCAAGGACAGGAGCAGAAGAAAGCGTCGAGGAAACGCAGGGCGGAAGGGCATCTAAACCGCCAGCCTCGGCGCCCTGCTCCTCTCAAACTCCCTATTCCGCTGCCTCTGCATCCGCACCTGCTCCATCATCTGCCTTCCCACCGGCGACATCTCCGACGACGACGCCGGGGACGCAGGCTCGACGACGGGCGCCCGGAACGCCGCGGGCGTCACCGCCGCGCGATGCAGCGAGTAGCGCATCGGCGTCGAGGGGAGCTCGGCTTGGACGGATAGGCCACCCTGCGCGCCCAAGCCGGACCCGAGACCCATTGTGGCCTTTTTGGTCGGCGAGACGGGGATACCGCTGGGGCTCATGGGGATGCCACTGCTGGTCTTCCTCTTGGTCGGTGAGGCCGGGACCGCGTTCTCGGAGTAGAAGGGCGCGTTCTCCTTGGAGGCCTTCTTGGGAGAGCCGGCCTTCTTCGGCGAGCCGGGTGCGGTGGAGCGCTTCTTGGGCGAGGAGGGGATGGCGCGGATGGTCATGTCGTTCTCGGCGGGCGTCTCCTTAAGCTCAGGAAGGGCAGTCGTGGACTGAGTGAAGACTTTCTTGGACTCAGCGAGGGTGGTCTTTGACTCGGTAAAGGTCTTTTTGGACTCGACGGCCGCCTTCTTGACCTTAGCCGGCTGCCCATTCTCGCACTCGCCGAGGTCACGGCGCGGCGGCCGCTCGACGAGGACGCAGTCCACAAGGCTCGTGTTCGACAGGACGTCGGAGGCGATGGAGCTGATGCGCTGGGCAGGACGACGACGCTCGGGGATACGCGTGAAGGCCTCCGAGGAGCGGCGGGAGGAGCGGTCGGTGGAGTCGGACGCAGCACGACGGTCTGCGCCAGGGATGCGAGACTCAGGAGCACGGTACTCGAGCCCACCAGGGCGACGCTTGGAGTCGGCCGAACGACGCTCAGAGGAGACGCGGCGCTCACGCTCATGAGAGACACGACGCTCACGCTCCGAAGAAACACGCCGCTCGCGCTGAGCAGCGCTGCCCCTTTCCGTGAGCGGCCTCGGGCGCGAAACATGGTCCCGTCCCGAGTGCGACTTGCGCCTGCGATCCCTCGGTCCGCGCGGAATGCGCGACTGGTTCGGCGTCGCGTCCATCTCATGCCCGGGCGTCGGTGCAGTGACAATGACCTTCGTCGGCGCGTTCAGGATGACCTTAACCTTCTGCGCCTTGGCCACATGCGGCTCCTCCGAGTCCATGGTCGTGTTGCCTAGTGAGCTCGCCGTCTGCGTGCGGTGGCGGTCCTGCCCGGGCGTCGTCGGGCGATCGACGCTAGCGTGCTTGCCGTGCGCGTTTGCAGCGCCAAGGTACGTCTTGTCCGAGCCCGACGATTTGCCCGAGGAGTGCGTGCGGTGGCGCGAGTGGGAACGCGAGCGCGAGCGGGAGTGTGCGCGCTTGAAGAAGTCGGTAATCGCGTTGGTGTTGCTGTGGGTATCGTCGGAGTTGGGTGTCGCGAAGCGTTTCGAGAAGGAAGAGATGGAAGTGTGCGTGCGGCCTTTGCGGCTCGTTGGGCGCGCTTCCTCGTGGCCGTCATCGGAGGGCGAGCTGAAGTAACTGGGCAGCTGCGGGAGGCCCTTATCATTGCCTTTGGCCGAGTTGGCAGCGTCCAGGGTCTGAGACCTGCGCTTCTCAGTGATGAAGCCAAAAATCTGGGAGGCGCGCTGAGGGGTCTTGGGGTCCGCGTTCTGGTAGGGGCTGTGGTCATCAACGGAGGGAGCGCCTGACGCGCTCGCCTCAACGGCCATAGAGTTGATAGTCGGGTACGTTTCGGTCGTGGTCATCGACGTATCGTTGCTACGGTTGTAGTATGCGGAGATGTTAAAGGAGGGCTCGTCGGAGAAAGAGTGAGGTCGTGAATGATCGTCGGGGACACGGAACTTGGGGTCCGGGAAGCGGAAGTCGGGGTTGATGGGCGTCTGAAGCTCGGGGGACGATGCGGCACTAGTAGGGGAGTCTGCACGCTCACTAAAGGACATTCGTCAGCATATAGTTGGGGTAATTTGAGTTGCACCTACCCAAGGTAGCGCTCTGCCCAGGAAATGTCACCCTCCCTCGACTTGTTCTCGCCGCCCATCTCATCGCCCAGAAGCTGCCGCAGCGTGGAGCCGCTCCGCCGAACCTGTGCACGCTCGCCCGAATGAACCTTCTCCGGGGAACCTTCAGAGAAAGCCTTGTTCGAGATCTGGCCGTGCTCGTCGTAAAGATCGAGCAGACTGTTGATGGAGGGATCAGAGCGGAGGCGCAAAAGGCGGTTCTTCTTGTCGGGGCTGTCGTTCTCGGGCTTGAGCTCGCGGTTGTCGCGCAGGACGGTAGCGACGTCGGTGGATGCGGAACGGGTGCGAGTGTGGACCTTGACGGAGTACGTGCTGCGTTGCGAGGCTACGCTGGAGATGCTGGCAGAGGAGGCTGCGGGCGGGGCGATGACGTTGTTAATGGGATGCGCTGTTCGCTGTCAGTCATTGACATGGGAAGTACGCAGGAAGTACTCACGGATAGGCGGGAGCGATGCATAATCCAACTCACTGACCACTTCAAAGCGACGAGAGGACGAGCGGAGAAGGCGGCTGGCGACAGCCTCCTGCTCGCTGTCCTCGTCGTTCCCCTCCGCGATGGGCGTCAAGGTCACCGCTGGCTGTTCTTCCACGCTGGGCGTCGGCGGGACATCCTCGTTGCTGTTCGTGTCGTGTTTGCTGTTTTTCTTGCTTTTCTTGCTGAAGAGGCGTTTGAGGAAACCCATGGTGTCGGTCGTCGCGCGGCGAGAACGGCGTGGTTCAGGAGGAAATGGAAACCGAACTTTGACCTGGGAAAGTCACGTGGATGAGAAGTTCCCGCGCTCCGGTCACGTTGCCGCGACAACCCGGTCCGTTGCGCCGCGCCACCGACGACCGGCCATGTTCATTTGGCGGGAATTCGGAAAACAATTACGACCTGACTCTTACGGCCATGACCTCCCTCACGAGCCTGAGGATGATGAACACGGAGCTCATTGAGAACACGGGGAGCACTACGCGCGATTTCCTCATGCTTGAACGGAATATTCTTTCTCACTTGAAGCTCGCCGTCCTCCTCGCCTTGGTCTCTTGGTCTGTCCTCCTGCATGCACGTCTCGTACCCCTCGGAGGAACAGGAGACTACAAGCCGGATACAAGTCACCACGACGCGCGCTCACTTGCCCTGGGCTCGGTGCAGTTCCTTGCCGCGCTCCTGACTATCGTCGCAGGGGGCATCGAGTTCCACAAAGGCTACCAAGACTTGCGGAATACACGACCATTTCTCGAGGCCCCCAAGTGCGTAGTATACCGCTTTTACCCGTATGCTGAACCTTATATGGCTTAGGATGCACTTATGCATCATTCTCATACCTGCCACCGTCGTCTTTGCGACATGCATAGCCTTGCTTGTGGATGACGACCTGCTCTGAGGTACGACATCGAGAACACAACCCATTCAAACTCAGCTCATGTCTATATAGGTCTTTTCGTCCATGTAAATTATCGTAAAATCGCCTTCACTAGTCCAGTCTTACGTCTACTCGTGGACCGTCGCACATGTCATGTTGTCGTGCTATTTTGCACTGCTTTGTACACACATACCCTATATCAGCCATGCAGGCCATAATACAAACACACTGGATCACCGACGCTCACGGAGGCTGCAGGGTTACGATGGCTGGCTTGTTCAGCCCCTTACAAGCACTCCGATATTCTCCAGTTCGCGAATCGCTACTAGTACTGATGAGAGTCAAACTTGGCGCGAAAGAAAACTTAAGAGCAGCTGCGGCTTCAAGGGCATGCAATTCGTTCCATCGTCAAAGTCACGTCTCGTGTACGGAGATGCAACGACAGTACGCGTCCATTGTGGCGTAGCACATAACTTAGACTATTATCGTACAAGGTAGACGTGCATGCAAGCGCTGTATATCTATGAGATAGCTCGGCAATGCATTCACATTCACGCGGGTTGCCGCACGACGTTGTATATATTAAAGCTCAAGCTTCGAAAGGGATCAGTGGCATATCTCGAGTGGAAGTTGAACAATGCTCACCAGAAGACAAAGATGAATGCGCCGTAGATGGCGAGAAGCAACGAGCCCAAGCGCAGTGTCGGGTTCGCGTCCTCGTCGTTGCGCGAGATCTACGCAGGTTCATCAGCACTCTGGAACGTACGCAAAGCCCAAGGTCTACACTACCCACCTTCCAGTAGAACAACCCCGGCAAGATGAAAGAAATCGTCGTCGACCCCGTCGAGCCCACAAAAGACAACACCATCTGCAAATCATCCACCGCATACGCAATCACAAACCCGCTCGCAATAATCGCCGTCGTCAGCACCGCATGCTTAAGCGGCGTCATCTCGCCCCCCGCGTGGTCCGGGTCCTCCTCATCTCCCTCGCCCTCCTCTCCGACCGCCTTCACCGGCGCATGCTCGCCCGCGTGGAACACCTTATCCAAGCAGTTCCTGCACGGGTGCACCTGCAGCGGGTACGAGAAGAGCACCATGATGACGATCGCGAGCTGCCCGACAGCGACGAAAAGGGAGGTGGAGGGGTACATCGCGATGATGTTCGCGCCGACGTTGGAGCCGAAGGTGAGGTAGCCGAAAATGGCGATGATCTCGTAGGTGAGGACGGCGGCGCCGATGGAGGAGCCGACGACGATGTTCATGCGCGGCTGGCTGTTCGTGGTGAGCTCGTTGTAGAGGGGGAAGAGCTGTGTGATTTGGTGAGAAGGGGACATTGCACGCATGAGAGGCAAACGTACGTTCTGCGCGCAAGTAAAGGCGAAGACCTGCACAGGGAAGGTGGAGACGAAGCTCGGCGTGAAGTGTATTAGCGAGACGTCGCCCTTGGGTGGCATATCCTCGAGCGGCTTGAAGTATACAGTGATGACGATGACCACGAGGTAAGCTGCGCGGTGGTTGAGCGGTGATACTTCCCATAAACAGATATAACCCACCAACTGAGAACAGCGCGATATAGCTCGTATGCCGCAAGCTATCCAGATGGCGCAGGAAGGCCAGGGGCACTAGGACAATCATGAACAGCGTAATCCAATTCCTGCCAGACAATGCCCACAGCGGCGGCTCCGTATCCGAGATGTCATGGTACAGAGACGCGACGACCTTGGGCATGAGGCCCTTAACAATGATGAGGTAGCTGCGTGAGGAGATGAGTAGTGAGATGGCGTGCTTTGCATGAAGAGCTGATGAGGCGCGCACCTGACGGAGACACCGAAGCACTTGATAGCGATGGCAGCGTCGAAGAAGACGGCTGCGCGGGGGAAGGTCATCTGCGCGACGGCGAAGAAGGAGGAGCGCCGGTGAGGTGTCTTGGTGGCGCAGAGGGAGAGGAGGTAGAGGCCGAAGGCGGCGACTGAGCCAGAGAAGATACAGGTGATAATGCCTGGTATAATTCCAGCAGAGGCCATGGCCTATGGCAGGGGAGGTGAGCAGGTTATGAGGGATGTACGAGGGTGTTATTGCGCACCAAGGGGAAGGTGAGCATGCCTGGTCATCGCTGGTCAGCAACTAGAGGGGTATACTGGACTGTAACCCACATACCACTACCGATGATCGTGTTCGAGAGGTTGCTCACACAGCTGACGAGCGTCGCATGCCCTTGCCGCTTGGCAGGCGCCTGTGGCGCGCCACCGAGCAGCGCATCCGACTCGCCCGTCCCCGCGCCCTCGCCGCGGGGGTCGTGCTGTGAGCCACTCGCGCCGTACGTCTGCACCATCTCTTCCGAATCGTCTGGTTCAGACTCCGTTAGATGAAAGCGGGAGGCAGCGTCCGTGTCTGAGTCAGCGCGTGGCAGAGGAAGGAGAGAATAGCCGGATTCGGGCTTTGGGCGGTAAGATAACAGCCAGTGGAAGATGCCGAGGCGAGGGGCGGCCACTGTAGAGTGTTATATACGTGGCGAGAGAGGTCGCCTCGTTGCTGGTGGCCGTGTAGGGTGTGGGGAGATGCGAGGCGGGGTGCTCGACGTCGTGGGGGACGATGGCGGATGGTTGCTACAATGATCCGGGTGGCGCGGGACGGGCGGAGCTTGCCGATACGTAAGTTGCAAGGAGCATGCCCAGCTCTTCAGTAATCTTCGCCGCTCTGCGCTCCTTATACGAGGGAACTACAAGGGAAGAGAGGAGGAAACGATACAGGGGGTGGAAAATCGAGCGGCTGCAAATGCGAGCCGTCTCTTCGCTACAGTGGCACAAATAGAAGCAAATACGCCGGTGCGTGTTCAAGTTCAGCTGGCCAAGGCAAAGCGATCGTCCAACTGCCCACCGGCTCCCTCGGCCCATCTTGAGAGTATGCAAAGGATGGGCGAACGCCAGCAGCGATGAAGATGGGAGGAAGAGAGAGATTGCGTTCCTACGGTTGACGCAGCTGAAGAAGCCCATTGAATGTGTCTAGAACCTACTCTGCATAATAGACAAGCTGCGGTCTGAAGATCGCTGGAATGTGAACGCCCTCAAACGTGCATCGATTCAGTAATGTGAGTAGGTGCGAAGGGAGATACAGAAGACGATAGTGGATGCAGACCAAGGGTAGCCATACGTCGACGGCTACTTAGCTCTTTGTCTTCGGAGGCCCAAAGAAATTCATGATCTTCCCCTGCTGCCCCTTCCCCTTCGCTGGCGCCTTCTTCGGCTTCGGCTTGTCCTCCTTGGGTTTCTCCTTGGTCTCTTTTGTCGGCTTCTCCTCTTTGACCTCCTTCGCCTTCGACTTCTTCGGTGGTCCTGTCTTCTCGACCTCCACGACGTCTTCCTCTCCCGACGTTTCCTGCGCCTTCGCTTTTGCCTTGCCCTTGCCTTTCGGTTGGGGCTTCTCTGCTTCTGACGCAGGCTCCCCTTCATCCTCGGATACGGACTCGTAAGACGAGTAGTCTTCTTTGACTGCAACAGGCGCGTCAGCAATGGAATGCGTCCTTATAAGACCTAACACCCACCCATATACCCCTTCGCATCCACCGTCGAACGCGAGCGCATTACACGCCGCTTCTTTAGCCCATTGCGCCCGAGCGGTATATCCTTCTTCGACTTGCGCTTCTTCCGCGTCGTCTTGTCCAGCGCATGTCCCATGTCGACGTCCGACTCGTCATCCTCATCCTCTCGGGCGAGCAAGTCATCGTCAGGCTCGGACTGCGCGGGCTCGGAGTCGGGAACATGCGGCGGGGGCGTGGTGTCTGCTTCGTCCGAGTCCTCATCGACGTCGATGGCGCGGGCTTTGCCTTTTTGCAGGCGGCTGACGCGGATGACTTCGTCTGAGGGAAAGTAACATCAGCAAAGTGCGCAGTGACAACGAAAGTCTGTAGAAAGCGAAAACATGTACGAGACAAGCGCAAAAACAATGAAAACACACCATCATCAATATCCATCATCTTCTCCAATTCCCGCTTGCGCTCATCGTCCGAGTCCACCACATTCTTTCGTCTTGAGGGCTTCGTCGGGGCCTCATCCTCATCTTCCTCGTCCGAGTCCAGCACACGACGGTTGCGCAGACGGCCACCTTGTGGTCTCGGCGCCGCTGCCTCAGAGTTGGAGGTCTTTGCCTCCTTCTCCGCATCCGCCCTCGCCTGCCTCTCTTTCTCCGACTTCTCCTGCGCCTCTTTCACCTTATCCGCCAACTTTTTCTTGCCCCTCGGCGGGCCGACCTTCGTCGAGTTCTGCCCATCCTTGGAGGACGAGGCAGAGGGTTTGGCGGCGTCGCTGTCATCGTCAGACACTTTCATGGCGTTGGACTTGCGTTTTGTGCCGCGCTGTGAAGTAGTAAGTAAGTTATCGCGCGTGGTGAACTGAAAGAGACAGACCTTGACCTCAGCAGCCATCGCCTTATTCGACTTCCTCTTGCCGTCCTCGGAGTCTGACTCCTCCTCCTCCTCCTCCCTCGCTGCAGCCTTCTCCTCGTCTGCCCTCTTTGAGTCCGACTTCAGCACTGTCGGCTCGGCCTTCTTGACCGCTGGCTCAGCTGCCTTCTTCGCTGCAGGTTCAGCTGCCTTCTTCGCTGCAGGCTCAGCTGCCTTCTTCCCTGCCGGCTCAGCCGTCTTCTTCACCCCAGGCTCCTTCGCCTTCTTCCCCGCCCCCGCCGGCGCCGCGAAGAAGTTCACCTTCTTCGGTTTGCTCTCCTCCTTGGGTTCCTCAGCCTTCTTCTTGTCGTCGGTGTCCGCCCGCTTCTTGAACTCGATCTTCCCGCTGGGCTTGGGCTTCGCCTTGTCGTCCTTCGAGGGGTTCGCTTTGTCGTCCTTGGATGAGCTCGCATCCGCCTTCTTCCCCTCATCCTTCTTCTCGTCCTCCTTCGCCTTCAGCTTAGGCTTCAACCCTGGTGCGGAGCGCGCGTTGGCCTTGGATTTGGCTGGTGCGACGGCGGGGGTGTCTTTGATGGGTGGGGCCTGCAGGAAGAGGTCAGCATAATCAGAACAAGGGAGAAGGAAGCCGGGCGTGTGGAGAGGAACATATTGCAGTACATGACAGTAGTAGGTATGAGGAATGAGTGTCGATTATGGGTATGGAAGAGGGAATGTGATGATGCGTATACGCACATCCTTCACGGCCTGGCTGATAATCCTGCCAACGGACTCGGCGAATGCGTGATCCTTCTCCGCGTCGATCTTGCGCACGACTTCCGCGGTGGGTGTGGTGAGAAGGCCTGCGTCCTGTGATGGGGCATGAGCACGAATGGTCCCTCGCGCGCGAAGCACAGAGCACGAGGAGAACGCACATGAATCGCCGCCGGAGACAAACTATACACATGCACGGCCTGTACGCGCACAAATTGCCTCTTCACTTCTACACAAACAATCCATTCTCGTCAGCCACCACATCTCATGCAACTCAGCGGGGCTCGCGCACCTTCCAAATCCCCTTCCCTCGCCAGTATCATGGCGAACTCCTCCGCGTCCTCAGCGTCGTCGTCGCTAAAGCCATCGTCTTCTTGCTCCTCTGGTGTGTCGATGTCCATAGTATCGTCGTACTCTGACTTCCGGACGCGCGCGATCGGGCCACTGACGAGGTAGGTTGCCACGGGTGTGGTGGGGTACTTGGCGCCGTCGGCGTGGTAGCGGGCGAGTTCACTAGCAAAACGCATGTCAGACCAGTTTGAGAGCAGATATGCGCATAACCCACTTCTTCGCCGCATTAACATGAATGCTCAGCGCGCGGCTGAGGGATCGGTAGGTGACCTGGACTTCGGTGTGAACAGATGCGATGAAGGCAAGGTCAAAGTACGGACTATATTCTTCTGCGTATACAGCTGTTTCGTAATGTAGTCCGCTGCCTTGGACTGAGAAGCCATGATTTGGGGCGGAATGAGGAGGTGAAGGTCGGCGTTGACTCTTGACGCGTAGCGTGACGTGCCATTAGCGCGCTTCTGCACGTGATAGTGATGGTAACGCGAGGGTGTCACGCATGTTGAACTTGAACTCGACCCTGAAAGGATTCATCAGCGCTTCTTTGAGTGCTTTCTCCTTGCTGCTTCAGCCTGCTTTTGTGTCAATGAATTTTTGATCCTCAATACTGCCTCCCCTCGTGCCGATCTGTACCATGACTTCGCCTCACTATCCCTCGCCCTCGAATAAAGGTTACCACGCAAGTCTGGCGATCTTTCCGGTCATCGGTTATTGCAGCTGAAGTATGTTCGGCACAGTCTCCAGCAGCAGAATTAAGATCCTCTCTGCTCGATTGACCGTGCATGAGATGAGATGGCCAACAATCCCTAATGCACCTTCACGTATTGCTCTACGAGGCTCACTCGACGGGTCAACTCTGCACGCCCTGTATACTCGGCAAATCTCGAAAGCCTGGATCAGTTCGCGCCTAACTCGCGCTTCTATTGCGTTTCCTGGCGAAGCGCCCACTCTCGCCGGACACAAGGTCTATCTGCTGATGTGTTACCGGGCTGATTACCAACCGTCCGGCGAGGTCGAGGTGGCGTGCTATAGGATCGCGTACGTCAATGCAGGGTTCCCGGCGGGCGCTTTTCTCGCTGGGGAGGCTGGCTCGTATGGTCCTCAGGAAACTTACGTCGTCTAGGCATGGGTGAGGACGTTCAGGCCAGGGGGAGAGGACGAATACCACGGTATACGGACGCCGCGCCATGACCAGAAGGGTTGACGGACTTTCTGCACTCGCGAGAAGGAAAATCTGTCGCGGACGGGGAGTTACGAAGGCATCGGGGTGCAGTTATCGCTGCGCGCCAATCATACCCGGACATGATGCTCGGAACAAGCGTAAAGATAGGACGAAAATTCGAGGTGAGGCTCTGTCAACGTGGCGCGGGCTGCGACGAGGACTCCTACTTGTACACACTGCCTGTTGAGCTGCGATTACCTTTGTGCTGTATGTGTGTCCTGAATGGAATGCCTGTACATCTGAAAGGGATCGCCGAGATGCGCTGAACGCGGCGTGGCCTTGTCGCCGAAGCGGGCAAGACCCCTTTACCCAGGCCCCCTGGGACCGAATGCGGCCTGTTTTCCCACATTACATCTTGCTTCAGCTTGTCCTCCTGCCTCCGTGCCGCGCACACTGCCCATGGCCTGATCCCCCGGGAACGCATCCACAGCCCCCGCTGCTCGATCCCAGACCCCGCATAGAGCATACAAACAAGCCACGCACCGTCGCCAGGCCGCCATGTCCGTCGGTGCGTTCTTGTCCCGAACCCTCACCTGTCCGTGCTCACCTGCTGCCCCAGAGGCACTCTGCTCCCAAGCTCAAGCGCAAAGAACGGCGGACGACATGGCCCCCACTGCGACGCTCCTCTCCGCCGCACCCCGCGCGGACATTCCGGCCGCGCCATCGCAAATAATCATCCTTTCGCCACCTCAACATGCCGCAAGGCAGAACGATTCTGCTCAGGGCCCCGGCTCGACAAGGACATCCTCATCGTCTGGCTCCCCGTCCCCAAATGTCGACGGCACGGCTAGCTCCCCGCAACCTTCGCAGACGGAAGGTGTATCCACGATCGCCTCGTCCGGTTCGACATCACCCACCCAAGAGGTGGATCCCCAGATCCTGGAGGCCCTGAAGAGCAAGGATCGGTTATACGTGCTGAAGCAGGCCGAGCTCATAGAGACTCTCATTTGTGAACGAACGTGGGTCGCGGCCGAAGCTGTTCACTCTGTGCTCGCGTGACCGTGCTAACGGCTTTCCCAGCCCTCGCCGCCTCGAACTGAGCGCATCGAGCAGCTACCAGCGCCTGCTCATTCACCGCTGCTCCGCATACTACAAGGTCCAGCCCGACCACGAATCGGGCGCGAAGACCATCCATGTGTCGCTGACACCTGACAGCCGGATGTGCGTCGTTGTTTTCATCACTCGTCGGTGCTCGACTGACGCACGCTTCAGACCTGGCAAGCGCATCGCCGAGCTGGTGCCGGCTGAGCCCGATGTGCAGCCCACGTTCAAAATCATGCGTCGTTCACCGCTTGATCGACGTAAAACACAGTCGCAGGCGGGGTCGACCGCAGGCGAAGAGCCGGACATGTCTGATTTTGGGGACGCTTCGGAGGGGGGAAGTGTGGGCGGGAAGAGCAATACAACAAGCTCGGGCAAGCGACACATGACGATCGAGGAGCGGGAGGCAGCGTATAATGAAGCGCGCACTCGGATCTTTATGGACTTCGAGGAGAAAGAGCGCATGGCGGGCTCGTCCTCGGCCATGTCGAGCTCGGCGTCTGCTAGCGCTGGTTTGGGTAGCAGCCTTGGTGACTACGATGAGTCGGGAGGCTCTCCTCCCACCGAGAGCGACTGGCCCGCCCCTTCTGCGAGCAGAAAGGACGGCAGACGGAACAACTCATCAAGGTCCATGCGGGGCTCATACAACAACGCCGGGAGCTCTCGCAATTCTCGTGCTCCCTCTCCCTCACAGTCTTTCCAGTACGCAACGCTGTACGAGCAGCCAGCGCCCACTGGGTTTGAGGGCCAAGTGCCCCCTTACAACGGAACGCAATACTACCTTCCGTTCCCTACTCAGCAGCACTACCCGCCGACGTATACCTTCTATCCGCCCTACGCACCATATCACCCACCGCCTCCGACGGTAGAGGAGGGGCAGAACGGCGGCGAAACTTTCCATCACCCGCCAGGCCCGTATCCAGCCCCATACCCCTGGCCGCCCGCGCAAGCCCCGGTGGCCCCGCCCCCGCCGATGGGTATGCAACCGTCGCATTCCAGCTCGTCTACCTTGTCGAACGCTGATCATCCGGCGCCGCCCAATCACGCGTATCAACCGCCATATGTGCCCGTGTTCTATCCAAGCATGGCCTTCCCTCAGTACCCTCCGCCCCCGCCCATGGGGGCGCCCGCGATGATGCAACCGCAGCTGTACGAGCCGCCATCGATGAACGGCCACGGCACGAATGGGAGAAGCACTGGCAACTCGTCCAGTACCAGTCGTTCATCGTCTCGCAGCTCACATCACGGCGGCAAGGGTCGCAACACGCGCACCTGGTCGACCTATGGACCCGATGCAAGGGCGCACGGTCCCGGATACAATTGGAATGGGAACAACAGCGACGCGTTCGGGCCTCGTATGTCGGGGATGCGGCGGCAGTCGAGCCACTCGAGCCACGGCAGCTTGGGGCAGAGTAGATCGTCAGATGAGGTCTCGTCGGTAGCTGTAAGTTTCGGGCACTTTACTCTATCGCATAATCGATGATTGAACCCCACACGCGCAGTCGTCCTCCACGTCATCCTCCTCGCGCCGGACGTACACCTCGACGGCGTCCTCGCAGCCGCCGCACCCGCTGCCCGCGCGCCCGGATTGGGCCGTGGGGCTGAAGCCGGAGCCGACCCTGCATGCGACGGGGAACCAGCGCGTGCAGCCAAGGCCCGTGCCCGTCCTGCAGGCGCAGGACTTCCCGCCGCTTACGACGCAGGCGGTCACGCCGGTTGAGCGGCGCGCCCCTGTTGGCGGCGCGTGGGCGAGCCCGTCGTCGACGCGCTCGGTGATCATGCCGGGAAAGCGCGCGGAGGACGAGCGCAACGGCAAGGAGCCGGACGACGGCAGCAACGCGCTCGCAGGAAAAATGGCGGCTGCATCGCTGGATGACGGCGGCAAGGACGGCGGTGCCGCGCCGCCACCATAGAGTGCGTCGCCATCGTAGGGCGCACCGTTGCTTCGTACAGCGCTGGCTGGAGGCGCCTCGGGGCCTCCTCTTCTTGTGTGTGGTTCTTGCTGTTGTCGTTATCCGCCGTGCTGTCGAACATTGTCGTCGTCTTGTGTGCAGTTCCTATTTACAATAGAGTCGGGGTTGTATCATAATTATCTACATCGTGTACGTAGTCAGGTGTAGAATGAGAGCGGGTGTATCTTGACGGCCGTGCGTGCAAGCTTGAGCAACGGCATGTTGTGGTACGTGGAGGACCCTGTCAATGGGGACGTATCGCACGCTTGAAGAATATTTGACGCGTTGCGGACAGATGCGTACACCTCCGAATCCCCCACATTTCTGCCTTGCCTTCTGCGCTCATCGCAGCCCGTCATCCCAAACATGAGCATCGAAGGTACTGACTCGTCCTCTGGAATCTCAGTAACATATTCACTGACTACCGCAGAACCCCTTTACTCCTCCCCTGGCGGAGACGACCGTCCCGTCATCGCGACTGCTGCGGAACATGAGCTGCGCGAAGCGTTGAAGAAAGTTGGCAGCGAAAACCTAGACGAGCTCGGTATCGCCACCGTCAAGTACCAGCTCGAGAAATGGGCGGCAGCGCAGAAGCAGGCGGACGCGGTATCGTACAATTTGGGCACCAAGTTCGGGGTCGACTTTGACAAGCTGAAGCTGGAGGGGCGGTTGGGGCGGAATCCGGAGAAGGATGCCGAGATCATCGTGGGGGCGGTGAGGGGGCCGGGGCATAAGAACCTGAAGGAGGTGTGGTCCTGGAAGAAGCTGCCGTACGCGGTGAGGTGCGCGGGCTTGGCGCGAAAAGACGAGGATGAGGATGACGAGGGCGAGAGTCGCGGCAAGAAGAAGGCACGCGTCGAAGGGGGCGACGACCTTGTGATTGACCTCGACGAATGGTATATTCAGCCGCTACTCCCTTGCGCGCAGCTCTAACGGCGAACACAGGATCCTACAAAACGAGATTTATCTTCGTAATCTGACTCGCAAAGCGAAGGTCGACAGTCCTGGCAAGGACTGGACTTACGGCTTGGTTAACGGGGACGATTTGTCCACCGTCTTGCCTACCAACGAACCAGTCAAGGTCAGAAGCGACACCGTGGGCCTGGAGATCCCTCGGCAACCCGTCAACGCGCTGCCGGGCTTCTCCTTCCTGGATCTCAAGCGCCGCGATACAGCCTTCGTCCAGCCAAACTCGGCAGCCGTACGCGAGCGCTGGGAGACCATGACCGGCGGCCTTTTCAAGGGCCTCGACTGGACGAACGTCTGCGTGGCCGGCGGCCTCATCCTCGGCGCTCTTCTGACCCCCGACATACCAAAAACTCGAGCTAAAAAGGTCCAACCACACACTCCCGAAGAATGGGCCTCCTCTGACATCGATGTCTACATCTATGGGCTGGGACCAGAAGCTGCAAACGCAAAGATCGCGCACATCGCAGATGTGGTGAAGCGCAACTTGCCAGAGGACGCGCCGTTCCTGCTTGTGCGCAACTCGCAGACGGTGACGTTGTACTCGAACTACCCGACGCGGAGGGTGCAAATTGTGCTCAAGCTAGTGGAGAGCCCGCGCGAGGTGCTGCTGAATTTTGATCTGGATATCTGCGCGGTGGCGTTCGATGGCACGGATGTGTGGATGCTGCCACGGTGTGTGCGGGCCATTGAGAGTAAGCTGACAGCCCGCATGCAGTGTCCTTGTCGCTGATGCGCTCATAGCTGGGACCATCGTCTTCACGATGGACCTCATCGAAGGTCATTATCTAGGCGACCGCAAGGCTTCGCGTGATAAAAGGTATACCCCCTGCCCGTACTCAGGTATCCCGTTCTGAAGCCAGACCAGAGTCTTCAAATACGCCAACAAAGGCTTCGGCTTCCGCATATTGCCCTCCTACCTCGCCGCCCTCTCCACCTACGCCAACAAAGAGGCTACCGCCGTCCACGCGCGCGGGGAGCGGCTCCTCCCGCCGCCATATAACCTTCAGGACATGGCTGACGCCGCGCGCCAGTGGACACGCGAGTGCCTCGACAACTACATCAAGGTGAAGTACGAGAACCGGCCGTTCCACTGGCCGAAGGGCAAGTACAAGCAGGTGGAGTCGAGCAAGCCGGTGTTCACGCACGCGATGCTGGAGAGTCGGGGGCAGCGGACGAGCGAGCCGCTAACGAGGAGCTGTTTGACGGGCTTTTCGTTGCTGATGCGGCATGTGGCGCTGTGGGAGGAGGAGGTGAAGGGGAAGGTTGTGTGAGTTGCTTTTGGGGGCTCGTTTGCCGTTTTGTTACAATGGCGCGAGCGGCTGACGAGGAGAGGCACGGTGCTGACGAGTTCACAGGATCAAGGAGGATCTTTGGGCGGCAGAGACGTATGGCGAGGGCCTTGCAATCGTCGCTTACGACGATACGCCTGCGTGAGTACTACGATGCCCGTCTCGTGCATTGGGATGCTGATACGTCTGTTCCGCAGCTACACATGGGACGAGAACTTTAAACTCGAGGACTTCAAGCAGGCCATCGACGAGTTCAACAAGAAAGAGAGCAAGAACTTCGGCATGCACCTCTACCAGTCGCGCAAAGGCGCTGTCCAGGCTGCGCGTATCACATACGCCGACAACGCGGATGCTCTGCTCGACGCCGAACATGACATCAGAATCCCGCTTTTCCTAGGTGCCAAGTTCAAGGAGTACGCGGAGCGGGTTATCGGGGAGGCCATCAAGGACAACGGGTTCCAGCTCGCCCATCCGGTCCTGCATCAAGTGGAAACGGAGCTGGAGCCACAGTTCGACGCGTACGGCATGCAGCCTGTGCTCTGGCAGCTCGACCGGGTGCTGAACTGGCAGATGGTGGACCGGAGGATTGATGAGTGGGTCTTTTTTGTCGGATACGAACAGTGCTGGTTTATTAATCCACCTATCCCTTCATAGAGTCCGTGAAGCCCTATGGGCATACCACCGCGGCCTGGAGCGCTTGGGGCAGGCAGACGAAACGCTGGGGCAGATGATGCAGACGAACCTGTCGCGGCGCGCTATCAGGACGTCCGTGCCCGACGAGATGGGCTCGTTCGTGCGCTGGGTGGGGAGGAAACCGCATGAGACGAGGCCGTTCATCAATGCGCACTTCGTCTACCAAGAGGAGGGCGTGAGGGACAGCGATTACGAAGAACGTGCGGACGACGATGAGGACGAGTGGTAGGTGGGTAACCTCACGTGGACTGGCGAGGGCATGCGCGATTTCTTGTTTGCTGCCGAGGAGTTGCACCTCGTAGATCTTGTACATTCGGACCTTACTCTACATGCTGCTTGGTAGTATAGTCCAAAGTAGAGACGAGCAGCTATCTGCTTCATTCTGTCCTTGAGCTCACTGTATCATCAGCCTCATAAAGCTGATGATTGAGACCTTGCGCTCGTATTTTGGCACGGACGACATCCATTCTATGTGTACTGCTACAGAAACTCTATGCCGCATAAGTGACCAGAAAGGAAGTCACACGAAATGAATGAAGGGAACGGCTGGCTTGCTCTCCTGGGCAAGGGGCTTGGCATATGTCTGCGATGGGCAGGAACTACCTGAAGCAGGTGGAGGATGCTTCTCGACGAGCTTCCTCGAGGCGCCGACGACTTCCTCAGGACGCCCGACAAGCCGATAGTTTTCTCCGAACTACACAGGGCGTGAGTGCTCCGGCCGCAACCACGGCGATATAGATTATAAATGTGAAGAAAGCGCATACATAACACGAACGATCGAAAGCGAGTGTGCAGCTGTCTAGCGCTGCGTGGGCGATGTCCCTACGCTGGCTGAGGTCCGGGTAGGGTATACCACAGGGCCGGTGAGGCACAGCGCAGGGACTATGAAGTACAGCGCATAGACGGTGGAATACAGTGCTGGTCCGATAGGTCCGGGTAGGGTAACAGGGCAGGGGGGACGACGGGGCTATGCGTAGCGAGGCGAACTCGAGCTCGACGCCGTCTGTCAAGCAAAGGCGTCAGCAAGACCAAGCATACCGGATCCAGCCATCTGAGTCATCGTACCTAGAATCTAGTATCGGTGCAGCAGGCGATCTGCGCCTCCCTCGCGCGCGCCGGCGCCCCCCTCCTCATGGCCTCACGCCGATCCCACGGAGCTTGTGGTCAATCTGTATGATCTTCGCCTCGACCTGCGCGATGCGCTCGAGCTTCGCGTCGTGCAGCTCCTTCAGCATGCGCGTCTGCTCCTCCTTCAGCCGCTTGAACTCGGAGTCGAGCTCGTGGTGCCACGGGTAGAGAACCGTCGTCTGGAAACAGAGGGCGGCGGTGGCGATCGTGAAGTTCAGGTAGGGCAGCAGTTTGTGGGCGGTAGGTCCGAGAGGCATGATGGATGGCTGGTGGTAGGGTGGATGGGTGTGCTGTCGGTGAACTCTGACGAGGGGCGAGGAGGAGCGGCGAACGCGCAGACGCTGCGGGCGACGACGGGAGGGAGGGGGACGATGGGAGTTGACGGAAAGAAGTGGTAAATAAACACGGGGACCGGGTCTCAAAAGGGAGCGTGAATTTGTAGAGAGCGACAAGACGAGGCGGTCCGCCAGCGTCAGCCATTCAGATTATGCAATCTAATCTAATCTATCGCGTGATGAACCATGTGTCTCGCCGGGTTTTCCCGAAGTTCAACTTGGCGGCTCGCCGACAGACGCGCGTATTCTAGGAAATGCATTGAAGGCCTGTAGCATAGCCCGATCAAGTGTCCTTGGGCCGCAGAGGCCCAGAGGTACAGGGAAAAACAACTAGATCATTACTGATTCTGACGGGCCCAGGACCCTATGTGGGAAACAATCAAGCGGTGCCGAAGGGCACATGAACATGATGAAAGCAGTTCCCATGCTGGGTTCGGCAGAAAAGCGCTCTGTTCCGAGATTGCAACGGTGCAGTACTGCTTCACTATGTAGCGCTCTGAGAGCGCTGTCAAAGCTACAGCGACGTGCAATGTATGAATGAGGCATATTAGCCTTGCAGCATGGACTACATGCTGGATTCGTCGTAAAGGTCGTCTGTATGTTTCCAAAGCCGGTCTTTCACCAGTGCCCATGATCTTTCCGCGCGATCAGTGAATGAAGGGCCACGTTCTGCAAGGAGCATGTCTTCGATCGCAAAGAGATCGCGCACGCAGCTGTAGGCTGCTGGCCTAACACACATCCTCAAGGTCATTCTCGCGCCCCTCTTCGTGCGGTAGTAGCTCTGAGAACGCCAGTCGAGATTGCGTGAGGCTTCGCGCGCAGTAATCAACACGGTCCATTGCCCAAAACGCATTCCACGCCCTGGCCATGATCCCTCATGTCTCCGAGCGCCGGTCCTGTTTCCTCATCAGCACGTCCTATGTCCATGAAAGCACGCCCTCGGTCTCCTATAGCACGATCTTTATCTCGCAAAGCACGTCCTGTGTTACTATCCAGAACGGCCTGTATTCCTATCCAGAGCGTCCCGTGTTTCCATCGGGAACGTCCTCTGAACCCATCCAGCACGCCCTGTATCTAGCACTTGATCGTCTCCAGCGTCTTCACCCACTCTACCACCTTCGGATGCACCCGGACCTTGTTCTCGTCAAAATTGAGCACCTGCAGCCCGTCGAGCGATGTCGCACGCGATAGCGCGACATACGCTTGTCCTAGTGAGGCGTTAGTATTGCTCTTTTGAACGACCGGGATGAAGGTTTTATCGACCGGAAGGAGAGGCATGTCGACGGCCATGGAAGTCATGTCGAGAGTGAAGAGTTTGTCGTCGACGGTTATGAAAACTCACCCTTCTCGAACACCTTCCCCAAATCCACCTTGACACGCGGCAACGTCTGCCCCTGCGACTTGTGTATGCTCATAGCCCAGGCCAGAATCAGAGGTAGCTGTATGAACGCGTCATTAACACACCACCCTTGCTCAAACCCCGCGCATGGCAAGCACCCTCGCATGGGCCATGTCAAGCAAAACCCACGCACCTGCGTTCTGCTCGCCTGAATCTCCCCATTCGGCAGTTCGACCTTGAACGTGTCCGGCATGACCAGCATCTCCCGCGTCCCATGCGGCGTGATGAACTCCACGACAGGGTAGCGCTTGCTAGGTACGCCAGCAGTTTGTTTCACCCCAGCTGTATGCCTGTTAGCGCCCCCAGTCGATTGCTTTCTAAAAGCACCCTCACCTTGTTGTTGTTTCTTCTGCATACCCGCTCTTGCGTCCTTCGGATCGTCACTGGTCATATCGCCCGAGTACGTCGCCGGGTCCTCGAAGCGGATGACGCGGCCCATGCTACCGTTCACCAGCGTCTCATCGTAGTTCTTGATGAGCATGACCTGAGCCGTCTCCCGCAGCACAACATCGCGCGGACACATAAAGTTGTTGAGCAATTTCTCGCGCTGGTCGCCCTGTGCGGTGCCGCCCTCGACGGCGCGGAACGTCAAGGGCTCAGACCGGAGCTGGTTCATGCGCCGCCGGTTCGCCATGTCTACGTCTTCTCGGCGGGGGAATCTGATGTTGGTCAGCTCGCGCATTCCTCCTGAAGATGGCCAAACATACAATTCCGTTGCATCGACACCATCCTCGTACGTTACAGGACGCGACAGCGACTTGAACCTGGCGATTGAATGACTTGATAGACGACCGAAACGCATCTCGTTGAGCATGTCGACGAACTCTGTACTGAGTTAGCGTCTGCCTGAAGGGTTGATATATATGGGTACCCTGATCAGTCTGTCGGAAAACCTTGGTGAGGTTGAAGGTGCGCTTGATGGTCTGCTTCCAGAGCGTCGCTTCAAACGCAAACTTCGGCGTTCCAGCCTTAGAGACAGGCGGCAGTTGGAAGAAGTCTCCAGTCACGATGACCTTCGAGAACGTCAGCCTGAGACAAGAGCAAGGACCGGTAATTGCATACCTGGATACCACCAAATGGCTCTGCGCGCTTCCGTAGTAGCTGCCCTATGCGGGCAAGCTTATCGAAGAGGTCACCATCGACCATAGATACTAACATTCGTCAGCATATAGCCAGGTGGATGTAGCACATATACGTACTTTCATCAATGATCAAGACCTTTGTCCTCAGCCAGCGGGTCATGGCTTTCTTGTTCTTCCTTATCTTCGTGGCAAGGTCTTCGGCGGACTCTATGCCCAGTCCAATGCCTCCGAACGAGTGAATGGTAACACCACCGATGTTGCACGCGGCAATGCCTAATTCGCGCATACATGAGCAGATTGTCAGGGTAAAAAGTGGGGTTAACGCACCAGTAGACGCAGTGATAGCTACGGCGTCCGGGATCTTCGAGTACTTCTTCCTCAACGACTTGATGATCTCGCGCAGCAAGACAGACTTTCCGGTACCTGTATCGCTGTCAGTCGAGTATACGCTTGTATATGCGCAGGAAAACGCACCAGCACTACCAGTATAGAAGACACTGTTGCCCTCCTCCACCAGTCTCAGGATCTGGGTCTGCTCATCGCTGAGGAAGACGCCAGCAAGAGCCTTCTTCGACGATCCTGCTGTCGAGGGACCATTGATGCTACGCACACCCGTCGACGTCTTCGCATTTGAGAGCGACTTTGCAGCGTCTTGCCTCCACTGCGATGGCAATTGTCGCGGCTTCTTCGCCGCCGGTGCATCCTCTATCTCAGTGGCGCTCGGGCGCTTGCTGAGATTCGTCGCGCTCGGATCCGCATGAAGAGGAGCCGGCTGCGCATTCCGTCGATCGTCCTGCGACGCTCTCCCACTAAGCGCCTCCTCGATATCCCTCAGCCTCTTCGCGCGCTGCTCGTCCTTCGTGAGAGTCTTGGCTGCGGGAGCTGCCTGCGGCGGTGGCCAGTTGATCGCGCTATCCTGGGTACCCTGCGACCCTGACGAGGATGAGAATTCGCGCTTGAGCGTTCGGAGGCCTGATTGTGCTGTTTTCGACATGGCTGGAGGCGCCGGGGACGACGATGAGGACAAGAGCAAGACGTGTTTCTGCATCCGCGTCCAAACGAAACTAATTTTCTCACGCAACGCGGTCACGAGGGTCGCGAATTCCACGTGCGACTTCAACTGCGAACAATGACATGACTTCTAATTCTACGGGGACTTGCTGCAGCCATCCATTCGTTCAGACGCAGTGTGATAGGTCGTCAGGTCATTAGTATATGAGGTGGGGGGTGAGTATTATAGACTAGTAGATGTACTTTTATAAATAAGCACGCGCGCTCCGCCTCGCCATCTGGGATCACTGGTCAGTTGGACCATGCAAAGAACAGAGCGTCGACTCACCTCGATAATCTTCCAGCCGCCAGTGAGTTCGTTGTCGAGTTCTTCCGGCACCCGAGTGATGGCCGCAGCGTACATGCACTGCTCGACTTTATCCTCGGCACCGACGGCGACCTCGCCGGTCTTGATATTACGGAAGAGCAGGACCTCCTGGGTGGCGAACTGGACGAGGTATACGGGGATGTCGTTGTCCAGGATCTTGCCATCGGAGATCTAGTCACGAGGTCAGAAGGGGCTGTCAAGGAGGTCGGATCGTTCACTCACGTCGACTTGCCGGATGTCAAGCACCTTGCTCTCGCTGACCAGACCCTGCTTCAGGTAGTGCTCCATGGTCGCCCACAAGACATTGTAGGTAGCCTCAGAGCACCAGTCCTTCAGCGCCTTCTGATCCGCGGACAAGTAGGCGTCAACGACCTCCGGTACGATATACTCCCGCAACTCCCGCTCGAATTGCTCGCGGTCGAAAGTAGGGTCTATCGCCTTCATCATCCGCAACACCTGAGCCTGCTCCGTCTCCTCGAACCATGAGCCAATGGTGCTGGTGACTGAGCGCATCGTCGAGACCACTGGGTTCTCCGACTCGTCGTACGCCTGGCGCATGGAGACGAACGAGCGCAGGACAGGGTTCTCCTCCTTCAACCGGTTCCAACGCTCTTGCCGCGGCGAGTCCTTATGCAAGACAAGGGCCTCGCCAGCTTCCGGGTTCTCGGTGACGCGCTTGACGCCTGCACGAGTCAAGCCAGCCTTCTCCAGGCGCTTTTTCCTGCGTAGGCGGCGCGCCTCCTTCTCCTCGAAGCCGGCATGCTTAGCGCTACCACTGTCGTCTAAAGCGTCAACAAGAGTCTCAGCAAAAGTCTTGTAAGCGGCGGTGTTGCGAATGGGTTCGGTAGACTTCTCTATGGTGGAAGAGACGGCGGCAGACGCGCGGGAGATCTGGGGAGGGGATGAGCAACAGCGCCTACTGCACAATGCTTGCACGTACCGCACGCATGACTTCGCTCTCCTCCATGGACTTGAGCGCCTCTCCGACAGCATCACCGACGCTGACGCCAGTCTTCTTGAGCGCATCGGCAGCAGCCCGTAATCGAGGATTCTCCTTGATACTAGTTGTCAACTGCAAACGGTCCAGTCAGCATCCCAAGCGTGCCCAATCACCACCACACAGCGCACCCTTGCCCTCTCATACGCATCCCTCGCCCGCTTCATAGCTTCCGAGTCCTGGAACTTGTCCACGTCTCCCTGCAGCTGCTTCACATTGTCCTGCAGCTCCCGGTTCTTCCGCAGCTCATCCTTCAGCACGTCCACAAACGTCTGGAAGGGGGACTTGGGCGCCTCGTCCCGCCGACTAGAGGACGAGTGAAAGGCCGCGCGGGAGGACGAGTGGAAACCGGAGGAGCTCGGCGCAGCGACTGCTGCTGACCGCGCGGGCCTGGCGCGCGCAGTGGTAGCGACTCGGCGCCCGCTCCGGAGAGCGCTGCGCGCAGCGACGGCCTGAAGGTTGCGGGGCAGCATGGTGGCGAGAAGTAAGGAATGGCGCGCTGACGACTTCGGAACTGCAGCGAATTCACTCGCATTCGCCGGTGATCGAGCTTTGGCCTTGTTTGCGACTTACATAGGGAGTTCCCACGGTCAGTTAGCGCGGTTCTCTAAATACCATTCCTTTTGACCTGGAATAGAGTGCAGGATATGTGAACAGATCCGGAATAACATCACCAGTCTCGTCCAAAGGACAGATCACAGCTGAAGACGAGATCTGACTGTCATGAAGTGCGCGGCTTGGTGGGTCCAAAGGCCCGCAGGTGCTGGCAGCACAATGTCCGAGGCGCTTGGCTCTTTGGTCAGATAGAGATTCAGAGGAATCCTATCAATATATAGTGCACTGGATCCTCTCTTAATTCTGTCTAATGCGTTGGGGTTACTGCAGAAAGGTCACGCTGAAGGATCACGGGACGTGTTCAACTTTCGGCAAAAACCGACCAACTTCGGACTTAGGAAACCCGTACTCCCTTGCCGGGCTATACCTCATGGTTGCTGCAGATAGTCACCTGGCTCTCTATCGATTACATCACTCCAAATTCTACCTGCAGAATACAGAATTCAAGTCACGGCCTTACGCTGCCGAACATGCAGACGCGGACTTCGGCGCTTGGCCGTTGAGCGACCTACTCCCTTCCTGAGCCCTCAGAAGCACATGAGCGCTTTCAGCAAATTCTCCCATAGTAAGAGTGCTGTCGGTCTAGTTCGAAGACCTTCTTGCATCGATACAAGCATCGCACTCTAAATTACTCCCCCTTCAACGGCTTGCAACCTGGCATTTGTGGCAACGCCAACGCGAGCAGCACATTCGACCGCCCTCAGCAGCGTGTCGACTTCTACAACATGATCTTCGGTGCTCGTACCCACTTCATACTCTCACCACTACCACAGTTCAGACTTTATTCCGTCGACCGCGCCCTCCGTGCGGGCATGTACGCCGCCCAACGGAGACAAGCCTGCACAATCTCCGAGCTGAGACTGCCCCTTCCTTGGCCTTCGCATTCTACGGCGCGCAAAGTCCGTCTGTCAGTGATCAGTATAGCAGTGATGTTCCTGTATGTTTTTGAAACCCGGAGGATATCGCTGGGATCTCGGAGGTTCGCATTGGAAGACCGGAATTTGTGAAGATCTGATAGACGCAGCATGATGTGAACGCGCACGGAGATAGCCAGCGACCACACCGAGCAGGCGATCGAATGCCGAGTTGACCAGAGATGGAAGGGAAGTCCCATTATGGCCGTGGAAAGAGGGAGCCCACCGACTCAGTCCACACCACTTTCCTCTCTGACCTCGCAACCTCGAAGAGTGATGACGTCCTGATATCCATTATACAAGTGTAGAAGTGTAGTAAGTTACAAAGCGCTCTAAGTCATGCATAGTACCTATCGTGAAGGGGGCGTACTTTTGAGCGCCGGCCAGCGCAAAGGCTCACGCATATGCGCTCAAGCCCTCGCAAACGGCGGCTTATCCTGCCGCCAACTCGCCCAGGTCTCCTCCGTCGCGACCGATATCCGCTGCTGGATGCTCTTAATGCTATCGAGCGCAGGTCGTACATCAAGGGAGAACACGGGCGAGCCGTCGGGCTCGGGCGGCGCGGAGTAATAGTCGATCACGTAGCGGACCTCCTCGCCGGTCTTGGGGCGGCGGACGATCCAGTCGTGGCGGTCGAAGGGGGGTTCGGTGCTGGGAGGGGTGGGAGGTGAGTATGATGATTGAGTAAGGATGGGATGGGATAGGGAGAAGGAAGAGGATGAAGGGGGAAAGGAAGGGGGAGAGAATGAGGACAACGAAGGGAAGGGGAAGAGACGTACTTGAAGCGCATGGGAAGTAACCACCCGGCAAACATCCATAAGCGCGCCTTTGGTGACATCTGCCCCGGCTTGCCGGTAAATCGCGCAAGTTGGACCTCATCGTCGCTGAGTAGCAGATTCAGCGCCTGAACACTCTCAAGAGCCGCACCCACTCACCCATTCGCCCGCTTCTCCCACTTCAGTACCTCCTCCCACGCCGCCTCGTTCAAGAAATTGTGGATATGCACCATCGTCTCCACATGCTCCTCTGGCGTCTCCCACCCCTTCCTCACCAGCGCATTATAGAACTGCTGCGGCGACGGGTACTCCCACGTCTCCGCCTGGTCCCTCGGGATCGTCGACTGCGTGCGCTCGGTCGGTAACGCCACCGCCTGCGCGGGCGCGGGCGCCTGCGAGAGGCTCGGCATGTTGTTCAGCGGATTCACCGAGTCGTGGTCAATCGGGCACTTCGCAGGCGCGTCCGCTGCTGGAGCCTTCTTCGCGGGGAGCGCGCTGTGGTCGATCGGGCAGCCGCCGGCTTTAGCAGCCTTCATGGCTTCGTGGTCGATGGGGCAGGCGCCCGCGGAGGTGGAAGCGGCGGGGGCGCTGGGGGAGGACGCTGACTGGCCCATAGCGAATCAGGTGCGAGGGATTGCGTGGGGGAGGATGGAAGAGTGCGAGGGGAACGTCTGCGGCGGCGAGCACCGCGGGCAGCCCCGGGCCGAAAACTGAACGTCGCACGTGATCGGTACTTCCCGGGCTCGCAAGTGTTACTCAGCGCCGTCGTCCTCTTCTGCGCCCATCGTCGACGCTACGCTGCTTTGTTTGAGCCTTCGTGCTGCAATGAACGTCAATGAACACGAAGAGTGCCTGCAAGATCTACTTCAGTCTGGCCTACCCCAGCGGATCAGGCTAGCCAAGGGGCATAATGAAGGCCAGGCTACCGACTCATCTCAACTGTCAAGATCCTGCTCCTTCCATATGCGCGTCAACCCACATTCCCTTGGGCCCTCAAGCTAGCCAAAAAGCTGTCCTGACTCGTATCGCGTCCGGGTCTTGCGAGAGATGGTACGATGGGGGCAAGGTCCGGCGAGCGCGCAGGGTATTCTGGGGGGACAGGCCCAAGATATTCTGGGCCCGACGGGAGCTTTCTGAGGGCCGATACGGCCGAAGCAGTACGTCGCATTATTGTTACCATACATAGAAATTCTTCTCGAAGACGCTTTCAGTGACGCTCTCTTCGCGTAGATTTGCCTCCCGTGCCGTGCTTCTGCGATGTCTTTCCCCGTCGCGGTGAGAACGGAAGATCGGTGCACGAATGTTCGCGACGCTCAACTTCCTTCGTGTCGCATTCCACTTCGATCGCGGTGCCTCGGGGATTTTTCTGGTAACACGTGTTATCGTGTGTTTCTCTCCCCGGGGGGAACGGCTGCCGACCCCGCAATCTCCGCCAAGGCACCTGGGCGCGATCGCTGGAGAAAAATACGAATTTACCCCCTTGGCCAGGCTGGCGCCCCAGCCGCGCCTAGCGACGACGACCAATGCTTGGTGGGCGGGAGGGGCGCGGTGGGCGTACCCGCGGCGGTAAGCATCAGCGCCTTGATGCACCCAGGCCAGTCATGATGGCGCCTGCGTGCGCGAATCTGGTTGGAACACCGCTGCGCGCGACCTGGGAAGCAGCCGCATTCAAACGTCTGTCAGCCGCAATCGATGAGCGCGCCTCATTCAGCGCAGACTGAGCCGCAGAATGGCCGCATATACGACCTTGGTGCGCCGCAAGCGCGGTTTCTTTCCAAGCAGCTTGTGCCCGGCGAGCGACAGGGCGGCTGTGGGGCGGGACCACGGGGGCGGGGGCGTAACATGTGGACGGCCAGGTACGCATCGCTCGCTGATCGGGCACGCTTCCTTCATTTCCAACGTTCATTCCGCAGATCGTGCGGGTCTGACCTCTTTCGGAACAACCACGCGCTGAGTCTGTTTTGACAGCCTAGATGCTCACGCGCGCCCTTGAGCAGCGCCTCCAGCTCGGAGACCATCTGGGCGTACGCCAGCGGTGAATGGGATGGTTCCTCTTGGTTTCCGAATTTTTCTGCGGGTCATACAGTCGCAAAGGTACGCGGATGAAACGAGCCTGAACTGTTCCCCCCGCAATCAGGACGGAGACGCGGAGCAGGGTTGGACGAGCGGCAGGCAAGGACGTCTCGCGCGATTGGACGGTGGGTTCGGGGGCAATTGCGGCGATACGGGGATTCCCCCCGGGGGACTGCACCCGCGCTTGGGGGAGGAGGATGGGCTGTGGCGAAAATCGGCCAAGATTGGGCGCGGGGCGCGGAGGCGGGTCCAGCAGCGACTCGTCGCCTCTCGCTCTGCTGGGGGCGGCCCCTGTGTCTGACAGGGCGCGCATGGGTGCATGTGGGGAGGGGAGCGGGATCGTCTTGCGAAAGGGTCCGCCGCGCGCACCGCGTGGTGTGCGCTCCCGCTTGGCTGGCCGGCGGCGCCCTATTGGGCGCGGATGTTGCGAGTTTGCAAGTCCGTCGGCCGGTTATGGCAAGAATTGAAGGGCCGTCCGGGGCCAGGTCGATCGGGTGGCAAGGGGGCGGGGGCGACGGGCGTATGGGCGCGCGGGGCGAATTGGATATGTGCGACAACTGCAGCCATCTTGACTGTTTGCTTCTGTTGATGGGCCTGTAGCGCTCCTCGGATCCGGCTTGGACGCGCGCCCCGTATAAATACCCGCACACGAAGCCATCCTTCTCCGCACTCCCCGCACCTTCTCTCCCACCTCCACCTCCTCCCCCACACTCAGCATCCACATCTCCTCCAATGGCTGGCGGTCCCGCAGCTTCAGGCGGTGGTGTTGGCGCCAACGCACCAGCAAAGGTCAGCTCGTCGCCGTTCGTCGCCGTCGCCGTCGCTAACGTCCCCCCAGAGCAAGTTCGCTGGTGTTGTCATTGCATCCTTTGCCGCTTTCGGTGGTATCCTCTTCGGCTATGACACCGGTGTCATCAGCGGTACGTAGCCACCTCCTCGTCGCTCGCGGTCCACTCACGCTCCCCCAGGTATCAAGGAGATGAACGTCTGGCTGCAGACGTTCGGCGACATAACCAAGGACGACGGCTCTCCGGGCCTATCCTCCAAGCGTGAATCGCTCGTCGTCTCCATCCTCTCCGCCGGTACCTTCTTCGGTGCACTCCTTGGTGCACCCGTTGCCGACTACATCGGTATGTGATCTTCTCTGGTACATGCCTGTCAGACTAACTCCCGCTAGGCCGCAAATGGGGTACGGTCTTGTCCTGCCTGGTCTTCTGTATCGGTGTCGCAATGCAAACCGGCTCTACCTCCATCGCGCTATACATCGTCGGTCGTGTCTTCGCCGGTCTCGGTGTCGGTCTCGTCTCCACCCTCGTCCCCATGTACCAGTCCGAGTGTGCACCGAAATGGATTCGCGGTGCCGTCGTCTCTGGCTACCAGTGGACAATCACCATCGGTCTCCTCCTCGCGTGAGTAACCCATTCCCTCCATAACGCCGCATCAGCTGACGGTGTTTCAGTGCCATCGTGAACAACGCCACCAAGAACCGCGACGACGCGAGCTCATGGCGCATTCCCACCGCCATTCAGTTTGTCTGGGCTGCCGTCCTCGCTGGTGGCATGTGCCTGCTCCCTGAATCCCCTCGCTGGCTCGTCAAGCGCGGCAAGGACGAGGCTGCCTCCGGTGCCATGGCCCGCCTGCTCGGCTATGAGAAGGGCGCACCCGAGGTCGAACTCGAGCTCGACGACATCCGTGTCGCCCTCGAGGAGGAGCGCGCCCTCGGCGAGTCCTCCTACTTCGACTGCTTCCGCATGGGCTCCAAGAAGATCCTCCTCCGCACCATGACTGGCATCCTCATCCAGATGTGGCAGCAGCTCACGGGCATCAACTTCATTTTCTACTACGGCACGACCTTCTTCAAGAACTCTGGCATCTCGAACGCGTTCATCATCACCGTCATCACCAATGTCGTTAACGTCGTGATGACCCTCCCGGGCATCTACCTCATTGAGAAGGCTGGCCGTCGCTCGTTGCTTATCTGGGGTGCCGTCGTGATGACCACCTGCGAGTACCTCGGTATGTGAATTCTCCCAAATCGTCTCTCGCTGGCGCTGACCTCTATGCAGTTGCCATTATCGGTGTCACCATCTCCGTTGACAACTCGTCCGGCCAAAAGGCGCTCATCGCGCTCGTCTGCATCTACATTGCCGCCTTCGCCGCGACATGGGGCCCCATCGCGTGGGTCATCACCGGCGAGATCTTCCCCCTCCAGATCCGCGCCAAGGCGATGTCGCTTTCCGTCGCGTCCAACTGGCTCTGGAACTGGGCCATCGGCTACGCGACGCCCTACCTCGTCAACAACGAGCCAGGCAGCGCTGGCCTCGAGGCCAAGGTGTTCTTCATCTGGGGCTCCTGCTGCTTGTGCTGCGTCCTCTTCACGCTCGCCTTCATTCCGGAGACCAAGGGGTGCGTTCGCTTTTCTCCAGAGTGCTGCGAGGCGCATATAGCTGACCATTTCTCCTAGTCTCTCCCTTGAGCAGGTCGACCTTCTCTACGAGAACACGGTCCCGTACCGCGCCGGCCCCTACCGCCGCCACCTCCTCGAGGACGACGTGCACGCCGCGAACGAGATCCGCGCGCACGAGAAGAACCACGGCCACGCAGAGCACAAGGAGGACATCGAGAAGGCGTCCACCTAGGCTCGCGCACGATACCCGACGCTCTCCTCCCTTCTGACGACCTTCGGCGGTGTCATCGCTACGTCCTCTTTCATGCGACGCTGCTGTATGCGCGCCACGAAACTCACTACTCTTATTTGCACGTTTATTCACGATTGATAGGTCATTGTAATACTTTTGGGACAATGCTCTTTGTACTTTGGTAGCTGCCGCACTCACATAACATACTCATTGAAGCTTCGCTCTGCGTGTGATCTTTCTGAACTCTCGGAGCGAATTTCTGGACGAGTTTGGGGGCCCGCGAAAGTGAGTTTCATTGCTAGGTTGGCCTGGATGAGTTGAGCGAAGTCGTCCATTGCTCGAGCGAGCCTCGTCTGCTTAGAGTTGGCTTCGCAATTCTCAAGTTGAATTTGCATATGCGGGGTTGGCTTCGCCTTGTCATGAGTCCGAGTCCTTTTCCGCACTTTTGGGTTTCGTTTTCGCCCTGTGACGGTCCAGATCAGGCTTCCCAAGCTCACTGACTTGTTCCTCTCCTTGGCAGTGGCGCGGAAGAACTGAATGGATGAGGCCGATGAGACGGGCATTGGTGGAACGGTTGAGTTCCTGCTTGCGAGGGACAAGCGCCTTGAGAAGTCCCTGCAGACTTGCGATGTGGACCGGTCGCACTCGAGGTCGTACTAGCGCCTCGGTGCCTCGCCATTCAGTCGTTTTACAAGCCTTCGCATCGTGGCCGCCCTCAACAGGTGCCACCTTAGACGCACACCGACGTGATCATTTGTGGCACCCCGCTGATACAGCGCCCAGCGCGATGGCACTAGGCCTGCTGTACTACTGACTCCAGGCGCGCCTCATTCAAGGGTGCGTAGCTTACCCCGGGGCAGCTTGGAGGCAGGATCGAGGCGGAGTGGGTTTCACCCCACGGTGTGGCGCGGAGTTCATCGTTGAGCACGGCATGATCCCGAGAACGCTGTCGGTACCTATACAGTCCAATCCCGTATCCCATATCCCATGCTCATGTTCATGACGTGTCGAACGCGGTATCAATACAAGTACTTTCATCAACACGGTATGCCAGCACCCATCAACAGCTCCTCGCGTTGCTGTAGCATTTGCAGTGATCGAAGGACTGATATAGACGCCCGCCCTCGAGATCAGGCGTAACATTACCTTCGTGTACTAGCGCGTCGTAAGCAGTGATCCGTCCATATATCCTCATCCGTCCAACCTCCCTCGAACACTCCCCTATAGATCCGTTTACAGACGCCGAAGACAGCTCAATGATCACAAGAGCAGCTCGACGAACTCGCAAAGCTCCTGCGCTGTACGTCGTCCATCCCTTGCCCGCTGTACATCGACCATCCCTTGCCGCTGTACATCGACCGTACCGAGCCACTGTATCACGCAGAGATTGCGGTCAGGTCCGCGACGGGCCCTCGGTAGGCTTGATTGTAGATATGAACTCTTCCTCGTGAGTCGCCGCTGTAGATAGCGTTAGTTCACGATAGCGGAGAGCCTGAAGCGACGGGAGGTGATGGCGGGGTGGTATAGGACAATTGATGGAGGACCGATGGTCGGGAATTGATATTGCCACAAAATGTGAAGAAACGAAGACGTACACCATGAGCGTATGTTCCTTTGTACCCCTTTTACCCAGCGAGAACGCGGTGATGTCTGCGTCAACTTCGGCTATGATGGTGCCATTTCTCTGCGGGTCGTCTTCGGACGAGATCGATGGGTCCCAGAGGCGCACGCAACCTATATTCGGACACGTGAGTGGGCAATGCCTCGGCTGTATAGATCTCGACACGACACCCACCGTCTGCGCCTGCAGTAACGAGCCCCAGACGCTTGTGGGACACCCACTGCAGTTGCGTGACACCATGGAAGTATCCTTTCACATGTGGTGCGCGATCCCCTACATGCCTCAGCGTATGCAGAGGCCACCTCGTGTTACGCAAGTCGTAGATCAGCGCGACATTGTCCGACCGCGCCAGCGCCAAGAGATGCGAAGCGCCCGGGGCATAGCTCATGTCGTTCACGTCGTTCTCTAAGCCTTTACGCCAATTCACCGCGCCAAAATCGAAGGGAGGCAGCGCGATACGCTCTACGCTTCTCCTGCCTTTTTGCGGATTGCGGATATCGAGGATTTGTAAGATATGGCCCGTGGGACACCTAGCGGCGATGGCAAGACGGTCGCCTAGAGGTATGGTCAGTAGCGGCGAGTGAAGCACGAGTGGCAGCTCGCCTTCATCGCTGACAGCGAGCGCATCACCCGCACCGCTGTCGTGGGTCCCCGCAGTGATCAGTTCAAAGCGTCTGCCAGTCCGTACCTCGATGCCTTTATGGAAACCGATGGGCGGTGGCTCCCGGTCATCAGAAGGAATTGGAGGCTCGGTGGACGCGAAAATATAATCCTTCGATGGGCCCTTTCCCCACACAATGGCAGAGACCGCGTGACCCGAGCGTGGCTCAGCAATTTCATATGCGTCGATGAGTCCGGCGCTATCAAGGTCGATGATGTCCAAATGCCTGACCATGACTTAGCATTTGAGATATAACAGGCGAGGATGATACGTACTCGGTCCCCACAGCAAGTACATTGGATGTGCCGGGGCGGAACGAAAGAATCTGGGGGGGCTTTTCGTAATCCGAACCTGTGTACGCTCGAGGGTGGACAAATTGTACGATGGAATTGCCACTTACACAGTGTGTGGTGTTCGTAGTATTTGCTACGCCTCTTCCGTCGCCTGTCTTCTATCACGCTGAGGGGCGACTCTTGAGGCTCGTCGCCGGAATTCACGCCTTGCTCGCCCTGCTGCTCCTGTTGCTGCTGCAGTTGCACCTCCTGCACCTCCTGAACCTCTGGCTCCGCGTGAGACTGCCCATTCTCTTCGTCACCCGAAACTCTCTCCTCTTCGACGATCATCTCTTGCGGAGTGCTCTCCGTTGCTGCATCGGGGACTGCCTCTTCTTCCTCTTCATACGGCTCCCAACACACTACCTCATTATCGAATCCCGCGGATATGAGAACAGGAAGCGTGCTACTCCAGTCAATACTTGTGTTGTTGCAGGAAAGCGAAGTAACTTACCCTTCGTCGGAAGTGCCATGGTCATTAACGGGAATAAACGCGATGTCGGACACGGTATACTGCTTTGGTTCTGAGAACAAGGTCAGCTGCGATGGTTTAGATGATTCAATTCTTACGGTTCGTTTCTTGGAAGGAGAAGTGGCCGGGAAGCATGTCGTGCTCGTCGGGCATCACGCGAGGGAAGAACTGATTGCGCCGCAAGAAGACCAGAGATCCATTGCGGTCCTGATTGTACGCACTGATACCTGTCTCTGTGGTCCGCCCATGTTAGTGAGGCGAAGATCGTCCAACTAGTAATCTAAACCTACCTTCAACATTGTCTGGAAGACCGCCATCGACGAAACTGCAATAGGCTGCAAATTCGCCCTGTTGTATGATTTTGTTAATGTCTACATGCAATAGTCAGCGCGGAGAAGTTAGCAAACAAGATTGGCCTTACCGCCGGGAGCCTCGTGAAAAAACTCCGTCAGCCGTAAATCATCGAGCCCAAAGCGATCTGCGAAGCATTCTTTGGGAGGCTTCTTGCGACTGCGATTCCTAGCGATGGAGATAAAGTCCCAGTCGAAGGACTGCGTCTCGTAGCTCGGCATGCGCGGGTTCGTGACAATGTGCCGGAGAGCTTCTGCCGGCAGGAAATGCGACTCGTCCGTGCGTTCGTTGAAATCGGGGCCCCGGGATATATTGTATTGCTCCGGCGGATCACCTGCGGTGCGACGAGAAGACGTAGATGGTCGGGCGCGCTCCGCCTGAGGCATCGGTATCGGCGGCTGATGGGTTCATGAGGAGAGGAAAGACGACAATAATTTCTGCAGACAAACTTGATCGTCATCATTATCGCTGGTGTCGGCGACACAAATCGCCCCCCTTTGAGCCGAAGTTAAATCAGAGTCTCCGCGTTTTCTCTTCTAATCAACAATAAGATTAGGCGTTCATGTTGAACTATTGACATCCGCTGTACCTTGCCGGATCCCGCCTGCTGATCACGATTGTCGTAAAGAGTTGTTGGCAGGTTTCTCGGCCGCGAGGGGCCGGCCACTGGTTGACCCTGGCGCGACGTCGAGGGACTTCGACTCGGACGCTGTTTCTGTGGCGCGTGACGAGCAGATGCCTTGCTTACAGACGGAGGAGGCCTTGGCATCGGAATTGATCCCCCCTGCACGTTGTCAGTAACTCCCGGTCATCATATCGAGGAAGTCCACCTTACCCGAAGGGGCTCAGAAGATGCTGGTCTCTTCAAGTTTAATCTATTGTGACCGAGAGCAGTATTTCGAGAATCAGAGAGCATCACGATATCCGAATCGGAGTTTTCGTCGTCAGTAGGCGGAGGGCCCTGCCCAGGATTAGGCTACAAAACAGCTTTCAATATTGCTTGCAGCGTAGAAGTAGATTATACTAACCATCTCCACCGCTTGCAGATCCTCCTCGTCACTATCCGATATGACTATTGCATCATTTGGTGCTCGACCCGGATTCATCGCTCCGTCTGCCTGGCCTCTACGAGCAAAGCGCTTATGGTGTTCCCTAATCAAGTCTTGACGACGAAGCTCCTTCTCCGCAGATGTGAGATGGGTGAACTGGTCTGCTATGTGCAGCGCCTCGATATCGATGGCGGCGTCCTCTGTGCTACCGTCTGGAATTTCGTCGAGGTCGATGATGATAGGCACATTCGTCCGGTCATGCAGACTCATCCAAGCAGCGTCTGGTTGCGGTGTCGATGATTGCTGAGGGATTGAGGGGTAAAGATCGTCGCTGGTGATGTTGGGAAGCCAGGATCTCCCCTGTTTCGGCAGGGTTTGTCGCTCTCGTCCTCGCGGACGACGTTCGAAGTCGGTGCCAACTCATGAGCTCGTGGTAGCGGCCCGCGGTTTGCCGGCTCGGGCCATGCCGACATGTCTCCCACGCCCCTTACTTCCCGCCAGCACCTCTCTCGGCCTTGCGACACGGGCAGTTGCAGGCTCCTTGACGGTAGCGGTTTTGGAATCCTCGAAGATAAATTTTTCCATATATTGAATCCTGACTTGAAAGCAAAGGGCGAGAACCCGGCTTTCGAGTCGATAGGCGCCGTATCTTATCCCTGTCGGTAAGTTGTGCTCACGAGTGGGACAGCCGCGGCGTGCGTCGTACGCATTTATAAGTCTCTGAGGAAGAGACTCTTCTCTTTCTCTGACCTGTGATCCCCCTCTGCACGTATCCCAACTCATACGATTGCGGACCCTCGTCGATGGAAGACCTAAAGTCGAAGAACGTGCTGATCGTCGGCGCCGGCGTTGCCGGTCTATCGACCAGTCTACACCTCGCTCGTGCCGGGGTGCCCGTCACGGTCTTGGATTACCAACCGTACAACGTCAACGGCTACTCACCGAGCAAGGGATGCGATGCTGCTAGCGCGGATGTGAACAAGATATTCCGGGCGTCGTGTGCGTACAATTACTTGTCATACATCCACTCATACATCTATAAAGCAATGTACTAACCCGCTGTCAGATGGCAAAGAGGTTGAATACCAGAAGCTTGCCTTCGAAGCGCGGGATATCTGGGCCCAGTGGAACAAGGACCTCGCGTCCACTCCGCGTGAGAACCTGCCAGAGGCGCTGACACCTGATATGACCATTTTGTGGGTTTACTTCCTCATACATAGTCGTTCCCATTTACTTATCGAGACTCGCCTAGCCATGAATGCGGCGTTGTGCGCATTCCTCATCACCCGACGGCGCCTGTCACCGAGTTCGAAAAGGAGGGCATGCAGACCTTGAGCGATGAACAGCGGTCTAAGCACTATATCCTATCGTCTGAAGAGGACAGGAAGCGGGCAAACGGCGCGGGTGAGAGGACGTGGCTCTGTTCAATGTTTGACTTCGTGCTGATCAGCCTGTTATGTAGGTCTACTCGACAAACTCGCTGTCTTCAAGTGGGAAGGCGATGGCGTGCTCGATATGACTGGCGGTGTAAGTGAGTTTTTGTTTACAAGTGTCGAACATCTACTGACGCTGCTCACCCTGTGCAGTATACGGTAGCAGACAAAGCCTGCGCCTACGCACAGGTATATGGCTTCTATATGTCGCGAAATATTTCGGTGTTGACGCTGCTGTCTGTCGCAGTATCTCTGCACCAAGGCCGGCGTCAAGTTCGTGTTTGGCGAAGCAGGCAAGGCGGTGAACCTAGTGAAGGAGGGCGGCAAGGTCGTCGGCGTGAAGACGATAGATGGGTGAGCCTCAGTTCTTTTCACTCGCAGTCATCTCTCGTACGTCTCCTAAGCCTCGAGCTCACCGTGCGTCAGGCAAGTACACTCCGCCGACCTCGTCATCCTCGCATGCGGCGGATGGACGCCGTCCCTGCTGCCCGAGGTCTGCGACCGGTTGGAGACCACCGCAGGCTCCGTGGTGCAATTTCAGCTTCCGCCGAAGGTGCGTGATTGTGCTATGCATGATTTCGAGCAGCCGCGCCGACCTGGACTTACACAGGAGAAACGCCCGGATCTCTGGGACAAATTCTCGCCGGAGCGGTGCGTATTATGCCGCGAATGATGTTTCTACGCCGCTCAATTGTTATGTCTAGCTCTGTCGTCTGGACTAAGGGCTTCAACAATGCCAAGGCGGCACCGCGGGCGAATATCTACGGCTTCCCTCGCACAGAGGACGGGATCATCAAGATTGGCTACCGCGGGATCAAGGTCCGTGACGTTCACCGGGGCAAGATATAGTCATGCTGCGGCACAATTCAATAGTGGGAGCATGCAAATAGCTTCAACTGTGCTGACCGCTCATGCAGTTCACCAACTTCGTCGACCACCCTCTGGCTCCTGGGCTTCGCATCAGCTACCCGAAGACGAAGTATACCCCAGAGAAGGAGAGCAGGGTCCCCGTGATCTCAATCGAGGTCGTGAAGGATACGGTGAGCGTCTACTCCTTAAACTGGCGAAGGTCTTCTGCTGACATATTCTCGCCACAGATCAAGGAGATCCTCCCCGACCTCGCTGAGCACGGCAAAATCGTCGACACACGTCTATGCTGGTATTGCGACTCGCTCGACAACAATTTCCTCGTCGACTACGTGCCGCAGTACGGTGACAGTCTAGCGGTCGTCAGTGGTGGTAGTGGGCATATGTTCAAGTGCGTTTGTCTTTATTCAGTGTCGCCCCCATGATCCTCAATAAAGACCGCAGATTTCTGCCGGTACTCGGCAAGCACGTACTTGACGTGCTCACGCACAAGGACACGGAGTACACCCAAATGTGGAAGTGGCCTATGCCAGAGAAGGAGACAATTCCGTGGGTGGACAAGACGAACGGATTGGAGCAGGGCGAGTTGGGTCCGAGGGTGCTCAAAAAGGTGGTGATGGCGGAGAAGGAAGATTGGAACTGATCAACAGCTGTAGTGGGTGTATGAACACACAAATATGCACGACAGACACGCATATGTCTTGTTCTACCCAGGCAAATACTCGAGTTTGACAAAGTTCAACTTTGCACGTGAACCTCGGTGTGACTCATCACCTGAGCATGGGCGATCAATCAATCACCCAAGTGATCGACCACTATGTCGTTCCCCCACACCCATCTCCTGCCAGGACCTTCGCGCACGATATGTATATCTGGGCCTCATATTTCTGTGCTGAATACTATGTAGGGGCCTAACTAAATATCCTTCGCAACTCTATTGACTGAAATACAGCACAGGCGCTGTGGTCGCGTCCGTCGAGCGTGAGGACACCGAAAAGTCGAAGAATGGCCCCATTCGCGTCGCTGCTGCGAACAAGGCGCAGACGCATCTAGCGACGTCCTCTGATGATAAGCGCCTGCGCGTCTGGGAGGTCGAATCGCTCAAACTACTGAGCGAGAGGTACGTGGTGCGCAGGAGCAACTCGATCAAGGCACTGATCGTCTAGCTCAGGGAGCTCCCAAAGAAGGCCACAAGTGTGCTCTTCACTCAGGATGGGCAGACTATCCTAGTCTCGGACAAGTTTGGGGACGTCTTTGCGTGCGTCTACATCCGTCAGCATGATCATCAGCCCCGTCACTAATTCGCGAACTCATAGGTACCCCCTCCATCCCCCCGTCGAAGAGCAGAAGCAAGAGCAGGAGAAGAAGCGAGAGAAGGACGGGCTCGCCTCTCACGAGAATCCCTCAAATGGCGACTTGGTCCTCGGCCACGTCTCCTTGCTCACGGCGTGCATCCTCACCCACGACGAGCGCTACATCATCACCGCCGACCGCGATGAACATATCCGCGTCAGCTGGTACCCGCAGGCATACGAGATCGAGTCCTTCTGTTTGGGGAATGAAAAGTGCGTACCTTTCGCGGAGTCTCACGAGCGCAAGTGAACTCACTTCCCGTAGGTTTGTCTCCGCCTTGCACATCCCCGCGTCCGTCCCAGATCGCCTCATCTCTGGTGGGGGCGACCCCGTACTACGCGTCTGGGACTGGATGAACGGCACCATCGTGCGCGAGATCCCAGTCCTCGACGTGGTCGAGCCCACCATCAAGGTCAAGTCCCTCAAGCGCAAATGGGGCGACGACGGCGAGGGTTCCGCCCCGCGCAAGAAAAAGCGCAAGGGGAAGGGCAAAGGGAAGGACGTCGCCGATGCAGCGGAGGACGCGGCGGAGGGTACTCCTGAACAGGCGGCTGAGGCGTCCAAGGCAGAGGAGGAAGGCAAGACGGTGCTTGTGGTGCACAAGATTGAGACGTTGCGGGCGGGTGAGGGGCAGCCTTTGCACGTTGTCTTCAGCGCGGTTGGGTCAGCCTGTTCTCCTTCGTGCTTATCTTGACGTACTGACGGATTCCGAAGCTCAACTGCACTTTTCGCATGCCCCTTCGATGAGGAGGCATCGGCGGGTGTACAGGCCTTTGACTTCGGCGTCCCGGTTCTCGACTTTGCGACTTTGCCCGACGATCGCATTCTCGTTTCGCTTGATTTCCAGTGGGGCGACGAGGCCTCAAGAACAGGGTCGAGCGTGAAGTCCTTGCAGCTTGTCGATGGAAAGGTTCGTGTTCGCCCCCGGATACGAGAGTTTGCTGTGGGCGCGCGTTAGTGGTCCCGGCAAACGCTGCATTACTCCCCACTCAGAAGACAATTTGCTTTGGCTCAGTCCTTCGTGCAGAGCATTGTTAATCCCCTCATCTTTCCCCGTACTTCACTTTCAAACCATGACACTGACTCAGTCCCCTCCAGCTCACGGAAGTCGCGGAGCAATCACCCCTCGTCACTACCCTCAACACCACCTGCCTCAAGCCCGCCACCAACGACGCTCGCGACGCACTTGACCTTTACGGCGCCCTCGCCTCCATGCCCAAGTTCAACATCCCGGCGCAGGAGGACGAAGGCGATGCGACGCCAGTTCCTGACGAGCCGATGACGAAGCGCCAGATGGGTCGCATGAAGAACAAGTCAGCGGTGTTGGCGAAGAAGGCCGCTGCGTCGGGCGGGGTAGCAGGCGGCGCAGAGACAGTTGGAGGTGCGGCGAGAACGGACGAAGGTGTAGAAGGCGAGGAGGAGGAAAGGGACAGCAAGCGTGCGCGGTCGGATGAGGGGGAGCCGGCAGGTGAGAGCATGGAAACATAACTCCGTTTGCCTGTATTTTCGCTCGCTCGACGCCGCCCAAAAACAAGTCACTCTGTCGACGTACGAAGTACAAAGTGAACAACAGTTGATACTGGCTCGCAAAGCCCCGTATAGCAGCCAGCATTGATTCACTTGCCAATTACATTCAAGTGCACACACTCAAGTACTAAGCAACTCGTTACTATACTGAAGACCGTGGCAGGGTGGAGCATGCAAATATCTCAAATTCTAATAGCCATGAGCACTTCTGCCGCGTAAGACCTCAAGGCGATGTACTTGTAGGCTGGAGAGAGAGAAACCTGGGCGAGGATTGAACGTGACCACGTGTGAGAGCTCGGCAACGTCCGATGTGATGAGAGAATGGGCGCCTTGCGCCGCCACCAATTGTCCTACCCCGCCAACACCATGGCACGCCGTCGCAGACTCCTCGAGGACGACGTGTCTGACTCCTCAAACGACGATGATGACGACCTAGACGACTTTGACGGAAACGAGAACCCCGACGTACGCGCCGAGCGAGAGCTCTTCCGCAACCCGCACAAGCGCAAGCGCAGACGCCAAGACTTTGACTCTGACGATGAGCAGCCTGCTGCCTCTACCAGCAAGCGGCGCGACTGGACAAAGGCACCCGCGTTTGTCTCCGGGGACAAGAAGGTCGACCTCGATCGCGACATGCACGCGGACGAGGATGGGGACGTGCGCATGGACGAGGGTGAGGACGACGACAACGGCGCTGCGTCCGATGACTCTGAATCCTCGACTTCCAGGCGCGCGTCTCCGAGGGTGCGGGAGGAAGAAGAAGAGGAGGAAAGCGCACCACGACCGACAATGGGCCGTGGGGGGATCGGTGCTGGCGGGGGAGGAGGGATCGGCGCACGAGGCGGGATCGGTTCTCGTGGTGGCCTTGGCTCAGGAGGAGGCATTGGACCTGGCGCAGGACTGGGCTCTGGCGCGGGACTGGGCAGCAGGGGCGGGATAGGCGCACGCTTCGGCCTAAAAATGAGCACCCAACCAGACTCCGAAGCCTCCAATCCCCCCTCCTCTGGCACCTCCACACCCGCCCCTCCCGATGATGTCCCCTCCGCCTTCGGTGGCGGCGCGCGCCGCTCCTTCCTGTCCTCATCCTCCGCCCCCAAGAAGCCCGCTCTCAGCGCGCAGGAGCGAGCGCACTTCAGCAACCTCTCCGACACATTCGGCGCGCGCCTCCTGCAGAAGATGGGTTGGGAGATGGGCACGGGCCTGGGTACGACAGGCGAAGGCATTGTCACGCCCATCGAGACGAAGATGCGCCCGAAGCAAATGGGTATCGCGTTCAAGGGCTTCCGCGAGCGGACTGAGCAGGCGAAGCGCGAGGCACGGCGGCGTGGGGAGGATGTCAGCGATGATGAGCAGGACCCGAAGGCGAAGAAGGCAGCGATGGCTCAGCGTGAGCAGCGCGAGCGACGCGCCGACGCATGGAAGAAGCCGAAGAAGGTCAAGACGAAGGTCGAGCACAAGACCTACGAGCAGATCCTTGCTGAGGCTGGCGAAGAAACGCCTGTCGCGGCGGGCGTGGGTCAGATCATTGACGCCACTGGTGCTGTGGTAAGTGGTGACAACCACGCACACTGTACATCTTTGCTCATACTTCGCAGCCTAGAGAAGTCTCCTCCCTCGCAGACGTCGCTATCAACTCATGGAATATCACGAATGACTTGACGCGCATCCCCGAAGTACGGCACAACATACGACTCATCGCGGAATCATGCAAGAGCGATCTTGACGGGCTCGCGCGCGAAGCCAAGTCCCTCGAGCAGCGCAAGCAGTATAACGCCGTAGAGGACAGCCGCCTACGCAAGAAGGTAGAAGTGGAGGCAGATCGTGCGTGCAGCTTGCATACTGTCTCATCATTCTCTCGCTAATTACTCTCCCAGTCATCGCCGCCCTCCAACGCGTGCAAATAGTCGCAAATGAGATAGGCACAAAGTCTAAGGAGGTCTCGTCAAGTTATGACGTCTCCCTTGATGCCTTCGACCCTCTGTTCGACAAGCTGACCGAACAGTTCCCTACGGACTTCGACAAGTATCGGTTGGATGAGGTGGTCGTGGCTGCCATTGCACCGCTGTTCCGGCGGTTGGTAACCGCTTGGGATCCGTTGGAAGAGCCTACTGCATTCATCAGCACTTTCCGGAAGTGGAGGCGCGTGTTGCGCGTCAATGCGGAGAGTGAGAAGCCGCCGGACAGGCAGCTTGAGTCGTTTGGGTCGCGGGTGATACCCACGACACCAGTTGTGATGTGAGTTCCCTTTTGCGAGGCAATGAACATGCGCTGACGATGTCAACAGCGAGAAGCCTATGACGCCTTTCGAGAGTCTCCTCTGGAATGTGTGGCTACCGAAGGTCCGCTCGGCGATCAACAACAGCTGGTCTCCTCATGGTCCACAGCCTGCGGTGAAGCTCTACGAAACTTGGTCGTCCTTCCTTCCTCCCTTCATCCGCGATAACTTTCTCGACCAGCTCATCCTGCCGAAAGTCCGCAAGGCCGTTGCAGAGTATAATCACAAGAAGGACAAGGTGTCGTTGCAGACCATCGTCTTCCCATGGCTTCCACATGTTGGCCTTCGCATGGAGGATTTGCTGGACGATGCACGTCGGAAGGTCAAGAACATGCTTCGTGGCTGGACCGTGGGCGAAGACATGCCGCAAGGTCTCTCCGCCTGGCGCGAGGTCTTCGACAGCGGCGAGTGGGACCTCATGCTTCTCAAGTACGTCGTCCCCAAGCTCGGCGCCTCCCTCCGCGACGACTTCCGCATCAACCCGCGCGAGCAGCAGATGGACCCGCTGCAGCGCGTGCTCGCGTGGGCGCCCCTCGTCCGCGGCTCCGTCTTCGCGCAGCTCCTTGAGACCGAGTTCTTCCCCAAGTGGCTGGACATCCTGCACATCTGGCTCGTGCAGCCGCGCGTCAACTACGAGGAGGTCACGCAGTGGTACCGCTTCTGGAAGGGTGCGCTCCCGGAGGACGTGCAGAACCTGGACGGTGTGCAGAAGGGCTTCACGCGCGGGCTGCAGCTGATGAACGACGCGATCGAGCTGGGTCCGGATGCGCCGGCGAAGCTGCGCAAGCCCGACTTCCGCGCGGAGCAGGCAGCGGCTGCCGCTGCGGCCAAGAGGACGAAGCCTGTGGCCACTGCGGCGCGTCCCTCGGCGAGGACGCAGGAAGTCACCTTCCGCTCCATCGTGGAGGAATACGCAGCATCGCACAACCTGCTCTTCATCCCATCCGGCAAGGCGCATGAGCTGTCGCGGCTGCCGCTATTCCGCGTCAGCCGCACAGCAGACAACAAAGGTGGGATACTGGTGTATATACTGGACGACGCGGTGTGGGCCGCCGCGCAGGGCACGGGTGGCGAGAAGGAGGTGTACAAGGCTGTATCCCTGGAGGAGATGGTCGCGCGGGCGAACGCGTCCTAATCGGGAGTTGTAGGTCCACTTCACGTGATGTAATGATTGGACCCACATGCGAGGTTGAATCAGAATTTAGATTACTTCCGGTCCAACTCACCCCTCTTCGTGCGCTCGTCTCCGTCGGTATGGCGTCGGCGTATTCCCCGTCGACGACCCTGGTCAATTCCTCGGATCCTTGGGTCTCTGCGGTACCCGTAGAGATCTGGGAGAACATCTTCCGAGAGGCGGACCGGGAAGGCCTGCTGGAAATCCTGCTCGTTTGCAAGGGCTTCCACCTCGTCGGAAAAGGGGTTTTCTACAGAAACCTGCGCTGGAGCCAGCCCCAGAAGATATTGGACGCGCCCGGGGAACTGCTCAGTAGGGGGATTCCCCTACAGGCCCCACGGTCGCTGGTTTTGAGCGTCCATCTCGTCGATCCGCACCAAGTTGCGGTGCACGAGTGGCTGCCTTTGGCGAGAACCCGAGTCGTTGGGCTGGATGGCTCGTTCGTACCTTTGGACGACAGAATACCGCAGCAGGGCTTTGCGCACCTCATGCACAACTTCGGCGTCACCATCGACCGTACAGACCACGCCTCACTTCCTTTGTACAGGAAAATACTTACCGACGTCATCCACCTCCCCCGGCTCAATCACTTGTCACTGCAGAATGCACATCTGCCGAGAGAGGTGTACTCGACCATCGCCACTCTTCATGAGCTACAGACGCTCGACTTCGTCAAGTGCACGCTCCCCTTCGCGCTCGCGAGTGCCTTCCCGACACGCTTCCTCAACTTACCTATCGAGTCGCTCACCATAGATCGCACGCTACTACGTCGCGGCTCGCGGGCGCAGGAAGCGACCGTCTTCACCATCCACGACCCCCTCGTCCACCCACTCTTCATGGCGACAGCGCACAACCTCGCCTCCCTTACAACTGGGTGGAAGGAGTCCTTTATAAGGATCCTTGGGCAGAAAGCCTCTTACCCCAGCCTTCGGCACCTACACGTTGGCTTCCTTTGGGACAGCGCGAACAGCAGCGGGCCCTTGGTTCTCACCAATTTTCCGCGCTTTCTCGCGTATTGCCCAGGTCTTCGATCGCTGGAGATCGCGTCGCCCGCGCGCGACTCGCAGATGAGTACGGTGGATTTACCAGCGCTGGAACGCTTCGAGGGACCAATGTCCCTTGCGCGTGCAATTTCGGCGCCCGTGCTGGATGAGCTTGTCTTGTCCGACATCCGGAGCGTTGACAGCGAGGCCCTTTTGGAGTTCGTACATGCGCTTCCGCGTACCATCCAACTCTTGTCTGCAAAAGTGGACAAGTGGGACGTACAGCTTCTGCCCACGCTGGCGGATTGCGTGCCGCGACTGCGTACATTGCATATCACCTACCTGAATCATGACGGCAGGCCCTCCGCGGTATGTTAGATTATCCTACTCATAGTGCCATCGTCACTGACATTCCTCCAGCAGTACCTTAACAATATGGGGGATGCGCATCTTGTGCGCTTCCGTCAATTGCACACGCTGAGGATTTACATGGCCATGTCGGAGCTTGGGCGGACAGCGTCCGAGCTGGCGCTCAAGTCTAACACAAAGGAGCTTGCCTGTCGCTGGAGTATTCCTTGCGAGTCCTTGCGCATCGTCCAGCTTTCCGAAAGTTCCGTTTGGGCGCTTGATACGCAGCTTCACGATTGGCAGGAAATCACATCGCCCTGATTACTTCCGGATATATTCCCTAACTAGATGACTGTACTTTATGCTTGACTCTACGTGTTGCTCACAGCGAACGTATTTCGGAGCTCGTACAGTTCTTGAACTAGTCAGAACTTGATGAAGGATGTTTGCCGACACGAAGGGCGCACGGGGAAGCACTAGTCGCGACTTCGCCGCTATGTGGTGCTTGTAATACATAGGTGCGGCTGATACATGTCACGTGTTTTCAGAGGAACTTGGGCGCAGCTTTCCTGCCCTCGAGCAAATCCTTTGTGTACACATTCTCGACTGCGAGATGGCTCTAATGAGCAACATGGACACCTCTAACGAGTAAAGACTCGGATCTGCATCTGTTGAAACTATCTCTTCCTTCTCGGCAAATGCCGCAACCCTCGAGCTCAAATTATACTCCAAAATTCAGTCAATGACCTTCTGCGTACCCTTGAACCTGTTGCCCGCCCCGGTACCCCCGACTATCAAGAGGACCACGCCTACGAGGGCTGGTGAACGGCCGGCATGAGACATAGATCCATGTCGACCAAGGGGATCTGGGGTGTGGATCGTGTGATCAAGCGTGTGCCTCAAGAATACAATGAGCAGTAGATAGTTCTTTTTTGCTCTTACATGTTCATACTGTAGTAACTCTATAAAGAGTTACCAAAGTTTGATAATGTAGGAGTTGCTCAGCTCTAGATCTCCGCGCCAGATCACGGCCACAGAAGGACCATAGTCGTACCAGTGCTCGGACGATCTGCCTACGCAAGCCGGATTCATATTTACTATCACCATGCTAGTGGTCTTCCATGTCAAGGCTGCAGTATGTCTTTCACAGCCGAGGGGATGATCATGGTTCTGTGAGCACCTCTCGAGACCATACTGTGCAACTATATGCAAGACCCGCTCACCGAAGACCATGGTCAACTTCTGCGTCCCTGAACCACCTGTCCACTGCTGCCCTGCCCTTCACAGCTTCCACGAACCTCGAAGTAGATGATCAAGCCTATGAGGTAGTCTCCCCCGAAAAATCATTGAGTATATATCACAACAATGAGAGATACTATGCTACTTAGTACGTACTATGCAAGAACGAAGATAAAGAGAACAGGGACTAGTGGGGCGAGGTCGTGAGTAGCACGCGGACATAAATCAGATCGTGCAGGCAAGAGACGCCGGCGGCGCCCTCGCAGGAAGAGAAAGGTGATAAGTTAGGTAGTGCGATGCGGGAAGAGAATGAGAGACGATAGGGGAAGAGATCAGTCATCATGTACAGAGGTTGGGGATCGCCGACGAAAACAAGACAGCGGAGAGCACGCGTGCGCGACAGCTACATACTACCTCGGCATGGACCGCACCGACGCGGTGTCCGACACGAACTGCTGCTGCCCGGGCGGCGGCATGGTGGGTCGGAGGGTAAGCACCTTGTCGTCTGAGACGAGGATGATCTCGTCCCGGCCGACGCCCTGGACGTTCCGCATATACGGATTGGGCGTAGGGAACTGCTGCATATACGGCTGCTGTGGTGGTCGTTGCGGGTAGCCGTATCCAGGGTTGGCATACGGGTTGTAGTCGTAGCCGGTGTGCGCCGGCGGCTGGTATGGGTTGGAGTTATAGTACATGCTGCCGCCGTTCTGCACAGAGGGAGGGGTGTCGGCGAAGAGGAGGCGGAGGTTGTTGCCCTGGATGACCTGGGACATGTGGCCGGTCTCGATATGTCGGATCTCAACAAAACTGGGTTCGAAGGCGAGAACATATGGTTCGTGAAGAGCTAAGCAAACAGTTAGCTCGCTGCACTGGATGATCAGCAGGAATTCGACGTACCAAACCCTGTAGGATTGCCTTCCCAGTACACCATGAAGTCCTTGCGAGATCTCCTGCCAGTCTTGTTCACGTAGAAGGCAAATTCTGTTGGACATCGTAAGCGAAGGATCCATAATACACTACACCCTCACTCACCATCGTAGCAGAGCAAGAACTCGTTCTGTATTCTGTAGATCGCCATGGGTCGCAGGTTCGTCTTGCTGTGGACGAACTCAAGACTCTCGTCGTTCGGGTCAAGGAGCCCTTGCGTATCGAGCGTCTCCAGATCGACGATCTCGAACCCTCGGGAGCATCCAACACACATCTTCGTCTTCAGGTAATGAATCGAGGTCGACTCAACGGGAATGTAGAACTCCTGGAATACGCGTCAGCGAAGGCGTCATGCATGGACGTGCGTAGCAGGCATACCCTGAATAGCTTCAGCGTGTCGTTGCCGCCCTGCAGAAGCTTGCGGAAGGTCGGCTTTGCCCGTCCGCGAACGTTCTGGTCGATGGGTTCCAGGGTCTTGAACGTACTGGAGAGCTGCGAGCTCTTCACGATGCACACCAGCACTCGCCCCAAGCAGAAGCCAGCCTTGAAGAAGGACGTGTGCGACGAAATGCGCTTCGCCCGCTTCAAAGGCGCCATTGGGTCTATGGGGTCCAATGCATCCAAAGGGAATGTGATAACTTGCCGCTCTGCGAGACTATGTTAGCCCGTGCGACGGTGAGAATGATGAGACACCCACCCGACAGCACGATCAGCAACTGGTAGTCCTCAAGGACGTCTACCTGGCTGACGTCGAGCAGCGCAACGACCTTCTGCGGCTCCCTCCCCGGCTCGCGCAGGTCGCTCATATATACACCGTCGTCCGTCCCGTACACGATCCTCCTGCCGCCCGCAAACGGCGCAGCGCAATTGACGCGCCCGCCGCCCCATCCCGCGCCACTCGGGCCCATCCTCGCCGCCGTCGCACTCACACCATTCGAGCGCGACTGGCTCGGCCTCGTCAGGTGCGCCGGCCCCGAGTGCGGCAGAGGGTCCACCCGTCCACTGGAGAAAAAGCCCTCGCTGATGATGTGCATCTCAAAGAACCGGCTGCGGTCGCGCATGACGGCTTGCTGCTTGAGGATCGCCTCGACCCACTTCTTCTGGGCGACGGGCGAGGGAGCGTAGAGGGTGAGATTGTACGCCTTGCGGCCGAGGTGGGTGAAAGAGATCCAGTAGGCGGCTTTGTCCTTGTCTGAAGCTCCAGAGAATGGCAGGACGGACGACTTGTGGGTGATGGCGGAGTTGCCTTCAGTGGTTGCTGGTGAGTCACCGTCCGGGGACGCGTCCAAAGCGAGATTGGTGGCGGAGTGGCCAAGGGTGGAGGCGGGAGTAAGGGACAATGGGTTGCCGGCCGTGCTCATTGAGCCAAACGACCCGCGCCGCGTCAAGCCTTTCTTCCTGCCACCCGACATGTCATCCGCAGACGCCGCAATGGCCAAAAGCTCCAAAGGTATTGGCTGCGGATGGATCAGTTAGAGGGACCAACAAACAGGACGGGCGTTACGCACTCTTCGATAGACTTTGAACATCTCACCATGACCCTTCGCCTTGCTGGACTTCGCGAACAAGACCGCGTGGTCGAACAACCAAACCACAAGGTCGCCGCTCTCACCGCCACGCCGCGCCAGGGTGCCCTTGTACACCAGCTCACGCCCCTCGTCACGTAGTCGCAAGTTCACCTCGTCACCCTGCTTCCAGATGAGTTGCTGGTCGAGCTGAATCAGGTTGAACCGGTTCTCCGTCTTCCCGCTCTCCTCGTTGACGCGCTTGAGGAACTCGCGAACCATCTCAATGACCTTCGGCAAACCCTCCGCGTCCGGCGAGTCCGGTGGCGTATGCTTAAGCACCGCACCGAGAAGCAATGGGTACCTCGCAAGACGCGTCGTCGGCTTCGTCAAGTACGCATTCAACTCGAGCTTGCGCGACTCGGGCAATCGCTCCGTCGTCTCCACGAACTGCGCGAATGCCGGGTTCGAGCTCTTCTCCTTCTCAAACTCGTACTTCCCATACATCTGGTGCGCGCCATACGAGATGAACGGTGTGAAGTGCGGCACGGCGTCGAGGAAGATGTCGGATATCTTCTCGACGACGGCGTACGACTTTTGCCGCTTCGTGAGCGCGTCGCGCAGGCGCGTGTTGACGGCGATGATGTCGAAGACGTTCCAGAAGACCTGCTCGAGGAACTGCGTCCGTCGCTCGATGGGGATGACGTCCGAGTCTTGTAGACGCTTGATCCAGAACTGCAAGGCGTAGTTAGTAAAGAGGGGGGTGAGAGGATTTTGGCACGCACATCCCGCAAGTACTCCATGTCGCGCACGAAGTCCCGCTCGGTATAGATGACCTCATTGATGGCCTCTTGTCGCTTCTTCTCCTTGTCGGATACGGAGTCAACGATCTCCTTGGGTACGGTATGTATCCACAAAGTGGCCTCGCCGAGAGCATCTGCCTCGTCGCGGTCCTGCTTCTCAGCTTCGTCGTCCATCTCCTTCGCCTTGTCGATCTTCAAGTGTAGAGCCTCGGAGGATGGATGTTGCTGCTGATGCTGTTGCTGCTTGCTCAACCGCGCTTGCTGTTCCAGTCGTCGAGGGCAGACGATGGAGTAACATAGTGCATCACGCGAGCAAGTTGGACTATAGCAGTCCGTGAGCAGGGTGAAGACACCTGATGGCAAGGGTGACTCGTCCGCCTCCTCTTCCTCCGGTTGTGGTGGCGGTTGCACCGTCTCACCGGACACGAATGGACTGGGAAGGGTCGTACGGAACTGGTAGAGCTCATTGGGCGAGTCGCGCAGTCGATGGTCGTAAGTGACATCGTGGAAGAATTTTTGCGCGTCAAGCGCACGACCAAGGAGCAGCGCGAGCGTGCGATCGGTAGTCTTGATGATGTACGCGATCTTGTCAACAGCTTCTCGCCCATCGAACGCGTTCTTGTATGTGAGGCCGTCCTTAACGCGGTCTGACAGTTGGATGCGGTCGCGGAACGCCTCCGCCACACGCGAGAGCAGCGCGGGATACACGATGGGCGTCTTCCGCTTGTGATTGGGCGATTTGGGTCGCTTCGTCGCGGCAGCGGCGGTGGCGGTGTTGGCGTGGATGGTCTCAAAGACGGAACGCATGTTGTTAGAGGCGGCGGACATGGACATGGATCGGTCTTGGGCGTTACGCTCGCGCCGAGGGCCATTGAGGCGCGGCATTGTCCGCGTGGAGTCGGACGACCGGCGCGATGACGAGCCAGACGCGTCGTTGAGCATCGTCTCGGACCCCGAGGGGGAGGCTGAGACGAGAGAGGAGCGAACGGAAGATGGAGGATTGGCCGCTTGGGCTGCGGCGGTATCGACATGCAGTCGCCAGGGCAGCTCGCTGGGGTCGCTCGCCACACTCGCGCGATCGTCTGAGTCGTTGAGCGACGGGAGTGGGGGAAGCTGAGGCGGCACGGACTGCGAGGGTAGCGGCGGGAGCTGGGGCGGGGGGAGCGAGGGCGTGCTCTTGTAGATCTGCGCCTGGTACGCCTGCGCAGGCGTGAGGCCCGGATAGGCAGGGTCGCCCGCAGGCATCCGTTCTGGTGACCGCGGTGCGATGACTCCGGGATGGCCGGATACCGATCGCGCTCTCGCGTACGCGTTGGGCCCAGGCGGCGGCGGGCCTGGGGACGGTTGGAGGTATGGCGACGGAGCGTGGCCGTGGTAGTAGCTACCGTACGCCGGCTGGCGATACATGCTCGCCGCACTTGATTGTGTCGGAGGCGGAGGAGGCGGCGAGGGCTGGTGGTGCACCGCACTAGGACGGCCAAAGATGCTCTCATAGGCACGGCTGCGGTCTGGCGGTTGGCGCGGGCCCATCGGTGCTGCAGGCTTGTTCATCATCGTCGGCAGCGGCGGTGAGAACGCGGGAAGCGGGTGGTCGCTGTATGGTACGCTCTGCTCGTCGTTGAGTGTGTCGTCGAGGGCAGGGCGCGGCGACGCGGGAGGTCGTGGCCGGCGGGGTCGAGGAGGAGATGGTGGTATTTGGTGAGCGTGATCGGCCGAATGCGCGCCTGATGCCGTCCGTTCGTTTGCCCGTTCTGCACCTGCTCTTCGTCTCGAACCGTCATCCCGAGAACCTTCCAGTCCGCGTTCCGGTCAGTTGCAGCCGCGTTGCTGCCTTGCTCTTCTCTCCAGCCACCATCTTATCGCTCCCTTTCTTGCACTCCGGCGTTTCTCGGACTCGCTCCCGGCATGGGTCTCGACGCTGCGCCAATCCCTCTCATCGATTGCGCACGCGTCACCAGCTAGTCGTCCCCGCTCAGTCATTCCCTCGATACCCGGCATGGACTATGTCATCGACTACTCTCTGAGCTAGATCAAATGCTAAACGACCTTCCCTTGCTCTGGAAATCATGCGCGGCAGGACGCCTCGAATGCGCATGCTTGCTTCGCTCTCCTCAAAGTCGCACTGAAAGCCACGCTCGTGGAAACCGAATGGTCGCCATCCCAGGAAGACACGTCTCTATGCTCCCCTTGGGGCCCTGCATGATAGCGTCATGGCCTTGGAGTCAAGTTCAACTCCCAGCGGGTATCTCGGACGATCACGTGTATCATGGTTGCTTTTCGCGGTCCATCGGAATCAACTGGAGGTTCAAGACAACCTCGAGCAGCAAACTCAGCAACTGACAGGGCTCTCCATCTCATAGAACACTGCCCACGGCCAACTCTGCTCCTGTGATCCTGTCTCATATACGCGCGCAAGTCTCGATGGTGATCACCTGGAATGCCTGACGCTGGCACGCTAGGACCACGCCAAGTCTGCCCTTGCGCCACGCGCGACCGACAAACCGTCCCACACGCTCTCGACGCCCTTGACTAGCGCGTGGTCAATGCCCTGACTACCCGTCATGGATGACGATGGGTTCTCAACATACAGATCAGCTGGACCTACCGGGTTCTTTCAGCCTCAAATGGGTCCTTCGAGATGTATAGCGTATCAGAACTTCTCTTCTTCGACCGCACAGCTCCTATCGACGTCTTTGCATCTACCTCCCTCTCTTGTACAAATGACAGGTAAACATTGTAGCGCTTGAACGCAGTCTGTTCCCTGTTTTACATCGCCATTCCTTGCAACTTTTTTCTGTTCCTCTGCGTACAGAAAGCCGAGGTCCGCCCTCCATCTATTGTACAGTAGGTCGCCTCCACCTCAGACTCCTTTGGAGCTCCCCACTCGTCCTCCTGCTCTGTTACTCCTGTTTCACGCCCTTCTCCACTCGTATCGCGGTGGTGCTCTCGCGGACGATACCGAAGCAGCAGTCCCCGAAGACTGTGGCTTCTCCTTATTGCCGCGGACAGGTTGGGAGCAGCAGAAGGAATGACCGCGTGGTCATTGAATCTTGTCTTCTCCGGCGTCAATCAACCGACCATCTATGAAGCTATATGCAGTTTAGTCCGACCATGAAGGTCATCTTCTGCCACACGCCGCGAAACGGAGGATCTGGCATCCCATGAACCAAACAGAGACTACGGCGTCTACAGGATGGGAATCAGACGACGAACTGTGTATCGCCGACATCGGTATGAACAGGAATCGAAGCGCTAGCCATCCGTACCATGAAGTGATAAATGGGGATCCTATCCAACGACTCGAATGAGCTGAGATACGGCCACGTACAACACCAGTGCGATAATCGCTCTACTGCCCGTGTTTCGCAATGCGACCCAGCGGTACTTCCAATGGCTGCACAATTTCCTTACTGGCAGCATGCTGCGACCGGGCTGGGGACACGACGACAAGTTTGTTACTGGCGGCTACCCCCAGAAGACGCCTTACTTCTTCCCTACCGCAATCCTTATGTAGCCGGCACTTCACGCAAGGATGGACAGCTTCCGCGTATATACTGAAGCATCGTAGGTGCCCTCACTACTAAGAACAGTCCAAATCGTGCTCGCTCACAATTAATCTGTAGTTATCATGTAGAGTGCGTACGTAGAACTGTCCTGAAGAGAGAGGGCCACCAGCTCTCCCAGCACACTCCGCAAACCGTGCACGACCGCGTAAGCCATGCCCAGCTGTGCCCGGGCCTTCTATGTCAACGTCGATAGTAGTAGATGATAGTGGTAGCTACACCGGGTCCGTACGCACGTCCTCGCGTCCGCTGTCCCGCAGTCAGGGTGAATCAGGTAGGTATTCGAAGCGGATCACGAGTCAGCAACGCTATCCGAAGTCTCGTATTGCAAACTCTACAAGGACTCCACATAAAGCCAAGGTCGACTCTACAGGAAGCCCAAGACAGCGAGACCAGCGGCGGCGAGCGCGGATGCGCCGAAGCCCGGGACGGACATCGCGGAAAGGGCGCCATTGCCGTCGCCCTTGGTGTTCGACTGCCCAGCAGCGGTGGTATCGTTGTCAACGGTGCCATCGCCGTTGACGTCCGTGCCGGAGGTGTGGTTGGTATAGGGGAAAGTGGTGTTTTGGTTGGATTCGAGGTACATGTTCGTGGCCGGGATGCCCACACACTGAGAGATCGACTCGAGCTGGGGGGAGAAGTCAGTAAGCGGACCCTGAAAGGCTTGCGAAGCTGCTAACCGTCATAGGCGGGTCGTAGTTGAGGGCCGCGGGGAGGTAGTAGCCGACGTTCATGTCGACACTCTCCTCGTACAGATCGTGGGACAGGACGATGAAACTGAGTCAAAGATTAGGAACAGCCCGCAATTATTACCCGGAATGCACTTACCCCGTGTCGAGCTGGCTTGCGTTACCCAAGATGTGCTGGAACGCAAGGTAGGACTCGGGCGCCGAGACAACACCGCCAGCAATCTTCCAGTCGTTGGTGTCGAAGGACTCGCCGCTTGAGCCGCGAGACCAGATGATGGGCACCATACCCATGGCAAGGGAGATCGCACGGACACGGTCATCGATATCACCGTAAGGCGGGCGCATCGTAGTCGGGGTCACACCGAGAACCTGCTGGATGGCATGGCGGGCCCAGCCAAGCTCAGCAACAACTTGCTCAGTCGTGAGCGAAGTGAGAGGCTGAGAATACGTTAGCAATGGGCTCCCGAAGCGCGTGATGAGGGGCCGTACACGGTGAGACCAGGTGTGCACGCTGATATCATGACCGGCCATATACTCCTCGAGCAGGATCTCGGGGCGCTCGATGACACGCGAGCCGACGACGAAAAAGGTCGCGTGGAGCTGGTTCTCGTCGAGATACTTGAGGACCTTGCTAGAGGGGGATGAGCAGGAAGTATGCTAAGCGAGGAGCTCAGACTGACCCAGCTGTAGAACCCAAGTCAGCATCCTGTCAAGCGAGATGGATAGAAGTACGCACTGAACCTGGCGGGACCATCATCGAACGAGACACCCCAGTGCATCTTCTCTTCGCACGACGTGATATCGGTGTCGCGCGTGTAACCACCACACGTCCACCAGCCGCGTGCCTCGGCGTCCGACGCGGCATCAGGGCTGCCAGCGCAGGTACCGTCGGTCGTGGCAATGTCGGGAATGGTGAATCCGTCGAGCTCCTTCAGCCATTGCTTGACCTCGTCAGAGTCCGTAGGCGGGACCTGGTCCTGAGGGGGCCAGTCGCCCTGTTGGAAAACGACTGGGTGCGCTGTGAGTAGGGCGATGGTAGAGATGAGATGGCAACGCACAGGCAGACGGGAGAGCCGGGGCGCCCGAGACGGGGGCGGTCGCGCCCGGGGCGAAAGTGGTGGAAGCGCCCCATGTCGTGCCGCTGCTCATGCCTGAGAAAATGGAGGCAAGGGCGGGAACGTCGGACTGGGTGGGAGTAGGGGTGGAGGTCAGGCCGACGTCGCTGGCGGCACCAGCGCTGCCGGTCGGGGCAGCGGTAGCGCCAGCAGCAGCCGCTGAGCCCGAGGCAGCCGCTGACGACGCGCCCGTTGCAGACGCGGACGCGGACTGGCGCTTGGCAATGTCGGCATGGCGTTTGTGGGATTGTTCTGCGTTGACGGCGACGAGGAGAGGCAAAAGAGCGGCGAGAGCTTGGAGCTTCATGATGGTAGCGAAAGACAGAAGGCGCGACGGCCGAAAAGTATGGTGGAGGAAAAGAGGAAGAGGAGACGCGGACCAAACAACAACATATCCTCGTTATTTATTCCGGGAAAACCCCTCTCGCGTGGTTCCCTCCCCCCGCCGGCATGCAAGCTATCAATACGGATGATCTGCAAAAAATAGCCGCTCCCAGGCGGTTGCCACCTTCGTCCTCTGCGTCAACGCAAGCGCCCGGCGGCCCCGTACATAATCTGCGATTTTTCCTCGCTCAGCGGGCAGCCAGAGAGCCTCGACGGCCCCTCCGGCGGACCCGCCGACAGCGCCGACACGAATCAGGCTTCCGGGGCTTGGCAACGAGCTTGGGCTGCGGTTGACAGGGAACCAAACAGCGCCCCCTTCGCTGCGCCGCGCACATGTGCGCTGTTTACATCAACTCCAACCCTCGCTTATTCCGCTGCGCTCGCCGTCGTGCGCGACGACGAGCTCTGCGCTCATCGCGTCGGCGACCGTCCAAAGCGCTCAATCGATACGGCACCGAGGGCGCAACTGCCGCCCTGACGATCATTCGGCCCTGAGGTGATGATGCTTCCTTCCCGACTCACCGCTTCCAGGCCCGGCCCTCCACGCGCTTCCCTCCGCTGACGGTTGCGCCCACCAAGGCTTTGAGCTCAAAGCTACCTGACCTCGCCCGGAAGACGATGCACTCCGAAATGCTGTAATGGAGCATGAGCTTCGCTTAGCGCCAAGTCGCATAAGCTGAACTGCGCACTGGATTTAAGGGTTTCGATGCAAATAAGTCGGATGCCAACGATGCATGCAGGATTGGCGTCATCGCTGCGCTCTCGAGCGTCTTCGGATCGTCCGAGAGGGGGGCTCTGCGTGTTCAACTTTTCCTCGGCAAACGCCGGAACAGTCTTGCGACTTCATATCGTGTGTCTTCAAGAGGATTCTCCCTTGGGATCTGTCTACTGGCAAAGCGACTTGCTTCCCATCACGGATGCTTCTTGCCAACTTAATCCTGCCTCGACCGATTTAGGCGCATTTGACCACCGCTGTCTGAGGTGAGATGAGGTGAACGACGCCTGTCAGTCCATTGGCGATTTCCTGCATACGACGATTTCCCTGATCATTGGCGGCGATCCAGCTGCTCTATCTTCATATACTACAGACGCATGACTATACTTTGTATACAATATAACCATGGCCCCACCAAAGCAGGGTCCATATTTTTGTCCTTTAGCGACTCACTATATGAATGTGTTTTAGTGCAAACATGGGTCAACAGCAAGGCGTGATCGTGGGAAGTTGAACTCCGCATTCTACAGTGGTACCTTCAGTGCAGCGCAGCTGCTGTATGCCTCAGCGTCAGTGACGCATATCGTGAATTGCTCTTGACATCTTGCACGGTCTGAGGTGAAGACCTACATAAGATGGCAGACCGTGTTTGACAGTCGGGCCGCTCGCTCAGGTCGAGTATTTCGCTGGCAGGACGAGTACTTGACCATGCATACAAATAGATGGGACAGGGCAGCTGCCTGATCAGAATCCGTGTACATTTCGGAAATAACAACATCGTGCGAGTATATGTCATGTACGGTCGTGGTGCAACTAGCGAGTCTCATAGAAGAGGAGCTTTGTTATCAAGGACGGTTCACCGGCAACGTCTCGACCACGACATCCGCGTCGGCGGCCTTCTTCTGAATATCATCGTCGTCTTCGGGCGCGCGAGACTCTGCGTCTCCGTGATTGGGTTTGAAACCCTGGCGCTTGGGTCTGTGAAGGATGCGATCAGTATTATGCTAAGTGAAGGGGAAGGTCATTTAGGGGTAGAGAGATCGACGCCACAGGAAGAACCTGTACTGGCTACTAGGAGGGAGCTTAGAGGAACCAAGCCACTTACAACAAATACCGCAAGTCGATATGCCTCAACGCAACAGTCATCCCGATTACCAGGATCCACAGCGCGATCGATACCTGCCAGCCGAAGGAGTAGTGCGGCGCCTCCTTCGCGGGCCAGATGAGGACCTGGGACCAGGCGGAAATGGCGTAGTAGATGGCGATGGCTGGGAGGGGCGGTCAGATTTGGGGGAAGCCAGAGGAGTAGCGGGGTATTGGGAGCCATTGAGAGCCAGATTCAGGACGTACCGACACCGACGACCAGTGCGCGCTGCTCAGGGTCTTGGGGGATGAGCTGTGAAGGGAGGGTAAGCAATGGACATGTGCAGCGAGGAAGGTAAACAAACGTCGGACAACCAACTCATGATAAGCGGCGCGGTGCCGAGGGGGACGTAGCTGATGAAGTACGACTGCAATGATTATCTGTCAGCATTCGACTCGCACCTGCCGGAAGGGCCCAACGTACGAAGTACTTCGCGCTATCAGGGACGTTCCACACCGACATGATGATAGCGGGCACGAGTCCTAGAGCGGTTATCAGTATGTCGATGTGCATCGTTCGAAAAGCGCAAGTGGTGTACCGATGACCGACTGAGCCACGATGAGCCAGTGACGGTTCTTGAAGTAGTCCGAGAGGAAGGCCCAGATCCAAACTTGAGAGAATCAGCGAAGGCGCATTTCTCCTGGTTGAGGGACTCACCGAAGGCGACCTGGATGGCTTGCCTGCGCAGGTTGTATGAGTTAAAGCACATGTAGGAGACCTGGATGAGCCGTACCCTCCGATCGGAATGACGTTGATGTGCGCGACGTCCCACCGCTGAGAACCGTCCGGGTTCTTGAGGCTTTTCAGCCAGAGCGAGAAGTCTGTCGAGCTAGTCAGAGGTGCGGTAAAGCAAAACAAACATAGCCGTACAAGCATATCCCCAGGATGCCAGCACGGTCGCGGTATACAAGATGGTAATGAAGTAGACCATCCAGCTCGAGAAAGTGCGTCTAAGAAACGACGATCAGCGACCATGTCATGCTCGCAAGTGAACCGTCAGCGTCGCAAGGATAGAGTCACCCACTTAATCGCCTTCAAATCCATCCTCTTCGGCTCCGCCCGATTATGGCGCTCGAGGCGCTCCATCGCGAGCGCGGCGTCCGCCTTGGTGAACCAGAAGGCGAGCGGGTTGCGCCGGTTGGGGTAGTCGGGGATGAGGAAGAAGCCGAAGAGGCCGACGACGACGGTCATGATGGCGTTGATGATGAACTAGAGGGAGTAGGGGGTTAGTAAAGCGGTAGGGTGAGTGTCAGAGGGCGAAGAGGGCGAGCGCATGCAGATCAAAACTACTGACCATCCATCTACACACGGAGTCAGCGTTCTATACTTGGGGCAGCGAGAGACGAGCAGAGCGGCTCACCTCCATCCGGCCAAGCCAGCCTTGCCATCGAGAGTCTCGTGCATGGCGGTTTGCAGAGCGTTGGACATCATGCTTCCGATGGCCTGACAAGAGTGGTAGAAGCCCATGCGCTTAGCCAATTCTGTCGGCGTGTACCCTTGGGGTCGCGCTTCAGCATCATACCATCATAAGGGGAGCTAACCTACAGTTCATGAGCAGCGTCTGTGGGTGTACGAGTGAGCTGCGCATCCCGTTTTGAAGCAAAGCAAAACAGCGCACCATCATGCCCGGCCAGGCGGACGACTCACAGAGACCGAGAAAGGCGCGCAGTGCGTATATCTGCTTCGCGTTGTGACAGGTCGCGATGAGGCCGGTCATAACGCCCCAAACAATCTCGAGCCCGGGGAGCCATAGACTCGGACGGACGTGCTGGCGAAATGATTATACTCAGAGAAATGGACTACCAAGAACGAGCTTACGGTCATTATAATCTGCGAGGGGATGAGCATAATGCAGTACCCGACGCTGAACCACGTCGTAAAGTAGTTGAGCTCTTGAGAGCTTTGTCAGTCTCCGTAATGCTGGCCTTACGCAGCAAGGCCCACCATTCCCGTATAGCGACAAGTCTTCCTGCAAAGTCGTGAGCTGAGTACTGCATTTGAGCTCAGGAATGGCTCACCTTCATGCCGCTAACATATGCCTGGGATATGTTTTGCTGGATGACGTTCAGAATAAGTATTCGATGAAGTCGGTCACGCGAGCGCATACCTGGTCGAGGTACTTGATGATCTGCGAGATGCACCCGTACACCATCAAGAACAGGTCAAGACGCATAACGAGCGAGCGCTCCTCGCGGCTGCGCTCATGAACAACACCACCCGCAGGACCATCGGGAGAGACCGAAGCCTCGTCGTCAGACGCTGCTCGCTTTGCGGACCAGAGCGCCATATAGACAGAGGCAGCCTTCGAGAAGGAGAAGACCACATCTCATGCGCCATGCCTGCGTTATATGCGGCGGCGGGGACCCCAGCGGCGGGCTCCCGCTAGATAGAGGTCAGACGGCCTACCGGCATGATAAGCGCCACATGCGCGAGAAAGTCGACGCAGAGCTAATCTAGCGCCGGACTTATCGCATACTCAGGTCCACAAGGGAAGCCCGTAGGCTACTCATTGACATTGGTCCGGGCAGCGCTCATGCTGCTTGAGGTCATGGGGTGAAGAGACAAGGCGTGCGAATTCATTTCCGACGAGTCGAACATGCACGTCAAACGAACACAAACAATGGACGCTTTGTTCTTTCCTACGCCCACTCCAAGGGGCCACTTGGTTGTCTTCGAACATGTTCGACTCGGCGTACGGCTCCGCGATTACTTTTCTCACTTCAGATGCCGCCCCGTTTTGCATCGATAAGCGATAGCCCTTCCCCTTCGCCAGCCTCGACGCCGTCGCCCAAGTTGTATTCATCGCTCTCTGCTCGTCGGATTCCACATTCCTCATACGACCTTGGCCTCTGACTACCACTACGAGATGACTGCCAAGGCTACACCACCAGGACTTCCTGTCACTCGTCCATGCCTGTCCTTCTGGCAGCGCACCACTCGCCACTCGCCTTTACTGAACGAGGGGCGCGATGCGGAGCTGCCTGCTTCGGCGGATGCCGTGGTCATCGGTTCGGGAATCTCTGGCAGCCTTACGGCGCTCGAGCTCCTCAGCAGCCCCAATGGGCCCAAGAACGTGGTCATACTTGAGGCACGGGAGGCTTGCTCTGGCGCTTCCGGTCGCAATGCTGGTCATTGCAGGCCAGGTGAGTCGTTGGTTATACTGTGACAGTTCAAAGGCCCTGAAACGATGTCAGACGCGTTCCGCGGATTCTCTGCCTTCTCCAAGATACACAACCCTGAGCAGGCGATGAAAATCATCGCGCATGAGAAGCTTGTGCTACAGCTAGTGAAAGCCTTCATTGACAAGCATAGCGTCCAATGCGACTTCGACTATTGCCGGACTTTCGATGTCATTATGGGGCAAGACTTCTATGACTACGTGACGGCGAGTTTCGAGGCATACAAGGAGGCGGGTGGGGACACGTCTGACATCGCATGGCTTGACGCTGAAAAGGCGAAGGAGGTAAAGGACCTTGTCATTTTCATAGCCATCGCTCACTAAGTACTTCAGGCGACACGCGTACCAGGCGCATTAGGTGCCTACGAGTGGACCGCCGCGTCCCTCCATCCTGCCAAACTCTGTCAAGCTATCCTCACCATGAACAAATCCCTCGGCATGTCCCTCTTCACCCACACCCCCGCAACCTCCATCGTCCCCTCCGACTCGCCCGACGCCCCCTGGACCATACACACCCCGCGCGGCTCCATCACCACCCCCCTCGTCATTCACGCCACCAACGCCTTCGCCGCCACCCTCCTCCCCCAGCTCACCGGCCTCGTCACCCCCACGCGCGCCCAGGCGCACAAGCTTGTCCCTACCCCCGCTTATACGGGCGAGGCGATGCTCACGCACACCTACTCCCTCCGCTTCGCGCTGCACCACTTTTACAGCGTGATACAAAGGAAGGGCGACGGTGCGATCGTGCTGGGGACGAGCAGGGGCATCCCAGGGATCAGCGAGGCGACGAAGCGCGAGATCTATGCGAGCTCGCCGGACGATCGCGTCGTCAGCGAGGAGCTGCAGGTGGATGCGGTCGATAGTTTCAAGCGCGTGTTCCCCGAGTGGGGTGAGGAGGCGCCAGGCGAAGGTGTCGAGTTTGGGTGGACGGGTATTTTGGGAATGACGCCCGATTCTGTGCCATTTGTGGGGGCGGTACCAGGCTTGCCCGGCCAGTATGTTATTGCGGGCTTCAATGGGCACGGTACGTTGTATCGCCCCTGACCATACCTTCTACGAGCTGACGGATAACTCAGGTATGGCGCGCATCTTCGGTTGCGCTCCTGGATTGGCCAAGTTGGCCCTGGGTGGTGTTTGGGAGGATACGGGGATGCCCGAGGTCTTCCAGATCAGCGAGGAACGGTTACAACGCCTGGCTTCTGCGGCAGTATGAACTGGGAGATGTAGTATGTAGAAACAGAGGCTTCTGCAAATTAGAGTGCTAGAGGTTTGTGGATCGAGACCGTACCTTACGAATCGAGCTGTGCGATTCGCGTTTCCCACCCACCAAGTCAGATAACGTTCGTGAGGGGGACGCTTCGGAGGGGGGAAGTGTGGGCGGGAAGAGCAATATGACGATTGAGGAGCGGGAGGCAGCGTATAATGCAAAATCAGACATGTCCGGCTCTTCGCCTGCGGTCGACCCCGCCTGCGACTGCGTTTTACGTCGATCAAGCGGGGAACGACGCATGATTTTGAACGTGGGCTGCACATCGGGCTCAGCTGGTACCAGCTCGGCGATGCGCTTGCCAGGTCTGAAGCGTGCGTCAGTCAAGTACCGACAAGTGATGACCTGATTGCCACAAATTTGAGTCAAGATGAGGAGGATGGTTTGCATGCCCCGACGGTCGACAGCGCACTTCTCTCGACAGTTAAAAGATATGCATATATACAAAAGATCGTTAAGCATCGCTAGGTAGCGCGCACACGCCCTCTGAGCTGACAATGATGTTCCAATACCGAGCACACAACAGATGCCTGCAAAGTCTTGAGAACGTGTCTGAGAGGTGCAAGCTTAGTCCGTACTCTCCGAAGTACATACGTACGGAGCATTACCGAAGACGACATCATTATCCACTCGGGCCTCCAACCCTGCTGCAGCCATTCCTCGCTGCCTGCTAGAATAATAAGGACAGCCTTCGAGATTCAGTGCAAGCGAAAAAGCGCTACAAATAGTGTCATGCAACGATAGACTACACAGGAGACTTGCATCAGAGCTTTCAGCGGCGCCAAAGGGTAAATCTCTTGGCTGGTATTATTTGTGATGGTGACTGCTTAGGTTAGCGTTACGATCACGTGACACTTGTTTGTTCATGCGTCGAGCAAGAAACACGTAAGGGTACAGTCCATATTCAAGCTCCGCCACTCGTCCCAAACGCCTCAAGTCAATGTCGCTCACTCTTGAACCTCAGGCTTTATACATATGTCTAACGCAGCTGCTCGTCCCAGGCTTCCACTGGGGCCTATATTTTACGGATGAGCATGGCATACCTACACGCCACGAATGGGCGGAAGTCAGAGGCGCGCGCGATCGCCTGTCCCCCGTCGAGGCGTATAGCGTCGCCGTCATCGACCCAGTCCGCGAGAGCGACCAGGAGAACAGGCTCAATCTTGCTTTTATCAAGGTTCGCGGTTACACGCCCAGCGGACTCAACGTCCGCGAGCTGTTTGCAAGTCTGGAACCTTCGGGCGGATCGAATAGCTGGCGCACGAATCGCAAGAATGGCCTCAGTTGCAGGACGTGGCTCATCCGTGCCCTGACGCTCCTGCAACGTGAAGGAGCCATTGTGCGCGATAGACCCGTCGAGGAGGTCGAGGAGATGGTCAAGAAGATTGGGATGGAAGTCGAGCGGCGTCTTGGGAATGGGGAGAATGTCGGTACTTGCATTACGGAGGTCTAATTCGCAGCAATTTGGAAGACTGTATACTATTCACCTCAGATCGCTCGCACCTTCCATAAATCCTCAAATCCAGACTGCATTAATGGGTATGTAGGTCATAAATTACTCAGCGCACAACGTCCTTCGCGCGTGTATCTTGGCCTCCTCCCGTTGCCTTCCACTGCCTCCTAACCTAGTCCTCTCCCACCACAACCCTCCTGTCCGACCATAGCGCTCGCACTTAGAACCTAAACAGCCCCTTCTTCTTTTTCTTCTCTTTCTCCTTCACCGTCCCCGACGTCCCCGATATGCTCGAGCTCGCGCTCCCATAAGATGGCGCGGGCGACATCGCCGGCGCGCCCCGCCTATCCTCCCTCGGCAATGGCAGCTTCTGCGACGGCGGCGGTGGCCGCGGGGCATCCTCCGCGTAGAACCGCTCGTCATAGTACTCCTGGAAGCCACGCCTGGGGCCTCTGCTCTCCTTGTTGAGGCCGTCAGGCGCGGCGCGCGAGCCGACGCCACCGAGGTCGAGCACCTTGAGGTCGTCGATGAAATTGCGTGGCGTGATGGTGTGGGTGGAGCCTTGATATCAAGACGTCAGGTCAGAATCGAATCGAGGGAGGAGTGATTGAGAAAGGGAACACACCGATGAAGATATCCCGGTTCAGCGCATTCGACAGCTGGTACGCCTCACGGACCTCCGAGTAGGTCATGCCGCCGGCGACGAAGACGAGCAGCCGCTCGCGGTTCTCGACCGCGGGCTTTGGCGCGCGATGCCACGCGGGCTTCTGGCTGCGCAGCGACGTGCTCTGTGACGAGTGCGCGCGCAGGGTCTGTGGCGGGGGCATGCTGGCGGGCGACTCCTTGACGTATGGGAACATGGTCTGGTCGAGTTTGTTTGCGACGTTTTCCTGGTCAAGGGGTACAGAATGTGAGAAATGACTATCATCTGGCAAGAGGGCAAGCGCACCTCCAGCATCGTCTTCAACAATGGCTTGAATCGTGAGAGATCATAGTCATCGTCCGTTGGCTTCTGCTTCAGCTTGCTCTTCTTCGTATCACGGCCGCCGGGCTCCTGCGCCGCCGTCGTCAGCGCTGCTTCATTCCCTTTCACATCATAGACACACCTTCCCAATCTTCACCCCCATCTTCTCGATCGCCTTGATCGCGTCTATCTCAGCCAGCGACAATCGCGCATGCTGGTACAGCCGCCGCCGGTCCTCCTCGGGCACGCCGTCGCGGTACTGGATGTAGAGGGCGATTATGCGCACTTTGTTGAGGTTGCTTGGGGAATGAGTTAGTACCGCAATTCGTACGAAAGGGCAGATGGAAGGTAGAACAGCGAGCAGAACGTACATGACATCCCTGCTGTCAAGTATGGGGACCATCTCCTCGATGAGGGTCTTTGGAGTCTTCCCCTCGGCGGTGAGACCGGTGGCGCAGCACTGTGAACGGATGAGCGGGACGTCGACAGATGAGAAGGATGCTATTACCTGCTCGATATTGGCTACCGCAGGCAAATTATCCCGCTCGAAGATGCCCATGCACTCTTGAGCGATGTTAAGGTGTAGGGAGAACTTGAGAACGTCATAAGCCTCAACCTACAAGGTGTGTGAGAGATTCGCAGACCTTCTCTCGCTGATCCTGGTATTGTGGTAGCGATGCAAGCATATCCTTCATGTCAGACAAGCTCGCTGCTCCCTCGCTGTGTACGGTCAATCAACTTTTTGGTTGGTAGAGATGGATTGGGTATGTACTCACCCGTTGAACACAGCATGCTCCTCAACGAATTTGTTGAAGTCGGCCATCAGCTTGTCGATGGCTTCCCGCATGTGCATATGCCGAACTTCGACCCATACGTTGTCCGCATCGCTCAGCGTCGCCGTCTTATCCTCGTATGCCCCCTTCGAGGACTGGAATTTATATCTGTGATCACCGTCAATTACGGTTCACACGTCATGGCGACCTCTGCACCTACGTATACTTCGTGCCGTCCTTTATGGGCAGCAAGTCGTTCGCCATTGCCTGGAAGGTGAATTCGTGGATGAACGGAGCGAGCATATCCATGGACCGGTCAGTGATAATCAGCGTCGCCCGCTGCCGAGGTGGTTGCGTGGGCTTCGCGAAGTCGGGGTTCGCCTTCTTGTTCTCCTCCAACAGCGCTTGCACCTTGAATGCGATCAATCGCGACACAAAGTCAGTCTCCACCGCCTCGAACTGGCGTGCTTGGTCTCCGCGCGCAAGGTTCGTTCGCCAGCGGGTGGCGGTCTCGGCAGGCGGTGGTGGGCGTGTTGTCTGGTTCGGTCGGAGGGGGCCGAGTGGTGGGTGGGTCTGCGGGAAGTAGTAGCGGATGTAGGGGAACTCGTCGAGCGTGATGCAGAGATTGGCGATCTGGAGGGCAATCAGCGCGCATCCCGCGGTGGGCGAGATCAATGACGCACGACGCGGGCAACGTAAACGATGTGCTCCTCCAGGCGGTCGCGTGCTATCCGGTAGTCCTTGTCTGCTGGTGGGGGGCTGAACATGCTGAAGAACAGCTCGGGTGCTTGCATGGAATATGTCTGCGCCTCGGTGGCTGCGAATGCCTGTGAGATTAAGTCCGCGGAGGGAACTATGATGCGCACCCCATAGGTTCAGAAACAGGTCCTTGCAGCCTCGCAAGTAAGGTTCGGCTGGGGATGAGACCAGCCGTTGGAAGAGGTCCTCGGGAAGCGCTGCATGCTCTTGTTAGAGCCCAAGCTTGCTGTCTGGCGACACGACGCACGGTCTAGGAAGAACAGGTGCGCGCCCGCATACTGCGGTACATTGCCCGCAAAGTCCTTCATGAGGCGATCCACGTTCTGCGTCGTCGGCATGAGCAGGTAGATGGCCTCGAACCCGCTCTGCGGCTCTCTGTAGTTGGTGATCGACTCAATCTCTACATATCCCCGTCAAGCAATGCGCGCCAGGAGCGGAGAGGGATTGGACGTACGCGTCACATTCTCTTCAAGGATGTCAAACTGCTTGAGGACCGAGCCCAACAGTTTCTGCGAATGCGGGTCCACGACCAAGATCTTCCATCTTGTCGGTGGCTGCACGGAGCGGATCGCCTCGAGGAACTCTGTTCGATGTCCTCAGCGCCAAGACATTGAGTAGCTATACAATATGCGCACTCGTGCGGACTGTGTCAATGAGAGAAGGCATCTCCGGGCTTGGGCGTTGCCGAGAACGACGGCGACGGACGCTGCGACCAACGTCGGAGACGAAATCGTTTGAGTCCGGGGAATTCGGGCCGTCATCCGACCACCAGCACGTGGCGCTCGTTGCCACCGACGTCCATGCACTCGTCCGCTAGCTTCCTTCGTCTCCGTAAATTGTGTTGATTTGACCAGGGGATAAGCATGAGCTTTTTTAATTGGATTCGACTGAGCAGCAGCAGCAGCTCATTCTTCCGGAATTTCGACCTTTACACAGCTATGACTCGCCGTAACTCACTGTGCTGCAGATTTTATCTCCTGCAACGGCGCTGCCTGCTCTCTCGATTGTCTGTATGCAACACATGCATGCGACTTGCAGAAGATACATCCACGACCTACTGTCTCATGTAGGAATAATTTCACTGGGCGCTGGCTCTGGTCCAGGACCGTATGGTCCGCCCACTAAGCGCCCACGAAGTCTTTTTGTGGCCCATCATCTACGCAGCCGATAAAATGCAGGCATTCCAGTGGCCCTTCCCACTACTTTCTCTTCAACCTGAGAGCATCATCATGCCCAGCGCCGCCCCGCTCGACACCCGCCAGAGCATCTGCAATAACATCAGCAATTTCTCCCGCGTTCGGAAGGCAGCAAGTCGGGATCCTCGCGAAGCTTCTGAGAAGCTACTTCCCACTGTGTCTCGTGCTCAACAAGAAGCCCTGCGACACAATGGGCCTGCGCCACTTACTCTCGAGGATCGACATTGGCCGCCTCCCCTCTTCACAGCGCACTCCATCTTCCCCACGCTCGACCTTCCCTTGCCAGGGGCAGCGCCTCGCACTCTCGACGGCCCGGACGAATACAAGGTGCGCGTCATATTCTTGATATAAGACGAGAATAACTTACTCACACAATGCAGTATGGCCAGAAAGTCTACGTACGAGAGTTTGATAACGTGGGCCTCAAATGGACACCCTGGACGGCGGCGTACGTGGTCGATTCAACGTATTTTTATGGCGCGGTGCGTGGATGTGATTATTTTTTGCGGAATCGGCACTGACCTCGCCGCGTCTATTGCAGGCAGGCAGCCGAGCTCAGTGTTATCACGTCTGCACCAACTCTGCCAGACCTGACATGGAAGTATCCCGGCCCTACTTCCCTTTGCTCGCGGAGATCTGCCCCGCGGACCGGCCGTTTCCCGAGGGAGCGAGCCCAGAGAAATGCGCGGAGATTTGGCGAATGCTGGTGAGTGGAAATACAACTGACAGGCTTTGCCGTGTATGCTAAATCACCAACAACTTGTTCAGCACGCCGTGCTCGTCCGCCTCCACGATCCAGGCGAATATTGTGGCGTCCCAAGAGACCAGATATGGATTCCTGGGCTTCTTGTGGTGCGTATCAACTGTCCTGCGTCATTTACCACGCCATTCATCACAACTCCGCGACGTACTAACTTCTCCTCGTTGCAGTCCTTCGAACCCCCCACAAGCGTCAAGGTCAAGGCGATGGCCCACCCTTTCGACGGCAAGATAATTGACGTCAAAACCGTCCTTCCGTACACATTCGAATCTATGGCAGCGTGTCGCGGCTGGGGTTACCACGTCCTCAATTTCGACGGGTCACTGATTCCGCCGACGAACCCGGCACAAGAAGAAGAACATGAGAATCGCACCGCGGCACAGAATGGAAGGAGGAAGCCTCCCATACCATGGGCTCATGCCGGTCTCGAGCAAGGGGATACTGGATACGTCCAAATCGGGTCACGGCGGCTGCCGACGTTTGCTTGTCCTAAGCTTCCTCCGACTGGCAGTCAGTGACACTGTGATGTAGCAATCTGTATGCAGAGGCCAAGCAACACCAATTGCGCCTGTGGCGCGGCTTTGTGTGGTCCTGTTTTGACTTTTGGCCATAATCAATCTACAACTCTATAACGTATTGTACATATTCACCGATCTGTGTTATCAATACTTGAGTCTGTTCATACACGTACAAACCGTGTCAACGAAGCCTCAGATCGTGAGCGGGTTTTCTTTGCCTCTGAGAGGCTATCCCCCTTGGTTCCAAAGGCGTACATCGCATTGAATTCCCTGGCTTGGCGTAACTAATACAACTCTCCAGTACAAGGTAATGTTCGAAGCAACGAACGAACGTACAGCCATATGTGCTGCATGTACCGGTATGTACCCTATGTACCGTGTAATCTACCGAAAATGAAACAGCGAATAAGAATAAAAATCCATGCCAGGATGTTACACCCCAGGATATGACACCCGTCCTCCCGAATATGTAGTAGAGTATCTCACCGAAGTGTAAGGGGGAGCGCAAAGGCAACTCAACCCCGCGAAGAAGTCGTAGCGACTCCTCCGTGGTAAAAAGTACAATTCATGAGTCACGTCCTTCGCATGACCGACCTTGTTCGCCAGCTCGACCGACGTAGCGTATCTTGCTTACAGCAACGCTGCCGCCAGGGAGACCACACATGCGCCAATGAGTAGCAGCGCTGGCGCGGAAGCTATCCGCACCGACCCATTCGCGCCAACACTGCCATTGTCGACCCATTCCCGCCACGCCGTGTGCAGCATGAGCGCGAATGCCTGACCCTCCGGGCTCTTGCTGCCCTCATCGCCGAACGACAGTGGGTTCACCACGGGCGTCAGCCACCCGTCATCGTCGAAGTGCACGTACGCGGAGCTGTTGCCGCTCTGCGTCGCGAAGAGTGCCGCGCGCGAAGTTTCGGCCGAGGGGAGGTAGTGCCAAACGTTGCGCAGGAGCGCAAGGCGGTAGACGGTGGCGGCGAGGATTGCAGTGCCGGAGGCGTCGTAAAAGTTGTCGGATCCATCGACACTTTCGTCGGCGTAGTTGGCAAAGAGACCGTTGTCGTACTGAGGGTCGGAGTTAGGTCAATGGGACGGACGGCACGGGGGAAAACACGTACAAGATGATTATCGTACATTGCTGCTTGTATTTCGAATATCCAGTCCTCAAGGTCCTTCTGCTGGTCCTTGAGGTCGTCTGCATATTGAGAGTGTTGTATTGTCGCCAAGACGCGCAGCATGCCAGCGGCTGCCCAGCCATTGCCTAAGCCGACTCATGTCAGTACCCACGCGTCTAAATACGGACCGTCCCCGGGTATGCACGCACCCGTCGACCAGTGTCCCTCATCAGAGTAGGAGCCTTCGACGATGTGTTTCCAGAGATTCCCCGCATCCTTGTCGCGCAGGTAATCGCGGTAGAGCGAGCACTGGTTGTACGCCTCCTCGAGAAGCGTCTTGTTCTCCGTTATGACGCCATAGTAAGCGAGGAACGGGGGCACCTGCAGGACTTCGGGGTAAGTTTCGCTGCCAAGAGGTCAGATGCGTGCGACAGGACGTACCATGTACACGGAGTCGCTCCATAGCTGGGCCTCAGAGACACGGTGCGAGATCGCGCCGTCGTCGGTTCTGGGTACGTGGTAAAGGAGGAAGTCGAGCTGGTCGCGCGCGGCGCCTGCGTAGTCCTGATCGTCCTGGCCCGTCCAATTCGCGAGAATGACAGACACGCCGACGGAGGCGGGATCACCCGCACTACCGTCCTGCATGAGGGGCTGCGCTCCTGTCGCATTGCTATTACTGCGAGCGCGGTCGGCTACAGTTTCGTTCGCGATAGAGAGTACGCGATCGAGCGAGTCCGGTGCGTCCTGCGACGGGGGAAGCGCGTTGTTCGAGAAGACACTAAAGTCCGGTGTATCGGTCTCGAGCAGGACCTCTGCTCGGGTGCCGATCTCCCAGCTGTCACTTGGCGTAAGTTCGTGAGACGCGTACTAGGGCGAGCGCACGCACCTTCTGGTCGAGCCCTCGGCCAGGCGAGCTCGTATGAGACTAATCTCGTCATCGGAGAGATCCTGGGCGCGCGCCACCAGGGCGAGGGTAGAGAACGCGGCGAGAAAGAGCCGTCTCATGGTGGTGGGAGGGGGAACAGGGCGTTCAACGCGAAAAGCGACGCGCGGGATTAATGGATACCGGCCTGGCGTATACTGCGCGAGCTGATGTGTTCGCCCGGCTGACACATGGAGGACTGAGTTAAGATACGTCTCGCCAGACGTGCGCGCGGACTGACCTCAATGAGTGTAGGATAGAATGTGTGTGGTGGGAGGAGGGAACCGGGAAGCTGACGACCGCCAAGGAGTATTTATGAAGTCAGCCACGCCGAACGCATTCTTTCCGTCGCCTTCCAACTCTGGGCGAAAGGGGCGCCCACGCGGAGGCTGATGTCATTCGGCCCGCCGGCAGCTGTGATCGTGTCCCTGGCTGGATCGAAACCCGGTGTTTTGTGACCGCTTTTGGGTTGCCGAGGGTGACCAGGCGACGCGATTCAGCAACGAGGCGAAGGGAACTCTCCAGCAACGACGACGAGCGACGAGCGACGAGCGACTGAGCGCCAAGAGCTTGGTACACCACAAGTGCAACATGGCGAGGAACCTCCGTCGGGGGGTTACATACAGCGTGCGCGTGCGACAGGAAATAAGGAAGAAGATGGTGGGTAGATGAGCTGAATGGACACCTGGAGGCGGCAAAAGAAGAGCCGTCAGCAAATACAATCCCACGCAATGATAACCCACGGAGACGCACTTCTCCTTGACCGCGTACGAATCCTGTCAGAGCCCTGAGCCCTCGGACAGGAAACATGGAGGGGGCGAGGTGAGTGGGCTTTTCACCAGTGTATACGCGCAGCAGGGCCACACGATCGTTCAATCACGCGACATCCCGCGTAGGAGATAGAAGGGGTAGTAGCCGTGCTTCCGACCTACCAGGATACTCTTGGAAGGTCGTCGTGGAGGGGTAGGAGACAATGGAGGTCAAGAAGAGGCTAGCAGGAAGCGGAACACGTATGCATCGCGGAGTTCGGTGTGGGGAGGGTATTTTGACATGGTCACGTTGATTCTGATGGCGCGCGTACTTGTGCGCGATAGCTCACTTCATTGACGCGTATTCCCAAGCGATCGCTGCCTAGTTGAATTTGCGTCTAATTAGCTTTTGCGTGACGGGAGAAGACAAGCAGGCAAGATACGAAGTCAAATAAACTCCATCACTCACTCGACAGTGACGCACGCGACCGACCAAATACACTGCAACACTTCTCCTCGTACCGAAAACACAATCTTCCAAAGCGAGAACGCACAATTTCGGGTACGAAAAGGTGTAAAAATGGGCCTGACCGGGAATTGAACCCGGGACCTCCTCGAAACGGTTACTGCCCTAACAAGGAATCATACTACTAGACCATCAGGCCTTTCTGAAGACGCTCAATGTAAATTGCTATAGGATTAGGCATACGTTCCGAGCATAGCGGGTGAAAGGAAGACATCTGAAGCTCAAAAATGAGGCCATAGATACCATCTATTCTTTCTTAAAGCAGACAGTGGGCTCAATCTCCATCTTGTGGGTCCCCCCGCATCGGACCACGTGACGCGAGCTGACGCGTCCCCGGACCGGGAAGGACGCGTCTTCCCATTGTTCTCTCCTCTCACCTGCAGTCTGTACCATGGAAGGCCTGGCCTCAACATCGTCCGGTGCCATGGATCAACGAAGGAAGGATGCCCTGAAGGCCTACCGCGAGGTGTGTAAATGACAACCTGCTGAGGGCTTAGCTTAATCATGCATAGAAAATGCGCAATCATGAAGCCAGCAGCGAGAGCTTGAAGAATCGTGCGTCACATATATATCTTTTTCAGTACTCTTAACTGATGATTGGTAGTCCGCTTCTCCCTGAAGGATCTCGAGAAGGCGTATGAGAAGACGGAGGAGGACATCAAGGCCGTCCAGTCAGTCGGTCAGATCATCGGCGAAGTGATGAAGCAATTGGACGATGAGCGATGTGCGTACTCCCGACCCTCCTTCCATTTCTTCCCTCATTGAACATCTCCAGTCATTGTCAAGGCCTCGTCAGGACCCCGTTATGTCGTCTCTTATCGCCCAGCATTACCCGCCGAGAAGCTCAAGCAAGGGACGCGCGTCTCGCTCGATATGACCACCCTCACGATCATGCGCATCCTCCCGCGCGAGGTCGACCCGCTCGTATACAAGATGAGCTTGGAGGATCCGGGAGGTGCCTCTTTCGCCGGTATCGGTGGCTTGGGCGAACAAGTGCGCGAGTTGCGAGAGGTGCGTGATGATGCTCAACGCATGAGGTTAATGGCGCTAACCTGGCTACCAGATCATCGAGCTTCCCCTCCTCAATCCAGAACTCTTTCTCCGCGTGGGTATCAAGCCGCCGAAGGGTGTGCTGCTGTACGGCCCGCCAGGTACGGGGAAGACGTTGCTCGCGCGTGCCGTCGCTGCGACCTTGTCGACGAACTTCTTGAAAGTGCGTGCTTGCCCTCACATAGTATATTGCGTATGCTGAACAGGTTGCGTAGGTCGTCTCCTCTGCCATCGTCGACAAGTACATCGGCGAGAGTGCCCGTGTCGTGCGCGAGATGTTCGGCTACGCGCGCGAGCACGAGCCCTGTGTCATCTTCATGGACGAAATCGACGCCATTGGGGGTCGGCGGTTCTCCGAGGGTACCAGCGCGGATCGCGAGATTCAGCGCACGCTGATGGAGGTGTGCAGCACCTATCTCCACATCGTTCCTCACAGCATACTCACACAATTATCATAGCTGCTGAACCAAATGGACGGCTTTGACTCCCTCGGCCGCACCAAGCTCATCATGGCCACCAACCGACCTGATACCCTCGACCCCGCACTTTTGCGGCCAGGTCGCCTGGACCGCAAGATCGAGGTCCCGTTGCCGAACGAGCAGGCAAGGTTGGAGATCTTGAAGATTCACGCCGCGCCGGTGAACAAGGCGGAGGATATTGATTATGAGGCGATCGTCAAGGTTCGTAATCCTTTTTCTGTTGCGCTGTTGCTACGTCGTCGTTGAGGTCGGTGCGCTGCTGTCGAGGTCGATGCGCCGCTGTCGAGGTTGCTCAGTCGATGTCAACACGTCGTGGTCAAGCAAAGCACGGATACTCACGATCATCGCCCCTATAGCTATCCGACAGCTTCAACGGCGCCGATCTGCGGAACGTAATTACCGAAGCGGGCATGTTCGCGATCCGGGACGAGCGCGAGTACGTGAAGCAGGAGGACCTGACGAAGGCGGCCCGGAAGGTGGGCGAGGCGAAGAAGCATGAGAGTGAGTGTCTCCTTTTCCCGTGTCTCCTTTTCCCGTGTCTCCCTCTTTTCCAGTGTCTCCCTCTTTTCCATTGTTTCCCTTCTTTCCAGCGTCTCCTTTCCCAGTGTCTCCCTCTTTTCAAGTGTCTCCCTCTTTTCCAGTGTCTCCCTATCCTCAGTGTGCTACGCATCGTTTGCTGAATGCTGACCTCCTTCGCAGCGAAGATGGAGTATTCCATGTAGATGCTTTACACATGACTGTATTTGTTCTTCCACTGCATGATGATGATTTCGAGCATTTGGACTTTTCGAAAGAGGGCGGATAGTCCTCCGAGGGTGGAAGGACTCGTCTCTGTAGGAGTGGGACGCGTGAGCGCAAGACAACCTTCTTCTACACCTCCGAAGCGGACTTGTTCTTCGGTCTCGGGCCTGGTGTGTTATCCCCTGACCGTCGATTGCCGTATAGTGAAGGGGCTTCTGTTGGTGAGTGGGATGGGCCAGGATCACACGATGCCAACATACGACCTCGTTCCTCATCGCTAGCTACGACTCGTAGTAGATATGGCGAAAGCCTTCGATACCGTCTTCTAGTGGTTCCCTGGCCTCGACACAAACGACATATCGACTTGGTAGCCACGGCAAGCCGCATCTCACTCAACAGCGTGAACAAGTCTGCGCACGGCTCATTTTCGGTCGGTCTATGGGTATTCTAGTCACCAGACTATCGACCGCGGTCTGCCTAGCCTGGGTTTTGACCATCGTTTCGAGGTTCTTGCGATGAGCGTCCCACTGTCAGGTAGGTATATAGGCACAGGGAACCACGACGTACGACAGCTAACGCCCTCGGCAACATGTACGGTGAGTAATTACTTGATCGTCTCGCTGTTCCACGCTTACCATCTGCTCAGCGCTACTCTTCGTCAGGGCTCTCGCGCTCCTATGCGCCCCCACGCTCGCCCTCGCGTACACCAACCCCATCCTCTGGAACGACCTCGCCGACCTCGACGTCTCCCGCGTCAACGACAACTACTACTACTCCGCTTCCACCATGCACTACTCCCCCGGCGCGCCTATCCTGCAATCGCACGACCTCATCAACTGGGAGTACATAGGGCACTCCGTACCCAGGTTGGACTGGGGGAGCGATTATGATTTGACGACGGGGCGGGTGTACAGGCAGGGCGTGTGGGCGTCGTGGTTGAGGTATCGGGCGAGTCAGGATACGTGGTATTGGGGCGGGTGTGTGGATTTTTGGATTTCGTATGTTTATAGTGCGCCGAGTGTGACGGGGGAGTGGACGAGGAGGGCGAGTATCGAGAAGGTGGGTGGCGGGTTGCGAGAACGGTGGGGGACTGCAAAGGGGAGACGGTGTGCTGATGTGATTCACGCAGTGCTACTACGACTCGGGGCTGTTGATTGACGACGATGATAAGATGTACATTTCCTACATCTCAGACGACAACATTTGGGTGGCGCAGCTATCGGACGACGGAACAGAGGAGGTGACCTCGCAGCAGGTCTTTGTTCCGCCGGCCGATATCGGTGCGTCCATCCTCTCTGCACAGTCTCCTCTGGTCCTCATAGCATGGACCCAGGCTACCTCGAGGGCACACGGCCATACAAGTACGACGGACGATACTACATCCTCGCCACGAAGCCCGGCGCGGGGACGTACATGCTTCAAGCTGATAGCATATTCGGCAACTACACGATCAAGACGCTCGTGCTGAACGTGCCGCAGGCGGACAATAAGGCAGGGTCGGTGCATCAGGGCAGTCTGGTGGATACGCCGGAGGGCGATTGGTACTATATGGGGTTCATCGACGCGTATCCTGGTGGTCGAATTCCGGTCATGGCACCGATTACTTGGGGTGAAGATGGATTTCCTGTTGCGCAGGTCAGTCAGGCCAGCTAGAATATAAAGACTTTTTTTACAACCCGCACAGCTCGCTGACGGCGCCTTCGCCACTACATACGACGACCCGATCCCGCAGGTCCCCACCCCATCGCTTACGGGAACGGAAACCTTCGACACCCTCGGGCCGAGATGGGAGTGGAATCATAACCCGGACACATCTGCTTACTCTGTCGGTGACGGCCTAACGCTGAACTCCGTCACCGTGACCACCGACCTCTACTCTGCGCGCAACACACTCACTACGCGTATCCTCGGACCCGACTCGACCGCCACGATCGAGCTCAACTACGAGGACATGGCCCCGGGCGATCGCGCGGGTCTCGTCCTCCTGCGGGATCACTCTGGATATGTTGGTGTGCAGAACGACGGCGGCTCGTTCACGGTGGTGATGGTCACCGACATCGATATGGATGAGAACTGGGATACGGCGTCAAATGGGACGGTCGTTGCGACCGCGGAGATTAGTGGTGGCACAGTTTGGCTGCGCCTATACGCAGATATCACGCCTCAAGGAGGACAAGCGCCCAACATCGCGCGCTTCTCGTATAGCACGGACGGAAGCACGTTTACGAGTATTGGGGAGGACTTTACGATGGTGACGGGCTGGGAGTTCTTTATGGGGTATCGGTTTGGGATATTCAACTACGCGACAAGTGATCTTGGTGGCTCCGTCCACGTACCGTCTTTCACTCTGGATGCGGGTTCTGTATGAATATGTAATGTATCTGTATACCCAACTTGTGTACCTGTGTACCTCTGGTAGCGCTAGTAGGACAGGCGCTGGAACATCCTGTACTTCTTCAGTTCGAATTTGTGGTTACAAACTCAACCAAGTCACGAGACTCGGAGCCGAACAAGCCACGTGCGCCTGAGCAATGATCAGGTCTTGTTCTCAACCTTCATTGTCATCCTAGCGCTGTTGGTCTCATGGCGCCCTCCTTGAAGAAATCGAAGGCCTCTCAACCTTCCGTGACCCTGCACAACTTCTTTGCGAAGAGTCCTGCCACACAGAAAGCGCAGCCGAAATGCAAGTCGAAACCCATACCGAAGGGGAAGGCGTCGCCAGTCACACCGAGACTTCGTGTGAAGGCTGAAAGTAGCGAAGCTACCGTCATTGAGATATCAGACGATGAAGAGCCGGAACAGTCCAAGCCGACACCGTCGCGCAAGGGGAAGCGCAAGAGCATCGACTGCGAAGACGCCGTTGTTGTCGAAGATGAGCGACCATGTCGCAAACGACGCCTATCGGAGGACAAGACCTCCTCAACATGTGCAGCATCGTTTGGCGAACTCGTCTTACTTCTTTCTTCCTCACCACCGCGGGTAGCAACACCTGTCGACCAGTCCGCTAGCGAACCGACAATGCGCTTCGGCGAGCCGGACATTCTCTCCATACCTTCATCGCCCGCCCCAGCAGCGGATACAATGTCGTCAAGTACCCATCCAACTCACATAGATCTGCCATCTAGTGCGCCAGGGGATTTGGTCAAGCAGAGCGACGAGACTCCGTTGGAAACACCTGGTGCCGGGTCTAGCAACTCGGTCACACCTATCACTCTGGAGGACGGGCTGGGCCAGTGGGAGGATTCAGAGTGGGGAACAGGGGACGATGAGCTCTCGCGGACGTTGGATGGAGATGATCCCGAGCTGGAGATGGGCGACGAAGAAGCAGATGATGCCAGAGTGTGCCCGGTGTGCGAGCAGCATTTCCCATCCGACGCAGTGCGTACCCATACTCTCCCCTCGGAACACGGTATTGACACCGCATTTAGGTCCTAAAAGACCACGTCAACACGTGCCTAGCAGCCCCTACGAGCAGGACAAGCGCGCCACCGAAGAAAGCCCTCCGTCCCATATCCGCGATCGAACCGCCACCCGCCAAAGCCTTCCGCCCACGCCCTCCCAATGTCGCCTCCGGCAACGCCTTCGCCGTCCTCATGTCCTCACTGAAGGAGAACGACGCCTGGAAGGAGGCGACCGTCGCCGAGGATCGCACCTTTCGCCCCACGAAGACCAATCGTAGAAAAGCCCCTTTTTACAAGGTCCTTCAAGGGATGCCAATTGCGGTGGATGCGTTCCGCTATGGGAGCATACCGGGTGTGAAGGCGTACTTTTTGACGTGCGTTGGCCCCTTGATTCATCCGTATACGCCCTTCTGAACCCCGCATAGGCACGCCCACTCCGACCATTACACCAACCTCTCCTCATCCTGGGACAGCGGGCCCATATACTGCTCCGAGGTCACTTGCAACCTCATCGCCCACATGCTGCGTGTCGACAAGAAGTGGCTGCATCCTCTTCCCCTTGACACGCCTACCGAGATTCCCGACACCGGGGGCGTGAAGGTGACCTTGATCGAGGCGAACCACTGCCCGGGGTCCTCCCTCTTCTTCTTCGAGGGCCGGCAGACGGTCAACGCAGGCGACAGCGCATTCAAGTCGCCGTTTGTGGGCACGGGCAGGGTGTTTAGGTATCTGCATTGCGGGGATTTCCGGGCGTCGCCGCGTCATGTAGAGCATCCGTGCGTGAAGGGGAAGAAGATCGACCATGTCTATCTGGATACGACGTATCTGGATCCGAAGGTAGGGCAGGCTAGTGGTTTGAGAAGGGAGAAGAGGAAGCTAACGGGTTTGCAGTATACGTTCCCGCCTCAGCCGCAGGTCATCGATGCGTGCGCGGAGCTGGCGAGGCGGATTGTTAATGGGCTGCCTACTGGGACAGAGACGACAATGATCGATGGTTGGGTCAGCACGAAGGAGAAGGCGGCCTCGAGCTCTGACCGTATACTTGTTTTGGTCGGGTGAGTGCATTTGCTCAATTGACTTCTGCGGGATCTCACACTCGCCTTCGCAGTACGTATTCCATCGGCAAGGAGCGAATTGCGAAGGGTACGTCGCCTCGTTTCACAGCTGTCCCATCTTACAGCTCTGCCATCTTGCTTACACCCTACTTAGCAATCGCACACGCGCTGAATAGCAAGATCTACTGCGACAACAGGAAGGCGGCCATCTTGCGATGCGAGCAGGATAAGGAGCTCGATGCACTGCTGACCTCCAACCCGAGGGAGGCCGCTGTACATCTGGTGCCCCTCGGTGTGATCACGTCCGACAAGCTCAAGCCGTACTACGAGCGGTATAAGGACACGTTCAGCAGGGCGGTGGGTTTTCGGCCTACAGGATGGACGTACGTGCTTTGTGTCTTCCCTGCTCCTCACCAACTATACTAACTAACTGCCCTCTCAGCTTCACCCAACCCGCCGGCACCGACCTCTCCCCACCCATCCCCACCATCATCGCCCGCGGCCAGTCCAGGACCTATGCCTACACCGACCTGCGCCCCACGCGCAACTCCACGCCGCTGCTCCAGCTCTACGGCGTGCCGTACTCCGAGCACTCGTCGTTCTTCGAGCTGACGTGCTTTGCGCTGAGCTTTGATTGGGTGAGGATGATCGCGACGGTGAATGTGGGGAGCGAGCATTCCAGGGGGAAGATGGCGAAGTGGGTGCAGAGGTGGGAGGCGGAGAGGAAGAAGAGGGGGAAGGTGGAGGTGGTGGGGGCGAGGAGGGAGGATTATTGGTGACGAGGTTACCGGAGAGGATTTGGGACTGATGAGGCGCGAGTTCGTATGATGATGACCTTGAGAGTCTCTCAAGAAACATATCTTACAGTAGTTACATACAGGCAATCTGATACAATAATACTGTACAATACGAACCACTTCTTGAATCACGTAGTCCTACGGCGGCATACCTCTGTCCGGGATGTTAACCTGAATGAAGGTACACTTCCGGTAGTGTCGCGAAATCTCCCTCTGCAACTCGTCTCGCCGGATAGACTGGACGATGCCTTGACCGCATGCGTAACAGAAGTGCCTGTGGGGATGATTGTCAGTATCTCGATCAAAAGCAGTAAGCTACCGACGCGTACCAGTTGCAGCCGGGTGACGGACACTGGTGGGAGAGGGTCAGCGAAACCTTGTGGCGAGAGAAGGTGGTCTCACCGTCATATGATTGCAGCCCTCCGTTTTCTGTATATTCGTCTTGCATCCTATACCGAAGAGCGGTGTCAGCGAACGCCTCAATACGTCGAGCGGTATGCGATGTAGACAGTACTGTCCGCACCACACAACGCCCACTCACCCGGACACGCCTTCCATCCGCGGTCCTTCATCAGCGTCGCGAGCTCGAGCGAGCCGTCGCACGAGTGCTCGACGCGCCCGAATCCAATTTCTTGCTGGCAGTGCCGGCACCACGCATACGTGCAGCCAGGGAGCGGGCATGCGACGATGCGGCTTGCCTGATACTCGCTTTTGTCGACGAAGACGGTGTTCTGGCATCTGGGGGCGGGCTGTTAGCGAGTGAGCGGGGTTCGGATTGTTGGCGAGATCGTAGCGGGTGGGTGGTAATGGGGAGGGACGGCGGAGTTGAAAAGGATGATGGAAAGGGATGATGGGGAGACTTACTTTCGGCAGTAGATGGGCACGCTATAGGCGGCGAGCTGAAGCTCCTCGAGGATTTCGAGGTCCTTTTGAGGGATGTTAGTCTGCTGGATGAGGTCTTCTTCGATTACTGAGATATTGTGAGCGAAGCGTCGAGTAAGAAAGGACAAAGACTGACTGCCAGGCTCCCGAGTCGGCTGCTCTGTAGGGCATATTGGACAGCGCATAGGGAACACGCGCTCGCGAATCTTGGTGAGGATGTACCCGCGCATGCACTCTCGGCATAGGGCGTGGTTGCACATACGGATGCGCGCAATGTCAGTCTCGGGGTGCTGATCCATGCAGACCGAACAGGTGAATATGCCGACAGCGCTCTTGGCGAGCGTTTCGCGCTCCGCGCGGAGGCGCCTGTCCTCTTCAAGATATGCATCCTGCAGTTGTAGGGCTTGCAGCTCTTGGGGGGATAGGGCGCTGCTGTTCGCAGTAAAAGAGTGGGTTCGGCCGTTCGAACGCTCTGGTCTTTTGCCCTTGCCAACGTCGACGGACTGACGATGATCCCGACTGGTGCTCGGTGTCGACAGCTGCGTCGCCGATGACGATTGTGCGGACAGTTGAGCGGGCGGTGATGGCTTCGCAGAGCGCTTCTGTGCTATCTCGACTCGTCGATGAAGCTCCCTATTCTTCTTTTCAAGTTCACCGATTTCGTCTTCGTAGCGCTTGTTCATATCGGTCAGAGCAGCGTTCTGAAATTTCGTGTCCTCGAGCTCGCCCTGGAGGCGGAGTATGGCGATAGAAGAGTCCCAGAGGACCTGCTGTAGCTCTTCTTCAGGAGGACGCAGATCATGAGCGCGCGTTGGGACGATGAGATGTCCGGAGAAGTTCGAGAGAAGCTGAGCTTGCCATTGCATGCCCGTGTCGGCAAGCAGGCGGGCATCGACGGCAAGAAGAGAGTGCAGATACTTCGCTACCTGGTCCAAGGACTTCGAGAAGAACCAGCCAGCTCCGTCTGGATGTGACGGGCGAGAGTGGGAGTCAAAAATCGCAAAGACGGACTTCGGGTTCGCTCCATTTGCTGAGCCTAGGGGAAGCTTGAGGCATGCCACTATCTCTGGAGGCCGAGTAATGACCACAGCAGCGCAGCCATTTATCGAAGGGATATCTCTCAAATCTCTGCAAAGGTGGAGGTGAGAAAGTCGAACAATGGAACACGTGGTGGTGCACGAACTCGACAAGTTCCCGGAGCTTGCGGTGGCCGACGGCCGCGAATTTCGTCTCAACCAGCTTGAGCGAACGCGCGAACAACGGCAGCGCCAGCAGCTGCTCGACTTCGAGATGCGAGCTCCCTTGCCAGCAGTCCGTCGCCACCATGATCTCCTGGAGAACCGCGTCAGTAACCTGTAATAAACCAGCAATTCGACAGTTTGCCTACGTCCGTCATGGCTGAACTCAGCGTCGATCTCAATCGCTCTTCATCACTCTGCTTATTCTCGAAGACTACGCGAGCGCAGTTCAAGGCAGCGAGCCCGCAGGCTGATACGCCGCCACTTCGGTACTGACTTGTTTGGGGGAATGTGCGGACGACATCCTCGCCCTGAAGTATGCGACCGATTGTCGTGGCGGACGATTCCGTTCCTGAGTGTCTGCTCCTGGATGAACTGGCCATCTCCAGGCAGTTCTCAAACGATAGGCTCGGCGAAGCGCTGAACTCTGCAGGCGGTTTGGGAGGAAGCAAGGGATACTGACCACACTACCGTCCGGAATCAGTGTACATATAGATATCGTGCGTGCCACACTTCCTTTTCCTCAAGCCTACGATGCTCACTCCACGTCGCCACAGTACTCGATAGACGATCGATGCAATGCACTACGATGAGGACCATCCTCATGTCTGAGCCCCCGCTTCCATAGCTCGTACGCGCCCACAAACGCCCTCCTGCACGTTCGCAAGACGGCGTCTATCTGCCACTACCCCCTCGTGTACTTTGCCGCCCGATAGGCACCTTCCTTGCGCCGAGTCATTCGTCTGTGTCCTCCCTAATTCCCTCCCCGTCGTTGTGGCTGAGGGGTGGCGTTGAGACGGAGGCTTTCCGAAAATTACCAGATGATGTTGGACTTCTATCGATGCGCAGCGGACCCCCGGAGGCGCGATATCCAAGGCAATCGTCCCGGTCTCCGCCCGCAGGTTACAATGAAGCTCAGACACGGGAGTCCAGGCGCAGCGGAAGCTTGGTCGAATATGCGCCAGTGGCCTCCCGCACGAAGTTCCTGAATATCAGCTGCCCTTATCCGATACCCTCTCGCCACCCTTACGATGTGGGGTTGCCTTCTGGCACGCCCTGAGGTACGCGTCTATTAGGGTCGTGTCGAGGAAGGTCGATCGCGTCATGCGGCTGACTTGAGGTCTATCGCCTTTGTGCGAGCCCGCTCCTTTCATCCTGCAGCCATGGCAAGCTTCAAGCCTCCCGAGCTGTTCCCTGACGAAAAGCTAGTTCGATACGACGTTCCGATGAACCGTGAGCGTTCACCGTTCCGGCGTGGGCTTGCTTGACGCCGTTGCAGAGCATCACGATCAACCTGCGGTGACAGTCCGCGTTGACAATGCCTCTGGCGCGTCCGGATCGCAATCAGTTGGTACAAGTGTCCATCCAACCAGAGTCGATGTCCTCAAAGCGTCTCAAGAGGGTAGCGCCAAACGCACCGTAAGGCAGTTGTTGTCGAGGTCTTGCTTATGCCTGAGCATCTCACAGGCGCCCGATGCAACTACGACTATCGACGCGAACGGCCAACCTCGTCCTCTCTCCCCAGACCCTAGCGTCAAGCAGGCGCATGCGCGTTTCGCACCTACCACGTCGCAGGACGTTCATCCTAAGCAAGAAAGCAATGATCTCGCCGAGTCCATCCCGGGCTTGTACCGCATTCTCGACCTCATCAACGAGCAGGGGAGCGGCGGTCTAGGTGAAGTCTAGGTGTCTGTCGAATGAGACGGCGGTACTGACGCATCGCTAGTTGACAAGATCATCATCGCCCAGGATTCGCTGGCGCGCTTCATCAACGAAGTCTGCCCCGGCGCCTATCAGTCGCTCACGAAAGTCGACTTCAAGGCGCTCGATAAGCTGACCGTCAAGCCCATCGGCATCTACGGGAGCAAGTCCGAGATCGTGAAGCTCCTGGAGACGACCAAGGTCGTTAACCGCAAGCTGTGCGTATGACTGGTGCTCATAGTACGAGGCAAGGATGCTGATGATGCCTTTCTAGATCTAGCGCGCTCCTGCGCGCTAAAGACGACTCTCCGGGGCGCAAGCTTCGCTCGGGTCTGTACTTCGTGCGCATGACTCTCCCTACCGCGTCCGAGGAGCAACTGTTCGTTATATACTGGCCAGAGGATGCAACGTGGAACGACAATGCTCCCTCCGCGGTGTGCAAGAATCGTGTCACCTTCATCCGGTAAGCCAGGCCGTCGTCAATGGCTGTTCGCAAGTTAACACGTCCTCCTGCACAGCTTCCTTACGAAGATTGCGGATCAGACGATGTGCTTGATCTCCCCGGAGCACGCTCAGCAGATGGTATGGAAGGAGGCGGCTGTCGAGGACGAAGACGTAGACCTCGACGAGGACGCGGATCGGTTCTTCACCTTCGAGGTCGCGAAGACGAACGAGCAGGAGGAGGACGTCGCGGTCCGTCCCGGCATTCGTGTAGGTATCCCTTGACCGCTCGATGCGTGAGCTCACCTTCATCTCAGTTCCACTCGCCCTCGCTGGGTGTCTCAGACAGCGCTGCGGAGAGCAACATCGATGGGGATATACTCGCGCCGCATCTGATCGCGGGAGAGACTACGCAAGCCTTCGTGACGGCGCGCTACTTTGCGCAGCAGTCAGAGACCACTCCGATCCGCTACAAGCAGTACAATAAAGCACAGATCGAGTACTACTTCAAGTGAGTGTGGTCGAACTCGTCCACTGCTGGGTTCTGACCTTTTGTAGACAAGGCGCTGCCGTCTACCTTGGAGACGAGCTTGACTCCAAACAGATCGAATGTCTCATGAACTGCGGCCTCCGCGAGGCGTTCCCAAGCCCGTGCAGTCGTTATCAGCAGAACGTCCGAAATTCCAATACGGACATCGACGCTGACTTGCGCGACAAGCGCGACGAGGTCAAGGACAAAGTCAACGGCAGCAAGAGCGCCTTCAAGAAGGCAGTTCGTGTCGCCATTGTCGAGCATGTTGCCTCGCTTTATCCGTATGTTATTTCTGAAGACCGTCCATATAACGACTGATGGTCAGCGTAGGTTATTGAGGGAACGCTTGTGGTCGATCGTCGAGACCGATGGAGAGGAGGAAAAGGACAAGGGGAAAGGAAAAGGGAAGGAAAGAGGCGGTGTCGACGACATTGCAGACGGGCAGTCAGCGCCCAATAACGTGGAAGAGACGAAGACGGTTCGCAGCGACGCGAAGGACGGGGTGGATCTCAGCAAGAAGGAGTCCGCAGCTTCGGAAGATGCTATAGGTATGTCCAACTCGATCTTCCAAGCCTGGCGGACGTTTCAAAGGACTCCATAGGTTCATTCCAGCATCTCATACAGCTCGTCCCCGCCATGGAGCGTGCTTTTGTAGAACAGATGAAGCATGACGAGCTCGAGAAGATCTCCAAGCATTCGACCGCCTATCGCACCCTCAAAGATCGCCTCATCATCGCTCAAGTTGTCATGGACACTTCCAACTATGCGAAGCTGGACGTAGGGAAGCGCGAGGATCTGCTTGCATCCATCATCGCAGGAGGTGACTTGAAGGGCAATCTTTATTCTGACGCGGCGAAGTCAAGCAGAACCAGCTGGATCAAAGACACATTCAGCAAATTCTGGGGGAAGGATACCTCCGTCGAAGACTCTATCAAGGATCGCGCACTGCGTGTGGCGCGCAAAACCGATGACCCTGAATTTCTGACCAGCCTCGACGACCTACTCGTTCGCGACGCCGGATTCAAGACGCCCATCGCGCAGACCATCGATGTCGCATACCAGTGCCTACATGATATCATTGAGAAGTCTGAGCGCACCTTGACACCAAAGCTACTGAGCATTCAGCAGACGGTGTTGTCGGACCAGATGGCGCAAGCCGCTACTATCGAGAAGGACCGACAAGCCAAGACGCACCGTCAAGCGCTCATCCGCGAGGTCAATAATGCAGCGCGACCTGAGGCTACGTGAGTTTGCCAGACATGTTGAATGGCCTTCCCCTGCTAAATTTGTTTGCTTTTAAAGCGAAGTATTCCACCTCGACAGTATCGAGGCTCTCACGTCCTACTCCTCGTACTCTCGTCCTAGTATGTATGTTTTGACACGCCTCTGAACTCATCACTAAGTTTCTCCGCCAGCGTACACCATCTGTGGTCATCAGCAGCGTCGTCTCGCTCCCGCTATCGAATACACTGTCCATCCTCTCGGCGTTCCTTCGGGTGACAAGCAGGAATTGCAGATGAATCGGATGCATATACCGGCGTTGCGGGAAGAAGCACGCTTTGCTCAGAGCTTTCGATTGCCTGTGCACTATCGCGTGCGCCATCTCCAACTGCTGGCGAATGGGAAATGTCTCCTGATCGTCGATAACGGGCACAACTTCCATGTCTACCTCGAGGACCTGCCCGCGCTCGCTGGCGCTACCGACAATGGTCGTATCAAGAAGACACTCCATCAAGACAAGATAGGATCGGACATCGTGTTCGCCGTCGACGAGCAAACGCGGCTTTTGGCGCTATGCTCCACACACAAGGTGAGTTTTTATGATACTTCGATACCGCACACTCAAAGTTGGTTTAGTTGATGTTGTATGTGTACTCTTTCGACGAGGCTTTCGCAACCGTCAGATCGACGCATATCATCGACCTCAACCAATGGTACCCCGACGGTTCTTCCATGCACCAGATGTGTATCGTCAGCGGCAGTGAAGAGGTTCTCTTGATCGACAACGTGGCGCAGGTGCGCGTCTTTTCCCTCATCACGCAGCAGTTCAGGTAAAGCGATCTTACTCTTTGCTCGTCCTCCACTCATGCCTCAATAGACCTGCGACGCTATCCTTGCCGAGACTTCCCGTTACCTGCTTGACCTCACCCGATGGCGGATGTCTGATCCTCATGTTCAAGGACACGGACGACTCGCCGCCTGCGACGCGTGCCTATCACTGGAGTACGTTTGGGTCTGGCGAGGGCATCGCTCTTGACTTGCCTTCGGCAAAGGAGTCCGCTATATCAACATCCATCGTGAATCGCAGTAACGTGCACCTCGCCTGGATTGAGGCTGGCGACAAGACCATCTGCTCCTACGCCCTCGACATCACCAAGAAGGTCACCGAGTTCAGCTTCCAGGAGAAAGGGTTCAAGTCGTCGTCGCGGTCTAACACACAGACCTTGCATAATAGCCTCATCGAATGCCATGCCGATGTCTGGACGCGCTTTCCAGTCATACCCGCCATCCCTCGCCAGACCGTCGTCACAGACGTCAGTCGACCCGATAGGAGCCTCGTCTTCGTCTCCGAGCACCACCAAGATCGATTTGCTTCGCACTTTGTCGAGATGATCCAGTCATTCGAGCAGCGTACTCGCAAGCCTTCTGGAAAGGTCCTCCGTGATATCCGGGTGGATGCTGTCGCGTTTCAGGATGTCCGTGACGGTGTCATGCCAGGCGTTGAGTGGGACTCGGAAATCTCCCGGTTCCGCCTCGGTGAATGGCTCGTGGATGTCTTCTGCCTGATCCCGATACACATCGCCGTTACCCGCGACAACCGCTTCGTTCCGTTGAAGGATGGTGTCTACTCCACGGAGTTGGAAAGGGCACTTCTTGGGGCCGACGTGGGTCAGATCGTGGATGCGCTGTCTTTGGGCTGGTACGAGTCGATCTTCCAGTCATACCAATCGACGAAGGTTTGTACTATACCTGCCCTGCTAGTCAGCTCGTGACCTAACATAACTTGCATAGCCCGTCAAGGTGGTGTCATCGATGGGTGAGTTCGCCCTCATACCTTTCTTCGTGGCTCTTATCGCCTGGGCAGGTGAACAATCCGTGGGCAAGAGCTTCGCGTTGAACCATCTGGCCGATACATCTTTCGCTGGCAGCGCGATGAGGACCACCGGTATGACCGCCGTCAAGTCAGAGACTACGGCGCGACTGATGTGCTTTACTACTATAGAGGGCGTTTGGTTGGCGGTCACACCAACAGATACATGTCTCGTTGTCGCTTTGGACTTCGAAGGCAAGTCAAAGTCTTAACTGTGACCACCACAACTGATTCATCGTCGTGCAGGTGTTCACAGTATCGAACGGTCGGCTCAAGAAGACATGCTGCTGGTCCTTTTCAACGCGGCCATCTCCAACCTGGTGCGTTCCTCGCCAAAGCTGCTGTCCACGTACGAACTGACCTCACTTAGGTTCTCTTCCGCAATAACTTCGCCCTGTCGCGGGACATTACGGACCTGTTCCAATCTTTTCAGTCTTCGTCATCCATCCTGGACCCTGCGGCCAATCCGAGCCTGTTCCAATCGACGCTTGTGATCATCATCAAGGTGAGATCAGTTTTTTTCTAGACCACTTGAGCTCACCTATGCTCAGGACGTAGTAGAGTCAGATAAGAAGGAGATCGTCAAAGAGTAATTGTGCTTCCTTTCTTGCTCAATAGTTTACTCACCTCTTCGAAAGGTTTCGGCTTAAATTGCAGGTATGGCAGCAATGCATTTTCATCGTTTCCATCTAATGGCCACTGATCCTTGATCTCTGCAGCAAATCGTTCACGAAGAGCAGGATGCGAACTTCATCTCGAAGCTTCATGCAGGCAGACTCAACATCATTCCATGGCCGGTCATCGAATCCAAGCAGTTTTACGCGTATTTTGTCACGCTCAAGAATGCACTCGACAAGCAAGTGTTGACGCATCCATCTGCTGGCAATTTCCTACAGACCCTCAAGACCTTGATGGCGAAGCTCAAGGTGCGTGTGCCTTATATATTGACGACTGGCGAGCATTGACGCGCGTGACAGAGCAACGACTGGGGCTCGATAGATCGTAAGTGCAGTCTCCACGTATTCTCGTCTCTTTACAACTCCAATGCGCAGAAACTCTCGCTGCCCATCGCGCCGGTCGTCTGCTCGAGGTGCTCCCCATTGCCTTCGCTCGCGGTTTTGCCGACGCATATGACGACGAGCCGTTGAAGGTGAAGTGCTACGCTGTGAAGCGCGCAGCGGATATCTGAATGCAGTATCTAGAACATGGACACCAACGAAGAAATCGCGATGTCCGACACCGACGCCGTGCTTCACGTTGCCGTTCTTGCTGGCGAAAGCGTCAACGCAGACAGCGCTTTGGAAAACCTGAAAAAGGGATGGTCTCAGATTTCCTCGCGCTCAGCGGTGGCCGAGGATCTTTGGGTCGCGCGACTCTCGTCTTATCTCGATGGGATAGTTGACCAGCGCGTCGAGCACGTCCATGCGTGGCTGGAAACGAATCTCGAGCGCTTCAAGGCTGAGCACGCGAGCATCGATAATCTCCGACGCACGTTTGCCACCATCGGTGCCCAGATGAAGGCCGACGTGGAATTGTGCAAAGTCAAGTGTTCGACGTGCAACTTGCTCTGCCTTCGGAGTCGTCGCCACAGCTCCAGCGAGCCCCACGACTGCGGGACCAACCACGTATGCCCGCAGCACTGCGATTACAGTGATGAGCACCTCGATGAAGAAGCCATCTGCGGACTACCGTAAGGCATTCGAATTTCATGTAGGCTGTTGCTGACGAGGTTCTTAGCGCGGGGCATGCAGGGAAGCACATGTGAGCACACTGGCCTGCGTTTCATATTCTCTTAGCTGAATGGTTCCTGTAGTTGCGTCGTTGAACGGCATCTCTGCGGTGAGCCATGCAACTTGCGCAACAAGAAAGGCTGCCTCGGCGATTGTATCAAGGTATTTTCGCGCAATATTGTGCACACAGTATAGGACTAATCGGGACTTAGCCTACTGGCCATACTGAGGACGAGCATATGTGTGCGGCTCAGATTCATGCCTGTGGCGAGGTAATTTTGGCAGGAAATGTCGCAGGCTCAGTTCACTTACGATGGGACAGCCATGCGACCTTATCGATGTCGCTCTGAAGGACGGTTCGATGTACTCTTGCGGGGGTACTTGCCGAATTCCTAGGTAGGGTGCACCCTCTTCCTGCGTTCCGTTATGCTGATGTAACTTCGCGCAGTCACGAAATCCACGATGAACACGTCTGCGACGTTCGCATGTGCCCACTGGAGTGTGCGCTTTGTCATAGACTTTGTTCTGACCAGGACCATCTACACGCTTTGGACCACGATGCGCAGCATCTCTGCGGGTATGAAATGCTTTGTTTTCACCTATGGGTTTTGCTGATTAGCCCCTAGACAACCTCATCCCTGTCCCGAACGATGCACCACCAGCGGTATATGCGAGATCGATACGACTCCATTGTCTGTCGAGGCGACCTTCACAGGCCGGCACGAGACTTTCCAGTACACCAAGGTTCGTAGATGAGTAGACCTCGATTGCACATCGACTGACGTTTCTGCAGTATACACAGGGTTCGTGGCGTCAAACCAGGATGTAGTATAGCACTAAATGTGCTATAGTCGCGAAGCGTCTTCAGTGCGCTGTGACTATCCCAGCTAACAAGAAAGCGCACGATGGGCCTCATACACATACAACGGCCGCGAACGCATTCCACTACTGCGAGGCTAGGTGACTTACCGTACTTCGTACGCGTTTGGCATGTTTTGACTGATATTCTGTGGTTCAGATGCGAGAACTGCGGGTACTACTGCACGATGCCTCGAGGTAAGCGTTATGAAAGTAGTGCGTTCTGAGTGTTATCTTGAACACTACGAGCAGGTCACTCGCAACAAGAGCACGAGACGAGCCACGGCTCCATGTCCAAGACGCGATGGGCCCTTGACGATCAAGACGGCACCATTGAGCTCAACGGTCGCAAGTTTGGCGCTGACGATGATGGGGCGCCGATGCTCTGCAACCTGGTGTGCAAAGACATGGGTCGGCATGTGCACGTAGACAATTGTCGCGCTCCATCCGGGTCGGCGTGCCAGGGTGAAGGCATTTTGCATATCCGCGAGCGCATGAGGCCAGATCCGGACACGCCTAAGGATTGGATCTCTCACGGCCTCTTCTGGAAGCGCACCGGTGCGTATATACCCATCCTCTTTCTCTCGTCTAACACTCAATCGTCTATCTTATTCAGGCTTCAAAGGTGAGGATGAAAAGAATCGCCGGCGAGCAGTGGTTCAAGCCTATCCCAGACCCATACTCAAAGGAGGACCAAACGAGCTTTGCCAAATGGTACGTTCGAAATCCCACTGATGATGATGATCTATCTGACCTTCCGCTCAGCGACGCGATGTGTTCCGGTAGATTGCACTCCTGCGCGCGGCACGCTGGTCACTAACTCTTGCACAGGGCCTGAACATGCAGCCACTACGACGGCGCCTGCCCAGCCCTCATACTGTACTTTGCCGATCTTCCATCCTCCTCAACATACCCAAGGTCAAGGTCTAGGATATGTGTCCAACGACGGTCATCACTTCTCGTGCAAGAATCCCGCGGTGCTGCAACAGGCATTCCACGTGTGCGTTGCTCATCCCTTCGGCGCCGTGTGTTGCTCATGATCACGCAGCATCTTCGTCGTGGATCGATCAGGGTCTATGACAGGTACCGATAGACGTCCACTACCTAATGCTCCGGGGACGAACTTGATCCAACAACGGTGCAACAACCGCCTGGGAGCCGTGTACTCAGCTTTGCACAGCTTCTGGATGGCTCGACATGCAGCGGTCACCGCGACAGGGGCGCAGGCGGCGCGACGGGATGCCTATAGCGTTCTTTTGTTCAACTCGACGGTCTCAACGGTCATCGCGAACGACTTCGCCCGCAATCCAGACCAGCTTCTACAGGGCATCGTGGGTCAGACCGCTGGTGGCGGCACCAACTACACCGCTGCGCTGTCGGCTACAGAGACGCTCTTACGCCAGCATTGGAGCACCGAGAGGTCCGTGAACCCTCTGCAATATTTCGATTGGTGCTAATCCTTGACAGAACGCCCGTCGTTATTTTCTTGTCGGACGGTGAATGCAGCGTCGGCGACCATAGCGTGCACGCGCTGTGCCAGGCGGCCGTTCAGCTCGGGTAAGGAACATTTGGTAGCATTCGGTAGTCATTGATGCTCATTCGTACGCAGCAAACACCTCTCCTTCCACGCTGTCTCGTTCGGTCCTCGCAATGAAGTCCTGCGCCGGATGGCCCAGATTGCACGCGATGTGCAAGCCCGTGCTCCGAGGGACCCTGCCCTGCCGACGACTGCCTACGTCGAGTCCTCCTACGCCGAAGCGCTGGATTCCGTACGTGACATCTACAATACCGCCAGGGGGATACTAACGTGCTTCCCAGGTCCGACTGGCTGAGACGTTCTTGGGTTTGGCTGATTCGCTGCGCAAGCCGAGGGGTGCCCTGCTTCGTTGAGCTTCTGATCGCTAGTCGAACGGCGTCCGAGATGCACTGTTGTTTTTTCCAACTCCTTACGACCCCCTTGAACTTTCAATGTACCGCGCTTATCATGACCAACGTATCCTCTGATTTCTTTCGATCCTCATCTTGTACCACCTGAGTAGTTGTCGATCCACGAAGTATTGTTTCCCAGCATACAGGCCGATGAGCATGATCGCGGTGGGAATTTATGGTACGTAGATTCCCCCCTCTCAGGATGGAGACTCTCGCACTCCAACAGTCTTGCGCAGAAAGGCGCCATCGGAATGGCCATAAGTGTTTGACTGTGTTTGAGCTCGAAGGCGTTGGGAACAGTCCGAGTCGACTCAACCTTACCATATGAAACGACCTTAAATGTAGCGCGCCTATCCTGCGACATGCGAGATGTATTTCTCGCGGAGCATGAAGTCTACCACGATGCGATCTGACCGCAGATGTGTAATTATTGACAAAACCGACAGCGTCAACTCAAAGGCCTTGGCTTTGCACCCACGATAGAGGCAAACTCGGAATCGCCTTAGCTTTGCATTCGACTGAGGAAGTCCTCGAAAAGCCAACTTGCCGACGCCGAGCCTGTGCGCTTCAGCTTCAGCCCAATTCGTAGACGACAACGGATTCATGCCTGTATCGTGACCGCCGGCGAAGGTAATCTTATCACCCCGATACTCACGAGATTGCTGAGCCCTTATATAGGGAGGCGGACGGAGGCGTATCCTTCCTTGCTACCGTCAGTCATCCTGCACGGTTCACCCATCCGCGCCTGCTCCCCCGGCTTCAGTCCAATCGCGACTGAATACGATCGCCCCCGCGCGTGACCGCTCCCCCGACCGATCTACTGATCTCAGCTTCCCCCATGTCTCCAGCGCTTACAACGTCGATTGACAAGGCCTCCGAGGCGACGAAGAAGAGCCTCATCGCCGATCGGCCGACGCATATCTTGCATCGGACCCCATGGAGGCCGCCTGTGGCGACCAAGGCTGAGGGGCTCACCATTACGCTCGAGGACGGGTCGACCTTGATCGATGCGGCTGGGTGAGTCACTTTGCTGAAATGAAGTCCTGCTTGTGCAGATGCGCTCGTCGCGCGCACAGACGGCGTTGCATCTCTTGCGCACCGCTCATTATGGGCTTCCGAGCGAGTTTACTTACGTGTTATCAGTGGTGCGGCGGTTGTATCGATTGGGCACGGGCATCCGAAGGTTATTGAGGCCATTAAGGACCAGGCCGAGAAGGTGTGCTGTGAGTGAATCATTTGCTTGCGATTATTCGGGCGTGTTAGCGTCATTCATTTGAGGCGTACACACCGTCGACATACTCGCTGCGTGCGTGGCGTTGCCTCAAATGAGGAACACTGACTCGCTACCTGCGCACTCGGTCTCACGCGCACAGCTGACATAGAGCATTCGTAGATGTATACAACATGCAGCTCTCGAATGAGCCCGCAGAGGAGCTTGCGGACTTCATTATCAAGGAGAGCGATGGGGCTTTCGAGCTCTGCGGATTTGTCTCTGGGGGTAGGCTGCATGTTATACGCGAAAACAAGGCAGTTTCCTGAACTCATCATCAGGCTCCGAGGCCATGGAGGGTGCTATCAAGCTCGCCAGGCAGGTAAGAGCAGCGACTGGTCTTGAAAGCCTCGGTGACCTAACTGTATCTGTTCAGTATTTCTGGGAGACCAACCAGCCGCAGCGCACCAACTTCATCGCACGGCAGCTTTCCTACCACGGGAATACCGTCAGCACGCTAGGTCTAGCCCTGCACCCCACCCGCCGCGCGCCCTACGCCGGCATCATGGACGACAAGCACTTCCATCACGTCTCCCCTGCATATGCGGCGAGATTCCAGAAGGCAGATGAGACGGAGGAGCAGTACGTCGAGAGGCTTCGGAAGGAGCTGGAGGACAAGTTCATCGAGTTGGGCCCTGATACGGTCATTGGGTGTGAGTGCGATCTATGTAGGAGGGAAAGGTCATACTGAAGAATGTTGTCGTCCCATAGTCTTCGCCGAGACGGTTGTCGGCGCGACTACTGGCTGCGTCCCGCCACCAAAGGGGTACCTCAAGGCCATGAAGTCCGTGTGTGACAAGTATGGGGCGCTCTTCGTCCTCGATGAGGTCATGAGCGGGATGGGGCGCATGGGGTCCTACCATGGTTGGCAGACTTACGGGCCTGATGCACCTCCGGATATCCAGGCTGTGGCTAAGGGGCTCGGTGGAGGGTGAGTGCGAATTTGTGACAACAGGAAGAACTGTGGCTCACCGTTCACTGCCTGCAGCTATGCATCCATCGGCGCGGTGCTGATGAACAAAAGGGTCGCGGAGGGTGTCCGTGGGCTGTGGAAGCATGGGCACACCTATCAGGCGCAGCCGCTTTCGTGCGCGGCGTCGCTCGCGGTGCAGAAAGTGTTCAAGGAGGAGAAGCTGATTGAGAACTGCCGAGTGCAGGGCGAATACTTGGGTACGTCGGCTTGACGCAGAGTGAGTATCAAGCCGCTCATGAATCTACAGGCCAGCAACTTGAGGGGAAACTTGGCCGTAGCTCGCCATCGACCGCCGCGCCCTTCGTCTTCAACATCCGAGGAGGCGGGATGTTTTGGGGCACCGAGTTTGACTTTACCGTCCCCGAAGCTGCGAACCTGGACTTCAAGGGCCGGGCGTTTGCCATCTCGGTGCAGCAGCGCTGCTTGGAGAATGGTCTTATTGTGATGGGTCTGACCGGTGGATCAAACCTTGAGGGGACGAAGGGGGATCACGTCATGCTTTGCCCGCCGTACACGGTGACTAAGGGGGACATCGACGAGATCGTGAAGCGATATGTACAGAGCGTAGAAGAGGTGCTGAAGGAGGCTGGCCTGTGAGATGTATGCCTCAAATGTACAATATAGACGTTGTGGGTCCAGGGCTTACGCGACTCGGCATCTGCCGGTGGTAGCGGGACCAGTCTAATCAGGCTGGGTGGACTTTCTTCGTGACCTCCATCTTCGTTTGCGTGTGTGCGTGACGTCCGACGCCCTTGCTGTTTCCTGAACAACCGGAATCGATGGCTGCGAGCAGGCTCTAAATGGAATTATCAGAAAATCCTATAGAAACAGCCGCAAGCAGCTCCAGCACGTCGACAGCCCACCCATCGCAAGACCAACACCCAGAGTCATCCCAGTCGAGGGCGCTGCGCTCTAGCGCCCGCGTCAAAGCAGCGAAGCAGAAAGCCCAGGACAAGGGGAAAGGGAAGGATTCCCAGCCAGCAGAGCCCGCGACCGCCGACAACGCTCGAGTCAGCACCAGCCGAGCACCCAGATCTAACAAGCGACCAGCCAAAGCCAAGGCAGGCTCTCCTCCACGCAAGCGGTGCGTGCTCATCTCCTCCCATCCGCCGCTTGGACTGATGATGAGTAATACAGAGCCCGCCGTGCACCCTCCGCCAACAGCGCGCCTCTGACCATCAACGAACCTGTGCGAGACCCCAAGGGCAAGAAACGCGCAGCGCCAGATCCCAGCTCCGACGAAGAAGCCGGACCATCCAAACGCACCCGTACCCACTACTCCCTCCGCTCCCAGAACCCTACCGACAAGCCCGACATGACGCGCAAGACCCGTGCCACTGTGAAGGGCAAATCACCTGCCAAGGGCAAGGCCGCTGGCTCGTCCCGCCTCGAAGACGAAGATATCACGATGGGCGAAGCTCATCTTGCCTCCGACGTCGAGGACGAGTGCGTCGATGAAGACGCCGGGCAGCATGACGAAGGCCCGAGGCACGATGAGGAAGACGATGATCATCCCTTCGACGACGATGACGACGGTGATGACGGCGAGGATAGTGGGATGGGAGGCAGCGGTGGACCACCACCGATCCCAGACTCGCTCGACGAGAGCACCGCGATGGCCATCCTCGGCGACTACCGCCAGTTTGGCTCTTACATGCTATCCCTGTCATCCCGCATCAAGACCCTCCTGAACAACATCAAGCCCACTGCCGATCCGACGACTAGGCTCATCTCGCTGCAGGAACTCAGCGAGCTTCTGAGCATCAGTACTGAGGACACGTTGGCGGGCTCGTTCCCAGTAGAGTCGTTTGTTCGAGAACTCGTCAAGATCCTCGGGGGCCGCGGCTCTCCCGATGAAGACGACGAAGATGGCGACGAAGACGGCGAGAAGGACGAGGATGCTGCCCTTGCTGCGGCTCTTGCTATGAGCACCGGCGGCGCTTATGCGGGCGATGAGAATTTAGAGGCTCAAGTTCTCGCCTGTCGGTGTCTGGCCAATCTCATGGAAGCGTTGCCTGGTGTCGCACACACGGTCGTGTACCATGGGGCGATCCCCGTACTGTGCAGCAAGCTGATCGAGATCTCGTATATTGATCTTGCTGAGCAGACATTGAGCGTGCGTGGCCTGACCAATTGTGATACTCTGATTTACTGACGCTTTCTCAGACAATGGAGAAGATCTCCGAAGAGTTCCCAAGCTCAATTGTCCGCGAAGGCGGTCTCTCCGCGCTTCTCAACTACCTCGACTTCTTCTCCATCGCCGTTCAGAGGACAGCCCTACAAGCCGCCTCAAATTGCTGCCGCAACATCTCCCCCGACCACTTCACCCAAATCAAGGGCGTCTGGCCCATCATCCGCAATTGCCTCAGCTACTCCGACTCACGGCTCGTCGAGTTCGCCTGCATGTGCGTGGTGCGCGTCATCGACGCGTACCACCGCAACTCAGTCGGCCATCTCGAGGCCCTTGTTGATACTGACCTAATCCGCGCTGTCAATCTCCTTCTCCTTCCTGCCGGCGGCTCGCCGCTGATTGCACCCAATACCTTCAGCCTGCTCTTGCGCGCTTTGGCTACTTCGGCGCGCGCCAGTCCCAAGATTACCATCTCCTTGTTGGAGGCCGGTATCGTGGACACGCTGTACCAGATACTCACAGGCGTATTGCCCTCTGCTGCGTCGAGTTCTTCCTCGCAAGGCGAGTCTCAAAGTGGACAGGGTCTTGGTGGCGGACTTGCCGACATGACCGTCATGGAGAACCTCGCGCACCGTCCGAAGGAGCAAGTGGAAGAGGCGTTGAGCCTGATCTCGGAGCTGATGCCCCCTTTGCCTAAAGGTATGGCATTCTTCCTCGATGCACGCGAACCAGAACTGATTATACCTCTTAGATGGCGTGTTCGATCACAAGAGCTACACCGAGAAGTCTTTGGCGCGTCTGATCAAGGCAAAAGCGAAGGCCGATAGAGCAGCGGCACGACAAGCCGCGCAAGCGCCCTTCGTTGCCGCCTTACTTCTTCCCGAGCCCACTCCCGCGACGGCTTCGTCGACGCCTACAGGCGAAGAGCCGAGTGAGACTGCTGCAGGATCTTCCACCCCAGCCCAAGGCGATGAAGCGTCCGTTTCAACGTCTACCAAACCCGCAGGTGCCCCGGTTTCGGAGCGCACGCAGCTGATGCGCTCGCATCCAGACCTCGTCGGGACTTTCATGCAGCTTACCGTCCCAATCTTGATCGATGTCTATGCGGCTAGCGTTAACTTGTCGTTGAGGACGAAGACGCTCACGGGGTTGCTTAAGGCGATCAGCTTCCTGGACGCCGAAGGCCTGAAGCGCGTTTTGGCGGTGAGTGATCTCCAAACTAGATGCTCAACGTGTTCTGATCCCTTGCGCAGTATGTCCCGGTTGCCGGCTTCGTTTCCTCCGTCTTATCTTCTCGAGACCATCCTTCTCTCGTGATTGGCGCCTTGCAGCTGGTGGACCTCTTGCTTTCCCGTGTCCCCGGATTGTACAAGCCGTCTTTCCGTCGCGAAGGTGTCTTCCATGAGATCGAAAGCCTCGCAGCAAGGGAGCTCGTGTCCAAGAAGGACAAGGAGGCGAAGGACAAGGACTCGTCCGAGGGCTCTGCCGCTGAGTCAGCCAGTGCTGCCGCCCCTCCGCCACCCGTTGTCCCATCCAGCATCCCAGGTTACAAGAAGCTCACATCGCTGGCGCTCGACCCTGAGGATGCTATCACCCTACGCTCGCGCGTCATGAAGTTCAAGTACATGGTTGGTGACGAGAAGGATGCGGAGGACGATTCTTTCGCAAATCTCCGCCGGATTGTGGAGACGCTGTCAAACACGAAGGCAACCGAGAAGATGTTGTCGAGGGCTTTGAACGATCTGGCGGAGCTGTTTGCGTCGCCGCATACGTCGGTATCGAGCTTCGAGTTGTTGCAGAGTGGGTTGGTAGACGGATTGCTGCAGTTCATGACGGATGCTGAGCAGGGTACTGGTGAGTGTCCCGATACAGCGTAATGAATGCACCATTGACCTGCTTTACAGTGCCTGTTGCGAAGCGCCGCGAATTGTTCTTGGATTCATTCGCTGGTGGACGCGTGAAGGGCTTCGGCCAAAGCCAGTCGCCATATGCGACTATCGTCAAGAAGTTGCAAGAGAGTTTGACGAGGATGGAGTCCTTCGATGTCGTCACCGTTGCCCAGGGCATCGACGACTCAAAGCGCAGCTCGCCGTCCTTGCTCGCTCGCCAGCTCCGACTGCGCCTCGTCGCCGACGAAGACTCGGACATCCCGCGATCTTTGAACAACATCGTCGTCTCCATTCATGCCATCGCTACCTTCCAAGCCTTGCACGACTATCTTCGCCCACGCGTCAGCGGCCTCCTCGGCCGTGGACCAACATCGTTCACTGGCATGTTGGCAGCAGCGCTCGCTGCTGGAGGACTCGGGCGTCTGCGAGACGAGCTTCCTTCGACATCAGCAGCGCCACCACCACCAGCAACGTCGTCTTCGGCATCGGCTCCTGTTATTGGTCGTCGGCGCAGCCAGCGACTCAGCGCTAAGACAACCGATGGTACTCAGTCAGTCCCGGGTGAGCCAGCGAACCCGCCAGCAGACCCAGGCGCGTCGGCCTCAGCCCCTGTCGGGAGTACACCCACGGAAGAAGCGGCCGAAAGCCTGGCGAATCTAGTAGATGCGGGCTTGGAAGCGGACTTTACGGACGATGAGGTCGACGCGGAAGTGATGGACGAGGATGAGGATCCCGATAATTCTGTCGCGGACAAGACGATCACGCTGAACGTAGGCGAGGGTAAGTCTGGCTGATTGTGCTTGGGTACGTGGGCTGATCTCTATGTAGATGGCGAGAATGTCGAGGCTCAGACTCCGGATGGCACGCGGGTGGCGACGCCTAATCCTCCTAGAGAGGCGCCAAAGCCTGCCTCCTCTGCGAAGCCCTCGTATGCTGCAGCACTCAAGTCGAAGCCAGCGGACTGGCACCTCGAGTTCTCCATGGATGACCAGGTCTTGCCTTTGGATCTGACCATCTATGGCGCCGTTCACCAGCAGGAGATGCGTAAGAAGGAGAAGTCGGGCGTGCCCATGGTGCCCGCGATGTTTTGGCAAGGGGTCTACACTGTCAAGTTCAAGAAGGTACCTGGTTCTGTGGATGGTGAGTTGGCTACGCTTGTGGGTTTTGATGGTACTGACGGAGCCCAAGCTCGCTCAGAGACCTCTGAGGCGGCGTCCAAGAGCAGGGCACCGAGCCCTACTCTCACATCGCTGCCTGAAGATGCTCCGCACGCCAAGATCCTTCGTCTCCTCCGAGCCTTCCACGACCTCAACCTCCTCGAGGGAGAGCGGTCGGCCTTTGTCGGCGAGAAGCGCACTCTGCCCGAGTCATCTTTCGTCAACAACAAGCTCACCGCGAAACTGACGCGCCAGCTCGAAGAGCCCATGATCGTCGCCAGCTCCTGCTTGCCGGACTGGGCCCTCGACCTGCCGCAGCACTTCCCCTTCCTGTTCCCCTTCGCGACGCGCTACAACTTCCTGCAGTCGACGTCGTTCGGCTACGCGCGCCTCATCCTCAAGTGGCAAGCCCAGCAGTCGCGCGGGCAGGACTCGTCGCGTCGGGACGATGGCATCGGTTTCCTTGGCCGCCTGCAGCGCCAGAAGGTGCGCATCTCGAGGAAGCACCTCCTGGAGAGCGCCGTCAAGGTCTTCGAGCTGTATGGGTCGTCGTCCAGTGTGCTTGAGGTCGAGTACTTCGAGGAAGTTGGCACGGGCTTGGGACCGACCTTGGAGTTCTATGCTTTGGTGTCGAAGGAGTTTGCCAGGAAGGATCTCAAGCTCTGGAGGGACGCGGACGCTGCGAGCAAGTCTCTATACGTCGATCACCCGGCGGGTCTCTATCCAGCGCCCATCGGCACTGAGGACTTGGACAACGATGGCGGACAGTGAGTACATCCACGCCTAGGTTCATGTCTATGTGCTGACAGCAAGCTAGCAAACGGACGCATCTCCTGCGTGTCATTGGTCAATTCGTGGCCAAGGCAATGCTCGACTCACGTATCATCGACCTATCCTTCAACAAGGTCTTTATGAAGCTTGTGCTCGGAGAGGAGGTTCCTCTGACCATCGCGACGCTCAAGGTATGTTCGCTATCTATGTAGGAGGATGCTTAGCTGACCCCTTCTATGTAGCTGGTCGACCAAGGGCTTGCGGACTCGCTTGTCAAGATCCAGAACATCGTGTCCGGCAAGCAGCCGCAAGACAAGGTATGCAGTACAGTCATGATATCCACGAAGATGCAGCTGACAAGTCATATCAGCTCGCCAAGAAGGTGGCCATGGTCGAGGGTGTCACCATCGAAGATCTTGCTCTTGACTTCACGCTGCCCGGCTACGACATTGAGCTTCGCGTACGTGTTTGTGACTGCGCATGATTGCCTGTACTGACCCTCATGTAGCCTGGTGGTCGCAATGTCGCCGTCACAGCCGCGAACGTCGACGAGTATATCCATGATATCCTCGACGCCATCCTTGGCAAAGGAGCGCAAGAGCAAGCGGCCGCTTTCCGCGAGGGCTTCTCGAAGGTCTTTCCTATCAGCGACTTGCGGGCCTTCACTGCCGATGAGCTCGTCTTGCTGTTCGGCAACGGCGATGAGGACTGGAGCATTGAAAGTGAGTTATGTGGTTGTTTATGTTTATGCACTTGACTAATGTCTCGAAGCTCTCACGGAGGCGCTCAAGGCGGACCATGGCTTCAACTCGGAGAGCCGCTCGATCCGCAACCTTGTCGAGATCATGGCGAACTACGACCCGCCCACGCGTCGCATGTATCTGCAGTTCATCACTGGAAGCCCCAAGCTACCCATCGGCGGTAAGTCATCACTGCCAGCGTCCTTTCGACCTTCTCACTCGCTTGTCAGGTTTCCGTGGCTTAAACCCACCATTGACCGTCGTTCGCAAGCCGCACGAGGCCCCTCTCAAGGCGGATGATTACTTGCCGAGTGTCATGACATGCGTGAACTACCTCAAGCTGCCCGAGTACAGCACGAAGGATGTCATGCGGGAGAAGTTGCGCGTCGCGATGTTGGAAGGTGTTGGCAGTTTCCACTTATCATAAGCTCGTTTGAACGCGGAGGATCGTTGCTTGTCTGCTCGAATTACCGTACGCACGTAGGATATTATGGCTCTATGTACATGAATTTTCAGTATGTTGTGCTTTGTTGCTTTTTGGCTGGCAGGGACGAAGTTCTCTAGCGATTACGGACAGATACGCATACCCCTACGCGTACAGCGTAGGTTAGGAGCTAATTGGCCAATTTTTCCTGGTTCGTCGTCTGGTGTTGTAGTGCGTGCAAGTGGCTGGTTTCTGCTATGGACAGTCAGTAAAGCAGAGCTTACATGGAGATGCCAGGATGGTTGCGTGACAATTTGTGACCGAGTCGAACTTCGGCAATCAGACTTGGAGAAAAAATCGGAACTCCCTGGGTTTACACGAAGCTCTAGCGATTACTGCGACTTTCAGAAGTGCTGTACCACACTCGCCAAGTTTGGTTAAAGACTTGAGCTGAGGAAAATTGACTTTCGGGAACAATAGTTTGTTCAGGGCACTACGGCAAGCGCCGAATGGCGCGGGAAGAAGAAATGATCGCTAATCATTGGGCGCCTACTATGCGCAGTCGACAAGTAATGCGCCTTCACCGCCTCCGACGACGTTCAGGCGAGGTGCAACGACGATGCAGGATCGCCCAGACAAGCCGCTAGTAGTCAAGTGTGCCTTCGACACCTGGCATAAGCGCATATCCTTCAACTCCGCCCGCAATTGCACGTATAACGTGCTCAGGCGCAAGGTGCGTGGCTGCGCGCGGTGTCAGGGGAAGCAGGACTGACGCGCAGCGCAGGTAGAACAGTGCTTTTCGCTCGTGGCCTCGAGCTACACGATCTCGTACAAGGATGACGATGGGGAGATCACAGACATCACGACAGAGACGGATCTGACGGAGGCCATCCAGTACTTCCAGGCGGGGACGGACGACGCGGCCTTATCGTCTGCCGCATCTATCCTCTCGGGAAGAAGCTTTGGGAACAAGCGAATAACACTGCGAGTCACCATAAACGTCGATTATGATGGCCCCAGCCTATCGGACACCTCTTCCCTTGCCAGCCTGGACGAGTACGGAGGGCGGAACAGCAGCCAGCTCTCCCTCTCCATTGGATCGCTTTCTGGATCGCTCAGGGTACCCGAGGACGACAATGTGACTGTCAGCTCGCGCGACACAGGCTCCTCTCGCCCAAGCATCCCACGACGCACCTCCGATTCCCCCTCCGAAGTGCGCACAGCACACGCGCGCAACCCCTTCGACGAGGAAGATGCCGCCACAGAGTACCCCGCCACAACGAGTGCAGACAGCCGCTACGCTAGTGCCCAAGCACGATATCCCGAGAACCCCTCTGCGGTCTTCGAACGTCTGCGTGCGCAAGACACAGAGTCTGAGGATGCGTCAGGCGTGTTCCGCGGATCTACCTGGCTGCGCGACCAGAGCGAACGGGCCATCCGCGCCAGGCTTGGCGCGCTCCCCGCCCCGTCCGATACGGACACTTTCTCCCTGGGGGACGGCCAATCTGTACCGGAGGGCGATCTCGACCTGCAGATGGACGAGAATGGAAAATACTACTACTCCTATCGCTCTGCAACCTCCTCGTCCCAGCACGAATCCATGCTCCCCGAGTCCGAGGACGTCGATGGGGATAGACAGACCATCGACATGCGTGTCCGTCCTGCCTCGCGACACCTGAACTGGCTTGCCTCACAACAGGTTCCCACTGAACCCCAGCCTGGACCTTCCACCAGCACTATGACGCGGGTGAATGGAATACCGCAGGATATCCCGCCAGAGCTCTTGCAATTCATCCCCCTCTCGCCCCCTGCGCCCGATCGCATCACAGCTTGCTCTGAATGTGGCCTGCTACTCGAGACCATTCGATATGTCTGCTCCGTCTGCGGCGAGCGTCCGCCCGCGAATAGCAATGCTCCCTCACGCGCCTTTCTCGATGCACATAACGGCTCCCCATTCGCCGATCCCAGCGAGTTCTCCTACCCGCCCTCGACGCACCGGCAAAGCGGACCGTCCTCTTCCTCCCGAACGCTCATCGGCACAGCGGATGCGCCGACACCCCTGCGGCCAGCCGCGAGTGCCTCCTCGCTGCACGTCCCAGGCGCCCCCGTCCCAGGCACATCCCGAAGGCAGGGTTACGAGCTCTGCGCGGACTGCATACACAGCGCGGGCATCAATCATGCTATTCAAGCTGGGCTTGCACCCGGAAGGGGGACCCCGTATCACGCGGCGAATCCGGCGGAGGCGGCGCGGCTTGCGCTGCAGTGGCGGAGGTCGGCGCCGAGTCAGAAGGGGCAGCTGCGACATGCGTACAGGGAGCAGGTCTGGACGCATAACGGATGGGAGGATGTGGGTGAGTGGGTGGTAGCTCATTCAGGCGTATTGGTACTGACCAGCGTGATAAGAGCAACCGCGGACGTCAACGAAGTGCTCGACGTGCGATGCGAGTACGCGACACAAATGTTACAAGTGCGCGTCGTGCGACAGCTTCAATCTGTGTAGAGCATGTTACAGGTGCGTATCGAGTTCTATCTACGAAATATCCGCTGATGAAAGCACAGTCAAGTTCACGACTTACATCCCTCACACGCGTTCATCATTTTGCCCGACCCGCCAAATGAGAATGGGTCGCTTAGCGATGGCCGGGAGATGCCAGGGCTCTCGCCTGGAGACGATGAATGTGAGGAGGATCATCAACACCATCATCTATAACTGACAATCCATCCAGCGCTTGTCCATCCAGGAGTCAAATGCGTACAGTCAGTGCATGTATCTCTCGAAGTCCGACCCATGTTGACCTGTCCCTTAGTTGCATGCTCGACATCGTCGGCGCACGCTTCCACTGCGCCATCTGCGACTCCGTGGACATCTGCGCCAACTGTGAGTCCGCCGGCCTCCCCGGCAACCTCGACGCCGCCGACGGCGGCCACGACTCGTCGCACATCATGATCAAGATTCCGTACCCTCTCGACTCGGCCGAGCTCCAGACAGCGAGTCGGCGCGCTATTGACCTGTGGCGCGGGCGCGACGCGGCGAGCGTCGGTGTCGCGCTGCCAAGGTCGAAGCCGAGCTCGGTGGTGTCAGGGTATGCGCGGACGGTGGTGGGATCGGCGGCGGCGCCGGTATATGACCATCATCTGGCGTGCGATGCGTGTGATAGGGTGAGGGGTTCTAGGTTTGTAGAACGATGTTAAGACTTACCATGGTCATAGCCAATTATTGGTACGCGTTACCAGTGCGGAAGTTGTCCGTCGTCGCCGGTCGGCTACAACCTATGTGAGGAGTGCGAGAAGAAGTCGTACGCGGTGCATAACCCAACGCACATCTTCTTTGTGCTGCCTCGGCCAGTGCAGAGACCATTGGAGTCCTCGATGCCCATCGTCCCACCGAACTTGTGAGGTCGCCCGCTGTCTGGTTCTTTGCTGTTGCTGATCATTGTTGCCATTCTCAGATACAAATCTGAGTCAGGCCCACCTGCTTCCCTAGTGAGCGGCAAGGATCCTCGAGGTGAATTCTCTCCTTCCGTTGTCATGCATATCGACTCATCGAGTCCAGCGTACCTCCGCCACATTGTCCATTCATCTGCGGTCTGTGACCGCTGCGTGCGACCCATCCAGGGCGAGTGGTTCCGCTGCGCATACTGCGCGAAGGACCTCTGCGACGCCTGCCATGATGTCGACACGCACAATGACGCGCATGTTTTCCTGGTGTTCAAGGCTGCTGTCGATATGCAGGCATTTCGGTGCGTGGTCACTTTTCTTCTGTCTGGCTACTTGGAGTACTGACGGAGCCTGCGTAGACGTTTCTCTGACCTCGACAATCCCAAACCCATCATTCCCTATCCCGTGTATCGTTAGAGGCAGCAATTCCGCTGCTTGTGTATCGTACTGATAAATTCACGTTCTCGCGCGCCCGCGTTGTCTCCCTGTATATCCGTCCCCAGTCTCGAGCGTCAGTCATGCTCCTGTAAAGGGACTGGCTGTGTGAGCTTGCGACTTCATGGCCACGCAGCGGCGCCTCGGCAGTTGCCGTGGACCCTTGTTCTGAATCACGCACATCATTTTGCTTTGTTCGTTCCGCCTCATGGCCTTTTGTTCAAGTCAGAGCAATACATGTCCGTCAGGCGGAAGACTCGGCTCCGCTTGCGCGAATTTTTTGCATGACTCAATAGCACGTTGCAGCCTTTCGTATAAGAGGACCATCAGTTTCTTGCGCAGTTGCAGGCATTCTGTTCTTTCCGTTCACCGACTATTATATTCTTTCAGCCAACCTCATGTCTCAAAGCTTCAACGCAAAGCTTGCCGCTGTACAGAGCGCCATCTCCAACCGACCACCCTTTGTTAGTGGCACTCTCGACGTTCCCGAGGACGACCTCAAGCTCTACTTCGGCGACGTCGGCAACGCTCAGTATGTCCATATCATCCGGTCTGAAGTGCATGCTGACCTCTGCCTCAGCTGCATCAACCTCGGCCACGCTACCCCGGATGAGCTCGCCGCCCTCGCCGCCGCTTGCCAGCCTGCCACCTTTGGCGTCAACAAGCAAGACGTTCTCGACGAGTCCTACCGCAAGGCAGGGAAGCTCGATAACAATAAGTTCGCTTCGCTTTTGAAGCTTGATAACTACGGGTTGATCGATACGATCCGCGATGAGCTCCTGCAAGAGGGCGAAGTCAACAAGGGTGTCAAGTACGAGGTATACAAGGTCAATGTTTATGGTGAGTTATTTTGTTTGTATTACACCGTGTGTACGATGTACATACCCTTGTGTGCCTGTGCTGAGAATTACAACGAGCGCTAACCACATCCCAGGCAAGGACTCATTCTTCAAACCTCACAAGGACACCCCGCGCAGCAAGAGCATGTTCGGCTCGCTCGTCATCGTTTTCCCCACGCCTCATGAGGGCGGTGCCCTCGTTCTTCGCGAAGGTGACCGCGAATGGACCTTTGACTATGCTGCGGAACTCGCTCCGGCGCCCGAGCTTTCCCTCAGCCAAGCGGCCGAGAGTGCTCATGAGCTGGCTTCTGGGTCTGCTGAAGCGCAGGCGGACACAAGCGCTTTATGTGAAGAGCAAGACCCCGACGTCGCCTACATAGCCGACGAACCGCAGGACCCCAAGATCGCTTACATCGCCTTCTTTGGCGATATCGAGCACGAAGTCCTGCCCGTCACTGCGGGCCACCGCGTCACTTTGACGTACAACCTGTATTTCGACGCTGCTCGTATGCCATCCTCGAGCGCCGCCTCAGAGGCAGCGTCGGCGAGCGCGGACGATGCGTCGTGGAAGACCGCAGATGAAGGATCAGCAGACGAAGGATCAGCAGATGAGGTTGAGGATGAACGTGAAGATAGGGCGCCGTCGGGAAGCGCACAAGAGGCGTCATCGACGGACGTCGGCGAGGCATCGTTAGACCTCGCAAAAACGCTCCCACAGAGTGTCGTCGACGAGGAGGCGCGCTTGCGCACGGCCCTGCAAACCTTGCTGCAGGACCCCGCCCTGCTCCCCAAAGGTGGATACCTCGCTTTCGGCCTCCGCTTCATGTACCCGCTCGACCGCAAGTCCCCCTTGCAGGGCCTCATCCCCCACATGAAGGGCATCGACGCGCGCATCGTGCGCGTGTGCCGCTCCCTGGGGCTCGAGGGGCAGCTCAAGCTCGTTTACGAGGACGACACGGAGTACGAGGGGAACCCCAGGTACGGGTACTACTGTTACGATCCGGTGAAGGGCGGCGAGCAGGGCGTGAAGCTCCTCATGGACCGGTTTGTCGACTACAGCGAGGTGTGCGAGGGAGATACGTTTGGGGAGTATCTACTCCAAGACGGTGCTCAGCGCGTTCGGAACATGGGGACGGAGGAGCTTCACCGCGAGGACGATGAAGAGGAACATATTCCTTCCACTGAGGCGCTGTGGGTGACCGAGTTGACGAAGATCAATCGCGTGGAAAATCATTATGGTGCGCTCTTTCTTCGAGTTGTTTCTTGCTGAAAATTATGACCGCTCATGACGCTATCTTGCAGTTGCATACGGCAATGAGGCCGATTTGACCCACGAATATGGCTATCTTGCCTACTTCGTCAAGGTGAAGCGGGGGCCAAACTGATGAGGCTGAACCTATGATATTGCACTAGTGTTAGATACTCATTTGCTACCGATATGAAAGGGCCGGGTACCTCCCTGTGACGCGTGCGTACATAGCCACAACGTATTGCTCTACAAAGTTCAGACCTTCTGCACTGTTTTCACCTCTACGTTTGCAAGTCTCGCGACTACCCAACCGTTCACAGAACGTGCCTCGCTCCTCGAAGCTACCATGTCGTCGAGCGCGTTTTGGAGGGTCGGCGTTGGAAGCTTGTCTTCGAACTCCACTTTGAGCGTCGTTAGCAAAGGGAAGAGGGGTCTCCTCGCCATTGATTCCGCCGGAGTAAGCCCAGCCATCGCGTCGGACGGCTCAGTGCCACATGAAGACGCCTCGCTGTCGCACGTCATCTTCGCCAGCAACTCCTTGCTAAGGATCGGCTGCCACGACGCCTTCCCTCGCAAGTGCAATTTACGCAGGCCGTCCATGCACTCGGCACACTTCCAAAATGAGATATGCATCCAGACACCGGACCCCATGAGCGTCAAAGTGCGCAGGGAGGATAGCGAAGCGCCGGGCCGGGAGGCAAACGCAAGGAGCGCGATGAAGGGGTTCTGGGAAACGAGCCTGGACATGTGTAGTGCAAGATCTTCCGGAGAGGGTGCAATTATGTGCGCGAGGAAGCGTGCGCTATCGACCCCGAGGTTGAGCGAGCGCAGTCGAGGGAGATGGACAGGGCGCACATTCGGCGGAAGTGCCCCGGCAGCGTGTCCGTATGCGCTGTCGCCTTCTTTGAGCTGCACGTCGAGGATGATAGAGGAGAGCGAGGCACCGGACGCCTCGAGCCATCCCGCCAACTCGCCCATGTTGAGGTGTATGTACGGCATCTTCAACATGAGGTGCGTCAAGTGCGGATATACTGGGAGATTGAGGGCCGTCCACCCCCTGTTGTAGTAGAATATCGGGTTGAACTCAGATGATAGCTCCAGGCGCTTCAGCCGAGGAGCGGCGAACAGGAATCCCAGCATCCCGTCGCGCGTCAGGGTGAATGTCTCGTGGTTCACTTCATCTTGAACGATGACCAGTCTCGCCTCCTCCAGGGCAGGAAGATCGACGCAAGGCTGGCTCGCGAAGATCTCGCTGGAACCGCACAGCGTGATCGAACCCCAGTGCGCGGCGTGCGGTTTGAGCTGATGGAATAGTACCAGTAGAGTACCCTCGGAAGGCACATCGGGGGTGTAGTGGATGACCAGCGGGACGGATCCACTGAGCCTAAGAAGGCCATGGTTAGGAAGGACAGACTTCCCGCCTATCGAGACGGTAAAGCGCGACCACAGCTGGGGCGTTGCGCACGCAGTAACGCGCCACATATAACACACATGCGCTAGCGTCCTCAACACCGAGCGCGCATCCCATCGAGGGTCGTCTCCATGTAGCGCATTGAGGTGAATGAAGATGCAGGAAAGGATCTCCGAAGGTAGGCGCCATATGGGAGCGACGAGCGAGTGGTGCAGCGCGATCTGGCGGAGTAGGCGCTTGCGAATTGTCGAGAGCGAGCGAAGTTGGCCATCGACATGCAGTCCGGAAATCTCGCTTTCGATGTACTGGACTGCCGCACTAAGTTTGGCTGTAAGATCGTGTATTTTGTCGGCCTCTTCTGGAAGGAGAACAATGCGGCGGCGTTGCAAGCTAAAGCGCGCGATTGCTCGTGCTTTCCCCAGGAGACGAGATGTCTCTGCGAGGATGTCTCCGCTCGCTGAAGTACACTCAGACGGCGCGGCCTGAGTATGAGAATCTGCTGTGCTGCAGTCATCGCGTAACGAGGCCTGTGTCAAGAGCTCAGTATCCAGGCAAACTGCCTGATTTAGTACGCATGCCCACCTGCATGAGCTCCATGGACGGACTCGGTATCATCATAAGGTTGGACAAGCGCCAGAACAAGTGAGCTCTCCTTCTGTACTGCTTGCCACGCGGCAACAGCGAGGTGCATTCTTGTACGTCTTAGCGATGCGCGACCTCGTGCATTACGATGCGCGCAGCCGAGGCCCCGATATAGCGGTCTTCATGACGCTGATGGAAGAAATAGTCTTCAAAGTCGATTAAAGGGGCCTTTGCGCTGTTCGTGACCAGAGGGAGTATAGGTTGTAACTTGTGGGCAACTCAAACGAGATGGTGGTGTTGATCAAGTTCAGTGTTGCACGTGCGTCTTCGGCGTTTGCCGAATCCCAATGAAGAAGCGGGAACAAACTCGCCAAGTTCCTTCATACTGTCATAGACTTGAACGATGCGTCTGATTGCACTTCCTATACTTTCCGACTCTCATGGACTCATAGACTGACTACTGTTTACTCCCGCACAGCAAATTGGAATCGACTGTGGGCGCTTCGGCCCCGGGCTGATTCCCATGCCGTTATAAGGGTTTGCACAGGGGGCGCCTCATTCGCACACCCTTTCTTCCTCACACCCATCTAACCTCGTACATAGCTCATCAAAACATGTCCGAGGATCTCCAACTCAGACTCGCTGCCGTCCAGAAAGCCATCTCCAAGCGCCTGCCGTTCGTCAGCGGCACCCTTGACGTTCCCGTCAGCGACCTCAAGCTCTACTTCGGCGAGGTCGACGATGCGTAGTGCGTGCCACATATTTCTGTTACTGTCCCTCACCTGCTTATTAACACTCCTTGTCCTGCTCCTCACTAATCCAGCTGCCTCAACTTCGCGCGAGCGACGGAGGAGCAGCTCGCCAAACTGGCCGCCGCCTGCGACCCCGCCTCATTTGGCGTCAATAAGGAAGATGTCCTCGACGAGTCGTACAGCAAGGCCGGCAAACTCGACACCGACAAATTTGCGTCGCTGCCCAAGGTCGCAGAGTACGGATTGATTGACACGGTCCGCGACGAGCTGTTGCTAGAAGGCGCGGACAGCATGAAGCAAGTTGCGTGCGAGCTTTACAAGCTTAACGTTTATGGTGCGTTCTTCGTCCATCCCCTCACTGCGTGCGAGTGGACTTGCGTATTTTTCGTCTCCAGGCAAGGACTCGTTCTACAAGTCTAACAAGGACACCCCGCGCAGCGAGCGCATGTTCGGCTCGCTTGTCATCGTTCTGCCTACCCCCCCACGAGGGTGGCGCCCTCGTCCTGCGCGAGGACGGCCGCGGATGGCTGTTCGACTACGCTGCAGAGATCGCAAACTCAACGAAAATCGCCTACGTCGCATTCCCCGGCGAACGCGAGCACGACGTCCTCACCGTCCAGTCTGGCTACTGCATTACCTTGACGTACAACCTCTACTCTGACGCCGCTCCGGCGCCTATACCTTTAGGTAGCAAGCCTATTCCTCGCAGTGTCGCTGTCGAAGACGCCCGGCTTAGAGCTGCATTGCAGAAACTTCTGCAGGTCCCTAGTCTCCTGCCGAATGGTGGCTATCTGGCCTTTGGTTTGCGCTACAAGTACCCTTGCGATCAGGACACGGGGCTATCGGACCTGCTTCCTCAATTGAAGGGCGCTGACGCTATGGTGCATCGCGCCTGTCAGGCTCTCGAAATCGAGGGGCAATTGAAGGTCGCTTACCGTCAGGATGATATAGACGGCGACCGAGATGACGTTTTCATCATTCGGAATGGGTTCTTCGGGGACTGCTGCATCCCTCCGGGGCAGAATTTCGACTCTATGCTCTTCGAGTGCGATTCCGAGCTCATTCGCGCGATGGGATCCAAGCTTATCGAAGAGTACGCGGGTGAGGACCAAACCGACGACGGCGCGGAAGAGGTCTTGTGGGTTACACCGTTTAACGAGTACACCAGCGTGAAGGAGTCTTACGGTATGCTTCTCCCTTTCACTTGCGCCTAAATACTGAACAAAATCCCCTACCAGCCGGGTACGGAAACAAATACCTGACTGAGAAGCATGCCTACCTTGCATACTTTGTCACGGTTCCGAGCTACGACATACAAAGTGGCGACCCTGTCGAATCGGATTCATCTACGACTGAACGCCAGGAGGATGCAGAGAGTTCTCTTGCGCGCGGTCCGGAAGTTACTTCCAGAGCACCCACTCCCCATATTGGAGAGTTGGAATCAGATCTCAGCGTTGGTGCGCTGAAGCGCAAACACCAAAGCGTGGCCTCTTCCGAAGCGTCCGACGCGCCCACCGATCATCTCTCGGACGCCTGCGCGGAAGGATACGATGAAGGACTCTCGTCACCACCGCACAAACGCCTGCACCGAGACTTGAGTCCGTAGGTTCCAAGTAGCCTCTATTTCCCTTGTTCTCTCTGCTTCAGCCTGTCTGTGCCACTCCTATTACTTTATTTTTTTGTCATATGTCGAGATATAACGTACAGTGTGGAAGGTCGAACTCTGAAACTGAGCTCGAGTTTCGACGCCGTAAGGCACTGCCTGCGAGACAAAAACAATGGAACCTCTTCCGGGGAGAGAACAGTGCGGCGTTAACGTTGCGAGCTGAAGCGCGCGATTGCTCTTGCTTGCTCGAGAAGACGAGACGCTCCCGCATGAACGTCTCCGCTCGCAGAAGTATTATCGGGCGGCGAAGTCTGCATACTAGATCCTGTTGAGCTACAGCTATCATATATCGAGCCTAATAATGTCAATAGCTCACTGGTATTCAGGCGAATCGGACGATACAGCACGAATTACTACCTGTATAAACCTCAAGGCGCTGACGAAAGAAAGACGTCAGACAAAAAATCAGATGAATTTAGAGCCTATCCAGACAACGCCGGAGGGAGGCCACGTAACCCATGGACGTCGCAGATGGTGTTGTTGCCAACATTGTTGGTCAAGTCGAAGATTGCACGTGCACGTTCGGCATTTGCCGAGTCTCATGAGGCGAAATTGTGGGGGAGAAGCTTTTCGAATTCCCTGTTCCCTTCAAACCGTCACGAACTCGAACGATGCAGCATCCTTCGACTCTCAAGAGCCCTTTGAATGACTATCGCTCACTCTGCCGTGTATACCCTGAAGGCGGCACCGTGAATTGGAATTGACTGTGGGCGCTTCGGCCCCGGGCTGTTTCGCACCTTTATAAAGGTTGACTCAGGGCGCCTTATTCCCGCGCGCTCTCTTCCGCACATCTATCTACCCTTGGCCTCAATCTTCATCCAAACATGTCTGAGGATCTCCAAGCCAGACACGCTGCCGTGCAGGAAGCCATCTCCAAGCGGCCTCCGTTCGTTAGCGGGACTCTCGACGTTCCCGACAGCGACCTGAAGCTCTACTTCGGCGAGGTCGACGATGCGTAGTGCGTGCCACATAATTTGCTGCCATTCCCTCACCTGCTCAACGTCCCTCCTTCAATTGCTCACCGTGGTTTCAGCTGCCTCAACTTCGCGCGAGCAACGGAGGAGCAGCTCGCCAAACTGACCGCCGCCTGCGACCCCGCCACATTTGGCGTCAAGAAGGAAGATGTCCTCGACGAGTCGTACCGCAAGGCCGGCAAGCTCGATACCGACAAGTTTGCGTCGCTGCTTAAGGTCGCAGAGTACGGATTGATTGACACGGTCCGCGACGAGCTGTTGCTAGAAGGCGCGGACAGCACGAAGCAAATTGCGTGCGAACTGTACAAGCTTAACGTTTATGGTGCGCTCTTCGCCCATCCCTTCAGCGTGCGCTAGTGGACTTACGTATCCCCTCCGTCTCCAGGCAAGGACTCGTTCTTCAAGTCCCACAAGGACACCCCGCGCAGCGAGCGCATGTTCGGCTCGCTTGTCATCGTTCTCCCCACTCCCCACGAAGGCGGCGCCCTCGTCCTGCGCGAGGACGGCCACGAGTGGGTGTTCGATTACGCCGCCGAGATCGCGAACTCGACGAAGATTGCCTACGTTGCGTTTTTCGGCGACATCGAGCACGAAGTCCTCACCGTCGCTTCTGGACACCGCGTCACTTTGACGTATAACCTATATTTTGACGCCGCGCCGACGGCTGAGCGCTCTGACAGCAAGGTTGTTCCCCGCAGCGTCGCTGACGCTGACGCACCTTTTCGTGAGGCATTGCAGAAGCTTCTGCAGGATCCTGCCCTGCTCCCGAAGGGCGGTTATTTGGCCTTTGGCCTCCGCTTCATGTACCCCTGCAACCAGGGTATGAAACTTCAAAGATTGCGCCATCATCTGAAGGGCGCCGACGCCATGGTCGCGCGCGTGTGCAAGGAGTTTGGGCTTCGGGGCAAGTTGATGGTCACTTATCCTGGTGATGATGAATTCGAGTCCAAGGACGTTCACATAATAATGGACGCGCCCTTTGGGGATTGCTACCTTACGGAGGATGACTCGTTTCAAGACCTACTCCTCCGGAACGGTGGCAAGCGAATTTGTGCGATGGGGTCCGACGCCGGGGAGGATTTTATTGGTGGCTGTACGGAGGCCCTTTGGGTGGTACCGCTCAGCCAATTCAATGAGGTGAAGGAGGCTCATGGTGCGCGCACTTTCTCGCAGTTGCATTCTCAACTGAACCGAACCGTTGACTAGCGGCGTACGGCAACAGCCCCAGCGTGGATTACGAGTATGCATACCTTGCGTACTTTGTGAAGATCAAACCAGGCGACGCGCGAGGTGCCAGTGCAGACCTGCCCAAGTCAGAGGCCGGTGAAAGTCATTCCTCGCGTAGTTCCGCAGACGTTGAGGAGTCTGAGTCTGGCACACCTGAGCACCTCAGCCAAGGCGCGGCGACTTTACACGCGTCCGCCGACTACGCTGACACACCCTTAGAAGCCGACGAGAATGAACACGATGATGGGACCCCTTCCCCGCCGCGCAAGCGCCAGCGCAGCGAAGGAAGTGTTTAGGTTCCAGTTTACCTTTGTTTCCTTTGTTCTCCTCGCTTCGTCTTGTGTGCTATCCCTACATACAAGGTGACTCCTATTTCCTTGCAAACGTCGGGATGCAATGTACTTGGTGAAATGTCAAACTCTGAAGCTGAGCCCAAGTTCTGACGCCGTAAGGCACCGCTTGCGCGGAACGGAGCAGTGAGGGAGCCTGCGAGACAAATACAATGGCTGAGCGTGTTTGATGTTGTTGTGACTCGCGTATTCTGGTTCCTGTCTCCTGCCATCACCGTCGTCGGCCGCTCTTCCAATCGCTTGATGCGAGAGAAGGCTAGATAAGAGCCGCTGGTCCATCGCTCTACTTCCCCACCCTCATGCACTCCGCCGTCACCGTCCAGCTCAATGGGGGCGAGTACCCCAACGCCCAGTGGGACCGCTCGACCCCGTTCGCTATCGACACGCACAGACCCGTCGACGACAAGTACGCTTCAAAGGACAGCTCCCCCTCGTCCTTCTCCTTTCCCTCCCTCAGCGACCTGTCCGTCGCGAAGTTGCTAGGCAGGCGGGATGCGCCGCAGTCGGCCAGCGGCAGCAGCGCCGATCAGTCCACAGTGACTTTCGTGCTGCTCTGTGGCCTGTGGTACATGTCCTCCGCCCTGTCGTCTAATACCGGCAAGGCCATCCTCACCCAGTTCCGGTATCCGGTCACGCTCACCTTCGTCCAATTTGGCTTCGTTGCGGCGTACTGCCTGTTGTTCATGTCGCCGGCGGTGCGGTTTGCAAGGTTACGGACGCCGACGCGGGCGATCATCCGGAGTACGCTTCCCATGGGGGCGTTTCAGGTCGGCGGACATATGTTCTCGAGCATTGCCATCTCGCGGATACCGGTCAGCACGGTGCATACGATCAAGGTGCGCCCCCAGTCGTTATCGCATCCGAGCGTCGGACTGACAAGGCGCAGGCACTATCGCCGCTATTCACCGTCGCTGCATACGCCCTGCTCTTCGGCGTCAGCTATTCTGCGAAGACGTATCTATCCCTCCTCCCCCTTACCCTTGGCGTCATGCTAGCCTGCTCATTCGACGTATCAGCGTCGAACTATGTTGGCTTGTTGTGTGCCTTTGGGTCCGCCATCGTCTTCGTTAGCTCGAACATTTTCTTCAAGAAGATCATGCCATCGACGCCGAGCGGCCACGGCCAGTCGTCCACGCAGAAACTCGACAAGCTCAACCTACTCCTCTACTCCTCCGGCATGGCCTTCCTGCTCATGATACCCATATGGCTTTACTACGACCTCGCGCCCCTTCTCTCTGCGCATGAAAACCCCGCACACGTCTCGCATCCGAAGGAAGGCCACACAACGCCGCACTCCGTGATGTACTACTTCTTCATGAACGGCACCGTCCACTTCGCGCAAAACATCATTGCCTTCGTCATCCTCGCATCGACATCGCCGGTCACCTACTCCATCGCGTCGCTCATCAAGCGCGTCGCCGTCATATGCATAGCGATCGTCTGGTTCAACCAGAGTGTGCACCCGGTCCAGGCACTGGGTATCATGCTCACGTTCGGCGGGCTGTACATGTACAACCAGGCCAAGTCGGATGTGGAGCGGGGCGAGAAGAAGATGCAGCGCGTCGAGGCCGCGCGCGAGCTCATGCTCCCCATGACGAAGGGCGAAAGCAAGATGATGAACGGGTCCCCGATACCCTCGCGCTCGGTCACGCCGAACATCCTGCAAGCTGCCACCGCGACGGGCATGGGACAGAGAGAAAACAGCATGCACGGGCGTACACGAATAACCCTGCCGCCGCGTCATGGGCCATCATACTCGCCCCCTACTCTACACGGGAAGGAGCACCCACCACCACCCCAACTTGCGCCGCTGAAGATCGCCCCGCCGACCTTCACGCAGCGCCACTCGCCTGTGAGGGAGACGCGGTCGCCCTCGGACTCGTACCCATCGCCCCCGTTGTCTCAGGACTCGCCACCTACGCTCAGTGTGCCCTTAGTACCGGCCTAGTGCAACTTTTGTACCGTGCGCAGGGAGCGCGCGCAATCCTTGTACTACCCACCCGCGCCCATATGGCGTGTACGAAGCACACTAACACATATGATACAGTGCGAACGGAGCAGCGGACTACCTACACTAGATTACTGGGTAGATGGGATCTATTGGCGTCTAATGGGCCGCTACATTCATTTCTTTGGACATATATCATGCTTAACTATTTCTTGCTGCCTGTCTTCTGCTCGAAAGCAACAGAGCTGAGCCTGAAAGAAAAGAGAGATGTGGCGAACAAGTCAAGCTATGGGCGCAAGTAGGCGCACGTCACAAATGTCACAAGCCAGGTCACCGTCACATCCACGGTCGAGATTTGTGGACGACTAGCAGACCGACCAAAACGACGGCGACGGCCTCACCTCAAGACCTTTGATTCAAGATGGTGCGCGTCCGATGTGCTCGACGGGTGTCCTGCTCGCCGTCTGGCGGTTGCACGGGCGATATACGCGGTTGCAAGCGCTGGATGGGCGAAAGGACACCCAGATGACCCATCCTCCATGCTGACGATCACCGCGATTTGCACAGGCCCGGGGACCCAAAAAGCATCTCAAGCGCCTTGCCGCTCCCTCCTCATGGATGCTCGACAAGCTCGGCGGTACCTACGTGCGCGGCGCTGTTTCCCCCAAGCTCAGAATGTGAAGATTGACGCGATTGTGTGCATAGGCTCCCCGCCCGTCCCCCGGCCCCCACAAGCTCCGGGAGTCGTTCCCACTCTCGGTCTTCTTGCGCAACAGGCTAAAGTACGCGTTGACGGGCCGTGAGGTGACCGCCATCGTCATGCAGCGCCTCATCAAAATCGACGGGAAGGTGCGCACGGACACGAACTACCCGACGGGCTTCATGGGTGCGTCGCACTATTTCTCGCTTCGTAATATCTTTACTTATGCGACTTGAAGACGTCGTCTCGATTGAGAAGTCCGGCGAGCACTTCCGCCTGCTCTACGACGTCAAGGGCCGCTTCACGATCCACCGCATCACCCCCGAGGAGGCGTCCTACAAGCTCTGCCGCGTCCGCAAGGTCGCGATCGGCGCGCGCGGCGTCCCGCACATCGTCACCCACGACGGGCGCACGATCCGCTACCCCGACCCCGCGATCAAGGTGAACGACACGGTCAAGCTCGACCTCGAGACGGGCAAGATCACGGACTTCGTCAAGTTCGACACGGGCAACATCGTCATGATCACCGGCGGTCGCAACATGGGCCGCTCGGGTGTCATTGTGCACCGTGAGAAGCACATTGGGGACTTCGACATCGTGCACGTCCGCGACGCGCTCGACCGCACGTTCGCTACGCGGTACGTCTCATACTTATCCTTGCGCGTGGAATTTCAGGGCCTAATGCATGTGCAGTCTGTCCAACATCTTCGTCATCGGCGAGGGCACCAAGCCCTGGATATCATTGCCGAAGGGCAAGGGTACCAAGCTCACCATCGCCGAGGAGCGCGACGTGCGCAGGAAGCAGCGCGCGGCGGATCAGTAAGCGATACGGCTGGTCGCTTACCACCACCTGTCCATATGTGCTATGCTTGTATGCTTTACTTCCATTTTATCTCTACGAATCAACATGCATTATGGCACTGGGAGCATTCATCATGAAGGGCTTCGTTGGGAGATTTTAGGCGCCTTTGCCATCGAGCGAGAGTACACAAGTCGTTTGCAAGGGGCTCAATTTTCAGAGACCGCATACAAGGAGCTGCTACAGAGCCGAACAATTGTGCACAAGGACAGGACCGCGACTCGAACGCGCAAGGGCTCCCAACCGAGCCGCCGTGCCGATAAGGGAAAGGGATGAGGTCGGCGGTACCGATGTTGAAGTTGTGCCGCAGGCGAGTCTGCGAGGTGTCCGCGCGAGCAGGTTGACTCCACAGCGCAGTGCTGGTCCCGGCTGATCAGACACGGCTAAGTGCGGACCGGAAAGGACTTGACGCTGTGGTCCTGAACCCGGACAACACTCGCAGAGCACGCCGAGTCGAAGGCGATGTCGATATTATAGGCGAGGTAGTCGGACCAGTTGCAGTCCCAGTCCGAGTCGTCGTCGAAGGCGGGGCCGTCGTCCAACAAGCGACTCGAGCAGGACAGGTGCTCCACCAGGCTGGCTGACCACACCGCGAACGAGCGCAGTGGGGCCAGTGCCAGGTGTCTGTGGGCCTGAACTCCGGTCTTGCTCGTTGGAGTGCCGTCGTCGGCGTCGAGGTCGATAGTCGGAGTCGAAGCCGAAGTCGAAGTCGCCGGTCGACCCCGCGATGTGTCCGTGCGAGCAAGGTGACTCCCCCCAAGCACCCAGAGGGCGCCACGGGCAGAAGGCCTGAGCCCGGACAACTCTCGCGGACTGGCGTAGTCGCCGTCGAAGTCGAAGTCGAAGTCGAGGGCGAGCTTGAGGTCGCCGTCGAGTCTGCGAGGAGTCCGCGCGAGCAAGGTGACTCCCCCGAGTACCCAGAGGGCGCCCAGGGCCGAGGCCTGAACCCAGACAATTCTCGCAGACTATGTCGTTGTCGGAGTCAGCGTCTGGCCATCGGGTTGTCCCCTGATGGACAGGTGAGTCAGTGCTGCATGAGTCTTGTAAAGGAGAACAGGATATTCACCTAGCGATGGGAGAGAAGGGGAAATGAGGATGGGGATGGAAGGTACGTCTCGCTCGTATATATACTCGGATAGGTGGCTGTGGAGACTTTTACAAGAGCTGTGCAGGATGACACTAAGCAAACATGCGCAAACGCGCTAAGTGAATAGGTTCCGCGAGCACGTATCAGCGTCAACGGACAGCGGGTTCGTCCTCTTTGGCATCCCAAGCTCGCTCGACTCGCTCTATGCTTACTCTATGGCATCGTCGAGCGTGTATGGGTCATTGAGAATATCCGCATATCAAAATTGAGACGTTGAGGAGATCGACGGCGACACATAAAGGCGTTCCGGACAAGATCGCTGCGCCGCGTCCTTTCCTGCCTGATTCACTGATCGTGTAAATTTCACGTGAGCGCGCGCCGATATGGGTTCGTAGGGGTGCAGCATCAGAGACGCGCTGGTGGCCATTGAATTCTACTACACTGATCCCCTGGTTGTCGACGTCTTCCTGACCAAGAACCATCGCACACGATAGAAGGATCCACGAAAAGATGCTAGATTGCGTAGGTGAATGTCCAGTGTTCATGAAGGTGTGAACCAAGATGCGAGGTGAACTACAGTATTGTATATACTGGCGTATATACTACCCATGTAGCTGTCTAAGTACGTGGGCGCTAGGCCCATATTACTACAATATACAATGTAAAGGTAAGGCTTCCAGGTCTAGGGGGTGTTAGGGCGTGAATGCGCGTCTAATGGGCGTAGGTGCGCATCTATATGTCTAAGCTGTAGCGCTCGAAGAACGGCAAGAGCTCCTGCCCCGTCAGATTAAACGGCGCGCTCTTGTTCTGCTTATCCAGCCCCTCGACCGTGCTCGGCCACTGGTGCCTCATCCCGCGCACCTTGAAGCGCTTCACCTGCCCCGCGTCCCCGTCCTCCCCCCACGTCCACAGCGTCGCGTTGTACGCGTCGACCTCGGTTGAGTTGTACCCGTCCGCGTCGAACCCGTTGCGCGCGGCCCAGCCCTTCGCGAACTTGTCGATGTCGGGCGAGGACCAGTTGTCGTTGTGCGGGTGGCCGCCCTTGTAGGGGACGACGGTGTCGTTGGCGCCGTGCGTGATGAGGAGGGGGATCTTGCGTGACGGGTGGCAGTCCTCGCCGCGGTCAGAGTCGGGGTAGAGCGCGCCGGACGCGATGCCGAAGGCGGCGATGCGGGCGCTGGTATCGCGGGTGCACGCGAGGCGGTTCGTCTGGGGGAGATGTTAGTTGTGGATGGGTGTAGCGAGGGGACACGCTCACAAAGCCGCCGCCGTTGGAGTTGCCGGTCGCGTATACGCGCGTGCGGTCCACGCAAAGGTTTGCCATGAGCTCATTCAGAATGGTGTGCGTGAACTGGATCTGCATGGAGGTCAGCCACATGTAAGCTACTAAAAGGAGACTACGCACATCGCTCGCATTGGGCGATGAATACTCGCTCGCTTGCCAAGAGTACTTCCCATCCGACCCATCACCAGAGCGTCCGACACCCACCAATCCCTGCGGGTACGCCGCAATAATCGGAATCCCATTAATCTTATTCCCCGGCTCACTCAACTGCGACGCGACCTCCTGATGCTCCGCCGTCTTCCCATACCCATGGAACGACAGCACGACCGGGTGCTGCGTGTTCTTGTCGTAGTCCTCCGGGACGTGGACGAGGTAGGTGCGCTCGTGGTCGCCGACGTGCGTCGTGACGTTGATCGTGGAGTTGTAGAGTTTCCACCCAGGGTCGGATCCGCAGTTGGGCGAGCCGGACGTGGCGGCGAGCGCGCCGCGCTTGTCAGCGGCGAACGCGGGGAGGTGGGAGCGAAGGACGGGCGGGGCGCGCACCATTCGCGCAGAGGAAGGGCCGGCCAAGGCCAAGAGAGATAGGGCAGCGAGAGCAGGAGAAAGCATGGTCGACGAAGGAAGGTCCTTATGAATGAATGTGGGGGTATACGCCTCTAGGGGACGGCGTCTGTAACGAACTAATCAGCATAGAGTGGGCACCAGGGAGCAGGTGAACGCACTATAGGGATGAAGAAAGGGAAGAAGGCTCTGCTAATCTGCGCAGGTGAGTGCGGGCGAGAAGCAGGGTGCCCAAACATCAGTCCCGACTTATAAATGTTGTCGTCAGTGGCGCCTTTGAGCTAAGAAAAGTGGTCTCTGATCGGCGGGGTGAGCCTGGGGAACCGGTGGAGGCTTCCCTTCGCGCTCGGCGCAGGCTTCGATGCTCCACAGCACGTTACGTCGAACAACTTCCAAGACGGTTGGCAACGCGTTCGCGCTCATCCTCCCCGAGGAAACCTTGCATATAAGTGTTGTTTATTGTTGATGATATGCAATCTATGGTACACCGCGTCCAGAGCATGAGAGAGGCAGCTTCAAGGGCTTGCGATTCTGAAGCGCGGTTCATCTTGAGCCAGATGGCTGTCGAGAAGAAGGCAGTGTGATGAGGTGATTGTTGAGCATCTCGACATTGTAGTCAATCAAGTCCCGCTCGCGTGGTTCGGTGATGGGCGAGCTGACCTTGATCCGTTGGTCCCATGACCCCGGAGGCGCAACTGAAGTTCAACTTGCGGCGTTCGGAGGCCTTGGGCCAGCTCCAGAAGGCAAGAAAGAGTATTTTTGATTCTGGAAGGAAAGGAATGCATCGATTTCGCGTCGCTATCAAGATACACATACAATTGATCACCGCAGTCTCCAAGAATCCCTCCCCGTATGGCGCTCATGCGGCGACCAGCCTGAAGCCAGTGCTATCGCCCTCGGTTGCGCCATTATTCTTCAGCGTCCCATCCGCCCCGACCACCACATACTGCTTGTTCGACGCCGCCATGATGCTGTACACGCCCGTCGCCGCGCCCTGCTTCTGCCGGATGACGAAGATCTCCCAGGAGGACGCCGTCGCGCGGTTAGCCGACAGCGTGTACGTCCCGCTCGAGTCCGCGGTCACGTACTGCCCGCCCGCCTGGAGCGTGCCCGCGTTGGGCGCGAAGCCGAGCGTGAACGTGACCGCGTCCGCCTGCGTCGAGTTCGCGATGAGGTCGGGGAGGGGCGTGCTGCCGACGTACTGCCCGGAGGCGTCCACCTGGAGGGAGTAGTTCCCGAGTGGGTTTGCGCCAAGGTTGCTCGCGTCGCAGACGCCAGAAGCGCCGCTGCGCGTCGCCAGGAAGTACATCTGGTTGGAGTAGCTGTTCCCGGAGCCCCAGGACGTCAGCGCGGAGGAGCGCTGCGCGGCGATGCCGGCGTTCGCGTTCGCGTAGGCGAGGTAGATCACGCTCTTCCAGTCGTCCGAGTATGTCGCGTCGCTGAGCTCATCGGACGTGTAGTTCCACACTGCGTTCACCCACTCCGCGTCGTACATGTACTCGTTTACCGGAGTGACGGGCAGGATCTGGATGGCCGCGATCTCGACCTTCTGGTCACCCCAGAAGCTTAGCAGAGATAGTCAATCAAGGGAGTGATGATCCTGAGAGCGTGGACACTCACAGCCATGCGCCTGCCTGCCAGTCCTGCACATTCCCGATAGTGACCAGGTCGCGCAAGCCCTGCTCGGGATACGGCTGGTCACGGTCGGTGCTGCTCTGCGATGGGTACATGTGCCAGTACACCTGTGCGGCATGTTGCTCCTGCGCGAGTAGCATCCGCGCGTAGTTGTAGACGTCGGTGTTCCCAGACACGAGCGCCCACAGCATGGACCCGTAGTACGCATTGACCGCCTCGCCGACCGATTCCTGGTCGCGCGAGCCCGCCCCATTGGCGATGCCGGACGCTGGAAACGCATGAGATCGTTGATTCGCGCGCCAAGACCCAGCGATCTCATCTCACCCCAAGAGTGCCCCGCAAACCAGTCGCGGTTCCTCGTCACCGGGAAGTACGGGTCCTCGGGCGACGGGTTCACGATGTCGCGCAGGAAGCTGTCGACCTGCGTACGGTAGGTGTTCAACCAGCCCGCATCAAACCTAAAGGGCGGGGTGATCAGTGAATGGTCGACGAGGGGATCAGCGACGACGGCGGGGCGCGCGCCATAACATTATGGACCGGGCGCAGCAATATGGGCTAAACCCAGCATGATGGGCCACATAGTCTGAAGATCACAAACGCACTTCGCGATCACAGCCGCTGCTGCGAGGAAGTATCCGTAGTGGAAGTGGTGGTCGTTGTAGTACCCGTTCCCGTAGTCGACGTTCACGTTGTTGTACCCGGCCTTGTTGATAATGCCGCCCCATGCTGTCTCGTAGGCGGGCGTCGTCGTCGAGCTGGAATCGAACTATGGGATGGGAGGGTTTATTAGTAGGCGTTTACATAGCACGGTGGGTATCTGGCATATGGAGTCGAGGCGCTCACCCAGAACGCGTACATGGCCTTGAGGTAGGTGATCACCGTGTCCGCCAGGTCATTCCTATTCATGACCTCTGCGATAAGTCTAGCAAGATCAATCAGCTTCAATCTGCATCACTCAACGAAAAGAACCCACGCAAGCCGCGACACCATCCCAACATGGCCGCCAAACCAGTAAAAGTCGCCCGGCGCGGCGACCTCAGGCAGGTGCGCGATCTCGTACTCGAGGCCCGCAACAAGTGAGGTTTGGCACGAGCTGTCGGGGGACCGTGGCGCATTCCATGTAATGGTCGAAAGGTCGTATTGCATGTTCCACTGGTTGCCGAGCGCGGGGTACATGTAGCCCTTCGTGGTGAGATAGCTCAGGGCAGATGTGTCGGGGAAGTTGGGCGACTGGAGCTTGATGCTATGGAGCGGCGTTAGCTCGAATGTCGGTCGAATTCGAATGTGAAGAGACATACCGATGGTGAGGCCAAGTAAGCATCAGCAGGTCGGCGCCATTGCCGCCAGAGACATTCCAGTTGAAGGTGAGGGTCGCCGAGTCGCCGCTGAACGAATAGCTTGTGTCAACAGCGGTGGGGTAGACGCTATGGTGTGCATCCAACAGCGTCTTATGACCGTCCTCGGAGAGTTTCACTACACGTAGAACGCCAGTGAATGGGGCGGAGGCGACGATAGTACCTGCGCCGTTCGCAGCGGTGGCGGTGAAGGATATGCTGTCGCCCAAAGAATAAATAATGTACGTTCCCGCATCATTGGTGACGAGGAACTCCGTTCCGTTGGCGGTTGCTACAGTGGGTGTGAGCGACAATAAGGAGGACGTGAATGATAATAAGGAGGATGTCAACGTCGTGAAGGGGAGTGGGAGCATACGGAAAGGCGGCTCTCCGAGTTGATAAACTAGATGTACTCACTGCTGCCACCTTCGGATACGGTCGTGTTGGCGAAGGAGGTGATGAGGCCTTGGTCGCTGGTGAACTTCGGCGTTGCGCCGGAGTATTCGAAGGTCATGTAGGGAGAGCCGGGGACCAGGTAGGTATTCATCGTCGCCGAACCTGTGAAGTATTGGACGGTCACTGTTTGCCTGTCCTGTTTCGCGATGTCAGCGACGTGCACTGGCCAAGGTGACGATGAATAGTCGTACCCATCCAAGAGCTTTATGGTCAGAGGTCGAGCCTGAGTGCTCGGAGAAGCTGACGCCCCAGTCCATTTGAGTGGGCTGATGGACAGACGTGCCATCGAAGTCGCGAGAGGTCGATATCCCAAACTGGACAGCGGAGGCTGTCAAGACACTCTCGTACGGGAAAGGGCCGGCGCAAGTACTGGAAGGTGGATGAGCGTCTGCTGAGGGGCCTTGAGAGGAGACACTTACGCGTTACCATCACCCGCAGCGAAGCCGACCCACCAGTCATTGGTAGGGTATGGAGGAGAAAGACCCTGGAAGAAAGAGTTGGGGGGCTGGTCAGAGGCGACCTCGCCGCCCGCCGGCGCAGGACGGTCGGTGCCAATGGGCCCGAAGACGACCGCCCTCACTGCGACAGCGGCGGTGAGAAACAGAAAGCTGCGCATGATAGCGGTGAAGATGAAGGTGAAGGAAAGTAAGGAACGGGATGGGAGCGCGTTGCGAGGGGGATGTGCCTCTCGTCAAGCCTTCGCGCGCGCTCATCTTATAGGAAGCAACCCGGGCTCTCCGTGAGCAAGGACTTCCGCCGCCGAGGCCATACCTTGCGGCGCGAATCCGATAGCCTATACTTCTCAGGGGCGCGTGAGTGCCTGCGGGCCCGCCGTACGTCGCGCACAAAGGCGTCCGGTACGCGGGAGGTAGCGCCCGGTTGAATGCAGAAGGGTCGCCTCCGTGCGGTGCCTGCGTGTCCAGCTGCAGCGCCGGATGCGGCGGCCCCACAGAGCAAACCGCGCGCCCTGGCCCGAGGAGGGGGCTCCGGCCAGGCTTTGGCTGCGTCAAGCGGAACGGAAATCGCGCAGATCTGCACTGGGCTATGAGGGGAATAGAGAATCCTCCAGAGCGGTAGAAGGGGAGACGCGTGCTGTTCGGTGGCGTGTGCAGAGCGAGAGGTACTTACTCGTGAAATCACCTCTTGTCGCCCTTCTGACCACGTCCGCAGCGGAAAGGGTCTTCCTTGGTACCGTAAAAGGCGGGTTTGAATAGATAGCTTCGGCTCTCCCCCGTGTGGCTGAGGAGAGAGAAGAATCGGAAGTCGTCAAGGTCAACTTCCAAGAAGGCCAGGAAAGGAAGGCGTGCGAGTTTGTGCGTGAGACTGACAAAAGCCGGATCCGAGCACTTCGTAGCGCGACCTAAGGCCGTTCTATGTCGTCTCTTTTGCAGGCGTCATCTGCCTCCCCTACATCACAGAGACGCTCGGAAGACACGGCCAACCTATACAATCATGCAGACAGGCATGCTCCAGAAAGTGACAGGATGCATGCACGAAGTTCCGAGTGCTATACTTTGCCTCTTAGTGGGCCCCATGAAGCACATCAAGCCCGTCCATAAGCTGACAGTGACCAGTCGGAGTTCCCGTAGGAACGTGATAATCGATGAAGAAATATGGAGACGTCGACCTGGATAGGACAAAACGAGCAAGTATCATCATGTTTCCTCCCCCTTGGGAGGTGACGGGGCATCTCCGCCTTGTCCATAGTGCTCCGAGGAGCCGCCATTCATATGAACATCTCCGTCTCCCGAATGGCCATTGGTGTGCTGGCCACTGCCGGAGGCCATGCCTCCCATTGCCACGTCAAGGTCCTCATCGACCTCGCCCTCTCCATCACGAGGTACGAGGTAGTAGTTGGGGTCGGTCACATCCAGGAGGGCTTCGTCGCGCTCCCGAAGCTCGTCACCCACAAGCTCGGCGTGCGTGAGATGGATGACATCCCAGCGGTCGTCGGGGTTGTCGTACGGCTTTGTGAAGGAGGTTCATGTGAGCAGGAGAGTACAGTGCGGAAGGATTATGTACGAACGTTTGCTCGCCGCTTGTTGAGCGTCATCTTTCGCTCGATGTTCTTGTAGTACGCGCCCTTGCCCCGACTTTGCTGCCCGGGCTTCACATCATCGAAATCATCACCATCATCGACGTTCAAAATGAACTCGTTCGTGATGTCCTGCTCGACCTTCGTGGTTTCGTAGTCGCGGACAAAGTCGAACTTGGTGTACTAGGAAAGGCACGTCAGTGAGGGCACCAAACAAGTGACACACAGCAAGAGGCTTACGCTGTTCGGCGGCACTTCATATGGCGGCACAGATATGCGGGCGTCGATGAACGATAAGGCAGCGTCGTCGTTCTCGGTGAGGTAGTAAGACAGGAAGGTGTCGACTTCGCTCTTCATGGGCCTCAACACGGCACATGCCAGGCGAGGGTCTTCGTCCTGGACCGAGCGTTAACACCATTTACGAAATGAGACGACCAGAATCCTCACCTCTGGTGGCCTGTTCCCCGGACGCTCCATAAACCTGAACAAGTCGTACTGGTTCGCCCACAACACAGGGTCCGGCAAGAACTCATAAGACTCCACTGCAGTCACACCCTTCTTAGTCGGGTGCTTGACCTCTTCGAGCACAAAGTCTTCATTCGCAGCCGCGAACGACGCCTCGATGTCGCGTAGTTGCGCCTCGCGCGAGACATCGACGACTGCTGTGGGGATAGCGCGTTTCTTGGCCCTGTTCGGGGGTGAAGAGGTCAGTGAGGATGCAAAGACGCGCAGTGATGACGACGCACGGTTTCTGCGCAGTCATTGCAGACTGGCGCGCGATGGACTCCTTCTTCCTAAGCCAGGTCACGTTCATTGGGACAACCGCCTCCGCCGGGCGGTTCGGGCCACCAGGCGGCTCCCACAGCAGCTCGCGGTCCTTATCATCGAGAAGGGGGAGGTCCAGAGGATCGGGATTCAAGGCTTAGCATTGCATCAGCACAGAATATTCATTACCGTGTGGCGAGTACACGCACCTGCATCGTTTCCCTCCGGCTCCCAAAGCCCATCCCACTGGCTGAGATCCAAGGGCATGCCGCACTCCGCGTCCACCACCATGGGCACCGGCGTCCGCTGCCGTAGTGCATCCAAGAACTCGGGCTTCGCGTAGCGCTTGGGGTTGGTCGGGATGTTGAGCAGCTTGGGAGGACATGGCGGTGGTGGGAGGGGATTTGAGTATCGCACTCGGACCAGAAGGTCATAGCGGACACTGAGTAGACATATTAGATGGATAATTAAGGAATATAGTCCTGCTCGTACGCTTTCTCGCTGCTCATGTTGGAAACAATGGAGCCGCCGGTGACGGAAGAGAACAAGGAATGTGACCACGTGGTGAATTGATCGGGATTCCCTTACGAATATCGCCAGTCAACGACGCATCCGCGATTTTGGAAGAGCCTCGCCATCGAGAAAGGACGAGGGCCCACAACTCCTCAGACGAGAAGTCAAGTTCATGGGTCAGACGTCACAACGAAGACAACTTGGTGGGGACCACTCAAACGCAGAACAGCATAAGGACATGTCTTCACTATCGCCCTACTGACATGTCTGGATTTCTGGCTACTGAAGCCCATCAGCTTTCCGTTCTTGACCCGGATTGCGAACGGTTCCTTCCAAGGGAAGTGTACCAGGACGCAACCCGAGCCATGGATTTCATCGAGGTACTCCAAGAGTGTGAGGTTTTGCATCATCTGGGCGTACGTGCGCGAAGGCCAGATCAGGAGTAGGTGGGATATGAAAGTCCATGTCGATCGCGCAGGCAGGATACTGTCATATTCATGGGTGGGATCGATTCATAGTACATGCGGCATACAGATGCAGGAGAGCGATGAGGGAGCGGGACGATGACGAAGCAGTGCTCTATGCCTCCGTCACTTCGCGCAAGCGACGGATGGTACTGACAAAATGTCAGTACACAAAATACGATGGGAGATTTAGATGAGAACGCACCTCCGCACGGTCGCTGCCGAGGTCGTGGACACAGTCCATGCGCCACCAGCAATCACCTTCCGGCAACCGCTGCACTTCCAGATGCCGACGGCCTGGCGCTTGACGGCGTCCTGTGATCGATGGATTAGAAAGACATCGCGCGAGAGGGGAAGGATAACGCACCTTGCCGCAGAAGGTGCAGGTGTATCTCGCGTGTTGCGAGATCTCCATTTTCTTCACCTGCTTACGCAGGGAGGCACCGTAACGCTGCAGATTGTCTCAGCATTCGTCCTATGCACTCATGATCGCGCCGCTCGAGGTTCCCTCCGTTGTTCATGCACCATCCCCTCAAGTCGGACGCGTCCCCACAAACTGAAGGTTACTCACCGTACCGTACTTTCCGGTGATTCCGACCTTTTTCGTGCGCTTCGTCTGTTCGATGGTCAGTCATAGGTTCCATGTACGAGCAGCATGACGACGAACCATCTTGGGGTGAAGCTTGGGGTGGTTGTGTACGACAGCGGCTGGACCTCAATCCCAATCCGGATAACGGGACCGTGAGAAGATCGGTCTGCGCCAGCTATGCAGCTGTGCGGCAAAATCCGAGAAGCCACTTAATGCACGTGCATGTTGAACTTCGTCACGCGTTTCGGCATGTAACGGACAGCCTGAGCTCGCGACTCCAGTCACTCTCCAGTCCATACTCTCGCTCACTCGCGGATTATGCCATTTCCAGATTGAATGAGCTACGAATGAACTTCCCTCTGTCCCCGCTAGTCCTCAATATTCTTCGGCTTTTGAACTTCCTCAACTTCAAAGACCTTCTTCACCAGTCCTACACCGCGCTCCCACTCGTCCCATTCCACATCGCTCGAAATATCCAGTACCTCGTCGCCCATATAGTGGTGCATGCGCAACAGCACAGCCTGCAACACGATGTCGAACGAATGGTAGACAGACTTGCAACAGTCGAACCCCCTCCCGTTGCGCTGCAAAATCACGTTCTCCGCCTCCTCGACTGCATCGTTGATCACGACGTAGCGATCCTTGAAGCGGACGTCGACGCAGGGCTTCGTTCGGCCCTTGCGGAACCCCATGCTCTCGGGGTGCGCCTGGACGTAGTCGACGATGCGGTGGATGTCGCCGACGACGTCGTCCCAGACGCTCGACCACTTTTCGCCGTTCTTGATGGTCCAGTAGTGCGTGTCGCCCATGGTATGCGAGACTCGTGCAACGTCAAGGTAAAGGGTGGCTGTTGAGGCGATGAAGAGACCGACTCAAGATTGCTGCTCACTGCCACTCTGCGCGACCTAGATATAGGGCCTCATCGACCAGGAGTCACGATCTTCGCGACTGTCGCTACCGTCGGGACCGACGGACCCCTGGTTCAGTCGAAAGGCGCAGTTCACTTCCTCGAACTGACTTCGCTTCTTTACGTCTGGGCCGACTTCCACTTGCGACCTTACGTCCAAACGGCCAGGGTCCTGGCTGACTTGAGTCACGTCCGAGTATGGCTCTTGACGTGCATGACGATTGCACACCATTCACTCGTAACCAAAGTGTCTATCGATTCGGTTCGTACGTAGAAGTAGTAGTCGACTATGGCTTTGATACAACAAACAAACAAATCCGAGTTTAATCCGTCAATATCGTACAGTGAAGCATCAGTCCGCGTCTAAGCACCCCGTCCCCAATCCCAGTGAGGGTCAAGACCGCCTTGCTCTCTTGCAAGGTTCTCATACTCCATCGCTCGCGTGTTCGACGAATGCAGTTGGTGGTTCGATCCGCCTATGGGGCAGTCGCACTCGGGGCATCTTGCCGTCTCCATTGCGCCTCCGCACTATGGCACCAGCGATTAGCAAATTTAGGCGGGTAAGATGACGAGCATACCTCTCCGATAACGAAGGTATGACCGTTCTGGCAGTTATAGAAGTGTCCACGATAGCCTTGACCGATGTTAGGGATGCGAACGTGCCATCTAGCGAATTGGTGTGCACTCACCGAAGCCCATGCTGCGGACGATGTCCTGCATCTCCGACGTTGAGAGCGGCGTATACGCTGTGTCGCTCTGGATGTGCTCCGCAAGTTTCTCATACTCCTCGATATATTTGTTCGCCTTAGCGGTGCAGTTGTCTTGGTACCACTTGCGCTCGGCCTGCCGTTCCGACGCAGTGCGACAAGGTCGAGCGGCGACGTATTTGCTTTCTTCAACCGAGAGTTGTCTGCGCGCTTTCGCCTCTTGATCGCGTATGTCCTGTACGAACTTCGAGCGTTGCTCGCCGTGATATCTATCCGACCGAAGTAGCGTCTCCCGTCGCACGAAGACACAGAAGCGGTACTTCTCCATGTCGACCCGTATGCCCAACAGAGCGCATCGCGCTGCCTGTCTTGACGCGCAAGACCTATTCGCCATCTCCAGCGCCTTCGCTGTATCGGCAGAACAACTGGCGTAGACGACCTCCAAGAATGTGAACCATAGCTGGCGATGGACCGCCTTCTGCTCATCACTTCCCGAGGCGTTACCGAGAGCGTCGTAGCGCGCGCGACCAACCTGCGCAACGCGGAGGCGGATTTCGACGGAGTACATGAAGGCGTCCACCTGGAAGCGTGTGTCGGCTTTGTGCGGCGGCTGCCCGATCTTCTTGTCGACGATGCGCATGGCGTCGGGCTCCGGAGTACTGGATACGCCAGCGCGAATGATGGCGTCGTGCTCGAGACGGTACAGAGTGGCGAGGGCTGCTTGGTACGTGCGAACGTGTGGGCCTTTCGTCCCGGCGACCTTCGCGATCTTCTTGTACGCGTCGAACAACGGTTTCACAACCTTCCTCCAGGCCTTCGCTTCCTCGCTACCAAAGCCTCGTGCTACCATGACATCGAACAGGTTGGCCGGCATCGGCTCGTCCTCTTTGGTGTTGTCCTGTGCAGCGCGCCATGTGGTAAGCGCTGTGTCCAGCTCCTCGCCCGCCTTGCTGGCTGGGGCGCTCTTGAGGGTCTTGGCTGCACCTTCGAGGTCGGACATGCGAGTGTCCAAAGAGCCGATGTCGTGAGTCGCGGCGCCCAGCGCTTTGGACATGGAGCTGGCGACATTACGCTCAAGAATGTCGAGATGAGCACGCTTGACGACACGTCCATACCGCCGCGCCGTGATCGGGCCTCGACACGTAGGACAGGAGGGCGGATTCTGATAGTCGACCGGCGGTGCCTTCACATCGGCGTAACGCGAAATTGTCCCGTCAGAAGCGTACTCGACCTCATAGAACGAGGACATGCCGCAATGGCCGTCCAGCGTTTCCACAGTGAAGATATGGCCGCATGCGAGGGTGATGATGCGACTGTTCATGCCCGAAGCGTCCAGGTCGAGATCGGCAGCCGTCTCTCCCATGATGAGGTCGACGACGATCTGAGCCCTCTGATCTTCGGTGAAGCACTCTATACAGGCCTGCTCGTCGCAGGCTTCCCCGCAGACTTTGCCCAGTGCGTTAGCATGATGCACGACCGCTATGATCAATGGCTTACTAGAGGGACAACGATGCCCACACGCATCAAATACCGTCGTGCACGGTTCGTCGCAAGGCAGGCGCGAGCATATCTGAACATCGAGTGAATCAACGAGCACGAGAAAAGCGAAGGAAGAATTTACCGAGCCACACGGCACGGGGCAAGTCTGATGGGCGCACGACCACGGACATTGCTCCATGCAAGGAGGGCAGGGTTCAGAGCAAGGCTTCTTGCACTGATGGTGAACGCAGCTCATCCGGCAGGCTTGTTGACACGCATCGTTGCATTCATGGCCCTGTGAACAAGCCAGCCCACAAAGGTGTTGACAGTATAGCTTGCGCTCGCACGGGTGGCTCTGATGGTTTGTGCGTTCGACGCGGGTGCTGGCTCGGGGTGCCGTAAGCTGGCGACACTGGAAGCATTGGGCCGAGCAGTTGCGAGAGCAGCAAGGCATTGTGAGCCCGCAGACCGCTTTGCAGTTGACTTTTGCGGGATCGCGGTAGCATTCTACCATTGTGCTGTGTTCGCAAAGGGGCAATTGCTTCGTGACCTTGACCCTGCACTTGACGGAAGCAAGGTTCTCCATGTCGTGGCTGCATGCAAGGTCAGCTCTCAAAGAAGTCAAACTTATGAATTAGCCGTACCATTTGACGCGCGCAGCAACATGTCCGCAAGGGAGTTGTACGTTATACATGGGGAACTCGCAGTCGCCGCAAGGCTGTCCGCACTCGCGAGGGCAAGGATGCTGTCGAGGGCACTTGATGCGGGGACAAGGCATTGTGCACTTCATCCGACCATGCATCTCAAGGTCAGGATGACACTGCGAGAAATTCAACGAGTGATTAGATTTACTTCGTAGGTTCACGTACCACCGACTGGCACGTGTGCCCGCACTTGAGCTGATAGTCACAGCGAGCAAGGCAGCCACCTTCCGGAGCCTCTAGCGGAAGCTGATTGGGCCCGTCGATCTCGCGGGTCGTGTCTGGATGGCGCGGGCATACGATAGGCAGCGCAGTACCGACTTGGCCCTTCGCCTCCATCTCGTCCAAGATCTTCGACCAGGTGGCGTTATGGCGGAGATTCGCTGCATTTCCGAGGATGTACTGGCCATGCTTTGCTCTTGACAAAGCGACGTTGATGCGGTTCACGACCTTGAGGAAACCGATGGGTGAGTCCCCTGCAAAGTCACCGGAGTTCCTGACGAGCGAGACGATGACGATCTTGGCCTCTTCACCCTGGAAGGTGTCGACAGTACCGAGACGAATCTGAGCATCTGTCAGTGCCTAATGTTCACTATTCAACAGCACGCTGCACTTACATGCTTCGCCACCTGGACATTCTCGAATGATTCGCCAGGCTCCAGTTCCTCACCCCCTTGACGTTCGAGCTGTTCTTGGTCTCTCTCGTCCAAAGAGACTGCGAGCTTCGCATCCTTGAGCGCGGCGCGCACCTTCTGCAGCTGTCCAAGATAAGCGCACAAGACGGCAATATCGCCCTTCCCGGTGTAAGGACCTTGTTTGAGGAAATAGATGACGAGGTCGCGGATGATTTCTACCTGCAATTCTATCAGTCTTGGAAGATCGGGTTACGGCAGACGACATTACTTCGAACATGTTGAACTTCGAGACCGAGTCCTTCTCACCATTCTCCTGATGCGTATGGGTAAAGAAGAAGACGTTCTGCCGCATACCCTGGACATCTGGGTACTGCTCGACCAGGGGATGATCGCTCAGCGTCGGATACAGTATCAGTCTATCATGGTTTAGCTTCGTTTGACGCGGAAGGCCAAGACATGCGATACCTTGGATAGTCAGCGATGTTTGTGCGCATACGCCGCTGGACATTGATGAGAGACATGGGGGCACCGTTGTCGGCGAGACGTTCCATCAACGAGCGGTCGAACTTATAGATGCGACCACCGACAGAATGGTCCATCGACAGACCTTTGGATGATGTACTCAGAGCTAAACGAGGTGCTGCAGCAGTAGGACTGACCGTAAGTTGCCAAGGTGGGCCGTAGTTGCTGTGGGTCGCCTATCTCAATGAGATGTTGAACTGCAGCAGGCTTGATCAGGAATATGACATTGAGACAACGGTTCGACTTACCGGATGGTACGAGTGATGCGAGAATGTGCGCCTCAAGAACTTGGCCGGCTTCCTCCACCATGAGAACTTTTGGCGAGATCGCCTGCAAATATAGGATAAGGGATCGGGCAGAAAATACGACGCTCGAGCCCACGCACGTTGAGCAGGGACACGAGCTTCGCGGCGCCTGATGAACTGTGAGGTACGGCACTGGTACATATAGAATAATGTAAACTCACCCGTCGTCGTGCAACCAATGAGCTCGGTACGGCGGAGCAGTTCTCGGCGGGACTGCATATGCGTAAGTGAATGAAGCGTGTATGGTCTGATCGTCAACTCTACCTCATTCTTGACATTGTCGTAATTCTGACATGCCTCAAGGTATTGGATGCGCCGCTGCTCGAACTCGTCCAGGTTTGCTGCATACGCCATCTGCCGAACCTCCTCTTCCCAGTGCTTTGCTAGGCGCGTGCGATCGCGCAGGTTGAGGTTCCATGGGTTCTCGGTGGCCTGAAGCTGCTCAATGCTACGAGCACGCGGATTGTTTGCCGGCATGGGAGGCACGGAGCTAAAGCCAAGCGACAGGAAGAAAGATAACCGCGGGTCCGGTACAGCGCCCGGGGGCGGCTGCGCAGCGTCTGGGAAGGAGCTTTCGTCGACATCCTCGACGTCAGCCTCGCTATCCGCGACTCCCTGATCGCCCGCGCCGTTGTTGAGAATCCCAGCAGAGCTGGATGGACCACTTGCGGGAACAGATGGCGGTACATCGCGGATGAATTTGAGGTCAAGCCCGCCACGCCAGAATCCGTACAGCGTGTGTGGCACGCCCTTCTCGCCTTTTTCCCTCGCTTGCCCACCTCGGTCCACTCCCCATTCTCCTCTTCCTCCTGAAGTTGATACCGATGTAACTGCTGGATCCAAAAAGGAGTGTCATCGTCGAACTTGCGCGCGAGCTCGGGCTCGTGAAGGTCGAGATACTCCTTGACTTTTGACCAGTGCACGAAGGGTACCTGGATGGTGTCCATGACGTTGTCCATCTTCTCCTGCGCTTCCTTCATGATCGCGTACTCGCGTTGAAGAGTCCTGTGCAGCGATGTCCGTCCGGCAACCCTCTCAAGCTCGTTTAAATTGTATTGCGACACGAGCTCATCTGTGGATCGAGAGCCCAGGCGGACGATGTTCGTGGTGATGCCGGCGTCCAACACAGATCTCAACATGTGATCCAGCGCGTGGTTGGTATAGGCGATCAGTACTGTGGATACTAGTCAGGCGAATATACTGTGGAACACGGGCGACTGACCAATGGGCTTGATCTTGTTCTTGAACAGGACCCGCAAAAGTTCCTTTCCTGTAAAGCTCTACACTGTGGTGAGCAGGCGCTCGCATGATAATATACACGGCCGAACCTTTCCCGTACCAGGCGGTCTGTTAATTAATCCATCAGCAAGGCCTTCGAGCACAGTATGGCGCAGTACTCACCCTTGGATCAAACTGATTTCTCTCGTCAGCGTATCTACTACAGACTGTGCTTGAGAGTGATCCAGGTAGCTTCCGTCGATGAGTTGCTGTCGAACTCGAGCAATCGATGCAGCGTTCTGCGTATCCAAGCGATCTATGTTCGCCCCAGGGTTCATCAAGCACGAAAGGTCGAAGCGGAACCCAGGCGCGCGCGTGTACCGCGGCGGCGGCATCGGAACACCCTGTAGACTTCCCTCCCTTGCGATGTAGTCTGCGAACGGTATGGCTGTCGGCTCCGCGGCCTGCAGCGTCTCCAGAAATGGGCGCGCCGACTCGAACAAGACGCTGTTGTCGACGAGGAACGCGTACTTCCCTTGCTGAACATTCGAGATCGCCTCGTTTCGCAGTGCGTAGAGCTCAATCTCGGCGTCGAAGAACGAGACCCGAACTTCAATTCGCCCGGCGTTCGCACGCGCGGACTCGCCAATCTCCTCGCCGTTGGATTGCAGGGTGCCCAGAAAGATGCGATTCTCGTCGTTGGAGGATAGTACGAGGGCGATCAGGTTGCCGCTGGACAGACGCCGGCTGTGCTCCCAATACTCGAATCGCTTCTGCGGGTGTTCGTCGCGAGCTGCGCCAGGAGGAGCGTCGACACGCAGGCCAACCGTAAGCTTTTGGCGCTCGGCCTTTGCGGGCGAGAATTCGGCGCCGGAGTAAAGGTGAAAGAAGACCGAGTCGTGACCACTGCTGCGGTACGAGCCGCCACCCGTTCGCAACAAGTTTGCGAGCTGAGTCGTTCGCTGCTGCTGGCCTCGACGCAGCGCTGAGGTCCTCATTTCGTGTAAATCATCCATGACGACGTTCACCGACCGCCTCACAGTTGAGCTATACCGAGTGGTCAGCCAACGTGTACGTTGCTATGCGCGAAGGCCCTTACATCATCTCCTCGCGCAACAAGCGGAACTGAATATCCAGGTGCTTCTGCATCGAATTGGCAGGTAGATGGTGCGGCGCATTGGCGACGAAGTACGGAAGGTAAGGGTCTACCGGGCACATCAGTTCCTGGTGCGTAGGCGCGATCCTGATTTCCTGAATCACGGCCGAGTCGTTGTCGTGGCGTATGCCCTCCTCGCGCAGGGCTCCCGGCGCGTCGTAGCTCTGCGTAAGCTGGGCGACGAGCGCGTCCTGCCTTTGCACATGTGAAATGCCCCCAGTGCGTCCCGACCGCCTCTGCTTCTCTGCGACGCCAAACTCGCGCTGGACGACGGAGAGCAGGCGCTCGACGTCCTTGCCTATATGCGCAAGCGTAGGGCCGCGAATGTCCTGCGGGCTGGAGGCGATGGGGTCGGCGAAGGTGCGGGTATTGACACCGTCGCGCCAGACGATGAACCACGACGCCAGGTTCTCCACGAAGGTAAGGATCTGCGGGTAGTCGCGGACTGCGCTCTTGAAGCGAGCAAAGAACCTGAGATATGCTGTATCAGACGCAAGACACCATCGTAGTGAATGCCACGTACTCGGTGTAGAAGGTTGTCAGGACTTCGAATACGAGGATGCCGTCTAGCGGGCTCTGCTGCGAGCCCGCAACGCCTGCCCAGCTCCGTGCGGTGATCATCGCCTCCACGTTTGTCGACAAAGTGTCGTGGATCTTCTCGTAGCCGTTTTTGACGACAGTGAAAAGCTTGCTGAGCAACGGATATGAGTACATGTGGAGGGTTCAATGACGGGAGCCTCACTTGACGTTCTGGGACATCGTTGTCTTGTATACCATATCGCAAGCGAAGAACTGACGCCAAGAGCTCAGTGAAGTAAGTCATCGGTGTCACAAAGGACACATACCTCGATCAGGGGGAAGTACCCTTTCTGAAACGACAGATTACGCCCGGACGTTGTCGCAGCACACGAGACTGAATCCCATTGCAGAACTTGAGCAACAAGGAGCAGTGCATCACCCTGATCGAGGTCAGAAGACAGCTTTGAGCGAGGGGACTAGGACGTACGTTGACAACGGTATCCAGAAATCGCTGCGCATAGTCCGTGTTCTAAAGAGTAGGTAAGTGGGCGGTGGTCGATGCGATGATAGGCGGATCACGTACCCAATGCGGATTGCGCTTGTTGACGCTCCCGAAGATCTTGACGAAGCTCTCGACCCGATACGCTGAGTCCAGTGCGAGGGATTGTTGCCGCTGCAGGAATACCTTGAGGTGGTTGTGCACCTCGCTAGGCTTCATGTTGAGGTCGGCGCTCCTCTGCATGCCGTTGCCGATAGATAGTCCCTCCATCGTAAAGAACTCAACCTCTTCCACCTCCCCTTGCGGCACGTCTGACTCCGCAACGCCAGGGCGCCTATCGTGACGGAACGTGCAGTCGAAGCCGCGATTGCAAGTCCCGTTGGACCAGTAGAAATCGCAGACTTGGCGGGGTGCCCTGTCAGGACGGGGCGGCGGTGCCGGGCTGGGGCTCCCCCGCCCACGGCTCGATCCTCGAAAGGGCTGATCTCCGCCGCAACCTCCACGACCTCGACCTCGTCCACGCTGGTCCCCATTGTTGCTTCCTCCTCCTCTAATTCCTCGATTGTTTCCGCGATTGTTGCCACGGTTCCCGCGCGCGTTCTGGTTTGCTCCTCGCCCGCCGCCAAACGAAGACATGTCTGGCAATGGTGGAGACGAACGTGCAGGTCAGGAATAAGCGCTGCGCCCGCGTCGTGGTGCGCACCTTTTTCCTAGTACAGCGGAGATAGCCGGATAGGTACGAGAATGGAGTGGGCGTCTAACGCACTTCTGGTTCCCCCAGCTGAATTCAATGCCCCACAGGTTGCGTAAAAAGCAAGGCGCCGCATGAGGGGGTGGCATCCGGGGTGCATCTATTCGGATGCCCGCGCTTGTGCAGCGCAGAGGGTCTTCATTGCGCCTATCGGCAACCATGGGATACGGGGTGGGTAACGTACTTTCCATTGCATACGTTCAGCCGCTCAAGGCTCGCTTTCTGTGACGCGGACGATTGACCCAGATGATTTGAACCCTGCGACTGGCTAGCAATTCAAACGCCGTCTGCCTTATCCGAGAGGACGGAGAGAAACCTAGAAAGGACCCCTGCAGGTCAGTGCAAAATAACTTCGCATTCGGCCAGGACTCACCTCTCGGATTCATACAGACCGTCTAAAAGGTTGTGCTGAGCACGCATTCATCGTCACGGGTTTCAGACTCGAGCAGGTCAGGGGTGCCGTGAAGTCCTATCTGCCGGCCAGGAGATATAAGCGGTTACGCACAGTCGCTAGTTATGGTAAGCATCATATAAGCGACCGTCTACCTTTGTGGACCGTGCCTATGAACGAGGGCTACGGTGACGAGGTAGTCGTCAGAGGGCATCTCGATCCATTCGACACCTGCATCAAGGAAAAGTTCGGGACCGCTTTACACAGCTCTGCAGTACACGATGAATATTTCATAGTTTCGTCGACATATCGTAAGCGGCAGAGCATGACAATGAGGCGCTTCAGTCGCGGACTGAGCGTGAGGCGGATGCGGGAGCTGGTCAACCATCTAATTCAAGTGGCGGACACGCGGAAGGATGGCGGCAGTTGCCGCTTCAACGTCGGGACTTGCCGATAGCTAGATTGACCTGGAGAGGTCAATTGCGTTGTCAGATTCTTCCGCCAAAGTTGAGATCCCTCCGGCCTCGGAACCTCTTCCCCTCGGAAACATTCTGTTCCAGCCTCCAGCTCGACGCCATTTTGCCATCAGCTCCACGCCACATCGCTCGAGTTGTCCAAACCCTCGTCCCCCATATAATGATGCATGCGAAGCAGCACACCTTCTGTACGGGGTCGAACGAGCGGTGCACGGACTTGGAGCAGTGAAACCTCTTCCGATTGCGAAGAGTACATTCTCCGCCCACGCCTCAACAGCGTCGTTGATCATGACATATTCCTCTTTGAAGGGGGCGTCGACAGGGTCCCGTGCGCTTTTTGGTAAAGGTCATGCTCTCAGGATGCGCGTTCACGTAGTCAACAATGCGGTGGACGTCGCCGACGACGTCGTCCCAGGTGCTTGCCCATTTGGCGCTGTCTTCAATGGTCCAGTAGTACGTGTCGTCCATGGTATTCGAGACTCGTGCAGAAAGAGAGGAGACTGTTGAGCCGATGAAGTGGAGACCGACTCGATATTGCTGCTGCCTGCCATTCTGTGTGACCTTAATGTAGGACCTCAACTGAACAGCTGCATCGTGGAAGGAAACAACCACCAGGTCGAACACGAGTTGATGTTGATTTCGGCATTTGCCGGTCCATAAAGCTCCCATCGTCACTTGACGTTGACATCATGGGCCATGACATGGGGCGCGTTCTTGCCACTCGCGCCAGTGTCGCACAGTTCCTGACGCGCACCATCGCTGCTCTCCTCCCCCCACCATCTCCCACCAGAGTCATGGCTCTGCAGGTCGACCTCGTCATCACCTTCAAGACATCCTCGAACGCGAAGAGGGTCACCAAGGAGGACGTTCGCCAAGCCGAGGAGCAGTACGCCCACCTCATCAAAACCCTCAAGAAAGCTGGCCTCCTGGCCGTGGGGCGACGGGGAGAATCCCTGGGAGACCTTCTCGTTTTCGTAAAATGCCCGGAGCAATTGCTGAATAGCTTGGTTCGACGCGAACGGTGCGTAGTAGTGCTTCTCAGGTCACACGATCTGACTGAACGCGACGATCAGGCATTCCGACTTCTTGTCCGGCCTGCCCACGAACCCGACTTCTGCCGCCAGCGACGCCAGCCACCTCTGCCCCGCGGACCGAATCCGCATCGTACATGCCTACATCGCGTCCTCTCAAGTTGATGGTGGCCTCGGTATCAACCCAGGCGTGCCAGAATGGAGCAAAGTCGACTCTATCATGACCCTGCACGACCCCGAATTCAACGAAATGTGGATATCTTCCTGGACCAAGCAGAAGGTCGATGACGCAGCGATTGAGAGCTTGCGGCAGCAGGTGCGTCATGGCAGCTATCCTGCAGCACGTGTAGAGTGTTAACCATCATGCCCTTGTTCAGTTTGGCGAGTCGGTCGCCTTATATTTCGCGTTTCTGCAAGCGTATAGCCATGCGCTTGTCCTCCCCGCTGCTCTGGGAGTAGCGTTCTTCTTCCTGGGCGAATCGTACTCCCCTATCTATTCCACTCTCCTGCTCTTGTGGTCCATTGGATTTGCCGAATGGTGGAGGGTGAAAGAGAGAATCATCTCCCTCCGCTTCGGCAGCCGGGGCTCCTTCCGCGTCGAGCGACGCCGCGCCCAGTATAACCCCGGCTTCCCCTGGTGGAAGCGGGAGTTGAGGATTTTGGCTAGCATCCCTCTCATCACGCTCTACGCCTTCATCCTTGTTATCATTCTCACGGCTATCTTCGTTTTCGAGGCCTTTGTGACCCATCTGTATCAAGGCCCTGGACAGAAGATCCTAGTACGTATCCTTCATTCTGAAGCATTGACACGCTAACTCATTCCCTGTGTATCAGTCCTTGAGCCCAACGATCCTCTTCGCCCTCTTGGTGCCCACAATCATGGGCGTCTATCGCAAGACCGCTACGCGCACGACTGACTGGGAGAACCACGCGCACCAATCGACGCACACCGCTTCGCTCACCTTGAAGACCTTTGCCTTGTCTTCCTTGGTTGCGTACCTCGGTCTCGCGCTCAGCGCCTTCCTTTACGTCCCATTCGGCGAGGAGATCATGCAGATTGTTCAGGTTCTCCTCTTCCACGAGAAGTACGGCGGTGCCGGGGAGAAGGAGGGCTCCTTCTGGGACGCGGACACCGCAACCGCGAAGGAGAAGCTGAACCCAGGCCGGCTGCGCGATCAGATGTTTGCCTTCACGGTGACGAACCAGGTCGTAAACACCTTCCTCGAGGTTGGGCTGCCCTTCATCATGCGCGCCGTCGCGAACTTCCAGAAGAAGGGCGACGGGAAGAAAGGCGAGAAGGACGCCGCGAAGCCGGCGGATGATGCGTCGGTATCGGGTCGCACCAGCCCCTCGAACGCGTCGACCACGTCCTCGTCAATCAGGAAGAAAGTCGTGTTTGACGACGAGCGGGAGCCCGGTGCCGGCGAGGAGCGCGAGTTCCTCGAGCTGGTCCGCAAGCAGGCCGCACTCCCCGAGTACGACCTCTTCACCGACTACAGCGAGATGGCGACCCAGTTCGGCTACGTCGTCATGTGGTCCACGATCTGGCCGCTCGCCCCCGTCATGGCGTGCATCAACAACTTCTTCGAGCTCCGCTCGGACGCCTTCAAGATGACCGTCCACCACCGGCGGCCCATCCCCGAGCGCACGGACACCATTGGGCCCTGGCTCGAGGTCCTCTCCTTCATCAACTGGCTCGGCACGCTCACGAACGCCGCGCTCGTCTACCTCTTCCACCCCGCGTCCCCGCGCACCGCGCGCCTCTTCTCCACGCTCTCCTCCTGGCTCGAGGCCTCCGAGGGCGCGCAGGCCGCCACCGCGCACGGGCTGCTCACCAGCGCGGTCATCATCGCGCTGATTGCGTCGCATGTGTATGTGGTACTGAGGACGGTGGTGCGGCATGTGGTGGACCGCGTGGTGTGGCATGGGAGCAAGGAGGTGCGGGAGTGGGAGCAGGAGGAGAGGGAGATGAAGGCGAGACTGCTGCAGGCAGAGCTGAAGGCGGCAGGGCAGGAGCAGTCGGCGGAGCTGAGCCCGCGGTCGCCGACGGCGGATGACGACCTGGGTGCGCTGAAGGACTTCTGGGAGCACGATGACGGGCTGGAGGAGATCCATCGCTTGTCGAAAGAAGCGTGATCAGCTGTCACGGGTAAAGGAGAAAGCGTTTGTTGGCATGACTGTATGTAAGGACTGGCGAAGAAGTGCGTGCGTTCCTTTACCGATTGAGCTGTGATTGTACAACAAGGACTATTCCACTATAAGTACATTAGAATCGAGGGCTTCTGCTTGTATACATATCGTCTTGCGTGTTATGCTATCCGTAGTTTGTTCGTCCGAAAAATTGGTGCTGAGCCGCGCTCGAAAGCGAGGGTCTGCGAACGTCATATCAGCACCGAAAGGAGCGACTGCAGCAAGGGCACTTACGCAGGGCAGCAATTCGAGTGCATAATTGGAAGGGGTCTTGGGGTATAGAGGAGCTCAGCTCTCCCGCCTGACGCTGTCTCCGGCGCGGTGAACGGGGTCGTGGTCGACCTCGTCAGGATTGCCCCAGTCGAATGCCTGGGGGTTCGTCCCGAAGAAGGACGCATCGAACGCGTCAAGTACGCCAGCTCCCGAAGGTTGTTCGTCGAATGAATCAGCTGGCGGCCACATAGTAGGGGTGAAAGGCGCGTTGTCGGCGGTAGGGAAGTCGAAGAGGAAGTCGTTCGCGGTCTCGGCGAGGAAAGGATCGTCCGCTTCAGTGAGTGGACCTCCAAGATCGAAGTCGCCGCCGAGGTCAATGGCATCGCTGAGGTCGACGCCGCCGCTAAGGTCAATGCCGGTGCTGAGATCAATGCCAGGGGCGCCCCACGCCATCTGCTCGTCGGACGTCAAGTCGAGGTTGCCGAAGTTGTCGAGCAGGAGCAGGTCGTCGGGCGTAAGCTCGCCGTCGATGGCAATGGCGTCTGTATCCTGCGCGAGCATGCCGCTCGCCTGCATCTCGGCGATGAGGTCCGCGGCTTGCGCTGCGCTCCGCGCCGAGGACATCTGGAAGGGCATCGAGAAATCCGAGGTGGCAGTCGAGGGCACTCTGGCTTCGACGCGAACCACCGGGCCCCTAGGGACGAGGTAATCATCCTCCTCCACCGAGAACGGGTTCTCTTCATTTTCCAGCGGCGGCGCATAGTGCGGGAGGTGCGAGTAAGGGTCCGTGGTTTCCCCTACTGGGTCGAAGTGGAAGTTCTGGAAGGCCGCCTGAGAGGCGTAGGCCGGTTGAACGTAGTCTGGGTTCAGCGTGCGGCTGAGGTAGTCATCCAAGGTCTCGCCGTCGAGTGGACCGTCGTGCTCGTAGTCAATCATGGGGACCTGCATCAGCGCTACCTCCGTAGCGACACCTGGGCTGCTGCTCAGATGCCATCCGTCGAACCCACTCTCGAGACCGGTATCGGTATACGCATCGCTCGTATGCACCGGTATGGGTTGAGGAAGAGCTTCGCCATTATTGTCGAAGCTCAGGACCTTCGAGATCTCCGCCACAAGCGCGTCCATCTCCGGGTCCTGCATGTTCGAAGAGGTAGGCGCCGACTGCGCCTCGCCATCGAAGTCCGTGCTCCCGTCATCAGACTCTAATTCCGCGCTGCTCAGCACCGAGGGGGTGAAGTTCGCCGACGTGGGCCTCCGGATTCGAGCCGATGTCACTGGTGAAGTGGGCTGCGTCCCGCGCCACTCAAACCTCGGCTCGTCGTCCGGCACGAAGTTGCTGAACGTCGCTGATGCAAAGTCTTCTCGACGAGGGGGCGAGCCAACAGGGAATGTCCCGCGAGGCGCACGCGGAGAGGTCGAGGGTATGAGCATCCTCTTCGCGGTGGGTGAGTCCGGCCACGTGTCAGGTGGTGGCTGGCCTGGGAGCCATTCGCCCGTATCCCCAGGCGCGCGCTTGTTCTTCTCGCCTATCCTTCTGTCCCCACCTGGCGAGAGACAGGACTCTGGGCTCCCGGTCCTCTGCCGATAGTCCTGCATTTGATTGGGATGCGGAGGACTGACCGACGAGCTGGGGTCCACGGACGCGCCACGTATCGGGCGCATCCAATCTGGCGTGCTCTCGAAAGACGCATTAGACAATCTGTCCGGTGAGTCTTCCGAATCCGAATCCGAGCTCGAGCTATCGGAGTCAGTCGCCTTTGCTTTGCCCTTGGTGTCCACTTTCAGATGGATCGGCGTGCTCGATGGCGGGCGTGGCGTGATGTATGTCTCTTCCTGCGCGGTTCCCTCCTCGCTTGTAGAAGTATTTCCCTGCACGATATCTGCAGAGAGTACAGATGCCCGCGAAGAGCCAACCGCATTGTCCTCCATGATGGTTCGAGGATGAAATTGATGTCTTGATTGTATCCCCGGTAGGCAATCCTTTTGACGGCAACAACATTCCGTGCCGAGTTCGGATCACGGTCTCACCTGAATTGCTGACCTTGCACCTCGCCATTCGAACTTGCATCTCGCCACCCGAACTTGATCGTCCCCATGCTCCCTACTCAAGCGCCGCTGCCTTCCGTAATCCTTACCAATCCCTGACAAAGACAGCACTAAGATGGGACAATCCAAGCTCGTCATAAGGAGCTGTGACCTGCTATAAAGACGATGAGGTGCCCTCCGCCAGACAACAAAACCGTACGAACCACCATGGCTGCTCCCAGAACCATTCCCCAAACCCAAACCGCCGTCCTCGTTGGTTGGACCGAGAGGAAGCTCACCACCGTGCCCGTTGGCAAGCCTGGCGCGGGCGAGGTCCTCATCGAGAACGTCGCTGTCGCGTCTAACCCGAAGGACGTCAAGATTCCAAAGATTTTGTATCAGGAGGGCGAATCCTACGTCGAGGGAAACGACGTCGCCGGCACGATTGTAGCTGTCGGAGAGGGTGTATCCGAGTACGAGATTGGTGCGCGGGTAGCGGCCTTTACCAAGGTCGGCACGAAGGACAATAAGGTATGGGCTCATGTGTTCAATCGAAGACTTATAGCGGACGAATGATCACTAGTACGGCGCGTATCAGCAATACACTGTCGGTACTTTGACGACGACCTTTCCGGTTCCCAACGTTGTCTCCTATGAAGAAGCAGCGACCCTGCCGCTCGCCTTAGCTACAGCTTTCATTGGACTCTTCGTCCGCCTCGGAATTCCTGCACCTGATACGCCAGAGGCAGGTTGGTACGCTATAATGTCTGTAGACGATCATAGATGCTGACGTCGCTTAGCCTCGAACGCCGGAAAGGCTATAATTATCCACAGCGCTGCCTCTTCAGTAGGGTCGTATGTTGTGCAGCTGGCGAAGCGCACAGGCCTCTTCGTCATCGCCACAGCTGGCACGTCGAAGGACTATGCCAGGGAGCTAGGCGCCGACGTCGTTATTGACTACCGCGACCACCAAGGAGAAACATTGGTAAGCCACTATCACTATCACTATTTTTTATCGCTCATATACAACTAGGTGGACGCGCTCGCCTCTGCCGCGGGCAACCGTCCCACGCCGTGGGTCTACGACGCCTACTCCGAGAAAGGGTCGCCGCTCCTTCTAGCCCGCGTGCTCGAGAAGGTCGCAAAGAACAACAGCGTGTCGAACTTCAAAGGAAAGGTCACTACCGTCCTCCCTGTCCCCGATGAGGAACATGAACAGTTCCCTTCGAGCGTCGAATGGGAGCGCACTTTCGCCGGCACTGTCTTCAACACAGATGCAGATTGTATGTGGCTCGCAATTTTCGAGATACATTACAATCTACTGACCTTCTTTCCAGTCGCAGGTCCCTTCTATCGCAAGGTTTCGACGTGGCTAGCCAACAAATCATGCAAGGCGAACCGTTGTAAGATCATACCTGGTGGCCTTGCTGGGGTTGCAAAGGGCCTTGAGCTGCTAGCGAAAGGTGTGCACGGTGAAAAATTGGTGTATCAGATCGCGGACACGCCAGGCATTGGCGCTTGAGCATGGTCACTTAAGGCGGATGTAGTGAATTCCATGATGCACTTGTATGATCGACTAATTGAAGCTGAGGCGCGAAAGTAGTAGCTTTACTGAGACGAAGAATGAATATAGAGGATGAATTGTGGTAACTGATATGTGCAGAGCGCTGCGACTGCCAAAGTACGCGCGACAATTTAGGATGTTGAACTTCACAGGCAATCACATGATTGTCTCGTGACTACCGTGACTAAATGGTGCTTGCGAATCGCGACGCGCACTCTTGCCCGCGACCACGACCACTTGATCGTCACGGTCGCCCAGTCTCACTCGACAGCACTAATCGACATCAGTCGTAGCATGACACTACACGAGGAAGCCAGAGCAAGGCGAAACGCCCTCAAAAACAGATGTAGCATTCGCAACCGTCGCCGCAACAGTTTTACCAGTGTAAAGATCGGGCGGCTCAAGTTCTCTTTTTGAGGCTCTTCTTCGGCCTGGAAAAATCTCACCGACGCTTCTCCCCGACCCACTCCCGCATCGGACTGACAAGGCCCCTTGTGGAATTTATGCCTTTTCCCAAGTTACTCAGCGTCGTCCGGCCCTGCAGCGAGCCATTCTATTATGCCAGCCGACACCAATGACGCACCTGCGTACTGTCACCTCCTACCATTGATCATATCCCCAGTTGGAAAGTATTGAGTTTCGCGGCAAAGCGGCAAAGCGGTTTGTCCCTTTCCGTCCACGGGCACTCCGAATCGGATTCGGGGTCGTTCGAAGCGACATCACCATGATTTCATGTGCGAGAACGAGCCTCTTTTCCCCTGATTATCCTCAGTCTGACCAAGTCCTGACATAGCATGCTCAATCGTTATTCCAGCATCGCGATGGTGGGCTCGCCTACTTATATCTGTCTGTACGAGAGGCTGAAGTGCTGCAAGATCGACTTGTGCGACTTCTCTGGCTGCATATATCCGCTTCCACTCCAATAACTGCTTTACATTACGAACATGGCTGCCCCTCCCACCATCCCCAAGACCCAGCTCGCCGTCCTCGTCGGTCCCAAGGAGCGCAGGCTCGAGATGATCCCAGTCGGCGTTCCAGGCCCCGACGAGGTCCTGATCAAGAACATTGCGGTGGCGTCTAACCCCAAGGATTGGAAGGTTCCGCAGTGGATCTACGATGCGGACGAGGCGTATGTGGAGGGCAACGATGTGGCGGGGACGATCGTGGCGGTAGGAAAGGACGTGAGCGAGTATGAGGTCGGCGCGCGTGTGGCGGCGTTCACGAAAATGCGGACGAAGTGGGATAAGATGGGGCCGGAGGATAACAAGGTGCGTTAGACGCATTGAAAACAGAGGGCCGGAGAGCTTACGTCGCGAATATAGTACGGCGCCTACCAGCAGTACACCGTCTCTCCTGCGCATGTTACTTTCCCCATTCCCGACAACATCTCGTTCGAGGAGGCGGCGACGCTGCCCCTCGCTGTCATGACCGCAGCCATCGGCTTGTTCGTTAGCTTGGCCGTTCCCGCGCCTGGTACTCCGGAGGCAGGTGAGCATTTTCTAACGTTCTCTGATTGAGTTAGCTACTGACGCTCTCTTCTAATCTCGCTTACTCGTCACGATTTCGCCCTCTTGCCTCATCCCCCCCCCCCAGCTTCCAACGCAGGCAAGGCCATCATTGTCAACGGTGCTGCGTCCTCGGTTGGCGCTTTTGCTGTCCAGCTGGCGAAGCGCGCGGGTCTCTACGTCGTCGCGACGGCCGGCTCCTCGAAGGACTACGCGAAAGAGCTCGGCGCGGACGTGGTTGTCGACTACCGCGAATATAAGGGCGATGCGATAGTGAGTGCCATACGCTTTCCACCCTCCATCTCGGATACACGCTCACCATCCATTCTAGATCGACGCCCTCGTCGCCGCAGTCGGAGGGCGGCCCATCGCCTGGGCCTCCGACGCCGTCTCCGATTACGGCTCCGCCCTCATGCTCGCCCGCACGCTCGCGAGGCTCACCAAGTCCGGCGCAGTGACGACTGTGCTTCCCGCGCCCGAGAACGAGGAGAAGCAGTTTCCGGCGGGCATTTTGCATGCGCCGATGATGGTTGGCACGGCGCATTTCGAGGATGCAAAGTGTGCGTGATGCCTTTCGTTAATTCCACCTTCTTTTCCTTTCCCTCGCGTTTGGCACCAGGGTGGCTGACTGACGCTTCTCTAGTCGCTGCTGAATGGTACCGCAAGATTTCGCGCTGGCTGGCGGATGGGTCGTTCAAGCCGAACCGCCCGAAAGTCCTGCCTCGTGGTCTCGAGAGCGTGGCGCACGGTCTTGAGCTGCTGGAGACCGGGAACGTGCATGCAGAGAAGCTTGTGTATCGTATTGCGGACACGCCCAGCTTGAAGGCGTAAGAAAGCAAGAAAACTGTGTATCATTTTGTAGGAAATATATAGGAATTGGACGTTCTGTAAAAGTGATCATCATAGTTGAAATAAAGAAGTCGACCGTGTACTTGTTCCTGATGGTCACATTGACAAGTTCAACTTGGATATGATGTGCGCCTGTAGGCGCTCATCACGTGCAGATAAACATGATATCTCGGCTTGGTGGTGAACCCAAGGGTTTTCCAAGCACTCTCGTTCGCAACCACCACCACTTGAATCCGTGAGTACAATTACATACGCCACCTCCTTCCTTTCGGATGCGCCTCACGCGCTTCGCGTCCGTTTCTTTAGCGGTGATTCTCGCTCACGCTAGGATTCACATGTATCACTTCTCCCTTACTTATCCACGAGTCCTCATCGAGCTGACGAAGGCCCTTCTGGAATCTATGTCTTCTGACAATTGCTTCTCAGCGTCGTTCGTCCCTCCAGCGAGCCATTCTATGCCAGTCAACACCATTTACTCGTCCACGTAACCTCCTATCCATGATTGTATCCCCGAATGGCAAGCATTGAGTTCGACGCCAATTTCAAAGCGATTTCGGAATCGGATTCGCGATTGTTCGAAGTGACATCACTGTGAGTGCATGTGCCGCAAGCACGATCCCCTTTCCCTCTCCTATTCTTCGCGATTATTCCCCAGTCTGACCAAGTTCTGACATAGCATGCTCAATCATTATATAAGCATCGCGATGGTGGGTTCGCCTACTTATAGCTGTCTGCACAAGAGGCTCAAGTGCTGCAAGATTACTTCTTATACCTCCCTGCTCACTGACAGTGACCATTCCTAATCCTTCACAAACAACTATCATGGCCGCTCCTCGCATCATCCCCAAGACCCAAACTGCCGTCCTCATCGGTCCCAAGGACCGCAGGCTCGAGACGATTCCAGTGGGCACGCCCGGTCCCGACGAGGTCCTGATCGAGAATGTCGCCGTCGCATCTAATCCCAAAGACTGGAAGGTCCCAAAGTGGATGTACAAGGAGGACGAGGCGTATGTGGAGGGGAACGACGTCGCGGGCACGATCGTGGCAGTGGGCGAGAACGTGAGCGAGTATGAGGTCGGCGCGCGCGTGGCGGCGTTCACGATCATGCGGACGAAGGATAACAAGGTGAGCTTTACGCCTTCGGTGCAAAGGGTTGACCGTTGGAGAGCTGAAACCACTGAATATAGTACGGCGCCTACCAGCAGTACACCGTCGCCCCTGCGCATGTTACGTTCCCCATCCCCAACACCACGTCGTATGAGGAGGCTGCGACACTTCCCCTCGCTGTCATGACCGCCGCCATTGGCCTCTTCATCCGTCTGGCGATTCCCGCGCCAGATACTCCGGAGGCAGGTAAGTGTATTCTAGCGTTCTTTGGATGAATGAGCAACTGACGCTATCGGTCCTTCCTTCCTTTCTATCGGACTTTCCTCTTCTAATCTTGGGAACTCGCTGCTTACAATTCCGCCTATCCGCCACAACATCACCTATTCACCACGATCTCGCCATCTTGCCTCATCTCTCCAGCTTCTCATGCTGGCAAGGCCATCATTATCAACGGCGCTGCATCCTCGGTTGGCGCATTCACTGTCCAGCTGGCGAAGCGCGCGGGTCTCTACGTCGTCGCGACCGCTGGTTCGTCGAAGGACTATCCCCAGGAGCTCGGCGCGGACGTGGTTGTTGACTACCGCGAACACAAGGGCGATGCTATAGTGAGTACGCTGAATTTCCACTCCCCTATCATCGACTGACCATCTCCTCAGATCGATGCCCTCGTTGCCGCAGTCGGTGACCGGCCCATTGCATGGGCGTACGACGCCGTCTCCGAGCACGGGTCCTCCCTTATCCTCGCCCGCACCCTCGCCAAGCTCACGAAGTCGGGCAAGGTCACGACTGTGCTTCCTACGCCCGAGGACGAGCAGAAGCAATTTCCGGCTGGCATTGCGTACGAGCTGACCTTGGTTGGCACAGCGCATACGGATGATGCGAAGTGTACGTTTATTCCTTTTGCTTTTTCATCCTTACTTTCATCCTCCGCCTCCTCAAGTGCGAGATTGCCTGACTGACGCTTCCTATCCAGTCGCCGCTGAATGGTACCGCAAGATCTCGCGCTGGCTGGCGGACGGGTCGTTCAAACCGAACCGGCCGAAGGTCTTGCCTGGCGGCCTTGAGAGTGTCGCGAACGGTCTTCAGCTGCTGGAGACCGGCAATGTGCATGGAGAGAAGCTTGTGTACCGCATCGCGGATACGCCTGGTTTGGAGGCGTAAGGAAAGGAGAAGTATTTATATCATCTTGTAGCATACGACTAGGAAATGGAATATCAGTTGAAATCGGTGTATACCATCGCAGAGGCCGAGGAGTAGCGTCTCCTTCGCGAGGGAGCTTACACTGGCTCAAATCGCGAAATTCAACATCTGTGTGCGCATGTAGGCGCTGTCCACGTGGAGATAACCATGACAGCGCACGAGCCTAATCTTATCATTATCAGATACAGCCCCAAAGCGCCCAAGCCGAGGCGCGTAGTCACCTTTCCCTCGTACCACAATGGCAACCCCCGTCACCGTCGCCGACATCCCTCCCGCTGCGATCGCCGCGGGCCCTACGATCTCTACGGCGGAGGCCGCGCCAGACGCTGCTGCACCTGCCCCAACGACTGACGCCGCAGCACCAACTACACCGCCCACAGAGACCGCCACCGCGCCGGCTGCGCAGGTGGAGGAGGCTCCCAAGCCAGATGAGCCGGCCTCGGAGAAGGTAGCAGATGGGGCACCGAAGCCGGCAGCAGAGGAAGTAGCGCCTGCGAAGGCCGCAGAAGACGCGCCGGCGCCTACTGCAACTGAGAGCGCAGCGGCGCCCGCTGCTGTGGCGCAGGCCGACGCGCCCAAGGAGACGGCGAAGGCTGGGGAAACGTCCGCAGCGCCAGCTGCGACAACCGCTGCACCTGCTGAGGCAGCCGCTGTTGCTGCTCCTGCTGAAGCGCCGACTGCTGCAGCTCCCGCACCAACTGCCACCCCCGCTGCCCAACCCACCGCCGCCGCTCCTGCCAAAGCGACCGCTGCGCCTCGACTCACCAGGATGCCAAGCGAGGATCCAGTGGAGGAGGAGAACAAGCTCACTATACAGTTCACGGACGAGGAGATCGACGCACTGAAGGAGTTCATGGTGCGTTGTCTTCCCTTTGCATGCGTACGGCTCGCTGATTATGTCCCCCCCTGCTTCTCTGTATCCCTCGCTCTGGCGCCCCCCCACCCCTTCGACCCACCAACTTCCGTCCCACAATATCCGACCCCCCATCTGTTTGCCTCTACAGAAGCGCCTCCCCGACATTTTCGCCGCCGCCTACCCGGACAAGGGCGACGCAGCGAAGACGACGCCAATCGTCCTCTGGAATGTCTCCATCGACCCCGTCCGGCCGTACAGGAGCGCGAAGGCGAAGGTGGTGCTGATGAAGTTCTTGCGCGCAAGGTGCGTCCTTCAATCCCACACTCTCGCCAACATCTTCGCCTTGCCATATGAAGTCCTACACTGCATTAAACCCTCACACATCGACTCCTATATGCCTTGGAGATACTGTTGAGCCTGACTCGAACCCGTAGAAACTTGAACGTCGACGACGCTGCTGCCATGCTAACCAACACGCTCAAGTGGAGGCAAGAGTTCAACATCGAGGCCGCGCTCGAGGAGAAGTACCCCGAGGAGGTCTTCGGAACGTTGGGCTATATCAGCGGCAGGGATAAGGAGTGTAGGCCTGTTGTGTGAGTGCCTGTTCGAATTGTGGCGCGCAGAAGGGCTTTAGCACCAAGGTTCGAGGACTAACGGCGAATACAGGTACAATGTGTATGGCGGGAACAAGGATGTGAATGCGGTCTTTGGGGATGTGCAGCGCTTTTTGCGGTAAGTGCATTTCTCTCCAAAGCGAGCTCAAGCTGACGAGGTTTCCTACAGGTGGCGCGTGGCCTTCATGGAGAAGAGCATTGAACATATAGATTTTGAGATTGCAGATCAGGCGGTGCAGGTGCACGGTCAGTCAAACTTGACGTAGTTCAGTGCTGTTCGTGCTGACGACGTTCCCTGCCAGACTACCTCGGTGTCAGCATGTCCAGCCGAACACCTGAAGCCAAACAGGCTGCTTCACAGGCGAGCAAGATTTTCGGCGACTACTACCCTGAGCTTTTGGTGCGTGTGGCTCCTACTTACAACTTCCACACGCAACTCCCGCTGGCTGCTATCCCACTACGAACACCCGCTATGAACCACATCCACTGACGCTCCCCTCTCCCGCAGTATAAGAAGTTCTTCATCAACGTCCCCACTCTCATGTCCTTCATCTTTTGGACCTTCAAGGCGATCCTGCCCGCGAAGACGTTCGCGAAGATGAGCGTCGTGGGCACGAGCACGAACAGCATTCGGGATACGCTAGGGGAGATTATCGATGTAAAGGAGATTCCGAAGAGGTATGGAGGAGAGGGGGAGGAGTGGTGATGAGGTGGGTCATGATAAAGGGTGTCGAGGCGGCGGGCTTCTGAGCGTTGGGCGCGATGTCGCAGCAGAAGTCTTCGCAACATACCCGTGTTATGCGCACCCCTGCGCTCTCGCCACCGTCTTGCCGTTGTTGTTGTTTCTTGCGTATGATTTCGAGTGTACGACCGTCAATGTGGATTGGAGGAATAGGATGTAACGCATATGTATCTCGAGCTTGGGTTGTGGGTCCAGCTTGCCAACTTATCTCCATCACGCCAATTCATTGCTGTTGAGTGACCCCAGATTTTGTCATTTGCGTTCTAGTTGCGTCGATGTGTCGATCTCAGGTCCGTGGAGATGAAAGAGGAAGCCGTGAGATCACAGCGGACGTAAACGAATTCAGCGCGCGTCCATATCTGGGGCAGCTCTGGGTCGTTCCTTGGCCTCAACCACCACCTCCTCTCCCCGCCAAACCCCCAACGCCGCGCAGGAGGCCCTCCCCGCGTCGCGCGACGATCTCCTCTAACGCTCCGCCCCCTGAGCGACGACAACGACGATGAGCTCGAGCACACGACACCAATACGCCCCAATCACGACCCAGGAGGATGCGGACTTCGCGGTCCCGCGCTCGCCCTATGTTCCCGCCTTCGAGCGCGCTCCCTCTAGCGCCCCACCCCGCCCATCGCGCTCAAGCGGACCCATACGCATGCCGCCGCGATTGGGACGGCTGATGCAGCGCGTGAAGGACGGGCTGGCGGTGAACTACGGGCTGCTGCTGGTGACCGCGAGCCAGCTGTTCTTCTCGCTCGTGAACGTCTCCGTCAAGAAGTTGAACAGCATCGACCCGCCTGTGCCGACGTTTGAGCTGATCGGGTTCCGGATGGTGCGTGTGCGTGCTGGCGGTGGGGTAGACGGGCGCTTATCAGGCCGCTGGCGATTATAGGTGATCACATTCATCTGCTGCCAGGCGTATATGTGCGTAGCTTAGTCGTTGAATGTGACGATGGTGCTGAATGTATGCTCGCTAGGTTCGCTCGAGGGGTGCCGGATCCGCTGCTGGGGCCGAAGGGAGTGCGATTGTTGTTGGTGTTCCGGGGATTCATAGGGTGTGTGCGCCGCGCCATCGCCGCTATCTCACTCGCTGATCCTTCTCCCGTATAGTTTCTTCGGAATCTTCGGCCTCTACTTCTCCTTGCAGTACCTCTCGTTGTCCGACGCTACCGTGCGTACCCGAGTTATTCCTCCTTCCAGATCATTCATCCCTCCTACAGGTCCTGTCCTTCCTCGCACCTCTCACCACTGGTATCGTCGGCGCCCTCATACTGAAGGAGCCCTTCACACGCAAGCAGCTATTTGCAGGGCGTGAGTATCGCCCTCCTTCTTTCATATCTAGTCGCTCACGATCGGCCCGCTAGTCATTAGCCTAATCGGAGTCGTCTTGATCGCGCGACCGCCCTTCATATTCGGCAGAGCTGCCGACTTGCCTGCTGCACTTACGAATGATGATGCCACTGCGGATGCACCGCTAGCGCCGGTTGACCCAGCGGAGCGGGGAACACCGCAGCAGCGTCTGTTGGCTGTTGGGTAAGTGAGCGTCGGTACATCGGCCTGTTCAGTTTTGACAGATACTATCTTCAGGATGTCACTCGTCGGCGTATGTGGCGCTACTGGCGCTTGTGAGTCGCCTCCCGCGATTACCTAGAGAGCATTGTACTTACGGGACCAGACATCACCATACGCGCCATCGGCAAGCGAGCGCATCCATTGCACTCACTCTCTTCGTTCTCGCTGCAGAGCGTGATCACGTCGACTACCTTGTGCGCCTTACTACATCTCACCGCTGACTCCCTGCTGACCCTTCACTTCAGAATCCTCGCAACGAAGACCAAGCTTGTCATTCCCACTAGCATCGAATGGCTCGCACTGCTCGGCGTCATCGGCGTGTGCGGCTTCATTGCGCAGGTGCGTGTTGCTCGATTCAACCTTGGGTCGAACGTCACTAACCCTGGCGCACGCTTAGGTCCTCCTCACCATGGGCCTCCAGCGCGAAACCGCCGGCCGTGGATCCCTCGCGCTGTACACCCAGATCGTCTTCGCTACGATATTAGAGCGCACGTTCTTCAAGGTCTCCCCGTCCGCGCTGAGCGTCCTGGGTACGCTCATCATTGTGGCGAGTGCTGTGTATGTGGCAGTGAGTGTCGTGGCTTTTGGTAGTAGACACTCCTTTGATCAACACCTCCCCGTCAGGCCACGAAAGAGCGCGAAAACAAGCCGCCGTCAAACCCCAGCATCACACTAGAAAGATTGGACGAGGAGGCGATGGAGGAGGGTCTGCTAGACGGTGAGGGAAAGACGGAGGGGGAGAGAGAAAAGGAGCGCCGCCTGCGCGTGCACTTCTCGCATCCGTCCCTTAGCAAAGAGAGCTTGGGCGCGTTCAGTGTGAGCACAGAGAGCGTGGCGTTGGTGCCGCATGGTGCTGTGTCAGTACCGCAAACAGGCTCCTTTGCATCGCATCCTGCCAATGAAACGGTTGAAGGGATGCAGGATGCAACGACAGAGGAGACGCGAAATGCAACGGCTTAGAAGATGTCTTCATGATTTATGGCCTACGGGATTTACGCTTAGCTACTAGAGGATTTTACTGATTGTAGAATAGATCTCCCTCTTTTCTTTCTTCTTCTCTTTGGTATATAGAACTGGTACATAGGAAAAGCACAGTGCTATTCCTCGGATTACTTGCGAGATGATGTCTGATCAGGTTTGAAGCGTCAAGAGTCATTTATGGGTTAGATACAGTACGTTCGTCCATCAGGGCTGCTCCTTGCAAGCAAGTCCCAAGACGGCCAAGTTACGCCTTGATTCCTGGCGTATCCGCAATGCGATACACGAGCTTCTCGCCGTGAACCTCTCCGTTCTTAAGCAGGTCAATGCCCTTGAAGACGTCCGCGAGTCCGCCTGGCATAATCTTGGGCCTATTGCACTTAAAGGATCCCTCGGAGAGCCAGTGGGAGATCTTGCGATAGAAGGTGGCAGCGACTGCGAGACGACGTCAGCATCGTCCACACTTTCGCCTCGCGAGACGAAATGAGTCACGAGCTACTTACACTGCTCATCCTCTCCGTACGCGGTGCCCACATATGTCTCCGCGCACGTCACGTTCGACGGGAAGAGACTGCGCTGCGCCTCTGGAAGGACGGGGAAGACGGTAGCGACGTGCGCCGGAACGTCGTCGCTCTGGCGAATCTTGGCGAGGGCGCGGGCGAGGATGAGCGCGCTGTCGTCTCCCTGAATGGCGTCTAACGCCCAGGGCGTAGGGTGGTCGGCGACGGCGGAGACAAGCGCGTCGATCTGTCCAGGAGGTTAGAGCTCACTCGGTGAGGGGTGAGAGAAGTATTAACGAGCTGTTCGCCCTGGTATTCGCTGTAATCGACAACCACGTCCGCACCAAGTTCCTTCGCATAGTCCTTCGATGCGCCAGCAATCCCGACCACGAAAAGGCCAGCTTTCTTGGCCAGCTGAACCGCATATGCGCCGACCGAGGTCGATGCTCCGTAGATGATGACGGCCTTGCGAAGGTTGGTTGCTGCGAATATGTCCTTGTCAGTCTTCATTAGCAACATGCACGTCATATCAGACGCACCAGCTGCCGCGGTATCGGGCGCAGGGATACCAAGGCGCACGAAGAATGCAATGGCGGCGGTCATCACCGCAAGCGGCAGCGTGGCTGCCTCTTCGTAAGGCGTGATGTTAGGGATGGGGAATGTCGTGCTCGCCGGCGCTACCGTGTATTGCTGGTAGGCACCGTACTACACGTTCGGTCAGTAAGGTGCCTCGCAGTTTCTGGTCGTAACTGACTTGCCTTGTTATCCTTTGTACCCATCTTCGAAAACGCGGCGACGCGCGAGCCGACTTTGTACTCAGACACGCCCTCTCCGACTGCGACTATCGTGCCCGCCACATCATTGCCCTCCACGAACTTCTCGCCCGGGGCGTACATCATCTCCGCCGCCTTCCAGTCCTTCGGATTTGCCGCCACCGCGACATTCTCAATCAGTACCTCGTTAGGCCCAGGCTTGCCCACGGGGATGGTCGTCAGCGACCGCTCGTTGGGGCCAAGGAGCGCGGCGATTTGCGTCTCGGGGATGTCTTTGTGGATGGTGGTCATGGTGGTGGTGAGAAGGAAAAAGCAGATTGAGGAGGTTCAGATACACCCACGAATATATATTCGGCGACATAAGTAAGCAAGGAAGCTTCGAGGATCTCTGACGTTCTGTCATCTCGGTTGAAGGTCTGGGAAGGATGACGTTGACGGTTATTCCGAACCGCGGATCAATTGATCCTTTTGTTGTCTTTCGGGGATATGCTTGCACGTGATTGCGGGAGTCTCCCATCAGCCAGTGGTAGTTCAATCATTCCAAGGTCTGGAAGCTCTGACTTGAGGATCACAGTCACCCTTCGAGAGCGTAAGAGCACGAGAAAAGTCGTGCGATTGTGAGACTGACCTCGGAAGGTTTTATCTGGCAAAGGAACCTCCAAGCTCATCTATGTACATTCCACGGTTAATGCCAGGCAGGGCCCCATCTACTCGGTACATGGGAGCAAGTATACCGTACAGAGCCACTATATACATGTACCAAATTGGCGGAGTCCAAAGAAGTAAGGAATGCAGTAATTCGTGAGCGCCTAGCGCCGTGCAAAGTCCAGTCTATTTCTTCCACTCTCCGCTTCGCAAGGCAGAAGCAGCCTCAGGCAGCCGCGTCCACTATACCAAGCATGTCGAGGTCAACGAGACCACACAGCTTCAGTATAGCTGGAAGAACTTCGCCCTGGTGATGGCAGCCTTCGGCGTCGCATGGGTACCGTTCGCAGGCGTCGTGCCGTTGAAGAAGATGGGTACGGTGCCGTTCACTGGGATCTTGGTACCATTCGTGCGATGGGAGGCGCCGAAGAAGGACGATGCGGGGACGAACATAACCGTGCCATTATATGTCGTCGACCCACTTCCAGGGAACGTGATCTCGGTACCGTTCGCGTGCGCCGTGCCGTTCAGGTAGACGGGCACGGTGCTGTTGGCGGGGATCCCAGTGCGATTCGTGACGTGCGCGACATCAAGGAAGGTCGTGCTGGGAACGAGGAGGAACGTCCCGTTCGTGCCGTTGGCGGGCGTGGTACCGCTGAGGAAGACAGGGATGGTACCGTTCGCGAAGATGTCGTGACCGTCATTGTGGCTCGAAGAACCCAGGAATCTCGTGCTGGGGATGAGCATGATGCCTCGTGCGGTGCCGTTCGTGGCCGCGGTGTCGTTGCCGGGAAGCGTGATCTGAGTGCCGTTGCTGCCGCTCTCCACCTTCGCTGTGCCATTGGTGGAGTGGTTGGCGCTTGCAGCAGCAAGGGTGCTACATCAGACAGTCAGTGGAGGAGACTCGACGCCCTTCAACGAAGTCACTCACTTCAATGGCAATGCGAATTTGCGTAGCGCAAGATTCCTGCTCACATCGCGGTGCGTGAGGAGGGCGCCCAGAGCCGGGAGTGCATAAGCGAGGAAAAGACCGAAGAACTTCATGACGGCGGAAATGCACGAATCAATAATAAGGTGAAGGTGAGCAAGTCGTGTATGTGCTGGGAAGAGAACGAATCCGATGCCGACTCTATAAGGACAGGGAAGTGAGATGAATGAGCCCACCGCGCGCCCGTCGCCACCTTCTTATACTCTGGACGCTCGAGTCTCCACAACCACCCGTCGCGACAACCCGACAGTTCATGCGCGTCGGCATTCTTCTATGGCGGTGTCGGGCGCGCCGGTGATGAACACCGTCGTCGAGGTTCGCGGTGGATAGATGCGCATTCCGCAGTCAGTCATGGGAAAAAGGGACCGAGAAAGGGATTTTCTGGCCTCGATGGCGGGGGAGGTTGATGGTGCCTTAGCCAAGGCGCGATCGGTGCCATATGGACGACGAGGAAAGCATTCGCGCATGATGAGGGTCGCTTCCAGGCGGTGAGACTTCCACCTGGAAGAGGAGAGGCCGCTTGATGAATACGTCTGTCCGCAGCCAGCCCGCAAATGGGCGCGGAGGCGCCTGGAAGAGCATGAAGAAGCTCGAGTGGGAACTCCCGATAGCAACTTCCGGGGGCGTTACCAGGAACTTGACGGACAGTAAAGTGAGCCAGGGGGAGTTCAAGAGGAGGACCTTGTGCAAGCAATTATGGCTGAGAAGAACGGAAAGAGTTACTTTGTCTGCGCGACCGCGAATAGGGATGGTGGATGAATTCAAGGCAAAGCCTTGAGAAACAAACGGAGATCTCCGAATGTGTTGCCTAATCGAGCAGCAGACCGGCGACCGCATCTCCATACGGATGACGGTGGCAAATCCAGCTTAATCATATCCAAGCGTTGTCTCGCAGGAAAGGACCGAAAACTGCAAATTTTCAGAGACAACAATGCTTGGAGGCAACGTCGCAGACTCAGAACAGACCCGGGCCGAACGTATCGACACGAGCTGTAAGTAGTTGCAGACTATTCTGAGTTCGTAGCGTTTGGATGAGAAGAAAAATGAAGATCCTACTTAGCAGCGGCAGCTTCCTTTGCGATTGACGACTTGATCACTCTATCAACCACGTGAATACCGAGCGCATTCCTACATCGTAGTGCATGGTGCAGATATCCCATCTTTCCTTCTCACACCTGCAATCCAGGCGTATCTGCGATGCGATAGACAAGCTTCTCCGCATGGACTTTGCCCGTCTCAAGTAATTCAAGCCCTTGTGCCACACTGCGAAGCCCCTCGGGCAGGACCTTCGGCCGATTGGGCTTGAACGACCCGTCCGCCAGCCAGTGCGAGAACTTGCGATAGTATTCTGCGGCAACTAATTCATGGGCGTCAGCCAGGAGACCGAGATCCGAGGCATAGAGCGTACACTTCGCATCATCAGCATGCGCCGTTGCAACCCTCGTCAACTCGTAGGCAATGCCAGCGGGAAACTGTGCCGGCTCTTCATCGGGTATGGGCAATACTGTTGTAACCTTGCCGGATTTGGAGACTTTGGCGAGCGTACGGGCGAGCATAAGTGCGGAGCCGTGCTCAGAGACAGCATCGTACGCCCAAAGTGTGGGCCTATCGCCAAGCGCGGCAATCACAGCGTCTATCTGCAGGGATCGTTCAGGTCGAAGTCGCATCGCTAGATGTCTCGGCTTACTATAGCATCTCCCTCATGCTCACGGTAGTCAATGACAACGTCCGCGCCCAGCTCTTTAGCGTATTGCTTCGACGAGCCGGCAGTCCCAACAACATATAGTCCAGCACGCTTGGCCAGTTGTACAGCAAATGCCCCGACAGACGATGCAGCGCCGTTGATGATGATGGCCTTGCCAGCGTTTGAGGCTCGAAACAGCAGTCAGATAACGTAGAGAGGAAATGTCACAGAACGAAGGCAGGTAGCCAAGGGCACTGAAGCCACAAACCTGCTTCTGGAGTCTCTGGCGCGGGAATGCCCAGGCGTACGAAAAGCCCGATGGCAGCGGTCATGGCAGCGAGCGGAAGTGTTGCTGCCTCCTCGAACGTTGTGTTGTCGGGAATTGGGAAGGTGATGCTTGCAGGAGCAACGGTGTACTGCTGGTATGCGCCATACTTCACAATTCTACGTGAGCCGCGCTTGAGTCCTTGCCAATCTCTCAGACGCACCTTGTTGTCCCTCGACCGTATCTTCGTGAACGCTACAACGCGGTCTCCAACCTTATATTCAGAAACGCCCTGTCCCACAGCGACGATGATCCCTGCTACGTCGTTGCCCTCGACGTAGGCCTCGTTCTCACCGTAGAACCACTTCGGGCCCTTCCAGTCCTTCGGGTTAGACGCGACAGCGACATTCTTGATGAGGACCTCGTCGCTGCCAGGCTGGCCAACAGGAATATCGGCAAGCTTGCGCTCCTGGGGGCCAACAAGCACGGCGGTCTGAGTCTCCGGAATATTCTGAGTGATAGCCATGGTGGTTCGGGCGGGAGGTGGCTCTGGTAGATCTCGGGAAGTTTAGCCAATGTCAAGCTCTACATTATATTTATGTGAACCCACTCTGGTGCTGCTTATATAACGGCTGAGTATGCTATGTCAGAACTTGGTCATCCTGAGAAAAGTCCCGAGGTATAGGACGAGGAAGAACAGGAAAGGGTTGCATGCGCGTATTCGCAGTGATGTCACTCCGAACAATCGCACATCGGCTCGACTGGTCAGTACGTCTGAAGATGCCATACAGGATGATCAGAGACAAGGGCGACACATTCCTACACGTCGACGAGTTGGATCGTCACAGCAGTACAATCCTGGGCGACATAGTGCGCATGCGTCTCTACCGGGCTGTACACGACGTCGAGACGATTGGATGTCGAGTTCGTGCACAGGCTCCATTGACCAGCGTCTTTGTCCACTCCGAGGAGTCCATCGTCCTAGGCAGATCATCAGCGAAGGGCAGATAAATTGCTGGACCAAGCATACCGTGACGCAATATCCTGCCCAGCCAGTCGGATACGGGTACTCAGAGATGAAGGATGGCGACTCGCCCGCGACCAGCGGCCAGGACACCGGCTTCTGATACTCGCTGGCGTACGGATGCCACACGCCTGCCGCGAGGGTCGAGTATGCGAAGCTGCTCTTGCAGGAGGGGCAAGCCTAGAATAAGGGTCAGGGGAATAGGACGACGGAAGGCACCAGTGGAGCAACCGTCAGAAGCGCCCAACCGACATGCGGTACGGTGCCGCTGTCGACGAATTTGAGGGGAACAGAGCCAGATCCATCAACATAGACGGCATTCAGGGTGAACTTGTCGCTGTAGTCCAACGTAGCGCAAGCGGTCTGCCGTGGCGCGGGAGTGGCAAGCACCTAAGTGAAATCAGTTGGCGGCGACAACGGGAGACATGTCACGACGTACCGCTGACGTTGCCCAAGCCAACAGAATAGCAAGACATGGAAGTGCAATCATTGTTTGAAAGTGTAAGCGGGAGGAGAAGTTGTTGGGCGTGAGGGTGGGTTGGGAATAATACCTGGGTGACAGCGTCCTTTATACCTCTCGCCAGACATAGCGCAAGGCCAGGACTCGCCTCGCCAACCTCTTCCGCGAACCTTGCGCGCATCTATCCCCGACTCTCTTCCCACGACATGCATATCGGCTGCCCTACCCACACGGCCACCCCTTACTCTGCATAGCCGTGCATACGTCGCCGATGTTCAAGGTACGGTGAGAAATAGTCGGTCAGTACAATTTTGAGCCGCGCATCACCCGCCTTGTAATGGCCGCCCTGCCCTATCCCTGACGCTCCTACCCTATCCCTGACGCCCCGCCCTATCACTGTCGGCCCGCCCCTGGCCAATACCAAGCATCGCTCACTATCACCCGAAGAAGGCGGCTGGACACGGGGCGCGACGCAGGCCGACAGCCGCCATTGGCGGGCTCGGAGACACCAAACGCACCGAGCGCAATCCCGAGGGCGAAGGTTTCATTGACCGTGGGCACATTGAGCGCCCGCCTCCCACGTCTTGACATGGAGGATGATTCGCGAAGGGCCGCACTGTCATCGCTGAGCCGTCCTGTTCATGACACACCGCCCTGTCCTGATTGACTGCAGGTATATTGCAGCGTACGTATGCTACATGAGGATAAATAGGTCAGTCCTACATCATCAGTCAGCTAATCGCCCCCGATGAAGTTCACAGTACTCACGGTTATCCATATCACCTTCCGCGGTCAGCATATTAAGGTTCCTCTCCTGTCGTCCGCGGCGAGTCGGCAGCCTCCTCGCCCAACGGTGGGTTGGGGCGATGTGGCGTAGGTATCCGGTACTCGTCCTTCTCCCATTGGCGCCACTCGTATATGGGAAGCGGGTGCCCCTCAGTGTTGAAGACCCACTTGTTGAGCGGCACTAGCTCGGCGTCGGTGAAGAGCAGGTAGAGATACTTCAGCCTGCGAAGACAAAGGGTTAATCAATGTCAATAGTAAACGTATGAGTGAGGGTAACATACGTCTCCGCAAGGAAGTAACTGGGTTGCTCGTCCTTAAGCGTGGGCGACTTGGCATCGACCTTAGTGATGCTCGCGTAGCCGTATCTATGAGCAAAGATCAGGATGAGGGTCTATATCACCATGATTTGTGACTTACTTGGCCTTGCAGAACCTCTCAATGGACTGGAACACAGTCCACCCTCGTTCACGCCACATCGGATCGCCCGTCGTGCGCCAAAGCAGGTAGAAGCTCTCGACCGTCTCCGGGCGCAACAAATAAGAGTCGACCGACGACCTATAATCCTTGAACTTCGGCTCCTCCCACTTCTTGGGCACAACGCCCGGCGGCTTCTCCGTCGGCCGCCCCTGCTCCTCCCACACCTTCACCTTATCCAACCACTTGCCCTTCTCCGGAGGGTCAAAGTGGTCCATGCTCATCACATCTGGCCCCAACCCAGTATACGAGTCCGCATAGGTCATCCAGCACGTCGACGCGAGACCCTCCGCGGCCCAACGGTGCAGCTGCCGCTCATGCGCGGGCATCTCGAGCGTGTGCGCGCCGAGTGCGAGCAGGCCCGCGAAGAAGCACGTGAGGTGCTCGAAGGTGTGCGTGAGCTTGCCCGCGCGGATGTCCGTCACGTAGAGCATCTCGCGCTTGGGGGAGACGAAGGTGACGTGCTCGAAGATGGCGCGCATGGAGCGGAGGTAGAGGTCGCGGGCTTTGGGCTCGGACTGGCCGGTGAGGAGCCATTGCTTGAGGAGGTACTCGTGGGCGCTGTCGGCGAAGGCGCCGACGGAGAAGTACCCTGACTTGGGTGCGGCGGTCTTCATGTCCCATTGGGTGGAAAAGAGGTCGTCGGTGACGTTGGCCTTGTGCATGATATCCATGATCTTCTCGACCTGGGAAGGGTGAGTACGATCTCCGCTTGTCAGCGAATGCTATACCTTGTGGTAGTATTGCGGCCGGCCAGTCAAGTGAGCGAGATACTTGCTGGCAGGATCGTCAGGCGCGCTCTCGTCGCAATAGCGACAAGACTCACTATTCCATCTGACAGCTTAGCGCTTCGGCCCACAGAACCGTTCCAGTCCATCCCATCCTTCCCTTGCCCCTGCGACAGGTTTCAGCGGCGAGCGCTCGCCTGACCGGCACTCCACCTACGATTGCGTATTGACTGCGTAAATCGGGAGCCCACTGGGAGTGTCCATGGCAGGAAGGAGAGCTGCGCCGAGGTCGTCTGCTCGTGCAAGCAGTATGGGTTCGCGGGAGATGGCATAAGCTGACAGCAGGCCCCCGAGGTAGCGAATGACGGTCTCAAAGAATGGCGCGTAATTATTCTGAGATGGATGTTAGCATAGCAAAGGACATGATGTGGAATGTGAGGCGCACAGAGTCCTGATAGAAGCTGGTGCGAGCGACTACACTCAGAGCATCGTCGAACATCTCGTCCAGACCCATGATCAACATGGTATCCAGCGAGTCGAAGACGGTAACAGACCATCCGTTGAAGCTGGGTAATCTAATCAGTTCAACCATCTACTACTCAACGCATAACACGCACTTGTTAACACGTCCCCCCGACACCGGCTTCACCTCATCATGCATATACGCGTTCGAGTTATAGCTCTGGTACGCGTGCACGAACGCCCCCTTCACTAGCGCCGCGCGCGCTGCCCAGTCCTCCGGGGTCGCAACCCCCTCCTCGCCCGGCGGATGCTGCGCGGGGGAGAAGAACGGCTCAGGATCGTAGTGCCAGTCGGGGAAATCGCGCGGCGGAGGTGGCGGCGGATGGAAGGCGTGGCCAATGAGCCAAAAGAGCGCTAGGACGCCCGCGGCCCACGGCGCCCAGCGCAGAGGGAAGCGCCCGAAAAGCTTCTGCGCGCGCTGGGTGGTCCGCCGGTATGTCGGGAGGACCTCCATCGTCGTGACGGGGGAGGAAGAGATGTGATGTGGGGCGGCGCGCTCACCCCGGTCTGTATCATTCCCTCACGTGTATCCACTCGGGCTTGGCATTTTGTTCTTGTTCTGGACTACTGTACACTTGACTGATCTGTGCCGCTGGCAGAAATATGAGGGACTGGTCGTGCAACTACTGAACTTGCAAGAGTGACACGTATGTAGAGGCTGGTGCTCTACCCTTCCTTGTTTGCCTTGAAAACCCCGCGTCTTCCACCGAGGTTTCGTCGCGAGCGTCTAGTCTTACGAACAGCCACAAGGCTGAGCAAGTATAACTTACAAGCTAGGCCCTCAGGATCGTGAGGCGGAGATCTCCCACAATGCAATAGGAAGTACAGCCTGGAGAGCGCAATGTTTGGAAGAGCTGGCCGGACTCTCGGGTGAGTCTGCCTACGGTTTTCGCAAAAGCGCAAAGGGCAAGAAATATCATCTTAAACAGAATGGGGAGCAATGAGAAAGCTGGCCTTGCATGACTTGAGCTCGCAAGACAGCCTGCTATCACTAGCAGCTATTGTTCCGCTTTGGGACAATCGAGTGAGGATGATCGGAGGGGGCGTGAACGAGGCGCTGTCATGGCTGTACGGTTCGCGCATTGCACGATGTCATAATCTCTGAGCTTGTTATCTGATTCTGAATGTCCGACGTCTCGGCCAGAGGTTGCATCGGACGTCGGGCGAAAGCAGTATTTACAGCGCTTTGCGCTATTTTGCGGAATCGCTCGCAGCGAACTGCGGCGTGACATGTTTGGTTCCGGCCTCCCGGCGTTTTCCGTTGTGGACCTGGATGAAGCGCTGTGCCCTTTCTTTCCGTTTACTACAACCTAGTAAGCACATATATATCGGATTGTGGCTCTGACTTGCTTGCTTAGCTTGAAGCTGGAGGCAGCAATTCCGGGGAAGAGCAATGCGAGCTGGAAGCCCCCACATCACGCTGTCTCTCGGTGACTTCCGAGCACACATGCGCGGCTCTCGGACCGATACCTAGCCCAGGCCAGCTCAGTCGATTCCACGCTCATTGGCCTTTCCCCGGCCTATTTCCTCCCTGAGCTGCTCTGAGAGGCCACAGGAGTTGTGTATGCACTCGCCTGGACGCACGTCGGCCGAGGAAAGCATGAAATCGGCCAAGGGTCAGCGCCCGACGGCAGCTGCCGGGAAGCTGAAGCCAAGCATGACACGCCGCAGTTCGTTGCGGCGATTCCGCAGAATAGCGCAAAGCGCTGTAAGTGGTGATATATGTGCATTGTCCGTATGCACTGGAAGTGTAGTAATGATCATGAACCTGGACGAGCAACAAAGAGGTATCAGCATCCTTTCCATAACCAAGTAAAACACCACACACCTCTCCCCTCCCCTAATCACAACTTCCATCCGCCGGCCCATCCTTCCACCTCGCATCCGTGCTCTGAATCGAGCAGTCAAACTTCGCCCGCCCTAGCTTCTCATTCACCGCATTATGCCGCTCGCACAGCCACCGGCTCAGCGCCACCCTCGTGCTCACATCCGGCGGGTTCACCTTCACGTCCTCGTCGAAGTCCCCCGCGCAGTGCGAGCAGGGGTACAAGACCGGCAGCGAGTGGATGAGCGAGAGCATGTGCGCGCGCTGCCGCGCGGTGGGGCGCTCGGGGTAATACGCGGCGGTAGTGTGCAGGAACGTCCACGTCGCGCGGCCGAGGACCTCGACGTCGGGCGGGCAGTCGCGGCGCGCCGCGGCGGCAACAGCGAGGCTTGCTACTGCGGCTGCGGCAGCGGATGAGGTGCCAGAGGATGAAGAGGAAGCGGAGTCAGACGTCGCGGGCTTCGCCTGCGCCGCGGTCTTGGGGGGTTTCCAGTCGCGGAACGCCGTGCAGATCTTGCAGGGCTTGCCGTCCGGACCCAGGATCATGCCCGGGGGCAGGGGCTGATTCTGCGCCTGGCTGGTCGACTGCTGTGATTCGGGGGCGGGTGCCATGATGGGGGGAGGTGAGAGGCAGGTTTGGCGCGTCGAGAAGGTGGTAGAAGGGCAAGGTTGCTGAGCAAGCGCTGACCGACGCCGGAGCGATCGGTGAATGCTGCCGAGTAAGCGCTCCGCACGGCAGCAGGACCGCGTTCCGGAGGGGACCAACAACTCTCGAGGTGGTGTCTCTTCAAAATTCAAAGTTCGATTGGGCAGCCTCTGCTGTCTTCCGGGCGAGACTCACACACAAGTATTGCCTGTACAGACGCAGAGAAGCCGAGAGCGCGTTTACGCGCATTACTATCGCTACAGCTACGCTACGGTAGGGCTATACTTTTGACTAGGTAGTACGTTCGTTGCGTGCTAATTGTACATTGTTGAAGTATTCAAGAGCGCGAATAAGTCATAGTCTGTGTGCAGAGTATTCCAATAGACTGTGCAATGGAGGTTGACTGCGAGGATGCTATCCGGAGAAACACCCTGCACCTGGACGCGCCGCCGTGACGCTAAGCGTCAGTCAAGCGGGATGCAGGAACCAGCGAGTGATTCTCGCCGCTGCTGCAAGTCATGGCACTGAGGAAAAGCAGGCATGTACCTCATGCCCATCTCCCCAATAGCGCCATGACCCCACACCCGAGGAACATCGACCCGAGCGCGTACAACACATGCCCGTTCGACGCGCTCATCATGTCCTTGCTAAACAAGAACTCGTGTGCCAGAAGCTATGGGGAGATATCATCAACAACTTGGCGCGCGCGAGTATCAAGAGACACGCACCTCGACTAGCCCTGTGTAAATCAAGATCCCCGAGCTCACCGAGTCGAGCACGCCGCTCACGATAGATGCGGTGGCGCTCGCGGGGTTATATCTGCAGAAGAACATCTTAGTCAAACAGTTCTAGCTTGCCTGAAGGCGCATGAGAGAAACTCACGACGTGCGGACCCCAAGCCCGATCGCCAGACCCAACGGCGTCGTCAAGCCATAGACGAGCGCAGCGACGATGGGGATGTAGTTGTATCGTGCGGGTAGCTTCATGTAGGCTAAGCGCGAGCCGATACCGAGGCCTTCGAAAGTTTCTGAGGAGGATGGGGTGAGGATTTGCTTGACGATGTCAGGCAAAGGCGAGGGGGACATACGGTGAAAGGTCAGCACGATGAAAAGCACCGTAAACGATTCGTCAACGGCGAGCGTCAGGCCGATTAGTATACTGAAGATAGAATCAGCACGCAGTCCCACCAAGCCAAATGAGCGATCCACCTATGCAGAATGACACCGAACTCCAAGATGGCGACGCCAATTATTTGTGGTATCGAGGAATGCTGGCCGTCTTCGTGGCTTGCGCCGTGGTGGTGATGGTCGTGCGGATGCTTCTCATCATGTCCGTGTCGCGGCGCCTTCTGAGCCTCGATGTCCTCCTCGGCCAAGGACATGTCTAGTGACGGACTCCGCGTCCGCTCTTCTATCGAGAGACTTCGCTTGCCCTCGGGCTTCTCGGATAGCGTCCCCGCATCTTCTTCTGGCGATGTCAACTGACCCTCGGGGCCGTGAGCAGCATGCGAACCTGCATGATGGCCGTGCGCGTCTGAGAGGAAGAGAACAGGGGTCAGAGGGCTGGAAGGGAGGGGGAAAGGAGTGAAAGCGTACCATGATGCAAGCCCAACTTCGCGAGTTTGCTTGAACCCCAGCGGAATGCTAGAAGCTCAGTGACAAAGATGCCAAAGATGCTGACCATGCATAATGCCAATGCGTACGGCTGTTGGGGGAAGGTGCGTTAGTACGTACCATTCGTAGAGAAGGGTTTCATTGACGAGGAAGGACGCGATTAGCGATGGGTGAAGAACAGACGAGGAAAGGGAGCAAAGAGAAAGAGCAAGGAGGGATAGACAAGAGGGAAGTACAAACGCACATATTCATGCCATGCATCTGAAAGGCATTCGGACTCGAGGGCTTCAAGTCCCGGGGCAAGGAGGTGAATGAAAGCAGTTGCTATCTGCACGAGGGATTGTCAGCGCATGTTGGCAATAACTAGGACGATAGGACGCACTATAACTCCGGATCCAAAGTACTTGGCGAAGCTACGGATAGGGGAGGCGGGATTCCCAGGAAGTAAAGGCGACGAAATGAACGACGAGGAGGTGGTGAATGACGAACGCGTCAGAGACGACGAGGACGAGTGTATGAAAGTATGAAAGGGTTAAAAGACGCAATGGAAGGAGAGAGAGGGGCAAGTCAGCATATTTTCTCCGCCTCGATCGTGTGCACGCACTTGAACATGCTCGTGGGCACTTTCAGCCACCTGGACCGCTTCGCGAGTACAGGGAAGAGGGCACCACCAGTCGCGCCGACAAGGATGATGAAGATCGCCGCGATCCTGAGGTGCATATGCGTGTCCGCCACCGCGACGACACCGCACTCATCCGCCTCCACGGCGTCGGCGGTAGAGGGGATCGCGCTCGCGGACGAGAATACACTGCTCGTCTCGGACATGGTCGGAGGAAGCAAGGGAGGAGGTACGGCACCCACGCGTATTGTTGGCGCGGGAAGGCAGGATTGTCGGTCGGGCAGAGGGCGGAAGGGGGAAGGGGAATAAAGGGCGCACGGCGACTGGTCGACCCCGACCGATGCGGTTCTCGTTTTCGGCACCCTCAGCATCATGGCCAGATCGGGAAGCCGATCCGGCACCCGCTACAGCCGAGGCCAAGCGCGGCCCGGTGCTGACTTGCATGTTGACCTTTTGGCTCCGACGTAAGGGAGGACGAGGCTCCTGGAGGTGCTCGTCTGAGCACGAAGACATCGATGGCGGATTCCCTTCTCGCAAAATGAGGGGTTGGGACCGGCAAGTGCGCCTCAGGCTCACCCAGCACCACCGGAACTTTCTCGTAGAGCTCACCCGTTGGATCCTGATACGGCTGGGCGGTTAACGCATGACAGACCCGTTGCAGTGGTACACCAGCAGCAGTGACACCAGTATCTGGTAAACGTTGAGTGCATGTGATCCTACAAGGCCCGCCAAATTCTACTCGCCGCGCCGCAGAAAGGCTTCCTCTCCACAACCTCCCCAGAGCGTTCACACTCCACGGGCCATGACGCGCGAGGTAGTATAGGCGTCGTTGAATCCAGGCGTGAATGGAACGCCGAAACCTTCCTTCCAGGAGGTCAAGCCGCCGTTAATGTCTGGAATACGACGGTCATGCGTCCTTCATTTGTTGCCCTTCCCCTCCTCACGATAGCTCCTCTATAACAGGCGTCCGCTGCGTGGAAATCGCAGGCTTCATTGTCGTGCCAAAGTTCGCACTACCGTCGATCTCCTGCGCTTCCCTCTCGAACGCCGCCGCACGCGCCCGCGCCTCACCGGCCACGAGCTGCAGCACCTGGGTCGGCGTCGAGGCCAGGTGGGCGGCGTAGAAGAGCAGCTTGTGACCGATGGGTGTGGATGGCGTGGATTTCGCGGCGTCTTCGAAGAGCTGCAGCAGATCCGATAAGACGAGGATCGACGTTGCTTGAGGAAGCGTCGATGAGTCGGTCGATTCCTCGACGGCGAAGTCGCCCTCGTGAAGACTTGTCGATGCGACGACGAGAGACGGTCGGAGGAGCGCAGCTGTATCTTTCAGTAGTGCGGCAAACAACGGTGCGGATCGTGTTTTCTGGACGGCGATGAGCGACGATCCTCATCCATGAGAAAAAAATCGCATACCCCGTCCATCCTCGACCAAACATCCGTAACCGCCTCTTCCAATCCGGAAAAGACCGTCCGCGAGCGCTTGTCGCTGAGGAAGGGCACTAGTGCTCGTACGATTCGACGCGCTTCATCCGCGTCCTCGCCACCAGCGTCTCCGAGCCGCGACAGAGCGAGATGGCGGACAGTATACGCGTACGCAATGCTATGATGTCAGGCTTCAGCTTCACTCCTGATTTGAACGCGAGTGAAATATCGTGCCTACCATATGGCCACAAAATTATACACCAGCGATACTTGCCCGACTGGCAGCGGCTTCACCATCCGCGCTGGTATACGCATCGACGAGGGTCGACTGGATCTCCCGCCTTCGATACTCGCTGGCCCTTCTCCGCTATTCGGTCTCGCCTTGCCCTCGTTCCTTGATGCGTCTGCCTCCCACCACGGCGGTCGTATCGCGACCTGTTCGCTGACAAGCAACGACCGCGCCAGCTCGCTCTCCGGGTTGTTGACCGCCTCCATGAATTTCGCGCGTTGCTCTGGGGTTAGCAATTCCCAAAGCTCATCGGGAGGGATCGAGTCTATGTTGGGTCGTCAGCAATTTTCTTACATCCCTCCCCCCCAAACAGCAGACGAGACCACCTCACTCACCCAAGTCCACCCCCTCTAACCTTGCCGCCAGTTCGTCCCCCGCCTCACTCCCATCCTCATCTTCATCATCCAAATCCTCCCCCAACCCGTCACTCGCCGCCTCCTCGAACCGCTTCAGCACCTCCATCATCCGGCGGCGCTCTTCCGCGCTCGCGGATGGCTGGCCTTGGATGTCCGACGCGACCTGCTTCTTATAGAAGCCCTCGGAGCATTGGTTGTGGGACTGGGTGGGGAGGAGTTAGCGCCAGAAGGGAAGGCGATTAGTAGTAATCAAGGGGAGGTGATTTGTGATGACGGGAGTAAGGAGGGCGCAGAAAAGGCGTCGCATGAAGCGAGAAGAGTGGAGAGATCAACGCACCTCATTCCGAAAGCACGTTAGGGAGCAGTAGGGGATATTGCAGACCGGGCAAGTGTACTTCGAGAACTGACGGCGGCATCTGAGGTGTTAGTCAAGGTTTGTACACGGTGTATGACAGTAAGCATCAGAAAATCGGAAATGTAACATAGAAGAAGGCCTTGTCGTATTCGTGCGAAGCGCCACCGAGGGCATTCTACGGGAAAGGACGCGAAGTCGCAAAGTCGAGGTAAAAACTAACATCGCACAAACAACGCCACCTGCGCTATTTCGCTCCTGCGAGGCAGTGATAATTGGTTCATTGGAAGCCATAGAGGGTGTTATTGCAGAGTGGAGAAGCTCGCACTTTCGACGTGCGTCCGACCGAGTGAGAGCAGGAAATAAGCGCCCAAGCACTGATTACATCACATAACTGCATCCTTATTTCCCACGGGCACGTGCGCGGGAAGTTCAACTTCGGAATTCCAGCGCTAAGATTCTTACTAAGATCTTCAGGACGCATCCTTTCACCAAAGAATTGACGACCTGCGCGACAGCAGGATATACTGTATCATGAGCCTTCATTGACGGTACCACCCTATCTTGGGGTATACGACAAGAATGGCAGAGCGTACAGTATCAGAAATGCAACACTCCGCTTTCCTGGCCTCTTAGGACCCGTATCGCTCGAAAACTTCGTGCACATCTTGTATGCCTAGGAATGTGTACCTTGCGTTATTTCTGAGCGATCACAGCACCTTGAACGTCGTGCAAAAATATCCATAAGGTGCTCGGCATCTGCTGGGAAAGCGTTGCGTCCCCCTTCGTTCGGTCTTGCACGGCGTGTACGGTGAGCGCTTCTGGCCCAATATTCATCAGAGCATTACTGTAGACAGAGAGACATGTCAAGGACTTGTATGCGACTTTTCGTACGAGCGCGAAGTCTAGCAGGGTAGGAACTGTCCGTGCAACACAACAGGTCGGGAACTGTTCCATGTCCCGAGACGGGGTCTTCGCCGTAAAGAAAGAGCCTGAAAAGAACAGGCAAAAAAGGACCTAAACAGCAGTCAATGGGCCTAACTGGGAATTGAACCCAGGACCTCTTCCATCTGCACGCTCGTGAAGCGCTGGTTGTTACACCCGAAGGAAGAATCATACGACTAGACCATTAGGCCTGCAGTATAGGACAAAACGGAGCTGTTACAAGGCTCAGACGACCTTGTACAGCCCAAACCCTCGATTTGCGGACATTGCCAAGCGTCAGGGAGTCTGTATGACATTGAGAAAGAGTCCATGAAGCGAGAGCCTGGAGCCTCACTGCAAAATTAGGCCATGGCTGAAGCCTGCGAGTCGCATCGGGGACTCGATCAAAAGTGCCGCAGAGACGTCCTCGATTCAAGACATCGGATGTGGTGAAGAGGATAGTACCAGGTAGACATCCGTGAAGTTTGCGTCCCATTTATACAGGGTTACAGTTCCTATTGCCTCTCTTAGTACGACATTCCACCCATGCAGTTACAATGTTTGTCCAGCCCCTTGCCAATGTTTATAGTACAATGTAGACATGTGCTCGTAGTTTATCAGAGAGCGGCCGCCTTCTGCTTGTTCTCCTCCGACTGGTAGTCGTAGGGATAGGGACCACCACGCTCGATGGCCTGGAAGGATACGTGAGTTCCACCTTCAATGGGACGGCGTTGCGAAGAAACTTACCCGACGATAGGCAGGCCTTTTGGTTGGTGAAAGTGGTTAGTCAACTTGTAGACGAACACAACGGTGGCGAACACCAAAGACGACGAAGGACTCACCTCTTCTGGACGCGCGCGACATACGCGTCGATGTTGGGCGTCGACTGCCCGAAGCGAGGCAAGCCCTCGAGCGGAAAGATCATCATGTAGTCGGCGGCAGTGGGAGCATCGCCGCCAGCAAACCACTCATTCTTCCCGAGATGCTCGTCAATCTGCGAGCGCAGTGAGTCGTGTAGTCGTACAAGACAGTCAATATTAGAAGAGGAGGTGTGACAAACGTACGATGGCCACTTGCGCCTGAATGGCCGGCTTGTAGATCATTTCGTTGAGCTTGTCAAACAACATGTTCACGACCGGACGGATGAAGAAGGGCGTCTGCGCGGGGACAAGTGTGCCGATGTACTGGTTGACGACAGGCGGCATGAGCGAGCCTTCTGCAGAGTGCTTGTCTGGGCCAGGGTCAACGCCTTCGCCAAAAACGCCGCGAAACAGAAGACTTGCAGTACAGCTCATCCGCCAGGGCCTTGCCCTCAGTGGGCGTGTGCACCTTCCCCTCGCCGTATTTTTTGATGATGTACTCGACGATGGCGCCGCTCTCAGGAAGGGTGATGTCCCCGTCCGTGATGATGGGCGACTTCCCAATCGGATGGACCTCTTTGAGGGCCTTGGGCGCCTGCTTCGTCGCCTCACGCTCGTACTTCTTGATCTCGTATGGCACTTCGAGCTCCTCCTGCGGTGGCGCGTGACGCGCATCAGAAACAGCGACACGGGCGCGAGAGGCTGCTCACGAGAAGCCATAGGATGCGCTGTGAGCGCGACGCGTTCAGGTGGTGGAGGGTGAGGACCATGGTGGGAGAGGACGAGATGCGCTTGGGGTGCACAGGCTGACACTGACAGGGCCCGGGCCCGGTCAGACGCGTACCCGTCGGAGTGCGTCATGCTCGCGGCGACGTCGGGGACGCTATCTATACGCGTGATAGCAGCTCATCGACCGGGCAGAAGTTCAAATCCTTTGGGTCTGCACTTGCTCTGCAGACGAATGACGACTGAATGGGACACTGACAGTCGATGCAATGAAGAACAAAGAGCACCATTCGGAGCAAGCTCGGAGAGGCGCGCATCAGTGATCATCATACCACGTGAATCGCCACCAAAGAGACGTTCTTGCGCTCTCGCGGTCTTCTACAACTCTCACCACACCATCGACCCACTATAAGGGCTCCCTGAACTTTCTTCTGGCGAGGATACTGGTTGACCCAGTCTTCAAGATGTCCGTCGACTTCCCTGCCTCAGAGTCCCGGGTCCAGTCCCCGCCTCCTCCTCCGCCGAATGGCAGGTTCCCCATGCCCTTCAGGCGCATATCTCTGCCCTCCGCACCTTCCTTGCTGCACAGACACTCTGTCGTATCTATTGCCTCGTTTGACTCGCTCCCGGAGGAAGAGAGCGGCAACCCACCGGCTGTTGTTACGCCTCGCGCCGTGAGACATCGCAGCCGACAGCGACCGGGGTCAATTGACTTGGCAAGGAAGAAAAATAGGCGGAGCACCAGTCGTCCAGTGGACGAGACGCGCCTGGCGAAGCGGCGCAAGATAATCGAGGAATTGTACGAGACGGAGCGTTCGTATGTGAACGGCTTGGATCTCATCTACTCGGTGCGTGCTCCCCTTCCTTCGCGTCTACTCTGGGCTAATTATGGTATAGCACTTCCTCACACCCATAGTCGAGTCACTGGATACCCCAAATCCCCTCCTCGACCGAGGCGCATTGACCAGCATCTTCTCCAACTTCATCGACATCTGGAATTTACACCGTTCCTTCTTCTCTTCCCTCACTGTCCATCTATACCCAGGACAATCCCCGGACCATGACCTAATGTTGGCACACGATCCCCCGTCTCTATCCCCTGTTCTACTCTCTCACTTCCCATACCTCTCCCTCTACACACCCTTCGTCACCGCGTTTTCGTCCACGATCTCCTCCCTCCAATCCCTGACCGCAATCCCCACGTCGTACCGCCCGAACCCGAGTTACAACTACGACTTCCATAAGTTCGTCGCGACGCAGGAAGCCGACCCGCGCTGTGGCAAGCTCAAGCTCACCGACTGGCTGCTCACCATCGTGCAGCGCTGCCCGCGCTACCTCCTCCTCCTCAAGGACCTCATCACCTGCACGGACGACGATACAGAACGGGCCCAGCTCGACTCTGCATATGCATTAGTCTCGAAGAGTGAGTGACGTCGTCCTGACCGCATCTGTCCATCTCAAGCTGACCTCCATTCAGTCACGCTATCACTTAACGCGTCGCTCCATACGCACTCGCAGACCCTCGCGCTGCTAGCCCTCCAGCGTTCGACCGCGAATCTTCCGTTCCAGCTCATCAGCCCAGGCCGCACGTTTATAAAGCGCGGCCCGTTGTACCAGATCGAGCGCGGGGAGCAGCCGAAGGAGCGCGAGTTCTTGCTGTTCTCAGATTGCCTCCTCTGGCTTGCCTCTGAGGAGTCCGAGCACCGGAATTGGGGTCTAGGGGCATACTTGGGCAACAACGGCAGCACCGACTACCTAAACGCGCGCCCACCGATGATACGCACGCGCAGCAAGAGCGACGCGGACATCTCGCGACTGCAGGCGCGCGCAGCAGCAGAGAGCGTCGAGGGCAACGGAGCCTCACGCCCATCGGGCACCCCCAAAGCCCAACGCAGCCTCATCCCGCCACCCTCCTCGCGCATCAAACGGCACAGCAGCCAAGCCAATGCCGGCGAGGAGCGGTGGACCTACAAAGGCCGCGCCTCCCTCGTCGACCTCGAGGTCATCGTCAGCCCCGCGCGCGAGCCCGGCGAGGAGCGCCGCCTCGAGGTCCTCAGCCCCGAGGGCAGCTTCGTGCTCTTCGCGGACACGGAGGGCGAGCGCGACGAGTGGGCGGGCGCGATCCGGCAGGCGAAGGCGCAGCTGCTGGTCTCGCTGAATGTGACGCACCCGAATTCGACGCTGACGTCGTCGGCGTCGACGAATCATTTGAGGAGGACATTGCAGGCGCTGCCGTATGCGCCGGAGGATGTGAGGATGGAGGAGGAGGGGGGTGCGGGTGGGAGTGGGAGTGGGAAGAAATCGAAGAAGGGGAAAGGAGAGGGGAAGAAGCGGGGCGCGCAAGAGAGGAGGGGCAAAGTTGAGCATTGGGTGCCGGCGATCTGGATTCCGGATGAGAAGACGGAGGGGTGTATGAGATGTGGGAGGTCGTTCGGGTGGCGAAGACGGAGACACCATTGTCGGTTGTGTGGGCGTTGCGTGTGCAGTGCGTGCTCGGAGAGGGTAAGTTATTGGTTCTTGTAGGTTTATGAACCATTGTGTGCTGACAAGCTCAACAGACGTTCTTCATCGCGGACGTCAATCCAGATACGGCATCTAGCAAACCCGCTCGAGCTTGCAATGCGTGCTACGAGACCGTGTTCCCGCTCCTGGACCCGCCAAGCGATGAAGAGACGGGCGAAGGCTCAAGTTTGGCAGCGAACACCGGCACCCTAGGCATGGGCACCCTCTCCTCCCTCACCAACCTCCCATCCTGGATGTCCACCCCCATCCTCCCCCTCGCCCCCGCCTCGGCCCCGGACGCCCTCATGGCCATCGACCGCGAGCCCGCCACCCCGCGCCGCGCCCGCCGCTCCGTCGCCTCCATCTCGGAGGACGTCGTCGACCTGTCCTCGTCTCCAACCGCCGAGGGCGGGGCGCTCCGCCGGCGCTCCTTCCAAAGGCCACGCTCGTACCACCAGATCCTTGAGGACTTCGATGCGGCGGCGCAGGGGCACGATGTCGCGAGGGATGTTGTGATGGAGGAGGAGCAGGGCGGGGAGGCGGAGGCAGAGGCGGACCCGACGGCGATGCGGAGGGAGGATACGGCGAGGAGGCATAAGCGGTTCTCGCTACCGGCCGTCGCCCTGCATACGACGAGCGTGACCGCAAGGACGACGGAGTTGAAGGATAGCGGGAAGAGCGGGCCTAGTGGAGTGCGGGGCAAGCGGTTCTCGCTCGTGCTGAGTGGGCGGCACGGGAAGAGTGCGGGGGCGAGTGGGAGGAAGGGCGACTCGCCGGCGGAAGACGAGGCGGAGGCGAATGGGGAGCTGGCGCGGGGCGTGGCGGCGGGGAAGTTGAGCGAGCTGCTGGGGAGGCATCGCGCGTCGATGGATGCGTTGCGATGAGATGTGGACTTTGCATTTGGCATATCTGGATAATTATGGACATGAAGCAATGCTTGTAAGTACTTAGACATGACCTGTAACGACGCTGTTGTACGACTACGATTGAAAAGAGCACGATGATTGAGATTAGTTGAGAGCAGGATACAGACGACGCGTTTGCCACGTCTCGCGAGAGAAAACAGGGTCGACATCGGCTACATTCGTATATGGTGCGGGGCCCAGCAGAAAACTGCGGGGGAAGGGTGGGGGATTGCGGAGGCGATTGCATGTCGTTGAGGCCAAGGTTCAACATGCAGTCCATTCGGAAGTTCATCGAGCGGTTGCTAGTTCGTATGGTAGTGTGCACTTTTCATTCAGATCAGTGGGTTTTACGGAGTTAGAAACGGAAAGTCGCCATAGAAAAGTTGGTATTCGTGGCTGGAAGCAGCGCTGCGGATTCAAGTATTTTCAGGCCATCGCTCGCGTAGAGGCCTATTCTTGCGAAGTCGCACCCGAAGAGTGGGCTGCTCTATAGCGCCTGACGTAGCGAAGCACAAGTCCAGCTCAGGTCCAGGGCGGGTTGGGTGGAGCCGTAGCGCTGCGAGAATGCGAAGAGCCGGAGGTCCTGGTCAACGGGAGCTGTTCGTTTCGCACAGCTGGGCGGTCGCAATACATCCAGAGTTCACATCGCGCCGAGGTGCAGACCGGGGAAGAGCCGATAGACAATGGCGGTGGGTGCCAAGATGTGAGAGGAGGAGCAGAAGGGGACTGGTGAATTGATGGCAACTGCCGGAAGCGTCAATGACGTAGATCGCTACTCGACACAAAATTAGAATCGGGGGCAGAAATCATATATGGCATTGTTCCCACCGGCTGCGCTGCTGCGCAGTCGCTCTTTCCTCTTGACCGCCATGGTCGCCTTCGCCTACAAGCTTCGCTCCCCAGACGCCGGACTCCTCCCCACCAAGCGCCCCATCTCGCCCGTGGACTGGCGACCGCGCAGCTCGCACGCCATGCTCACCAAGCGATACTCGCGCGTCATACTCGCGGTCCTTCTGTGCGGCGCCGTGCTCGTCTTCCTCTCGGGGCAGGACTACATCAGTAGCGAGGCAAGACAGCAGCAGATGCTGGACGCGCAGCTCGCCGAGCTCTCTGAGGGCGACCAGCTTACGGACGTGCCCCTGTACCCCAAATTCCACGAGTACGAACGCCACTTACCACAACACAACCCCGCGTTGCCACCACCGGATGGCGAGCACGCGAAGTTCCTCTTCATCGCAAACCATGCCTGGAGTACGTATCTGACTCGTCGCAGTGGCGCGCAGAGATGCTGACGAGCCTTACCAGATACCGGCTGGGGCAACGTACTGCAAGAGATGTTTATGAACACTCACCTCACTTATCGTACGAAGAGATCGTACGTCGGCCCTGGCATTGATCGCTGTCTCCGTCTCATATCCTGCTAGATTCGTCTTCGATAACTACACATGGGACCGGACACCAGAAGACTATTCTTCCTTCAATGGCAAGAAAATCCCTGCACGGGTCCCATTGTCTGCCTTGATATCTGGTGCGTGCCGCATTATCGCCGTAGAAGTATGCTAATGTCGAGTAGGTCCTATGATCGGTGGCTCATGGGGTGAAGAAGGTCGCGATGTTCCCCGTTCCGTCTCAAGGGAGTACTTCTACAAGACTTGCTCTGAGGTCAAGGTCATGCGCAGCGACGAGGTCAAGGACACCTTCTCCGGTCGGGAGCCATCAGCCAAGGAGCTAATGGACGCATGGGTGGCCAAGATCGACTCCATGGAAGATCGTTGTATCGAGATTGAGAAGGACAGCTTCCAATTGTTCGATATATGGTACGTCCTCCGCATCACCTCGCGAGCTGTTGTTGACACTATGTTAGGCTGCTGGGAACAGAGCGTGTCCTCGACATCTGGCCCGAGCTCTCTGCCTCGCCAGTTGTGAAGCGCTTCGGCATGTCACCGTTGATCATGTCAGCCTTCAATGCAAACAAGCACCATTTCGTCGCGAAACCATCGGCGCTGGACGCTCTCCTCCCCTCCCTTCCCTTCTCTGGCCTCTTCGGCGGCAACACCGCACCACCAACACAGCTTGACGGCCTCATCGCCTTGCACATACGACGCGGAGACTTTGAGGGTCATTGCGATCACCTCGCGAAGTGGGGCTCTGTCTTCAACGGCTTCAACTCGTTCAAGGAGTTCCCCGATCACTTCGAGCAGCCGAGCGGATGCGGATGGGGCGAGACCACGCCGGAGTGCAGGGCGGAATACCTCCTGCACTGCTTCCCGACGGTCGAGCAGATCACGGACAAGGTCCTCGACGTGCGCGAGGAGCTCAAGCAGAAGGGCATCGGCGGCAAGCTGAACAGGGTGTTCATCATGTCGAACGGCGCGCGCGAGTGGTTGGAGGAGCTGAAGCAGGCGCTTGACGCGGCGGGCAAGCAGCATGGACTGGCCTTCGACACCATCTCGACGAGTCGCGATGTGGCTTTGACGCTGGAGCAGAAGTATGTGGCCCAGCAGCTGGACATGTACGTCGGCCAGCGCGCCCAGGTCTTCATTGGCAATGGGGTGAGTCCTATGCTGGCATGCTATTTGATCCTACGATTGACTCTCGCCCTCAGTTCTCCAGCCTAACATCCAACGTCGCAATGCTGCGCATGGCGAACGGCTTCGAGGCTGACACGACGCGGTTCTGGTGATCATACACGGCATCGACATCATCCTCCCTACTCCCCCAACCCCTGCCCTCCAACCGCAAGGTGGAGGTGAGCGACGTCGTTTGTCAATGGCGTTGCTCGGTATAGCTGCGCGCAGCCCTTCGGGGCACCTCTGCTATACCTTCTCTCATGTGCTCGACGCCCTCGTCCGCGCGCCTTGCTCGCGATACGTATAATGAACGCACCGGCTGGCGTCTCGTGCACGGACTCCCAATGTAGATACGGCGAGGTCAGGCATGGATACACGACCGTCGGCTGCTCCCACACATTCTTTACACTATGGTCTAACTGTCTGGAAGATACATCGCCGGTGGCGCGTACACCCCCTTCCCTAGCGCACGTCTAGTCGAGGGGTGTTCGGTGCGCGCTCAACGGCCTCCATATTTTCTGGCATATTCATCCAACCACGATTACGAGGACTTTGCATACAGCTGTATATTGCTTGGCTGCTCAATGGACGGTTAATTGGAAAGGCACTCCTTCCGTGGCGGGTGGACTGGTGATCATCAAATTGAGCGAAGAACTTCAAGAAGCAGGTGAGTTCATGCTTGCAGTGGCGAGGTTCTCCCGCGAGCGTTCAGTCATCAGTAGAAGATACATCCGGGCAGCTTGGACACGACACTCCTTTGATCACCTCTATTCCTGTGTGCACACATCTCGTGGCGCATGGGGACCACGAAGGTGTCAAGCGACGAAGACACGCGCTACATCCTACGGTTATTTCTGAATTGCCTCCTTTGGGCTGAAGGACTGCCCGATTTGGTCAATAGACTGCTCGTCACGCGTCAGGAAGCTTGTTTGCGCATGCTTGTCACTTGTTGACTGCTACTTCCATTATGTGCTGCTCGATCTCACAGCTGCACCACGTTGCTTCTGTATCGATTGGCGCCTGTTCTTCGACTTCAATGCTTGTGTGCGCCTCGGAGCGGTCGCAATTGAGGCTGGGATCACGCCTCTTCCGAAGCTGGGACAGCGCCTCTTCTGAATCTGGGACAGCACCTCTCCCGAGGGTGGGACAACCAGGACAGCCACTCATCGCCGCGCGATTCTCGGGCTATTGCTGCTGGCTGTACTCTCACGAACGTCGAGGGAACTTGCTCAGCGTCTACCAAGTGCCTCCAGCAGCCGTACTAGGATATCAAAGCCGGTCTACTAGAGCATCTTAGCGCTCGAGCGGACAATCGACGAGGCGTTACCGCGTCCGGGACGCGTCAACGCTGCATAGGCCGATCAACAGCGAATCCAGCTTGGCCGGAATGCCAGCAATTCGCCTTCCATAGCTCCGAAGCCATCGCAAAGGTGTGCGCTACTATGGATGGGAAAGGCTTGGGCTTCATTCACCTGCTACTTGAATCGTGACCCGGTGGTCGAATCGGCTTGACGCTTCAATTGACCTGGTACCGGAGATCAGCGCGGTCCTCTTTCGGCTATTCAGCGTCTTCATCGCAATCAAGCGCCGGGTGACGCACTCAAGAGGCCGCAAGCGCGACTACTCCGATTCTTGCCCGATCCCGCGATTGTGGGCATGGGACGCGACGACGCCGATGGGACCTTGATCACACAGCACTATAGCACTCATGCTCTCATGATCATAGATGCTCATACAGCATTCGAGTCGGAGGTTTTGACGCGCTTCAGCCACAGGTTAATTCAATGACGAAGACGCCTGTGTGGGCGAGCGTCATGCAGCCACCGGGGTTCATCTGCTATAGAGCATCTTCGGTATTCACCGCGTCTGGGCCACAGGTACAGTAGCGGAGGGTTTGGACTGCCTACTAGCTATGGACGTACCCAGGCTGTCGAGTGGGGTGCCTGCGCCGATTGCGACGCGATTGAAGAGCGAGAAGAGGCGCTATGCTGTTCTCAAGATTAGACGAGGGTGACTAGGGAGGCTGCTGACCGCTGGCACGCCGTTAGAAGCGTTCTGCGGACTTTCCAACGAGGCTCGGGCTTCCTAACCGTTGCTGACCACACTCGGCAGGCGCAAGTCAGAAGGTTGCCCACCCACTCCATAAGGCCTTCCATCGGGCCTTTGCTCGACCATCGACCCGGTTCTTGCGCGGGCACCGGGCAGGATTACATCCTGGGCTCGGGCGCACCCGAATGATGGTGAGAACGGTCTCACCGTCTTTACAGACCGGACGCTACGGCGCTAGCGGCTGAGTTAGCGTTTACACTTGTCTTACGCTTTGATTGCAGGACGGGCCGTGCGCGTCAGTTGCCATCACAGCCCATCGCGCGCCACCACCCGCGGTCCTGCGCGCGTTCCCATGGGTGTCGCCCAGCCCCAGGCGACGCTCCCAGGCGGCGCGCCTGGGCAGCGTCGCAGTGAGAGTCGGTCGCGCGCTGGATGGCGTTAGGCGCAGCCGCGTGCACCGCCGCCGTGGGAGGGCCCCGCCAGACGCCGTGCTCGTCGTGGGTAGCGTAATAGACCGGGCGACCGCCGCTTGCCTCCTCGCGGCGGGTTCCCTGACGCGTGCACCGGGGGCAGGTGTGCGGTCACCTGGTGGGATGATGCGGCAGATGCCGACGCGCTGCTGCTGCTGTAAACTTTCCCAGGTTTTGAGGCGGGCGCGGGGGGCTGGTGTCGAGGCCGAGCGGTGCGCGGGAAGGCCGGCGTATCGTCGCGAAGTGGGCTTGCTGTCGCGCCGACGCGTGCTTGGGAAAAGACAGGGAAAGCGGGATGCCGGACTCTGCGCGTCGCGTATTTTTGCAGCGAGGTGCCAAGTTTGCACACAGGGAGAGCGGGGGTATGTGTAGGACTGCCTGTCGGACTGCGTGAGTAGACTTGGCCTCATAGTGCGAGATGACGTGCCGGAAGGTGAGCAGAAGCCAGAAGGTCTGCGCTGTACGTCCGCTCTTTGTTATCATACAACTCCCTGGCACGCACGGTGTGGAGTATTGGGAGATCCCAGTTAGAGTACAGCGCGAACGTATTTAGTGTAGCAAATGAAGTAGATTAGAAAGGCGGTAGATGTCGGCGATTATGAGCTGGACAGAGGTGCTAAGGTAGGCAAGAAAGGAGTCACGGACTTCGATGCGGATTACTATAGTACAGTACAGCGTTGCAGATGCGGTGGCGGATGAGAGGATAAGTTAGGCGTGCGGTGAAGAGGATGTGGAAGCAGGGGATGGCGGATGAGTGGATGGGGATAGGTGAATAGATTACTCGAGAGCGTACTGCACGGCTGCCAAGCACGGCTCGCAGTCGTGAGCGCGGGCTTCTTCGCCATGCTCTTGCAACGCTTGGACGGAGGGGAATGTGCCGTCACAGGCAGGACAAGCGAACGTCGCCTGCGCGCTCGCCTCTGGATCGGTAGGCGCGGGGACTGGCCGCTCGCGCGGGCGTTTGGGGCAATGCGACGTCTGGAGGAGCGGATGAGACAAAGAGGAGTGGAAGGGAGGGGTGGCACCCACCGAGTCCTCATTGCCCTCGCCATTGTGTACAAGTTTACGCTTGCCACTGGCAGCTGACGACGTCTCTGGTGTTCGGGTCAGCGATGGTATGGGGTAGAAGTGATCGGGCGCACCTGCGTCGTCAGCGCGTAACGCGGAAGACTTCCTCCAGGCTGTTATGCGCGACATCGCCGCGGAAGAAGCTGCCCTGCGCGAAGGGTCGGAGAGCGTCGGCTCGGGGAGGTCGGAGACGGATGAGCAGTAGGATGTGCACGGCTCGTCGTCGTCTTCGTCCTCGGAGACATCGTCGTAGCTGGAGGAGGCGTAGGAGGAGGATGCGCAGGTCGAGCGCGGTGGCCCCGGGGGAGGGGGCGGGCACTCGAGGAGCTGGATGACCTGGAGGCCGCAGGAGTCCATGGGGGCGAGATTGGACTTGGGGTGGATGGTGGCGTCTGCGAGGGCGGCGGGGAATGCATCGAACATGGCGGGCGGGGTGTGAATGAGAGTGGGTGGTGTGCAGGGGCCGTTTATAAGGCCAAGGCGGGGGCGCGCATAGCGGAGTTGGGCCAAATCAGGTGCTCGCTTCTCACAGCGCGCATATCGCTCAATCAGGAAGCCAACAATGGCCCCGCCACGCCCACAACCGATCTCCCACACCGCCGCGCCGTCTGCCGACAGTCCGGTCCATGGTCCGCCTCGCATTCCCCGGCATCGATGTTCCCATCGGCATACCCCCGCGTAAAAGGACGCTCGCACGACGCCCTCTTCGTCTTCCCCAATTGTACAAAGTGCGTTCTGTCTAGGCCCGCGTTCCCTTCCCAACGCCCACGCGCCGTTCGCACATGTCGCCCATGCATCCTCTGTCGGCGTCGGCTCGGCGCGAGCCCGTTCCAGCGCCTATTCAGTCCACCGTTCTTCGTGGATTCTTCGTCAATGCGTTCACAGTGTGCCGCGGACCACCCCACCCAACCGCGGCGACGTGCGACACGGCACTTCATCATCAACTCTGCGATTCAAACTCAGCGTATATCCATGGCTCTCATCGTCGGTATTCGCGCGAAACGCAGCAGGTCGAGAGCCCTGACGCGCATCGTCGTGAGAGGCCGTGAGAGTCGCGGAGAGCCTGGCAACGGCGTACCCATCTTTCACTGATCTTTCCGAGAGGAAACGAGGAGAAAATCGCCACTAATATCAGCGTTTCACGGAAAAGAATGTGGGAAAAATCGGGCGCACGTGCATGTTGAACTTGCAGCGGAACGCACCGTCTTCGAGGCCGAGCTGGTCGGTGCCAGTCTGGCTGTCGACATCATCGCTAGTACGAAGCGGCTGACAAAAGCAGCTATTCTCCTGGACTCGCAAGCCGCTATACAAGCCTTGAGGGGCTCCGGCACCAAGGCGGGACAACAGCTTGTCTACGAATTCTGGGAGCGCATACACCGATTGCGCGCTGCCCGACGCACACTCTCTCTTACCGTCGCCTGGGTACCCGGTCATGTTGGAGTTGAAGGCAACGAACGGGTGGACGCAGAAGCAAAAGCCGCTGCTGAGGGTCGGGGAGGCACTCCACTGCACGACAAGCGCGGCTTGCTTGATGGGCCCCTCCCAGTCAGCAGATCGGCGATTATCGCGGCAGAGAGAACGCGCGTGCAGCAGATGTGGCACACTCGTTGGAGAGGGGCTCGCGACAGCTGCACATTTCAGAAGACGCTAGACGACGCGCCCCCTGGCCCGGCGGTCTTCCGCCTCTATGCGGGGCTCTCGCGCCCGGATGCAAGCCTGCTTACCCAGCTCCGCACAGGCCACGCGGGCTTGAACGCGAACCTGAACAGAATCGGCCTGTCCCCGACACCGAGCTGCCCCCACTGTGGGATGCGAGAAACGATAACGCACTATGTGCTCCGTTGCCCACAGTACCGCTCCCTTCGCGCCGTTTTGCTTCAGGAAACGCGACTCGCCAACCCCCAGCTACGCTACCTCCTCAGCGTGCGCAGCCGCAAGAACGTTCCCGCCCTCCTCCGCTACGTCAAGGCCACGGGGCGCTTCGCTTCCTACTACACGGCCGTGTCGAACCCTGCAGCGGGCAGCCAGGCTCTCCCAGAGGATAGCCAAGACCACTAGCGCGCTGCTCCCTCTTCCTCCGGCAGCGCGGCCCGCGGATAGCAATGGAGCCCACTTCGAAGTGCCCGCGGGCATGCAAGGGGGAGACCGGCATCGTGGCGAACCCATGCTCGCGCGATGCGGTCTCCCGTCCCTTTCCGGGAACGGGAAGTCTTTCACTTGACCTAGCATTGCATCAGCACGCTAACACCTCCCGAGCGCACAGGCGACACCTTCCCTACCCCCCATAGATTTCTCTCTTCTCCTAACTTGTACTTACCTGTACCTTAGTTTATATCATAATTCACTTTCCTGACCCCGCTGACTACGTACCACCGACGATTCCTGCGATGACGCATGACGCATGACTTTACTTTACTACACGAGCACGCAGACAACATAACGCGCATTGTATGCTACCGAAACGGCCTTTTCTAGCTACCTTCCCTACTTACAGTGTGCTGTGACATGCCCCGCAAAGCGGGGTCATGCAGAAGAATGGAAAACATCATCATCATCATCATCATGAACTTGCAGCTGGTCACGCCCCGGTCACCAGGCTGTGAACTCAAGTGAACGCAGTAAACTCTCGACGGAGGGTTTGTCGGACTTGCGGAAACACCTCTCTCCTCCGAGGCGAGACATCGTGAGTACGACTCGTAATTGCGGGGGCTAGAGGACTTCTCAATGATAACTAGAAGGGTGCGGCGACGAAGGAAGTACATGCGATGGGATCCTCCACACGTTCGTATGGAACGACGACGGCCCGCACTCTTGCGTTCTCAGCGCTCAACCTCGAGGGTGTAAGGGACGTAAAGCGGAGCCTCCTACTGACAGTTACTTCCTCATGCAGCGTCGCGAGGCAGCGCCAGGCTCCAGCCTTGAGCCCGTAATCCCAGGAAGGCCCCAGGCTGGTGTGTATGTCCTCAAAGACATCGTGGTAAACCTCCGTCCCGAGATCGAAGCTGATCAGGATGTGTCGGGAGCCCGCGCTCTCCAACATCATCTCCCATCGCGGATAGACAGCTTGCAGGTAGCGGGAGCCCAGATCGATATGTGTGAAGAGGCAACCTCGGACGGGGTCAACTGATGCTATACAGCAGACGTAAATACCACAAAGGCTGAGAGCCCGGGCGTGTAAACGGGATGTAGTCGGGCTGGCTGAGCCGCCGACTTGTCTGCGTCACTGATGTGTGCCCGAGGTTAAACGCTAAAAGGAACGAGGGGGAGATGGTCATACGACCGGAGATGGCTGCATGTTCGGGCGGCATATTGGCGGTGTATGAAAGGCGAGAACGCTCAAAGCATCGTCATTGGACTCTTTACGCAGCCGAATCGCAGTTGCAGCTCTTGCAAGCACGGCAGACGTGAAAGTCGAAAGCAAGATGGATCAAATCAGCACTCGAGGCGTTGAACTCAAACTTCAGCACGTGCTGATTAGTCAGCCCCTCCCGACGACCATCTCCTCGTCGTCGCCGCCCTCGACGACGCCAGAACTCCTGTAACACCAAGCGTCGGTTCGCCGCGGACACGCCCGCCATGCCCATAAAGCACCTCGAAAGTACTTGACCCTTCCGCAGGACGCGTGCACAGCGCTCACGATAGATGTTCTGCGCAGATTATCTCCACGAGCGGAAACATTTGCAAACTCTCCCACTGCACCACCTCTCGGACTCGCGACTCGGCATCGACGCGGCGTACTACATCCAGAATGTGCTCGAGGATCCGGAGACGCGCGAGCCGCTGCTCGCGGCGACGGGGGGACTCCCGCTGACGCTCAGCACGCGCATCGAGTCCGACCTGCGCGTCCTGGAGAAGTTGCACATCAAGCCAGTGTTCGTTTTCCCTGGCCTCAACCCGGGCAAGCGCCAGCGCTTCCACTACAACCAGGAGTACGACGCTGCGTGCCGCGATCGCAAGGAGGCGTGGTCCAAATACGAGGCCGGGCAGGAAGAGGCCGCCCAGCAGATGTTCGCCGGCCGTCACGGATTGAACCACTGGGATCTCTGGCGCATGGTCCTGCGCATATTCCGCAACCGCAACGTCGAGTTCATCGTCGCGCCGTACTTTGCTTGGGCTCAGGTGTGTGGCACATTCTGATCGTATGCGCGTTTTGGCTAATGTAGATTGTGCGTGGCTCAGTTGATCTACCTCCAACGGCACCCGAAGGCGTACATTCACGCGATCTATGGCCCCACCGAGGCGCTCCTCTACCCTGGCGTGGACAAGCTGGTAACCTCCCTCGACCTCGCCGCTACGAATGCAACCTTCCAGTACCTCTCCAAGCGCAGCGTGATGAACGAGCTCGGCGTGAACGAGGACCAGTTCATGGACATTGGCATCCTTGTCGGCTTCGATCAGAACCCGACCTTCCCCCCGACCCAGCACGACCAGGCGCTCAAGGCGACCCTCGACATGGTCAAGTACTACAAGTCCGGCCACCTCGCCGTGTCCGCTTTCGCCGAGCATCCCGCCGTGAAGGCGATGCAGTACCCCGAGCAGTACGCGCGCATGCGCACCATGATCAAGTTTTCTCTTGTCCTCGCTTCTGATGGTACCGTCACCCCGCTCCCCCTCGCCTCGCCTACGCCCCCTGCCCACGGACACGGCCACCATCAGCCGACTGCTGCGGACGTTCCTCAGGATCTGCATGAAGTCTTCACCAACCGCCTTCCCGACGAGATCTACTTTTACCTCTCGCGCGGTCTCGTCGGACCACAGGTCCTGAACTGGCTTACTAGCGGTCTCGTGCAGGAGCCTCCCCCGCTCGACAATGGCGAGTCGAACGAGTACCGCCGCTTTGTGAAGGAGGTGATTACGGAGGGCCAGACGGGCCCGCGTCCGACGGCGCTGGCGCTCGTGAGCAGCGTTTGCCACAATTTCTGGCAGAAGCGCCAGGTCACGAGCCAGCTGTGGTTCGACCCGCCGAACCCGCCCAACCAGAATAAGGCTATCCAGCACAACTCTACGCAAACCATGCAGCTTGCGGAGCGGGTGTCTGGGTGGAATGTGCCGGCCACGATTGTCGAGGAGGAGTTGAGGAGGCAGAACGTCTGTTCTTCCACGTCTGTGCAGGCTTCAGAGATGCTGACGTCCCTGACAGTCTTCGACCATTGATTTTGCACTATGTTTGGGCGCGACGGCGACCGAGCGTCAGGCCATACGCACGAAGACGAAGCCGAACCCGCAGAGTCACCTCGACAAGAAGGACGAAATTGTGGCAAATGTCATTTGGCGCTTCCTTGAACTGCGAGGGTACGTTAACCGTGCATCTAGCCTCTAGTTGTTACTCATGACCTTCCAGCTTCCTGATTACCTCCCATACGCACTCACATCTGGCACGGGCGATGTACAACGCTATCCGGAATGCGCGCGTCAACGACAAATTCCAGGAGCCCTTGTACCTCTTCTTGGAGCTGGTCAGGGCCGGCGTCATGCACGGCCACCTCTGGACGATTGGTGCTTCCAGCGGCGGACCGTCCTTCGGCACTGGTGTGTCTTTGCCCATGAAAGTCGCTATGCAATTTTCTCATCTCTGATAGCCGAGGAGAAATCTTCTATGCTCCTGGTCATGCGCGTCCTGAGCATCGTTCCCCTTGGCTTCAAGGTCCGTTACCTTCTTAATTACACTTCCGCGGGCCGCCCGCTTACACGTCTTAGGCCCAAGCATGGTCAGCTCCGCTATCGCGAGAACTGTTGGTCTTCAACTCATTCGTGCGGTCGCTCACGCGTGCTTTGCGGACGTTGCTGGAGACGACTTCGCTGAACATGCTGCTGCGGCACGATGCGCGTCGTCACCCGCGTGATGATCTGCTCGATATCGCTCTGTCCTTGCCGTTCCAGACCGAAGCAAACACCGGGTTCGGTGTGCTGGCGAAGGTGTACCTGGACGCGCTGATCTACATGAACAACCACCAGAGGGTAACCGACCCGAACGCGGAGGGTGTCAAGGAGATGAAGGAGACGGCGCTCGACCTCTGCGTGGACTCGTTCGACTGTTGCAAGTACCCGCGACAGGAAGTTGAGCGTGGGTTCAGGTTCTGGGATGTGGTGAGTGCAAGTGTGTCGGGCCTGCGTATCTCTGTTGCTTACGTCTGTCGTAGTGCTTGACCGCGATGCGCCAGCTTCACTCGGAGTCGAACGTGCACCGGGAGGTGATCGATCAGTTCGAGGCGGCGGAGGCGTGGCTGGCGCCCATGCGCCCGTGAGCGGGGGAAGGCCCCGTGAGGCCATTACGACGATCCCATCCGCCGCCACCCGCTCGATTATTACTGAGACTTGATAGCGAGTTCTTGGGAATGTATGTTTTGACGCGTGTTTCTCATGCGCTTCATATCGCTCGTCGAGATTGTGGCGCGGCGCGCTGATGCCTCGAGCTGTGGCACCGATGCTCCTGGGCCTGTTGGTATGCTGTGTCGACGGTGGCAATCGATACACGCATCTTTTCACCAGCGCCAGGCGGTTGTTCTGCTTCCTCTTTCACGTCATGGCTTCTCCCTTTCATGGGTGCGCTTCTCACACCCTGTCAATGCCGTTTGCGCGCGTGCAAGGGATGGCGCGCCAATCTGAAGGTCCTCTGTCGCATTTACATTCAACGGACAGCGCCCTCGAGTCTGAGGTGCTTCCTCCGACTCGGAGTTTTACTTGAAGCCAAAGGGAGCTGCCCGGCCCATAGTTTGGCGCGCTGCGCGATTTATGTGAAAGACGTTTTGAGGATGGCAATATCCGACGACTGTAGCACTAGTAGTATCAGGAGCCTCTCAAGTCAGTCTTACGATGACTAGCTGAGCTGAATGCCTTGAGGATGTCCAAATGTGACCAAATATCAGTGTGTGCATCCCTTACTTCGCCACGTGCGTTTTTCCTGCCTGCCCCCGTCATCATGGCGCTGATGTCCTTAGAGCGCGACATTGAGGCGCTGACCAACGTCCTGGAGCAAATATCGGAGGTTCGAGACCACAATCCCAGTGCTTTGGACAGCGAGCAAGTGCGCGCCCAGGTCCGCCAGGCTATGAAAATCACCTAACAACGTCGCCCGCTGCAAAAAGTCTTCGAACTGCGTCCCGTGCCGTGGAATCTCCCGTACAAGCAATTCTTCTCCAGCAGAATGAACGCCCAGCATCTGAGCATCATGACTCGGTCGTTATACAGCCTTACCCGCTCATGCGATTTTGCCAACAAGTTCAACGAACCGGGCCTCTGTCCTATGGGCGCCGAATTCTTCGTGACTGTCTTCGACTGGATCGACTACATCCTCCCGATTGGACGCGAGAAGGCCTTGGAAGATGTTGAATACCAGCATGTCAACTTCGTGACGGCGGTCTTCACCCAGTCCGCGCTGTACACCGTGCTGGAGGTCTTCCAGTATCTTCCTCGTGAGCGACTACGCGAGATAGTCCTGCACCCCGAGCAGCGTCTGACCGCAATTCTGGTGCGCGCGTGGCTCAAGTGGCCCCGACTGCAACGATTGCTGCGCGATGGGGAAGAGCTCGACGCCAAGATCGTCGAGGGCTGCGCCATAGGTTTCCCTATGTTCTATCGTACCTTACAGGACGACGACCTTCGCCACAAAGTCCTCTCGGAGCTCATGCACCACATCGGCTACAACCCGCGTCGCTTCTGGCTCCGCTATGCGCGCCACATACGCTTGACCAGGGGCTGCGAAGACTGCACCGCGATGGCATACATGCGCAACCTCCTCGGGGACATCGTCTACTTCACGGCGGTCCCGGGTTTTACCAAACTTCCGGAGAAGCTGACCATGGAGATGGTAGACTGCCTGCGGTACCAGATCCTCAGGAAGTCGATGGCCGGGATATGGAGGCAGGCCTGGGTGTCCCTCTCCCCGCTGTGTATGATGAATACGCACACCCTCGCATGCGCTTTGAAACACGGCCTGCTGGAGTGCCTCGTCCGTATACGCATCAAGCATGGGCGCAACACTCCCGGTCTCGCGGAAATGGCCACCGTGATGCACTCGGTCGTGACCTTGCCGAGCGCCATCCGTGCCTTCTACGACGCCTACACAGACCTCATGGAGCGCTTCCCGTCGATTTCCTTCGATGAAGAAGAGAAGCGCGTCATCAAGGCCTTCCTAATCCGCCACCGTCTTCTCCAGGACGCTGACGAGGGCTGGCAGCTTGTCAATACATGTTGCAACGCGGCGGTACGTCCTCTTTGGGTCCGAATTCGGTGTCAAGTCTGACATTCATAGTGTCCAGCCGGCGGCGGCGAAGATGGTGGCCTCCGTGCATGTGTATGCGGCGAAGCGCTGTACTGCTCGAGAGCGTGCCAGCGGGCGCACTGGAGATCCAGATACGGCAGTCACAGAGAACAATGCCCTGCCCGTCGTAATCTCGAAGGATGTGGTATGTCTTCTTCTGCCAAATTATTCGTATCCGTCGTAACACCTCCCTAGGACGTCTCAACGCCATAGAAGTGCACCGCCTCGTGACTGAAGCGCGGGACTGTCTGCAATACGACAGGGTGTCCTCATTGCTGTTTAAAAGTCACTTCCAGATAGACTTGCGTCCTCTGTCGGAGGGCCAAGAGGTCGATGTTGATGTACGACCCCTGGATCTGGGTGGGAGACCGTTGCCTGCGTGGCAGGTCGTCGATATCATCTTCTTGCAAGATGGGAAGGCATGTATGCGGCGCATACAGTTCATGTCGGAGGCGCGAGCCGGTCGAGTGCGCATGCCCTTCCGCCTTCTCACAGAGTCGTTCTTCAATGGTATGTTTGCTTGCCGACACGCAGATGGCGTCTAATCAATTGGCGCAGATCGCAAAAGCTTGACACTCGAGCAGTCGACGCCGGCTTGGAGGACTCCGCGTGAACGTCTCTTCGGGGTCGCTTCTTGATGATCGTTACTTTGACCGGCTGGTCGTAGTAGGCCACACATTGTCTGCCGCGGGCTCAGACAATGCCGTCCTCGGTATCATTTCGACCATGAAAATCGTCAGGCTTCAACTCCGTGTTAGTGCTTAGATCGGACCAAAGGGACTGGCTCACACCACAACCTTCGAATTCTCGCCTTGGTACAACAATATCTACAACAAATATTCCTTCGGCATGCCTACATGTCCCACAGCTTCTTTTTTACAAGACACGCAAGTTCCGCGCGGGACGCTTACCTCAGCGTGTCTTCGGCTCCGTCAAGACACGCACGTGACCCGGCTGATCGGGGCGCGCGGCCGGTGATTCCGGCGCCACGCGCGCCTTATCCGATCCCGCGTCTGCCCCCGCGCCTGCCCCCGCCGCCGCCATCCTCGCGCGTCGTCGTCGTCGTGTACCCTCTGCCTCCCCCTCTCAACATTCAGACTTCATAATCTGTAGATTTGAACTTGCTGCCGCCGTTTCAAACGCTCTGTACTGTTCATTGAAACTAAATAAGCTGTTTGTCCGTAGTAGTTCCTTTCATACAGTGCTTGATCCTCATTGCGAGGCCGACCGTACGGATGTGGGAAGCAAGGACAGAGTCAGTAGTAGCACCGAGTTTATATACAGATGGATGGTATAAGACAGATGTTACAAAATAATACAGCCTCGAGGCGAGACACCCCTCGCACCGCGCGCGAGAGCGCAAGAACGCGCAAGAATCGCCGGAAAGACGTGTTTCTACCTCGCCCTCGTATTCATGAGCATCGTAACGTGTGCAGAAGCAGATTTTCTGGAAGAACAAGTATTCATCCTGAATCTAGACTCGAGTATATGTAGTCTATGTAGTATGATGGGTTCCTGTCCATGCTCGGCCGCTCGTGTCCTCTACGTGCGCGCTACTGGCATAAATCAATCCCGTTGCCCTCGCAATCAATGCGGCGAGTGCGCTCGGTTGCTACGTCTTAGACTCGTGAGGTTTTCTGAGCTTTACCTAGCACGAGAAGTATGAATACGTACCCCCAGAGCGCTGTATGTGCCGGTCAAGAACACGAGAATGCGGCACAATGCAGCCAACACTTCGAAGCTTGAACGCAGACTTCGCGTGCACAGCGCTCTTCCTGCATGAGTCTCATTGGGAGCAGCGTGGCGCTGGCAAGGCTAACAGAATGGATGGTGACGAAGGAGGGAGAGGGAATTTAAGAGGGGATACACTCAGGCTTTGCATATTCGGCACTTGATGCCATGCCGTCGCGTCATATTGCCTCGATCTTGGAGTGAATGCAAGCCTATCAGTGCTCAAGCGAGCGTGACTATATCAATGAGGGGCTCGTCGGGAGGGTGTGCCAATGCGGCGGGGGCGGCGGCAAGAGGCAATGTAAGCCTCATGAGGGAAGGGGTAGTCCAGCGGGATCGTGCGCCAGGGGGTACGGTCAGTGCGGAGGCGGGCATAGCCTCTGGAATTCCATTGGTTTAGATTCACTGTGCTCAAGGGCGAAGGCTGGCAGAAGGTACTTACCTTTGAGCGTGAACGCGCGGCATCACCACTCGTATGTTAAGGGCATATATATATATTCGGGATGGAGCCCCGCTTGTCGCTTTGCCGTGCGTGCAGACCATTGCACAGCAGCAAGAACAAGTCTGTAGTAGTCAATAAATCAATGCGAACCCCTCGTTAAGGAGCAAGAACCTTTGCGAAGCGGTTGTCAGCGAAGGGACTCAGCAACGCCAGTGAGCCGCGAGCAACGCACCTGCCTGCGCTGGCTTGCGCCGGTTCAGCGCCGGCCTGTCAGCGCCATGCACAGAGCTCCCCGGCTCACCTCACTAGCCAGGTCGATCGCCCATTGAGGCCCGAGCGTGAACCGGGCGAATATTATTAGCTTGCGTGTCTTGCGAGGGCCGACAACTTATTTCTTCACAAGACACGCATCCCGTAGGCCGCCCGCCCAGGATTTGCGTGTCTTGTGGGGTGCTAAGCGTCTGATCCTTTCACAAGACACGCAACTCGCCCGCGGAAATCGGCGGGGCGAGCTAGATGGCGTCGCGGCATTCTCTGTTCGGATGCGCGCATACCATGGCGTTTAGACGTTGGCGATGCGCATAAAAGCATTAGAGATTGGCAGCGTTGGATAGCTGCAGTTCGTGCGATTCCAGAGATATATAACATGTGGGGGTACGCTAGAGTAGGGTGGGCACGGTGAGGGGAGGAGGACGAGGCGCGCGACCTTGATCTGGTTCCGCGCCGGGTCGCCGGCCGTCACGTTACGTCGCCCGCGTTCGGCTCTTACCGGTGCGTGTCTTGGGTCGATCTAAGTGTTGCTTAGTTTGACCCTGAAACTATCAAGACGCGCAATGCTGAAGCCTGCAGTCCTGAACGCGTGTACAATGAACGGGCTCGGACTGGCAAATTTCCGAGGGCTCAATTCAGCCTTGTCGTCTTTGTTTTGGATTTGTGGAGGACCTACGTCGCCAGTATCCTCTCATGAGTTTGGCTGCCCATTCCTTTCGACAAGAGGATAGCGGGAAGTGATGCACTGCCCGGCCGTTGACCATGCTAATAAGGCGAATTGGCCGACACGTCGTTGGCTGCGAACGAGGGGTCTGCAAGACGCATAGGTCATACCCGCACGCCAAGCTCACCGAAGTAGGTCTGCATCTGAAGCCAAAACGGCGGATGCAGACTGCAAGACATTCGCGCGATACGCGCACCGCAAGTGTTACGAGAGCGTCGAACACAGTAACCCGGCAAATCAAGTAAACGGTAATGCAGCGCAATGTACGCACTTCATATCTCTGCATCTCTCTCACAGACGCGGCATTGCGCGGGATACCGCCGTGAAGGGGTAGATGGGACGAGTGCGCCGGACTGATCACGTTTGGCTGCCAAGTTGATGAGAGATAATCTCACGGAGGACGATCTTCTGCGATAATCGCTCACTGCTGCTGAGGCGCCTGCGCCGTCGCACGTACACGAGACACCATGGTTCCCACCACGACCTCCTGAGCGCAAAAATCCATCTGATAACGACGGCTCGACGTCAAGCGTAGGAGACGCGTATCCACAATCATCACACCTTCTCCTCTTCTGTGAACGTACCTTTTCCCGTCTCCACCGATTTCTCAGGCTCAGACTCAGGAAGAAAGAGGACGAGGGGGTGAATCAGACGCCACTGACGGCCTTCCGCATCGGGTCAACGTTGTGGGCGTCCACAAATTTCCTGTTTGGGCAACGCGGCTGAGGCGTTTTCCACGCTGCTCGACGCTGTGCGAGGCCGTTCCTAGTACGTCCTCCGGCGCCTTTCAGGTCCTTTATAGCGGGTGCATGGCGCTGAATGCGTGCCCACCGTGTGGGGAAGCGCTCACGCGACCCGCGATACTCACGGTCCAATGACGCTGGGCGCCACTGTAACGCGGCCGAAACGGCCCGAAGAACTCGGGAGACGCCGGAGGGTCCTAATCATTTCAGGAAAGGCGGGGTCGTCGGGATTACCCCTTGGCTCCTGGACTCATATCGTCCTGCGTCCAGACGTACCGCCTGGAACGCCGCCACCAACGGTCTCGCCAGCCCCCCGACATATACGCGCACCACCCCGAGCGCGCCCGAGCCCACGAACAACATGAAGAGCTGCCTCAAGCTGCCCACTCCCCTCCCGAGCCCGACCCCCAGTGGGCGGAGCACCCCGAAAAAATGCGTCGCATTTTGCGAGGACTCAGACGTCGAGGTACACGACGCGGACGACTGGGACCGCACGCCTATGCAGCCCTCGAAGAAGCTGTCGTACCAGTGAGTGTCGAGTCAGTTGGGCGATCATCACATTTCACTGAGCACGCGACCACATCCCACCAGGGAGATAATTGAGCTCAAGGAGATAACAAGAGGCCTCCCACTGGCGGACCAGCCGTCGTGCTTTGTGACGGGCAGGCCGTCGCAGAGACGCCTCTCCGCCGTCCCTATCACACTCCTACCGCTCCTGCCGGAATCCAACATGACCCCGGCCTCAACCTACCCGCCCGTTGACACATCCCACACCCCATCCATCCCCCTCTCGCCCCCTACGTCCCCACAAAGAGCACAGCACAAGAGCTTCTCTTTTATCCCCCTCCTCGACGCGGCGAAATCCGACACCACCCATACTACGCCCCCTCATAGTCCGGCCCTCTCCGCCCTCTCGGACTTTGACATGGACCCCCCGACGCCCGCCCTCACCAACGCGTCGCTGGAGAGCAGCCCGCGGTCGTTCCCGCCCTCCTCGCCCCCTGAAGCTTCTCCGTTTATCCTCCTCCCCCCATCCCGGAGACGGTTTTCAGGGGGGTCGTGTGCCGACGTGCCATCTCTAAATCTGGAGGACGACGTCGTGCCGGACGCCCCAGAATACACCAAGGACCCGCGTTCTCGCCCCCTTCTTTTCGCTGGCACGTCGGAGTCGCACGCGCACCAGCCTGCCGACGCGCCATCGAAACCGAAACCTCGGAGGAAGAAGGTCATGTACATTAATGACATGGAGATAGAGCTGGACGACTCGGACGAGGAGGAGGAGGAGGACGAGCCGCCAACGCCCAATCCGACGCAGGTCCCGCACTTCACCGAGCCCGTCGAGACCGACGAACCGCCAAATCCGGACCGCGTGGAGAAGACCGAGGAACTGCCATGTCCCTCCCCGCCCACGCCCACCGACACGTCAGATCGGCCGCCCTCTCCCCCATGCCTGTACGCGCCCATCCGCTTCCAGAGCCGTGCAAATCGAGAGCGCGAGGCGGCCGGCGGGCTGAAGCCGCCATCCTGGAACCCCGTGATGGTGTCCTCCTAAAGGCCGCCTTCCGTCTTTTCAACGCAGCCTCGGTCACCTCAAGGCTACCTCGATCACCTAACGGCCGCTCTCCCCCCTCCTCGCATCGATCCACGCGCCCGCGCTCTATCTTATCCTCTACTCTACACACTACAGCATCGCATCGAATCCATCATCTCTGGAGTGCCCGCATCATACCCGCCACCACATACGGCACGCACCCGCCATACACACGGCCCACACTCGACCACCACACAGACAGACTGCTGCTGCCATGCATAACACGAGTCATCATCTCCCTATACTCGTCATTACTTGCACTTCGCTCTACCGAGCTATTATTGCCATTCATCGAGGCCATTTCCCCTCTACCCCTCCCCGTAGTTGTCTACCCCTTTTACCGAGTCCATATCCCTCGCTGCATAACCATATTCTCCTTATTTTTCCCCTCTCTGTATCATCCTACATATCATACGGGCTGGTTGGTATTTACGCACGCTCCCGGTCCCACCTTGACTGTCGTTGCTCCGTTAGACGCATGAGAGATCGCATCCCACTGACATTGGTCATTGCATCCCCACGGCTTTGGTCACTGCATTCCCCTGGCTTGGTCACCGCATCCCCCTGGGTCGGTCGCCGCGTCCCTCAGGGAATGGTGATCAAGTCCATACGCACTCGCATTCTCTGCACTCGACTAGACATAGACTTTCGGTAATAGACTTGTGCTGTTGTCTCTTCGTTCGGCTCAGGAGGATTGCGTGAGTGATCAAGGAGGAAGGCCGCCTGCGAGGGGGTAGTGAGGGGATTGGTGCCCACGTCTATTGTTACCGTTGGGGAAATGGTCGCCATGTGGTCTCTGCCTCGAGGGGGGACAGCAGACAGCAGACATTGGGTCTTATGTGCACGCTCGGTTGAGATAGCAAAAGTGCGCTTGAGAAAGACAACTAGGTCAGCGTGGCGATAGGTCATTTTCTCATTGTCCCATTACGTGGCATGAGACGCACTACATACAATCAATCCACCTAGACCTTCGACGGACAAGTACAGAGCAGAGGAATCTCGGACATCGACAGCAAACAGACACGAGGCACCGTCCCTAATAGTATGGACCCTTATTGAAGATCCCAAGCTCGAACAGCTCCATTGCCTGCGTCTCCTGCGCCACAGGATACTCGTCCACCTTCCGGGCCCGCCCAAAGTCGATCAGCCTGAAGCTGTTCTTCGGCGGCACGTTCGTGATGCGCGCGAGCGGCCAGGCGCTGAGCGGGCCGGGCTGCACGAGCACGTTGCGCGCGGCGATCGAGTTCTGCACCCAGCCGGCGGAGGAGAGGAGGAGGAAGAGGGCGGTGGCTTCCTGTTTGTCGTCCATGGAGAGCTTCTCGGGCTCGATGGGGACGCCGCAGTGCTCGAGGAGGAGGATGGGGCTGAGGTACTCCGGCGGGAGGGTGTGCTTGGGGATGGTGGCGGCGGGCGGGTCGTCGTCAGGAGAATCGTTCGCAGAGTCGTCATGAGCGTGGGCGTTGTCGGTCGAGTGGGTGGCTTCGTTGGAATTGTCAACGGCGGGCTCGGGAGAGTAAGGCAACTTTGGATCTTCTGCGGTAGGGGAGTACCCGCGGACAGAGGGCGCTTCGGGACTCTCGGGCACGTAGTAGCCGTAGAAGTTGGGGACGAGCGCACCGCAGGGGGTAGGGTCCAGCAAGGGCTTGACGACGTTGTAACCACTCCAGTGCTGTAAACAACTCAGCAACTTGGCGCGCATCTCAAGAGCCATCCACTCACCTGGAAGAACCAGTCCGGGAACTGCTGATAGTTGGACGCCTCATGCGGAAGGTGGTCATCGTTCTGGCGCGACAACTTCGCGCAAACACGCACACGCGCCGTCTTCGGCGCCTCGCCGCCAAACTCAGCATCCGCCTGCTTCTTCAGGTGCTCACAAGGCTCGTCTCGCCCGACGATGTTCTGCGCCCTCACCGGCAAATTCTCGATGTAAACGGAGGGATAGTCGGGTGGCACCCCTTCCGGCGCGGGGGGGACTTCGGCGGGCTTGTCGAACAAAGTGCCCGCCTCGCGGCGTCGAGCGACCTCGACCGAGGCATCCCGTGCGATGAACTCTTCGCAGTGAGCGTCTTCGCGACCACAGAGAAGCCAGCGCGGGAGCTCCCAGTCAACGGTGTATACCACGGAGTGGTTGCCCGCGCCGCAAAGGTCCTCGGCGCGGATATAGACGTGGGCCTCCTCAACGGAAGATGGCGGCGGCGGAAGGGGTGGCCTCTTGACGTAGAGGACAAAAGATGGGGACATCCCTTCCGAGTCATCGCTTTTCTCATCTCCGACAACAAGATGCTTGGGGACGAAGATTGCCCACCCAGCCTCTGAGACATCCAGAGCAGCTTCCTTGCGCGCCTCCTCGAGGTCTTCCTCGCGTTTGCGTTTGCCGGCCTCGGACAAGTGGAGTCGATAGACGTGGGTGACGTCGGGCTTCTCGGTTGATGCAACGTTCTTGGTGCCCTCGCCTTCTTTGTCCCCTTCGTCTTCCTTGTCGCTCTCATCGTGACGGACCGCACCGACCGAAAGAGCATGCGAAGGGTCATGCACAATGAGCTTCTCCGGCAGGAGATTGTACGGAATCCGGACTTGAAGCGTTGGCTGAGGCCGGTCTTTCATAAACCCGTTAGGCCCATACCAGCCACGCATCGTCTCCCTCTCCCTGTCGCTGATCAGCCGCCCCACATCGCAGGGCATAACCTGGCACGGCATCTTCTCCTCCTCCGCCCACTTGAGCTCGGGGCCCGCGTAGGTCTCGTTGTGCGCGCGCATCCACGACGCGAGCTTGCTGCTCGTCGAGATCATGGAGTACCCCGGAACGCTGGGGACCGGCGCAGTGCGGAAGAAGTCATAGAGCGTCGACGCCCAGAGCTGGTACCCATTCGGCGTCATCTTCCAGTTCGCGGAGTCGGTCCTGTCCTTGCGCATAACCTCTCCCTTGGGATCGCGCGGCCAGTGGCGGAAGACGATGCGCGTTTTGCCTGGTGGCAGGTCCTTGAGGACGTGCGCAGGCGGCATGTGAACATCGGGTGGACCACTACGAGGTTGTCATGAGCGAGGAGACAGGAGGAGAAAGAGGGGCAGACGCACTTGGCTGGATCGTAATGATAGATGGTCTTGCCATCTTCTGTGTTCTCTACCCTAATGGGGTCGGGATCAGACTGCTGCACCTGTTCTATCAGCGCCTTCTTCTCCTTTTCCTTCTGCTCCTCGACGCTGATCGTCTGTCGACCCTTGTCAGAGTTGAGGAAGCCACGTTTGAACATGTCGAACGACGGTGGCACGAATACTGTAACAGCTATTCAGTTGGGATGCAGGACAAACTCGCAAGTCGGGGCAGCTAGCCGGTTGTGATGCTCAGCCGAGTGGTAGGGAGATGATGGTGCTGTCCAAGACGCGGCGCCTATCGATCAGTCGAAGTCGCGTCTTATATGTGGTCGCATAGATCCACGCGCGTCATTAAGTTCGCGCTAAAGCCGGTCGAAGCAATGGACACGCCAGGGCCACGCGGTATGTTGATGGCCAAACACGCACCAACCGAATCACTCCATTGTTCGACAACAAAGGCAAGAGAGGAGCAGATGGATCCGATATTGTAATGACCCTCGACTATATGCTAAGTGTACATTGTGCTTTTGAACCTGAAAGGGCAATGAGCGCCTAGGCTGTACGCGATGGTGGAGAAAACGCACCTTCCATCCTATGCCCATTCCCGGACGTGCTTCACGGCGTGCATCAACTTGCCCTCCTCCGTGCCCTCTCCACCGAGATCGGTCATGTACTCCCATCGCACCGTCTCGGGTAACGACATCAAGATACTCTCCACGCGCGGCTCGGGCGCCATGAGCCCGAACTTTGTCCCGCGGTCGTACATCAGGTTGAACTCGACATAGCGTCCGCGGCGCACGAGCTGCCAGCGGCGCTGCAGAGGCGTCGACGGCGTCTTGTGTCGGCGCTCGAGGATAGGCAGGTAGGATGGGACGAACGACTTGCCGGCGGACTGTAGGAACTGGAAGCATTCCTCCTGAGAGTATGGACGGAGTTTCGTGTCGCCCTCCTTCTCCTTCGGAATGGGGATCTTGAGATGGCTGCCGCTGTTGAGGTCGTCGAAGAAGATGCCGCCGACGCCGCGCGCTTCGCCACGGTGCGGGAGGTAGAAGTACTCGTCGCACCACTTCTTGAACGCCGGATAGAGCGCCGAGCCGTGCGGCTCGACCGCCGCCTTCACCGTCTTGTGGAAGTGCACCGCGTCCTCCTCGTACAAGTAGTACGGCGTCAGGTCGGACCCGCCCCCAAACCACCACGCGATCACCTTCCCCGGCTCGCTCGAGCCCTCCGCGGGCGCCTCGCAGATCTCGAAGTAGCGATAGTTCGCGTGCGTCGTCGGCGCGTGCGGGTTGCGCGGGTGGATGACGAGCGAGATGCCCGCGGCGAAGAAGGGGAGCCCGCCGGGGAGGTCCTCGGGGAGGGGCATCGACTGGTGGTCGCCGCGCATCTGGCGGATCGCGGGCCCGGGGAGCGTGCCGTGCACGACGGACACGTTCACGCCCGCTTTCTCCAGCACGGGTAGCTGTGCGTTGGGGCCGAGCGTCGCGGGGTCGAGCTCGGGGGTCGCGAAGACGCACGAGCGGCCGCTGCCGCCCTGCGCGCGCACCCAGGAGTCGCGCTTGAAGGGAGGGGAGTTGGGGTCCAGCTTCTCGAACGCGCCGACGATCTCGTCTTGCAGCGCGGTCACAAACTCGGCGACGCGCTCGCGCATGGGTCGGGAAGCAGTATCAGCGGACATGGCGGTGAGGGACAAGGCGGGAAGTGCTGATCATCGCGGGACAGTCGACGTGTCTTTATATTGGCAATGGCGTCGCGGGCGCGGGCGAGCCGCCTTCGAGATCCAGACGCGCATGGTCTGAAGCAACCAGTCCAGCCAGATCGGACCGCGTCTCGATCCATCAAGGACATGTCGAATAGACGCTCGTGCAATTATCGTGTATGTCGTAAAGTTGATGATAGAAATACATTGTACAGTGGACCCACAACGGGATGGTATGACTACAGCCGGCCCTAGTTCCAGCTGGGCTTCACGGTATGCCTAGAACGAGAGAGAAATCGTGACTTTGTATACACTCAGACAGGGCTCTTCGACTCGCTCATCCCTCGTTCGCGCCGCCGGGATGCCTCCGTCAGCTCGGGCTGGGGGTCAATCTCGTAGAAGTTGTTCCCGTATCTGTTGAGTCAATTCATGAGTGTGAACGAGCCAAACAAAAGGGGCTACTCACAACTTCTGGCAAATGACGCTGTCCCCGCCGCCCTTGTAGAGGAAGATATCATAGATGATCGTCGCGACTTGCGCGCCAAGGATCGTAGCAATGATGGGGCACCAAATCCAGTATTGGCTGCGCATGAGATTAGACAAGGAACCTGAATCAACATGTCTTATACGCACTTGCGGTATGAGTACACCTGTCCACCATACCCCACCATAGACGTGAGTAGGCGCGGCCCAAGATCACGAGCAGGGTTCACAGCGAAGCCTGGCAATCGTGTCAGACAACAGCAAGCGCGCGCGTGCAATGAACTCACTCGTCTCCCAGCCCAAGGCCGCAGTGATACCCGCCAGGAAGAAGAAGAGCGCAAACGGGATCAAAAAGGACGGCACACGGTTTCTTGGGTCAAGCACCGACAAAACACCCAACATCAGCAGAGCAGTGCCGATGAACTGAAAATTGTTAGCAGCTGGTTGCAGCGAGGTATACCAGATGACGCACCTCCGAGAAGAAGCACGATACGTTCGTCATAAAATCTGCGCCGTACGTCCCGAAGAGGCCGGCGGTGGCAAGCGTGCGGACGCCGCGTCCGCCCTCGTAGACGTCGATGGCGTGGAAGTAGTTTGCGTATAGGATGGCGGCGCCAATAAGGCCACCGAAAAGCTGGCTGATAACGTATCCGGGGACTTTATACCAGGGGAAGCGTCGCCAGGTGGCGAGGGCGATGGTGACCTGTGGCAGGATATCAGCATGAGGTCTGCGTGAGTAGAGGAAGCAACGCACAGCAGGGTTGATGTGTCCGCCGCCAGATATCCACCCGCCGAAGGCTAGGGCTGGGGTACTCGTTAGCCCTGCGCCCTAGCTGAAATACATGTAAGAGAAGACGCACCGACACCCCAGGAAATCGTGACGCTGCCGAAGTCCTGCGGAACATGAGTATGTGGAAGAACATATGTGGCACCGGTACTCACGCCCTTAGGCGAGGCCGACGCGTTCGTGTTGGACGAGAGAACGGCCTGGCAGTTCACGCCGCAGCCGAAGATGACAAGGACCATGACCCCAAAGAACTCGGCGGCGTACTCGTGCAGCAAAGCCCTGTCGCCGTCGATCAGAACAGTGGTCAGAAGTCATAGAAGACGCGTTCAACGCACCGCGGCCGACTAATCCTCGTAGGCGAGTACGTCGCATAGGTGGGGGCGATGGGCGATGGTGGGCGGTAGTTGCTCGAGCCCACGGCGGTCGTCGGACTCCGGTAGAGGTCGCTGTTCGGCGTCGGCACGCGCTCGAGGCGGGTCTCGATATTCATCTTTTGCTGGCTCGCCATTGAGAAGGAGGATAGGCTGTGAGACATTATGACCAGACGACCTTCGGCCTTATATCCGTCTGCTCTGCCGTGAGGGCCAAGGGCGAGTTCAGAGCGCGCGCGCGTCACCAGATGAGCGGAAGATCCCAGTCGCTCCTCGGAACGTGTATCGGGGCGTATCTGGCAGATAGGAAGCGCTCCGCACGTGCGTTTTGCTTCCCCGTCCCGTAAGCTTTGGTCTGCTGGGGGACTCTGTACGTCCCCCCGCGGGAGCAAACTGTGAGTTACCGTACACTCACCGGATGTTCGCTGATCCAGGCCAGCTAGTGACTGCCGAGATCGCGCCTTTAGTGCGTTGAAGAACCTGCCCGACGCAGGAGCGCGAGCGCCGGGGGTTCAGTCTGTTCCACACCGCAAGGCGCAGCAAAGGGTGCGACGGGTTCGTCAAATGTATACGTACATGAGGAATAGGTAGCCACCGCGGGAGCAGAAGTCCCTGCCCCACCCCTCAGACAATGTCTATCACCGACGGCCACATACTGGATCAGGGCAATTCAGCGACAATTTCAGGTACGAGTGGCTTTTCTCCCACCTCAGAAAACCTATGATCACATTCATGAGAGCGCACAGAAAGGGAATCCACCTGACCGACAGTCAATTGGCGGCGTCAACAGCAGCAAGAGACTCGTGCGTACGTCGACATGGTGTAGTTTCCCGCGCGGTATAGGCCGTATAGCACGTAACCTATAACGAGAGAGCTTATGACCGAGCCCAGGAGCCCGAGGGTGAGGAATGCGAATAGAACGAGCAGAGCGAAGGTCAGGCGGGAGCGACCCTCGTTCTGCTTCGGTGCACGCGGTGGAGCTCGTACACCCGTTGCAATGAGCGGCGCGAGGGCGTACGAGTTCTCTGATGCCTCAAAGTAGTGTTGGGTGTGACCCTTCCGATTATGGCGTGGCGGAAACGCAAGATTGAAGAAGGCGTAGAACCCGCAGAGGACAAACGCCGGGATATAGAATATGAAGGTCCAGTAAAGCGTATATGTGAAAATGTCTGTGAAAGGGAGCTTTAGTGATGAAGCGCAGAGCCTACCATAGATAACAGTACCAGAAGCATGGTAAAGATAGCGCCCATCGGGAAGCGCAGGCGGACGGCCTCCAAGGTGGAGAAGCTCTAGGCCGGGATCGTAGAGGGATGGCCATGAGATGTCCATGTCTGATGAGTGTTCAGCCATGCTGTAACAGCATCGCCTATACGTCCCAGAGCCTCAGAGCTAGACGAACGCTGGAAAAGGTGCTGATGGTTGGTGACAACCAAGGAAAGGTTCTCCATCCGGCATGAGCCAAGCGCAGCCGCGGATCGGGAGTTGCCGTGATCGCGTGCTCCTCAAGTTCAACCCCTCCATCAGAGTTCTCGCTTCTGCTGTCCGTTTGTATGCTCAGCCTCGCGCGGGCCGCGACGCTTTTGTACGGCTATTCTGTCAGAGATGTGTGGATGTGGAGCAGGTAGCAGCGACACGAGACTATGCAAAGGACAGAACCGGTGTAGTCGAGACTACGCCGCCGCCCACGCTGTTTAGAGCACAATACGTACGACCGACCCTCGCTACACACTACACGCGTCTATGATATTCGACCGAACAGTGCCCACCCCAAAAGGCGGGTGCATCGTCACACTCGTGAGCAGCGGCGGCATGCAGAGTGGGGCCGCCTTGAAGATGTCCTGTCGTAACTTGCGTATAGTCTCGCCTTCCTTCCCGCTCGGGATGCTGTCCACCTTCGTAATAATCGCTTGGAGCGTAAACGGCTGCCTCCCCTCCGCGTTGATCAGCTTGTCCGAGAGATTCGCGAGCATGCCCAGGTCGTAATCGTTGAGGTCATGCTTGGCGTTGAAGAGGATGTAGATGCGGCGCAGTCTGGGGGCAGAGGCAGAGCGTAAGATGACGCCCAAGGGTTCTGGTCTGGAAGGAGGGTAAACTACGTACTGTTTTCGAGTGGAGATATAGTGGTCGAAGAGCTCGCCCCATTCTGGCCTGCCCCGCGCGCCGTACCCCGGCGCGTCAACGAGGACCAGATGACCAGGGTCAGCACCAACGCTGTAGAAGTTGAGCTCCTTCGTACGACCCTTAGCGGAAGTATGAGGGACGATCTTTCTCTGGCGAAGACGACGACCTCACCGGCTTGGAGCTTGTATGTAACAGGTCCTTCCGCCCAACGACAGCGTTGAACAGTGACGACTTGCCGCTATTAGCGCGACCTACACTTCCTTCAGCATACCGTATACGGACATCTCTCTCGCAATACTCGCCTGTTACGATGACCTATGGGACGGTAAGTTGCCGAAGGAGACGTGCTCGATTTTGGGCGCACGAACTTCAGGTCTGCCCTCTAGTTTCGGGATGTTCGAGATAGAGCCCGCGGCGGCGACAAATCTGGCGTTCGCAAAAACGGAGGCATGGTCCTTGGTGGATAAATGTCTTCTGGATGGAGCTACCGAGATGCGGCACGTTTGACAAGCGGGTCTTGCCGAGCGAGAGAGACGCCATAGATTAGCTTGCATCTTCAGTCCTGGAGTACGTCGAGAGGCTGGAGCAGGGGGTCGCAATCGAGTTCGCAGTATTCAAGAGGGTTGGCTCGAAAGACGGGTGGGTAAGAGAGTACAGAGCGGTTGAGTTGGCCAACCGATGTTCTGCTTGTCTGCGAAGTTTAAGACAAACGTCCGGCCGGGCCGCCTGCCGTATTACTCCCGCCACGTGTCATGCAGCGACCAAACATCATTTCAGGCGAGCAAACAAAGAATTCTACGCATAGATTAAACCAAGAAGGCCTCGCATATGAGGACGCAGAAACAAGGCAAAGCCATGATACACTGAAACACCAACGTGGCGCAGAACGAACGAGGGTAGGGGGTGCTAATGACGACGGCGACGAAGGACGGGGACCTTGGGTATATTGAAGATTGCACGAGCCGCAGCACGACGGCGCACAATCTATCAAGGATGTCAAGGGCAACCATATATGGTAACAAGACCATGCATCGCCCGCGATCGTGGCCACGCCGCCAACGGAACATTGCGAGGCAATACACTGGATCAGCGCTAGCGGGGCGGGGTCCACCGAGCCAGATCCCGGGCGCCTAGAGACAGCCAGATCCCTGCGAGGCACGGTCAGCGCTCAGCAAATCGCGCGCGGGGACGGATCTCACTTGCCTCGCCTGTGAGAAAGAGTACAAAGGGTTTACAGGGGCGGCGACAGCGGCCACGCCTTCGAGGCGCGGCGGCGTCGTGACGGATGAATGGTGCGGCGTCTAGCAGCGGCCTAGGACATCGATAACGACGGTGATATATTGCGATCGTCGCCTGAGGACGGCGTCCCGTGGGAGGGCTGACGTCGAGAAGCGGAAGGGTTGAGAACTGAACATTGAGGGCCTGAGAACAAGGGTATCGAACATTGCATCTCGAGGACTTGAGAATTGGAGGCAACTCGGACTGCACCCTACAGGGGGAGAAGGTCGATCGGACACGCTCTCAAAAGTCCCATGTAACCAAGACCTACATTCAAGCCGATATGGAATTATTAGAGCGAGGCACGCCGTGGGGCGTATAGTAGTTGTGTGGCGAGGAGTATGTGTAGACAGTATTCGAGTCAGCGTTCTGAGGGATGCACAGTCAGAGGGTCGTATGCGTTGGTATTCAAGAAAAGGGCCAGCAGTCAATGCAACGCGGAATCCAAGAAAATGGTAATACAATGAGACGAGAACGAGAAGCACACAGCTCAACTATTGTCCCCACTGCTGCGACTGCGTCGGGTCTGCGTAGGCCCACGACGGCGGCGGGGCCGCAGAGGGGAACTCGGGGAAGTGCCCGGGCGACGCGGGGTACGGCGACGCATAGGCGGCCGCCGGGTCGGCGGGCGTCTGCGCCTCCGCACCCTGCTGGTACGCCTCCGTGCTGCCCGCCTGCCAGCTCTCCGGCGGTGAGGGCGGCGCGTTGTACTCCGTGAGGAAAGCCCCCTTCGCGTGCTGCGGCTGCGGCTGCCGCACCGAATAGGAAGAGTGATATACCTTGTCCTCTGGCCAACCCGGGGGCAGCTGGGGGTGGGTCCACGTCTGAGCGTACGGCGGCGGCATCGTCTGAGCAGTTGGGAGCTCCTGCGACGGCGGGTAGGGCTGCTCGTACGGCGCTCCGGCGACGGTGGACTGGCGCCACTGCTCGATGTTCGTGGGCGCAGGAGGGGGAGGCAGCGCGTTCGTATCCCGGAAGATGTAGCGCATGCCACAGATGATACGGCTTGTATCACGGTCCACAATGTCCTGCAATATGATGCAGTGGTGGAGATCTGAAGAAGGCGTTAGCGTGGCCATGGACAAGATACGAAGTATTCGTACCATAATGGTGGCAAAGGACCGCCCAGTAGGAGGGCACCAGGTAGCTCATGTACATGTTGGCCGGCTCGGCCTTGGGGTATACGTCGACCTCCTCACGATGCACCTCCGTGCCGTCGATATAGACGGTGAACCTGGAGCACCAGCTCTTAGGCGCCCACGGCGAGATGAAAGAGACTTCCGGTCCACTCGTTGACAAGTCCTTCGGCGCATCTGCCTTGACGTAGTGCGCAATCTCATCCAATGGGCCACCGAGGCGCTCCAGGTCACTCGCGCGCGTGCCCTGCAGACCGACGACACCGTAGGTAGGCGACGTCAGCACAACAGGCGCCACCCGGAATGCCATCTCGACGCAGATGGTGCTCCGATGGATCTGGGTCGGCGCGGGCTCAGCCTCCTCCTTCTTGGGTGCGGCCTCGGTGGCCTGCTCGTGCCGGACGGCGGACGGGTCAATGCCGAGGTCGAGCACAGACTGAGAGGGCCCCGTTTCGCGAGGAGACATGGACAGGTACGGAGCTTGCTGCTGGTTATCGGATGTTGATTCGCGAACCCGCCACGTGCGATCATTAGCGGACTGTTCGCCGCCGACGAAGGACGGGTTCGGCTGGGTCGACGGCGGCGAGGACGCGACCTTGGGCTCCTTGCGTGGGAGCGACACGGCCATCGGTGGGATTGGGGGTAGGAGAGACGACAACGGAGGGTTCTGTTGATCACTGGGCTCCAGGGGAGGATACTCCTTGCGTTGCACTAGGTGCAGAACTGTGGCGCAGCAGGTCAGTAGCATGGTCGGAGTGAAGTGTGGCGCACTCACTTCGCGGGTCGTGGCAAGTGTCGCGCAGCTGCTGGAGGCGGCTGCCGACTTGCTTGGGCGTGCGATACTTGCCCGTGGTGTGGAGGATGAAGTCGCTGATGTACCGATTGCGCTTCGGGAAGCGGCGGAGATGACGGGTCTCCATCGTAGAACCAGGACGATACTTATCCAGGCCTGGGCAGTATGGTCAGAAGACGCGTCGAGCGCGACGAGGTAGCGAACGCACCTTCAACGAGAGCGGCCTCGAGCTGTGGCGGCCACACGGGCTCCTTCCCCTGTGGCATCGTCTTCCACGAGCGCCGGCTTCCGACGAGGGTGTTGACGGCGTGGATCGTGCCTTTGTGCATGTTCTCGGAGGGCATGAAGGTCAAGGGTGCGGCGTGGCGGATGGTGCTACCAGGCATGGGATCCGCGTCCGACCCCGACGACGACGGCGAGCGCGCGACCGGGGGTGGGGGAGCAGTGGGGGCCTTCATGATGAGGAGACGGTGGTGATGTCGATCGCAATATAAGGGTCGAGGAGAGGAATGGTGTCAGGTGCGCTTGGTCAGTTACGGCAGGGTTTGGCGCTAGTGGGTGGGCGGAGGGCGGGGCGGTTGGAATGAAGGAGAGGAGACGATGGCAAGGTACAAATAGGAATGGGAGGAGGGGCCTTGACTATAAGCGGTTATCAGAGCTGGCCCGAGCGACGGACAATGTCATCAAGCGTGGCCGATCCAGAGAGTTCGTTTTCCCAGGTTGCGGAACCAATTCGTGTATGATCCCCGCGCTGGCGTCGGTTGTGATTGGCGGGGAGGACTGCGCGCGTGCGGTGGCTGGCCTGGGTGGGGATGAGGAGGCGGCGCAGTCGGCTGACGGTCTTATATGTCGCGGTGCAGGGTCCACACTGGCCTGCGAGCGTCACGTCAGCCGCATTTCAGAACAATAGGGCGGCGACTGACTAATTTGGAGGTCGGCGCGGGCACAGCAACACGCGCGAAAGACCCTGGTCTGCGCGAGGAGGACAATAGCAGGAGACAAGGGACAGCAGCTGTTCGCCCGCAGGCCACTCGGATTCCCGGCAGTGCCCGCAGCAGCTCCCACGGCGGCTCGTGCACCGTGCGGCTGCCCTTGTTGACCGCGTTGAGCGATTCTTTTGTGCGGAAGCAAACTGCTCGTTGGTTCCGGCGCACTGGATTCGTTTGTGGCGTCCCGCGGAGGCATCGAAGCCACGCCACGCCATACCGCTTTCGGCCACCCCGATCTCACAGATCTATACCGCACCCTGGCTGCTAAATTTCCATGTGTACTGTTCGAGGATACACGAAAAGGGAAGTATCTGTCATAGCCTTTACTGCGCGCAGTACGCTCCTACTGCTTGTACGGCACACCAGGCCTGTTGTACGCCCAGTTCCACAGCCTCTCGACCTCTTCGTCAGTACCCTTGTACCCCGGCTCAATGACATCGCCCTTCTCCCCCAGATCGCTGAAGCCGGCCTGGCTTGTGTAGAGGCCGTACATCATGTGCTCTCCGCATTGCTCTTCAGTAACGGAGAATAGCCAGAGTAGCGGCGCAAAGAGGTAGGCAAGGATCTTGACGAAAAGCGATCCCGAGCGGAGGAACAGAGGCGTCCACACTACTCCTGGGGCCGCGTGGATGAAGGAGACCTTGGGGTGCCGCTTAGCGAAGCCCTGGGCGCCATGCGTAAGTCAGAGTATACTGAGATGCTATAGTACACTCACTGCCATAGCGAAATCATGGTACGTTGGCATCTGCGTCGCCCACCGCTTCAGCCCATTCTGCGACATGTCAAGGTCATCCCACTCGAGCGGCGCGCCGACCCCTGCGCGTATGACCGTCATGACCTTCGCCTCCTCCCCAGCATCGGCCGCGCGGTCCAGCGCAGGCGCCAAGTTCTGTATGAACCGGAAGCGCCCAAAGAACATCGCCGCCCAGTTCTTGTCGAGTCCCTCCACCGTCTTCTCATGCGAGATCGTCTCGACCGCGCCGATGGTCAGCACCAGGTAGTTAATCTTCTCCAAGTCGCGCTTCGCGAGCTGCTCGCACGCGGCGTCGATGTTGCGCATGAGGCTGCAGTCGCAGGCGAGGAACTCGGAGAGCTTGTTCGCCGGGGAGGGGAGGGAGGCGATGAGCGCGTCGGCGGCGGCCTTGTTGCGACCGATGATGATGAGGCGAGCGTTGCCCTTCATGTGGCGGGCGAAGGCAGCAGCCATGCCGCGTCCGATACCAGAGGTGCCTCCAATGAAGACGCCTACAGGCGTTTTCGCTGAAGAGGTGACAGACGCGTTGAACTGCTTGACCGTCGAAAGGGAGGGCATCGCTGGTTAGTCTGAGGCTCGTTGGAGCTCATCATCGTCTTTTATAGGCGTAGGGTCGTATTCACTCCCGCCGCGAGTCTTGGACTCTTACTGTTGCCAGTGATATCAGCTCGATGATTTCCTGCAGCCATCTGCGTCTGCGACAGGCTATCGGTTCCAGTGCCGACGGATGTAAGCCGTATTTCGCAAGCTGAGAGAGAGCTTTCGTGTGGCGACAGAGACGCGTAGCACATAGATACGAGCCTCGGTGGGAGGGCGAACCAGTCAGACAACTCAAGCGAATGGACGCTTGGGAGGAAGGGGCTGGCTGGCCCATACAATGTCCGCGGACGCCGAGTCGGTGGCTGTGCTGTCATCAGCTCGATCACTTTGGCCTGCCGCCCCGGCGCTTATCCTCAGAACTGTTCACACTGGAGCTTGGTGCCAAACCACTTGGCGATGGAGGCAGAACCACATTACGACGACGGCGAGTCGACCACCGATGACGAGAACGGCTCGCAGACGACCGAAGATGACCCCGAGCTCGATCGCCAGGGTCTTCCCCAGCAGCCCCCGCCTCCCCCTCCCCCGCCGGCGCCCGCACCCAGCGCCCAGCCACGCGCGAAGCCCCAGTATGAACTCAAGCACACCATACGAGGACACACCCAGTCTATATCTGCTGTAAAGTTCAGCCCGGACGGAACACTACTGGCCTCCTGCGGTGCGCGCTACTGTGTCTACTGTGCAGAGCAGTTGAGCTTGACAATGGATGGGCGCCAGGCGCGGAAAACATAGTGAAGATCTGGTCCCCCATTACGGGCGAGCTCATCCGCAATCTCTCCGGGCACACGGAGGGTCTGTCGGATATCGCCTGGTCCTCTGACAGCGTCTACCTCGCGTCCGCGTCTGACGACACGACCGTGCGGATATGGGAAGTCGATCGCGTGAGTAGGGATCGCGGGGCGCGTTTGGACCTTGGGCTGATTTGTGCGTGCATGCAGGGCATTACGCACAAAGTCCTCAAGGGCCATACGAAGTGGGTCTTTTGTCTAAACTACAACACCGCGTCGAACCTGCTCGTGTCGGGAGGGTGTGATGGGGATGTGCGAATATGGAACGTTGCGAGAGGTGCGTGGTATGCAGAGACGTGGAGGAGCTTGCTCATGCCTGTCTAGGGAAGTGCATGAAAACACTACACGCCCACCTCGACTATGTCACTGCCGTTCACTTCAACCGCGACTCGACCCTCATCGTCTCTTGTGCTCTTGACGGTCTTATGTGCGGTCCATCTATTCCCCGTACAGTTTTGTCTTCCCTAACCCAGCCTACAGTCGAATATGGGACACCGCCAATGGCCAATGCATGAAAACCCTCGCCGAGGGCCACAACGCCGTCTGCCAGCACGTCCAATTCTCGCCCAACTCCAAATACATCCTCTCCACCGCGCACGACAACGCGATCCGGCTTTGGGACTACCAGACCACGCGCTGCCTGAAGACGTACACCGGCCACAAGAATAACAAGTACTGCATCTCTGCGTGCTTTAGTGTGACGGGCGGGAAGTGGATCGTCGCGGGGAGCGAGGATAATCGGGTATATTTGTGGGATCTGCAGACCCGGGAGATCGTGCAGGTGCTGGAGGGGCATACGGATGTGGTGGTCGCGGTGGCGGTGAGTGAGGTCCACCTCTCGAAGCCCAAGCGAACTAAATTTCTTGCAGACCCATCCGACGCGAAATATGATTGCGTCGGGCTCTATCGAGTCCGATCTAACCATCAGGATATGGGCAGAGCCATTGCCCGACCCTGCAATACCGCCGACTTGATCCTTCACCGTGGACGATAGCTATCCTGACCTGTATCTCTTGCCTTGTATCCCTGCCTCCCGCTTGTAATGACGCTCACGAACACTAACTCTGTTGTACACTTATATAATCTAATCGGTGGCTATTGCCATCTGTACACCTCTTCTCGCCTTCTCCTGCAGTCGCTCCCTAACGCAGCGGTGCCCTGTTTCGATCGATGATTCCTCTCCTAACCTACACCTCCTCACTCCACCAACAGCCTCACGACCTCCTCGTACCGCTTCTTCGTCCCCTCCACCACATCCTCGTCGATTGTCCACCCCTGCCCCTCCTGCCCCGGCGGCCCGCTCTCCAGCCCCTTCTCGAACCCCTTGCTCACGAGCCAGTCCCGCAGGTACTGCTTGTCGAAGCTCGGCTGCGGCCCGCCGGGATTATACGAGTCTGCCGGCCAGTACCGCGATGAGTCGGGCGTGAGCAGCTCGTCAACGAGGATGAGCTCGTCCTTGCCGTCCGCGCCGGGGATGAGGCCGAACTCGAACTTGGTGTCGGCGAGGATGACACCGCGAGTGGCGGCGTAGTCGGCGGCGGTCTTGTAAAGAGCGATGGCGGCGCGGGATATGCGGTCGTAGAGGTCTTGGCCGACCAGTTTGGCGGCTAGCGAGGGGGAGATATTAGGCCGAAGATGGAGAGGAGGGGGAAAGGGGAGACGTACCCTGCTCGGCGGAGATGTTCTCGTCATGGGCGCCCTGGTCGGCTTTGGTGGATGGTGTGAAGATGGGCTCGGGGAACTTCTGTGACTCGACCAAGCCCGGCGGCGCGGGCATACCGTGCACGGTGCCGCTCTTCTTGTACTCCGCCCATGCAGAGCCTATGATCACACCTTCAGTACATTCGCACACTTGTGGGCATCCCCCACGCACCAGATATATACCCCCTCACGATCGCTTCCAGCGGTACCACCTTCGCCTTCTTTACCAGCATCGCCCGTCCATCCAACTGGTCCTTGTACTTCCTCACCCCCTCCGGCATCGCATCCACATCCGCCGTCACAAAATGGTTCGGGATGATATGCGCCAGCTTGCGGAACCAGAAGAGCGAGATCTGCGTGAGCAGCTTCCCCTTCGCAGGGATCCCGTTGTTGAGGATGACATCGTACGCGGAGATGCGGTCGGAGGCAACGAAGAGGAGGTGCTCGGGCGAGGGGGGCAGCGCGTAGATGTCGCGCACTTTACCCTTCGAGACGAGCGGCAGATCGGGTAGGTCCGAGTGTACAAGCGCCATGAGGAGAGGTGCTGATGAGGGGAAGCCGGGGCCGAGGTGCCGCGGAGATCGGGGCGTGGAAATTTGTGATCGGAGTCAGATCAGACGGACTTGGCCTTATCGGGAACAATGGCGAAGGCCTTTCCTCAAGGGGAAGAAGACAAGGCCAAGGGATCCAAGCAACAGGTACTGTACAGGTCCGACAAGTTCGGGCGTGCATCGTCCTTGGCCCGTGCTGCATGATGCAAAATTAGCCGCTGGCGTTGCTCCTCGTCCCGACTACACGAATTTCGCAATTCCAGCACATTGGAAGTTACCCCGCACAGAGCACAGAACACGACGCATTCGGAGCACATATAATGGGGCGTCGAGTCAGGCGTAGGTGGCAGCTCTCAGTCAATCGCGTACTTTATTGGCGAGGTGGAAGATATGGGCGTTGAACAGGAGGGTGGGTCATCGTGCCAGTTAGGAGTTACGAAAGAGTCGAAGGCGGCACTGATGTTGCGCGCTTCCGTATGGTAGAAAAGATGCGGAATCTGCCTCGAGACTGAGGTGCAAGCGCTCAGGCCGCCAATGGGTTGATGTCTCTCGAAGTGAAAGAATGCAGGAGAAAGAGTGATCATTGACCGGCGAGCGACGCCGACAGACTTACCGCAACAGATGGACGCTAGCATCGGTCGACGGAAGAAGAAAAGCATAAATTAGCAAGGATATATCCTTTTACTGTTGAAATATTCCATCAATCTTGCTTTGCGACGACATCCGGCTTCTTTCGTCGCCGAGGCAGCTTTCTCCGCCTTCGCGGCAAGCTGCTTGTAGTCCGCCGCTGCTTGCTCACAGACGTCCCAAATGCGACACCTATTGGCGAGACCGGGCATAGCGTCGGTCCACTCCCGATCGGCCTCCTTGCGAAGATGCGTGTAGACACAGCGCCAATCGACATCGGTGCGCTTGAAGAGCGGGCTCTCGATGACCTCCCATGCCCAGGGCATGTCGACCGCTAGGCGTGTACGGAAGAGCGTGTTGGGAAGCCAGATGCTGCGCGCGGCGGAAGATGCGAAGAAGAAAGACTGGAGTGAGTCCTTGGGGATGAGGAGCATAATCATGAGGAGGAGCTCGGATGGCAGACTGGCGAAGGGATCGTGGACACAAGAAACGTGTTCGGCGTGTCGAGAAGGTGCGGGACCGGGGGCAGTGACGAGTGGTAGGTTCTTCAAATACTCGTTCAATCCGCGAATATCCATAGGATCGCTTACGAAAGACTGGCAGGAATATACTTAGTATACACAACTTTTGGAGCGACATAAAGTGTCACTTACCTCCTCTTCTGATTGTTTTGATTGAGGGACGAGAGTTGCCATTTCGGTGTAGTCACTCACGGAGTCGGAGTCGAGATATTCGTCGTCGAAAGAGACTGCGTGGGAATACGAATGGGAATAGGAAAGTAACGCTTTCCTCAAGAATTCGTACAGGATGTCGGCATCAAGATCCAACCCTTCTTGCCGGAAGACCTTCTTCAGTATATCGAGGCAGTTGACGTGCACAGGGAACACGCCCGTGCCGTTCCTAGTCGATTTCCAACAACAGTATGCATCGAGGTCGACTGGATCATTGCTGCCGCCGACGGAGGCTGGTGCATTGGGATGGTCGCCCGGCTCGACGCAAATAGATGTTGAGTATGTGTTTGTACCTATGCCAGAGATGTAGCAGCGTTTCTCGCCGGTGGAAGAATTGACGCCAACGGCACGGAGGTGTTCAAGCCACTTGTTGCCAGAGAGCGAGAGCCAGCGCTCGTAGCCTTCCCCAAGGGAGACTGCTGTGTCGGAGTAGTCGAAGACCTCTGGTCCAGTATACTCGGGAGTGGCAAAAGGTGCAGAGCAAAGCGCGCAGAGGAGGTCCTGCATGATGATGGTTCAGGTCAAGAGCGGGCTGCGAATAAATACGCGTCGCACGATGAGATCATCAATCAATTTCCACGTGATCGAACCAGTGATCGAGAAAGAACAATGGGATTCGCGCGTTGATTTTGACCGAGAACAATGGCGACCCTTCTCCCTCCCCCCAAGCGCCAGAAAAAGTACCACGGAGTGCCAGAGCCTGAGCCCGAACCTTTGAAGCCTGCCCCAAATGTCTTGGTCAACTTTACATCTGAAGATGGCTCGACGCAGCTGGCCCCCGCGGTCAGCGTCCCTGCAAACCTCTCGCGGCAAGGTCTGGAAGCGCTGCTCAACAAATTGGCGAAGAAGGTGCGTTATATACCCTGGGCTAGCTCCCCCACTCATCCTGACGCAGGACGATGAAGACGCAACCCCGTATGCCTTCCACATCGATGTGCCAAACGAGGAGAACGCGGCGGGCGCACCCACTCGCGTCGTGATCGCAAAATCCATCGAAGCCGACATCCTCGACAAACCTGGCGACATATTCACTACCGAGACCATCTTCCAAGTCCGCTGCACCCCGCAGAGCGTCTTCCGCGTACGCCCCGCATCGCGCTGCTCGTCTACGCTCTCTGGGCACGGTTCCCCCATCCTATGTGCGGCGTTCTCGCCGACCGGCCGTTTGCTTGCGACGGGATCGGGAGACACAACTGCGCGGCTATGGAACTTGGATTCGGAGACGCCGTCGCACACACTCGTAGGCCACAAGGGCTGGGTGCTCTGTGTCGAGTGGGAGGCGATGGAGCGCAAGCTGGCGACTGGGGGGCACGACGGACATGTCCGTCTGTGGGATCCAAAGACCGGCAAGCCGATCGGCGACGCGCTTAAGGGGCACTCGAAATGGGTGACCTCGCTCGCTTGGGAGCCAGTACATCTGTGAGTACCTCTTCCCCTTCACGCATGCTTCCTGCTCATAACCTCCAGCAACCCCTCTGCCCCCCGCCTCGCCTCCTCCTCCAAAGACGGCACCGTGCGCGTCTGGTCCACCCTCACCCGCCGCGTCGAGTACACCCTCGGCGGACACACCGCCTCCGTCAACGTCGTCAAATGGGGCGCCGGCATGGGCAACGGGAACAAGGGTGTATTATACACCGCCGGCTCCGATCGCACTGTCCGCATTTGGGACGCCGACAGCGGGAGGCAGATCCATGTTCTGAAGGACCACGCGCACTGGGTCACGACGCTCGCTATGAACACGGACTTCGCGTTGAGGACAGGCCCATTCGATCATACGGGGAAGGCGCCGGCGTCGGATGAGGAGGCGAGGCAGAGGGCGAAGGAGAGGTACTTGGCGGCTGGGAAGGAGGTTTTGGTGTCAGGTTCGGATGATCATACCTTGTTCCTGTGGGCGCCGTGGGGACGGGATAGGGAGGGCGAGGGAGGTAAGACGAAGCCGATCGCGAGGCTTACGGGGCATCAGCGCCAGATCTCGCACGTCGCGTTCTCGCCGGATGGCAGATGGGCGGCGTCGGCATCTTGGGATACCTCAGTCCGGTTGTGGGACGGGCGGACGGGCAAGTTCGTCGCGACGCTTCGAGGACATGTCGGCGCGGTGTACAGGTTGACATGGAGTGCGGACTCGCGCATGCTCGTCAGCGCGAGCAAGGATGCGACGCTCAAGGTATGTCAAACTGCAAGCGATGTGCACGCTCCCTTCGCTGACCACCGATACAGATCTGGGACCTCAAAACCTACAAAATCAAGACTGATCTCCCTGGTCACACCGACGAGATCTACTGTGTCGACTTCGTCGCCGACAAGATCGTCAGCGGCGGACGGGATAGGACTGTCAAAATGTGCGCCGTCGTCACTACCTCTCGTGCTTTCACTCACCCTCCGCTAGATGGAAAAACTAGCAGCATGGCGTGTCCGGTCTGTTCTCGCGCTTCACTGCGCACCCCATTGCATTGTACACTGTATGTATGTATACCCATCCATGTATCCACCCATGTAGACCCTGCACGCATATGTACACCTTACGCGGCCAGCTCGACAGAGAATGCCAGCGCCATCTGGATGCCTGTGTCAACAACGAAGACTCCACGCGAAAGGATCATATGCGCTCACCTTCACGAACTCCGCTGCCTTGGTGAAGTCCAACTTGTCGATTGTGTCCCGCGAGCTGTGGTAGTACGGATTGAGGTATGCATCGTTGGGCCCGCTTTCGTCGATTGACACCGCAGGATAGCCCTGGTCCTCCCACGAGACTACGCAAACCTGGTAAGCCTCCACTTTTCGCACACCCAGCCTCACACAAACTCACAATGGTCCGAGCACGCATACCCACACCTGCTCGTATAGATCGAGTCGCTGCTCAAATACGCCTTCAGGAGCTGCTGGCTCCACGACACCAACGACGAGTCCGTGTCCGTCAGCACCGTCAGCACGGGCTTGCTCCGCGTCTGGTACGCGACCATGTCCATCTGAAGCATCGCGGCGACATCTACGCCAGAGGAAGCGTACTGGCGCGCGACGGTTTGCGAGCCGAGCAGCCCGCCCTCTTCGCCGGCGTAGGCGTGGAACTCGATGGTGCGCGAGCCTTGGTAGTTGTTGGCGGCGAGGATTTTGGCAGTTTGGAGGAGGACGGCGATGCCGGAAGCGTCTGGGAAGGGTGTTGAGTGGGGAGGGTAACAATTTAAGGGGATCGCGCTGACCGTCATCGGCACCAGGAGCGCGGCTGGAGCTTGAAGCGCTTCCGACCGTCGAGTCGAGGTGGGCAGCCAGGATGACAGACTCGGTGCTGTTCTTGCCAGGAATCTTGGCGATAACTACGTCGACGTGAGTCTGGCTTCTATACCATTCGGAATGGTCTCGCAAGCTCACCATTTGGCTGATTGAAAGAGTTTTCAATAAGCTGCACGTTCGAGCTCCCCAAGCTAGCCTGGAACTGCTGCTGGATCCACAACGCCGGCGCCCTCGCATTCGTGCTCCGGTACGCCCGCGTCGTGTAGTTGTTCGACAGGGTGTCCACGATATCGTACAGGCTATCCGCATCGACTTGGCCGAAGTACGTGCTCTGCAGGAAAGGGTACTTCGACGGACTCGGCGCAGCGTATGCGCGCTTCGTCAGGGAGCGCTTGCTCGCCGTACCCTCCTCCTTGAAGCCGGTGACGTCGAGGAAGCCGGGTCCGCGGTTGACACTGGTGATGGCGTCGAGGGCGGCGGAGGAGATGCCCGTGAGTTCGTCCGCAGTACGGTCGGTGTTCCCGCGGTTCTCTGCGAGGTACTCCAGCGCAGAGACAGAGACCCATTCAGTCTGGAGGGCACCGGACGCATCCTTGAACTGGATGAGCCGAGCGTCGTCGGACTTCGCGGGCGCTGCGATGACGGCGCCTGCGAGCAGCACGAGGGCCAGCAGGGGAGAGAACCGGAGTCCGAGCATGATGAGCAATATCGCCGTTGGGTGCGCGAGGTACACTGAGCCTACCACGTCGCGTCGTATGCTGCAGCCCTTATATACGCACGCGCTGAGGATTGTCTCGCCCCATGTGCGTATCCAGTCATCAGGTGGTCCCAGACGCAGAAGCGCTGGGCGGCGGGCCGCCTCGAGGGAGTGTTGAGGAGGAGAAGCCCTGCACACGCAGTTCGGCCCTGAGCTCGTGGACGTACAAGTCAGAAGAGGGAGGCATGCAATGCTGACCATGCGGATCTACCTTGGTATACGTGAGTGCGACCCGATAAGCACAGCAGAGCATACCTTTGACGCCAGTGCACGCCATGCGCCGAAGGTGCGTAGGAATAGATGTGGGTGACAATCCATCGAGCCCTCCGAGGTGCTGCCATTGACTTTGAATCTTCCACGTGGCACGGCACGTCTTGGCGCTTCCCATAAATTGCCCAAAATGGTCAAAAAGAGCAGCGCCCACAATGTATAACGCGCCGTCCTCCCGCGTCAAGTTCTGTAATTTGAGAGCATATCAATGTATGGGCAAGCACTACAAAGCTTAATGTCAAAATATGCAGGTCTGATTAGGGAGTTCGACGTGTATGTTCTGACGAATAGAGTTGTGAATCTGGCTCATGCCGAGCAATATGAAGCGCACACATCTGATCCGTCGATTGGCTACCACCCTCTGCTACGCATAGCATATGTCGGGCTTTACATAGATCATTCTTCAATTATCAACTGCGTCAGGCGAGTCTGGATTGCGGCCAAAGAGACGCTCTCTTTCCGTGCGCCAATAAGGCTCCGGCCACTCGTCAAAAGTCGCACCGTCGTCTGAAAGAAGAAAGAAACCATGAATGAATGATCCTTGCCATAGTCAAAGTCTGAAGCGCTCACCGAAGAAAGGCTGCGTTAGTGAGCGAAATGGCATCCGAATGTGACCTGCTAGTTCTTCATTCATGAATTGCATGAGGCGCATGCACGACTTCCCCTCGTGCATGAAGTAGACCTCGACGTCGAAGACTTTGAATGGCGTGTACCACGGATCCGATTCGATCCTCCTCTTCCTATCGTCGTCCAGGGGAATCGAATTGGCGCTTATCGGGTTGCCGCTCAGCAAAGGCCGTAAGTCAATCTGGACATAGATCTCCTCATCCGGGCGGATTGACATGAACAAGTCATAGTTTTCGCTGAAGGTGCCTGTCGCGATCTTAACGAGGTGCAAGAGCTCCCTCGCTTGAAGGTCACCTGGCCGTTGGTGAGCTTCGAGTTGCGCATCATAGAAGTACGAAAACTGCAGACCAGCCCTTGTCGGATCATTGTAAGTAGGACACCGTTGTTTATGATTGCCCACTCTCCAGTGAGCTCGCTGGCATGCCTTCGAGCAATATAGCGCCTCCCCACACACGCAGGCGCGCAAAGGTTTGTCACCACCGCCCCCCGCGGGACACTACACCACATGGCTCAGTATCGATCCAGGACTAGGTCGAAGTTGAACGTACGGCGGCGTTGCAGCAGATAGCCGCTCTCTTCCATTCACTGTCGGCCTCGATCAGAGCGGCCTCGCACGAGTTGAAGGTAGTCCGAGTAAATTCGTCCTCCTCGTCGAGGGCGTGGTAGGGTGGGTAGACTCCGCTCTTCGTGAATTTCCGATATGAATTGCGGAAGCCACGGAGGGCACGCCGCGATGTGATGGCTCTGCGCAGTGCAGCAGTCATACTGTCGAGCATAGGCGCAGCATGGTCGGTGAGGCGCACGCGGACGATACACTCGAAGAGTCCGTACTCTACGAGCCAACGATGAGCCTGCTGAGCGGGAAGGCATAGCGACACAAGTCCGACCCAGACCTCTCGCCAGTGCAGAGGTACTAGGTGTTCAGGGTCACGGAGGTATTCCATAAGCGCGATGAGCAGCTTTTTCGAGGGCTGGCGGAAGCCAGGTATCTTGGTGAAGGGAATGAGGGTTCGGAAATGATTGCTCATGAATATCTCCCCGTTGGGCTCGCTTGGAACAATCGTAGCGCGTACGTGGCGAGCGCAGCGGTCATAAAAACGACGAGGATTGTTGCGTATCTCTGGCGGCATAGCTGAGAAGGCTGCTTGACGAGCGTCATGATCGTTCAGTACAGTGTACAGCATGGGGAACCCAAGAACGCAGGCTTCGACCATCTTTGGGGGTATCTCCGCCAGTAGAGCGGACAGGCGCGGCCAATTCATCCATACGTGCACGAGGAAGGTTGAAAGGCGCTGTTCCGGAGACAGGACTATCTCGCGCAGTCTTTCGCGGGAGAGATACTGAAGGATTTCCAAAGTTGCGTAAAGTATAGATTCGAGGCATTCCATGACATAGCCATCAGGGAGGCGGCCGGCGGAAGCGAAGGCTAGGATCTCTCGCTCGCGACCTATCGGGAGGAGATGGTCAATCCAGTCGAAGAAAGACACGAAGAATCCAACGTCGAAAGGGCACAGATCTGGGTTGGCGAAGGTGTGGGACAACGAGCATAATCGGGCGACGCAGAAGTGAGCGTCGACCAAGCTCTCGTATATGCCATAGTTGAATATATCAGAGAGGAACGCCCGGTACGGGATGTCCCGTTCATAGTCTATGCTGTAAAGCTTCTGCAATGGGCGCTGATTCCGCACGATCGATCGCACTCGCGAGAGATGGGGGCGCACACGCGGGTCGTTGGCGACAAGGTCACCCCCTTCTCGCATTTCGTCGACCTTGGTGATGGCACGGAAGAGCTCATCTAGATCCGGCTTGATAGATGCCAGCGCCATGGAGGATGAGAGTGAGAAGTGACAATTGCTTTGACCAAAACAAGTTTGCAAAGTCACAATGCTGAAATTACCACATTGATCCATGTTTGTGTATCACCTTGCTTGCAAGGTCTTTCCCGTTTCTTATTGACCCCATCAAAAATGACCCCATGTGCGTAGCACGTTCCGAAGACAACATCGGTAAACGCGCAGACACCCCACAAGTTCTGAACGGCACCACACGACGAGCTCTGCCAACGATAGCAGGATTCAGACTCACGCGCGAGGTGCAAGCAAGGTATGCATCCGGCGAAGCCGGGGCTTCCTCTAGTGGTCAAAAGCAGTTATATATGGCCTCACAGGGATCTCCTCACCACACTGAACGTTCGACCAAGTACGCGGATCAGGAGACTTTTGCGACTATTTCTACTCGAGAACTATGCCTGAACTTCGACAAGCGCTCGCACGCCCATGGGGACGGGGTCATGGGTATGGTACGGTCCCCTGTCCGTGTCCAACACAAAACAGATACCCTTTACCCTGACAGATAGTGAGCCTTCGAGTTCATCCGAGTCTCTTTCCACTCACCCATCACCTGCTCCGACCTCCCCCGCGGGCTTACTACCACACTTCCCCCACCTCAAACTCGCCTTCCCGGTTTCCGAGTGGAACTGCAACCCATCGATCCTGCCACTGCCCGTCTCCCACACCACCACCTTCGCGATCCGATCGCCCTCTTCGCCCAGACGCCAAACTGCACCATCTTTATTCTGCGCCCGCACTTCCTCGTCACCCTTGACGTGCGCAGGCAGCTCGGGCGGCTTCATCGGGCCCAAGGACGTCGACATATGCTGATGGCGCGGCAGCTCCTTCAGCGGTTCATCGTCGTCGAGCTGTGACCAGATGCTCGACGGCAGGCCGACGTAGACATCGGTACCATCCGCGTAGCGAATGACGAAACCGCCCAGCTCGACAACGTCCACCCAATCCGGCGCAGCAAGCAGACCCTTGATCTCCCTCACCGGCTTCGAGAGGTCGAGGAAGACGGCGTATTTGTCGTCCGCGAAAGCGCCGAAGGCCGGGGTCGAGGGGCACCACGTAGCAGGTGGCGGAGAGGGCTCCCACATGCACTGGTCGCGCACGAAGTAGTCGAAGTCGGCCGTCTCGCTAGACCCGGGGCTTACGAGGACGGATACGGAGGAGAGTCGATTATCATCCTAGGTGCCTAGTTAGCATAAGAGTGACCCTATTGCCTACAAAATGAATAACACACCTCGCTCCTGTACTCATAGCTGCAATACAGACCTGCCAACACGCAGGGGTTCGACGGCGTCGAGGTGACCGAGTCTGCATTCATTCCCGTTCGACCAGATATCGCTTGTCGTCCGCGATTCGTTACAAGCTGGTAGCCATGGTGAGCGTCGCCCGGCCCTCACGACAAAACTTCAATTACCTTGAACCCATCCACCAGCGGACCCATGGTCACAGTGAATCCAATGACCCGCTCGCCGCCCTTGCCGTCGATAGGGAAGTACTTCGTGAAGCCCTCTTCCAATTTCCCCGCCGACATTGACACCCTCCTGTCGTGGTACACCGCGATCCCGAGTGAGTTGCTCCCCACGGCGATCCCGGTAAGCGCAGCGAGCTCGTTTTCCGTCCGCCCGAAGTAAAGCGGGTAGAAGGGCACCAAGTCGGACGCCTCTTGGACGCCCCAGTACCCGAACCTCGAGGGGTGACAGGCGAGTGGCGCGGCGGGGACCTGAGGAAGAGTCAGGGTCTTGAGATACGACACAGATACGAAGTCAAGGTCTGACCTCTTCCGCCCACATCAGCTTGCACACCGAGGTATCCGGCGCGGACCTCCTCTGGGGACCCAAGAGCTCCGGCAGCTCAAGCAAGCCCACGCGGGAGATCACGCCGTTGGACGCTTCTCCGCGCAGTCCGACAAATGTGTGCCCCTCCTGCACGACAGACAGCCGTCGGTGCCCGCTCATGTTGCCAAATACGACTGACTCTCCAACGAGCCTGCGCACGATGACACCCATAATGGCTAGGCCGCTCTCCCGCTTGTCGCTCGCGCCGTCCTCGTCGTCGCTGTCGCTGTTCTCTGTGCCGCTAGTGCTTCCCTCCTCATCGTTGACATTGTCCTCATCGTCGCTAGCCTCGTCCTCATCGTTGCTGGCGTCGTCCTCATTGTTGCTCGCATCGTCTTCGACTTCGCCGCCGTCTTCGTCCTCTTCACCGTCCTCATCGTCCTCATCGTCGTCTTTGTCGTCCTCGTCCTCGTTGTCTTCGTTTTCGTCCTCGTTGTCTTCGTCCTCGTCCTCGTCCTCGTCGCCGCTAGCGTCGTTCTCCTTGCCGCCAGAGCCGCCCTCATTGGCTTCAAATTTCTTGATGCTAAACTCGAACCCGTCGATCCAATCGCCCGCTTCAATCGTGCACTCGTCGACCTTCACTCCCTGCCCCGACCCAAACAGTACCTTCTCCTCACCCGAGCCCAAGTTGAACTCGAAGGTGATGCTCGAGAGTACCCCCTTCGCTGTCCAGAACAGTCTGACCTTCTTCTCGTTCCCCATCAGACTCGCAGTGACCGGCAACCACACCGTCAGCGCCGCCGCCTTCGTCGGGACTGGCGACAGCACATGCGGCACATGGCTGCATGTAGCGCGCGCCTTGATGTCCTCCGGCACGTACACCTGCTCCGTAGCCTTCTTCTCCTCCTCCGCGCGCCGTTCGTATATCCTCGCCGCCTGGCCGCACACGTCCCAGATGCGGCGCCGGTTCGCGAGGCCAGGGATAGCGTTCGCGCGATGGGCGCTGGATTCGGTGCGCAGGTGGACGTAGACGGCGCGCCAGTCGATGTCCATGCGCCGCGAGTGCGGGCCCTCGATGAGCTCCCAAGCCCAGGGCATGTCAATAGCCATGCGCGCGTGGAAGAAGGAGTTGGATAGTTCGATGCGGCGAGCGGTGGGGGAGGCGAGGAGGAAGGGTATGAAGGATTCGCGAGGGATGAGATACATGATTGCGAGTATGATCTCGGGTGGGAGGAGGGAGAATGGGTCTTGCATTCGAGAGACGAACTTGTTGCTCTCCGACTTCGCGAGGCCATCGGTAGGTTTGAGAGTGGGTAAGCCGTCAAGGTACTCCTCCAGCTGGAAGATAACGATGGGATCGCAGACGAAGGCCTGGTATGCGTTAATCGGGTATTGGCGAGAAACAAAGCAAACACTACGCTCACCTCTTGCCCTGCCTCTAGAGAGAAATACTGGTCGGTCAGACCGTCGAAGTCGTAGTAGTCAAGCGCCAAGCAGCACATTCCCTCCTCGTGCACTTCCAAGAACGATGCGTATAGAGTATCGGCGCTGAGCTCGTACCCATCACGCTGGAGTACCTTTTTCAGGATGTCGAGGCACTTCGTGTGCATGGGGATCGCACCCAACGAGTCGTCGGCGTAATTGTAGTAGACGCTGATGTTAACATCGTCACCTTCGGCAGCTGGCGCGTTGGGATGGTCGCCGGGTGCTACACCCACCGAACCATACATCTCCTCCTTTCCTGGGCCGGATATATAGCAGCGCCCGACGCCAACGGCATCCTCGTTCTCGCCGACAACGCATAGGCGCTCGAGCCATGCGATGGCCGCTTTGGGTAGGAGAGAGCGGTTCACGCCGTCCTCCTCTTCATCTTCCTCGGGCTCCTCGAAGGACGCGGCAGAGAAGGGGGCAGCACAAAGAGCACAGACGAAGTCCCAGTCGCCCATTGTGGTGCTGGTCAAGTTCGAAGAGTTAAGAGCGCCGGTGTGAGGCTTTCCCAAAGATATATGTTGCCGCAGTGCCGTCTGAAACCGAGGCCACGGCGATCTGGTTGCGGGTGGGTTGAATCCATGACAAAGTTGTGTCAGAGATTACTGAGCAGTTAGTTCACAACCAAACGCGCCCATGACATCGGGTCAGCCCCAATCTGGTCACATGATATTTCCTCCCACGCTCGCGCTTGGATATCTCGGACCGCCACGACCGCGGCACCGCTCAGTCTCACCGCCCATGCAGTTTGACTGTTGCTTTCCCTTCTCAAAAGGATCGGTATCTGATCTTCTCTCTATTTGTGAACTTTTCTCAGCTTGGAAGCGCCGAAAGCGACCGTCAGGACGCGCGTGCGGTTTGGCTGCCTTTACGCCACCCGCACGTGGCAGGAATATCTTTTTGAGCAATTTATCCCTTTTATTACTGTGTCCTCGTTTTTGGGCGCTCCGAGACCGCGTACAGTACCATACAGAGTATATACTCATGTTTGGGTGAGATTCCAGACGTAACTACCGTGCGGAGGGCCACGAAGGAGGGCCTCCATCGACGCGTCGACGCGACGAGAAAGTCACGTTGACGGCTCGTGACCAGAATGGGGCTGACCCGATGTCATGGGTCCTTGTGAAAGCAGACGTTCCCAACGTCACAGCGAAGCCAGTTTGGAACGGCTGCCTCCGGGAGACTACTGAGCAGTGCAGAAACGAGTTCCTTAAGCGCCCAGCGCACGGCGCCCGGCCCGCAATACCGGGAGCGTGCCCTTCAAACGTCGGGTGGAAGCCGCCCTTGCTCTCTCCCACTACATCGCACACATCGCCAACTCATACACGATGGCAATCACTGGCATGTCGAACGTCTTCCCTTGCCGCAAAAACTGTGGACACTCCCATTCGCTCCTTTCGAGCCTTACATCGAGCCTTGCTGTAACTAACTAGATACGAGGGTTAGGGTCTTCGGGCTCGCGATATCTGAAGCTTAACCGTACTTTGATTGAAGGTGGTAGCATCATCCTATATTCTCTCAGTCTGGAGATGATCCTCCTGAAATCGAGATGAATGCGGGTCGCGGCCGAATAGGCGCTCCCTCTGAGTGCGCCAGTAGTGATCCGGGTACTCGTTGAACAGAGGATCCTCGTCTACGCGACGTCAGAGTTGTGCCAAGCATTGAAAGCATATTCTGAAGACTCACCGAAGTAACACGAGTGGCAAGGTGATTTTTTTCGGGCTAAAAACATGCTTAAAAAGATGCTCAAAAAGGCGCTCAAAAAGACGTTGTTTTTGCGCCAAAAAAGTGCGTGTTTTCAGGGCCAAAAAGGTGTCGAAAAAGACTGTCTTTTGAAGCACCTTTTTGCCGCTGAAAAGGCGTCTCAAAAGTGTGTCTTTTTGCCACCAAACGGAGAATCTTTTTGTCTCACTTTTTCATGCGGAAAACACCATCTTTTTACGCCCAAAAAGACGATGTGCGCCTTTTCAGCTGTCAAAAGACGGTCTTTTTGGCCAGAGTGCCTTTTTACCTGTAGAACAATTGTATTGCTTGTGTCAAAAAGGGACACAAAAAGTGAGTCTTTTTGATGGCAAAAAGACGCACTTTTGAGGCGCCTTTTCAGTGGCAAAAAGATGCTTCAAAAGACAGTCTTTTTCGACACCTTTATGGCCCTGAAAACACGCACTTTTTCGGCGCAAAAACAACGTCTTTTTGAGCACCTTTTTGAGCATCTTTTTAAGCATGTTTTTATCCCGAAAAAAATCACCTTGCCACTCGTGTAAGCTTGCGTCAGGAGGCGAAATGGCATACGAAAGCGACCTGCATGCTCTTCGTGGACGAACTGCATGAGACGTGTGCGCGTCTGCCCTTCGTGCATGAAGTAGACCTCGACGTTGTGCCATAGGGGTTGTGCAGCCTCCATCGCACGCTTTTTACCCTCCCCTGTCTCTGGCACTATATGTATCATTACTTCCCGGCCCTCCAGGAGACTTCGCAGGTCGATTTTAATAGCATTCTGGCCAGGCACTTCCGTGATCTGGTCGTAGCTGTCGCCGAACGTCCTCGCCGCAAGCGCCACGATATTATACATGTCGCGTGCCTTTACGATCCCTTGCTTTCCATATGAGTACACGCACAGATGGAGGGATGCAGCGCATGCGTACCACTTTTCTCTGGGTTAAGACTTGTAGGGCACTCTCGTCTATGATTACCTTCGACCCAATGGGCGCGTTGGCATGTCTTGGAGCAGTATAGCGCCTCCCCACATATGCATGCGCGCAGTGTTTCGATATCTCCGCCTTCATTTGGGCACTAGGATATGCTTAGCAGCGACTGTGAAGTTGTAAAGGTCAGAACGTACAGCAGCATTACAGCAAGTGGCCTCCTTCGCCCATGTGAATTCGGCATCGTCCCAGCGATTGAAGCAGAATGTAAAACTATTCTCGGTGGAATCTTCCTCCTCATCGAAAGCGTCGAAAGGGGGAAAGACGCCACGATTATTCTGCAGATGCGAAAAGGATGTTTGGAAGCCGCGCACCACCCGCGGCGAGACGATGGTCATGCGCAGTGCCTTGGTCATCTCGGGGAGCATCAAGGTGGCGGGATCGGTGAGACGAACGCGCACAAGGCATTCGAAGAGCCCGTGTTTTACAGCGGTACGAGCGGTTCGCGGATTGGGAATGCATAGCGGCGCAAGCACGGCCCACACCGAATACCAGTGCGGCGGGACCAGGTGGTTGGGGTGCCGGAGGCAGTCCATGAGCGCAACGACTAGCTCGCGTGGGATACGTTCGAAGCCAGGTGCGTGAGTGAAGGAAATGATGCTGCTGAGATGGTTCTGCACGAAGCTTTCCCCATCGGGCTCTTGGGGGACCATAGTTGCACGTATATGACGAGCGAAGCGGCGGTAGAAACGACGAGGGCTGTAGGCGACCCCTGGTAGTATCACATCGCGCGCCTTCTCTTGGAGGTCCCGATCCTTTAGCCTTTTATGGAGCAGGGGAAACCCGAGGACGCAAGCTTCGATGACCCTGGGAGGTAATGTGGGTACGAGGCGACACAAGGAGGGCCACTTCAGCCAAGCGCGGGCGAGAACAGCGGTCAAGCGCTGGTCAGGTGCCAGGAATATCTCGCGTAGTCTTTTATGCGGAAGGAACTGGAATATCTCTAGAAGGGCATAGAGGGCAGTTTCGACGTAGCCCAGGATGTAGTCCTCCGGAAGACGGCCGGCTGCATCGAGTCGTCGAACCTCTCGTTCGCGGCCGATTGGCAGGAGATAGTCGATCCACTCGAAGATGGCCAGGAAGAAGTCGGTGTCGAAAGAAGACAAGTCGCGGCGGGAGAGCATATTGTCCAGCATGGACAATCTAGAGACGCAGAAGAGTGAATGTAGTAGAGCCTCGTATAGACCATGATTTGACCTATCGATGAAGAATGTTGTCAATGAGGTTTCCCATGGCACGCTGATGTCGTAGAGCTTCTGCAATGGGCGCTTTTGATGTACAATCTGGAGTACTCGGGGGATATGCACTTGGATGCGCGCGTCGTGCGGAATGTCTTCTGTAGACTCCGTCATCTTGGCAATCAGATCCACAAGGAGATCCAGATCGCGCTTGATAGACGACAACGCCATGACGGGTCGGTGTAAGAAGTCCTTGTGCCAAATGGGGTATGTGGTACTGACGTGGTTGGTCCGAACTTCGTCCGTGTATTGTTGTACCGCGCATCGTCCCCGTTGGACAGTGGTTTATACCACAAATCATCGGCATACAGCCCCCGGTGTCGTCGTCGCACCCGCCCCCTCCTATGTCGTCGCTGGTGGGCTTATCGTTGTCTCCGCCGCCCCCTCCTTCCCCTTCGTCTCCTTTGTGTGTTGGATAAATGCCGCTAACCTCACGTTGAGGGACGGCTTGTTATTGTACATAATCAACTGAATGACAAGACATCGTGTACATCGAGACCTAAGACTCCTCTACAAGAGCTCGCACACCCAAGGGAACAGGGTCACGGGCATGATAAGGTCCCCTGCTCATTCCCAACACAAAGCAAACACTCTTCACCCTACGTGCCAGTCATTCTCCAGCCGTCACCCGGTTCTCATCCCACTCACCTATCATCCGCTGCAATTTCCCCCGTCGACTTGCCCCCACATTTGCCCCACCTCAAACTCACCTTCCTGGTCTCCGACTGGAACTGTAGTCCATCGATCCTCCCGCTGCCCGTCTCCCATTGTTGAGGGAGCTGCTGGAAGCGACTCGCCAGCCCTCGAAGGAGCTGACTAAGGCGCTTAGTAAGATTGCTTAATAAGGCGAATTTTCTAGTTACATTGTACTTTAGTATAAATACGTGGAATACAGCGGTGGAGGGCATGCGTTTGCGAGGCAAACGACCCTACGCCTTGTTCACACGCACCCACCCTCTCGACGTCTAACCACGTCCCTGCGCGCACCCTCTCACCACAACACCCATACCATCACCTTTGCAATGCGCTCGCCCTCTCCGCCCAGGCGCCAAACAGCACCGCCCGCATTTTGCTTCCGCACCTCATCGTCGTCCTTCGCATGCGCAGGCAGCTCGGGCGGCTTCATCGGGCCCAACGAGGTCGCCATATGCTGATGGCGCGGCAGCTCCTTCAAGGGCTTGTTCTCATCGAGCCGTGCCCATATTGTGGAGGGCAGGCCAACGTGAACCTCGCTATCGTCCGCGTAACGAATGACGAATCCGCCCAGCTCAACGACGTCGAGCCAATCCGGCGCAGCGAGCAAGCCGCTTATCTCTTTCACCGGCTTCGAAAAGTCGAGGAAGGTCGCCTGGTCATTGTTCGGAGGCGGGCCGAAGGCTGGAGTCGATGGGTGCCACGTAGAGGGCGGTGGGGTAGGTTCCCAGATACACTGGTCGCGCACGAAGTAATTGAAGTCGGCGGTCTCGCTGGACCCGGGGCATTTGAGAACGGATACAGACGAGAGCAAAGTGTGATCCTGCGAGCAAGATTGATTCAGCTGGAGTGCTATAAGCGAAGAATCGCACCTTGTCCTTGAACCCATAGCTGCAATATAGGCCTGCCAACCCGCAAGGGTCTGCCGTCGTTGACGTAACATAGTCCGCAACCATCTCCGTTCGACCAAATATCGCTTGTCGTCCGCGATTCGTCATGATCTGACAGGACCGTTCATCATGAGCATCAACTGCATACCTCGCACGCCACAAAAATTTACCGACCTTGAACCCGTCCACCAACGGACCCATGGTCAACGCAAACCCGATAACACGTTCGTCGCCCTTGCCGTCGATTGGGAAGTACTTCGAGAAATCGACCTCCATTTTTCCTGCCGACCCCGATACCTTCCCGTCGTGATACACCGTGATCCCGAGCAGATTACTCCCCACGGCGATCCCAGTGAGCGAAGCCAGCTCGCCCTCTGTCCGTCCGAAGTAAAGAGGGTAGAAGGGCACCATATCATGTGTCTCTAGGACGCTCCAATACCCGAATTCTGAGGGGTGGCATGCGAGTAGGGGGTTGGGGACCTGCGTAAGGGTCAGGATCCTCTAATACATTGTATATCGAGTCGAAAAACTGACCTCCTTTGCCCACAACAACTTGCACACCGACGCATCTGGCGCAGGCCTCCTCTGCGGGTCCAGCAGCTCCGGGAGCTCAAGTAAGCCCACACGCGAGATCATCCCATCGGACGCCTCCCCGCGCAGCCCGACGAGCGTGTGCCCCTCCTGCACGACGCTCAGCCTCCGGTGGCCACCCATGTCGCCGAACACAACCGGCTCTGCGACGAGCCTGCGCACGATGATACCCATGATCGCTAAGCCGTTTTCGCGCCTGTTGCTCGCGCTGCCCCGGTTCGACCTTCTGACGCCCTCCTCCTTTCCATCGTCACTCCCGTCTTCAGGTTTCTTGATGCTGAATTCGAACCCGTCAATCCAGTCACCCGCCCTCAGCACGCACTCGTCGACCTTCATCTCAGGCTCCTGGTCCGGGCCGAAGAGCACCGTCTGCTCCCCGATCTCAAACGCGATGCCAGACAGAATACCCATCGCCGTCCAGTATAGCTTGATCTTCTTCTCTCCCTCCACCAACCTGTACGCCCCAGGTGCACCAGCCACCACCGGCAGCCACACCGTCAATCCTGCCGCCTTCGTCGGCGCCGGCGACAGCACATGCGGCATGTGAGCGCACCTCGCCCTAGCCTTCACCTCCTCCGGCACGCTCCCCTGCTCCGACGCCTTTCGCTCCTCGTTCGCGCGGCGCTTGTAGATGGGCGCCGCCTGCTTGCTGCACACATCCCAGATGCGGCGGCGGTTCGCGAGGCCGGGGAGCGCGTTGGTACGCGAGGCGCTGGACTCGGTGTAGAGGTGGGTGTAGACGGCGCGCCAGTCGACGTCGGTGCGTTTGAAGGGAGGAGGCGAAAGGACCTCCCAGGCCCACGGCATGTCGACGGCGATACGGGCGAGGAAGAAGGAATTGGTGAGCTCGATGCGGCTGGCTGCAGGAACAGCGAGAAGGAAGGGAATGAAGGCCTCGCGGGGGATGTAGAGCTTGATAATGAGGATGAGCTCGGTGGGAAGTGCAGAGAAGGGATCTTGGCTTTGAGAGACGGAAGTGTTGCTTTTGGAGGGAGAGGGAGAATCGGAGGGTTTGATGGCCGGAAGGTTATTCAGGTAATCCGGCAATTGATGAACGTCAGTAGGGTCGCAGACGAAGGCCTAGGGTAAGATGATCTGCTAGAGCAATGCCGGTGTAAGTGGCTGCATTTACCTCCTGCTTGGCCCTTAAGCGAAAGTCCTGGCCGTCCAGGCCGTTGAAGTCGTAGTAATCGAAGTTAAGGCAGCGTTTCCCGTCTTCGTGCGCATCCAGAAACAACGCGTACAAGGTGTCGGCGTCGAGATCGTACCCATCTCGCTTGAGGACCTTCTTCAGGATATCGAGGCAATTGATGTGCACCGGAATCGCGCCCGTCGAATCGTCGGAGTAGTCGTAGTAAACGCTGATGTCCATGATGCCGTTTTCCGAGGCTGGTGCATTGGGATGATCGCCAGGCTCTACGCAAACCCAGCCGTACGTGTCTGCCCTGCCAGGGCCGGATATGTAGCATCGGCCAATCCCGACAGACGCCTCGTTCTCGGCAACGACGCATAGGCGTTTGAGCCATTCAATGGCTGCCTTGGGAAGAAGATAGCGATCGATACCATCGTCCTCCTCGGGTTCGTGTTCAAAGGACGCGGCAGAAAAAGGAGCAGCACAGAGTGCACAGACGAAGTCCCAGTCGCCCATGGTGGCAGTCTTGGGTCCGTGGGTGAGGCTGTTGCAAGATATGTTTGCGTAGAGATTACATATTTCGGCGGTGCCGCTTGAGCCTTGAGGACCGAAATCACGACTCACGGCGTTCGTACTGCGAGCGGATACTTGGGTTACGGATGTCAGAAACAAGTCAGAAACGGAAAACACAGGCCCGGGACGAGTGGGCGGCGTCCGGATCCCGGCCCGCGATGCCCAAGGTATACCGCCGGTGGCGGTCCTCGTCAAACGTCGGCGGCGAGGACGACACCCGTCACGCTCCCCTTGCTCTTCGCCGCGACCCCACACGCAGCGCGGGGCGCCTTCATTCACAATGGCGATCATATCTACCGCTCTGCGCACCTTCAAGGAGCCCACCAAAGATGAGCTGACTGAAATGTTCTTCTCGATACCGCCGAGGAAAGACGCGCTGGCGTCTATGAGCGAGAAGGCGCGCCAAGAGGAGGAAGATGTGGAGAAGATGGACATCAACGCGGTACTGAGCTTGGGCACGCCCGGGGAGGAGGACTCGTATGTGAGTGCACCGCACCAATGCCATTGTAATCGTGCTCACCTCCGCGGGCGGCCAGGCTGGTAAACTGCACGTCATGCACCCTTACCTCTGCTTCGCGTCGTTAGATCGCAAGAGCGTGCGGTTTACGATCCCATTATCCACCATCCGCCGCGTCGAGCGGCTGAACGCGAGGGCGGGCATCTACGCGCTCAGCCTCACAACATGGCACGGGATGAAGATCGTGCGTGAACTACCTGATTATCTTCGCAGTACCCTCACCCGCCAGCCAGATCGTCCAACTCACCTCTCTCCGACCAACGGCAGATCTCTTCTGCGCCCTCCTGCGCGACTCGCTCAAGCTCGAGCTCGAGCGCGGCCAGATGAAGCTCGTCAAGTCCTTCGCCAAGACGTGCTACTCGGAGGTGCTCATAAACTCAGGATCCACCGCACCAGAAAACGAGCACGAGGATGGCAGCCTGATACAGGAGAAGGATGGCGGAAGCTCGAGCGCGCCTGCGTACCACGGCGGACTGGGCCTCAAGTTTAAGTTTCCGGGTGACCCTCGCAAGTCCGTGCTCGAGTACCCTGCTTCACCACCTACTGATTCGATTCTAGGTTACGTGAAGCATCTAAAATCAAACTCTGGACTGCCTACTTGAAGAGTATGGCCCTGCCAACTCTGTCCCGCGCTTACTCACCTCCCATTCCAGCCCATGGACGCAACCTCACTCTCATGCGCTACCCGCAAGCGACGCGACTAGTGCAGGTCGGCCTGCCGAACCGCCTGCGCGGCGAGATGTGGGAGACGCTCTCCGGTTCGATTTACCTCCGCTTCGCCAACCCAGGCTACTACGACCGCATACTGGAAGAGCACAAGGGCAAGACATCGACGAGTACCGAAGATATCGAGAAGGACTTGCATCGCAGTCTACCGGAGTACTCTGGCTATCAGTCCGAGGAGGGTATCGCAGCGCTACGAAGGGTCTTGCAAGCGTATTCATTCAAGAACCCGGAGCTGGGCTACTGCCAGGCGATGAATATTCTCGCAGCTGCCATACTAATGTGGGTTTGTATTTTGGGTATTTTGGGAGCGCGTGCTAATTCTGCTACAGATATATGTCCGAAGAGCAGGCTTTCTGGTTACTGGAGGTTCTATGCGACCGGCTATTGCCGGGCTACTATGCGTAAGTCTCTCCAATGTATTATCGCATACCACGCTGACTGACGACAGCCCGTCGATGCATGGCACGCTTCTGGACCAGCGAGTCTTTGAAGCTCTGGTTCAGCGATGCTTACCCATAATCTACGACCACTTCCGGACAGTCGATGTCCAACTCTCGGTAGCGTCCTTGCCATGGTTCCTTAGCTTGTGCGCGTTTCGTGCCGCTTGTGAACGCGATCTCAATCCGCTCTCAGGTTCATCAACAGCATGCCAATGATCTTCGCGTTCCGGATTGTCGACTGTTTCTTCTGCATGGGGCCCAAGGTCCTCTTCCAAGTCGGGTGAGCGAGGTCGCTGCGCCACAATGTTCCTGTCATTGCTCACCCACGTCGTTTAGTCTTGGTTAGTTTCCGGTTCTTGATGCAGTAAGCGCTCTCTTGACTCTGCGTTAGCAATCCTCAAGATCAACGGCGAGGCCCTGCTCCAGATCCAGGACGACGGCCAGTTTTTGAAGTACGTTGTGCACCCTACTCCTCGCCCTTCCGCTAACCCCCGCCCAGCCTGATGCGCGACTACTTTGCCTCCCTCGGCGACTCGGCGCACCCCGACTCGCCCGACCCGCGAGCGCGCGCGATTACCCGCTTCCAGGAACTCCTGCTCGTCTCGTTCCGCGAGTTCTCGGTCATCACGGACGAGATGATTCACTCGGAGCGCAAGCGGTTCCGCAACGACATCATCCACTCGATTGAGTCCTTCGCCAAGCGCGCCGCGATCCGAAACCTGCGCTCGCTGGGCCGGTTCTCGAAGGAGCAGGCAGGGCTTATCTACGACGCCCTCTACAAGGCGATGTGCATCGTGCCGCCCCCGCCCGCGGTCGCGCCGCCGCCGAAGCTGCTGACGACGGCGAATGAGCAGCAGGAGGAGAAGCCGGAGACGAGGATTCAGCTGAGGACGTTCCAGTATTTCCTGAGCGAGATTGCGACGTGGGCGAGGGATGAGAAGATTGTGATGAATGGCTTGACGGTGGGTGGGGTGTGGTTCGTGGATGTGGGTTCAGGTGCTGATGGGATGAAAAGCAACGGATAGATCGGGAGGTGGCGGAGCATGAGTTTATTGACAGGCTCTTTTTCTTCTGGGATACGGCGTGCCGGGGGGCATTGTCGTTCCAGGTGAGTGTTCTGGTGAACACTGGGATGACATGCTCATCAAATCCAGGATATCATATCCGGATTGGACGGTGTTATGTTCAACGACTTGATGGAGAACATCGAATGGTTCTTCAACTTGCATGACAAGAACAAGGACGGCTACTTGACGAAGGACGAAGTGCTCACTTTGTCAGAATCCTTCTTGGTAAGGCGATCATCCTGGACTGTCGAGTAATTGTGTTGACACCGGGCTATAGTTCATCTTCCGCTTTGAAGTTGGCGATGCGTACCTAGGGGCTGTTAGCCGATTCATGACGAACGCCTTTGAGTATGGGGATGCTTTGTTACCGCGACCTGAAGGTGCTGAGGACGGCGAGGCGACGCCGACAATATCACCGAACCAGCCGTATCTTAACCTCGCAACGTTCGTCCAGCCTTTGTCTATTGCTACGTCTGTTGACCCTCACACAGCTTCCGCATGGTCGTCCTTGCCGACGAGATCCTCGAGTCCTTCTTCGAAACCGACCTCTCCGCCTCCTTCCGCCTCGAGCCCATGCCCGAGATGGAGCTCCCCACCTCGCACAGCGGCCTCCTCGGCGACATCTGGTCCTCTATCGCTACCGACAGCAACAAGAAGATCTTTAACAAGTTCACCGACGAACTTGGGAAGACGATCGGGAAGCACCAGGTCATACACAAGCCGTCGATCGGGCGGTACACGAAGCTCGAGGAGCCGAAGGCGAGGGAAAGCCTCTTGACGCCGGGATTACGGAAATCACTGTCGAGGTCGAGTTTGTCGCCCATTGCGAGCGCGTCGTCGACGTCGTTGCATGGCGGCAGTCAGGGCGAGAGGTCGCGGCCGACGACACCAACGACGCCGGTGCCCGAGGCGGAGGCGCCAAGTGCGAACGTGGGCTTCTCGCCGCTTGTGCAGGCGGCGAATGCGGCGCTGATGGAGCGGCCGGCCTTCGCGATCGACGACGCGAAGGACGAGGATGAAGGAGAGGACCAGTTCGCGGTGGGGGATGCGGACGATACGGTTATGGACGAGGTCGACGCGTTCTTGGAAGCGCACGATTCTGGTTTGACGGATGCGGACAAGGAGGTGGCGAAAGGTACGTGGTTGTGTCCTGCATTTGATATGATGTTGACACCACTGCGCTTCAGACTTATTGAACGCCGAACCTATGAAGTAGATGTGGTAGTTATGAGACTCGGACACGTCAAGTATACTTTGTTCTCTTTTGGTAGCTTTGCATTTATTCACTCGATTGAGTCCTCGATGTTGGTGTATCTTTTTGGAAGTCCATTGGCGTTTGGGGCTGCGCTGCTCTGGGCTTACATGAGTACTAGGTGAGTAATCACAATCAGGCTCGTCCACCAGAGGGCAAGGTAAGTTCAGAACAGCTGGCCGCCACCGGCACGCCTCGGGCATCGCGGGCCGGGCGCCGGGCGCTTGTACTCGCCTTCTCTGACACAACTTCGACATGGAGTCAACCCACTCGCAACTACGAACGCTGTGACCTCGGTACCCAGACGCCACCGCGGCAATATGTAATCTCTGCGCGCATATATCTTGCAACAGCCACACGGCCGAGCTGCACTTGACCCCAGACTACCACCATCATGGGCGACTGGGACTTTGTCTGTGCACTCTGTGCTGCTCCTTTCTCCGCAGCGTCCTTCGAAGACGAGCCTGAGGAGGACGATGGCATCGATCGCTCTCTTCTCCCCAAGGCAGCCATCCAATGGCTCGAGCGCCTATGCGTCGTCGCCGAAAACGAGGCGTCTCTCGGGGTTGGACGATGTTATATATCCGGTCCTGGCAGGGACGAGATGTACGGCTCGGTCTGCGTGGAGCCTGGTGACCACACCAATGCTCCAGAAGCGGCAAACGGCACCATGAACATCAGCGTCTACTACAACTACGCCGACGAGTCGACGGGCGCGATCCCCGTGCACATCAAGTGCCTCGATATCCTGAAGAAGGTTCTCAAGCAGGATGGGTACGATCTCAACGCTGATACACTGTACGCGTCGTTTTTGGAAGCGCACGAGGAAGGTTTATGCTACCTGAACTTCGATTACTACGACTTCAACGGCCCGGACGATCAGTACTTTTGCCTGGAGGCTGAGCAGGAGGTAAGTCACGCCATTCACACCGGCTTCGCTCTAGCTGACCGTCTTACGCTAGGCCTTCGTCTGCGACCCCACTGACATACATCAACTGCGCGACTACTTAAACAACCTTCCGACCGTCAAACCCTCTGATTCTCCCTCTCCCTCCAAGAGCAACACTTCCGTCTCTCAGAGTCAAGATCCCTTTTCCGCTCTCCCTGCCGAACTCATCCTCAAAATCATGATCTACGTCCCCCGTGAGGCCTTCATCCCCTTCCTCCTCGCCTCCCCCACCGCCAGCCGCATCGAGCTCACCAACTCCTTCTTCCTCGCCCGCATCGCCGGTGACATGCCCTGGGCCTGGGAGGTCCTTTCTCCTCCACTCTCCGAACGCACCGACATCAACTGGCGCGCCGTCTACACCTACCTCTACACGGAGTCTAGCGCCTCACGCACTAATGCGCTCCCTGGCCTCGCGAACCGCCGCCGCATCTGGGATGTGTGCAGTAAGCAGGCGGCGCCCATATACAAGCGCCGCGCGAAAGAGGAAAAGAAGGCGTCGGACCAGGGGAGCGTGCCGGAGGAGGTGAAGGCGAGGGCGAGGTGCGCGCATATGCCGCATGTGCTGTCGACGGCACCGACGAAGGCGGCGGGGCTGACTGTATGGCTGCCGGTGGTAACTGGTGCACCTGGGGCGTACAGGTTGGTGGAGGGGGAGAAGAAGATCAAGCTGTACTGGACGGCGAGGGGCGTATTCTCTGGTATTGCGTTCGAAACTGGGAAGCAGACAGTGCTATTTGGTCCCGAGCAGGGGCCTGGCGTGAAGGTCGATGAGTGCATGCTGGGGTTGGGCGACTGGATCGACGGATTCGAGTTCAGCATCGGGAAACCTGATGCGCAGGGTGACGATGGAAAGGAGGAGTCTGTCACGAAGCCGAACCGCGCCAGCGCAAGCGACAAGCACGAGAACGGCCTGGCGATCAAGGGCGTCATTGTGCGCAGGCTTGTCTCAGAGCCCGTCGCGTTTGGTGACATGAGCGGCCATCGGCGGCTCACCGTCGTACAAGAGGGGCACACGCTCGTAGGGCTGCGGGGGGAGGCGTCCAGCGGGATGATCTCGCGTGTGGGCTTGCTCGAGCTGCCGGAGCTGGCGGGTCCGCAGAGAAGGCCAGCGCCTGATGCGTCAGTGTGCAAGTTGATGTGGGCGGAGCAGGTTAGTTCCCGGTTTCGCTATACTGCACATCGCAGGATCCTGACTCTTCCACAGGTTCCTAGCACCTCGCTCTCCTGCCACCCCTCCGAGTTCGGGTACTGGAGCGTGCAAGAGACGCACGACCTGGTGCCCTTCTACCCGCTCTACTTTGGGCGCACGGAAGACGAGTTGGCCTCGCTAACGGGGATCGTTGTGGGCAGCAACTTGCTCGGCATCGCGGTGTATCACGACGGGAAGGTATCGGGGTCGGCAGGGAGATTGGAGCAGGGCTTTTCGAAGTACTTTCCTATTGACGGCAAGGGCGGGGAGCGTGTAATTGGGTTTACGTTGACCATGGGTGCGTTGGTGGATGGGTTTAGGGTCGGTGGATTATCGTGGTGTGCGAGGAGGGGGATGCTTACCATGCGCACACCTTCTAGGTTATAACAAACCACGGACGACAGGCGATCTTCGGTCGGACAGGGATGATTGCAGACTCCGTTACGTCGACGGCGGCGGACCCTTGTGTGCTGGCAGGGTTGTATTGCAGCTATGGGTACAAGGCCAGGGTGCGTGTATTCTCTGACAGCAGCCGACTTTTGCCGATTATGCTACCAGGAATACACCTTGCTCTCGTCTGTATCCGTCCTCAAAGGCCCGGGATCCAGCGAGACGGCCGACTTCAACCACTTCGTGCGCGACCAGTGTATCTGGGAGCCCACCCCACCGCCCCCTACATGGCACCCCTCTACTCCAGCCTTCGGTCCGCCTCCGAACAATGACCAGGCGACCTTCCTCGACTTTTCGAAGCCAGTGAAAGAGATTCAGGGCTTGCTGGCTGCGCCGGATTGGGTGGACGTCGTTGAGCTCGGCGGCTTCGTTATTCGTTACGCGGACGATAGCGATGTTTACATCGGCCTGCCGTCTACAATCTGGGCGCAGCTTGACGGAAGAAGGCCCTTGAAGGAGCTGCCGCGCCATCAGCATATGGCGACCTCGTTGGGCCCGATGAAGCCGCCCGAGCTGCCTGCGCACGTGAAGGACGACGACGAGGTGCGGAAACAGAACGCGGGCGGTGCGGTGTGGCGCCTGGGCGGAGAGGGCGAGCGCATTGCGAAGGTGGTGGTGTGGGAGACGGGCACAGGGAGGATCGATGGGATGCAGTTCCACTCGGAGACCGGAAAGGCGAGTTTGAGGTGGGGGAAATGTGGGGGCGAGTCGAAGGGGAAGATTGCGGCGGATGATAGGTGAGTGAGATGAGAACCGGCTGGATCCCGAGGCCTGAGGACTGATTTGCCTGCAGGGTGAAGGGTGTCTGCTTTGTGTTGGGAACGAGCAGGGGACCGTATCATACCCATGACCCTGTTCCCTTGGGTGTGCGAGCTCTTGTAGAGGAGTCTTAGGTCTCAATGTACACGATATCTTGTCATTTGGTTGCTTATGTACTAATAACAAGCCCTCCTTCGTAGCGTCCGCGGACTCTCAATCCTGCGTCGCCCGACTATGCCTGTCGACCGGCAGGCTCGCCAGACCAACATCATGACCACACAAAGGCGATGCAAGACGCGGCTCTGGATGGCTTCTTCCTCCTCAACACCCTTCCTTCACTTCATGCGTCATATTTGCCCTGAAATATTCCTCCTTGTCCCTCGTTCGTACCTCTGACGTTGCATATTCCACGCTGACGGTATACACGCCAACCGCCTCGGTCCCAACGAGCGATACCGATGTTTGGTTGTTCGCGTCCGCGACGGCAACGCCGTCCTTCGTCCATGCAATCGTGAGGCTCTCCTCGGCGGACACAGGTTCGGTGCGCAGATACGCGAGGGGAACGAGGGAAGCGGTGAGGGTCTTTGTGCTTCCGCTACAGCTTTCAGTGACGTTGTCGATGAGGCTGATCTCCGATAGGAGGTTGTTCCACATTCCCTCCAGACAGACGTTGCAGTAGTTGGGGGTCGTCACCTGTCGCATGACGCAGTCGTCGTTCGTCGGGCGGTATGCCGTGTGGTTGGTGTCAGTGTATCTGAGCATATCAGCCGTGAGCTCGTGCGCGCTCGTCGTAAGAGAAAGATCAGGACGTACGAAGGGAAGAGGCCGTAGTAGCCTGGCTCGGAGTGAAATCTATGTACGATGAAGGTTGTCAGCAACCGTTCAAGCACGGAGGGTTAAGTACTCACTCATCTTCGCTACCAAACTCCAGAATTTCCACACTGCACAACTGCGCTTGCCCTTCCAAGCTCGCATTCCGCAGCGTAAATCGCACCTCATGCTCGCCTTCCTTCGGAGGCGTGTCCCTGTTCACAATATCGTAAAAGTACCGATCCAGACCGATCCCCTCGTGCGGCTGCCATCCTAGATCTTGACCGTCCACTTCGACAAGCACGTCGGATGCTGAGGGTAGACCAGAGAGGGAGAACCGTGCGAGCCACCATGCAAAGGTACCATCAGAGGTGAATGACTGCGAGAACGGCGTGGTAGTGTTCAGCAGCGTCCAGGCGTAGTTTTGGAGGGGCATGACAGCGCGTTCTACGCGAGGCCCGGTGCCATTGGACGTCGGTTCGGTGAGCCAGGGCTCCCATGGAATAGGGTCGTCGAGGGACAGCAGGGTGTTGCGCCCGAAGTAGCCACCGTCTTCGATGCCGTCGTATCTGCAGGAAAGGAAAGGTTAGTCACTGCGGTTGTGTGCATGCGAGAAGAGCAAGGACTCACTCCTCGCCAATCTGGATAATGTTGTGGCCAGATTCATGTCGCAGGATAGATGCGCCGTTAGCTTTGGAGGGGGTTATGGTTCTGTGAAGTTGGTCACGATGATCCCTATACTTATTCACATTTGAGAACGCACACCACATCGCCGCCAATACCTTCACCGAGCTCGCTCAGCAAACCTTCCACGCCATATTATAATAAGCGTGCGCATACCTCCATAGAGATCGCTGTTGCCTGCAAGACGGTTAGCCGGCTAACCCTTTCCCAACAAACGCCCTCTCGTTCCACTACAACGCTCACCTATGATGACCGGATGATCGCACTGGTTGCCTAGAGAATCGCACGCAGCGCGCGCGACATCCTCTTTGCCGATGTACACGCCACGCAGCTCAGTCCCGTCCCTGTACAGGCCATATACTGTGCTGCGAGGAGGTAAGTCTGGCGCATATGACACGCGTCATGAGCCCTATACGTACTCAAGCTGTGTACCATTCGTGCCGATGCCGCTCTTGTGAAGGGGTCAGTACACAGCTTGTGGACCGTACACGCGCGCGAACATACATCATTGCTCGCCGTGAACGCCGCCCAGAAGTTCAGCAATGGCTTGACGGTATCGAAAGTCACGTTCGCCGTGATGTCTTCCGATAGCCATGCCGCGTCGTCGAAGAACTTGTCCTTTTCTTCCTCGGTGTCTGGAATGTGCATTAGCAGAATACCTCGCACGCTGTAGTATGGCAAACTAGGATCTGGACAACCTTGTGCTGGTCGATTCGAAGTACTTACAACCATCCGCGAAGAAGATCATGTCTACTCGATTAGCCGGATCTCCCGACTGACTAAGTGCGCGAATTTCAAGAGGGGGCGCCTCTGCACGTGCAGCGAGAACGCGCTGAGGATCCGGATGGTATTGCCCATGGACGTTCGAGCGGATGCGATTGCGTTTAGGGGAGCGGGGGACGGGGTAGTCTCGTGCGTGCACGCCGTGATGAGCGCCTGTGGCGGTGGGGAGGAAGACGCTGCCGGTCAGGGCGAGGGCACAGGTGCAGAACAACATCGGTGACGCTGTGCGTCAGTGAAGGAGGGGAGAATGAAGGGGGAGCAGAGGATAAGCAGATGACGGCTCGAGTAAAGAGCAAGCGAGCGGACCATCGAGGCCATGCAGGAACAGCCATACGGACCGCGAAGAAGACATCGTCGCACGCGGTACTCTGCGGGGTTCTATCTGAGCTCGCGACATACGCGACTGTCAGTATCATAGAGTAGCCATGTGTGACGATGGCTCACCTGCCCTAGGGTATCGCGTGATCATCGGCGTACAAGTTACCTTCGACGACAGCGACCTCCCGTCGGTTATGTAGACTGAGTTGAAAAGCGGGTCTTTTGAAAGTTGGAAGCAATGGATGGATAGCAAACGCTCGAAATAAGCAGTCTAGATGAGTACAACAACAGACAAGCACGTTAGAGAAGTACACGATAAGGATAGATGAATGAAATGGTCGTAGAGATGTGCCAAGTTCAGGCATTCGGTGGTAGTACATGCACGGATTCCGGTATTCAGACATAGATAGGACAACAGCGACAAAGACATGGTCAATGAGAAAGTGGTTAATGAAATCGAGAGCAAACGAGCGACTGCACGACACGCGACGAGCGCTACAGGCTGGCATCGCTAACGCCTCCGAGGAACGTGAAAGGTTTCCTGCAATATCATCAGCATCCTTCCACACTTCCAACCAATCGACTTACACTGCCTGCGGCCTCCTAATCTCGTACCGTACGTTCAATACGCCCTTCTCGTCGAGCTTCCGCAGAATTGCAATCCTTTGCCAATCTCGTCGCTTGTCGTAGTACACGCAGTGGTCGAGGAACTTGAGATGGGGGCACGCTATTGCGAGTTGGCATATGAGGGTGTGCATGCGGGCTTTGGACTCTGCGGGCGTAGAGGGCTTGGTGGCCGGGCCGGCGATGGGGTAGGGCTGTATTGGAGGCTCCTTAGGACCGGCCATGTGCGCCGCGTCGCGCGCGGGTGTGCGTCCGGCGGATTCCCAAAGGACCTGTCCACGAAGGACTTCGAGGTGGCGAAAGCGAGGAAGAAGGGAGAGCCATTGGTCCTTGAGAAAAGTTCAGTGACTCGAAGGGAGAATGCGACACGGTCGGGGTATCGAAAGGACAGTTTTGCTTACCGGCGTCGTCGCCACGCCGCTACGCGGAAGATTTAGCCACGTCAAATTGGGGAACAGCTCTGCAATGCGCTCCAACTGCCCCATAGTATCGAACCACGACAATGTCAACTTCTTCAGCGCCCCTCTGTCCAGGTTGTCCATCTCGATCAACGTCTCCGCGTCTAGCGATAGTACTTCGAGCACCTCAAACGCGCGCGGAGCTGTCGACTTGCATAGCGAGCGCAGAACCTCGACGGTAGTCTGAACGCTCTTCAGGTTGGGAAGGATGTCCGGGGCCATCTGAATGCACCCGAGCGGGATCCAAGCGAGCTCTTCGATGGATGGGTTGTTGGCGAGGAACTGGATGCGGGAGCGGTCGATGGAGACGCTGGCGCCGGAGAGGAGGCGGAGCTTCAGTCGGCGTAGGTTGGTGAACTTGCAGTCTTGGAGCACCTGCAGCTCGAGAGGACATTCGAGATGCTGTGATAGGATCAGAGGCAGGTCTATGGGTAGACATGGTGGTCGGTAGCGTACCTCGAGAGTCGAAGATGACCGGTTGAGCATGGCGCGCACGTGGGGACCATTGGCAGGTTTGAGGAAGGCATCCCCGGAGAGAACGATGGAGGTGAGGTTGTTGACGCGCCAAAGCTGGACACAAATTAGTCACGTCGTGGTGTGTGAATGCACTGGCCACATACGGGGTAGACGACGCTCTTGGGGTCTAGGTTGGTCCCAACAGCATGAGCACCGAGGTTCCCAATCACAGCCAACCTCTGCAATGAGGGTTTGCCGCAAAGCGCGTGCAAGATTGCATCCTCATGGAGAGGGCATTGAGTAGGACCTGCGTGCCTCTCCATCGCCGTCCAAGTGAAGACGACGAGCTTCTCCATGTGATGGAGAGCCGTGCAGATATTCTTAATGCGTGTGACTTCGTCGGTCGTAGGCGTTCCCTCTACGAGACGCTTAGGCCAGCGATCGGAATCAGAATAGTCGTTGCGGTCGCAGAAGTGAACTTCGCGAATGTTGCGGGCCAGGTCTCTTCGTTTCGCTAGGTGGTGCCACATAGAGGAAAGAGGGTGTCGTACGCGGATAACGCGATACTCAAGGTGGCCAGGAATGATGAGGTGGGCGAAGGAGCGACAGGTGAGAGCGATAGCCATGAGGTCGGCATGGGCGTCGACGTCCGCCACGATCTCGTGCATGAGCTCGAGGGGGAGCTTCAAGAACCCGGGGACCGCGTTTGCGAGTGCCATGGCGGCAGAGGACAAGCGGCGATGCCCGTGGATTGGGGTCGAGCAACGTCGAAGCGCGGCGGATGGAATCAACTTCCGCTTCGGCAACGGCCGAAGGAAGCAAACCGGCGACGGGCCGGACACGTGGGAGTGGCTAGCCGGTGGCGTGACCGTCACCACACGCGCTCTTGTCTTTTGACGTCGAGGTCGGCGGCGACAAGTCCTTGTTCCTGACGTTCATCATGGTTTTCCCCTTCACGTTCAAGCTCTCTGTCCCCGGCATCACGAACCCCTTCTCCGGCAACAACGCAGAAGATGGCGGAGCGGATCTCCCGCCGGGACACCAGCCCAATCCAGCAGCCGGGCGCACTGAGAAGATTCAGATCACTCGTCGCCGCCCTTCCCCCGCCCCCTCAGACCATCTGTCAGCCCCCACGTCGAGGAAGAGGGGTTGGGACCCCGCGTTCGCATCACCGTCCGCGTCAGCGACGACGCTCGCGTCCCCCAGTGGCTACCTCGACACGCCCGCCAAGTACCGAGATCAGCTCGCATCGATGACGGAACAGGATATGCGCGAGATAGAAGAACTGACGGCAGCGGCTGTAGGTATGTGCATCACTACCCTCCTTCCTGTCTATGAGAACCTGTCCTCTTCGCGTACGCAGCGCCAGGCTCGGTCCATGCGCGCTGCACGTGCGACGCGATATAGGCACCCTCCAATATTCATTGTCCTCAAGCGTCTCTAATCATGCTCATGCTGACCTGTCTTCTTTTCTTTCTCGATGCAGACCTTCCACCCCCACCCAAGCGTCGTCGCGGTCTCGCTGGCTCGATCGTCTCCACAGCGCTCAGCGCAGCACTCATCGGCACTGCAGTCGGTTTGACCGTGTACCGAATGTGCGTCTTCCCCCCTTCAAACCGCGTCTCTTGTACTCACCAACTCCAGGTGGCGTGACCGCGGCAAAGACTCCCCCGAGCAGCAAATCGCACCCCCTCCCTACCACGAAGGCGAATGGGAGCCCGCGTCTCAAGAGCGTCAGAGCAACGAGCGGCCCAAGGGCGTCTATGTCACTCCTCCGACTCCACGCAGTCGCAAGCCGCGCGCCATCCCTGCCTCCACTCGCCGACACGCTCATCCTCGTCGCGCCCACGTCCGCCATGCCATCACCCCACCCCCGCGCGCCGTGCCCATGCCCGTTGCCTCCAGCTCCGTCGCCGCATTCCCCGAACCTCAGCCTGAGTTCGACTTCAGCTCCAACCATCATGAGGAGCAGCCTGAGGATCCGGACGATCAGGTGAGTAGCCTTTCTATGCCTTTACTAACTTGTCTGACCCGTGCATAGATGGACTGGATTGGCGAAAAGCTCTCTGCGCTCATTGCCGAGGGACAAAAGGCACTCGGCCGCGAAGTCGTCGTCATGAGCGAGGCTCAAGAAGACGAGGTCGACGACGGTAGTGGCCAATGGGAGGACGAGGAGCCCGTTGCCCCGCGCGCCAGCTCATCCCGTCGAGGTAGCATCCGCGGCCGCCTGCCTCCGCCCTCGTACGCCGCTTCCTCCTACCAATCGCGTCCCACGTCCCGTAGCAGCTCGCGGGGTCACGGCTTGCCGTCGGCGCCGTCGATGCCCGGCATGGAGTTCGGCGTGCGGGAGGAGACGACGTTCGAGAGCCCGGAGCTGCGCGCGAGCATGGAGGCGGCGCGGGCGCGTTATATGCGAAACCGAGCAGGAGTGGCCTGACCGCGTCTCTCCGGATACTCTGCTCCCTAATGGGGTGGAACCTCACGAAGCGCCCGGCGCGCATCACGACTCTGACGATCGTTACGATACTGGCTGCTGCATCCTTACCTACTGCTTCTGCTCAATTCAGGTCTGCTTCCGCTCATCCACGTCCGCTTCTCCTGCTGCTTACTGCCGGCCCTTTCTCACTGCATCCACACGCATACAGCCACCACCAACACTAGCAAGATGGGGTCAAGCCTCATCGGCCCACGCAATGCATCCTCCGTCGCATTCTTTACAGACACTTCACCACCCGCTACTTTACACTGTTCTTCTGCTCTGCAACTTTTATTTACTTATTCACTACGTACCGTTTCCGCTGCTCCGAGTGCTTCGGTGGGATTTCCTGCCTGCCCATGTGCGTCGGCTCTCAGGAGCTTTCCTGCTTCCCAGCATCGGCTTTCTTACCTACCTACCTACGTCCTTACATACCAGCAAGTGTTCATATGTATGCGCCCTATAATACGGGCTGTAGATGGAGAGGTGTTCGCAATAGAATCTGACATATAAAGGAACGCCTGAGCAGCTTGAGTCTCCGCCGAGAATCGAGTAGAACGCAGGTGGTGCGCCACGATGTCTCCAGCTTGTGCGCCACTTGTGTGTGGGGGTGCAGTCTCGGTTGCTCGTCTAGACGCTACGTGCGCGAGGTTATTTCTTTTGAAGCGCTGTCTGTACTTATTGGTAGGCCTAGGGGTCCTGAGTCGACTGTCAAGCGGGAATTTGTGGCACTGAAATCATGATTGGGGCCAGAGCGAAGATAAAGGCTGGTCGTTTAGGATCTTGATCGTGCGCCGCCTACTTACTACGAGACCGACAACTGATGAATAGGAACACTTGGAGCGGGTATATAGTGATTGGTACGTGAGGTATATCAATGTAAATATGCGGGTCAACATGCAAAACGAGTCCGTATGTTGAAACTACAGTCCGGAGCGATTAACTACGACGTTCGGTTTGTAGGATACACTGCTTGTAGACCTGATAACATACAATGAGAGGGAGCAGGAAATCCACGAATCAAGCGAAAGTCGAACAACGCGAGGTAACGGGCCCGTCAAAGGTGACGTTGATGGCCCGGCCTTCCTCACGCTCTTCCGTGCTAGGGAGGAAGTTGAGTTCGACGCGGAGAGCGTGCTTGAGGCCGCCGTTGTAGCGCTTCTTTAGAGCCTGCAGGAGGGTCGTCAAGTTGACCTTCTCGGCGTCCATGTTCAAGCAAAGAAGGCGCAGGCTCGGCAGTCTAGTCGAGTTCTTGCTTTGCAGGGCGTGATTGATAGGGTTCTGCAGGGTGATGTTCGTCTTGAGCTCCAAGCATACCAAACCCGCCGCCGCCGAGGAGCTAAGATATGCCTGCAGTCCCTTGCTATCGCTGAAGGTAAGCTCAAGGCAAAGGTGCGTGAGCGTGTTCATCGCGCGTCGAAGGAACTTGTAGACCGTTCCCTCCTGCCCCGGGGCTGGCCTTCCGGGTACGTGAAGGTGAAAGCTGATCAGCCTTGTTGGGTGCATGACCCGGAGCAGTAGAATGAGCTGCTCGCGAGTTCTGGCGTCGATGTTCGTAGTGCCGCCTCTGATCTCGAGAGAAACGAGGTTGGCTGCGTTGATGCGGGATGAAGTGAAGGTGGGGTCGTATTTGAGCTGTTCCACCACGATGCTGTAGGGCCTCTGCCTGCCGGAAGTTTGGATGAGGAGGATTATCTTGCTCGGACTGGCGAGTGCGCAATGGGTTTCATAGAACGGTGCTAAGTAGATGGGAGCGAATTGGTCAGCGGATCCGGAGGTCGCGGCGCGCACTGTCCTAAGGCTGAGCTTCTGTCATCAAACAGTGAAAGAAGAAGGATGTACAGTTTCTCTGATCGGCGATGTGGCTTAGATCGCCCCATTCCCGCAGTTTCTTGAGCTCCTTTGAGGGACCGGGATTGCGACCGCGTTGACTGGATATAAGGGTCGATACAGGCAGCGCGACTGAGCTGAAGCTGGACCCACCCTTCTGAAATCAAGTAGGAAATATGCCCCCTCTGCGTTCGCTCGGGTCCCATAGCAAGCTACAGTGTTGATTCAAGATAGGTTTGCCACAGAGATATCAAGGTGTCGAGTGGTGATGCATTCCACTGAAGCGAGAGGCCTTTTATATCAGAGCGGGCGCCCACCAGCATCCAGGCGCTTCGCATCATGGAGATGTATATCCGAAGACGCTGCATGGCCCGGCGAGATACCTATAATTGTGTTCGAGGTCAAAAAAGCGGATTCCGGGAGGCGCCGCGGAATTGGTCTTTATGACCTTGCCACTGATGGTGAAGCTTCCAGGCAAAAGTATGCACATAGAGTCACAATAAGGCTGTGGAGTTCTTGATGGTGTCGCTGGCAATATGGTACATGCTGTAAGCCACAGCTTGTGTCGTGCCAGGACCTTTCTCTACAGCGATGGTGGAAAAAGCAGCGTCTTTCGACGAGATTAGCAATGAAGAACCAGCGGAGGGGCCCAGCACATGTTCAAGCACATCTGAGGTCAAAAGACCAGGGTAATGGTCGCACTGCCAACGCACAGCGCCCATGAGGAGAAGGTTCAAGCAGAGAGTCACGGTATGTCACAACGGAATCTTTATTGCGGCCCGCTGATCCGGCGAAGCATATAAGCGCCGGACCCTTCGCCAGAAACCATGTTCGTCGAACACAAGCCCAACTGGCTGCCACGACCCCATTAGTGCGCCGGACGTGTTGCCTCTCTTGGTAGACGCCTGCAGCCCTTGTCTATGAGACGAGGTTGCATGCGCTCTGCTGCGGATGTCGGCTGAGGAACAGACGTGTCGTCGTTTTCAGGCCACGGTAGACAGGTCGCCACTGTTGCCGTTGCCCGGGTTGTCGGGTAGGCAATCCGGACAGCGTCGGCGAGACCTGCCAGTGCTCGGGCTGACCGCGGGTGGACACCTTAAGGGGACACGTAGCCCGCGGTCAGTGGGTCTGTGTTCATCGCGGGCGCTTACGTGGTGTCGTAGAAGCTGCTCACTCTCTTTCATCGCCTCGGCGATAGAACTGACAGTGGTGGAGGCGCTACGCTTGCGCTTGCAGCCACGATTATGTGCACTCAGTGATGTCTCTCGTCTTTGGGCGAGCGACGGAGGGGTACATGTATCGTGGCGTCGCCGGAGTACGGGATTGCTCAGGTCAGAACGTCCAAGTAGCTGGCGCTCCTCATGGTAGCCAGCGAAAGGATGCATTCTGCCGACACTTTCTCGCGCTGCGTCGACACAGACGGCAATTTTTGGAACCCCCTGACAAGCTCAGGATTTATCGTTCGTCGGACGCGCGCGAGCCTTCAAGCGGCTGCCATGGTACATTGCGCTGGATGTGTTGCCTCTCTCGGTAGGCGCTTGCGGCTTTCTTCTTTGTGGCGAGGCCGCTCGTGCTCTGCTGCGGCTGTCGGTAGAGGACCAGACGCGCGGCGTTGTTGACCAGACGGCAGACAGGTCGTCGCTGCCGCCGTTGCTTGGTTTGTCGGATAGACGAACCGTCCAGCGGTGACGAGGCCTGCCAACGCTCATCGTGGGTTATTACCTTGCTAGGTAATCCGCAGTGGGTGGGCTCGTGTCCATCGCGAGCGCGAGCGCAGCGCCGGGGAGGCTGCTTTCTTTGTCCATCGCTTCGGCAGTGGCATTGGGAGTAGCGGAGGTGCTGCGCGCGCGCTCGCGGCCATGATTCTGTGCCGCCAATGATGTCTCCCGTCCTTTGGTGCGCGACGGAGGTGGTACATGAATCATGGCGTCGGCAAGGTACGAGATTGCCTCGCGCGAAAATGTCTTAGTAGCTAGTCCTCTCGCGGACGACCAGCGAAAGGATACCTTTCGTAGAAGCTTTCTCGTGCTTTGTCGACACAGACGGCATTTTTTGGAACCCCTGACACGCTCAGGAATCTTATCGTTCGTCGGACGCGGGCTCAACTGGCTGCCATGGTCCCTTACGCCGGATGTGTTGCCTCTCTTGGCAGACGCGTGCAGTCCTTGGTCTTCAGACGAGGTTGCATGCGCTCTGCTGCGGATGTCGTTCGAGGAACAGGCGCGCGGCGAATGTAGACCAACAGGTAGGCAGGTCGTCGCTGCCGCCGTTGCCTGGGTTGTCGGGTAGACATACTGGCCAGCGGCGGCGAGGCCTGCCAGTGCTCGGGCTCACCGTGGGCTGTTATCCTGATGAATGAAGCCTGCGGTGGGTGAGCTCGTGTCCATTGCGAGCGCAAGCGCTCGCAGCCACAATTCTGTGCCGCCGGTGATGCTTCCCGCCTTTGGGCGCGCGGCGGAGGCGACACACGAATTGTGGCGTCGACGAAGTGCGAGATCGCTCGGGAGAATATTCTGGTAGCCTGTTTTCCTCTCGGAAGACCTGCGAAAGGATATACTCTGTAGACGTGTTCTCTCGCTTCGTCGCTGGAGACGGCAAATGTTTGGAAACCCCATCCTCCTTCGGAGGCATTCTATCTATTGGAGTCCATTAACATCCGATGCGAGTATCTAGGCGGTGGGGATGACCGACCTCTGCACACATGACTCTTTCCAGGTGAGGTTTTGAGGCCTGTTTGCTCTGACAATCTTGCAGGGAACCACTCGCGCAACAGCGTATCGGCTCGCAATTGCTACTACCTCGAAACTCCACACCATCACGATTGGGAATTATCTCTCGCAGTGGCGGCGAAGTCTAGGTCATACGTGGCACCATCCATCTCCATTGATTTTGCTTGTACTCTAATAACCCCGTCATCGTGTAAGGCGTTGACGAATACGACGTTCACGGACATGATCTATCCAGTGTCTACTTGTGTCCCGATGTTCGGAATATAAGCAGGTGACGATACCCAGGACAATTGATGAGAGTCCGGCCCTTCATATGGGCTTTCCCTCCGCTGCTTGCTGCTCCAAGACCATACGCGAAAATTTACTGATTCTACGCAGCTTCGAGCCCCAGAAAAGCAGAACCTGCGCGAGTTGTCAATAACGCAGTCTGCCTCTGCCGAGAGACGTGACGAACGAAAGGAATAGGCATCAGGACAATCGCGACGAGCGCGAACAGCGTGTTGCCCCAGCGGTATCCGAGAGCGTCGAACATCTGGACGGTGAACAGCGGGAAGGCGACGCCCATCATGTTCCCTGAGAGGTAGATTGTAAGCGAAACGAAGGAGGAAAGATCATGAAGGAGCGACGTACGGGCAAGACTCTGCCCAGCAAGCGCCGACGATGCGAAGGGTTCGTAGCAATCCGCGAGGTACGAGAAGACACCGTTGTAGATGACGAAGATGGAGATGGTGAAAAGCTACGATGTCGTCTCAGAACTGTGAATCATTCTATTCGATCCACAGACGTACCACAATGCCAATCGCCTGCGCAACCCAAGTGACCGAGGGGTACGAGACCCAGGCGTAGATGAACATCGAGATCGGCAGAAGGATCCCCGCTCCGCAAGCGCAATACAGACGCGCATCAGCACCGCGAATGGGGTAGTTTTTCCTGCGTACGACATCATGTTCAAAGTGTTACACAATTAAGCACTTGAAAGAACGCACTGGTAGAGCTTCTCCTGGTACAAGTTGATCGTCCACCCGATGACAGCGCCGATGAAGATAGTGACGAAGACGGTGCCAATCTGGCCGATGTTGAAGCCGTGAACGTCTCTGAAGATACCGGGGATGGACCTGTAGGACGATAAGTAAGCTGGAGGACGCCAGGCACTCTGGCCGGGACGCACTCGATCATGCAATACAGAATGCCCCAGGCAAAGCCAACCCATGCCTGTCGAGCTTTATATCAACATTGGAAAGGGATTCGGAAGTGTGGGCGTCGCACGCTAAAGGCCATGACGATGGGCTCGGTAACCAATAGGTCTACAGGATAATTGCATGTAAGTCCGCTTCGCGAGTTTCAACAAGGCACTTACAAATTGGGCGCGTGCTAGAGATGTAGACGAGCTGACGAAGGCTTGCCCGCTCGTCTTCAATGCGCGCACGGTAGCGCTTGTCCTTGCTCTCCTTCCGCAGCTTCTTAGCCAAGCGCGTGAGGAGGACAGGGCTGCGGGTTTCTGACATGACGAACGGGAGAATGCAGATGTAAGCGCCGGATATACTGTGCGTGCGTTAGCGATATGTGCAGCTGGCTGAGAACAGCGTACATCATCGAGATCCATTGGATCCATCGCCATCCCAGGCTCGGGTTCATCTCGACCCAGCCTGCGGCTACGGGCCCGAGACCGGTCGCGCCGATGGAGGTGACAGAGAAGAGGGCCATAGGGATCCCGCGCCTGTGACAAGGAATCAGACCGCGTAGGATAGCCTCGGCAAAAATCTGACGACTGACTCGGACGCAGACCAGATATCGGCGATCGTCCCACCGACCATGGTCTACAAGAGAATGAGCTAGAAAGTGCAAAGGATACAATGGTACTCACTGAACCCGTCGACCCTGCTGCTCCCTGAATCAGACGGCCTATGAGTACTGTTTCGATATTCTTTGCGCTGCAGGGTTGGTGAGTAACAGGGTCAAGAATCGCTGCAGAAGCCGCACTAACAGAGCGATCATCAAGTGCATGAGGACGTAGATAATTCCACTGCAGATGTACAGCGGCCGCCTGCCAAATTCCTCGCTGAAGGACGAAGTAATGAGCGGCGTGATGCCGAATCCGACAGCGTATAAGCTGAGACCAGCGGTAGCTTGAAGCTGAGTCGCCTTGAGATCACGCAGCATGCTCTCGAAGCCCATGTTATAGGTTCCGGCGTTCGACGCTACGATACATGTAAGCGCGCGATGTTCAGCAGAATGAGGTACTCACCGGCCAGCAAGGTGAAGAAGGCCGCCGTGACTGTGATGAGCCATTTCTTCTTCCTGCAGCCTCGATCAATACCGAATCGCTAAGCGCATGGCCACAAATTACCTCGAGTAGTTCGCAGGGTTGCGAGGGTCGCCCTCTTCCCAGTCCACCTGGAAGATTGTCGATTGATGCAGCGGACGGTGAGACAGCTCGACTCACGTACAACGGCTCCTCGAAACCTTCGAGATCCTTGTCGCCGCCAAGTGTGGCGCTGGCGGCCGACTGCCGGGTGGCAGGGCTAGGGGAGTAAGGACCATGGTGATGATGGTGGTCGGGCGTGTTATGGTGATGGTGAGGGTGGCTAATGTGAGTCGTGAGGTCAAGCTCAGACGCATGAGGCCGCGAGGTAAGATCGAAGCGAGGGTCGATGGACTCGTGAATATCCTCGACGGACTTGACCGCCAGACCTTCCTCATTCGCCGCTGGTCGCTGCACCTCTGCTTCCTTCACGTCGGCGGGCGTCTTCGCATCTGTACGTTCGCGCGGCATGCTGCTAGACGTGGAAGGGACTCGGGAGAAGGGATGCGCAAGGCGCTCCATCCTCGCTCGCTCTGCATATATACCTCGATCGCTTCTCCCAGGCGCCTCCGACTCCGAGGCGCCAGGTGTGTAAACAAGATCGTGCCACCAAACAACATTGGAGGCTGCCCGCTCTCCGTTCGAGATCGGACACGGACAGTCTTTCCAGGCAAGCTCGGATTCCCACAGTTCGAAAAGTCCTGGTCTCGTAAACTCATCTCGTAAGGAAAGAAAAAAAATAGTACACAGGCGTCGCTACTGCTTTCATTTGAACGTCTTCTTCAAGACCTACGGCTCCTCGGCGTGGTGGGCCTCGAACCAAGGCAGTCATCGCTCCCCGGCGAACCTGTCCTCATATTTCAGCAAGTCGTGAAGGGGGGCTCAGAGGAAATGCTCACCCGGGCGCTCGTATGCATTCATGTCTATCGCCGCCAACGACGGAGTGGCAGCCCTAATCGACGTCGAGACCCTGCTCTTGACCTTCCTAGAAGGAAATCCCGCCGATCTCATTATGGCCGCCGAGGAACGTGAGCGGGCGGCCGCCGGGATCTTGCTCTTCGCGGACGTCGCGAGAAATTCTTCGCGAGCTTTGGCCTTCCTCGCAACATATACAGATAGCGGCGTATTGTCGTCATCCTCTTCGCTAGAGATGATGAGAGGCTCCGCAGGAACTTTGCCTGGAATGGCGGGAACAGTCTTGTCGCCAGAGCGGGATTGTGAGACTGACAAGGGACGAATCGAGGTACGGCGCTTCTTTGGCGTGTGTGGCACGTCGTCCTCGTCCTCGTCGCTGGAGCTGATGATCACTCTCTTCTTCGGAGTTCGCAGGGACCTCATGCATGTGGAATTCCTATAGCCATGCGCGCGGGTGCTACACCTAGGAGTTTGCGGCTGAATATGAGCATCCGAGTCCGACTGGATATCGGAATCCGCATTATTCGCAACAGGCGCCTTCGAAGGGGAAGCTTTGCTGGGCACGTTCATAGAAGGTCTCTTGGCGATTGTCGCGCGCGGCGGAGGCCCCAGGGGCAGATTGTCTGATGATTGTTCGAAAGAGTCCAAGTGGCACAGATATAGCGAGGGCTCACCGTCGGTATCACTGTCTGCATCATCGCCATTATTCTCGATGCGACGATAGCGTCGTTTCGGCGTCGAGGGCTCTGTACAGTAGAAGCTAAGCTGGGCAATCGCTGTCTACTGCCAAACAGCGAGCTCACCCGAGGCGTCGAAAATGTCATCGGTTGGAGAAGCGAGGTGGGCATGCTCTGTCGCGTCTGAGCGGGAAGACCGCTTTTCTGACCTCTGCTGGAACTCATCTTCGTCCTCACCACTCGCATCGGAGGTCAGAACCTGGAGGTTAGCTGGCGTGGGTTCAACGCGTAGTTGAAGTGGGGCTACGCTCACAGTCAGACGACTGGCTACCCGCTTGGGCCGGCGTGGAGTCTCTGGTGCATGGCTTCGCTTGTGTAGCTCTAATTCAGTGTCAGAGTCGGAGTCTGTGATCTCTAGGACATCGGCGGCGGGTCGCGCTGCCTTCGGAGGGCATATGAGTTCTGGAGGGATTATGGGCCACAGGCATCGGCGAGGCTGTGCATATACGTACCTATGGATGGACTGCGAGTCGACGTAGCGCACCCGCGGCGCAGACGCCGGAGTTTATAATCTGATCAGAGGTGTTATGAGAGAGGAGCCAGTATTCAGAGCAGGGCATAACGTACCCGACGCGTCCGAGAGCTCACCACCAAGGGAGCCATTTTCCTCCGTGTTTGATGCTTCAATCTCCTCGTATTCCGCGCCCGCGCTTGACTTGTTCTAGAGAGTGCGATCAGAAATGTCGTATTCGAGAACAGGTGCGTCCAAGTCACCAACCTCGTTACCAGACCCCTCAGCTTCCTCTTCCTCATCTTCGGCTTCATCCTCATTCGAGGTATCCCATATGTCAGAGGTGCCCAACGTCAACTCAGAGTCTGATACAACGAAACCATCCTTCTCGTATTGTCCTGAAGGCATTATGCATGAGTCCTGTCTGTTTGGAGAATATCCTAATATGAAGGCGTTCACCTGGATTGAACCCCCATTCCTCGGACTCGCTCAGAAGCTCCCCGACATTTCTATGAACGCCATAGTTCCGGAAGGAGCGAAGCTTTGCGCGGACAGCCTCCTTGAAGACAGGATACTGGCGACTCAATATCAGTCACTGAATGTAACGGGCAATGAATCCCAGCGACGCACCATATTGCAGTAGCGATGTTGGCTAATCCACCGCACATCCTTCTTTGGACAGGCTAGAAGCTTCTTGCCGTACAGCCTGTTGCTCTCCTTCACGAAAGGGATCTGAAAGTCGTTGTACCTGTCCGCTACGAGCTCGCGCAGCCCCTGCAGATATCTATTGGCCGCGGCACCATAGTGCTGTTTCCCCTATTGTCCAAAGGTCTTATTCAATTCTGGGCTCCAGCCTTGACGTTCTGAATTCAGACGCCTCACCGGATTGAGAGCATACACATCCCTAATCCACAAGAGCATACACTCGGGGAGCTCGTTGAAGGGTTTCCCGACGTGCACAGAGTCGCTTGACGACGGCTCATAGCGCATGCCGCCTGCATCAGGACTGGTGTACCATGATAATTCGGGGTTCGCTTCCACTTCGTCGAGTGTAAGAACAATGGGCGCGCGCCCGTCTTCCCACCGTGCCCTCGGCATCAGTGCGACAAGTGGACAAAAGGAGAGATGCGCCGGCGAATTCCGGAGCGCGATCAACCGGTCACGTGCCAAGTTGAACTTTTGGACCAGACCCTGACCTGTCCTTTGGGCGTTAGCGCCTTGAGAGGCATGATAAACCGCTCGATTCACAGAGGATAATCTGCAGTCCGCCAAAGCGTTTGACTCGACACGAGAATTCCTCAAACTTCGCAAGTAGGAGTGTGGCATAGCGAGATCATCGTCCTGAGTAGCCCGCCCCAATCTTTCCGGTTAGGCGCAATCATTAGGAACTGGGGAAGAGCAACGAACATACTGACTATTGCGGTCTATGATAAGTAATACATATGTGCATCTCCTGTCCATGCGAAACGGATTACAATACAGTCCATCCTCCCCGTGGAGCGCGCTCGGTGACGATGTTGAGAGCGCTTCCCTTGCATCTCCTTCGCTGGCGTCCACCTGCCATCCACTTCCTCCCTCCTGCTACAGCAACTATCGCCAGCCCAGCACACACGCCAATTATTGCCCCGGCACATAATCCCGACTCAAGTCGATCTCCCCCTTCAAATGCGTGTTCGTGATTTTCGCCTGCCTCTGCCTCTGCCGCGGCTTCTTCTGACCCTTCTTGCCTTTTGCGACGGGCGGGGGTAGCGCTTCGGAGGAGACGGGTTTCATCTCGGCGGCGACGAGCTGGCGGATCATGTCGACCTCGTCGGGCGCTTTGAGCTCGGCCCACATGTCGCGGAATTCTGCGAGCGGGGGCGAGAATAGGTGAGGTGGCGTAAAAGAGGGGTTGAGGAGATTGGATGGGACGGCCAACGAGGGTGGGACAGGAGTGAGGCAGATGAAGGGGGGACGGGGTACATTATAATGAGGCAAATGGAATAGATTGTTCAGCATCCATGTATGACGGTGCGTTCAGGCTGTCCACACACCTTTTTCGATCACAAAGGCGTCGTCGGGCTCATTCTCCTCGCTCATCTCATTCCAGAAGACAGTCTTCATCTGACCGTCTTTCGCTGTGCGCAGGACGTAGACCTTGCCCTCCTTCTCGAGCTCTTCGATGTGCGTAGGCGCCTCCTTCCACGCATCCTTCAGTGTGCGGATGGAGATGCCGGCGCTTTTGTTGATCGTATACCGCTTGATCTCAGTTAAGAGCTGCTCGCGATTGCGGACCGCAAAGTCGTGCTGACGGCACAAATATCTCAGTCAACCATTTAACTCTTACACAAATTCAGCGCGCTGACGCACCTTGTACTCGTACAGGCCCGTCTTCTGGTCCCACTTGACCTTCTCATGATTTCTGAACTTCTCCAGGAGCACCTGATCCGTGTCCAGCGCCGTGCTCGTCGAGATCGCAATGTCCTGCAGCCGATTCGGGCCATAGTGCTCCTTCAAATACTGCAGCGCGTAGATGAGCTGCGTGTTGATGTTCTGCCCCGAGCCCGTGTCCTTGGGCTGCGAGTACGGCTGGTCCGGCTTCGCTTTCGCCGCCTTCTTCTTCGCGCCAGGTGCGCTGCCAGGATTGGCATTAGCATCGGCGGCAGGGGCCTTCGCCTTCGCGCCGCCTTTTGAGGATGACGCGCCGCCCTTCGCGGGCGCCGCGCTGGCAAGTGGGGGCGGCTGCGAGTGCCAGGACGTGTAGTCCGTGCGGTGCAGCGACTGCTTGAACGCGGCGGCGTCCGCGGCCAGCTTCGACATCGTGGGGGGATGGCGGGCGGGGACAAGGAGCGGTGGCGCCGGGCCGCGCGAGAGAAGACCAATTATGGCCGGGCGCACGCGTCCCGATCATGTCTCTTGCGCGCCCCCGCCATCGCGCCGCGGCCTCCTCCCCTGCGCGGCACCTCAGCGCGAGCGCGGCGCGCCATGGCGAGCTGCAGGCGCGCATCCGCGGCCTCATGCGCGACACCGCGCAGCCCGTTGCTGTCGTCACTGCTATCATGCCCTCGGGCTCCTCTCCCTCGTCAGCGTCCTCCGCCTCCACGTCCGTCCTCCCCGTCTACCACGGCGCCACGCTCTCCTCCTTTACCTCCATCGCCATGGACCCGCACCCGCTCATTGCCTTTGCGCTTCGCCTGCCCTCACGCATGTCGACCGCGCTCAAGGCCGCGAGCAAGGACTGGGACGCCGGCGGCGCACACATGGTCGTGAACCTGCTCTCCGCGGCGCAGCAGTCGCTCGCGCGCAAGTTCGCTAGGCCCGACTTGTACCACGACCCCTTCGGCTCGACGCACTACCGCCTGAACGCAGACGGGATCCCCATACTGGACGGCTCGCTCGGCGCGCTTACATGTCGGCTCGTCTCCGCTGCGGTGCCGCTGTATGACAGGGCGTACTTGAAGGCGCTGGGGGTGGACGAGCCGCCAGAGGCGGTGATCCCGAAGCTGCAGAGTGGGGGAGTGATCTCGGAGCTGTTTGTGGCTGAGGTGTTGAGAGTGGAGGAGTCTACGGCGTTGTATGAGGGTCAGGACGACTTGCAGTCCCTTCCGCTGCTATATCACCGACAAGCGTTCACGACGATATTACCACCACCTACGCCCCTAAATCCACCAGACGAGGAGTGAATGGTGCGTGCCCTTTCTGCCATTGCTCATGGTGAACCGAATAGGGACTGACTTTAAGCCACTGTCGTTCGCAGAAGTGTTGCAGGGACCTATACGGTGTACGCCCATGTACTAATCAGAGCACAACGGGACCAGCGTTGAACTCGGACGCAAATCTACGAGGGCACGTCCAAGGGAGGCGCGGAGGGATATCACCCTGCTCGCAGGGCACCTTGCGTGGTTCGAAAGTAGCTTACCAGCACACTTAGTTACTTACCTTGATCCTGACGGCAATTACAGGAGTACTAGGACAACATTTCCGTCCACTTGTCAAACTGGCCTTCGAGCTGACTTCCTCGAGTATATGCTTTATGGCAGAACTTCATCACTCAGCTGGTGGACTCGACAGCGTGCAAAGCAATGCGTTTCTATAGCAGTGTGCAATTAGGGAATAGTTGTACAGTAGGGGTAAGTGGGGGTTGCGATGTGCAGGGTTTTGGTGGTCGTGAAGGGTCGTGAGATCTGGCCGTTTGTCAGCGGGTCGCCTGCTTGCCTTGACTGCGCCACATACCTTAAATGCACTTCGCTCAAGTACACACTCTCCACTATACCAACTCGATGTCACCGTCCGGGTTCGTCGTCCCCCGCTTCACATCCTCTCCCCTCGCCTTCAGCAAGTCCTCCACCGTCCGCAGCTTCCCGTCCTCCGTGCTCTCCTTGAACCAGCCCAGATGGTCCGCTATTAAGTGCCGGTTCTTGCATTGCGGGCACTGGATGAGCACTATGCCGCTGTAGTACGCGCGCTTGGTGAAGGTGTGCGACGAGCGGTGGCGCGTGCAGCCGGGCGCGGTGCAGGTGAAGGTGATTTGCAAGCGGGGCTCCTCTTCAGACGTGGGAAGCTTCAGCTTAGTCGTGGTGGGCGCGTCGGCGGGTGGTGCGGGAGCCTCTGGCGGTACGGCGGCAGAGGAGGAGGATGACGACGCAGCCCGTATAGCAGCGATACTGGGCCCGGAGAGGCCGAGGCGCATGCGCATCTCGACGCGCGCCGTCGTCGGCAGGGATGCACCAGGCGTAATCAGGCTCCGCAGCGCCGGGGGCACACCCACATTGCGGAAGAGACGGGATGGCAGCATTGTGAGTGTCTAGTTGGTGGTCGTCGTCGTGAACAAGCAACGTCGAAAACGATCGACGCTGACGGAAGGATTTCCCCGTCGCCACCCCTCCGCTCCGCTATCTTATCACTTTGTGGCGTTAGCGCTGTACAGCCACGCCTGCGTTATCCGAGGCCAATTGAACTGATTGTCCATCCGATCGGGAGATCGAAATTGGGTTATCGGTATTGGGCAGGACATTGGGGTACTGGACTCTGCAACCACCACCATGTCGCAGCCAATTGCGCTTCTGTCCGTGTACGACAAGACCGGGCTGTTGCCCCTCGCCGAGCGTCTCGCGGGTGCGGGTGTGCGCCTCCTGGGCTCGGGCGGGACGGCGAAGAAGATCAGGGAGGCGGGGATACAGATTGAGTGCGTGAACTTGAAGGGATGGTTAACCAATGGGTGCTGACGCGACGACCAGGGATGTATCTGACCTCACCAAGGCTCCCGAGATGCTCGGTGGACGCGTCAAGACGCTGCACCCGGTCGTGCATGGAGGTACGTAGCATACTTCCCCATATGCTCAAGACATTGAACCCAACGATCTCAGGTATCCTCGCGCGCACACAGCTCCCCTCGGACGCGGAGGACCTCAAGGCGCAGGCAATCAACCCTATCTCGATTGTGGTTTGCAACCTCTACCCCTTCAGTGAGACGATCGCGAAGGAGGGCTGCACGATTGCGGACGCGGTCGAGGAGATTGACATCGGAGGTGTAACGGTGGGTCCTCGCCCGCATCTCCTTCTTGCTCTCTCATCCTCCCAACAATGCAACGCTTCACATATTCACCGTTCATACAACTTACGCCTTCCCTAGCTCCTCCGCGCCGCTGCCAAGAACCACGAGCGCGTTTCCATCCTCTCCGACCCCGCCGACTACGACGCCTTCCTCGACGCCTGGGTCAAGGAGTCCGGCAACATCCCGCAGGCCCTGCGCAGCAAGCTCGCGCTCAAGGCCTTCGAGCAGACGGCGAAGTACGACGCGGCGATCAGCGATTACTTCAGGCAGCAGTAAGTGTTGTTTCCATTCGCGCGTCAGATACTTTGTGTTTGCTGGAGAGGGTGATTGCGTCTGCCACAAGCCTTGTCTGCTAGACCTCGCATTTGGAGTTTCCCTCAAAGCCCAATACTGACCTTCATCCAAGGTACGCCTCCACGGACTCCCCCGCGTCCTCAAGCGCGGGCATCATCCAGCGCACCCCGCTACGCTACGGCGCGAACCCGCACCAGAAGCCTGCGCAGGCGTTCGTAACGGAGGGCGAGCTGCCGTTCAAAGGTGAGTGCGAGATATCCTCCCCCCATGTTTTTGTGGCGCGAGATACGGTGCTGATCAATACCCTTCCTGTACAGCCCTCTGCGGCTCCCCTGGCTACATCAACCTCCTCGACGCCCTCAACGCATACGCGCTCGTCTGGGAGCTCTCGCAGGCGCTCGCTTTGCCTGCGGCGGCTAGCTTCAAGCACGTCTCCCCCGCCGGCGCGGCCGTCGGCATCCCCCTCGACGAGACGGAGCGCAAGGTGTGCGGGGTGGATGATCTGGTGAGTTCTCGTTACTTGTTCAACCGCGCCGCCTTACAGGAGCTAACACGACTCTCAGTCCGTCGAGCTTACCCCCCTCGCCTCCGCCTACGCCCGCGCACGCGGCGCCGACCGCATGTCCTCCTTCGGCGACTTCATCGCGCTCTCGCACCCCTGCGACGTCGCGACGGCGAAGATCATCTCGCGCGAGGTCTCCGACGGCATCGTCGCCCCCGGCTACGAGCCCGCCGCGCTCGACATCCTCGCGAAGAAGAAGGGCGGGAAGTACTGCGTCCTCCAGATCGACCCCTCCTACACCCCGCCCGCGATCGAGACGAAGCAGGTGTACGGCATCTCGCTGCAGCAGCGCCGCAACGACGCGCTCATCACGCCCGGGGAGTACTTCAACGAGCGCGTGACGAAGAACACGGAGGTGCCGAAGGACGCGCTGGTCGATTTGACGGTGGCGAGCGTGGCGCTCAAGTACACCCAATCCAACTCCGTCGCGTACGCGAAGGCCGGGCAGCTTATCGGCATTGGCGCGGGCCAGCAGTCGCGCATCCACTGTACGCGCCTGGCGGGCGGGAAGGCGGATATCTGGTGGTTGAGGCACCACCCGAAGGTGCGCACAGCTTAAAGGGCTGTCATACTGGATGAGCTCATTGATTCCTCTTTAGGTCCTCGCCCTTCCTTTCAAGAAGGGCACGAAGCGCGCCGACAAGGCGAACGCGGTCGAGCTTTACGTGTCGCTTACCGAGGGCGACGAGCTCGATGAGGTGGACGCGATCGAGAAAGAGGCGTTCGATAAGCTTATGGATGGTGCGTGCATTCACCCTTATGCTTCCCTCATTTCGTCGCGCCCTCCCTCTTCCAGCTCCCTCTTACTCCTTCCCCAATCCGAAACACGCCGCTGACCGCTCCCCAGGCCCCGCCCCCCTCCTCACCAAGGCCGAGAAGAAGGCGTGGGCGGCGCAGCTCGCCGGCGTCGCCTGCTCCTCCGACGCCTTCTTCCCCTTCCCCGACAACGTGCACCGCGCGCGCAAGAGCGGCGTCGCGTACCTCGCCGCGCCTGGCGGAAGCGTGATGGACGCGGAGTGCATCAAGGCGGCGGACGGGTATGGGATGGTGGTGTGCAGGACGGCGTTGCGGTTGTTCCACCACTAGAAGTCGTTGGTCCAACAGATGGCAGTGGAGATTCATCATGAGGGCTTGAGGGCTTGAGAGCAAGTCCGGAATGAGTACGGTATTGGGGGGACGAGGTCGAGGATGGATGAAACTGCAAAGAGAAGTGCCACAAAATCCAGCGCCCCATGGGCCGACCTTTTTGTGTTTTATTGATAAAACTTAACTGTAGCTAGTAGCGTTGCTGTTGTATGTACCTTCAACAGGTGTACTGAATGTATCCGTATGCAATCCCGTGTCCGATTGCGCGTAAAGGAACCGCTACTGTATGTAGCTAAAATTGATCTCCCATCAGGTACTAGTAGCAATCGAAAAAAGGTCCATGTCATAGTCCTGAGCATTGTTCAAGCATCAAACGATCGTCCACAAAAACGAGTGTAGTCGATGTAGTCCAATCAAGCAAAGCAGACTTAGATGTGCTTCGCTTTCGCAGCCGCCTCGAGCTCGGCGAAGTGACCGCTCTTGAGGCACATGGTCCTGAAAATGCCACCCTCTCTCTCGATGAGATTGGCCGGCGTGTCGAACTCCGCGATCTATAGGACTTTCAGTCAGCCATCCAAGCACCAACTGTACACCTCCCGAACGCACCTGTCCCTTGTCCAGGACAATAAGCCTATCATAGTCTATCACCGTTCTCAGCCGGTGCGCCACCGTGATCAACAGCGACCGCCCGAACTCCTCTCGGATCGTCTGCTGGATCTTGCGATCCGTAGCGAAGTCGATGCTTGACGTCGCCTCGTCGAGGATGATCACCGAGCTCTGACGGAGGAGCGCACGCGCCATGGCGACCAGCTGCCGCTGGCCCTGCGAGAAGTTCGTGCCGCCGGGGGAGACTTGCGTGGAAGGGCCAATGGTGGTCTTCGCCTCGACGTTTGTAATGGAGGAAGTCGGGCTGCTGGGTGCGGGCGTGGCCTGGGAACCGCCGGTAGGGGTGTCGGCGCGAGAGGCGATGGTGGTACCGATCATTCCAACGCGCTCTAGCACGTCGAATATCTCACTATCTTCGTGCTCGCCTGCTAGTCGTTAGCTCTATTGCAAAGACTATCGTAGCGTCAATATTACCGAATGGGTCCTGTGAGAGGTAGTCAGTATCTGTTACGATGACCTGACCCTCATCACTTACCAGGTTGTCTCTGAGAGTTCCAGAGAATAGTGTCGCGTCCTGCGGGATAAACGTCTGCGCGACGGTGGATCAGTCGACATATCAATTGGCAAGAGGAGCACATACAATGCGAGACCGAAGATCCTGCACTCCGATGGTCGTAATGTCAATACCGTCGATGACGATCCTCCCACTCGAGGGATCAACCTATAGCATATGAGATACCAGAATCAGAAAGCCACAGCGCATGACTCACGAAGCGCAAGAGCGACATTGCCAGTGTACTCTTGCCAGATCCAGTCCTTCCGAGGAGACCGACGCGCTCGCCACCGCGCAGGTTGAACGAGATGTTCTGTATGACAGCCGGAAGCTCTGGCGAGTAGCGGATCGAAAGGTCCTCCACAGACACAAGTGATTCGCTATTGTTTGACGGCCAGTATGCGGGCGGACGGTGATCCTCGATGATCGCAGGAGGCTCTTGCGGCAGGTCCAGGTATTCGACGACGCGCTCGACGGAGCTGGAAAGCATGAGTAATTGGAGGATTGTACAAATGAAAACCAACTCACTTCAAGTCGAGCTCGAGAGATGTCCAATTCCGGCACTGAAAGTACGTTCAGCAGAAGGAAGGGAAGAAGAGGCTCACACTCACCGCCCAGTAAAGCGCGTCTGTAAAGCCCAACGCGGACGTAATGCAGAGACCAGCAATGCCGGCATTGAGGCTCGAGATCGAGAATATCATCGTAATCAAGACAGCCAAACCGCCGAGGGTGCTGATACACCATTGCAACCACCGGTTGGTCAGCCAGTAGACGTAGTAGCATTTTGATGTCGCGTCGATCATATTGTGCATGTTGTTCATAAAGCGCTTTTCCGCGGAAAAGGCCCTGACGGTCACTACAAGAGCGTGAGATGGCCCACCATTGACAGATACGTCGATAAAGCCCCTTACCAATTCCCTCGAGCACTTCTGCGAAGTCCGAGAATATGGGAGAGCGCGTATTAGCCTCCAATCGGCGAAGGTCTCTGCCGGTCTCCAGATACCCGATAGCGCACTCCCGGAATATGAGGCCAATCACGATGGCAGGGAGGAGGAAGGCGGGGAACACGACGCTATAAAAGACTGGTAAGTCAGCGAACTCTCAAACTCATCTGGTATTGACTCACGCGATAGTCAAAACCGCAACGAAGCAGGTTGCTAGCGACGAATTGACGGACTGAAGTGAGCTTGCCAGGGAGCTGTCGACAGTTTCGATGTCCTGTGCTCATTGTCAACAAACACACTGTCCACTTTTTGAGACATTCGCACCTTGCCAAAGCGGTTGAGTAGGCGACCTTGCGGTGTAGTGTCGTGGAAGCGGAAGGTTGCATGAACGACCGCAAACAACAGACGTCTATACAAGATGTTAGAAACTGTCCTTGCGGTTTACCGATCCACCGACCTGAACAGCAACCGCGACGCTCTGAGGCCGCCCCAGAGCTGAGCGGAGATCGCCGATACATTGACGATGGCCGTCATGATACCAATGGCAGCGTATGTGAAGACGTAGAACAGTGGGTGCTCATTAGCGTCCGGCCAGTGTATCTCGGAAGTCGTCACGTCGCCGGAGGCATTCAACGAATGATGTATCGGGTAGGCGCTGCTTGAGAAGGAAACCTGGTTCTCGTCAGATCCGCTCGAAATGAACGCGGAGTAGTGATGGTCATTGGCCTGATGGCCATACGCCCGACCCCAGATCTACGACAGTCAGTCAGTCGTGCCAGTGCCAATCGAATATTCATACGTACTATGATCCAGATCTTCTCCCCGACGCCGAGAACCTCTTTGGCAATCACGATGAAGAACAAGATGCCCCAGATCCAGTAAGATCTTGTTGAGGTGTCAGTATGCGCCGATGCATCCCCTACAAAGCACGCACGATGCTCCCAGGTAGGTCTTGTAAATGTGCCACTTCACGCCTCCGACCTCGCGATGCTCGTCCTTGATTAGCTGACGAGGCTTCTTCGCTACAGCGGTCTCTTCAATATCCACGACATCATCGCTAGGCCCAGCCTTCTCCTGGAGTGAGGTGCCCTCAACCTTGTGCGCTTCCGCCTCCTCGGATTGAGCGATATCCTCGAGAACACCCTTAACGCGCAAGTCTTGTACCGAGCCTTGCGTATCGATGCGTCCATCGAGCATGCGAATGAGGTAGTGCGCGCCGGGAAGGACCAGATCGACGTGATGAGTTACGAGGACCTAGCGGGACGATTACTTTTGAAGTTGATGCGAAGGAGACTCGCTACTTACCACTGTCCTGTTCCGCAAGAGAGGACCACACAGCAGGCGTTCGAAGAGGAACCGCGATGTATGACTATCCTGCGACAAAGTTGGCACAAACTTCCACTTCAGGAACAGAAGAACGTACCACTGCACTCAAAGGATCATCCAGCAGTACATATTTCGCCCTCGCATATACTGCGCGCGCAAGAGCTACGCGCGCTTTCTGGCCTCCGGAGAGGTTGACACCGCTGCATGCAAGCTCAGCACGGCCATTTTGACACGATCGCTTGACGTACCGTGCCCCAATCTCCGTCTCGTCACCATCCTCGAGCATATCAAAGTCGGGCTTCAGAGCGCAGCATTCTACAACCTCGCGGTAACGCGCCTCGTCGTAGGGATAGCCAAACAGGATATTGTTCTTGATAGACTGGTGGCGTAACCACGGTGTTTGGGCAGCGTACGAGATCGAGTGCGCCATTCCGTGTTCGTCGATACGTTGAGGGTTCTTCTCGAGTAGGAGACGGCCGTTCACCAAGGTCATTTCGCCAAGAACCGCCAGCTGAGATATAATTGATTAACGTCCTACTGTATCCACGGTCTGGCCAGCAACCTACCAGAAGAGCCGTCTTCCCTGACGCGGTAGGTCCGGTAACGATGGTGAGCTTGCCCTCCGGGAATCGTACAGAAATATCTCGTAGCTCAAAGTAGTTGTTCGCGCCGTTCGTGGAGTCCACACAGGATACAATGGTGTCCGCCGTCGATGCCGTATCCGGTGAAGGCTGATCCGCAGCAGGTTTGACGTCGGTTTCTTCAGACTCCACCGTATTCCACCTGAATGTGCCGTTCTCGATGCCCAAGGCGCCGACGTTGTCGGTGGTCTGCGACTGAGGCGCTGACAGATCTTTCTTGAGTGAGGACACCTGCTCTGTAACCTCATCCTCGTCGAGGAAGACCGCGATACGCTTCAGCGCGACGTTGCACTGTTACTGAGTCAGTACTTGGGCTTTATTGTCCCCCAACTTATCTCGCACCTGCAGGATTTGCATAATGACATTCGGGATGTTGTTGAGGGGCCACCTGCACGGCTCGTGAGCATACCCAATCTCCAGGACCTCGTTGAGACGCCGCATACCTGAGCATAGTAAACAGCGCAATCGCCTGCTATATTTCAGCGAGTTATTGAGGACGGTATCACCACGAGGCTCACCGTAAACGCTGTAGCGATGGTCAACTGGTGTCCCGTTGCCACAAAGACGCAGAACGACGTCGCGCTGATCAGGATAGGCGTGAGGGACCAAACTGTGTAGAACAAGACTGTGTTCAAGCGGGCTTTGATCATCCACTTCATCTCGTTTTCCCGCGCATCCAGGGTGCGCTCGATCCAACGACTCTCCCAGGCGAAAAACTTGATGAACTTGATCTGCATCGCGTGTCAGGACATCGCAGAACTGTACCATAGAGGAGACGAACGCACAGCAGTGACGACCTCGTTGAGCACGCCCATACGCTTGTCGCGAGCTACGGATACGCCCTTCTGAATCCTGACGCTGCGACGGCCGATCATGCTGTTGAGCGGCGACAACACAGGGATCACAAGAAAGCCCGCGAACGCGGACCAGCCCAGCAGTTGGTACAGGAAGATGGAAGCGACGGTGATCTCGAAGGGAGCTGCGGTGAGGCAGATGGTGAGTCTTGCGCATATGCAAAAGCGTCGAAGTCGTACCGGTGTAGAAAAAGTAAAGTTGGTTGACCAAGTTCGAGATCTGTGGGAGCTTAGCAAAGGCTACATGCAGACAATGCCACCGTGACATACGCGACTGGCATCGGCGGACATGAGGTTGACGATCTTGCCTGTGTCAGCGCCGGCTCTTGGATTCAGGTTTTCAGGCGTTTCTTGGCTTTTCCCTACGTTGGGTTTCAGCGACGGGTCGATGGAAAGGAAATATGGAGCTCACCGTCAGCCTTCCCCTTCGCATCCTTCACCGCATCTGCGTCCACCAGACCGGAGAAGTCCTTGCGCTTCAGCGCCTTGTCGTAGATGGCCGCCATGAGCTCGGACTTCATGCGCGTCGACGCCCTTCTGCTCAGCCACAGATGCTGCATGTCGATACAGCATCTGAGCATCACAGCCAGGAAGGATAGCAACGCATACAGATAAGCCCGTGACCGCTGCTGATTATCCGACGCGTCGGCATGATCCACCGCATCAAGGATTGCCTTCAGCAGGTACACGCGAGCATAGCCGAGAGCGACGCCGAAGAAGTGACCAACACCGTCCATAATGATGTCAAAAGAGTTCGCCCAGAAAAGTCGCTGCAGTAGACTGGGGACCTTCAAGGAGCTGAACTTGATGAATACCGGGCGGGATCGCATGATTGGGCTCAGATTCCAGACGTCGGTGAGGTCAAGCGTATTGTATCGTCCTTTCCTGATGAAGGCATACACCCAGCTGAAGGTCAGCCATTCGAACAGGGTGACATAGTCTTCGGGGATGTCGCGCTTGCCCTACAAGAAAGGTGAGTTCGATAGAGAGCTCAGATTGAGAGACGCACTATTTCCTCTTTGTCAATGCTATCACTTGGAACGTTGAGCTGGGTCTGCAAGACGACTCCAAACACGAGAAGGACGGCAGCGAGGTGGAGTGATTGGGCGACTAGAGTCAGAGTGGAAGGCCAAGGGACGCCGTTTATGGCGTGATCGAACATCACGCCGCCCAAGATAATCACAGCGCCGAAGAGATGGGCACAGAACAGGACGAAGAGGTCCCAGGGGACCGTAGTCGGAGGGCGAATCACTGGACGACCTGCGGCGTATATCCATGTCCCTGCCATCAGCAGCGCCTGCAAGCCCACCCAAGCGCCCTCATCCTTCAGAATGAAGGTCGTCGATGCGATCGCAGTCCAGCAGAGCGCCTCTGACAGGCTGACGAAGGTCAGAACCACAGTGCGCCACAAGGGCGCGGCAGGCGCGATCGAGAGCGAGTGGGCGTCCCCTGCGATGCTCAGTGCCTCCGCTTCATGCACAGATAGGAAGACGCGGAAGGGGGCCTTGATCTTGCCCAGGATGCGGCTGGCCTTATTGGGAAGAGGTAAAGCGCCCAGGCTGATGAGGAAGACAATCAGGGTAGGGAGGATTGCGCTCCAAGCGCCGCGAACGCATCCGCTGGCAAAGTCGAACGCGCCGTTCTCCCCGCATAGAGCGCTCATGGCGGTAGGAAGCAAGCAAGATATGAAGATATAATTAGGCTCCTCATGGAACAAGAGCGATAGACGATGGCGAGCGAGGAACGGCGAGCTGCAACTGAATCCTCATCGTTTTCCGTCCACCGCGCGCGAAACCGGGCATCGCAACCCGCGAGGTCATTCAACCTGTGGAAGCTGTATCAAAGAGCTATCAAGGAGAGGGCAAGTGTAGCCGCTACAGGAACAGGCAGACCTGAGCGTCAAGCACTGCAAGATAAGTACCCGTGGCGGTCGGGAGCAAGTTAGGTTATTGTCCCGATTAGGACGTTTCTTTGTCGCCCCTAGTAGCGGGGTCCGTTCGTCGAGATTCAAAATGATACAGTGAACGGATACTTCCGTGACGCAACGCATCCACATAAGTTATCTGTCTATGCGTACAAGTACAACAGCGCGAAAGCAAACATAGAGAGCGGCATTCTACATGGTCATGAACGAGAACAGGTTGTTGAGGCTGACCCAACGACGTCCACACATATCTAGATAGCGGTCGGTGCAGGCTCGGAGCGTGTCCAACAATACCACATTGCCTGCAGCCAGCCCCTGAACCTTGTCTAGCGTATCGTCAACTTCGAGATGCCAATGTCAGCCTATGGGACTTACCATGCTCAACCCTCGCATTCCCCTTGGACTTTGCAATCTCGAACGCCTTCTCGACGTCGAACAACGAAGAAAAGTACTTCAGCTGCGTGTAGAGTTGCGCGTCCGTATACTGCAGCTTGGTTTAGCGTCTGCTCGTAGCCTGCGAGGCGAACTCTTACCTCGAACGATACCTTGCCCTGACACCCTTCCCTCACACAATTATGTCCATAGACGCCCATTCGCCTGGTCCGCTGTCCGCACGTCGGATCATCGCACACCGTCCAGCCCTCGTAGTACCGGGTGATGAAGCCCCTGATCTGCGCTTGAAGCTGCATCTCGAGGGACCAGGGTTGGAGCTTCTCTTGGCAAGCAGTGCATTTGGCGCCATCAGGGTGAAGCATGGGATCCTGCGAGCTAGGGTCAGCACGGCTTGCCATTCACTAAGCAAACATGCACTCACCCTCGGCACACCCGTCGGGTCAACAGTCTGCTCATTCAGGCGGGCAAATACATCGGTGGCCTTGCACTTCCGACACCGCACGAAGAAGGCGACGCAGTCCTTGAACCGTTCGCGATCCGACATCTGGGTCTCCAATGTCGAGATGGATAGCTCGTCAGAGGCGCTATTCGACACTTTGTATCGTTGAGGGTCCAAGCCTGCGCGAGATTCGTCAGCTCTAGCAGGGAGGACGGACAGAAAAGGGACGCACCAAGGCATTCAGCAAGTCGAGCACGATCAGTGCCTTCGATAGGTTCGCAAAGACGCTCGATGGGCGGTAAAACTTGCTGAGATAGGTAGTGCTCGTAGTCTGCAATGCAATGCCAGCGAGTTAAGCTTTCGCTGATCATCCCTGGGACGCAGATACATACCGATAATGAGGCCCGAGCCCGAACGACGAACATCGTCCGGATGCTTGGCCCGGTCTGCCTGCGATGTCTTCCCTGCCGTCTCCTCGCCTTCTGGTAAGCAGAAAACGTAGGGAATGACATCTCCCGCGCGTGCGCTAGAACCTTTGGCTTTCATCCTCAGCGCGACTTGGACGTGCGGCTGGGACTTTGCGTCGGGATAGTCCTCGGGGTTCTTTCCCAAGCGCTGCGAGGACGTTAGACCCATTATCGAAACGCTAGCAGAGGAGCTTGACGCACCTTGAAGATGATGAATTCATCCAAAGGCACTTTCCCTCCGCGCACATCCTCGCCAATCTTGGCCAGGTACTCGTGGATCTCCTCCACGACAATCTCCGTCGGCTCCCCAGACAGGATCCGATCTAGCACGTACCTTGCGGCCCAGTTAGCAAGGCGAATATAGCAACCCATGATCATCCACTTACTGCGACACCCGCTTCGACAGCTGCGAGTACTCTCGGCGCTTCATATCCAAACCCTTGATCTCCGTTGTGGTCGTCGACCCATCCACCTTGATCGCCGCATACTTCTTCTTCTGCAAGAGCAATAGGCGCTGGAAGACACCGTCGAGGTCAATCTCGAGCAGTCGGTAGCGGTCGTTGACAGCTTTCTTGAACTCGTTGGCGATCTTGAGGGCTTTGGAGAGCTCGGTCTGGTTGGAGTTGACGAAGACGGAGTCCGTGTCGCCGTAGACGACCTAGGCAAGCGGTGAGTACGACAGTGACAAGCAGCGAGAGGAACATCGCTCACGTCGAGGTTCATGGTCCCTGCAAGCTCAGCAGTGTTCGTCAAGATCTCACGACCTTGGCGTGTCGTCAAAGCCGCGAGGGGTCGGGCATAGAACCGCGAGTACTCGAAGCCCAGACAGCCGTACATACTGTTGGCAGTGAGCTTGAGCGCTTGCTGCTTGATGTCGTACTATCAAGATCATGCGTTAGGAACGATACACCGTGTAAGGTCACGATACACACCTGCAAGTACTGAGCCTGCGTAACGTTCTTGTCCTTCATCAGGTTCTTCACTTGTCGCCGACGACTGACGAGCGTGGCGATAAGCCTCGGCAAGACACCCTGCCCAGCCTCGCTACTCGGCAGCTCCGCCTCATCGTCCGGAGTCTGTCCAATGTCAGTTCCCTGCACCCATCACCAAATTTAAACCCACTCACATCATCATCCACCCGACTAACCGTCGTAAAGTCGATATTGTACTCCTGTATGATACTCGGGTACAGCGAGTTGAAGTCCATGACCAGGATGTACGTCTCCCACAGCTGCCGCTTCGGCGCCAGCACGAGACCACCCTTGTACTTGTCGCGCTTCGCGCCCTTCTTGCTGGTGCCGCCGCCCTCCTCGTCAGGGTCCTCGCGGACGGGCGCGGCCTTCTTGCCGTAGGTCTTGTCGGGGCAGATGTACTTGAGGCGGTGGAATTCGTGCAGCAGAATGTATTCGTTGCGCTCCGCACGACCGCCGTTGAGGGTCTTGTTCCTGGAGAAGCATAGGCGTTAGACGTTGAACGGGCTACCAAACATCAATCGTACCATGAGTTACCCGCAAGCTGCGTCAGCTGCTTCGTCAACGGCAGGATTTGAACCTTCGCCGCGATAGCCATCTGCAAGTGGGCGTCGAGCTCACAGTGGCGGACGAACGTCAGCAACCTGTCCGGGTTGCTGACCGACCCGTCGAAGTAACTAGCCGTGTCATCCGGGTCAATGTCCTGGCGCTCGACCTTCAGATGCGTCTTGCACATCTCGGTCATCGACCATGTTGTCGAGGGGATCATGCTCTGTGAAACATAGGTCAGTTACTTGCGGCGACTTGACTCAGTGTGCAACGTACCTTCGCTCCATCACTCGACAGGTCGCAAAGCATACGACCATTCATGAACCGGATATTCGTCCCCTCCTTCCCGATATGCGGCCACTTGGAGCGTCTGAAGCGGCCTATCCGGGACCAATGGTCGACCGTCAGCTCCTTCATGCGCGTGAGCAGCACGTCCAGGGTTACGCCGACGAAATCGTGCCCGACGATGACATCGGCGTCCGCGCGGTGGAGGGCGACTGAAAGCGGCATGTATATATGCTTCAAATGCGAAGAGAGGGGCAGGACGTACTCAAAAGACTACTCAGCAGCATACGCTCGTTCTTCGCCGCAGTAATCGTCCCCCTCATATTCTGCTTCGCGCACGCCTCGAACCTGGGCGGGAACTTGTCCAGCGGTCGCACGAACGTCTGTACCGTGCATGGCAGTCTCTCCGGTGGCGTGGGGTCGTCGATGTCGACTGGGGTATCGCAGTCAGTCAGCTCGTTCAATTCATAGTACGCACGGTCACTCACGATTATGCCATATCCTCGCCGTCGCGCACACAATCTCACGCTTGTTCTGCACGTGGTTCACAATCGTGCGCACGCTCAAGCTCATCACGGTCAACGGCGGCGTTTCCTTCGGCGCCTGGTGGTCTGTCTCGGGGAATGGGTTGATGTCCTTGGGGTCGGAGACAGTGGCCTCGAACTTGCACCAGGAAACCTAACGAGGCGTCAGTTTCGGTGACCTGAACGACTGTTTGATGAGGCGCACCCCTTTAAAGTTGACATCTGGGTTCTTGATCTGCAGCCAGCAAGGACCCATGATCTTCCTCTTGAGGACGAGCAGCTCAAATGCAGAAGTATTCGTGCCGAAGATCTTCAGGATATTCGGACTTATTGCGTCCATCGGAATCGTTGGCTCTGCTACGATATTAGAACCTCACCACACCGCATCCTCAGCATCACACTCACCCGTGAATGGATATACCACCTTCAACCACGTACTCTCCCCCCTCGGCACCTCCTTGTCACCAAACGCATACTTCCGCTTCACGAACTTCCCCTTCCACTGCTTGATCTTCAGCGCGCCCCGGATCATGTCAAAGTCATTGTACACATCCTCCATCTCCACCGGCTCGTCCGTATCGTAGATCTCCCCGTCGCTCCCTTGCTCTACGCGCTTCTCGCGGGGCAGAACGAACAGGTTGCGCTCGATATTTTCGACAGTGACACAGCACGAGTGCCACTGGTTTGTCTTCTTGTCCTTTAGCTTGCCGATGAAGTACACATTCCCGTTCAGCTCCAGGTAGTCAAGCCAGAAGAAGCGAAGCGAGCCATCGGGCTCGAGCGCGTCTATGCCTGCGTGTTGCGCAGAAGTGTGGGTAGTAGTGGAGGGCCCGAGCTTGTCGGTCTCGGCAACGTTGAGGGACTCGTAGACGTTGATCCAGGACGGCTTGGTGTCGATCTCCTTCTCCTTGGGCTTAGCGGGTGTGGCGTTGGCGCTCGGGAAGGGCTTCTTGTCGACGAGGACCTCCGGCTTGGCCGGTGGCGGGTCCACCTTAGGCTTCGCGGGAAAGTCGAAGTCCATGTCGTTGTCCCAGTCGTTGAGGTCGTCCATGGTGATGTCGTCAAAGTCCATAGCTGCAAGCGAGTTGGTGGTCGCGGCCATCGTCGTCGCTTCTGTCCTTGGGCGTTTAGTCGGGCTGCGGATGGGCTCGTCCTCGTCCTCGAGCGGAGCTAGTCCGTCCGACGATGTATCCGGGTAGTCTGACGCGATGGGGGACGAGCTTGGAGGGACCTCCCTGTCGCGTTCCCTGTAGCGGTACTTGTCCGTTGATGATTTGCGCTCGGGGGATGGTGCGGGCTTGCGCTTCCTCGACGTACGCGTCGTAAGCGCTGGCTTTACAGGCACCGTGTCGAGCTCGCCGAGCAGGTTCGCCATGAAGTCTTGCTCTTGCTCCTCCGTCACCTTCGGCCGGTACGCGTTCATGGAGGGCGCCGGCTGCGGGGGAGGAGGTGGTTTGGCTTTCGCCTTCCCCTTGGCAGACTTTTTGGACTTCTTGTCTGCATATGTAAGAGAGAGCACAGTGACGAGGGGATTCAGGGAAGGTCATTGGATAGTCAGTAGATGTAGTGCACGACGAAGCGCCACCACGCACCTCGACGCCTATCGTCCTCTTCGTCATCATCGTAATCACGAGTAGCTTCCCACTCCTCCACGCCCGTGTCCATGTACCCATCCACGCCATCATCTTCGACGAAATCGTCCTCCTGAAGCCGTCCGCGTACGATCGCGCGATATTGCTCCTCGCTGACTTCGTCGTAGATTTCAGTGTCCTCTTCTTGCTATAAGTGGAAGGGCACATCAGCGGGGGTACGCAAGTATAAGAAACATTCAACGCACCTTTAGTACGCGCTTGCCGCCCGCGCGCACGCGCTTCAGCTCGGCTAGCTGCTCTAGCTTCGACTTGCGGTTGCTCATGCTATGTGGTTGGCGATGTTATGCTGGGTGGCGACGCGTCTTCGATGTGTTCTACGCGACTTGAGTAGTCTTATCGTCCTCAGAGACTTTCGATGCGGCTGTCCTCCCTTACGCGTCGCGATAGTGAGGTGTGTGCAGAGGAGCGTGGGGAACGTGGTAATCTACACTGATGGACGCGGTGCACGTGCAATGCACATGATTCAACATCGGCGCTTCGGAACGAAACCCCGATGCCAATTTTGAGCAAGGGCATTGGCCGGTGTCGGTTGTGCACGGGGGTAGCGAAGTGTGCAAGCGCGCATGATTCTTCCAAGTACAAACCTCGTTGCGTTTACAGCATACTGCACGATGTTTCCGTCAAAACACTGGGTAATACCCAAAATTTGGCTGTCTGACTGACTCTGACAATGTGAAGGGGCAGGCAAAAACAGCGAGAGGGGAATAGAATTAGTGTACAGTAAGGGAAAGCGGGATACAATCCTGCAAATCTACGATGACTGCTTCTCCGGCTCTACCACCTCAGCCTCCTTCGGAGCATTCGTCAGACCGTGCTGAGCAAGCAACTCGGCCAGTTGACCGCTCTGGTGCACTGAGGCGACGTCAGAATAAGTAGTGGGAGCGAAGAGGGCTACGCACTGGAGATGATGATATCACAGCCCCCGACGAACTCGCCATTGACATACACCTGAGGGATCGTCGGCCACTCCCTGTGAACAGAACGAGTCAGTCATTGTCCAAGCCCGATCACCAACTGGATACGCACGAGTACTCTTTGATATCATTCCTCAACTCCTCATCCTCCAAGATGTTGTACGTGTGCACCTTCTCGGGGGGAACGTCGTGGAGATCGAGCACCTGCACAACGGCGCGCGAGAAACCGCACTGAGGGACCTGTGGTGTGCCCTTCATGAATAGGACGAGGGGCGCGCCCTTGACCATCTTGTCGAGCTCAGCCCGTGCCTGGTCAGTTATGGAGCGCGCGAGAGTGGGTGTCCGGCGGAGGAGGGTGGGCCTGGGCAGCGTCCGGGCTGCGAAGAGGGGACGGGAGGAAATCGAACGAGCGAGCGTGGGGGCAGATGTGGTCGCAGAGCGGCGAACCTAAGGGTGTTCCGTGAGCACATACATATCAGAGTTCAGGAGGACTCACCACAGGCGCAACCCTCTTCGAAGCTAGTCTGAACATGGAGGCGGACATGGTGGTAGAGCGGAAGGACGTCGTTAGCAATCCGTGCTTGCTTCCTCCGGAGCAGACTCGCCCCAGTCCGGCCCGACCCACCGTCCTTCCCACGCCTGCGCTCCGTTCCAAAAATAGCACCAATGCCGTTGAGCCTGGCGAGTTGACTTTACATCCCACTCGTTCCTCGCTCGCCCTCTGCCCTAGCTTGCTCTCCGCCGCCATGACCGCGCTCGCTATATGCGGCGACCACGGCGCGCTTGACTTTGCGAGCAGCTGCGTACGCGGCGCGTGGAGCGCGTTCCTGCCCGCCGTTGTCGTGCTACTCCTATGCGTTAGCGCGATACCTCTGCCGGCGAAGGCGTACCGCGTCCTCGACACGCTCAGGTCCCCCTTCCGCACCTTCCTACCATTACATGAAGCCGAAGCAGTGGACCTCGCCGAGGAGGAGGAGAAGCCGGCTCCCTCCCCTGTCACTGTCCAGGCAGTGGCACCCCTATGGCGGACTGTGGTGTTGACCTTCGTCGGCCTCGTCGAGACGCTCTGCTGGATTGCGACTGCGTCCTTCACTATCATTGTCTACGACGGAAGCGTCTGGGGCGGCCTGATATCCCTTATCGTCGCGGCGACCTGGCTGTACGCGACAGTGCGCCCCGTAATGCGCCCGCCTATTACCGTGCCATGGGACCTCTTCGTCTTGTATTGCGCACATCTCATTGGCGCGGTGCTCAACCTCGGAGGAATCATCTTCGATCACGACGTGTACTCCACTCCACTCCCTTCTCCGGTGGCATTGACCGCGCGAATCCTGCACCTCGCCGCAGTGGTCTTCCTGCTCGCCATCGTGCTGCAGACCCCGCTCGACATACCGAGTGACAGGGTCAAAAAGGAAGACATTGTGCGTGCTACCCTATTCAAGGCATCCGAATATGCTAACTCGCATCCCAGGGCACACGCATCATCCCTGAAGACTACGTGACCCTCTTCCAATGGATCACCTTCGCCTGGGTCTACCCCATCGTCAAAAAGGGGCGCTACAACACCCTGGAGCTCACCGACGTCTGGGACCTCAGCCCCTCCATCCAATCCCGCCCCATCTTCATCAAGTTCAGCAACCTCAAAGTGCCCACCCTCCTCCAACGCATCTTCTGGGCCAACTCCCTCGACCTCATTATGGACGGCGTCGGGCAGTACTTTAGCGTCGCGTTCAACTACGCCGGCCCGTTCTTCCTGAAGAAGATCCTGGATGCCGTGAACAACGCGGATGCGTCGCACGAGCAGCGGTCGTTGGCGTATATCTATGCGCTCCTGGCATTCGTGTGCACGCTGATGAAGGCGGAGGTGGATGTGCAGCACCTGTGGAGCAGCAGGCGGTCGTCGACGCGTATTCGGAGCGAGCTGATGGCGGCTATCTACGACAAGGCGCTGAAGAGGAAGGACTTCTCGGGGTTGGTGGACAAGGATGGCAAGAAGTTCAAGGAGGAACCGAAGGAGGCAGGAAAGAAGAATAAGTCGAAGGGTCAGTGCATTGTCCAAAGGCTCATAGCTTGCCCTGCTGACCGGCACATAGGCAAAAAGAAGGACAAGCCCGTAGAGCTGGATCCTAAGGCGGGCGCTGATACTGGCAAGATTGTCAACCTGATGGCGGTCGACGCAAACAGGGTATGCCATGAGCTGAGACCGCCACTGTCACGGGCTAACGAATCGCAGATTTGTCAACTGGTGGCCGGCCTCTACTTCCTGTATTCAGGTGGGCTCATGCTTTTTATCTGTTTGTCTTCTGGATTCCTGATGACCCTCTGACCCTACCAGCCCCGTTCGAAATCGCGATCGCGTCCGTGTTCCTCTATCAGCTCCTCGGCTGGTCTGCGTTCGCTGGCTTCGTCGTCATCCCTTTCTTTTGGCCACTCAATAGCATGATCGCCCGGCGGAGCATCGAGATCCAGAAGGGCGTGATGGCGGCGCGGGACAAGCGAATGGGCGTCCTGAACGAGCTCATCAGCGCAGTGAGTAGAGATTGCCTCTTCGAACCTTCACTATTGTCTTCAGCACTCGTTCATGTCCTCTTGTCGAAAGCTTGGGCGCTGACACTTTCTCTAGATCAAGTTCATCAAGTTCTTTGCCTGGGAGAGCCGCTGGATCGAACGCACGATGGCCGCGCGCGAGTACGAAATGCGTTGGATGGTCAAGTCGCGCATCAACTCGGTCATGTTCTATATGCTGTGGGCGATCGCACCCATCCTGATTAGCGTCACGTCGTTCTTCGTGTATGTGGCGACGGGGCATAGGCTCACCGTGAGCACAGCGTTCACAGTGAGTGAGAGGTTATTTTGGTGGCGAAACGATCGGGCTGATGTGTTTAACAGGCGATTACGCTGTTCAACATGATCAGACAGCCGCTGAACACGATCCCAACTATGATCGTGCAAATCCTGCAGTGCAACGTCGCCCTCAAGCGTATCGCGGTCTATCTCGACGAGGACGAGGTCAGCGAACAGGTGTCCTCCCTCAAGAAGGACCTGTCGACACCGCAGCCTCAGGCCACCGGCGAAGACGACGTGCTCGCCATCGAGAATGGGACGTTCAAGTGGAACGAGGTCGAGCCAGAGAAAGCAACTAACGGCGTTGGTCACATCCAGTCACCTACGGATACGGCGTCGACGAGCGATACGATTGTCACGCACGATACCGCTTCAATCGCGGAGAGCGAGGCTGGCTCGGCGGTCTTGGATCATCACTTTGAGCTGCGGGATATCTCTGTCAAGTTTCCGGATGGGAAGCTTACGCTGGTTACTGGCCCTACGGCGTCGGGGAAAACGGCTTTGTTGGTGAGCCAATTTCCCTACTGAGCTCGATCGCAAGCTCACCACAGTCTGCAGATGGCTGTCCTCGGCGAAATGACTCTCCTCCAAGGTCGCCTCATCCTGGAGAAGAATCCGCACCGCGTCGACGAGCATGGCCTGATGCACTCCATCTCCTACGCCGCGCAGTCGCCGTGGTTGCGCCACCAGTCTATCAAGGACAACATTCTGTTCGGCTACCCCTACGACGAGGCGCGCTACCGGGAGGTCATCGAGTGTTGCGCGCTGAAACCGGATCTCAACATGCTGGAAGATGGGGATGCGACGGAGATTGGTGCACGGTGAGTGAGGGGTGTGGTGAGTATGAGAATAGACAGCTGATTGTTCTGGTCTGCAGTGGTGTTAGTCTTTCGGGAGGCCAGAAGGCCAGAGTCGCCCTTGCACGAGCAGTCTACGCGAGGACGAAGTATGTGCTGATGGACGATCCCCTGAGCGCAGTGGTAAGTTCGCGGTCCTCTCGTTGGGAAGGTATTGTTACTGACATTGGTGCAGGACAGCCACACGTCAAGGTTCCTCTTCGAGCGCCTTCTCTGCGGTCCTCTCCTGCAACACAGGACGGTAGTCCTTGTCACTCATCATGTCGATCTTGTCCTCCCCGGTGCCCACTACCTTATCCGCATGCTTGACGGACGCATCGACACCCAAGGCACCGTCAAGGACCTTCGCGCTCAAGGCTTACTTGATGACATCGCCAACACCGAAAGCGTCGAAGCACATAAGGCCGAGGAAGCTGTCGTCCAGGAAGAAGCCAAGGGTGACGAGGAGCCCGCTGAGGCGGATGCCGTTCACGGAGTCGCTGATGGCAAGAAGCCTCGCAAGCTCATCAAGGAGGAGCATCGTGAAGTCGGCGGCGTGAAGTGGCCCATCTACAAGACGTATTTGAAGGCATCGTGAGTAGCGCGTCATGCTCATTGTTAATTGCGAAGGCTGATGGTGGCCTACAGGTCCTACTGGATCTGGGGATTCCTCTTCTTCATCGTGCTTGTCAATCAGGTCCTTGGTGTCGGAGAAAGAATATGGATTATGGTAGGTGCTCTTGCTTGCTAGCGCCCCATCATGCTAACGGACATAGATCTGGGGCGAAGCTTACGGCCAGGAAGCCACTGTTCACTCACTGCATGCTGTCTCTAGCGGCTATGACCAGGACCAGGTCTCCTTCTCTGTCAACGCTCATCCAGTCCACTTCACTGCGAGCGCCTCAGAAGATGCCTTCACGACTACCAAGATCAACTGGCCAGACGCAAATGAGCACCCGCTCTTCTACGTGACGATTTACTCTGCTATCGGTGTGACGTCGGCGCTGGTGAACGTGATGTCGATCTCAGCACAGTTCTGGGGTGCGCTGAGGGCGTCGAGGTTGCTGTTCAGGCGCCTGCTGTTTGTGGTCGTACACGCCACCTTCCGCTTCCACGACACGACCCCGCAGGGTCGCATGCTTAACCGGTTTGGCAAGGTATGAAGCTATATACATCTCAAAGGAGGCCATGTTGCTGACGTTGATGCAGGACATCGAGACCATTGACACTTCCCTCGCGAGCTCTCTGCAGGCCGTCAACTCCTCGCTTGCGAGCTTCTTTGCTGCCGTCTTGACCATTGCGTAAGCGTTTGCTAATATTCGAGGTGGAAAAGTTTCTAACCCATATCTGCAGCGTTGTCTTCCCTGCCTTCCTATTCCCTGCCATTGTCATTGGTTTCGTATACAGGGAGTGCGCTGTTGGATACCTAAACACCGGTCGTGACCTTCGTCGGTTGGAGTCTAATACGCGGTCGCCTATCTTCTCTGACTTCGCTGAGCTCTTGGATGGCATCGGTGAGCAAGTTCGCCATATGTCCTTAGGCCGTAAACTCAGGTCTATGTAGTCACCGTCAGAGCCTTCGCGGCCGAGAAGCGCTTCTTAGACAACTTGCACAAGAAGATCGACACTACTACGAAATGCTACTATGTCTTCTGGATGACCAACAGGTGGTTGCTCTTGAGCTTCGACTCGCTTGGCGCGTTGTCCGTTTTGATAACGACGATCTTCGCTATCTCGAGCTTCAATGCTGGTCTCGCTGGTCTGTGTATCACATCTGCGATGTCCTTCACGATGTCGGTGTACTGGGCTGTAAGTGAAATTTCTCTTCTTCCCGGTCATGGCTCATGACGAATACAGTGTCGTTTCTGGACGGCTCTCGAGCTCGATCTCAAGTGAGTCATAAGACAATCACGAATACATCATAGCTCAAGGTGCCTCAGCTCTGTGGAACGTGTGGTCGAATACTTGGATCTTCCCCAGGAGCCTCCCGCTGTCATCGAAGACCACCGCCCACCTGCGTACTGGCCGTCAGCTAACAGCGAATCCCTGGTGTCCGTCGAGGACCTGTGGATCCGCTATTCGCCTGAGTTGCCACCTGTTATCCAGAACGTCTCCTTCAACCTGCGCGGCGGCGAGCGCGTTGGTCTCCTCGGGAGGACCGGCTCTGGCAAGAGTACTCTGGCGATGTCGCTGTTGCGATTTGTATGTCTTGTAATGTGATGCTTAAGTGGTGTACTAATGTTTTCTAGACCGACCCTTCGAGCGGGAGAATACTCATCGACGGCATTGACATCACGACAATTGGTATTCAGGACCTTCGCTCTCGTATCGTACGTCGGTGACTAGAATCCCTGCTACAGATGCTGATATCCTTTCTACAGACCTTCATCCCTCAGGATGCGACGCTCTTTTCTGGAACATTGAGGGACAATCTGGTGAGTTCAAGTTAGTTGCCAACGTTGTCATCTGACTGATTCATGTTCCACAGGACCCCTTCGGTATGCAAGACGACTTTACTTTACGGGCCGCTCACTGACTGTACCCTAGATGAACACGAAGACAGCGAAATTCGCGATGTCCTCGAGCGTGTCGGGATGACCGGCGGAAGTACACATCCCTCTCGAGCCGCATCTGCTGCCTCCTCGCGCGCACCCTCTCGCCCAGAGTCCCCCACCAACGGGCTGATTACCCCTGATCACCAGCTTGACGCAACCTTCCCCTCCTCTTCCGCGTCATCCATCATGACCGACGTGGACGCGAGGACCACCGTCACTCTGGACACGCAAGTGTCGGCAGGCGGCACGAACTTCTCGCAGGGCCAGAGACAGTTGATCGCTATGGCCCGCGCGCTGTTGCGCCAGAGTTCGGTGATCATCTTGGACGAGGCGACGTCGAGCATTGACTTCGCAACGGACAAGAAGATCCAACAGACTATCAGGGAGGAGTTCACAAACTCACTCCTCATCACGGTGGCGCACCGCTTGCGGACAGTCATCGACTACGACCGTCTCATTGTCCTGGACAAGGGGCAGGTGTGTAGATGTTGCACACGAAGGTGGGACAACACGCTGACAACCATACAGGTCGTCGAGTTCGACACGCCGTTGAATCTCATCGAAAAGGAAGATGGCATCTTCAGGAGCATGTGCTTGAAGAGCGGCCAGTTCGCGGAGCTCGAGGCTGCCGCGAAGGCGAAGCACATCTAGTCATCTACATAAAGCACTCTCGGGCGTCTCTATCGCTCTGGCTTTGCACTCGGTTTTCATTGTTTCTATCCGGACACCGCGTTCTCGTTCGAATTGCATTGCATCGCATCGTACCCATGTACTCTTAGTTCGCGCATCCTCATCTACTCGGGAACCTGCCCTGCACAGTAATTAGAATCAATCGCTTTCGTTGCATTCCTATCAGAAAGGTTGTCGTTGCGAAATGGCGCCTCGACTAGTTCGCTCTGATCTGAGGCTGAGATCACCTCGGTTCTGACTGTCATCATCCTCCTCGACGATCTGCGTACAAGCTTTGATACTCGCGCAGGCCCTATGAGGTTATTTTTCACCAAAAAATACTAGAAGCATGGGTTCAAGTGAGTTGCGTGTGGAGAAAGCGTCTGTATAGCATTTTATTGGACTAAAGTCATTGTGTAAAGTAAGTTGTGGTTTTGTGTAGTAAAACTTGTCGCTGTAATTCTGTACAGTGAGATATGTAACGTGAAAGGTGCATAATCAAGAGCATTTTTGTCGGAGGTTGCAGCATTTTGGTAGATGGCAGTGTAAAATACAGTTACCATACAGTGAGTTGCATTGATGGTATAGTATTTTAACTTTATACAAAAGTATCTCTGTGTAGTAAGGAGCATTTGACACATTACTGAATTCATAGCAGTATACGACATATCACTTGATGCGGATGAAGGTAAGCAAGATAGTCTATAGCTGTTACTCAAAGGAGCATTTTGGTGGGAGCACCTGTCTGAATGAAGCTAAGGCGCGGAACTGGCCATGCTGACCAAGCACAATGTGTTTGGTCTGTCCTCGAACACTGGGCCCTAGGCGCTTGATTGGTCCTGCTGACCTTTGGTTGGGAGCGGGCAGATCAAAGGGCAGACCAACCCAAGGACCAACGTCAACAGTGGCTTACATCATGTGTGGGCTGGACAGTTTCCCACGGTTCAACTCGTGACTGTTCAGCCTGTGACCATGGGAGCTGAAACTCATTTGGACAAGAACAATCGTTTTCCATCGCTGGCAAGTTTTGTTGTTGTAGTCGTCGGTCGCCATGGGTCCAGCATAATCAGTGTGTATTCTGGTTGTCCTGTATGGTGGTACGAGGACAAATGGATGAAGTGAAATCTACAAAACGCGGTATATAAAGCGTCGGTCACGTGCGTGTGCGGCGCTCGCCGAAAACCCGGATTCCACAAGTTTGTCAGTGGGCGGCGGCCTCAGCATGTAGCATGGGACTGTGGTGGACTCTGACTGACCATCCCATGTAGGCAGGATCCTAAGAGCAGCTGGGTGGGCTGAGGTAGCCCGCCCAAGCTGTAAGTCAAATGAGCCCTCGCCTGCGGAAGGCCTGCGGCAAGGGCGGTCAGGGACTGAGGCGGGCAGCACTTGGCGGTGTGGATGCTCGGTTTGGAGGTCAACTTGGTGATGCCTGAGATTACAATCCCGGAGCCAAGGTCACAGCGATGGTTCGAGTCCCGGCTCGAAGGGGAACTCTGTGACATCTTATTCTGCTGAATTTGGTGGGTTAGGAATGAAATGAAATGAAATGAAATGAAATGGATAAACCACCGTTTTATGCGCTGCGACGCTTCAGAAACGCGACCACTTTTCGGATTCCTGTGTTTGTACACCGGTCGAGTCGGTCCGACCGTCTTTTCGACGGGCTTTCAGTGACGCTTGGCCGGATGGATTTCGTCCAGAAAAATCATGCAGCTACGGAACACCTCAATCTATCGTAATATGCAGTTTGGTGGGAGCACGGGCTGTGATCGTTGCGCTAGGCGTCCGTCAAGTTTTGGGATGCATGCCGAGCAATGTTTGGTCAATGCCGACGATGTCGGCATTACGGCATTTCGGCAAGAACTTGTCATGAACTTCACGTACACATTCTGTTGTTGGCGCTGTAGCACTTCTGTGTCGTCGTTTTTCGTCTGGTGTTGGGGTCATTACGTCTATAACTACCTGTTACTGTCTGTCTGTGTACTTTGTGACTCGCGAGAAAGGCTCTGAGCATTACTTTTCATCTTACATGCTGACACCTTGCAATCTTGTCATGTTCGGCATCTCGGCAACTTCGTCAGCAGCATTGCCTGTCGTTTCCGTCTGCTCGTCTTCGTTCCAATCGACGATTGCGCGCTCGTCGTTCGCCGCCTCCTGCCTTTTTCCTTGGGGCTTGCTGACATGGCTTTCGACGTATGTCGTTGGCGATGCTTTCAGTGACCTTGCTCTGCTCCGGACTTGTCTGTGCGGTCAACATGTCGCCATCGATCGCGGCCCACCCTCGCAGCCCGGGGCACTGGCGTGTTTGTGCGCTGTAGCCCTCGTGTGTAAACATGATCGTAGGACATTCGGAGCGACCTGACCCCTGCAAATGTATGGTCCTGTGTATACGAGACAGACACTGCGTGTGCAGCAGGGGTCCATATCGGAGGTGCGTGCATCGCACCGTCAGCCGCTGTACGTTGCTGACGCAACGATTGCAGCAGAGCGTGGTTGACGTCCATAGGCATGGAATCTGTTCGGTGCGTGTACGTGCCATCTACTGTGTCGCAAGAACTGACGTGCGTTATTCAGCCTGTCGACACCGCTGCGGGTGTTTGCCTCTGCAGCGTGATTCGTTTGTACCAGCTCCTCAAGCTACACCTTATCCTGTTCCCCAATGGCTCACATGTATAGCAGTAGCAGCGTGACACGTGGAAGGCGTCGACACGTATGCGCGCGTACTGTCCGCTTGCGCGCGTATCCGCATGGGGCGCTTGACTGTCTTTGGCCTTCCTGTGTCGGAGGTGCGTTATCCTAGATGCTGATACCGTGTGTAGGTTTGGGTGTGATACGCGCAAAGCGTCTTGGCGACGAAACAGCTGTGATGCTGTGTCCTTTTGGTCCGTCAACGTTGCCGTTGTAGGCGAATTTCTGTCGGTGAGTCATTTGTCAGGTTCTTTTGGATGTTTTCGGGTGCTAAGCGTACGGTTCAGGGCACTGTAGTGGGCTGGGTTATATAGTACGTCCTTCGAATGGTGCTCTGTCAAGGTCTAGCCGGTTAGGTCTGGTCGTCTTCACGATCGTCTTCACGATACGTCGGCGCGCGTCGTACGTCGACCGGCCGTCGGGAGGGTCTGTAGGGTGGGTTGAGACGACAATGGGCCGAGGGGTGGTAAGCACGGGGTGTATGCAATGGTGTCGGGATGACGGGATGAGCATGCTCGTCTTTGGCTGCTGCGCAAAAGGTGACCCGTCTTCCTTGTCGTCTTGAATTGCCGCCGCTGATCATTTCTTTCTTTCAGGGCGCCTCTGTACACGTTCTTATGGATATGGCATGGGTAGCGCTGGTGTATTTTAATTGACTTTCCCAGTCGTTTGATAACCGGCCCGTCGTGGTTAGCGTGATACTGGCAGGTTGAGAGTTGCGTCCCTCGCGGTGCGCCTTCCTTAATCGTGTATTCTATTTTTCTGTTTGCGAGGTGTTTCTCGTTCGCGCATCCCGTACTGGTGCGTGAGCGAGGGATGGCCGCGTCGCCTATACCACGATCTTCGAGGTCGTTGCGTATGCTGCCGGTTATACGGTCATTGGGGTCGGTTTTAATGGATGGCGGTCGACTCGCTTGAGGCCTGCTTTGGCCCGGAGGGCTTGACTCCTTGGGTAGTATCATGGCCTGCAATCGATCGCACTCCAGTACGTAGTGATTCCATAATAATCGATTTAGCTTGTTCTTGGGTGCGGTAATGTCCATCCCTCTGGCAGCCTTGACTATTGGGGGCCTGATTTCTGGTGCATCTAAGCGTGGTGATGTGGCCGGTCTCAGTGCGCTACGCAGTGTCTTAGTTGGTTGGGGTTGATATATATGTGCATGCTATAGGTCTGCTCACTTTCTATACACAGCGGTTGGGGGGAGGTGTGCACATATGTATCATGAAGGGCAACGATGGTATTGGCCATCGTCAGGGCTCGTTGCCTTGGTTCGGCCTAAACCGAATGCGGATTGGCCGTTTAGGGTCTGACCCGATTCGGGTATATCGTTTTGGGATTTTCTCATTAAGGAATATCTTCTTTAGGATGTGACCGGTTACGGTCATTCCACATTTAGGTTTTTCTGATGTGTATATATTACGTGGCAGTGTTGCATCTACGAGTAATTGTGGGATGTAGCTGTCGTAGTACAAGTTTCTATCTATTGTAATTGCTCAGTTGAGCTCGAAAGCAGCTCGAAAGGGTGGCACCGGTGCTGCATTGTTTTGCGCCTGCACGTGACTAGTGTCACAGGACACGTATTCCCTCGTTGCGTGATGACATCGCGCGACCGCTGCTGTATACTCCCTTTCGTGTGGGTACGTTCAGTTGTAACTGAGACTGCAGTGCAATGTTAGTGACCAGACTTGGAGATGACTTGTTCGTGCTGACAGTCGCCTAGATGTCGATCGACTCGTCCTCTCGTCAGCCTTCGCACGTGCTGTATCGCTGGGGGTCATTTTTCGTGTCGCGACCTCAATCTTTTGCGGCCATAGATCCCTCGCAAGCCCGCCATCCTAACGCGTGTCTTGCACTTTCCGACTTTGCGCAACCTATGAGGCTCACAGCGGAATATCCTTACGCGCCGCTCACTCCGCGTACTCTGGACGACATGGATGATCCGATACTCATGCCGTTGTCGCTTCTCTCCTTAACCGCGGTTGGACCGCACGGACGCATGCACCTGGCGGAAGACATTATCGTGCAGTGGATCGACTTAGAGTTTCGCCTCATCGCAATCCGTGATGTACTTCTGCGCGATGTGGATCAAGGTGTTCTCCCGCTTGGGTATCGTTCGTGCGCTGTCCCTACGTCGTACGGGTACAGGAAGCTGTACTCGACACGCAAGTCAGTATGGAGGCGAGCAGCACAGTCGAGGGACGCCTTCGCTGTTCTGATAGCAGAATGTCATTTTCTTGCGCTGATGAATCGGAAGCTCTTGGATCCGTCTGGGCGGGTGCATGTGTCTTCTCTGGACGTATTGCTAACGTCTGTCGGTACATTCCTCCATGACGTCTGGCTTACGACATTCGTCAACCTCTTCGACAAACCAGTGGCCGGGTTCGTCGCGTCAGTCGCAGATGTCGAGGCTTCCTTCTGGCTGGCGCGTCTTCCGAAGGCAACACCCGTATATATCTGTTGGGGAGACTCAAAGGAGGCCGCTGCGAGTGTC